CCTTTGTATGTCGAGGCGGGGAGAGGGGGGAAACGGTGGCGAGCGGCGAAGTGCTGGCGAGATTGGTAAGGCGGAGGGTCCTCGGCCAAGGTGGCGATCAGAAGAGCAAAGGCTTCGGGATGAAAAGGAAAGGCCATGTTGCTGATTGGGAGATGATTGGGAGAGAAAGAGATATGATAGATGAACGCCAACGTGATTAGAAGGGGGAGAAGACAAACCGGCGGCGGGAGCTGCAACAATAATGTGCATGACGTGTCAAAAACGGCTTTGCGTCACGTGGATTTGATTCCGCCCCACCCCCCCTCTTTTTTACCCCGCCCCCCCTCCAAAAACAGCGGATAAGACCCTAACTGCGTTACGGGAAAAAACAGCTGATAAGACCCTAACTGCGTTACGGGAATAAGACTACTACTGTCGATGCATTTGTGCAAGCAGAGATCGGGAGAGGAGCATGAATTTTGGGGAGGGGAGTGGAAGAGGAGGTCGTCGAGGGTTATGTAGCTCACTTCCCAGAGGGATTTATCCCTGCTGGTGGGAGATTGGGGTTCAGATTGCGGATGGGGTATTTTGGAGGCAGCGGGATCATGCGGGGAAGATCTTGACGGAAGAGTCAGCTTCAACGTGCCCAGAACGATGATTGATGATGTCGATGGAGGATGAGACTGACTAGTTTGGCTTCAATACCTTTTGATGATCCATTGATCACTGTATGTAGAGACAATTGTTGCAATGCAAGAGATAAAAAGATGTAGACTCATGTGATAGATGATGATCTGCTCCACATGAAATGTCGTCCTTGTGAAAAGGTGTGAATGTGAAAACGTAGCGCAGAACTCGTCATCATCCTACGCGTCGGCACCCTCCTGTTATGTTGATGCCCTTGGCATCCAATGAGGTGAATAGGCCCCAGCAGACGCAGCAAGACATGCTCCGCCGCCTGCTTAGAAGGAGTGGCAGATCTAGGCAAGACTTCTGAAAAAGAGATATCTATCGCAGGGAGGAAGGTAACCCGAACTAGTGAATTTTCTTCTTCAGCTCGCATGCATGCTATACCCCTTGATACTGTTACATCATAGCTACTACATGTTGCGAGTGGTATATCAAGAGCTAGGAGGATGATGTCGGTAATGTTTTCACAACCGGCTGAATTCCCCTGTCATCCGCTCGGACAGCAGTCTACCAGCGAAATTCCCCGTCAGAAAACACTCATACGACACACTCGAACGTAGAGATTAGACTTACAAAGCAGCTCCAGCAAAGCGAGTAGTCATCAGGCTTCGCCATATCATTCACCAGCACCTGGCAGTGAGGACAATAGTACATCAGGCGGCCTGTTGTTGTTGTTGAAGACATGGTTGTTTCTTTGGGTGGTGAAGGATGCTGTGATGGTGGGTCTAGGATTGGACGGGGCTGTGAACCATAAGGTATAGGAGAAGTCGTTTAGCATCTGGATGGCGGCAACGCTCGACTTGCGCTTTTATATACGCAGAGGAGAAGCATGAGGCTCAGCTTCGCATGCTCATACACTAGACTGTCCTTTCAGAGTGGAGCTTCTTGTTTCGTGTTTGTGTGTCCGCCAGGCCAGTAGCTTGAGGCACTGACGTTTCAGCGATCGTAGCTCGAGCATGGACAGCCGACATACAGGACGTGGCTGTGTGCCAGTGTTGCGGCACTTTGGGCTCTTCTCTGAAACGGGCTTCTTGTCTCGTGTTGACAACGGCAGAACATTAGACTGCGCGCATACACTCGTACCTTCGTTGCCTGACAGCGAGATCTGTGTCCGAAGCGCTTGTCTATGGTGCCTCGTTGATCTGACTCGGCGTCTTTCTCTCCGCCTTGCGTCTAGTCATGACGGAAGAACCAGGTTGTGATCTTCAACTTTTTCATACATCCTTTCCTTCTTCGTGTCCCCGAGGTCATTACGCAATTGATTTTCAGTTCCAACACGTCATACCGTGACTATTCTCAACCATGCACAAGTACATACACGAGGATCAACATCGTCGGGGGCGATCGTCGATACACAAGGCTGTTGGTTGGGCTGACTCATAGTACAGTATATCCTGAGCCTCGGAGCACCGAACAACAGGACAACGAAGAGTACGTGTGCTGTACGAGTAGTACTCGCAAAGACACATTCACAATTTCCGGACCAGCGTTGAGCGTCAGATCATTCTTTGCAGCCTAGAGCTCGAGAAGGGCTTGCTGAAAGAACCCGCCATTCCAATGCATACCACCCCGGTCGCAACCCAAAACTGTCGTACGTGAAAGTCAAGTCCACCGATTCTCCCATCGTCCTCATACACTGAACCCGCCTACTTGTACCCTCAGGCAGACTAACAAGAGACCTTGTACATATGCAGTCAAGCTATCCATGGGTAGAAGGACCGAAACTGAACCACGGTGAGATACCAGTCACAGAATCTACCATCACTTTCTATATCTCTTCTTCGTCAGCACTAACACCAGTCACCGACGACATGACAAACGTCATGTTCTCGAATCAAAGCTGGCGAAAAGGGATGATTCCCGATATCGTAGAGGAGTATACTGGACGTACATGACAGTGAGGACAGATAGTCCCTTCAGCGGGCTTATAGCCAGTTCCCCAGTATGTGTTGCAGTGGGGGCAGTACCAGAGTACACTGGGGATGTTTTGGTTGAATCCAAAAGACGCCATTGTCGGGAGAGACGCTAAGACGATCGAGTATAGCCAGGAGTAATGGGGAGTTCGAGTAGTGCAAAGTAAAGAACAGAGGCGATGCCAGAGATAGCAGTCCCTTCTTATAAGGGCAGATAGAAGAGGGCAATGGAACGTAGGAGATGGTCCATGTACTTCTATGTGCGTAATGCCCCTGGCCTCGCCTGACACAGCTGGCATGTTGTCTCTTCACTCTTACCCCAGAATCCTGCACAGCATCGCTCCACCACCCCATCTCACAAAGACATCCACAGCCAAAAAGGTTGTAGACGGGAAAGCTTTCAAAGCAATGACGCCATAACAGATCACGTCCACACACATTCTTGTGTGGTTCCGAACAACATTCGCGCGTCACTTGCACGAGTTGGTGCCCGATCCGCCGAGCTGTGGGATGGGGTGTTTGTAATGAAGGAGTGGGATGATGTAATGAGTGTAAACATACCATTTTGGGCGGGCGTCCGGACGCTCATGCATATGACGTGAACCAACGGCGAGGGACACATAGAACTTGCCATGGCCGTTGATTGAAGAAGCATTTCCGGCGACAGCCGCCGAGAGCAAGATGCTCCCGGCGCGTTCGTCCGTCCCATGGTCCGTCCTCGCGTACGACTATTTCGTCTTTTCAATCGCTCAAGATCTTTCAGTCGGTTCTGTACACCACTTCTCCATTCTACATGTCCTCCCCTACCCCCACATCCAGCCTCAATATCTTTTCGGCGCTCCCCAACGACATTCTCCACCTGATTTTCGACGACTACGTTCGCTCGCTACCCACCCAATCTTCGGCCTTTCTCGACCTCCTCTGCCTCGACCAGCATGCTCACGACAAATAACTACCCACTCTCTACCACACCATTTGACTCACACGCGATAACCACCAGTCATTCCTCGTGTCCTACGACAAGTTGATGAGCAAGTGCACTTTCGCCCCCTGCGAGCCTCAGGAGGATCTTTTTGAGTCCGCGTACTTTGCCCCTGTGCTCCCTCCGTCTTCTATTCTTGGGGTGCCTGACCCCAGCATGGTACAAAGGATAATTTTCGACACTCACTCGGCGCTCCAAGGCTTCCAACGACTACAGGAAGCTCTTGAAGCGATGCCAATCGTCCCGGAGGGAGGAAATCCTGACTTTGGTCTCCCACGCGTCAATGTTCGCCTCTTTCCTGGCCTTCAATGGCTCGTCATCACAGAGGACGTAGCTCAAGCTCCCCACTTATCCGGTGCTGATAGAGTAAACCTGGTGTTTGATCCCATCAGGGATCTCTTACCGCTCAACCTCTGCTACACCGAAGCCTGTAGTTCCGACGAGGCGGATTGGCTGACCGACCAGCTCGGTGAGGCCCTTGCGTATCCGAATCTGAAACTCAAGTCTCCATCTCTCCATTCCAGCAACTTGGAACATGAATTCGACATCACGATAGAGCCGAGACGCTGTGAGACGCTGTCGTACTGGCCCCCGGCTGGATAGTCTAAAGACTATTATCGAAACTTTATGGAGTCTCTGTTCCTCGATGATTTCGGATGGGATGACTTTGGATCACCGTCAGTACCTTTCTTTTCCGCATCTACAGAAAGCTGACTCTTCATCCAGCAATCCTCCTTTCCCCAGCCAAAGCGTCAAATTGTACAATTGCGATGTCCCTCGCGAAGAATGGTTCCCCTCGGCGAGCAGGATCGGTTTGACTGAGGAAGAGATTGAGCGGATCGAAATGTATACTACCGCAGAGTCAGTCGGACGTGTTTGCGAGGGATGTGGCAAGGGTGCTTGAGCGCTTCGGATGGTGAGTTCTGAAATCGTACCGGGGATGCGATGTGACTGACTGATCTAAGGACAGCATCTCCCATCAATCTGGACATCCGTCTGTGCCCCAACCCCCGTTGCTCCCGAGTACCTTCTCAACCTTCCGAACGTACGATGCTGGACGTGAAAGACGAAACTGGGGAATCGGGACTGCAAAGAGCGAGTGTGGAGCCCCGGTTCCGAGGGTGTGCCAGGAGCCCAGGACGTCGGGCCGTTTCTCTGGGGCCTTGATCGCGAGGTACCGTTCATCTTGGCAATTCATTCTCCCTAGTACGTTCTATTCCACCATCTGCTTTTCGAACGCCACTATCGCTTCGTCATCGGATTTGTCGGTTGCAGGTAGCGGAGAGAGCGGACTGGGCGGAGCATTTGGGAGGGGTGGGTCGAGGCGCGTACCCGCTGGACCCAGGGCATGTAGAGAGTAAGCGCCGCATGAGTCTGCCGCGGTATAGAAGTGGAAAGTGGAGAAGGTAGGATTGCATGAATTAAGCATCGGTTGGACTCAACTGTGAGGGAGGTGGTAGGAGCCCTTGAGCTCTCTTGGGAGGTGAGTCTTCGGATCTCATTTCAGAGGCGCGACGTATCTAACTGGTCTCAGGGCGGCATCTCCCCATCCCAGTTCACTCATTCGGACATTGATCTGCGTGCCAGCCCTTTCTCCTCCCAAGTATTCTATCAACCCTTGCATCAAACGCAGCTGGACATGGAGGTAGGCTGGGCAGGAAGGACTGAAAAGAGAGAGCATTGAGCGCGACTTTTAAGAGCGAGCAGAACATCGGTCAGCTTTGTCTGGCTGGTTGTCACGAGCCTTTCCAGCTGCTGTTCATGAGGTGGGTAACATTGATCATGGCATCTCACTCAAGGCTGACCACGCCACAGGATCTCTCTGATCTATCCCGTCCTCTGCCTTTCTACCACCACTTATCGCTTCGTCATCCGACTTGTTGGCGGGTTTGAAGACATCTAGTTATGGAGAAACCGGGCCGAGGGGTTGGGCAGGGATGTGAAGGGAGAAATGAGGAGGAATAAGGAGTTTTGGGTCAAGGCATGCGGCTCCCTGCGTTCGGGGCTAGAGCAGCGTAGATACCGCGATGTATGGATCACATTGCCTCTATGTTCGTTGAATCTGGCCGGCGTCTCAATCTCATACGTTCCAGTGAATGGCTCCCCTTGAAACAGGAGGGTGGATACTGTAGTCAGGTCCTGGATGCTGCGCCGTTGCGGTACCACCGGCCCTGGTTGCCAGGGGAGGTCGTTACCACGCGCCGACGGACGAGGTCAATGGTATTTCTTCTTTCCATTCCACTTTGTGAATTGCAAGTATCACGGCGACTTCACGGATCAAAATGTCTTCGAATATCCCCACCTTCGACGTAGCCAGCATCCTCTCCTCTCTCCCCGACGACATCCTCCACCTCGTATTCGACGCCTACGCCAGCTCGTTGCCCACCCAATCCTCGGCCTTCCTCGACCTCCTCTGTCTCGACCTCCTCTGTCTCGACCGCCGTACTTACAACAAGTATTTGCCCGTGCTCTACCGCACCATCGAACTCACCGAAGACAATCGCGAGTCATTCTTCCAGTCCTATAGCAGACTCCTGGAACGGTGTACGTTCGCGCCCTTCGAGGTGGAGAGTAGCGACACGTCCTTTTTTGTCCCTCGCCTTGGTCCCTCCGCCATGGGCCCACCACAGCCCCATCCCGATATGGTGCGCAAAATCATTGTGGCCCATCACTTGGTTTTTGAGATGCTTGAAATACTTCACAGTACTCTCCAATACACGGTTGCGGAGCAAGTCAAAGGGCTTCAGAGCGAAGAGATTTCTGTTCGTCTTTTTCCTCACCTCGAGTGGCTCACTATCGGAGCAGAGGTATCTCAAGCGCCTCCGAGGTCTATTGTTCAGCGCCATCGAGTCGTCTTTCGTGTCCTTACCCAGCTTCTTCCGCCGAATATCTGTTGTACCGAGCCGGACGACCAAGCAGTCTGGCTATTCCACCAGCTCGGCCAAGCCATCTCAAGCAAGTATGTCCACTTGGACTCCATGTCTATCCATGCTAGCAGATGGTCTGAATGCTTCAAGGCCGGACTCTCGATGGAGCGCTGTGAGATTTTATCATGCTGGCCTACATGGCCAACAGGTGTTAGAGTCCACAAAGACGATCCGATAGTAATCGTGAAGGCTTTAGCGATTCTCGACCGCCTTGACAATCTTCAGATCCGGTAAGCCTACTTTTTGACTGTTTTTTGGGTAGTGCTGACATACAATTAGGCGCTCATCCTTCCCTCGTCAACGAATCAGACTATACGACTGCAATTACACTCACGAAGAGTTGTTTTCGCCAACAAGCAAGACTAGATTGACATTGGACCAGATGTCAAAAGTGGAGATCTATACTCCCAAAGAATCAGCTGGGCACGTATGCGAGGGATGTGGCAAGGGTATTTGAGTGTCTTGGGTGGTGAGTCTTTCGAGTTTATGACCGGGTGCGATTTATCTGACTGTTCTCAGGACGAGGGCATCTCGTCACATCCTCCTTCCAGAATTGTCCTCAGCGCGACCACTGTACACCACACATTCACCCGAGTACCGCATTATCACCATCCTCGAGCTGAATCTCCATTTATCTTCCCGATCTCCCCTTCAGTCCTTCCATCCTTATGACGACCCAGAATCCGGTCATGCGGAAGTGCAAAGAATAGCGAGGATGGGGCGCGAGAGCCTGGGGCAAGCAAAAGACCTCGGTCAAACTTGGAAGAAAATTGTTTATTTAGGGCCAGTCGAGGCGCATGTATGTAAGAGGGTAAAGTAGCGTCCATATTGTCATCTGAGTTATCTGATACAAGGTTAACCACGTCACACTCCAGGTCAACCCAGCCTCTGTTTTTCTACCATCGCTATCGCTTCCTCGTCGGACTTGTCGGCGGCTGTGATAGTGTCTGGAAGCGGAGAAGGCCTGGCGGAGCGTGTGGAAAAGGAATTCACTGGGAAGTGAGAGGAGGACAGAGGAAGGATGTATTGAGGGGCGCGGCCGCTGGCTCCAGAGGCATGTCGGATGGACACAAATAGTGTAGAGGGCGAGTAGCGCACGATTCTGCAGTGATGTACCAATGAAATGTGGATCAGGCGGAGTTGTATGTTCTTGTGTCTTCAGTACTCGATGATGTTGACAAGGTCATATGCGACCACGACTCACGTCAATGGCATAAATCCGACAAATCGAACAAAGGTTCTCGAGGGCTTCTCCGTATACGCAGATATGATCTTCCGAGGAAAAAAGGTGTGACCAGCTATCAAGGAGAGCATTAGGTCGTACAAGTACGACTATACCTCGACCAAGACCAAGATTGCAAAACGCTTCCAGATACGGCCGCCCGTGATAATTATACCGCAAGTCCTTGCTTTCATGTCATTCTGTACGCCCACTGCTAGCTGGAATTGTATGTAAAAAAACGGACAAGTTGATCAGAGTTCCAACACCATCATTCACAGCAATACGAGACATCATGGCGTCCCAGATCACAACTCAAATCTGGAGTGGAAACAACGGCGGATATGTCGAAAACGTCTACCCCCTGAATGGTATACTGGAAAGAGATGGTGATGAATACTTCGCCGCCAACGATGCTTTAGAGGGGTTAAATGCTTTCATCTGGACTCGCAACACTATAGATCACGAGACTGGAGACATCTACCGAAATTCATTCACGACGAGCGCGCATGCGAGCACCAATGGGAATGCCGAGAACCGAGACTACATGGAGATTGCATGGAGAGAGCGAATAAAATCTCGAGATATCTCACGAATACCCTCCGGGGCACTGAATCGCAGTGGGGTCCCCCATGCACCCAACAAGGGGTCACGGAGGCTCTAGTAGAAGCGGAGAAATCGGCTTTTGCAGCTTTTGTACAAGAGTATCCTGATCGATCTCGCGACATTGGTCTGAGCAGCGTTGACCAAGATACCATGTTCGAAGTCGTGTTGTATTATGTAGACGAATCTTCACCAGCTTCTTCACTAGAAGAGAACGAGATGGAGCACGTCGCTGGAATGTTGATTGTGGGGGTAGACTCCGATCAGGTCATGAGCGACGCATCGTTTTCCTCTGCGCAGGATGGGGACGAAGCGGATGATTGAGTGATCCTATACTTGACATCTTCTAGAGGATGAGAAAGTACCATACACAGTATACATTTGACAAGCTTGGAACACATTGAAGTAGACCGCGCGATGCACACCCTGTATACATAGAGCTGTCGGCTCCGTTTTGACATGCATTGCCTCTGGTGAAAACGTAGCAGAATGCGATGAAGGTGGCGTTCTTTGGACTCATGAAATCGCCCCGGTCTGTGAGCTTGCAGCTAATGTGATTTTCAAGAACAGCCTGGCACAATGAGATACTTGGTCTCTAAATATGCCGTGATGTAGCAGTGAAAGGTGAAGCCAGCGTCGATATGCCTGTAAATTCAGTGCCAGTTTTAGATTTCTCATGACAGAAATGTTGACCAGCTAGCAAAGAGAGCATGGTGTACAAGCACGATAACAGCTCCACCATGATCACAGAACGCTTTCAAAAAAGACCGCCCGTGATAACCAAATCAGCATTCCTTGCTTTCATCCTATTATGTACGCCTGCTGGCCTGGCGTGTTCAAAAGAACCGACAGAAGGGCAGTGAATGCCAGTGGGGCCCAACATGCGCAGAAGAAGAGTCCCCGAGGGCTCTAGTAGAAGCGGAGAAATCGACTTTCAAAGATTTGGTAGAATCAAATTCTGGTCGATATGGCGACATTGGTCTAAGCAACATCAGATTGACCACGATGAAATGCTCCGAGTCATGCTGTACGATGGAGAATCATCTCTGTTTTTACGTGACGAAAACAACAGAAAGTTAGTCGCTGGAATGCCGCTTGTCAGGGACGATGACGATGCCGATGAGGTCTAGAGCTTAGACCCGCCTCCCTCCATTTACGATAGTGACCAGGCGGAAGAACAAGAAGTTCCATAGTTGACATTCGCAGAATGTACACAGTATTAAATTGACAAGTCGATGACTTTGAGATAGGCCGCGCGATATTGTACACCCTGGATGCTCGTTATGGGAAGAAGTTATTGTGCCTGAGGACTGTGGGGGGCTGCGCGGAGATGCTCGGCTCGATGGCTTCGGATGAGCAGTGGCCAGAGGTTACAGGTCTATGTAGGGCTACTCGTGCAGTAAAGCATTAGAACCCACCATTATGTGCCACGACAATTAGAATGTCAGAGTAAGTGAAGAAGCAAAACATGCCGACGATCCAACTTCACATAGTATGAGACTGGGTCGCTGAGTTTCTTTATAGCTTGTCTGTCAGTAGATACTTACCACTTTATATAAGATGGGGCCAATGACAGACGACTTACTGTTGTTTTTGACACCATGTGTACGTCCACCATCTTGCGGCGTCGGTCCTGTCTCAACACAAGCCGCTCGATGCAAATCATAAGCCAGGCACACCTTATGCTCGACGACGAGCTGGCGATGTACCAAAGACTTCGATACCTTTCTCATCTTTATCTCGAACCTCTAACACCTCCTCATGTCCCCGAGTGCACCCACTTTCGATCTACAGAGCCTCTTTCCCCTCCCCAACGACATCACCCGCCTCATACTCGACGCCTACGCCAGCTCTCTGCCCACCCAGTCTTCGGCCTTCCTCGACTTCATCTGTCTCAACCGCCATACGTACAGCCGATATCTAACCTGGATCTACCACACCATCGAGCGCACACACGACAATCACCTCTCATTCTTCGAATCCTATGGCAATGTCTTCCAAGAATTTACTTTCGCCTCCTACGACGAGCCCGAGGGTAGCGACACGTCCTTCTTCGCGCCTTCTTCCAATCTCTCTGCAAGGCAGGGGGACAGGGCCAAAAAGGTGCGCAAAGTCATAGCTTTCCACCACTCTGGAAAGCTTTAAACGGCTCCAAGAAACTCTTCGACCGATGATCGCCAACTATCCAGACTACGGGCGCGTCTCTATTTGCCTCTTCCCGAGCCTTTAATGGCTCGTCATCGGACCAGAAGTCTCTCTAGCTCCAGTGAACTCTCCTGCTCAGAGCGAGCATCTTGTACTCTTCACTATCCTCAGACTTCTGCCGCTAAAACTTTGTTACTCCAACACCCAAGCCATTGGCAGCGCCGACTTGATGACCGACCAGCTCAAAAGATTGTTCTCGCAGACGAGTCTCAGCTTTGAATCCCTGTCCTTTCATACGGGTCCTTGCAAGGACAATTCATCCCCCATTCTTGCGCCAAACCGATGAGGGGTTGTGTCTGAGTGTCGTGCGCCTCGTGAGTCTCAAGTCTCTGTACGAGACGAGCGAGTTTGACTGACCCTTTGACCTCAGTACGACATTCTCAAAATACTGTTACTCCCCAACATCGTCATGTCCGTCGACTGTGTTGCCTTGCCCCCAACTACATTTGTCTGTGGTCTTTCCAGAGCCATCGTTTCACTGTCCCGCCACCCTTATCCTTCTTCGTCCAAGCTTCGTCCTCATCTCAGCCTCCTTACTGCCACGTCAGACATAAGGATTGATCGAGCAGTCATTTTGGCCTGTGTTGGAAGCGGACCGGTCCAAGATGAGTCGATTACCAGCCAACCTCATCTGGTCGCTGGTTCCGAAGTTTTGCGCGGTGCGTACTCGTTCATACTATATTCCGATCGTAGCTGACTGGGAGGCCTACTTATGACACTTCAGTGAGCTATTCAGCATGTGGTCCACTGAGCGCTGCATGCTCGCAGCGGTTGGCGAACGCGTTATACATATGTGCCACTGACTGGCCACTGATCTAAAATATTCCCGGCGGCCGGCCGGACATCAGAGCCCTCTCCGCGCTCTGACCTCTTTCGCATTCTTATTGTTGCATCCATTTCTATCTCCATCTCTCTTTTCTACATCCACCTCCATTTCCACCATGTCAAGGGCAAGACTACTCCGCCAGCTTGCACCCCTCGCTCAGCATGCTCGGGTCACCATCCGCCCCTGTTCCGCCCTCCCATCACGCGCTCTTACTGTCCCCTTGTCACTCGGGCGGTTTACAAAACCGTACTCAACTTCCCCCGCCCAGCCTACAGTTGAACAACAATTACAACGCCTTGTATCGCTCCTCAAAGAGGTCTCGGCTGTCAACTCCAAAGCCGAAAAGCAGAGGATCATCTCGCAGTACCCGGATTTGAGGGAAGTGCTCGAGCTGTACGTCCTGCGCAGTTTACCTCAAGTGGGGGTAGCTGATACGACGTAGGATATACGAGCCAAATCTGCGTACCCATATAACATCTACCCAATTCCACAAACTCCTGTCCACCCCCGAGCCCACTCCTTCACCACCTCCACTCGACAACCTGCCCTCCGACATCCCCACCCTGTTTCACCTCCTCTCCTCTCGCGCCGTCACCGGCACCGCCGCGAAAACCCTCATCCTCTCTTTCTTGGAAGCGCAAGGCGTAAGAGGGAAGGAAGAATTGGAAGACATGTTTGGGAGGTTGTTGGGTCGGAATTTGACAGGCGGATTTGGGGCGAGAACTTTGAAGGAAGTGCAATGGCCTGGGGAGGAGGGGAAGAAGGCCGAGGGAGGGGTGAAGGAGGAGGGGGGAGTTAAGAGGAAGCAGGGAAGGCCTAGGAAATCTCCTCCGCCCGAGCCTCTTGTCTCCGAGGCCAATTCTACCACCCCGAAAGCCAAGCCGTCCCCGAAATCCTCCCCCGCCACCTCCTACGCAACCCCCGTCCTCCCAAACTTTGGTCCTCTAGAGAAATTCGAAGTAGCCCTCGGCAAATCTATCGACCCCCCATTCGACGCGCTCTTCTCTGGCCGTACGGGTGGTGGAGTATGGTACGCTTCACGCAAGTTGGATGGGGTTCGGGTCCTCACCTTTTTGGACTTTTTGGTGCCGCCTTCTGCGGATGGGGAAGAAGGAGGCGGGAAGCCGGAATTGATAGGCACGCATTTTGTGAGCCGATCGGGACGGGCGTTCAAGTCGCTCTCGAAACTGGCTGGGCAGCTGTCTACGCTCGCGGAATACCCCAAACTCGGCGAGATTCTTTCCTACGATACCGAGACCATTCCTCTCTCCCCCGATTCTTCCTCTGGAACTGGTATCGTGAAACGACTCGTCCTGGACGGCGAGGTCTGCGTCATGCGCCCCAAAACCCCCTCCGAACTGAAGATTTCAGAAGCCAAAGACGACGGTTCCCCCGCTAGCGGTATCTGGCAAGCCAACGACCCTTACGTCGAAGACTTCCCTTCCACCGTCTCTCAAGTACGCAAAGCCGCAACGATCCAGCATCTCTCCTACTTCCTCTTTGACCTCTTATCATGGGGCGAAGTACACGCTAAAGGCGCTTTACCCGGTTATGGCTTGTCACAAACATTCTCTCAACGCGCCCAAGCACTACAAGAGCTCACTTCCTGGTTTGACAAGGAGTTGGAGGGACAAGGGGTGGGTAAGGAGGGGAGGATGGTGAAAGAGTTGAGGCAGTGTAAGGTTGAGGGTTTGGGGGATGTGGAAGGGATGGTGGAGAGGGCGGCGGAGGAAGGATGGGAAGGGTTGATTTTGAGGAAGGATGCGTTGTATAAGGGGAAGCGGTCGTACGCCTCTCTCTCTCTCTTCCATCATTTCGAATGAAAACTGACATGAGACATAGCCCCGACGTGCGTAAATTCAAAAAATGGCAAGACGCCGAATACCCCGTCCTCTCCCTAACAACCTCTACCATGCGTCTATCCATCAACGGCACATTCGCCGAACGGCAAGCCATGGCCAACGTATGGATCGAACATAAAGGAACAAAAGTAGCGGTGGGCTCGGGGTGGACGGCGGAGGAGAGAGTGAGGTATGCAGAGAGGCCGGAGGAGATTGTGGGGAAGGAGATTACGGTAGAGTTTTTTGAGGAGAGTGAGCGGATGGGGGCGGATGGGCAGAAGGAGGGGGGGAAGAGTTTGAGGTTTCCGAGGGTGAAGAAGGTGTGGGAGGAGGGGAAGAGGGATATTTGAGGAGGTGCTGCTTTGCGTCTAGGACAGCTCAAGGCTGCATGTTGTTTATAGCACATGTACTCCGCTCTACTATACCGATGCTTTCTTCTACTGAGCGCTGTTCTACCGTTTGGGCTTGCGTGTTTATGGAATATGTCGTGAGATGGGGCAAGGCCTTATCAAAGAGATCAGGCCAGCGATTATCGAAGAAGTGTAGCTTGTTGACAACTCGCAGCACGGCGATTAGATAACGTTCTTTGCTTCGTTGGTACAGAGTCGCCTGCTGCTTGCCGCTTGCCCTTCCCGTTGCTTCCATCGTGCATCAATCTCCCATACTATGCTGCCCAGATGCATCGCCCCTATATCCTTCCCACCCAGGCAGAGGTCATGCATGCGTGCATTGACTGCTGCATCGCAAATCCGCAAAAGAGGCGATGGACGCCGGCCGCCCGTGCATCGCCTTGCCGATTGCCCGGTGCCTTTCTGTGCCTGCGCTCATATCTCTGATTTTTGAAGCCAGCTTTCACTCCGCCTTCTTGCCCACCAGTCTGTATAGTCCCGGGGTCTGAGGTAACGCTCATACTCATACAGCACCGTGTCCACCTATCCACCAGCCGATTCGTCATGTACTCGTACTGTATTGAGCACAGAAACCCGGTCATGAGCCTCTTACTAAAGCTCCGCTTATCACTCCCGCACAAAACCAGGGACTCATCGGTCTTTAACCGTCCACTCACATTCCGATGACGCTGTCCATCCCTGACCCTGACGCCGACGTCCTTCAAGGCAGTGCGCAGCACATGGCCGTGAGCTTAGGCGCTGAAGGCTGTGGGTTGTTTAGGCGCTGAAGGCCGAGGGTATTGGTGGGTACTACAGTATATAAGCAAACAAATGTTCATCCCCATCTTCATCCTATCACCACAACTTACACACTATTTATAATGTTCAAGCTTGCAGCCCTCGCCGCCCTCATCCCTCTCGCTTTTGCCGCTCCTACCGGTGAATTCTCCAAACGCGATGATTCGACCCACCTCAACTGTGTCCGATACCAATACTCCGGTATGCCCCTTCTCCCTCTCCGCCTCTCCCACCCCACTAACATTCACACCCAGGCCCATTCACATCCACCGGTTTCAACGGCCAAATCCATTTCTACTCCAACATCACCTCCTTCGACTCTGGCTCCCAGACCACCTCGTTCAACGAATCCCGCCTCGGCCTCGCAAGAGACGGGTCTATCCAGCCTTGTGGCGACTGTCGTACGACAGAGTTGTTTGGGTTTGAAGTGTGTGAGACGGATTCGCAGCTTGCTTTTAATGGATTGTACGTCGCTTTTCATTCTCTTCCGCCAATGTTTGGTGGGTACGAGCTGACATGGAGGTGTAGGCAAAACTCTGCACACTCTTTCTACGGACATGTTACATACTCCAACGTATCCCCCACCCATCAGTGTCTCGCCGCATTCCGTCTCCCGCGCGAAGGCTCCCCCCTCGCCTTGAGAGAGTGCGAGTATGACTACGACAATGCGGCTGCATCGGGCCAGTACTGGCAGTGAGTCCCCCTTCGCCTTCCTCCCCCAGATCGTAGGATGTAGTGCTTATGAGGGTATAGAATTACAACCTATGACGACTCCGTCATCGCTATGCTCGTCGATGAACACGGGTGAGTCATCTTCTCCCGCCCCATCCCCTGCTTCCCTTTTATCTTCCTCTATCTCAGCTTCATCGAAGACCGCCCCATGTACTGACAAAGGAAAATTCAACAGTTCATACGGCCCTACACCCGAGTTGAACAACAACGGTTCTCTCGTCTTGTACGACCCGGTGGGCGCCAACAGGACGTTTACGTATTTCGGGTTCAAGGCGCAAGAGTTCTAAGCCTCCAACTATGCACCCTTGAGAGCGTATCTGTTTGATATGGACAATGTTTAGTATGGGTTGACCATGACGGACAATGTAAGAAGAGTATAACCTCGATGCGAATGTATATCCTTTCTCTATCCCCGCTTACGTTTCGAACGCTCTATCCTTTGTGTCAAACTGGCTCCTTTCCATGAACGGGTCCCTCTTCCAAATCCCCAAATCCCACGGCCACCTCTCCGAGTCTGACCATCATACATTTACCCTCAAAAACCTCTCTCTCCTCTCTGTCTCCCCCGACGACAAATCCGCAAAACAACGTCCAAAAGAGAAGATGACCGCCATAGCCCCATCCCCACCTACCATCCCTCTCCCTCAAACGCCTCTCTTGACCCCGTCTTCTTTCTCCTCTCCGAAATCTACCCCCACCCCTTCACTCACCACTGGCCAAACCCGCCCAAAAGTCCAGCTGCCTGTTATACCTTCTTCCCCTCTCCGTCAATCAACTCTCCCAACCCTGCCTGAGATCCAGCTCCAAGAAGGCCCAGCGCTCAAAGCCCACCCTACAAGGGGTATCCCCAGTACCCTCGCCATCCCTTCAAACCCTCTTCCGCCACCTATGAGCATCGGCGCCTCTTTGACCAGCGGGAGCGGGCTCGGCGGACTTGCGGGACTTGGCCCAGGCTTCAGCCTAACGCCAAGACACGGTCCCCCGCCAGCCAGCTTGATCCGCCTCCCACCCGCCCCGCCGCCTACGCTCGAGTTCCATCCTCCTGAGGGGTCCAAGCCCGCTTTTGGGGGTCTTGGCGCTGCTTTCGGCGGCGGCCCTAGTGCCGGAGGAGGAGCAGCAAGTGGAGTAGCAGGGGGAGGAGGCGGAGAATGGTCAATGCCAAACAGTCTCCGCGACCTCCAATCCCTCTCCCGCAGCGTCGACCGATCCCTCATCCCTCCCGTCAAACCCACCAAACTCGCCCCCTCCCCCATCTCTCCCGTATCTCCCGGGCGCCTCGATGGGGTAAGAGAGAAGAGGGGGATGATGGATATAGGTGAAAGTGGGGGATTCGAAAGACGGTTGGCAGAGATTGAGCTGGAGCTGAAGGGGCAGAGGTCGGACCCTTCTTCGGGTGAGCTGGAGCTGAAGGGGCAGAGGTCGGACCCTTCTTCGGGTGAGCGATCGCTCTCGCACTCACTCTCTGCGCGTTCGCGTCCCTTCTTAGAGAGCACAAGAGACGACGAAAGCACCATCCAAGGCACACTCCTCTCCCAAAATGACGGTAACGAGCTCATCGGCCGTGTCCGACGACGAAACGACAAGATGCTCGAGAATGGGAATGGGCAAGCGATAGATGAAGTCGATGTGGAGTGGTGTTTCCTCTGTGGCGAGGAAGGGAAGAGGGAGAAGGGTGGGATGGAGTTGAAACAAGCTGGGGAGGGGGTGGGGTGGCAGTGGGTTTGTGGGGAGTGTTCCAAACGATCATAAATGTTAGTAGTTGTACTATAGCGGTACGAGTTTGTACAGTAAAGCGAGATGAAACGGGAAAATGTTAGTAGTCCACATGTATACATGCGCACCTCTATCCCCTCCCTCTAAGCCATCTACAAATCCTCCATCTTGACCAACCCCTTGGACCTCCTAACCTCCTCCCTCTTCCCAGCCTCCAGATCTCCCGGCGTCTGCCCCCCATTCAAATAAAGCTCCTGCAGCAGCCTGTCTATATCAGGGGTGACGACGTAGTTTTTGTGGATATCGCCGATGACGATGGCGGCCTTTTGTTTGGGGTCGAGGTGGACGAGATGTTGGGTGAATGTTGGTGGAACTCCGGGGGCGACCTACCTCTCTTGTCAGCTTCTACACCAAAAAATGGAGGAGGGAGGGGGGGGAGGGGAGGGGAAAGGGGAGAGAGGACATACGTTCATGACGATCCCATCGCCCAAAACCATCTTGATCCTCCCACTCTTCATCACCACCATCGTCCCGATCCTGCCCTCCGGCACCGGCTCTTCTTTCGCCTTTCTCGCTTGTGCTTTGAGCTGCGCGGCGGTCGGTTTGATATCCGGTTTGACGTCTTCCCCGGGCATAGACGCAGCGTTGGGGTTGGTAAGGTCGACAGGGCCGGGGGGGTTGAATTTGGGAAAGAGGTGGGGGAATTGGAATACGAATAGCTTGTTTTCGGGATCATCCTACCCTCCTTCATCAGCTCCCTTCCCATAAACAAACAAGAAGATGAGAAGGACTCACCCCGCCTTCGGTAGCCACAAAGTCCCCCTCCATATCCTCTTCCTCCTCCTCACTCTCGCTCTCACTCAGATCCACCATCTGCGCCGCATTGACTTCTTCATCCTCCTCCGGGCTCGCTTCTTCAATCCCACCCGTCTGCATAAAGTTGCGCACCCGACGCCCGCGTTCGTCCCGGTCTTGGTCCTCGTCGTCCGACATCATGGCGTCGTCGTCTCTTAGCGGCTGGAACTCTTGACTCGGCGAGATCGGTTCCGGCTTCACCCCCTGCCCCACGGGTACAGGTACAGGTTGCTTGCCTTTGGCCTTCTTCGCCTTCACCCTAGCCTTATCCGCCTTCTCTTTATCCTTCATCTCCTTCGCCTTCGGCCCCCCCGTCAACTTTCGATCCCTATGCATACTCGTCGGTGCCGATTCAGACATGGTCGAGACGAGATCAATGTCGATAGGCCGGGTGGAGGTGAAGCCGTCTTCGGAGGAGTGGTCGGAGTACTCTTCGGCGTCGGAGGGGTATTCGGGGAGGCGGGGGGCGGAGGCGGCGGCTGTGAATTTTCGAGTAGCTACTTCCTACGTTAGTAGTTGTAAAATAGAAGAAGGGGAGGGGAGAGAGACTGACTGGAAGTAGCGGGTCGAGGACCGCCAAAGACACCTGCAGCGGTTGATGTAGATACGACCGCCCCTCCTCTTCCTCCTCTTCCACCTCGTCCTCCACGGGAATCGCCTCTCCCACGACCTCGGGGAGCACCTCTCGTCGATGCCGAAGGGGCAGGTTCCTACATCCCAGTCAGTTTTGTCACAAACTCCTGTTCGATATCCCATACAGCTTTGACTTCCGCCTCTCTACATTGATAGTCAGCTTGGATCTGGTAGATGGGAAGAGGACGCACGTCTTTTGCCTCCTGATGGGCACTTTGGGCTTGAATTTCATCTTGGGCACGCCCGGCGCACTAGGACCGGCACTGGGTCCTGGTGTACCGCCGAGGGCGGGGGTGCTTCGCGCAGAACCGCTGGTACTAGCGGCATCGTTCGCAGGGGGAGGGGCGTCGGCGGCTGCTGATACGAGGTTGGCGGGCAGTTTGGGGGGCATCGCGGGTGTATAGAAGATGGAGGAGATGCAGTCGCGTGCAAAAATTGGAGCTTTGTAATCCCATTACAAATCATGCTAATGACTATTTGGTTCCGTTCTAATGCCCCTTAACCTTCTATTGTTGTTGTTCTTGCAACCACCCCGCCACGCCCCTCCCTGCCCGTCTCCCGAGCTGATTCAGATGGATGCACGGCAACTACTGCGCCATGAGGCTGACGGCGGCGAACGAGCACCGCATGGACTGTGTGAGCGAGCCCAAGCCGTGCCCAGGCCATCCCCTAGTGCCCGCAACGCCCCCAAGACATCTACAGCTTTCGAAAGTATCCTCAAGCTCATCCTACTCACCTTTATAGGTCAACATGTCTGGCCAGGATGGACGGCAACGCATGTTTACGACACAGTGCCCGACGTACGACTTTGACATCTGCGTCAAACGCTCCGCCTTGCCCCCCTCCTCACCCACCCCACTCTCAATCCCCCTGGGCGAGTCTGCCACCGCCCTTCAAAACGAAACGCTCGCCCTCGCCTACCTCAAAGATCACACCTCCATCCCCGTCCCAAACATCATCGCCTCCTTCCAAGACCGCGGCGCCAACTATCTCTTGTTCGAGAGACTCGAGGGCGTCATCCCAGCCTCCTCCGCCCCTCCCGATATGCACCGCCCCATCCTCTTCGAGCTTGAGCGGTATATGGACGAACTGCATTCACACTCTTCCAAGACTTGTAAGAGTTTCGTCGAAATGCCCCTCTTCTCCCCTAGGCTCGGGCACTGCCTCCGAACCCTCTCGCGCGCAGAATATGCGCCCGACGACAAACACTCCTACATCCTATGCCACGGCAACCTCTCCTGGGATGACGTGCTAGTAGACTGTGAGACCTTTGACATCCGGTGTATCAAAAACTGGTCTTTTGCTGGTTTCTATCCCGCTCAAGTTGAGGGGCAGTACTGGCGTCGGCCTGGACCGCCCCATGCGCTCCTAGAAGCAGGGGAGGAGGATGATGTGGATCGAGTGGTGGATGTGGTTTAGAGAAGAGCGGTGGTTGGGTGGAAAGCGCATATACGGTCGGCGAGGTTGGCGGCGGGGTTTAAGGCTATGAAGTCTGAGACGTCGCTCGTTCTTGACCCCGAGCCGGAACCACAGGCGAATGGCAAGGATAAGGGAGTAGAGGAGTTACGGTACGTTTATGGCCATAGGATTTCCCATCTCTCATTTCTAACATAACATACCTTCCAGCCCCCAAAAAACCCGCCATCAAAAAAACCTCTCCGCCCTCCAATTCCCCACCCACAACCCCTCCTCAACGCCCCTCACATCCCCCCTCCTCCTCCTCCACACCGCGCTCACCACCCGTAAAGGGTTGGTGCGTGATTTGGAAGAGCTAAGGGTGGATTTGGAGGAAGATGCGGTTGCTTGGGCGGGGTTGGTTAATGGGTTGACTGGGAAGGTGAACGTTGGGGACGATGGGGATAGGGAAGCTGATGGATATAGTGAGTGTTTCCTGTTTTGGAGCGAAGAAGGGGTACATATGAACAAGCGCTGATGAAAAGGTAGATAATATCCAAACCCTCGCCTCCCTCCTCCCACCTCTCCTCCAATCCCTCTCAGCCCACCTCCAATCTTCCTCCTCCTCCCTCCTCCCTCTCATCCCCTTTCTCTCCCCTCCATCCCCTTCTTCTCCGTCAAAACCAAAACTCATATCTGTGACAGAAGAACAAGCAGGCGAAGGATATTATGCAAAGCTCTTCTTGGAAAAGATGAATTTGAAGATGGGGAAGAAGGCGGGGCATGTTTGGGATGGCGGTGGGGTGGAGGGGGAGGGTTGGAGGAGGGTTAGGGAGGGGGAAGGGGAGAAGTGGGTTGGTATGAAAGAGGTTAGTCTTATCTTTTGTGTAGGAAGAGTGAGGGGCGAAGCTGATGAGAGAAATGACTGTAGTTTTCGGAAAAGGTATTTTTGATATCGCATACGGCTTTGCAGAACTTGCCTCTTCTGCCATACCCCCCTCGTTCCCCTCTACCTTACCTACCCATCGCTCCGTCACCCACAGTCGCGCCCAATGCTACATCCCCCCGCCAAATCCGCTTTTCCCCACCCCCCTTCTCCTACCCCAACTCTCCTCCTCCCTCTTCCTCTTCCTCTCCCTTCCCCACCTCTTCCCCTCCTCCCCACCCGCTCTTCTCCCCCCCACCAGCCATCTCTACAGCTCTAAGAGGCCTCGCCCTCCAAGCCCGCCTGATCATCGCCAAACGCCGCGCCGACAACCTCTCCGCCGGCGGCCGTGGCTATTGGGAGTTGAAGCTGGGTGATGAGTTGGAGGGGATGTATGTGTTGGGGGGTGTGCAGCGGCCTTTGGGGGAGGGGGACTATGTTGATTTTACTTTGCCTTCTCCTCAAGCTGAGGGTGGAGGGGGGGAAGGGGAAGGGGATGGGGATGGGGATGGGGTAGAGGTGAGGGTGGTGGGAGGGATAAGGGTTAGAGGGAGTGTACCCGAACCGGAGAACGCGGAAGCCGCCGAACCTTTACATATCTTTCCTGGTGGTGATATGCAGGAGAAGGAGAGAGGGCATAAAAGGTCAGCGTCTCTTTTTTCGAGAGTGTTGAGTTTGAGAGGGAGAGAGAGGACGGTGTCGATGCAGGGGCGGGGGAAGACGAGCCCCGAGAGGGTCGGTGGAGAGGGGGCGGGGGAGGTTATGGAGTTGAAGAGATTGAGGAAGAAGAGCATGTAACATTCATTCGGTATGGTATATGATGAAGCGTTCATAGGAATCATAGATGGAGATGGAGAACGATAATTCACAGGTGCGTATCATCTTGCCGAGGCGCTTCATCCTTCCCCAAGCTGCACACACAGCATTCCGGACCTGACAGACAGTCAAGCCTGTGGTTGACAGCGGTAGAGATGTGACGCCCTGCCCGAGCCTACACCAGTTTCGTGTTACTACTATGACACTCTTTGCGTCCTTCCTCTCCGACACTCCTGTCGTGGAGGAGGATGAAGCGCCAACAGCAGCCGGAATTGATTCCTCCCCCCTCCCTCTGCCACTTTCAACATCTTACCGAGGAGTGGATTCCGATGAGGAATAGAAATATATATGTGGCGGTGTAGACGCCTCTGGCGTAGAGAGATCTGTTAGGTAGGGAGAACGGGAAAGAGCTCTGAGGGGTGATGAGTAGGAGCTTCGAGAGGGATGGAGGGATAATTCTATGCAAGTTATGCTTACAACCAAGACCCCGGTGACAGACGCTGAGTAGTCTGGCGGATGGATGAAAGGTACCGTTCACGATCCAGGCTGTTGTCATCCTTCCGGATAGTGCCGGATGTACCAGCAAGTATGCTGTCTGGTTACTGTTTCTTTGTGGTATCGATATCGGCGCCTGGTTATGCATATCGTGGAATGTTGGGTCACGATAAATAGGCCGTACGCCCTGGCTATGCAAACAGAGAGTATACACGTATAAGTTCTAAATATCGATGACGTTCGTGCACCACTGGAATTCCTCCTCGACCACTATGCAAGTACGAGTCATCAGTACAAACCAGACCAATCTGGAGTAGGCTCGTACTCACAATCAATAGGGTTCCCAGAGTAGGCAATTCCAAAGCTTCTCCCATCCTCCAAACGGATAGAGATAGGAGCCATCACCAAGCGCAGACTCCTCGCCAGCCGAAAATACACGGCCAACGCGAGCGTGAATGCCGGGAGGTGATCTTTGACAACGATGGTGGGCATGGTCCGCTTTTCGACCCCATGCCCAAAGTACGGGCACGGGTTTTCCTTGAGAAGGCTGTCGACCTGATTGAGGGCGTTTCGGACTTCAGTCTCGCTGGCGGTCATGGAGGGAAAGTGCTGGCACGTTTTGTGGATGAGATCATCGAGATAGTCGCACTTGTCGAGCATGTCGAGAAGGGCTTGTTTGTCCGTCAGGTCGGGGGTGTGGTTGATGAATCGCCATTTCTGAAGAGTGAAATCTAATGGCAAAAGTCAGAATCGTTCAGATGTTCCTGGGACTCACCGAACAAGCCGTAGAGATGCGTGTTGCCCGTGACCTCCAAGTACTGTGCTTCGTATGACAGCTGCGCTGTGTCGATCTACATCCAGCAGGCGAACCATCAGATCGCGATCGTAGAAGAGAATTAGTGAGTCGAGTACTTGCCTGTTTGCCAGAAGGGTAATCCGTCCCTCTCCTCGTCGGAAACAGCTCGTCCTCTCCTATCCCTTTCACCTTCTCCCAAGACCACGCCTCCCCATCACCTTCCGTCCACGAACGCGAGAAAGATAACATCGTGCCGGATGATGATGCTGCTGCACTTCGAGCGATAGCTGAGGAGGCAAGAGAAAAAGGAGATCTCATGCGCCAGGTCAGTCTCGGTCTCCCAATCTCTCCACAAAGCTGGATTCACTATACTGACAAAGGTTCCAGATGATCGATGACTCAGAGGGCGAGACAGAAGAGCTCAGGAGAGAGAACGCAAGGTTGCGTAGCACACAAAAATTGCTCGAGTGTGAGTTTATGCTGGCAGCCAAGCTGAAAGAGGAGATACTGTGAATCGAATAGTGGAAAAAACCGGATTGCAAGGCGAGATCGACCCTCAAAGGGGCTTCTATCGGGAAGAATAAGATAGGAACCAGATCCAGATAGCTGGATTCTCAACCAGATCCAGATAGCTGGATATCCAGGCACGGTCGGTTGCACAAAGAAATTATACAGGTGTAAGGTACTGATGAAGATCTAGCTGGCCGACCTGGAGAAGAGCAACGAAGCCTTGGCATTCATGGGCGAAAGGCTGAAGAGTAAGTTTTCCATCTCCCTTTTCTTGAGGGAGAAGAAAGAGGCTGATGACGCCGTAGAGGCCTTGTTCAAGCAGCGCGCTCTCAATAGTTGGCTTTGCCGTCGCCATATCATGAAGTGTGAATTCTACTCTCACCGTCAAATCTGCGAAAAGGAAAAATCTGACAAGAGAAGCAAAGCCGCAAAATCAAAGCCACTCCTTCTTCATCCTATCGTCGGTCTTGTCGAAAGTCAGTACATAATGCACTCCTGCAATATGACAGTACAGCTGCTCAATGAAGGACAGCGTCAAACCCTCGGAAGATCCCCTACAACCCCATCTCCCCTCGCCTCCTGCCACACCTTTGCTCCCACCACCTTCGCCTTCCTCTTCATCTTCCCAACACCACCTGTCACTACCATCGTCTCCTCCTCGTCTTTCACCCCAGGCATCCGACCAGGCAAAGTTTCCTCCCTTGAGGAATCAGCCCTTGACTATGATCTGAACGCAAAGTGGGCGGTCTATGGCCTCGCTCGACAGATGTACGCCAGCAAGATTCAGGGACGAGAAGCGTTAGCGATGGAAAAGGAGCTTGCTCTTGACGAAAAACCAGTTGGAGTTGCCGGACAAGGTGAAGAGTGCGAAGCCCACGAAGCAGAAGAGGTGGTTAAGGCTGGTGGCACGCGTGGCCTCGACGATGCGGTAGGGGTGGGAGAAGAAGGGAACGAGAAGTCAGACGAGCCCGTCCCATCGCTCCGACCGGGGAATCTTTCTTTGAGCTTTGTCGTGTAGCTCCATAGGTACTTTGCATGTCATTACAACAACTGGTTTTTTTTTGGTGGAGACCCGTCCACTATGTATTCAGATAGAACCATATTCCATAGCATGCATCACACCGGCAGAGATGTCAGCCGACTCTGCGGGTCCACCGGAAGGCCGAGGGATAACGAATCGACTTGCGTACCTTCTTTCTCTTCTCCTCTCGTCTCCTCTCCTCTCCTCTCGTCTCCTATCTTCTCCTCCTATTCACCTTCTTTCCCAGATTTCCCATTTTCAGGACAGCGCAACAATCCAAACAGCTCTCCCAGTCCCCCATATCTGATCAACACCCAAACGCTCATTTGCTTCAGTCTTCTCTCCGTTCTCCGTATGTACGTACGTACGTACCCGCGTCGCGGCCCCTCCTTTAAATCCGGAACGAAACCAATGATCTCCATCCCCGTCGACCGCCGATCGTCCCCGATCACGTTGCAACAGTCAATCAATCAACAATCAATCGCTGGATCGCAACAAACGCCCATCAGTTATCAGATGTTGTTTTTGCCACCCACCGCCACGCCACGTCACTGCATCTACCTAAACATGCTGCACTTCGAGTACCCGAGACTCTGCTGTAGCTCTTTATGCGTGTGCAGGCCTAAATGAGGCGTCTTCTTCCATCCATTCGTCTAATATTCCACAGGGGTACAAGTGCTTGTTCATGTTACATTCCATACCACTCTTGGTTTCCAACGTCTCTGACAAGTGATATGAGCTCTCATCTTCTTATGAATCCAAATAGGTTGAAGAGGGTACTTACAAATACAGCCTGATACCAAAAGGAAATCCGAAAAGACCCATGTATGCCAAAAAAACTCTCAACCTCGCCTCGCGGGCGCCGTCTCACCCTCCAGCCCACTCTGCGTGTTTTTTGGCCCCCTTCTATACAGACACGGATATGAAAGACGGTTCCGCGTTCAGTGTTGTTTTCGTCGGTGGTGGTGGTGGTGGTGGTGGTGGTGGGAGAAGGGAGGGGAAGGGAAGGGGTGGCGGATTGTCATGGAACCATGATGGTCACCTGAACAGGGAAGATGCCCATAAAGCCGTCTAGGACTATGTACTATACCAACGATCAGCGCTGTGCACCTGCGCAAGGGTGGGAGCAGGGGCAGGACGTACCCGACATCTGGAGCAACACATGCCCGGCATAGGCCATCTCGGACCGAGGTCTTGCACTTTGCACGTCGAGCAAAAGTAGTGTACTTGGAGGGGCATATCTGTCTTGTTCTTCTGTGGGATCGGCGGGGGGGACTGGGTCTGGGAGTCTCGCTGGGGTGAGGGTATTTGAACAATCTCGAAAAGCCAAAGAGGGGTGAGGTGGAAGGAGGGAAGGAGGGGAAGAGCGGAAGAGCGGAGGGGTGGTGGGGTGGTGGCGAGGCAAGCGGTGAGGTAAGCCTCTGGGGCGTGTGGTCGGTGTGTATGCGATACCAGATGTGCGATGTGCGATGCCGATGCTGTGGCCCAAAGTAGGTGTAAAAGTCGAAAGACTACCAGGGTCGACGTGTAGTAGCTGTTGAAAATGACAAACAAGAGAGAATTTCCCCAGGTCTGGAGCCCGCGCATCTTATGTAGGACGGGGTAAAGACGGGGGAGTGAATGCCAAACGTCTTTACACCCCCGTGTTGTGTTGTGTCTTGTGTGTAGTACAGAAAGAGGCGCGTCACCCCCTTCCCCCCTGGCTTCCTCGCCCGTCTTGACTACCGGCCGCCACAAAGCACGTTGCTCCCCCTTCCATTGTCCTTCTTGGCCACAACATCCAGGGAAAGGGCAGGGCGTCGGAGATGGAAGATGGCTCAATTGATTGGCATGAGATGGCCCTTCTGTTCCTTGCAGCAGTGGAAGGCCGAGATCTATGTTCTGGCGGCTAGCGATGCATCTTGTAGAGTGCTGTGCCTGTATGACTGTATGCATGGTGCAGTGCTACGTATGCACGTTTGCGGCCCAGCATTTCAGTAGCCAGTATCCACATGGTGGCGCATGCCTCGCAGCATATGCAGCATACAATCAGCGCCGAGTGTTCTCTGCCCCCCCCCCCCTCCCCCCCTCTTCCCTCCCGAAGAGCGCGCTATCTATGGCTTGGAAACGCCTTGGAAGCAGATGGAAGCTGCCCCTGAAAGTGACCGCGCATGTGGGGGTTGTTCGGGTGGATACATAACCCTACGTGCAGACCCGGGGCCCGGGATGCTCTTATTACGGCTACCTACCTGTTGCCTCTTTGAGCCTTCTGCGCGTTTGCCTTGATCTTCGTGTGTCTTGCATTCTTGTTGGCTTTGTATACGACTGCGCGGCTGGCAAAGCCCTCCAAGGCCCAAGCTACTGATTTATATACTTTGCAGTCGTCAAGCACGCTCCCGCATTCTTCCGGCAAAGCGCAGTCGTCTCTCATCTCTTCAGGCTTCAGGGACGGATGTCGCGGAAAGGACGAGTTTGACGCGGAAGGCCGTGCGTTTCATGATCAGAGTTGATGATTGATGGACCACGGGGGGGGGCACGGGATCGATCAAATGGGTAGTGGGGGCTCCTTTCCTCTGCGCCGGACGTTTTCTTTGTTGAGATGCAAGCTTCTTGGCACTTCCTCGCCAGTTGAAAGTGTGCTCGTTTGAAAGTAGTGGGGCTCATGCACAAAGGAGAGTACGAGTACGCTGGCCTTCGGCCTTCCGATTGACATCTATTTGAAAGGTTGGACACACTCGTCATCTGGTATAAATGTGCTCAGCATCCAGTAGCATCCAACATTGCTTTGCTCGGTGAGATGTGCTGTAATGAGCCACTGCATCGAGGCAAGCGGAAGACGCAGAAAGAGCCCCTTTGTAAACCATCCTCCAAAGACGATACCCCTGATCACGCCCCTTATTATTATCACGCAACGTTATGCGACGCCTTCATCGCTACGCGTCACTATTTTGCCACTTTCCACCTCACAGACACGGCATGATGACTGTGAAGAGACCTGATAACGAATGCATGAAATGAGGATTGCGGTGATGTGCCGAGTTCTTTTAGCTTCTGGCTCCGGCTCGGCTGAATCGATTAATTGACTTTCGTAAAAAGTGGAGCAACAACGGCAGCTGACAATGCGGGGTGATGAGAAATGTCGCCATGCATACCAAAGACAGCGGTGCACCAGCCAGTCCTCCTCACAAGGCCTGCATATGCCCGGCATGCATGCCCATCCCTGCCGGTCGTCCTGCACCCGCGGCCCAAGTCAAGGGTAGGGGTATTAAGGCACTTATGAGAGAGCTGATTAGAGTGTGGTTAGACCCAGTTAGACTTTGCTGGAATCGCTGCGGAATCAAATGCGTCATCTCTCCACCACACACACACAACAACGCGTTCCCATCTTTTCTTCTTCCTCTTTCCCTACAACGTCGGGTCAACAATTCAAAGTCAGCCCCCTTTCACCTCTCCCTTCATGCCCGTGCTGACTTCCCCCGAGCCATGTCGTCCAACACCACCGCCGCACCCATCCCCATCCCCGCCTCCACCGCTTCCAGCGCCCTCACCTCCCCTCCCCCCGTCTCTGATGCCGTCATGACCTCCCCCACTTCTGGCAGTGCCCACCGCAAAGCCACCTCCCCACCCATAGACCCTTCCAAGCTCAACAATCAGCCCGCCCCCCTCCCTGCGCAGGCAGAGTCTGACTCGCCGAATACCGAACCGCGTCCGTCCCCTCGAAACAGCTTTGGCTCTTCAGGGGGGTCTGGCGCTTTTGCGCCTTTGAGGTCGCCTGAAAATCCGTTGACGGACTCGGCGTACCTCGACCAGCCTGCGGAGCCTTCGTCGCATCCTACTATTGCCGAGACGGGTGTTCCTGCGAGTAATGGCGAGCCCGGGCCGAGCCAGGGGCAGTTGAAGAGGGCTGAAAAGCCCAAGGGGAGCGAAGGGATTATCAAGCTTGGGAGTTTGGGAGGGGATGGGCTGAAGATGAAGCCTCCTGTGGACAGAGAGGAGTAATCGAAAAACCGAGAGGGAGCAGAGCAATGCTTGGACTGTTGTAAAATATATCAGGGCGAGAGCAGAAGAGAGGATGCTGGCTCTATGTTACGAAACACGTTATGATATGCCCATGTGTACAGTAACAACCCAGCTGTCAGTACAGACTGTGCAACGCGCCAAGGCCATCATAAGGCCGCCCCTTCAGTCGTCAATCCAGGACAACCTACTTCCCTCCAACGCTCAACGCTCCAAACCTCAGCTCGACTCAACTCGCAAGTTTACTTTACAAGCGCGAATCCCACAAGCTACGTACTCATTCCCAGGGCATCTCCTCGAAGTGACAGCCCTCATAAGTCATAGCCATCCGCCACCCTAGAAAACAAGCGCTCCTGGGTAACGAACCACGTGATGAATGGTGCCCCACAGCCAGCGATAACCGTTCTTAAGCGCTGGATCAACGAGCCGCGGGGGATGAGGGGATACGTATGTCGCGCAGCTTGATGCATGGGCGTGTGATGATACTCTGCTGTTGTTCGTATGTACATCTTGCGGGAGGGATGATGGTACATGAGATATCCGGCTATTGATCCGACACAAACAACACAACGATGACAACAACGAACAACATCCCGCCGCCGACACCACCAGTACATAAATACAGTTGTTGAACAGTTCCTCGCCTCTTCTGCCCCTATGGCTGTGCAAATAGATCAGACCAGCCTCTTCCCTCCTCCTGATCTTCTGTACAAGCAAACATCGGTGGCGAAAGCCACAATCAGCGGGGTGATGGCACATAAATCATCTTCGGATACGTATTCCCACCATCTCGCAGTACCCTCTACTCACAACAGGTATGCAGCCGTCAGTCATACCCTCATACTACTATATAGAGAAGAACTTGGGCCTCAAGAAGAAGAATAGACGTACCTGACATGTTGAAGAAGGACAAGGTTCCCCTTTCTGAGGTAGATAAACGCCTAGAGCAATGTCGCAATGAGGGCAGAGGTAGAGCCATGTCCAGACGGGGTTTTTGTATCCGGGATTATAGTCAAAGACGGGCATTGCTGGTTAACAACGATGAAGGGGAAGACTCTGAATGGGTTGGGTGGCGAATGCGATAAAGAGATGACCATGCGATTACATAGATCGATGATGTGAGGGGCGCAGACGTACACGAGGAGGATACGGGGAAGGACGGAAAGGAAGAAGGGGTTGTGCGTCGGCTGCTGCCTCGTTTCAGTTTTTACATTCTCTACTATTGCAACCAGTCCCTTCAAAAATCAATGACATTATACGTACAGTACAGTACAGTAGTACAAATGCCTGCCTCGAATGAGTCAACAAAACTCTTCAAACGCCACCTTCCGTATCGGGTATATCTTCACAAACGGCCAATGCATCACCGTCTACCCTCACCCCCCATTATCGTCAGTTTGCTCCCCCAACCACATAGAGACACAAAACACTTTGTATACTGTGACAGGAAGGAGAAGGAGACACACCTTGCAAATAGGACAAATACTACTCACAGCCGGCATCGTCTTGTACCCAACAGTCTGGGGACATGGGAAACGTGCGTTGGGGGACATGAGGAGCGGGGGGGATGTTTGGGGGCAGAAGTATTCGGTGTAGTATTCGGTATGCGGCATTGGTTTGATTTGGTTGGTTTGGGTATGCGCTAGAAGGTAGTAGGTAGGAGTGTGGCGTTGTGTATGAGGGTCGGAAGTGCATACTTTATATAGGCTCATTTGGTAAGCAGCAGCGCTTTCGTTAGCGTGCTGCCATGGGCCAGGATTGGAGTGGCGATTGTTGTAGAGCTTCCGAAAATCAGAGTCATTATCACCGCCGGGTACGGTGTCTTGCAAAACCGTGCAACATGTCTAGGCAATCATAATAATGACAAATCGCGCCAGCCACTAGAAAGCACCAACGACAACGTTTTCATCACCCTCCGCTGATCCCATCCATAGAAAGACGGAACAATTTCCTAATGGGTCCGGTTTCGCGCCCAGAAGGGGCGTCGATTGGACACTAGTGGTGGCTGGTGTTATCCGGAGCTTGATCGATTGAGCATTACGAGTATGGATCGTCAAGGAAGAGGGCTGGTTGCGACGTGTTCTGCAGTAGGGGCAAGTACTCGGATAGATATCCTCTCGTTTTCCAAAATTACATATATCTGCAAGACTGCGAGATGAAGTGGAAACAGCTAATTCATAACAAGGTAACTCCATCTACAAGTAGCACAAGCGAGTCGACGATCAAAACTCGTACACAGGCATAGCTCTCCGTATCGGATACACCCCCTTACTGGGATCGTACATCACAAACTACAGCACCAAAGCCCATCATCAGTCCCTTCCATCAAGTAAAGCCTTTACTCGTTATGTATGTCAAACCACTTACCCAGCAGAAAGGACAAACACTGCCCACATCCGGCATCCTCTTGAACCCAGTCCACTGAGGACAAGGTAGCGTCGATCCTTGCGTCGTACCGATGGGGTAGGCTGTTCGGGGGCAGAGCCAGACTATGCGAAGTACCCATTGACCCATAGCTTTCGATGATGTTTTCGAGTCCGCTGATTTAGAATGAGGAGATAGCACAAGCATGAATGGATGAATCGGGTAGTGATCTCCGAGCAGCATATATAGGTTGTTGAGCGTCGAATTCGCAAGGGTGATCGCTTATGGGCACGGATGTAATGGAGCTTGCAAACAGTGGCTGTTCAGTGTGGTATGCCTATGCGCATGATTGCCTCTTCCGCGAGGTAATCAGGCTGTCCAGCGGGTGACAAGGCTAGGCTCTAACCCACCCAGTCGACGTGACCATAGAGTGACTGCCTCGCCTATGGATGCAATGAGTCTCGGGTGCTTTTGCTGGTTGGGTTCGAGAAGCGCTTGTCATCCTTTGATCCGCAAGGAAATCGTGAGCCATTATATAGTGTTGCATCCGGCACTCGTAGGACGGATCGCGCGTCAGTCAACGTGGCGAATGCAATGCTTGCCGCGCCGAGTTTGCCCTTGTTCGAGCCTCAATGGCCCCGATCATGAGGCTTCTGGATGACTCATACATTCGACAAATCAAACGGGCATAGATATATGTGGTGGAGATGTAGAAGGAGGGTTGGGGCGTGCCATCCTGATCACCATCACCCCTCCGCTAATTCCATTACAAACAAACCCTAATGAGAAACGGTGAACGCACAGCGCTCGGGACACCGTCAACCGGCGGTTTTCCAAAATCGGAAAACCGCAAATCCTCATTTGGTGGACACTTCAACGTTTCCGACCGGGTGTCCTGAGCGCTGTGCGTTCGCTCCTACGATGATCTCAAGACGGAGCTCACTATAGATATATAGATCTATCATCTTCCCCCTTCATCGGTGTGTTTGCCGGGCTTGTCGTGCTCGGTAGCTTCGTATGGCGCCGGTATTACCACGATATATAACTATATAAGTATACTTAGAAAGCGCCATCGGCCACGGCCGCCCCGGAGCCCCTATGCAAATTGGTTCCGCTGCGCGCATCTCCTCTTTCATGCGCGAACTCGCAGACCTCTTGACCTGTCTTTCCGCCATCTCCACCGCCTCCTCTGCCCCCGACTTATGCCAACATGGCGACCCAGAGATCAACAACAGATGCCCTGGCATCCATAGATATCGACGCTTTCGACTGGAGCGCGTATGAGAGCACGTATCAAGGCAAGTCACATCTCCGCACTTGAAGCGTAACGGCGACTGCTTGCCATACCAGCTCTGCTTGGCTATACTCCTAAATCCGGAAGACCATATCAATATCGCATTGATCTTGACACTGCTACTGCCCGCTTGTCCGACCCTGTGCTGATCCGCCTTCAGGTCGAGCCCTCATAATCCGCTTACAACACCTCATCTCCACGTCCATTTCCCACTCCTCCCCCCAATCCGACCTCCTCGCCCACGCCGCCCTTCTCCGTCTCATCCCCCTCATCAAATCCACCACCTGGGATCTCGACATCTACTACTGGGCTGTATCCACGCTTTACGCCGTGTTGAACCCGGGCAAACGGTGGAAGACGAATGATGTGGCGATGGAGGTGGACGGGGCTGATGGAGCTGAGGATGATGGGTCTGGGATGGGGAGAGGGGGGCTTTATGGGAAGATAATACCGCCTGGAAGGGGGAGAGAGGAGGACGGGTTTCCGGATGAGAAGTGGGTGGATGATGCGCGGGAGGCGTATCACAAAGAGTACACCAGGCTGGATGTGGAGTTGAGGGGATATGTCAGTAATCTGATCAAGGAGAGCATCCGAGTAAGTGTGATGGGGCTGGCAAGTGACCATCTGACACTTCACAGCTCACTCAATTGGCGCTCGCACAACTGGCGCTCAAGACGGGCAACATCAACGAGGCTCTCAAGTACTTTTCCGGTGCCCGTGAGCACAGCGTCTCCAACCAGCACAACGTCGACCTCGGCGTCAGCATCCTCGAAGTACATCCCCTTCCATCTTCTCACCATCCTGACTGACATCTTACCCAGGCCTGCCTCGCATTCAACTTTCCCGGCCCGCTCACCGGCCACATCGCCAAACTCGAATCCGTCCTCGACCGTGTCCACCCCCACCCCTCCGGCCCCGCGGGCAAACCAACAAAAACCAACATGACCACCACCCTCGCCGACCTGCGCGAACGCGAAGTCGCCGATGCCCGCTCGCTCGCTACCCGCCGTTCCGTCATTTCGCGTATCCGCGTCGGTAGGGGTCTGCTCGCTCTTTCGCAGAAGGAATGGGCGAGGGCGGGGAGGGAGATGAACTATATCGATGAAGAGGCGGGGGGACTGGGGGATTGGGAGGGGAAGGCGATTTCGACGGGGGATGTGGCGTTGATCACGGCGTTTACTGTGCTCGCTTCGTCGGATAGGGCGAGGATCCAGAGATTACTGTTGGACAGGCAGAGTTTCAGAGCCTCTGTCGGAGACAACCTGCCGTGGGTTCTGGAGCTTGTGCAGTCGTTTGTGGGAGGAAAGTATGACAAGGTCATGTCGATCCTCCATGATGCTCAAGTAAGCCCACCCTTTCTTCTGCTGGTACTGTACTAACCCCGCGCAGCCCACGCTCCTCCTCAACCCCTTCCTCGCCCCCGCCACCCGCAACCTGATCCACCTCATCCAAACCTCCGCCATCACCCAATACATCACCCCCTTCTCTACCATCTCCCTCCCCAACATGGCCTCCGCCTTCACCCTTGATTACCCAGCCATCCTCGAGATCGTCGAAAAGCTCGTCAGCGGGGGCGATGTGAAGGGCAAGATTGATCTGATTGATGGGGTGCTGATGGTGGAGGAGATGGATGTGAGGGGGGAGATGTTTGAAAAGGCGTTGGGGGCGGGGAAGAAGGCGGCGGAGATGAGTGAGGCGACGGTTTTGAAGATGAAGTTGTGAGTCATTTCAATGTGCTGATGCGCTGTTTGTTGATGTGAAGTAGTGCCGAGGCTGGGATTATTGTCGACCCAAGACCCAAAGTCGATCGTACTCAGGCTCCACAAGAGCCGTCCTATGACGACTACACTTCTCACAAGGGCTTGGAGCTCTTGCCATAGGGTACGATGATTAATGTGCAGGAGAGGCGCCGGTAGGCCGTTGTATTATAGCGATCTGAAAGACAAGTACAACAATGCATAAATACAACCAACGTCCCACAACCCAAATACTTCACTTGGCAAGTGAACTCCCAACGACTTTCCACTTGCCCACCTTCTTCCTCTCCGCCCTGCCCGAGCTGCTCTCCCACTCTTCATCCTCCCAAAACCTATCCAACGCGCGCGCTTCTCTATTCCCTTCCGACGGCATAGGAGCCTTCTTCCCTCCCCCTTCAAGCGCTTCCCCTGTGCCGTAATCGACATCCTTCCCTTCTTCCAGCTGTTCGACAGAGAGGTACGCGTTGGCGATATCGGGGTCAGCCGCCTTTGTGACCGCCCGGAACCTCTGGATCTGACGCTCTTTCCTTCTATTTTCTGATTCTGCTTTGTTTACTGCTGCTTCTAGTTGCTTGTCGCGATATGATAGAGGTGGAAGGGATGAAGAGGGTACGGAGCGGCGGGAGATGATGATTGATTTTCGGGTTTGGAGGATACGGGCGTTGGAAGTGAGGGCGGTCGAGGGGAGGGCGTTGAATTCGAGTATATCATGCGGCTGTTTACCAAGTCAGCTTCAAACTCCGTAAGTGTGATCAACAAGGACGTACATCTGCAGCATACTTGCGAGCGACAGACATGACAGTATCGCCCCGAGAGACGAGATGGGTAACTTCGACGATTTCCATCGGTTCTTCCTCGGTCTTTGTTGGCTCGGGAGTGATGTGAGGAGGTGGCACGCGAGAATCTGGAGTTTTGGAGGGTGGGAGAGAAGGGAGAGCATCAATCTCATCATACCCCGGCGGCAGATCTCCCGCAATACCTGCTGACCCCGGGCCATCATCGTCCTCATCTCCCATCGCGAACAACAAATCCCCTCCCCCTCCCCCTCCCACCTCCTCCCTATCCCTCGCCCTATCTCTCCTCCCCCCAGCCTCTACACTCACGCCCCCGCTCAAAGTACTACTCCCCGTCCCGCATTTCAAACACGGCACATACTCTCTCAAACGGGGATTGCGCGCAGTACAAGCGAGACAGATGGGGTGGTTGCAGCAGGGAGGTAGATGGGTGCTTTGGGGGAGGGGCGAGGGGAGGGTTGAGGAGCATGTTTGGCATGTGGTGGGGGTGGACATGACTGGGGGATGGAGGAGGGGGATAAATGAGGGAGTCGATAGAGGATAGCGATGAATGGCGATCGATGGAAGTCCCCCGCGCCCTCGGGAGACGTATCCTTTCATTGTTGGGTTCCGTTAGCCTGTTCGCCTCTCTCTGTGATGATACTGTTCACTTCAAAGTTCAAGGGGCGCTTGATGGATCGTCACATGCGTTCGTTACACAGTCTACAGTAGCACAAACACAACAGCAAGGCACACTCGGCCACAGCTGCCACCAAACACGTTCTAATAAGAGGACTATTCTTTCATTCGGTAGGCCACCATTACCTGCGGAGGGTCAGGGGTAGGACAGGAGGAAAATTGAAGCGATTGACCTCAAGTCTGATTGGTACTGAAACTCGGCAAACTGACTTGCTCGACCTTGCCTCTGTCGATGAGGTGAGGATCAGCGTCTTCCCAAGCGGCTGGGACGATGAGAAGCTCAGAACCCTCATGGGTGTGGATTATGAGCCTGAACGAATCTATGATTCCATGAGCATTCTCAGATACACAGAAGCCCAAGATGTCACTCATAACACTCGTCTTCATCAAGCATGGGCAAGAACTTGACACTCGACGTGAACTGCTTCATGATCTCCCGAATCTCTCCTTGCGCCTCTTTCTCCGTCTTCTCCTCCTTCGCCACTTCCTTGGCAGTCAATGTCGGAGCGCCGGGCGGGGATTGAAGGACCGACTCGTCGGTGCGGAGGTCGAATTGCCAGCGCTCGACAGGCTCTTCTGTGTCGACTGATTTGATGGCGAGGACTAGGCATTCGACGGAAGATGTGAGGATCCATTCTATTGAGAGTATCAGTACTTTGGATTGCAAAGTATGTGGACTATTTACCATGGACTTGTTCAAGCTGAAGCGAGATGTATTTTCGAAGATCTTCGTGGCTCAGCATGAACAAATGGAGACCGTACTTTTTGACGATCCTGGGAAAACCTCTTATCAGTAGACTCCACGGACCATAAGCGACCTCCTCACTTAAAGTCTTCCATAGAATACACTCCTCTCTGATAGAGGATGCTTCACAAAGTCAGTTCCGCATCAACAAGTCCTTAATAGATACGCCAACTCACCTATTGATGCTAAAGTCGAAGAATTCAGTGACGATAGCAGCTGACCCTTTGAGGGTGATGGATTGGTTTGTTCTCTGCTTCTGGTCCATATTGTATATCTTGAGTGGGTAGTGAAGGAAAAGAGAAGGAAAGTGTTTGCAAAACAAGTCTCCCAGATTGATTTAATAGACTGACGACGTTTCAGGATCATGCGCGTGTTTCAGAACGCACAACCGGCTACACGACCACATCCTTCCTGTTTGGCTCTCCTTGAAACTCAGAATTCTGCTTGACTGACCTTCGGCTAAACTGTATGCATACATTGCGGTACCTCGACATCTGGCTGACACCGATTTCTCACTCATAGGCAGTAATGCCACCGCCGAGGCGCCACATAATACGGTGTCACCGCGCCTGGCTCGGGAAGCCGACATGCGATTTACTCGAGGTTTGTTGGGTTCCGCGTCATCTAGGTCCCTGTCAACCTGTAGCCAATGTTGCAAGCCACTCATTCGCTAGAGCAAGGAAATCTCACTCTGCACCTGACCAATCTTCGAACGCACATGACCCTTCGTCTGTCATATGGAGGAAAGCGACTTGAAGGTAGAGATTGGTATACCCGACTAACGCGCACCAAGCCCTTGATGGTTAATCCACCTCTCAACCTGCCCACAGACATGAGGCACAGTAGGGTAATCTGAGAGACTCTGTATATGGGACAGCAGGCTGGATATCTGGAGTGGACAATCACCATCAACCCCGGAAAATCATACGGCGGCAACACTACTCACTTGTCAACCCCACCGACCCCAGCACTCGATTGCTAGCTATGGTATCTACAAAGCACTCGGCATCGCCTGGCAAATACAGCCTTCCCATCGGCTCCTTCTGGGTATATCAATGTCCCTACTGCAAGACCAATGTCAGCCAACAAGTGAAACCACCCGAGGGTACCGTCTGTCCGAATCAAAGCTGTAAAGTAAGCCAAAATTGCTCCGTTTCTTGTGGTTGATGGAGAGTGAGACTGACGGGGGGGGTGTAGAAAATTGTGCACGATAGGGTAAAGAGTGTCTTTCCGGATCTTGTATACTTGAAACCGGCTTATTGATCACTACTGACGATGACATGCCACGTAATATCTCACCTCCTTCCTAATTGCGTCGCCACAACAGTCTTCAGCCTTCATGGTGACTCATGCATAGCTTACTGAAAGCTCCGATCTGTCCTATGCACATGAGTTACTTAAGACACGTAGGGCTTGATTGATTGATTGATCTCAGCCACATCATTTCGGACCGACCCATGCATGAACAACGAGCCCATCTGTCAGCCGTCTGTAGCCGCGTGTCTTGGGCGATCGCGACTCGGTGATGTATCTTTCTCTTCATCATATCCCATCAAACAGCAGGTCGACAAGCCTCAGCCCCATGCATATACCCGAAATCGATGTCCGTCCGCCAACGTGGAACCAGTAGGGGTCACTAGGCGTGACACGTTTTTATCCTCTCTTGCCTCTTTTGGCTAAGATCATGTGTAGTATCTGTTCTTAACGCTGTGAGAAGCGTTACAACCCTAAGGGGTTTCCTTCTCGCGAAGTTTTTCTGCGCTTGCGTTCGCCTCTTCAGCTTGCTGAATGTAACGCACGATGTCGCTGGCTTGGCACTATCGCCTTCTGATGTCAAGGTTCTTCATTTCATTTTTTGCTCATTTGGACAAGGGTGTTTCACTCTTTCTTCAGAAGACCGCTTAAAGTCATCTACAGACTGCTCATGGGCAGTGTGATCGTTCATTTGGATGAAAGCCAGATCGAACAAAGCACAAACTTCGTCCTGGCATTGTTCCGTTGTATCCACCATGGGGGAGATTTTCGCATCACCAGCTGACCCTGATCGTGGTTGTTCTTCAATTTAGCTCCTTCCTTCTCTTCTTAGTTGAAAGCCTCCACACACATGCATGGTCCCGATTGCCATGTTGCAGCAACATGAGGACGCGGGTCGTCTAACCGGGCCACCAGCCAACATCACAGAGGTGAATGATAGCCGTTGCCGCCATGACTGGCCGTTGCAATCACTACCCTCGGGTTTCGATATAATACACCTTCTGCCCAAAGGATGCGCCCTCAGCCCGATACTATCGCATCTCCGGGAGACCTTTCTGGGGCTTCCATGTTCTTCTCTTGTTGAGGTACGGGGTATTCGGCGAAGGACGCTCCTACTCGAGATCCCAGCTTACTCGTCTATATTGTGGGGCTCTTCGAAGCAGGTCATTTCCCAGCGGTCATGTATGTCGGCGGAATTCGTCACCCATGTGGTTGGGAAGGAATTAATCAACCTTCCGTGCTTAATTGCGGACGGTGAACCATTATATAACACCCTTTCTGACACGGTATGTGTCTGTTGATGGTGATGTTGTACTCTCGCATAAATACAACAGCGCCCATCAGGTGTACGTTTTCAAACCGGGCGTTAATCCAATGAGAGATTCAGGGTCTCCTCTTCACCATCGATCAGGAATCAACGGCTCTAGCGCCATATCAACTGTAGGAACACTGAAATGTATTGCCTTTCAACAGCCTTGCTTTACCGACTGCCAGTCACAACAGACTACAAATACACCTTCCGTCGATGCCGATTTGAGACGCCCCCGTATATTCGTTAGCTTTTGTCAGACCCTCGTTCATCCTCGAAGGCGATATCTACTTCCACACCATAACACGACACCACCTCGAGCATTCTCAGACCAGACACACTTTTCTGCCGTCGACATGCCGCCAGCAGTTCCTCCCCAAAAGGTGTGGTACAGAGGAGAAGTCGTTGGATACATGTGCAGCCACTGCCAAGCTGCTGTATGTACATACATGCCACCCATCGACAGTCCTTGCCGCTATTGTGGAGTGAGTTCTGAGCGACTAAACATGAACTCTACTTGCAGAGTGCAGTAGTGGTGGTCAACGTTTGGCTGACGTGGTCTTTAGCAAGTCTTTTTTAACCCGTACCGTCGTATTTATCCTGTAACCCTTCGATACCCGTGACGGCTTTCGGGTCGCAGTGGGGATATCATGATGAGGAGACCTCTCATCTTGGTAGCTGTTATCACTTCGATGCACGGGAACATAAGGGCCGACCATAACCGTACTACGCCTCGTTGGGATGATGTGGTAATTACACACCCATTTTACGCATCCTCTTTTCTGCTTGTTTTCAGTCTGCTGCTTGTGGTTAAGCCATTGAAGCAAGGTATACAAGCTGCCAGACATGAGGCCGCAGCATACGCGTACAGTACGCCGTGGCGTACGTACTGTGGCTCGGTCTTGTGGGTGCATTAGATCGATAGAGTAATACTCGTGCCCCTTCTGTACTCTCGTCATATACCTCGGCCCGTATCCTCCCGTCGACATCATCTGCGCCGGCTGCGATGTAAGTGATGTTCCGTTTGCGTCTAATATAAACCAGAGTCAAGCGGCCAGCGTGACCTTGGTCCATACTTAGGTACGCTGACTGCATACGCCATAGCGAGATTGTCATGACCCACCGACGGCGAACGGGGTCTTTCAGACAGCAGCTCGGGGAAGACTGTCCTCTTGATCATGCTTCGCTCCCTTGAGTGTGGATTTCGGTTGTGCTGTGAACAAGCTCATAGAGCTACTGCTGTCATTTATCGTCCAGAGGCTCTGATGCGGTATGGATGTTGTGCTGTCCGTCCTACAATTTTGGCAGTGCAGTGAAGTCTCCAGAACGTGCATTGTCACCAACAGGCATGTGCCCAGTCATTGACCTTACACGCCACCATACGTATGTTGCAAAGGGCGTGACTTCATGTGTATGTGTGGACACTGTAGGGTGGTAGGCGCATCAATTGCAATAGACTGACAATAGTATGATACCCACTCGGTTTGGCTTTAGAAGCATGATTTGCCTCGTCTTTCTCCGACACGCCGTAAACCTTCATTCTTCTTCTTCTTACGCCCATCAACAGCACCCCCCTGCTCTTGTTACGTTGTCACACCACCATCGATTCTCATCCTTGCCTCGTCCTCCGAACTCGAACACCCAAGTACACCCGCATACAACTGTGACTGTCTTGTCGATAGTGGCCATTGCATCATTCTCCTTTGTATTAATAACCAGGTTGTATCGCATTAGATGACAGTACATGTATGCTCTTGTGCTACCTATCTGTTGCAGGAGAAGCCGACGATCATGTCAAGTCGTGTTCACCTCCTCGAACGACCATCATTCTTGCCTGTCCATGACAAGGTGTTCGACAGATGCTGTCCTCTGGTCAGGAGGCATACGAGTACCGCATCCAATGCAGAATCATGACGCCACCCCGGGAACATGTATTTGAAACAGAAAGCGACCCCAGCTATCGTCAGATCACTATCTCTCTAGTCTCTAGTCATCATCAGCAACACCCTTCATCTTCTTGAATATCAACAACAGATAAGAAGACTGCAATGTCGGCGGCGACGCTTCGTATTGCTCATTACGTATTCCTATGTCCCTTCTGTCGACTCGTCATATGGGCGAATGATGCGTATCTTCCTCCGATTGGTATTAGGTGTGGGCGCTGCGGGGTAGGTACTGCCGTCTCTTGCCATACTACTGCACTAGTTTGGGTGGTCTTGGACTGATGCAATTTTACTCTGCAGCAGATCTGCTACAACCCCAGCACCGAACTCTTCCCGATATACGTCCCCTCAAGGCCACTGCCCTGAATACAACAGTTCACCGGGAACTGTTCTCTACCAGACGCCTCTAATAGAGTGTCGTGTTTCCATGCAACTTTTCATGCATGCTTTACTGCTGCTTGTGAATGAGTCATTGAATAGATTCAGTCAGATTGCCAAACAACAACATGAGGCTGCAACTCACCTTGCGCCGTGGTGGCGTGTCGTGTCGGCTTGGTTTTGTGGATACATTAAATCGATATCGTAAGCCACCAACGACAATACGGTCGGTTTGTGCGTTTTGATGTACACATGTTTGTCTTTCGTGTTGACGCAATCATGGCTCAGGGTCCCCTCAAGAAGGGAGATAATGAGATCCCGACTAGTCAGCAGCACTTGACAGAATCCAGATGGTTCTGACCAGGGCTACGGCCGAGAGACATACGAGTCTCGTATCCATTGCAGAGTAACATGACATCGTCACGAAACATCCACTATAAAAGTTGACTATCTTTCCAACTCCCCTGCCCCCAAACACTAACGCAGCTTCCACCAAACCCATCGCTTGTACTTGCGCTCCAACGTATATCCATTCCCATCGAGTCTTTCTATATCTTTGACATCACCATGTCGTCTTCCGGACAAGAGCCCATAAGCCGCCCTATTATCGTCTGGCTGTGCCCCTTCTGTTTTATCGCGGTGTACGTCAGCCCGTTTTATCCTCCCGTCGGCATCATTTGCCAGTCCTGTAGGGTACGTGCCTTTCCTTTCACGTCATACATGGACCAGGGCGGAGCGGCCTGATGTGCAACCGTCCTACTGGGAGACGACAAGAAGATGACAGAATGACCATACTGACATGCGGTGTTGTATACTCGATAGCGAGTTTGCAATGACCCAGCCAACGGGGTCTTTCTCACGTTCAAGTGGTGACTCCCCCCCTTTGTAGTAAACTAGTACTGTCGTTTGTCGTCGACAGGCTCTGATGTGAGGATGGATGTTGTGCTTTTCTGTCTGACTTTGCATGATACGTGAAACGCGTGACACCTGGGAGGAGCGGGGTTGTCTTGCTTGTTGCTAAACATGTGGTCGAGGGCTGTTGTGTGTAAGCAAGAGGAAAGAAGCAAAATCTCGTGGCGGCGCCGGCTTGACCGGTGTCGGGTCCGTATTCAACGGAACATGATGAGGATGATATAACATACAATACGATCCGATCGCTTCGTTTCTAGGAAGCATGTTCTGCCTCGCACACGCCGGCGATCTTTTCTTTACTCCTTCTTCCGTTTCTTCCGTCTCTTGCCTATGAGAACACTTTATACATCCACCCCAACTCCTCCCTCTATCCTCAACATCTATCTATCTTATTCTGGTAGTCTGTCAAAAAAGACTCATCCTCAACATTCCCTTCCTTCCTTCCCTCCCCCACGCAGAAAAACTGAACACTGAACACCCCCTCACTCAGGCTGGGCTAAAGAGGGAAGGAGGAAGGAGAAGCGAAAGCAGAAACAGAGAAAAATGTCATCAGTCCGCCTAGCGCAATACCTCTACCTCTGCCCCTTTTGCCAGCTCATAATCTGGAATCATCCCTCCTACCCGCCTGTGGGCGTACTTTGTGGGCGGTGTGGGGTGAGTCCTTTCTTCTCTTTCTTCTTTTCTTCTTCTCTTCTCTCTCCATTGTGTTTTGCTAACAATATGTCGTTGCTGTTGTTTTTTGCGTTTGTGGGCTCGTGTTGGCTTAGGGAAACTGCCATGACCCACGCAAAGGAGTTTACCCAGAATTCGTCCGCGTCCGGCTCTTACCCTCACCCTCATCATAAGCCCCCGCCGAATCTTTTTCTTAGCTAGCTTCTTCTTGCCCTTTTCTTTCCCTCCTCCTGTTTTTTGATATGTCGCTTTTAATGGATACACTTTTACATCCCACCCCAACTCCTCCCTCTGTTCTTACCATCTTCTTCTTCTGGTAGCCTATATCCAAAAAGACTCTCATCCTCAACATCCCCTCCTTTCCTTCCCTCCCCACCCAGAAAACTGAACAAATCCCACAAGGCTGCTAAAGAGGAAAGGAGAAGGAGAGCGACCAGAAACATGTCATCAGTTCGCCGCCCCCCCCCCCTGACACCTCATCATCTGTGGGCGTACTTTGTGGGCGGTGCGGGGTGAGTCCCTTCTTCTTCCTCCTCTTCCTCCTCTTCTTTTTCTTCCTCTCTCTCCTTCTTCTTGTTCTTGTTGTTTGAGAAAAGAAACTCGTTTTGGTACAGTCTTTACTCGGTTAATACCAGAGGACTTGTGTGTTTGCTCGGCTGACCATGTTGTTTTGTCATTTTGTGTTTGTGTGCTTCGTGTATAGTGTAGGAAAATGGCCATGAGCCACGCAAAGAGGTTTGATCCACAATTTGTTCGCGTCCGGATCTTACCCTCCTCACCATAATATCCCGCCGTCTCTCTCTTTTACTAGCTTCTTCTTCCCTTTTCTTCCCCTGTCCTGATATGTGTAGCGTGGGAGGGCGGAGGCGCCCGCACGCCCCCATGGACTCTTTTATCCTTGCTCCGCCTCCATATTTGCCTCCGTCATTCGTTTTCGTCATCTTCCTCTCTCTTCTAGTACAGTAAGACTGTCCGACACACGTCGACACGCCCATATCCGCTTCTTTCACCCGTCTCCTCTTTCTTCTTATTTGTCTCTACCCTTTTTCGTACGCTTTCGCTGGTCGACTGTGTACCCTTATTGACTGACTTTGTGCCGAAGTCGTATCACACATATAATAGTCGCTCCTGTCTATCGTCTCGTCACTCATTCATGTACGAGTATATAAGAAAGGCTGGGGTGTTGGGACAGAGACTTGAAGAAAACGCTTTGACTCTATTGTCTCCCCCCCCCCCCCCTTCTTCTTCCTTAACCTCTGATCCTCCGTCCAAGACCTCATCCAAGCACATCTGTGTCTTCCTCTTCACGTACTTGGACTCAACACTAGGTACTTTATCACACCATCACACGTAGTGTCAACTTCAGCTGTCCACCCCAGAGCAGGCCTGATCACCACAATATGTCGCTTTGATGGATAACATGAATCATTCATTCATTCAATCAATCAATTCCAATTCCAATTCCAATTCCAATTCCAATTCCGATTCCAATTCCGATTGCTTATATTCTATAGATGTACCAGTACAGTTTTGTTTTGTTTTTTTTTACTGTTTATCCGCCCAGGCGATGAGGTCTCTCATGATCCTCTCCGTCCCGCTCCTGTACGCACCACCAAACATGAATGTATGCTACGAGGTTACACACCTTCTCGTCAGCTTTGTCCAAACCTTTCCAACATCTCCTTCCCAGGAAAGAGAACGAGGGAGGGGGAGAGGGAGAGGGAGAGGGAGAGGAAAGAAAAAGTAAGGGGAAAGGGGAGAGAACGTACATTAAGATGATGATACAGCTCATAAAGCTTTTGTCGCTCGTCATAGTTGGGTGACGATCTGGGATGGATCTTGTGATACTCTTCATAGAATTCTGGTGTAAACCCTGCAACACCCATGTCAGCTCCACCCTTCAACCTCTTCACCCCCCAACCTCTATTGCACCTCTAGACGTACCCCCAAACATATGCGTAACACCCAAATCACTCTCATGATGCCCCCAATAACTCGCCGGATCAAAGATGACGGGTTCAGAGGTGGACTCGTCGTAGCCGGCGTTGCCTGACCAGAGGTCGCCGTGGTTTATGACGGGTTTGGGAGGAGGGGAGAATGAGCCTGGGGAGAGGAGGAGGGGGATTGCTCTGCTTTTTGTTAGCGAGGAAGAGGAAGAGGAAAGGGAAGGGGACGTACTTTGACTTGAGCTGCTCAAAGAGAGACGAAATGTTTTTATCGCCGATTTTCTGAACAAGGAATCCCAACCTCTGATCCCTCCAAAACCCCTCCCAATCCTCATTCCACCCATTATCCTGCTCCGACACCCCACAATGCGTCTTGACCCCAAACCCATACTTGCCCGTATACCCTATCTCCTCCCACATCTCCTTCGGCGGGATCGCATGCATCTCTGCAATCTTCTTACCGAGACCGCGCTGGGTGTGGCCGCCGCGGGCGGAGGAGAGGTCGAACCACTGGGATACCATCGAACTGCTGTTGCCGTTGTGCGAGATCTCAAAACCGATGACCTCGGGAACGAGGGCATGCGATGTTGCGGCCATAGCGCGGAGGCCGGCAACTTCCCCCCTCATCTGCACCACATCGCTCTGCGTCTTTGTGAAAAACTGTTTCCCGGTCGATAGCTGGGTGACGACGCCAGAGGACGAGGAGGCAGGGGAGAGGTCGGAGGCGGGGATACCGGCGGAGGTAAAGATGTTTTCGATAGTGGTGTTGAGCTTTGGCATAGTGTAAGTGGGGTGGGGAAGAGAGATAGAGAGATGGGAGATGGTTTGAATGATATCTCGCTGTGATATCATCGCTCGGCTGGACGCGGAAAGTGGAGGCACCATGGCGGCAGAGGGTGGTTACGTAAAGGGTGTGACGCACGTGTTTGCTGCCTCCACCGGTCGGTCTTTGTCTCTCTGTTCTCTCTAGACTTCTAGAGTGCATCCGATCTCCCTGCGCGATGAAGGTACGCCCGCCCGCCCGGTGCCCCGCTGACCTCGCAGTTCGGCAAGACGATCCAGTCCCAACAAGTCCCCGGCTGGGGCGACTACTATCTCAACTACAAGGCCCTCAAAAAGATAATCAACTCGTACGCCGCAGGCCGTCCCGCCTCTGACGCTTCCCTCCTCTCCCTCGGCCAGCGCCCGCCCCCGCTCACCCTACCCCTCTCGTCCCATGCTCCCCCAAGAGAGCACGCGGTGGTGCAAGACCTGGAGCCATTGCCGCCCCAAACGGCGCCGCCAGAGAATATCGGCAGTGGGCTGATGAGTCGGGATCCGGCTGCTGGGAGCGATAAAGGAGAGAGCTTCAAGGCGCATCGGGATGTCTTCTTCTTTACGTTACAACGAGAACTCGAAAAGGTGCTCCTTCCCTCTCCCAGCTGTGGGGCCTCGCTGACAACTTGTCAGATAAACCAATTCTACCTGGTCAAAGAACGCGACCTGCGCCTCCGCCTCCTCACCCTCCTCTCCAACCGCAAACGCCTCCTCTCCCATTCTACATCCGACGACTCTCTCTCCGGCTCCCGCCGCGATGCCGAGTGGAACTCGCTCGAAGAAGGCTGGCGTCTCTTTGAACGCGACCTCGGCAAGCTCCAAGGTTTCATCGAAGTCAACGCCACGGGTTTCCGCAAGATTCTCAAAAAGTGGGACAAGCGGAGTAAGAGCAGTACCAAAGAGCTCTACATTGAGCGGCAGGTCGAGGTGCAGCCGTGTTTCAATCGCGAATTCATCGCCAAGCTGTCTGATATCGTCGCTGCGAATTTGCTGGATATCCAAGATGGCTCCGAGCACTTGAACGCTTCTTTCCTGCAAGGCGACTTGCCTGAAGGGGTCACCATTGACATGCCTCCTTCCACCGGCCGATCAGACTATGACGCCGACGCTTCCCGCGCCCTCGCGCAGGACGCCCTCACAGACCTCGAAGACAACCTCGTCAAAGCCCTCGGCTCCGGGCACGACGCCCTCGTCTCATGGCTCCGCGCAGCCCGGTCTCGTCAACACAAATCCCCCGGCCCAGGGCTCATGCGCATCCTCTGGCGCTGCGCCCTCCACGCCCCGGAACAAGACCTCGACCTCATCCAAAACACCATCCACCTCGACTACGCCTACGTCGATACGATCAACAAACGTTCCCCTCTGCACCAAGCGTCCATATCCGGCTCGTCCGGCGTCGTCAAGCTTTGCCTCTTGCACAACCCTGCTTTACTCGAGAAACCGGATGCTTATGGCAGACGGCCGTTGCATTGCGCAGCTATGAACGGCCACGCCCCCCTCCTCTCTTTACTCCTCGCCCACAAAGCCGATCCCTCCGCGACGGATATGGACGGATACACCCCCCTCATGCACGCTATCCAGCACGGCCACCTCCCCTCCGTCCTCCTCTTCGTCCAATCCAAAATCCCGCTCGAACCCACCCCCAAAATCAGCACCGACCTCATCCCCCTCTCCCTCGCGTGCGAATTCGGCCAAGTCGACGTCGCCCGTGTCTTGCTGCGCGAAGGCGCGGGGGTGGTGCCCAACAGCGAGGGGCTCTATCCCCAGCATTTCGCGGCGAAAGCGGGGCACGAGGCCATCTGCCGCCTGCTCGTCGACGAGGGTGGGCCCTCGGGCGGGGGCAAGGATAGGCAGGACAAGTATAATTTGTGGACGCCGCTGCACCATGCTGCGATTGGGGGTACGGCGGCGCATCTGGCGTGTGCGAAAGTGTTGGTGGGCGCGGGGTGTGATGTGAATGCGAAGGATGAGTATGGAAAGTCCCCTGGGTGGTATGCGGCGTGGTTTGGGCATGTGGAGTGTTTGAACTTTTTGTTGGAGCAGGGTGCGAGGTTGGAAGGCCGGGGTAGTAGTCGGGAAGCTGGCCAACATGGGGGAGGAGGGGAAGGGGAAGGGGCGGGGATGGGGATGGAGAATCTGGGACTGGCGGCGGATCCGCAGATGGACAGTTTGAGTCCGGGGTCGGATATTGAACTGGACCCGCCGGCGATGGAAGAGATCGAGTTGATACCGAGTTTGAGCTTGCCCCCGCCCATCATCCCGTAAGTCTCCCTTCATCCTATCGATCTATGGCAGCTGATGAGGGATATAGATTGAGAGTGTATGGACACGAATTCTTGGCGAAACGGTGTTTGATACAGATATCGCTCGGCCACCGCATCTCGTCGTCAAATCCCAAACGGCCCCCTATCAAACTCTACTCTCGGTCCGGCACTGATGCGCCGCTGCATCTATGGTCAAGTCTAAAGCTGGTGATGACGAGTAAACAAGATACAGCCGCCGTACCCCACTCTGTCATCCTCCCCATCGCAGACGAACGCGAAGTCTTCTCCTTCCACGCCCAAGACCTCTCGAGATTCACATTAGAGCTCTCCCTCTACCCCACCTTTGGCTCCAAAGTCATTGCCCGCGCCATCATCCTCCCCTCCACCTTCTCCCACATACCGTACCACACCCCGCTCTCTGCTCCCCTCCTCGACCATAATCTAAAGACGATAGGCGAGGTGGCGCTGGAAGCGTCGTGTATCAAGCCGTTTGAGGGGGCGCAGTTGGAGATTGGGGGGAGGGTGGAGACGTATTGGAAGAGTAAAGTCACGCCCAGCAACCCGGGGCAAGACCATGCGCACTTGCCCGCCCAGAGCGGCGCCCTCGGCGCGGGCGTATTCAGCGGGGCGCCGGCGGTCAGGCCGCCTGCTGTTGGCGGGGCGGCGCAAACAGGAGGGGCAGGGGGGGCAGGGGGGGCAGGGGGGGCAGGGGGGGCAGGGGCAGGGGGGGAGAGCGCGTTGGTGACGGCGTCGAGTTTGTCGGGGGAGTATGTGCATGTGGTGGTGCAGGTTACGAAAGATGGGGTGCCGGTTGTTTATCCTCATCTTCGACTACCCGTGGAGGAATTCGATTTGGGTGTGTCGGATGTGACGTTTGAGCAATACACGAAACTCGCTTCAAGACTCGGCCTCACCTTGTCTCCCCCCCCGACGACGACGACAACCCTGAGGCATGGGGAGTGGTACACCCTCCTAGCTACGACCCTCTCCTCCCTCTCCGACGTCCTCGCCATCCTGCCCAACAACATTGGCGTCAATTTTCGCCTCCAATACGCCCGGGGCGTCGATGCGAAACACAAGAAGGTGGGAGGGAAGAGTAGGGAGGTTAATGAGTGGGTGGATAGGGTTTTGGAGAAGGTTTATGAGGCGGGGAAGAATGTGGATGGGTCGGCTGGGGCGGGGGGTTCGGGGAGTAGGAAGATTATCTTTTCGAGCTTTGATCCGACTGTTTGTACGGCTTTGAATTGGAAACAGCCCAACTGTGTGTATCCCTTCTCTTCACGAGGGGCAACAGCTGATGATTATGACAGATGCCGTCTTCTTTGCGTCTTACTGTGGTATCTCTCGCGCCCACTCCATGTCTGCAACTTTCTCCAAACACCTCATCCCAGCACCAAAAGAAGAAGAATCAGACGTCCGTTGTCTAAGCGTCAGGGAAGCTGTCAATTTCGCGAAAAGCCGGAATTTGCTGGGTGTCATCCTCGAGAGTTCTACCTTGGTACGTCCCCCCACCCCCCCCCCCTCCCCCTCTTACCCTCTGATATGGACTGACATTGGGGGTATAGGCAGCGGTACCGTCGTTGGTGGCATCCGTCAAAGACGCTGGTCTGCTTCTTGCGACGTTTGGGGACCAGACGGATATCGGGGTGTTGAGGCAGGGGGCGTCGGATGGGAGGACGGTGGATGCTTTCGTCATTGACGGGTGAGTTTCTCTTCCGTGTCGTAGAGTTGTGAGCTGATGTGGGTTTAGGGTTATGACGCTTACTATTTGAACGTACGCGGATGGAGAGAGCGAGAGAGAGAGAGAGACAGAGCGATACTTTACACAAGAACGATTATCACGCTGTACTTTTTTACCTTTAGACCTTTCGTCTTTCCAAAACCAACTAAACCAACCAATGCATTGTAGACTTGTATCAGACACACGACTCGTCAGATCTTGCGGTGTTTAGACGGCATGGTGTCTCTGCCGCCCTTCTTCTCGCACTACCAGTCATTCAACATCTGATAAGGTCATGACTAGAGCGAAGGAGGCCTCCCCCTGCTTTGGAAAAGATACACATTTCAATCAAAAGAAAGAGGGCCCGCCTGGCGATCTTGCAACCCTAACGCATGTACATTCTTGATGCCATCGTCATCCTCCCCCGAAACAGGTATTCGGATCAGAAAGCCTCCTCCCCAATTAACTTCCGACTGCTGGCCCTGCTGGAACGCCGCAATCAAGGGACCCACTCAGGATAGTATCCTCGAACAGGGTCATGGACGACTTTCTAAAAACAACACCACCACCACCACCACCATTCAACCGTCAGCCGGTCATCCTTCTTTCATCTCTTCTGGTCTATCAAGCCAAGCCCAACCGCATGGGCAAAAGGCGATCATGGAAGATATCAAGCGAAGAAGGAGAAGAAGGCAAAGGAGAAAGAAGGGGACGTACTCGACAAGCAGGATTCGGACAAATAGTACCCATCATCGGATGCAGTTTGCCCAGGTTGATTTTGCAGTATGGACAGCGCCAGTATCGCGAGTTGAGCCACGTGAACATGGGGTTGGATCCGGACATGACTGATAACTCCTTTTTTTGGTGATGGTGATGAAGATGTGCGAGATGCACTGCACCGTGTAGGCGTTCTTTTTATATAATATGAATATGAACATGGAACATGGAGGGTAAGAGGAAAAGGGGGGGATAAGAGGGCTGAAGGACATGCGGTGGGCGTGACAGAACATGAGGTTTGGCGTCAGCCCAGCCAGCCAGCCTTCTCCTGCCTCCTGGCCGGCATGGCTTCCTTGCCCCTGTGACCTGAGGGTCACATTTAGGGGGACGAAGGGGACTGTCTTGTTGATGATCTCAAAAGACCCCTGTAATGCTGTACGGGTACCGCCTCGCTGCCTCGCGGCCAAGGGTTTCTCCTTGTCACTCAATGATTTCGCTTAGGCGATCAAATGTTGGAGAAGCCGAATGTTTGATGTTCGGGTAATCATTCCTTCCATTCTATCTCCTGGGCCGACATGTAATCATTCGTGTCTTTGTGTGTTTGCTAGCTAGTGATTACATGTCCGGTCAGGGGGAGATAGTGTAATGGAACACCCTGATCACGGATACATCAACGTCCCTCAGACAACCATTTTATACTCTCGCGCTCTCAATCCTGGATAAGACGCATAAACCTCGCCCAATTTCGCTCAACCTGCCTCACAGTCCATACCGGCCCCTCCACAAGTCTTCCTTTCTCATCATACACTTCGTCCTCTTCCTCTTGCATCTCCCAGTCCCCTCCCTCTATCCCTCCTTCTTCTCCTTCCCCTTCTCCCTCTCCACTAACACCTTCAACACCCCACCCCCTAACCTCCCCAACCCACCTCACAACCCCCCAAACCATCCTCGTCACCAACCTCACATCATGACAGTCCGACTCTACCAACATCCTGTTTCTCGGGATCGCGCGGATGAGCGCAGGGGCGTGCGGGGAGCGGGAGGTGATGGGGATGGAGGGGGATATGAAGAGGTTTGGGAAATGTTTCTGTGAAACGTATCATTGATCAGCAAAAGCAGAGAGAGAGATGGGGGAGGGGAAGGGGACTCGCGATAGCCTGAGTGAGGAATGGAGCACTCCACCCCCCACCCGAATGCAAGTCCACATTGACCCGTCTCAAAAACCTTTCTCCATAATTCTTCTTGACCTCCATAAGCGCGTCCATTGTCGGACCTACCACAAAACCAAGACATTCAGTCCAGGCCAAAAGAAAAAGGATGGTAGGATGTGGTGGAGGTGGAGGAACGTACCAGAACAAGCAACACTATGCAACGAAACATTCACCCCCAGCTCTATGGCAATGTCGATCTGGGCTAGGAGGATGGCGCGTTGGTGCGGGAGGGGGACTTTGAATGGGGTTAGGCGGCGCCATTCTTCTTCTTCTTCTTCTTCTCCTTTTCCTTCTTGCTCGTTTTTGGGCCGGAGTGAGGCGGAGGGAGAGGGAGGGGAGCAGCAGCTCGGTGCTTCATCTTCCCGCTTGTCATCTTCCCGCTTGTCATCTTCCCGCTTGTCATGAGAAGGGTGATCCTGATAATCCGGATGAAGGTGTTTCGCCCCCACCGGCCACCGCATCCTCGCACTCCCGTCCAGCCCCACCTCCCCCACCATCGTCAACCGCTCCTCTCCCAGACTCTTTTCCAGATCTTCTCGGAGTTTGGCGAGCATGGGCTGGAAGGGTAGGGGTTCTGGCATGTAGGGGAGGAGGGTTGAGAGGAGGTGCTGGTCTTGGGTTGGTTTTTCGGATAGAGAGGCAGAGGCAGAGGAGGAGGCGGGGAAGAAGAGAGAGGTGTAGTGTTCCTCTTTGGAAGGTAGAGATTCAGGAGGGGAGAATGTGTATCGATGTGTAAACCATGGATGATACCCTACTCCAAATCAGTATCACAAACAAAATCCTACTTGTTCAAAAGTGACGTACCAAAACAAGCAACAACCCCCACCCCTCTCCCCTCCTTCCCCTTCCTCCCATCGCCTCCTCTCATCCACTCCCTCTCCAAACTGAGGTTCCGAACTTTATCCTGATCCTCCCTCACAGTCGCCATCCCCGCCAAACCCCCGAGTTTGACGGCGTCGTATACTTCTGGCGGGTGTGTTAGGTCTGTGGGGTGGCAGTGTACGTCTGTCACTGTTATGTCTCATCAGCTCTCTGAACAATAGGGTGTGAGGGAGAAGAGGGGAGATACAATGGGCGAGAATGTAATCTGGAGGAAGGTCGATAGCCTCCCAATCTGGTGGAGCTGGACCTGTTTGGTCGTTCTTCTTTGCCTTTTGCCTTTGGGCCGATGCCGAGTTGTTTTCTGTCAACCTCTCAGTCTGGACCATGCTTGCCGTTGTCGAGGGGTTCTGAGGTCTATCGTTTGAGAAAGTATATCAGAAATGAAAAGTACAGAAAGATGAGCGCGAAATGCAATGTGATTTCGGACATCCGAGCCATCTCCTCCTCTCTGCTCTTCATCCTCCTTCATCAGCCATGCCTGTAAGCCCTCCCATCCTCTCCCCTCTCCCTTGCCCCCTGACAGATGCAAGCTCCCACTTTCCTCCCCATCCCCCGCATTCAACCCCAACCCCCACCCAAAACCTCTCAAAAGCTCGCCCTTCAAAACACCCTCCTCCACCCGGGCTGGTGGTATCAGCTCCGCCGGGGGTAATAAAGCGGGTGTAACCCCGAAATCGATGAGGGGTAATTCGATTTTTGTGGAAGAGAAGGTTGGGGAGTTGAGGAAGGAGGTTGAAGAGCTTAGAAAAGTGCTTGGGTGAGTCCAGTCAGCTGCGCTCGGGCCTCCTCTACCCAAGAGTGCATGATATGTTGGCTGACCAGTACATATCTCGCCTCTGCAGAGACAAAGACCCAAACAAGATCCTGCAACAGCACATCCACCTGCTCCACACTTATAACGAGATCAAGGATGGTGCTCAGTCTCTCATCGGTCGGGTCAGTCATCTCTTCTCCGTTGACATCAAGATGGCACCTGACGAAAGACTCTGGGGTAGTACGCCTTGATGACGAACCGCACGATCAGAGATGTGCATGAAGAGCTCGACTTGCCGCTCACCGACGAATAAGCTCGAATCCATACCGAAGCCGTCATCTGCTACATCAGCTCCCAGCCAGTAACAGTCAGTGTAGACAGAATCATGTATACCAATCACATCAAAACCTCAAAAGACATGCATTCTTCTTTCCAATTCCTATCCCACTCTCTCTTCTCTCACAAAGAAAAAAAAAACACACTCCCAACACGCATCCCTCCCTTCTCCCGACCAAGCCGAAAAAGACACATAAAACGGCACAATAGCCGACCGCTCGGGAGAATGGAAAGATTGGGTTATGGTTGAGGATGATGTTGTTTTTGTTTATAAGAGCGATCGACGTGGTGCGTTTCAGGCGGAGGCGGAGGAGATGAAGAAAGACTTGTCGACTATCCCACGTGTCAGCCTGGGTTCTGCGAGAAAAGAAAAAGAAAATGGAAGAGGGGAGATGGGGAACGTACTAGAGGGGTCTATGGGACCGGCAGGCTTTCGGGAGTCGGCGGGGATAGAGGTGTAAGCGGCGTCAGAGGTGGAGATGACACCCTTGGAGCCCTTCACGGTGGTGTTGGCGCTACCAACCATCAGCCCTTGCACTCCACGACCAACAATCAGAAACTTACATGGAAAGGTTGTAAGCATCGGTAGACGCAGCAGTCTCACCGTGCACCAACTTCCTCCAAGCCTCATGACACTCATGAATAATCTCCACCGCATACTTCTTGCTCTTCGCCTCACCCGAGAAGGCAAACACATTCTCAGGCTTACCATCCGGGATTTTGTAGATCCTGAACCACTCATTCGTCGCGCGGATCAAGCCGGGCAAATGCCTCTCCACATCCTCCACATCGTTCAGCCTGGCCGCGAGGGGGTCGTTGACGTCGACGACGAGCACCTTCCAGTCGGTCTCGCCCTCGTCGAGGAGGGCCATGATGCCGAGGACCTTGACTTGCTTGACTTGGCCGACGTGGCCGACGGCTTCGCCGATCTCGCAGACGTCGAGGGGGTCGTTGTCGCCGTTGGCGCCGGTCTCGGCGTGCGAGACGTTGGGGTCTTCCCAGGTTTGGGGGAAGGCACCGTAGTTCCAGATATAGCCTGCGCCTTGTCAGTTCCCTGTTTTTTTCAAGATGGGGGGGGGGGGGGGGGGACGGACCGTGGTGGGGGAAGCAGTTTCGGACGTATCGGAGCTTGCCCTTCTTGATGTCCTGCTTGATGGGGTTGAAAGCCTCCTCCTTGGAGACTTCCATCTTGGCGTTGGTCCATCGGGGAACCTCGACGATCACTGCAAAGCCCCTTTAGCACGGGCCATGTGTCGGGTGGAAGGAAAGCGTACTGTTGAGGATGGTCTTGGCCTCATCGGCGAAGAGGGGGATGTCGCTAAGAACAATCAGCTTGTCGTCCGGAGGAAAGCGATGGAGATGGAGGGAGACGTACTGGAAGGGAGAGACGACCTTGCCCTCCTTGTTCTCAATGAACACTCGGTGCTCTACAATCCCATTAGCTCCATCCCCCACCCCCATTCAAAACTAACCAAGAGTGTTGGCGGCCTAACCCATCCATCAGCTTGTACCTCCCAAAAAAGACAGAAGGGAGGACTCACACCAATGATCCTAGTCTGGTAGTCGGACATTCTGAATGTTCTGGCGCTGTGGTGTAGGAATGTAGTGGAGAGTCGTCTGAGTGTGGTGTTCATGCACCGATGGATAGAGAGGAAAGAAGAGGAAACAGAATGTCAGAGAAGATGGGCGCACCCCACCGAGCACGTCAACCTCCACCGGGCTATCTGGAATAGGGCGGCATTTCGGAGTTTGCGGGGGGTGGCTTTACGTTAGCCTGCGTTTTGGTCTCAACATTGTTGGGCTCGTTGAATGTGCTTGGGGCATGGGGGGTAGGGAAAGTGGAGATAGTAGATGAGCTGGATGCATAGCTCGCGATTTGGAGAGGTCAATCTCAGGAGCAAGCTCTCCCCGCAGGCGGCTGTTTCGATGATAAAGACTCGAGTATCATAAACACTTGCATATCGACAACCGCATAAACCCAACCTTCCCTAGGTATCAAACAGCAACAACCAATCCCTCTCGACACCACTCCTGACTTTCACCTTTTCACTGACATCAAACCCAGAAAACATGACAGCTATCCTCTCTCACTCTTTCACACCCACTATAACATCGCTCATCATAGCTTCGATTTCTCCGCCTTAGACGGCTGGCTAGACTGATCCTCCGCAGACTCTTGCCCCGCAAACGGCGGGCCCAAATCAGCATTCATATTCTCGCTCAAACTCTCCCTGGTCCTCCAGTAAGTGTCCGCACCGGTGGATGCGGTGGTACTGAACCCTGCAGTTCCGAGATCAACTGTTGAAGGAGGTGTAGATGGCGCTTGAGTGGTCTGATCTTCAGCGCACTCTTGTCCAGCGAAGGGTGCACGCAAATCGGCGTTCATGGCTTCGCTCGAGCTTGGCCTGGTGTTTGTGGTAGATTGTTGCTGCTTTCGCTCGTCGGACATGGTACTGGTTAGTGTACTAAAGTATGGAGTTACTCTGGGAAGGAGATGCGATCGGGAGATGGCGTTTGGATTGAGTGTCTTTGAGCGGAGCCGCTTTTATATACCCATCGACCATAATGGCACATGAGAAGGGTCGATCACCTCCTGCTAGCTTCCCGCAATGACAGCGGATTTCTTTTCATCTTGAATAACAACATCGAAGGCATGGCCGTCGTCTCGCAGTACCTCTTCCTTTCTTACCCCGAAGGCTCCCAGAGATTTCTGTCGGGAGAGGAGATAGTTAGGTCTGACGAGTAGAAAGCTGGAAGAATGTGGGGCCGGCTGGAGAAGGAAGGCCAGGGAAGGAATACTGCTGCTCGCTACCCTAACTTTCGTGCGAAGGCTTCATTCAAACGTTGTTGTGTCGATCGTACATCGAAATGCTGGCAGATAAACTATTACTCTGTCCGCAACCAAAAGGCATCAAGCTGCCGAACCCAACAAGTCTACGTCGAACTCAACGAGGTACCAGCTTTGGATATATACCAAGCGAACGTAAGAAGACATATTTCTACTTCAAAGGTAAGCACTGCTTGCTCCACATCTTGAACGACGATTCCAGAAACAGGAGACAAAGCTCACCCCACACGCCGGATTCGGACAAACATCCGCTTCCTTTGGTCGCGTTATGCCAAGATCCGCCCGACAACGTGGGCATTGGTATCTCCAGTAAGAACGTAGGATGATGTTGGGATATGATACATCTCCTTGGCTAGTGCTTTGCTGAGGATTTGGGGGTAGTTGATTCGGTTTGGGCATCTTGCGCTTTTGCGCGAACGGAACGTGAGTCGAGCGGTGGCTCAGGTTCGGAGGGATGAGAACGAGCTTTCATATAACGATCAAGCAGTCTCAGCTGATGCCAAGATCAAGATGAATATGGGAACCACGAATCTCCATCATGAGTCTTACTCTGCCTGGTCGGGCCGAAAGCGGAGAAGACGATGATGTTGAGTGCGAACCCCACCGCATGTCAGTAGACACTTTGCCGTCCGTTGAAGGCGTTGATCTGCATGACGCCAGTGAAATACTCGCATGCTTTGTATTGTTCTCATGCCGCATTATCTCATGCATATGGACGTCGACTGTCTCGAGCTCTGATCGTCAATGACCTCCTTCCCGCCCCTCAGATGAGGCCCTGGCTTCCACCCCATTAGGTTTCCACGCAAACACCCTGGGAACAATCCCATGTTGCCTGCTGTATACTACTCTCTACAATCACCGTTACTTTTCCTCCTCATCATCACCATCCCTCCCGCGCACTCAAACCACAGAAAGATCCCATCACATGACTCACTCTGCACAGCAAATTCGGGCACCGACTCCCCTCCAGAGGCATATGTCTCCCCAGATCTGCTCGACAGAACGGACATTGGTATTGCCAGTAAGGCTTGGAGCATAGCTCGACGTATTGGGCGTGACGTTGCTGTTCGTAAGAGGACATGTCGATCAGTATACTGATGTGTCTTGTCGGCCAGGTAAAGTGTGGTGGCAAGGAGTCTGATCATGGTAATCTTGTTACAAGCTAGGCTTTTTGTAGGTGTTCTACACATCATGTTTGAGTGGAGAGGAGGAGGGGACACGCCTCGAGGTTTTGTTTGGCGCATATCTACAAAAGGCTTCTAACACGTTGATGAAGTACATTTATATCTCCGTGTAGTGTTCTTCATCCTCATTCAAGGGTACAAGCAATCATAGAAGCTGTGTGGTGTTTTAGGAGGGTCAAAAGTAGAGAAAATCTATAACGCTAGAACAAGCAATCTTTCTTGCTGACAAGCTGGCGATGGACAAGACACACGGCAATATCAATCGAGTAGACTACTCTACACTAGTCAACACGGTGTCGACCGAGCGGGTACACAGGTGTGGAGAATCATACGTAAAGTACATAGTCATACAACAGACCTCGTACTCTTACAACTCTGTCCTCGACGCCCTCCGGCTACTACAGGGTTTCCAACAACGTTCGCCGCCCCTTGCTTGGAAGTACGCGTCGGATAGACAATTTGGCTGGGATTGTGATCCACTTTCTACAAACGCAAAGTGTAGAATATGGTGAGATATAACTCTGACATGGTCGTCTGAGGAAGGTCAGAACAGATGAGCAGAACCCACCCCGCATGACCACCCATCAGGACATCGAGCGCCAACATCCGGCAAAATTGTGCCACAGCCCAAGATCGCTTTGCAATACGGGCAGCGGTGTACTGGTGAATTTTTGAACAGGGTGTACCCAGGGAAAGGAGCAAATGGTCGCCGCTTCCGAGGTATGCTGACGTTGCCAGACATGTTCGAATCAGACTTTATGCTGCTATACTGTGATGTATATATGTATCCAGTCGACGGGCGCTATTGTTCAGGACCAAGTGGGTGGCGATTGGTGAGGTATCGGAGGTAGCGTCTATGCATGATATGACAATATATGCAAGACTGCAGCCCGTCAACGGCTACTGCTGCCAATCCCGACAGCAGCGGTCGTCCGTTGAGAGTCAACGAGCCTTGCGTCAGCCTCACGTCATACTTGCGTACGATCAAGATCCTGTCGCTCTACGTACCTTTGGTAGCACCACGCTCTACCAAGGCATTATCTCTTGCTAGCAACTTGTTGCCGCTTGGTAGTCTCATATACGAACCCCAAGGGAGACAGGCCTCCCGGCAAAACGAATGATGGATTCACAACTAATCATATTCATCCAACACTCTCAAGATATAGTTCGTGATTACATATGCAAGCCCCATTCGCCTTGACTGAAACAGCATGAAGTACTCGTCGATAGCCTTGTCCCAATCTCCTGTGCACTATGCTTGTCGGTCTTCGATGAAAAGAGGATAGACGCCACGAGGAGGGTCATGCACAACTTTCTGATTAGACAGCCACCAAAAATTACATCGCGTCAGCTGCTCTTCTTCTATCGCCCCGGCGCATCTCCCCCAGCATCGCACGAAAGCAGTGGGGTATGAAGAAGTAATCGACTCACCCCGCAAGTTCCAGTCGCATTACTACAAAGCGCTCCCACCGCCGGCTTGACCTTTCCAGACCCCACAATCACCTTACAGTAAGGGCAGCGCCACCAGCGAAGGTGTGTGCCGGGTATGCATTGTTGCCTGGTGATGGGCAGCATGGGTCCCCCGCTGAGGTCGGGGGGCATGGTATATATGTATCTCCCTCAAAACTGGGGGGAGGGTGGCAAAAGAATAGAAGTGCGGTAGTTGGGAGCTTTGGTTGCGATGGCGGTGGCGGTATAGGGGTGGTCAACTTGCGGCTATTGCAAAGGTTTGATTTCTCTTCTTTAAAATGAAGTTTGGGGTATATATGTTCCTCCGCAGCTGACCTGCTAGTACTCGGAACGGGCTACTGTATTGTCGCAGATCCAATCTGAAAACAAACCCATGACGACGAAGCCTCACCCACGACTTTTCATCAATGGCAATTTTCATCAGCAGACCAATACTGGCTTGATGATCATTTGCTTATACATCATCAAGAAAAGCCAGTCGTTACGATCAGGCATCGCTACCTCGATATGCATGTAAATCTCCTCTCGGCGTGCGCACTGCCATCCTCATGCGCCACTGACGACTCTGTCGTCTTTTTGAAGTATGCGCCGCGCACACGTGTCATCTGCCAGACACTATCTCGAGCTTTGGGTAGATGCCCAATATCGGCAAATGAACATGGTTCTAGAAGACACGTATCCGTCAGCGGCAGTCCATCGCAGTGACAGATGGATGTGAGACTAGGTAATCCGTAATACTCACATTGCAAGCCGAATACGGACAGCGAACACCCAAAGGCGGCAACGTATATCCCAGAAAGTAGTTGCAGTACGGGCATCGGAAGGCGTAGACGACTCCCCTGTGAGGCCGGTAGTACAAGTTGTCTTTACTGAGCATGTGTGCGAAGCCGAGCTACTTTGAATTGAGTTGGTCTGACCCAGGTTGATGAGGTAAGGAGGTATTTGCATGATGAATAGCAGAAAGTCGTGGTTTTTCACAGCATATAGTGAGAGCTGCTTTATGCTTCTGGCACTGCTGTAAAGCTATGTAAAGCCGGTGCCAAAGGACAGCAGTCAACACGGCCATTGCCGCGTGTATGGTTCGTTTCTCCGGGATGATCTGTTCCTCGTTGGCCGAGAGACATTTTCCACGCCGTTGGACACTGCCTCATTCAATAGGCTCTTGTATCGCCGGACAAAGAGAAGAATGGATCTTCGCATGTTGAACTGCGATAGCTCTTTGCGTGTCCTTGCCAGAAGTCACACACGCCAGCTGCGTACTTGCCCCGTTTTGGGTTCGTGACGACGTGGGGTAATACAGCGAGCTTTCGGGTGGGCGTATCGGAGTTGAACACTCTCGTTCACACATAGCCGAAACCGGTATGAACCATGCAATCGACATCTATACGGGTGAATGATACCGTACATACATCATGGCTCGACGAGAAGTTGAGTTGAACAGCTGGAGGTTGGCGTTTCTAAAGCTTGAATGCCGCCTCTGTGTTCCTGGATACGGAGAGGGTGTCGAAGAATAGAGCGTTGCTTGACAAGAAATGACTATCGGGGAAACGACGAGCTCAGAGGAAAATGCATGAGTTGTACCTCTGAATGTCTACCACTAAATCAGCTAAATCTCAATATTTTTTCCATACCAAAACACTCACTTTGGTCACTACTATGAAATTCGCCCACCCATCGCCCCGAATGGCAACTTTCTACTTGTCTTCGTCTCCCTTCTTGTACTCTTTGGGCGAGTTTAATCCTACTCTTCGGGCGGTAGCGTGTACGCGCTCTTCTTGGGACATGGAGTGGGTGGGGTTGTATCGTTTTACGAGTTCCTGCAATGCTCATGAGAACATATCCTTCAATTCATCCCGATTCCATGCTCTCTATGCAAGTACCAACGACCGAAACGACTCTATCGAGCGACCACCGACGAAAAGGACGAGGTGAAAACTCACAGCATGCACTCTTGTAGATTTCAAAAACTCCCTCGTCTCTATTAATGACCGTTCGAGCTGTTTGGGGGAGGAGGAAGTTTCGACGAGGGTTCGGATGTGGGATTGGACTGTGGGGTTTCGAGTTGTACGGGACTTTTGAGACTGGAGGAAAAACGGGTTAGTCAGCGCTGCTCGAGACCTGTAAGAATGTGAGAGAAGGTAGGGAGGCTCACAGCAAAGCGGAGTTCCCGGAGGACTGATCGGTAGAGGTGGGTGACGGGGGAGGAAGGCATATTGCGGTAGGGAGTGGATTTGTTTTGAAAAGGAGAAAGGAGAAAGACGGAGATGGAAGGCCGAGCTGGACTTGTTCATTTGAATTTTGTTGTAAGCGAGATTTGATGCCGCTAATTGAGTGTTTACATTCTGTAGTTGTTGACTCCAAGTATCCTATGTCCTCTTACATCCAGCTATATCTTCCCCTCGCCCCTATCCAGGCAGCCTCGGAATGGCCCATGGACCCACTGATCCCCTGTCATGACTGACCCCCCCAAACCACGGCGCAAGGTATGTCTCCCCTTCACCCCTCCTCCATCCTGACACTCTGCCCAGGTCGCATCCCAGATCTCTGCCTCCTCCACCCCCTCTTCCACCCCCAACCGCCAGCCATTCAAGCCCACCGTCCGCGCCAAAGTCACCCCAGGCAACATTGCCACCCCGCCATCAAGAGATGATCGTCCAGGACTGCAGAGGCCGCCGTCGGCAAGTTCGATCAGGTCGTACGTGACGGCGCCGCCCTCTGTCTCGAGGGCGAGATCGCCAGTAACGCCTGCGATTTCGCCGAGTACTGTTTCGAGGATAGCAGCTCGGCCGCCTCAGCGTTCGCCTTTGACGGGTGTTTCGCGTTCTTCACCAGCCCCAGGTCCGTCGGGGACGTCGACACCTACCATCGCGCGTGTCAAGGCTCGATCCGTCATCGGTTCATCGCCTTCCCCTTCTTCTGCACCCTCCGCTTCGTCTTCTCTGTCATCACGGCAGACGCCTGAAGCGCAGGTGAGGAGGAATGCAGCGGACAAGGCGGCCAGTGCGCAGATGGTCGGGAGGACGAGGACGAATTCGTTGAGGAGCGCCGTCAGTACGAACACGACATCTGGCGGGGAACGGGCACCTGTTGCTCGCTTAAGACCGACAAAGGCTGCTTCGACGCCTGACGCTACCTCGCTCGGTATCCCCTCATCAGCCCCTTCACCGACAAGGATAGCAGAACCCTCAGGGCATACATCACCAGCACCAGTAAACGGTCTAGGCGTAGACGGTGCCATATTTGCATCTTCCGGGTGGCCCCAAACATCCTCCCCTCCCTCCCACTCCCCATACGCCATACCCCTACCAGCCCCTCCAATGGAACGTTCCCCAACATCCTCCACCTCCATCACCACCAACCGTACCATCCAAATACCCCATCCCACAGCCTCAGCACCCACCTCTCCAGCTCCTGGCTCTTCCCACCGCTTATCTACAGATGCGCCTCTGACGGCACCGAGGGCGAGGGGGTGGTCGAAGAGTAGACTACCGGCACATGCGTTTGTGCACCAGCAGCAGCAGCAGAAGTGGCCGCCGGGTTTGCCTTTGCCGCCGTCGAGCCCGGAGTTGAGGCCGGTGGCTTTGCCGGTTCTGACGCCGGGGGTGAGTACGCCTGGAAGTTCGCCGGGGGCGGGGAGGTGGGGTGGGCACTTGGGGGAGGCTTCGAGAGGTGAGACGGGCCAGGAGTTGGGAGGGGAGGAATGGGAGAGGGAGAGGAAGGGGAGTGAGGGGAGTGGGAGGGATGAGAGTGAAGTTTCCGCAGGGCTACTTTCGCCCGGCTCTGGCTCTGGGAGGCAAAGCCTGTCGAGGGCGTTACGCCAAATGAACCTCGGGCCAAACGGGCTGCCTTATGAGAATGGTCACAAAATCGAGGGTTTACCGGGCGGCGAGTCGTTACCCAATGATACGGATCACAATGGCCTGGAAGCGCAAGGAGGCGAGGGAGGAGAAGGAGGGGATAGAGATGATGAAGTTGATGATATGCTTGGAGGGACTGCAGAACAGGCCAAGATCAACCGCAAAGTCAGTCTTCCCTCTTCGCTATCGACTCCTTCAAGGTGTGCTCATGGAAGTGTAGATTGCGGACCTTGAGATAAGCAATGCCAGTTTGATGGCTATCAACAAGATGCTTGAGAGTGCGTATCACACATCGTTTTTTGAACTTCGAAAAAGGAGGTACTGATGATATGTACTGTAGCGACGAAATCAAAACAACGCGCTGAAATCGTCAAACTCCGTCGTCGCTTACGCGAAACCCTCTCCCACCACCCCCACCCCAATCACCACCCTTCCCACCCCCACTCCGCATTATCACCCCTCTCCGCATCATCCTTCCCCCACCCCCAAACATCACCCACCCTCTCAGCCCTCACATTCGACGAAGACCCCGACCACGACCACCTCCAAGACGACTATCACGATGCCGAAATGGCCGACCCCCAGCTCGACGCGCGGTGGGACAGCATACAGACGCTTGTTTTGGAGATGCAAGAGAAAGCAAGGGAAGCTGTGAAGACGGATGCTGGTAGGACGTTGGGCAAGGAGCGGGAAGGGGTGGGCGGGGGAAGGGTGTTGGGGTGGGTGGAGGTTGAAGCTCGGGATAGAGAAGACGGGGATGGGGAAGGGGATGTGTCGGTGGATTCGGAGGGGACGCCGGTGGAGACTATTATCGATGATCTCCTGGGAGGGGAAGGGGAGGGGGAGGAAAGCGGGACGGACGATGAAAGACCGCCGAGGAGGGGGTCGTTCTAGATCCCTCTGACCTTGCTGGGTGGTCTAGAATGAGAATGTCTGGGGATAGAGATTTTTGTTGTATATCTGCATTGTTTTTCTTCTGCATAGGTTTTGGTTATAGTATAATGCATGTGCATAGTTGCATTTGATGGAAGCTGGTAGGCGGCAGTGGACCGGAAGGCCGAGCTGCTGATAACGAGAGCGGGAAGGTGGAAGATAGAGGACCACGACGTGTGAGATTACGACCGCGTTTGATTTTGTATCCACACTTCCACTTGCCGCCCCTCGTTGCATAATGGGCTGTATGTGTATGTGATGTGTGCGCTGATAGTGTTTTCTGTGGTGGTGGTCGAGCGAGGGAGCATATTGAGAATGAAGTCGGAGACGATTTCGTTACTCGTGCAATTCCCGAATTCGAAGCTTCCTTCTTCTCGCATGATTCGGTACATTTTGAGTGCGTGGGATCCAGTATGATGTTGGGCCATGGTCCATGGACCGGAACCTTCCCATAAGCGTTTCGCGTGCACAGAAAGTCTAGCAGGGAGGAGGAGGAAAGCTGACGTGAGAAGATCATATATCCTGCGACACGCACCAGACATCATGTGTGGCAAGCGCCCTGTCCGTGATTGCACGATGTATGAACGAGACAGTGAACCTTCTCGACACACTTGACGTACAGTACATATGAAGATGCTACCATCCACCATACGTTTTCAAACATATTTCCATTTGCACCACTTCACCACTTCCTCCCCTCACCACCTCCTCCAGTACAGCTACGCTTCATGTCTGAAAACAATCCAGGCCGGGCCCCTCTCGCTCCCCTCTACCCACCACCATTCTACCGCTGTGCATTCTGTCGCCATGTCCAGTGTCTGTTGCAGCCGCCTGTGGGGAGTAGATGCTGGAACGATAATTGTCGGGTAAATGCCGCCACGCTTCTTGTAAAATGTCAAAAGGCTGATTAGGGGAAGGATATAGCTGTTCATACATATCCCAGTGTTGGGCATCTATCCGCTTTTACTGATGCTACTATACTTGGAAAAGCTCTTGAAGCTTGGTGAGACGTACTGAGGGGTCCCGGAATAGATATGACCGGCCGAGGCGGATGAGGTGATTCAAGAAACTGCGAAGAAGTTATGGAGCCGCAATTGCAAACCTTGACATCAAGAAGGACGGTAGAACCTATGCAGTAGGATCTGCGGTACGGCGATATGAACCTTCTCGAGTGTCGGAACAATCACATCTCCCATATGCCCATCTCTTGTGCCGTGTCGGAACAAACACATCGGCCGAGAGACTTCGCTGTTGTCTGGCCCCAGGCCCCATAATACGAGCCTCATGGGCCTCATGACCAACCAAAGCTTCTAGTACGGGTCCCACACGTGTTGCGTCGTATGTGCACGGTAACTGATGTTTGTTTGTCTGGTTCTTGTTTTCGTTGATTCCCTCTTGATATCGCTTGCTTCGTTTGGACGTCTCTGGAGTGATTTTGATGTTGAGGAGGAGCACTAGGCACGGGTCCGATGCCTACGGATAGTACTTGGCAGACCTCGCAAGATCACAGGAAGCTAGCTTGCAGGAAGTGCAGGAAGAGAGCGAGGAGCTCCATCATGTTCCGACCATCGCGGTCAATGGCCGCCGTTACCCGCGACGCAGCCCGCAAAGCAGCATATCAAGTAGGGCGCAGCCCCCCAAGAGCACATGTTCAGTAACACTCCTTATCCTTGATCCACTCCCTATCTCGGACAGAAGCAAATACTTCAACGAGGACAGCAGATGCCGGATGTGCCTCATGATGGTTGTCAATAACAACACCCGAATAGACAGATTTGCGCGATCTATGCGATGGAAAGGGAGGCCTGACTATCATACCATTGTGACGCAATAATATGCGTTGCGGGTTATAGCACGCTTGGGCCCTGATAGACCGTCTTATAAATTCCTGCGAACGTTCTCCTCTCCCCCGCCCCACCCAGCCTGTGCTCTAGGGCAACCCAAAAGAAAACAACCACACCTGTACAGCTATCAGCACGACTTGACCCAAACAAATATGTCGGGAGCCAACTACCACTTGCTATACGGTCTTCCTCCCCCTCCAAAATTCTATCGATGCCCTTATTGCGGAGCAATCCAAGGCCTACAGTATCCTCCGGAGTTTACACCATGTCGCAACGAGTTTTGTCGCGTGAGTTGAGGGCCTTGTCGTCATCTATTTTAGATTTATGTATAGGTGATGGCTGACATCTGCATTCATCAGAGGATCGTTTATGACCGGGCTCTTGGCATATATCCTTTTCGGTGGTGAAGACTATTATCAAGCGACTATCACACATACATATCATACGAGTACGGCGGCGTCGCCAAGTGTCAGCAATCATGAGAGTAGTACTGTGTAGCGTATCCATCCCTCTGACAAACCATGCAACAACATTCGGGGCCTGGTGCCCTTAGCTTCCAGCGACAACCTCTACATGCTTTTTCTACAGTATCCAGGTCAGCTCAGGAAGGGTGACTGGTCAATGGTGACTGTCTCGAGTGAAGGTGCGTTGCGACCCTCTCATGCCTGAGCCACATCACCATCATCCATCAACATCAACCATCAATCGTGCCGTTAAGGGTTAAGGTTCGGGGGTTACCACCAGATTGACGCGCACCGTGTTCTGCCGCAGGGCCAGCAGGCAGCAGGCAACAGGCCCCAGCTGCTGTCGAGGGGCGCGATATAGAGTTGAGAACGCACGGAATGCACGGTACGTGGTAACAGCCTTGCATCGGAAACCCGATTCCCGACGCTGATGCCCTTATCCGAGTGAGTCCTCGAGGCAATAAGCAAACGCCGTTCCGTCAATGTCGGGAACCAAACAAACTTCGTGATCTCCTTTTATGCGATGGGTATCCGTTGCTGCTGGTCAAATACGTCTGCTGCTTCACTTGCGGTCTATATCCGGCATCCAATATCCACTGCCGATAGGCCCAGTCCCACAACGTGCCTCGATCCAACGCGACTCTCCCAAGAACCAAGCGGGTCACTGACAATTCCGATACTCGCCTCTATCAATCCTGGATGATGTCTGCCAAAGCCTATGCATTTTTTGAATGTGAAATATCAATATCATGACCAACCTGTCTATAGTCCATACCGCCGATGACACCACAGCACACGACCGCTGTCACCTTCAAAACATCAACGCATCACCTTCCTCTTCGCCCTCCTCTCGCGCTGGCGCATCGCCCACCAAACCTCCGACCAACTCCTTCAACCGTCTAACGAGCATATCGAAGAAGGCGTCTCCTTGAATGGAGGGCGAGGACGACGAAGTGGCTAGACGTCTCAATTCGGGGTTCTGCGCCATATGTAAGCGTAATGAACACATGCGGCATGAAATGATGACGTACGATCTCAAGATCACCCACTCGCAGCAGAACACTACTTAAACTGCCCCCAACCCTCTCCAACATTCTCACAATCCCAGCTCCTTGCCTATTCCCTTCCAGCTCTTGCGACCTCGAAGCACCGAACGCGCTGCCGCTCAAAGAAATAGACAAGTTATCAGGTCGGACTTGAGGAGCGGATGGAGCCAAGACTGAACGAGCATCGTTGGCGTAGAACAGAAGATGTCGCCAGATCAGCAGAAGAAGTGACTCGATCATATCTGCCGTACATGGTAAGCTTGCTGTCCCTGTCTCTCATGTAGCTCGCACGTACCGAACAAGGTCTGAGTTTTGCTAATGAAAGCGCTCTTGATCAGATCATCAGAGAGCGGGCTGTCAGCAATATACTCGTTTCTCAATTTCTGCACCTATTGTCAGCCGTGTTCTAAACCCCGAATATAGAAGGAAGTACCTCGACATCCGCTTCATCCAAATCACCTCCTTCCTCCATCCTCTCCAAAATGACTTCCCACTCCCCGTCGACCTCCTGAATTTTCTCCACCAGCTCGCCCAACAGGTTCACTGCTGTGCCCACACTCGGGGCGGAAGCGATATACTTGACAGAGGACGAGTGGGATCGGTGAACGCCTGTAATGAAGACGGGGTTGCCCGATCCGGATTTCAGTGATGATGTGGCAGATGTCAAGAAAGATAGGAGTGACTGGTTCAGCGAGAGAATATCGCCTTCGACTATTGCAAGATTAGTCTTATTTTCCCCCATAAAGGTTGACTTACGCTTAGGTTCCTCGTCCACAGCTTCCACCCACTGGGTCCTATCAAACATGCCAGCAGCAGTAGCCAAGACAGCCATGTGGAAAGCTCCAAAGCTAGACAAGGAGTGGAGCTCGTCGCTGGATACCTTGTGCACCACTAGCGCAAGAATCGAGACCACCGTTCGGCATTCTTCCAGAGATGAGGTCGACAAACTTTGCTGAGGTTCGCGGATGAGGGCGAGGACCGCTTCTCGGTGGGCATTGAGGAAGCCAATAGCCTATCGACGGGTCAGTCAGGTGTCGTGACACGCGAAGCTATAGACTTACTTGCGAAGCACCGCTTCTGGTTCCCCTATGAAGACTCGCCAGAACTCTAGCAACCAGTCCAAGGACGCCTCCCAAGACTCGATGTTGCCTTGCCGAAATCTCGGCTGCCTCCACTTCATCCAAAGCTTCTTCGCTTGCCTGTATCTGGACGTTGATGAAGCCGCATGTGGCGAGGATCTCGAACAGTCCAGAGTCCAGAAGGTCTTCGGCGCCTTTTCGGGTGGACGCAAGGGCCAAGAGGAAGGCGAGCTTAGATTCAAAGACCCAGTAGGCATGGAGATTTTCTGTTGCAGAGTCAGCATCAGGCTCGAGAGGGTTACGAAACAACATACCGGCTTCAGGCCCAAGACACTCCAAGAGCGCACCCTCCTTCTCCTTGACACTTCTCACCACCAAAGGCAAGTATCCGCCCTTCATCAAGGGTCCAAGAACGAACCTCTCCCGTTCACCCTGACAAAGCCCCACGATACCTCCAAGAAGGGCATAGCACTCCGTCTTCCACACATCTCGATCGTCCATAGCATCTCTGCAGAGCATCGGGATCAATCGCTCCTTCTTTCCAGCAAGGACAGTTAGAGTGGTACGGAGGAGAGATGGTGTCGAGTCAGTCACGGAGAAGGATGAAGGAGCGAGAGATTGAGAGTAGGAGAGGTTTTGGGGTGAGATGAGGGTGAGGAACTGGGTGATGGCGGCATAGAGATTGCCTCTAGCGGTCTCGGTCGTTCCCGGCCTGGTCGCACCATCGACCACTCTTCCAAGGATCTTGCCCAGCAACTCTACTGGCAGATTCACCCCCTCAAACACGCCCAACACTGTGGCAAGCTGCGTCATTGCAACCAACACACTCTCCGCGACTACGTCTCCTACCCCAGGCGACAGTTCATCCACCCCCGAAAGGCGCAGGAGGAGCTGGTCGAGGAGTGAGAAGAGAAGAATCTGCTGCTCATCCGGGTTGATGTGCTTGAAGAGCATGGCGAGAGAAATCTTGAGCAGCTCGTTCCAAGAAAGAGCAAAGTTGCCCTTGGCAATCGCCACATCGGTTTCCTTTTTCTTGCTTCCAAGCTTCTGAAGAACGTAGATGATCTCAGATTGGACGGCAGGAGCAGACGCAGGGGTGATTGCCCCTTGCCTCTCGAGCCCCTTCGCCCATGCCTTCATCCCCTGCTCAAGACCCTTCAAATCCCACCACTCTACCCCAACGCGCTTGAATTCGTCAAATCCAAAGCCGGCAAAGAACTCCAGCTGCCTATTCTCCAACTCGGGTTCCTCCCATCTCACATCAATAGACGACAGGAGGTCGATCAACAGCGGTGGCGTCTGGGGCTGTTCTCCATCGAGCTCGTCTTCGTCGTGCGCGGAACCGTAAAAGAGGATCTCGGCAATTCGAGCTGCAGACGCGCCGTGGCCGTCATACGAGAAAGTCTCGAGGGAGGCAGACGAGACGATCCATCGCTGGAACTCCAAGACAGACACCAAGACGTCTGAAGTTGTGTCCACAGACCCGTCCCAGTACACAGCCCTGCCACTAGGTCCTTCCTCGCCAGCCCATTCGACGCAACGTCGAGGAATAGAAGCCAACTGCCTGGCAGAATAACCAGTGACGCTCATAGCATAGCCCATTGTCGCTCGGCCAGTCATGGGGTGAGAGAAGAGTTGATAGATCAGCTCTGCGCTCTTGGCACCAAGCAAAGGATGACGGTCGATGATCCCGTCTCCAGATGGCCCGGAAAGGTCCGCGCCGTCGAGCAATTGTCGAAGGATAACATGCAAGCAAGAGCTGCCGCCAGATTGGAGTGCGAAATCACGGTGTCGGAAGTCGTATCCCAACAAGAAATGAGCAATGTTGGGAGAAGACACGTCTTGTGCTGTGCCTTCCACCAAGATGTCTAGGATGACAGACCTTGTCACCATCCCCAGCTCTTCTTCGACCTTCTTCACATCACCATGCAGCGCCTCGTCTTCAACAATCTCCTGATCTTCAACAGCATCTCCCTCCACATCAAGCTTTCGCACGAAAGCCTGCGATATCCGAATGGAATCATCGCTCGCATCGAGGATGCCCGCAAGCCTGTTGACAGCACCAGCATACTCGCCTTGGAAGATGTCTGTTCGGTTGAAGACTGGTGACGCTGACAATGTCGCAACGAGCTTTGTAGCGATATACGAAATAGCGGGGTCATCATCGGCAACGAGGAGAGCGATGGTGGTGATGTTGGAGAGATGCGACAGGATGTGGTTGTCCAGAGGCTGAAGACCGAAGGGTCGCTTGAAGGGGTAGGTGGGGTTTCGAGCAGAGTCCGCAAGGACGACGAGGAGGACCTCGGCAAACACCAGCTGGACTTCCAAAACCCTGTGATACACCCTCAAAACCCTGAGCAGCACCCTGCTTACAACTTCTTCCCGTTTACCTCCTTGTCCGTCCAAGCCTTCCTGCGCCGCAGAATCGAGGACAGAAGCCAGAACCGCAAAGACGGCGGGGTCGGATAACAGGCGGAGGAGGATGACAAATCCTGGTTCTTCCGACAGTTCCACAGCGATAGGACCTATCGTTCGCCCCGCAGAGGAGGCAGACGCAGAAGGAGAAAGGAGCTCCGACATGCTGAAAGACAAAAGCGCCTTTTCAAGGAACGCTGTGAGAGTGTCGAGGACCTCCCATCGCTCACTATCTCTAGCATACCTTCTCGTCTTGAGTGACAGGAAGACGCCGTCAATCACCTGGTACGCTCCCCTCCTCAAAGTGTTGACAAGCTTGCTCCTCAACCCGCTCGGTACCGCCTGCGCCGGCTTCCCAACAGTACCCGGAGAGGGCACAAGCTCTGTCAAATACTCCACATACGCTCTCGACAACGCATACCTCCCTTCCTCATTCTCCGCCCACTCCATCCTGCTCAGCCATCCAACTGGCTGGGGAATCCTCCCAGGCTCGAGATGGCGCACATCAAGCGCAGGGTTGAGATAGGTGATCTTTTCGTAGGAGGAGAGTGATTGGGAGATGATTTCGTCGTCTGAGGGGTCAGAGGTGCGCTTGGTGAAGGCGGTGATGGCTTGAAGAATGGTTGCCTTCAAAGAGATGGGCACGTTGTCACAATTCAAGAACTCGAAAAGCACTCCAAGAGGCTGGGGCTTGCTCTGGAGCAGAGCCGCCCTTGCCGCAGGACTCCACCTCACCACCGTCTCCAACACCTTCGTCCACCCTGTACACACCTCAACATCCTCCAACACCATAGGCGCCAAAGAAGCCGCCCTTGTGCTCTTGATAGGCTCGTAGATGTGGGGCATGATTTCGATGTAGTGTTGGTAGAATTTGAACAAGGATGTCCAAGGGAGACGGGTGTCTTTGAGTTTCTCGTAGCAGAGTACAGAGCATTCGGGGCCGGTGGAGATGGCAGCGAGCATTTCCCAGAAGGCCGTACCGGGCAATCCGTTTCGACTGTCGAGCACTGTGGAGGTGAATGTCGAGTTCTCCCACAGCTCTACAGCAGAATCCGGAGGGAGTGATTTGTACACCGCCCTAGTAAGGCGGAGGAAGTTTTGGTAGTGGGCCGCTGGAGGGGCCACTTGAGAGCGACGAGCACCAGTGTCCTCTTCCTTGTTACGCAAATTGCGCAGGTATTGCTTCTTCCCAGCCAAAATGTCCACCAACCCTCTGACCTGCTCGACCAAAAAGTCGTTGTTCCCCACTTCACTCGCATTCCCCTGCTGTACAAGCACATCCACCTCTCCTGCTCCCTCTCCTCCGCTGATAGAAACGACCTGCGCATGCAACAGCGCAAGAGCGTCGTTGTGTACCGAGTCGAGGAGCCAGCCTTCAATTTCGTGCTGATCGATACCGGTTTGAATGACGGAGGGGTCGTGTCGGAGGCAGGAAAGGTAGAAGAGTGACCAGGCGAGCTTGATGGGTTCGCGAAGGCGGGGAATCGTCCATTGCTCTTGCAGCTATATATCATATTAATTTGTGCCGCGCACCATGCTAGAAAACCGTACCGTGAGACTGGAAGCGAGTTTGAGGAACTTGATATCATGGCACCAATCTTCCGCAACCTTCTCAAGTCAGCTTTCCCCTCAAAAACAGCAACAGGTACTCACATCGTACCTCCCATCCGACGCATCCATGCTCTCCAAAGGCTTCCAAGCTGCCATCAAGCTAGCTCCCACCATTCCCACAACTCCATCCGCCCTGTCCACCTTTTTGAGCCACTTCAAAATCCTCACCACCTGCCCTCTACCAAGCCTTCCCCCTTCTGCCAGCACGCCCAAGATGGACGCCAGCTTGTTTTGTTCAGCTCTCAGTGCTTGCACACGGAATTGGAGGAGCTCGAAAGCTGGGCCAGAGGGGGATTGGGAAGAGAGGAGAGAGGAGAGTTTGGAATGAAGGACGTCGAGCTGGGAGAGTATGTTGTCGATCAATGTTCCCTGCTCCGTCCTGGATCCCAGCAGATTCTCCACAAAGTTTTTCAGAGGCTCAAAGTGTGTGTCAAGCTCATCTGACTGAGAGATGACGACCCTGAAGAGCTGCTCAAGAAAAACGAGCAGATCGAGGGACCATTGGTGTAGCAGGTAGATGGAGATCTCGGGTGTCGACCGGGAGGGGTATTGATGTCTGTGCGATTCTGCTTGCAGTGCGAGCACGGAAGAGTATAGTTGGGAGAGGGAAAGGGCGTCTGAAATGGTATTTGTGGTGGTCAAGAGGTCACCGGTGACGCGTATGGCTGTCCCGGATGGCAGTTCCAAAGCGTCTACTCAGAGTCAGCGCTATCCTCTCGCTTCCCCACTCCACTCACTCTTTTCAATGTACTCCTTGTCCTTGTCATTCTTCGGCGGCAGTCTAGTCAGATTGAGTAGCCACGGCTCAGCGTCCTCGAGCAGCGCCCAAAGTTTCCTCAGGGCAGAAGTCGTGGGCTGTGAAACGACCCTGGCGAGCTGCTGCTGCAGGAGTGCAAACGTTGTCGGGTCCCAGTCCAGGAGGGGCAGGGAGGACATGGGGAATGTGGAAAAAAAGAAAACAGGAAATGATAGAGAAGAATAGTGATTTCAAGGCAGCCAAGGCGAACTTCAGTTCGACTTCAGTCGCTGCTGTTTGTGGAGGTGAGATGTGTTTACGTAAGACCACGAGGATGCAGAAGTGATATATCTTGGAATTCTGACTTTATCTTTCTTTTCATTTGGTACTCAACCCCATCTCATAAACTGCCCACCATGTCCGATATCAAGACCGACGTCGAAATGTAAGTTTACCACACTTTCCCTTGCTCTGCGCTGACTCCCACAGGCTCCGATTGAGCTACAACGACATTCACACTGCCATCCAGAAGGCTGCCGTCCAGATCCAAGCCGAGTTTGGTACGTCCACTTGCTCCTCCATCTCCCCTTCTTTGAGCTTGCAGCTGACCTAATATGCCCAGCCCCCAACCTCTTCATCGCTATTGGTGGTGGTGGTTTCATTCCCGCCCGAATGCTCCGAACACACTGCAAGAAGGATGTTGATGGCAAGAAGAGGAATATCCCTATCCAGGCCGTCGGACTTGTCTTGTACGAGGACATGGGTGGTGTGAGTGCTTTTCCTACATCCGTGTCTCTGTTGCCATGGCGGGCTTGGGTGGTTCCGTTCAGCGCCAAGTGATCGTAGGGCGCACATGCTTGCATGTCAGCCCTCTACCCCGCCAGAGTGCATGCTTCTCTAGGCTGCTCCCCCGTTTCTGATATCTGTCTCCCGCCCAGCTCGGAGCTCTTCCTCTGGTTGTCGAATTCTGTCGACTTTTGATAACACCTCCACTTTCCGACCTGATCGGTCAAGTTCACCTCATTTTTTGTTTATCTATGATGGCCAGGCACGTGGTTAGCGTGTTGTGGTTTTTGTCCGTTGACTTCGTATCGTGGGCTGACGAAGTGGATCGCAGGTCGAAGAGAAGGTCGGCACTGAGGTCGTCCGAACCCAATGGCTCGACTTTTCCACTGTAAGATACACTCTTCCGCCGCGCCTGGCTAGTACTGACGATATTATAGCTCGGTCAGAACTTTACACAAGGTGGTCTCCTCGGTAGACATATCCTCATCGTCGACGAGGTCGACGACACCAGAACCACCCTCATGTACACCGTCAAGGAGCTCCAGATCGACATCAACAAGCAGCTCGAGCTCGTCGAGAACGTTCAGGAGCGGGAGAGACTGAGAGCTCAGACCAAGCTTGGTATCTTTGTCGTTCACAACAAGTACGTCTCCTTCACTGTTCCCCTTCGCCCTCGTACATATCTTGGATATGGTATAATTGTGACGATGAATCAAGACTAACAGAGTCGCAGATTGAAGCCCAAGGCCGGTCAGCTCCCCGAAGGCGTCGTCTACTTTTCCGCCGTCGACACCCCCGACGTCTGGCTCGCCTACCCCTGGGAATGTGATGGTGACATTTACGCACACGATGCGCTCCGGGTGCACAACCCCAACATCTAAGGCTTTAGACGGAGACGGAAGGCCGACGAGAGGTTCAGATGAGCTTTGGCTTATAGAGGTCATGTATCGTATTTTTCTGTGCGCAGCAATAGCTACTTACTCGGACGGCTGCCAACGCACTTTTTTGCCGCAGTAAACCATCCCCACTTTCTTGGATTGGCTCGTCGACTGATTTCTTTGGGATTACTCGACATATCGCATCTGATATCTCGTCTGCTCACGGCTATGAATGGAAGTCCAGCCAAGTCTGCTCCGGCCGGATCCCTCGAACCCAATCCTTCACCACTTTCTACTCCCCTTCATCAGCTTCCTTTCTCCCCACCTCCATATCACCGCTCCATCGCCCCAGCATCTCGGACTTGACGGACAGGAATAACGCCACTCACCCCGCACGTCTTACAGACCTCCAACTCCCTGGGCTCATTCTCCCCTAAGATTCGCGTACAATGCGGACATACCCACCGCATCACTTTTGTTGGTGGTTGGGGGATGGCGAAGGGCTGGGATTTGTGTTTGGTGATGCTCGGCTTGATGTAAGATACGCTCATTCTTGTGAACACATACACATCCTTGTAGATTTTTTGGTCGCTGTTTGTGCAAGAGTAACACCCCCGTCTACCGTCGTGATATATAGTGCCCCAGGTGAGTGGCGAACATACCGGCAGCACTGTCCTCCGTGGTATGTCAGAGGCGTAGGCAAGTGTCCATGAGCAAAAGACATGAGGAGGAATCAAGATCACTGCCCGACACGCTTCAATTCTTAGCCGTTTCCCGGAATGCCGTTGTGTTTCCCCTCTGTTGGTGCTCTTAGTCGTTCGTATAAACGGCGAGCGGGTCGAACCAGGCATATTATTTATATGCCTCCCACGATCCAGATGGATTCAATTGTTTACACAGTACCATATATACATGTTCGGATATATGCTGTACGGCGAATCATGTTAGACTTTGACTAGAGGTACAACCAAGTCTCCTCCGGTCGGATCCCTCGAACCCAATCTCTTACAACGTTCTGCCCATCCCTCGTCAGCTGATTCCTCCATACACATCTCTTACACATAGCCCGGACATCCCTCATAATATCTCGGGCAGAAGAAGTGCAAGACCCACCTTGCATGTCTGACAAACAGCCAACTCCCGCGGCTCTTTTCTTCCCAGAATCCGAGTACAATGTGGACATCGCCATCGTTTGACTGGTTTGGGCGGCTGGGGGACGACAAAGGGCTGATAGGTGATTTCGGGAAAGATAGAGGGCTTCTTGGTGTGTACTGGCATTGCGGTGGCGTTTGTTAGATGGATCTCTTACAGAAAAAGGTGGAGTATCTTTCGTTGAGCAACTACGACTTAGAAGAACGAGAGTGCTGTCCTTTCAGGAGCTCATCAGCCATATAACCACCACATCGGGTGGCAAACGCACCGTCACCGTTCAATTAACGAGGGCAGACATACGCGCTAAGCCAGTATCTGCAGTCAAATAGCAGCACGTCAGTATAAACACACCGACCCACACCAGAAGACACGAGGATGATGATCCTCAGATTCCGACACGCATTTTTCAACAATGCCCGACACTCTGTAATGCATCTCTTCTGTAGCGTGTTGCCGTGCAAGATGCTATCGGGTGTGCACACCCTGAATGGTGGGCCAGGTATCACGTTGACCTCAGTATTCGCTGCATGCTAGGGGGTAGCCGTCGCCACCATTGGGTTCGCCCTCATTGCATGTCGTTGCTCATCCGAGACGCTTTATGGGCTACCCTCAGAGTGCGAGGCTGAATACGATCTTTGGCCCTATAGACTACTTTCTAAAGCCGGACCAGTCGTCTCGTCAGCAGAGAACGCACATTTAACCCGATGATGAAAGATGAACAACACCAACCCCGCATCTGTAATCACGACACTTTTCCCCTTCCAGTGGATGTTTCGGAGACAATATACAGCGGCAGAATGGACAGATGAAGAGGGTCGTGTGGATGACGATGTCTCCGTCCCAGAATGTTGACATTGGTGCCAGAAAGACTTTGGTGGTAACGACGAAGAAGGGGGTGCGAGCGCAAGTACAATACTACATTCGGCAGGAAGGGTTGTTGATATACCTCCCAGCAGCAGGAGTCGAAGGGAGATTGACGAGGGAACGAGGGAGGCCTGGTACATCGGATGCTTGACGTGAGGAGGATTGATCGTCATCTGGAATACTGCTTACACCATGGCCACTGAGCCAGGCCCCAGGAGGTAGAAAGAAGGCAGCGTGCAAAGATGGCTACTCGTACTGTAGAGTGGCATCATCTGCTTTTTCTCTACACCATTTGCTTCTCCATGAGGAAAGAGCTAGTAGTCGTCCAGTGGTCTGACAGACTATGTTCTCGATTCGCTGTCGCGTCGCTGCGTTGGTCAAAACAGCATTGGGGGACGCTATCCCAGGCCAGTCTCTATCATCATGTTAAGGAGGATTTCCGGACGGGTGTAGCAGAAGATCGACGAAACTGCTCTGGAATGAACGAACGATGGCCCTTCATACATCTACATGTACAGTTTGTGGTACTATCGCAAGACTGCTGTCACGCACGACTTTCTACACGAGCAAAGCATTCCCCCAATTAGCCTAATTTCATGCACCAGCCGGTTCACGGATTCTGAAGTTACTTACTCCACAAGTTCCACACAGCGCCCGCTCTTTCGGCTTGGTTTGTCCGAGTACTCGCTCGCAATGTGGACACCTCCATAGATAAATTTTCGTACCGGGAGTAGGCATCGCGAAGGACTGGAACCGCGGCTCCTGGTGCTTGTTTGTTCTCCCCTTCTTCGGCATGGGCGATGAGACTGGCTCCTAGTGGAGACGTTGTAGAGGAGGGTAGTTGTAGATGCAGATTGGAGGAGTTGGCGATGTACGTGAAGCATTTTGGCCATCATGCCGGGTGGCAAACTTTCATCATCACGTTTGGAGTGAGAATACGTTATTAAAATCATCAAAGCGTCCACGCTTGCGCAGACAACACCGGTGACTAACCACAGAACACGAGGAAGAGGAAGAGAGAGGCTGTGGCTTTGAGCTTTGAACTTTGTCCGTGTGGGGATCCTCGTCGATGAATCGAACATTTCCTGCGCCCTTATATACGTCATGTCCCCCACTGCTGTGGACCTGTGGTACTTGGCATATCATCCATCAGATGTATGCCCAGCACATCACGCAATGAGCTCTGGCAGAGGCCAATACATATACAGCATTATTGTCTAGCTGGCATGATGAAGCTCCTTCTCTCTTCTTGCCCGTAACCTCACTTCGTTCCGCCACAAGCCGTCATTATAATCGGCTTCGATAAATCGACCACGCAGGCTGAACACCCTTGTCCACGCTGTAAACTACCTTCTATGTCATATGCCTCCTATCAGCACAAATGACCTCGCAATGTTCAGCGATGCTGGGGGCGCTATGAGATCTCTCATGGTTCTGGGGGGCAGAGAAATGATGACTGACATTGCATTTTGTATTCGGACACAGATCTCCGTCAGAAGAAAACTCTCGGCTGAAAGGATAGCCGCATGTTGGGCAGGACCACCAGAGAGTAGCGCCGAACGGGCCAACAAGAGAGGGCATTTAATAAGCTTGCTGGTAAGTAGATAGCCTGGTTCGGCTGCGCAAGATTATGAGGTAACAGTGGCTGTTATGCTGGGTGGGATTATATAGGGGTGAGCAAGGTGTGGCGTCGGTCTCTCAGTTTATATCCGTTGCTTGCTGCAAACCTTCTGTCTTGTGACCGGTGGGCAAGGTAATGATCGCCGCTTCACTCAGCTACTTCGGATCCTCTACCTCAGAACGAACACCGTGAAGCGCTTTTCGGATCATCTTGCACAAGAAGAAGATGGCCGGGATCTGCTGACAAGTGTACGGAGATGCGATGAGCGTGCAAGATGTCAGGCAGAGTAGCAGGAACGTCGGCAATGCCGTCGGTCGCTATCGAGGAAAGGCTGACCGGTAAACATAGCAGAGCAGAGCGTACAGAGCAACGGGCTGTGAAGTTATCTTCAGATTAGACAGTGTATATAGGAGACAGATCTTCAGGACATCATAATCGCTTTTTTTCGAACGCCCACCAACCTCAAGCAGACTGACCACTGGTACCGTACTCGTACATTGTAGGGATGTCTCAAAGGGGAAAGTATACTTCGCGTCTACTTACAAGCTAAACTATGGGATCAGAACGCCACATCTGCCACGACACGCATCCTCTCTCCAGGCCACGGTTCACCTGGTGGGCCAACATGACAAAGCAATGGGGCTTACACCCGCCGCAATGCTGTACACCACCCCCTATAAATGGCGTCAATCCATCTGCGAGCGTTAAGTCAAGCTCACCCGACAAAATGGGTGGGCACATATCTGTCCATCGAACGGACACACGAGCCCGTTCCCGATCATCGTCTTGCACCATCTGCAGCACAGAACGAATGTGACTCCGTTTGCTGACATTTTCGGAGTCTTTGTGAGGTTATAACTTGTCTTCATTATGTGTCATCTTCGCTGGGGTGGAATACAATTCGCTAGAACTATATACTCTGGACATCTTGGCTGAAGAAGAAGAAATGATGGGTTCCGACGCGCGTTCCCCACAGATTTACAATTCTCCTTCCAGAGCGATATGACAGGAGCGAGCAATGTGCTCTCCTATCCCACTGATGCGTCCGGCGAAGAAGCAGCAACTACGAAGAAGTGCGTTGATCGGTGCTGTTCCAGCAATCATCCCCAACGGCATTCAAGAATCTACAGGCCACAAAGCCCTCCAGATGTTGCATGTCTCCAGTCTCCCCTGTGAGCGTCTACATTGATATTGGCCACGTTGCAATGAAGATCCCGGACAAGACGGCGCACGCACCCTGGGAGATGTAGCAATATAATCGCGCTATCTACCGCTGCTTACGTTCGCGAGTTGTTGTTGCTGGATGCCCGATCTTTCTGGTACGTTTCGGAACAAACACATTCGGTTGTGTGAGCCGAAAGCTTTTGAAGTCCAGGTACACGAGAAAGGCGTAGACCAAAGTGGTAATGTACTCAATGCTTGCACCAGTCTCAACTGAAAGCCTGCCGTTCCGAAAGCACTTCATACAAGGCAGGCATCGCTCTCACACGATCTTTACTCATCTCCTCTTACTCCTTCTATGTCTGTCCTCATCCTCACTATCGCTCCTCTTCCTCCTACTACTCGCCCCTCTTCTCTCTTCCCCTTCCTCCTCCTCCCACCCCTCAGCTCCCAGCGAAACATCCTCCTCCTTCCTTCTCCTCTCCTTCTTCTCACTCTTCTCCTTCTCCCGCTCTTTTTCTCGCCTCTTCCTCCTCTCCCGATCTTCCGACGACGAGTACCCGCCCTCTTCATACTCTTCATACCCGCCCTTCTCACGCTCGCGCGTCCTAGACCTGGGGCTTCTCTCCCGTCTTCGACTACCCCTCGACTCGCTCCTTTCCTTGCCTGAATCCCAATCCCTCGTCTTATCCTTCTCCTTCTCTCGATCATCCTTTCCATACCGGTCTTCCTCTTCGTCGCCGTAGTCGAGAGAACCGGCGCCGCTGATATCGACACGGTCTTTGTCTTTGAAATCTCTGAACCTCGATTTGGGACCGGTAGGAGCGTGGAGCGTGGGGTTGGAAGATGAGGGGCCGGTGGGTGCGTTGGCGGGACCAGAAGGGACGGCGGCGGCACGGGGTCCCAGAGGGACGTTGCCTGATACGGGACCAGCACGGGGTCGAGTGGGAGGCGCTGGGCGACGTGAAGTTTCAACCTAGATAGCTCGTCAGCTTTTAAATATGATAGTAGATGAGCGACTTGCATGTTCGCCTTCCTCTTGCTTGGATTCTTCCGTAGATGCGGGTTGCGCTTGAGCTTGAGGAGTAGCACTTGGCCTACTAGCGTTCGTGATGCCTATAGCCACATAAGCACACAGCCATCAAGAAAGTAGTTCGACTCACTCGGCCTAGCCTGTTGAGCCTGAGCCTGGGCTTGCCCTTGCCCTTGCCCCTGCTGCATCATCCCCATATCCATCCCTCCCATCGCCATCATCTGCTGCATCTGCTGCATCTGTTGCATCTGCTGCATTTGCTGCATCCCTCCATTCATCCCCTGCATCCCCGGCATATTCATGCCTCCATTCATCCCATTCATCTGGCCCATCTGCATCATCTGCGGCAGGTTGATGCCGTTGCCGAGATGCAGCATCTGTGCCAGGTCGCCGCCCATAGCGGCCATGGGCGGCAGGTTGGCGAGGGCTTTGACGCCTTGTTCCATTTCGGAGCGGTACCGCAAGTACCGGGGGTAGGTGACTTCGTCAAAGCCAAAGTTGAAGTAGTCGCTCACGACGGCACCGGGCATTCGCCAGGGCTGGCCAGAGCCTTCAAACATGGCTGCTTCAATGTCGTACACCGACTGGCCGGTGGAAGGGATTATGCCCGAAGGGTTTGAGGGGTTGGGCTTGAAGCCCTGGGTGGTGGGGGCAGTCACGACAGGAAGGGTGGATGGGGGGAGGTTTGGGTTGATGGGCGGGCCATTCTGTGTCTGGGTCATTTGAGGTTGGGCGGAGGGGGTAGGTTCTTGCTGGGGTTGGAGGTTGGGCGCAGTGTTATTGGGCGCAAGAGGAGGGTTTTGGAGAGGATTGACTTGGGGAGTAGCAGATGGTCGAGCAGCAGGAGTATACTCTGTAGTGTGGTCTGCAGCTGCATTGCATGTCAGTCGACTTCCTGGACGCCAAAAGTGCACATACACCTGGTAGAAGCATCCGCAATAAGACTGGGGTTATGAGGCGTCGCTGGAGCCGGCGCTTGAGCACCCGTACTGGCATGCGCCCACTTTCCGATACCAACAACGTTCACCGGTTGCTGCTGCTTTCTATTTCAGAACTGTCAGCATATACTCAAAGCCAGATACAGAAGGGACCAACCTCAAATCCAAAGCTCTGGGATTTCCACTAAACACAAACTTTACATCCTCCTCATCACTCTCATCGTCATCATCATCGTCACCCTCATCATCCTCCTCTTCCACACCACCATCTTCAGGGTTCTCCAAAGGGGGTTCTACGACAGCTGCAGAAGCGTCAATACCATAAGCTGCTAAAGATCTGTTCCACCGCCGGTTAGTATTCAGAAATGATGATATTCAAGGTGGATACGTACGCAGCCATGGAGGCACTGAGCTTGCTTTGAGCATCAGCGGCTTCATTCTTGGTAGCTACAGAGACAAGTCTGGTCAGCTCCGATGATTCATAGTACAGGCCGACAGACTTACCTTGAGCAGCGGTGGTGTCGGTAGCGCCCTCGTCGCCGTAGAGGAAAGCGTCGTCGTCGTCCATGTCCATTCTGGGTTACTTGAGGGGTGAGTAGGAGGAGGACAAGCTGGGAGAATACCTGTTCTGTGGCGGGCAGAGACTTATCGAACGCGCCCAAGAAAGCGACGCAAGAGGTGGAAAGCAAAACGGATCTTATGTGGGCGCGTATCTAATGCTGGCGCCGTGGTCCTTCCTTCTGAGGCTCCTTTTCTCAGATCGAGTGAGTTTCATGCAATGCATCGAGCTCTTGGGCTATACTGCTCTAGGCCAACGAATGCCAGTATTTATCTGCTTGAATGCTCATTTGAAGACTCGATGTAGTCTACATCCATAGCCTGCGCGAGATAGACTTCACAGAACAATCACAGAAATGATATGTTGAGCGATCATCGTTGTCAGATACAGAAGTTTTCGGAGCCATTTTCCTCCCACAATCTCGATATTGAACAATTGTACACGGGACCTTGGATAACAATGATGCTGGTACGATACATTGCGCTGAAGGATATGGATAATCTAAGGATACGACAATAAATAAGAGCGTGGCGATGACGAAACTAGAAAAACACTCTATAGTGATATCAAAATGGGATACCAGGATGGGGTCGTAACAAAACACTGTAAGACAAACAGATCACGCATACACCCCCGAATCCTGCGACAGCTTCTGCTCCTCCAACCTCGACTGCTGCCTCTCAATCCTCTCCCCAGCCAACGACATTGCAAACTTGCTCCTCTCCCTAAACCAAGCACCATAGTAATAAAACACAAAGATCGGGACCGTCACGATCGCCGCGATGATGGCGAGGATGGTGGAGGGCCATTCGAGGTGGTAGCGGTAGGATTCGCCGCCGACGTTGGTGTAGAAGGGGGTACTGTAGAGGGCGGCGATACCGGCGAGGAAATCTCGGGCGAGACCGTTGCCACCGGTGGCGGAGGCTGCGTAGGGGCCGTAGGCTGCTACCATGCTAGAGACGAGGGTCAGTGACTTTCAAAGATAGAAGGGAAGGGGGTCGTACTAGTCGATAGTTGACATGTAGATGGCGTAGTTGGCAATACCGACCATCGTAGAAAAGATCATGGGCGCGATCCAATGGACGTGGGGCGGGCCCAGTGAGGTCCAGGCGAAACCAAACAGACCGATAGATTCGAGCGGAGCCACTACAAACAAGGTTAGCCGGGTCCAGAGAAGAAGTGAGAAGATAACACACGGTAGAGAAGAGGCTTGAGTCGGAATTCGGGAGCTGCGTTGGGGTCTTTTGCGAGGATACGTCGTTGGGACATGAGAGGAGGGATGTAGATGAGGTATGCCAACAAGTAACCGATGGCGATACTGAAGACTCTATCAGTACTCGTCAATCCCCCACAGGTGAACAAACTCACGGGACAAAAGCCAAAGCCATCTTCTCTCCCGTAATCCCCCACTGCTCATAAACAGGCGTGAAAGCCTCCATGAAAGTGAAGATCAACGCATCACTAAACCCAGACAACAAACTCAAACAAAGCACAATCGGTTCCCGGACAAACATCTCGAAAGGCCTGCAAAACGTCTTGACCATTTCGCGAGGAGAAAACTTCTCCTTGAACGTCTTGATCTCGGAAGGACCGTAGACCTTGGAATCGCCCGCTTTGCGGCGGCGTTGAGCTTCGCGGTCGAGGAGGATGGTGACTCGGGATTCGGGGACGAAGAAGAAGTGGAGGATTTGGACGAAACCGCCGAAGATGAGTTGGGTCCAGCAAATCCAGCCCCTGTGATTCGTGTCAGTTTTGCCTGCTAGACGTATGAGGAGAGAAACGTACCAGCTGAGGTGCTCGGCGATGAAAGGCCCGACGAGGGGACCGATGATACTACCACCGACAGAGGACAAGACGATATAGGCGACGGCCCATTGTTGGTCATTAGCATCGTAGAGATCGGCAACTGAGATAACGTTAGGACTGCGTCTCCTCGAAGCGGAAAGGGAGGTTGCACATACCCATTCCCAAAGTGACGGAACCACCGGCCGAAGAGAGACCTCCAAGTCCTCTGGCAACGAGCACAGAACCGAAGTTGGGCGCAAGAGCAGCCAGGATAGACCAGACTGTTATACCGTAAGCTTTTGCAATCGGTGGCAAGGCGAGATGATGAGAGATGATGACTCACTGTTTACCAAGAAAAGGGATGCTTGCAGGACGGGGCGTCGGCCGAGTTCTTCGGACCAAGGAGCCCATGCCTATGAATCTTGTAAGCTTGAGCGACCGACTAGTACAAAAGTCACTCACTTCACAACCAAAAGCGTAGCAGACCAAGAAGAGCATCTGACCAATTCGCGCCTTTTGCTCCGTGATATCAAACTTTTCCGTCAAGAACGGGACACCATTGGCGTAGATGGCGGCGTTATAGTTCATCGAACATTGTACGATAAAGATGACAGTCAGGACAGACCACTAGACGTTTGTCAGCACATGTAATCAAGTCACACGACCTCTGATGGCTTACCTTCTTTCTCGAACTCCACGTAAAACCGAGAGCCTCGGGCACTTCCTCCTCCTGCAAGATATGCCTCCCATCCCCCGTATCGCCCCTCTTCATCTTTGGTCTCGCATTCTCCACTTGCGCGATCTGCGCATTGTCTTTGGGCTTCTCGGCGTAGATGGCCTTGGCCATGTGGGCGGGGTCATTGCGGATTTTGGCGTGATTGGCGCGGGGGTTGAAGGGCTGGTTGTTACCGTCGAGGGTATCGGTGGACGAACGGTCGTTCTCCCTGGGAGCCAAAGCTACTTCTGATGGCTTTGACATGTGGAGCAAGAGTAGTGTGTTGTAGAGAAAGAAAAAAGTGGATAGGGATAGCGAATATAAGTGGGGGAGAGTGGGTTGACGTACTCTTAAAATATGAATCCTGTATCCTGAAACTTCATTTCCGTCGCATCGTCATCCTGGCCCAGCGAAAGTACGAGATGGCCCGCGAACGATGGACGGATTCGGGACGAGAAGGAGGTCATGATGTCACGTCCCTGAATTGACAAATCTTAAGATGCGGCAACGGAGGCGATCCCGAATCCAGCTCATCGGCAACAGCAGCTGGGCACGATCCCATCATCAAGAGCCCAAGATCGATGTGGCATGTGACGCTTCCTCGCTTCTTCAACTTGTATACCTTCACTGACCTGTTTATCTCTCCTGCACGAGGAGCTCTTCAAGGCGCAACATTTGGCAGTCAAAAGTGGGCAGGCTCTTAAAAGGCGCAACATTCGGCAAAAGTCGGCAGGCTCGGCATGCTCTTGTCTTGCCCATCATCAGGGACCATACAAAGGGCGGTCCCTTTGATTGCTCCTGAAAGCGTTGCGGAGGAAAGGGGGCCGCGAGGGGCAACCTCGCAAGTCTGTTGAAAACGGGCTCTAAATTCTGGAAAATCTGGAGAACTGTGGGCTAGGCGCGACATCTAATCCTATTAGTAAACATAGCCCGAGGGGCCCGGAATTTAATACTAGGGCATTAGTCCCTGCTCCCTGAGAAAGGGAAAAACGCAAGTACCAATATTCCGCAGTTCATTTTCCATTTTTGATGCAAGGATTCACTTTCAGCGTCGCGTTTTCCGATTCGGGGAAGGGGAGGATTGAAGAGGGTGGCCGTGGGACGCACGACTTTCAGGTGTTGACACACAAAATCCACACCCGCCCGTGTCCCAAATGCTCCCACTGGCAGAGGAGGATCAGCCCCGATCTCAGCGAGTACGGGTTGATCAATTACAATAACAGAATAGGCTTGTCAAGGGAGCTCTTCGACTTCTATGTGTATCAAATGATCGCCTCCACCACTCCTCTCATCGCCTACCATTCTGCCAAGCAAGCAGAATACTCGCACGGGTGTCCTATCATCCTATGTACTCCAGAATTGGGAAAATTCTCTCCTCCGATGAAGTTCTGCGACGGGATCGATTACATTAGCGCACTGCTACGCGACTCACGTCTTGTCGAGGTTCTTGGCTCGTCCCTTTTTGCACGAAGTGATTAGCATTTCTGCCTGCAAGATGCGCTACATGTCCCTCCCAGACCCAGTCCCATCACTCCCTCGTTCGCTCAGCAACATCAGAGACTATCGCCAAATCTGATGATAATTAGGGTTTTGCAAGTGTGCGATACCATCCCCCCGGGCGGAACGAATCACGCGGGCCGAACGAAACAAAAAAATGCTCGGTCGGCACTCTCAAGACCATTTCTCCACAACGGCTCAATCGATCTGCATGCATAAAGCTCGAGGGCATTCTTGAGAAGGTCTTCTATCGTCTGGGTACATCGCGAAGTATGCATGCGTTGATGCGGATGTACAATGAGGAAAACGCGCCGAATATTTGGTTCTTGGATTCTGACTGGCTTTTTCAATTCATCGACACTTTTGTTTCGTTCGGCCCGCGTTTTTCGTTCCGCCCGGGGGCCCGGGAAGGGGCGACTTCGTCTTCCTTGGCCCGGGTACATAAGACAACTCGAGTATGTGCTGCATAAACACTTTCCAGAATAAAACTCGCAGGATATCAATTATGACTTCTTGTCTAAACAAAAGTAAAAGAGATATGTGCGATAAACTTGTCATAGACTACACGTTGTGGAAGCTACATAGCAGAAGGTAAAGCGTTGCCCGCCTTTTTCGAAAAGAGAGAAAGACACCAACAGAAAAATAGAGAGAGAATCGAATCTATAAATCGCCCTCTTTTTCCCGCTCAGAGCTCTGGGAATTCATATACACTCGAAAAAGAAAACCGCAAGCCATTGTCCGTGTTGAAGTGGGGTCATTAATGAAGAGAAAGAAGCAATGTCATGAAAGCGAACGCATTACTGCCGCGAGGGGTTGGCGACCTATACCAATGTCAGTGATCGCCCAGAAGCAAAACGTTGGCAAGACTCACGTGCAGAGGATCCTCCCTCTCGTGTTGAGGAGTCCCATTACCCACCGACCCTTCGTTCCCAGAATATCCACCATAAGGATCATCCGTATACGGCTCCGCCCCCTGTTCCGCATCATGATACTCTTGCGCCTGCTCCGGGTCAAAGTAATACGCCTGCCCCACCCCCTGACTCCCCTCCGCACTCTGCAACCCCTCGCTCTGCCCTTCCTGATTGAGCGGCGCATCGCTATACGCCTCCGCCGACGTCGTGGGCGCATCGCTGTATTGCTCTGGCGTACCGTGCGGGTCGTAGTAGTACCCCTGGCCGTCTGGCTGGAGGTTGTCGTACCCTGTATGCGCGCCGTAGCCCGCAGCGGCGGCGGCGTAGGGGTCGTACCCACCGGCATTGGCGTAGGAAGCGCCGTAGCCGTCATATTGGCCCATGTCGGGGCCGCTAGCGGGGGAGGGGTAAGATTCGCTGTTGGTCTGCGGACCGGAGGAAGGTGTGTAGTTTTGGTCTTCGTCTACGGGCTGACGTCCTGTCGAAGCGGGCGCAGCCATAGCAGCTGCAGTCACTTCCCTATCCAACCTCTGCCTCCTTCGCCGTCTGAAACACAACAACGCCAACGCCGCCGCCAGACCAATCACCACCAAGCCTACTACGACAAACGTCCCCGCCACCGCGCCCCTGTTGTTGAAGAACGAGTTGGAAGAGCCGCCGGATGAGGACGAGCCAGAGTCGAGGGAGCCGGTGGGGTTGTGCACGATTTGGGTGACGGTGTAGACTTCGCCGTCGGAGGTGGTTACGTAGGAGGAGGTGTAGGTGTCGGGGGTGGTTGTGACGGCGCTGCCGGCAGAATCGGTTGTGGTTGCGACGTAGGCGGATTGAGCGGTGGTGCTCGCAGCAGTGTTGCTCTCAGAGACGACGACGGTCGATGTCCTAACGCATGTCAGCCGCAAAATCTGAAATGCCGTAAATGGACTCACTGTGGACCGCTCTCGCTCGTCGCCTGTGTCGATGTCGCCCCTCCGTCTGTCGAAGCACCCGCTGAAGAGCTCGCACCGACCGTTACAGTCGTCGTACCCGGGTTTGAAGACCTGTCCCATATCAATACGTTATCCCAGACACCGCCAAGACATGCAACTCACGTTACGATCCCGCCTGCAGCGCTCGACTGAGCCTGACTACTCGCCGCCGCCTGACTGCTCTGCGCTTGTGTAGTCGACAACACAGTCGTCTCACTCTGCCCCGCCGCCGAGCTTTGCGCCTGACTCGGCGCTGCGCTCGTCGCACTCGGGCTCGCACTCGGGCTCGCACTGCTTTGAGCTTCTGAAGCACTCGGGCTGGCTGAGGGCGATTGCGTCTGGGATTGAGAAGGTTGAGCCGAGCTCTGCGCTTGAGAGGTGGTGGGGACTGCAGAAGACTGGGCTGCTGAAGATTGGGCGGCGGATGATTGAGCTGCAGATGACTGCGGGGTTGAAGATTGAGCTGCTGAAGACTCGGCGGCTGAAGATTGAGCTGCTGAAGACTCGGCGGCTGAAGATTGCGCTTCTGAAGTCGTTGGCTGGGCTGAAGACGTAGCGGCCTCGGACGTTTGCGCTGATGATTGGGCAGTAGACGTTTGTTGAGCAGTAGACGTTTGTTGAGCAGTAGACGTTTGTCGGGCAGAAGATGTCGCCGTGGGAGATTGCGAGGAAGGGGTATCATCAGAAGTGGTAGTAGACGACGCGGTGGATTCAGACGATTCAGAAGACGCAGCAGCAGAAGAAGCTAGATTGTCAATGCAGTACAACAACAATGGAGAACACAGACATCAACGAAAACCGTCGACAAATGTTTTTTTTTTGGGGGGGGAGGTCCCACTCACCTTCAGAGCTCTCGGCAGCGCTGCTCTCAGGGGCGGCGGACGATGCGGCGGAGTCGTCTGAAGTGCCGTTCCCAGTGTCGTCCTGCCTGGGGACGAGGGCCGGGCGGGCTGTGGGCCATGGGTAGCTTGCGGGCGTGGAGAAGAGGGTGGACATGTGGGGCGGGGTGAGAGATGTAGGGGCGAGGTGGACGAGGTGGAAAGGCAGAAGAGAAAGAAAGAGATTTATTAGGGAAAACGAGGCGATGATGCTAAAATTCGCGTCCCTATTTCGTCCCCAGCAAGATTATCTCCCTTCTTCTTCTCCCATGCATCATGCCTCTCCCTTCTTTCTTCTCCTCTCATGCAAGAACCTTCGCTGGCCGGGTGGAGCTCGCTCGGGGTGATGTGCTGTGCAGGGAGTTGTACGACGTCTTTTGGACCGCTACCCGCGGCCGCGTCTCACGAGCTTGATCTTGACCTGTGCTACATCTGCCGGCATGTGATGAGATTTGAATATCCTTCTGCCAAACAGCTGTCTGCCTGATGTGCTCTGCATGTGGCTGGTAGCCTTTTCTGGATATAGCATGGCTCTGACGCAGAGAGTCGGAGAAAGAGATAGGGCGATACGACGTATGGTGGACGATAATAAATACCAGAGTCCGCCGCTGTCTATCTACCTTGATACATGCTGTCATGTTTGTGCTTGCATGAAGATGAATGTGTGTCAACAACTGCATCCCCACAGCCCACAAGCCTAGCTCGTCTGGACCAGAGAGCCCAACAACCCTAAACAACTGTGAACTGTGCATTACTTCGGTAGCGACGTTTACCAAAGCGACCAAGTGACGACACCGTTAGTCGTTACTGGCCTTATATGGTGGGATGGTGGGTGCGGGGCCAGTCACAGTATCAGAGCCTTCGAGTTGGAAGCATGTTTAAAGACTCGAAGCCACATGCTGATCACAAACGAGAATCTAGTAGAGTAGCTCTACATATGTAGTCACAAACGTGAGAACGGTAGGTCGAAGGCGGTAGCAGCGAGGCACAGAAGCCTCAGAAGAAGCACCACCGTTTGGGTAGGGTCGATTCGATCGTAGCAAAGGAGTGTCAACGTCTGATGCGAGTGGTCCAGTACTTCAAAGATTGTAAGCTCGAAGCATTGCATGGCGCATTGCAACGAAAAGGCTACATATGTACCAGATAGAACAAAAGTAAAGGGTTGAGGTTGTTGAGAAGTGGTTCGACTGGAGAAGAAGGGTGTGTCGTCTTCACTCAACATCAGCTATAAGTCAATGAACCTTTTTCGATGAGTTGTTCCACCCGTTTGAGATGCAACACTCTCCTTTTAGCTCGTCAGACATTTACTCGCTCATGTCATCTCGTAGTTTGATGACGGTAAGAAGTCATATCAGCCGCCGTGGGTAAGAAGCAGATCGTTGACTTCTACCACGCCATCATTGAGATCCACTTCTCCTCCTAACTACAGCAGCAATAATGCCTTCCGAGCAAGAACGTACAGTTCAACCCGACGAGGAGTCGCAAATGACAGACGAAGAATGGCTCGAATCCCCCATCATGGCAGCAACTCGCAAAGGACTCACTGTAAATTATTTGGGAGAGGTACCCAGAGAGCTCTTCCACAATCAGAGACTTGCAGACTGTCACGGATGGCGTGGAGAGTGAATTTGTCCAAGAGGAGCGCCTAGCAGCAGCAGCGATAGAAGCCAGTATCAGAGATGGAGTGAGTGAATGGTGGCTAGTTGTGTATGATGATCTGATGTAACGACTGAATGGCATCAATGAAGCTACAGTTATCGCCTTGGACGTGCGGTCAGAAAGGGCAGCCAACAGCTGGTGGCAATGGGTCACTGTCGGCTCCTCCGATACATATTGATGACGGCAACTTGGAAAGGAAACCAATGACTCACCACAGCAACACTACAGTAGGCGTTATATGACCACCGCTGAGACAAAAAGTCGATGAAGTATCCGGCTTGAGTCCTTGACATATCACATATCTGTGTGTCTGGACGCGTCGGGTAGTGGCCTCTTCGAGTCCGCGGTTGAGACAAAACCACCTTGTCCGACTCCATTTCCTGTCTCCCGGAGCACTCTCTGACTCACACTGCCTGACATATGTATCCCCCGCTTAGCCCAGGGACCCCCCAAGGTAAGTCCGGTCCCTATGCAAGAACAATACCCGGCTGAAACGCAGTGGGCGTTTCAGGATCCAGGGCTTGATAACGGGATCAACCGCCAGGCACTGTGCACTACCGCGTCCTATTGTTCTCTCACTCCCCGTTTCTTATTTGTTTCTTATTGTTCTCTTGTTTCTTTCCCCTGTCTCCGTACACAAACACGCCCCGGATTCCATATACGGTACCATCAGAACTCCACCCTCCTTATAAACCTCGTTCCTCGCCAGCTCAGACTCTTGCCTCCCCGCGCCCCTCCACCGCCAACCACACCACCGCTATATCTTTCAACATGACCGTTGACGCTCAGAGCAAGACCAACTTCAACGTGCCTGAAGCTTACCAGCTGCAAGAGGTCGTTGGCGAGGGTGCCTATGGCTTGGTAGTGTGAGTTGGCCGCTGGTCTTGTGCAGTCACAGTAACTCACCATGATGATTTATCCTGTCTCGCTCTTCTTCACCATATGTCATGAAATGAACTCTCATATTGGCACAGCTCGGCTACCCACGTCCACACTGGCACCCGAGTCGCCATCAAGCGCATCACCCCGTTCGACCACACCATGTTCTGTCAACGGACTCTCCGAGAGATCAAGCTCCTGAGGCACTTCCGGTACGTTCTTAATCTTTTCTATAACATGTAGTGGGATCAGGTGTATCTATGTTACTGCCTCTGGTGCATGCCTTGCTGGAGGCAAAGGTATAGAGGGTGTCTGGCAGTGGCGAATCTGCCTGGGTCGTAACTCGGCGTTTGGCCACCATCTGAGCGCGTCGACATTCGCAGCATCTTCGTGTTCAAGCCCAGATGCTGCCTGATATATTTGCTATATGGGCCTCTCCATGTCACATCAGACACAAAAGTGTAATCTTCTTGTACTGACTTGCGCACCTATAGCCACGAGAACATCATCTCCATCCTCGACCTCATCAAACCCGCCACCTATGCCTCATTCACTGAAGTCTACCTCGTCCAAGTGAGTACTTTCTCCATTTCGCCCTCATGCGCCGTCCTCGTTCTCAGGCCGCGTCCTTTGAGCTTCTGCTTCCCTAGGAACAAGCGCTGATAGCCCACGCTCAGGAACTGATGGAGACTGATCTACACCGAGTCATCCGAAGCCAGGATCTCTCCGATGACCACTGTCAATACTTTGTCTACCAAGTGCGTCCCTCCATCCCTTCCTTCCTTTTTTCTTTGCTTGTGCAGTCACTGACATTGTGATCAGACTCTGCGTGGCCTCAAAGCCATGCACTCTGCCGACGTCCTCCACCGAGACCTCAAACCCTCCAACCTGCTCCTAAACGCCAACTGTGATCTCAAGATCTGCGATTTCGGCCTCGCCCGTTCGGCGGCAAAGAAGGACCCGGGGGCGGAGACGGGGAATGGGTTCATGACCGAGTATGTTGCGACGAGGTGGTACAGAGCGCCGGAGGTCATGCTTTGTGAGTCTCCCCCCTTCCCTGCTTTGGTTTTGGTTTGGGGGGTGAAATGCTGATAAGGGGTAGCGTTCCAAGAGTATACCAAGGCGATCGATCTCTGGAGTGTGGGATGTATTCTTGCAGAGATGTTGACTGGCAAGCCCCTCTTCCCTGGACGAGACTACCACCACCGTACGTCACCTCTATCCAAAAGCCATTGCAACTGACCCCCCTCGCAGAGCTTTCTCTGATCCTCCAAGTCCTCGGTACCCCGACCATGGACGACTTCAACGAAATAACCTCTCAGCGCTCTAAAGACTACCTTGTATGTCTCACATATCTCTCTTTGGACTGTACTAACGTGTGATACAGCGAGCCCTCGAGTTTACCCGGCGCCAGGACTTTGCGACCATCATCCCCAAAGCCAAGCCCAACGCCCTGGACCTTCTCCGCAAGACTCTGACGTTTTCTCCGACAAAGAGGATTACGGTGGAGGAGGCTCTCAACCATCCTTATGTCGAGGTACGTACTCGTCTCTTGTGATGTTTTGAGTGTCAGTGCTTATGGGTTGTAGGCATACCACGACATGAACGATGAGCCCGCTTCGGAACCCCTCCCCGTCGGATTCTTCGACTTTGAATACTCTCAAGACAAGCTTTCCCGAGATCAATGGAAACGTACGTCCCCTCTTACAATATCCCTCCCTGGCCAGAGCTGACATCAAGGTCCAGAGATGATCTACGGCGAAGTCACTCGAGAGGTCAACGAAGTCCTCAAGTCATAAATTGCATTCTTTACATCGCATACGGCAAAGAACACATGGCGGGGCTGTGTGGGCGCCTTGAGATCGGTGTTCTTAATCGCGTTTTCTTCTCAATTATTCTTATCCTTTATTGGCATTCTTTATCATTGTGTGATATATATATCCTTAGTCGTCATCAATTTACCCCAGTCTCGTCCTCTTTATTCCTAGTAGCCGTCGTTCTTGGATACCCCCCACCTCGTTACTTCTTGCGGATACCCTCATTTTTTTGAGATAGCTTCACTCATTTTGAAATGTATCGTGTCCCCTACCAAAGTTCTTTGATGAGCGCTGCCTGGTTGAAAGGGCAGAGGACGGATAGGTCAAGGGGAAACAAAGGTATATACATGCAGTTGTGAGGGAGAGATTCTACAACCGGTAAGGACCAAACTACAAAACTAGCTCTTCAAGCTCTAACGATATACCATCTACATTTACAACACCTTCTATTGAGCAAAACGTATCTTTTTGCCGAGTCGTTCTATAACTTGAAGAGGAAAGAAAGCTGCACACTAGTCAGTATCATGATGACAGGTGAAAAGCGGAAGAGGTGGACTCACATCTTCAGTAGTCAGCTTGCCCAGCGCCGCGTCGGCCTCCGAGCTCAGCGCCGCCTCCGTCATCGCCAACTTCTTCGCTTGGAGCTGTACGATCTGATCTTCGATACTGTCTTCCACGACAAGTTTGATGACCTTGACGGGACGCTTTTGACCGAGACGGTGGATACGGTCCATAGCCTGGTACTCGACGGATGGGTTCCACTGTTGGTCTGGTCAGCTGCGGTATGATTTGAGTCAAAAGAGGAGGACGAACCCAACTGTCCATCATGAAAACCATTGAAGCTTCGGTCAAGTTCAAGGCGACACCACCAGCTTTCAAGGAGATCAAGAAGACGGTGACACCAGTGTTTTTCACTTTCGAGACATTAGCAAGTTGACCATTGTTTACGGGCGATGAGAACTCACTGAAATGCTGAATGGTAGCATCTCGTTGCTGGGGTGTCATGCCACCCTCAAGACGGCAGATATTAAACCCGGCTCGCTGCAAGCGGAAGGCGATAAGGTCGAGGAACGAGACGAATTGTGAAAAGACGAGCGACTTGACGGTCGAATCCTGATTTCGGAGCTTCTCGAGCTCTTCTACTAGCGCCTCGAGCTTTGACGAAGATCGCCAGTTCTACTCACTGATCAGCACCAAATACACGTATGAGAGCGAGGTACGTACGTCGAGGTTCAGCCTGCTCAGGATCCCTTGCCTGGCCTTCTTTGTGCCATCGTCCAACTCCAAAGCCTCCGCCTCCAGGTCAATCGAGATTTCAATATGGCAGACAGGACACTCGGGCTTGTGGCCACGGGCTTGCTTGACCTCGAGGTATTGTTTGATACATTCTCGGTCAAAAACGTGCTTGCACTGAGACATGATGGCATCTTCGGCCTGTGACAGAGTCAGTACTGGGTCGAGTCTGAACGGCTTGACGTACGGTATCGTTACAGAGACGACAGACGGTACCTTCGTTGATCTCGGCGAGAGTGCTGTTTTTGGATCGAAGCACCAAGTCGGGATGACAAGCCATTTGACGCACTGTGCACGTTAGCTGATATCCTGAACGTGAGGTAGGTGGGCACTCACTTCTGGTAATGAGAGAGAAGATATTGGAGTAGTCTGCAAATCAATGAGCGCAAATCCATGTTTACAGGAAAGGACTTACTGTTCAAAACCGTACCCTGGTCGATATAGGTAGCAAAAGTACGCTTCGCGTTTGTGAACAAACTCATATACAACTCCTTCTCTTCCGGGCTAAAGTAGTCCCTTCTGACCACGATCGTCCTCGGCGGTAAACCCAAATCATCCGCCCTCTCTAATTTGGTCCTCCTCAGCATCATCCTGTCCAGCAAGATTTTGAGTTTTTTGAATGCGGTATGACCGGGTCCGCCTTGTTCGATACCGTACTTGGCGATGGGGGTGAGGATTTCAGTGTTCCAGAAACAGACGTGGACCATGGGGGAATGGCCGCACTCGTCGCAGGATCGTTTGTCGGAGAATTGCCAGTGAAGACTCTTACAGGGGCACTTTTTACAGAAGTAATGGCTATCGTGGAATCAGCCATGCTCCTTCACGATCGCGATATACTTACCTGAATGGATCCGCGCCCAAGAACCTGACGAGCGAATACAACTCTCCAACCCTATTCTGCAGCGGCGTACCAGACAAGCACCACTTGTACTGCGCCTTCAGAGCAAACGCCGCCTTGGCAGCATTCGTCGACCTCTCTTTGATATTGTGCGCCTCATCCAGCACAACCCGGAACCACTCAAACTCGTGCATGGGCGACTTTTCCTTGATGAACTTGTCGCCTCTCTTGAATCCGCGCTGCTGTCTTCTGAAAGACGCTTCGAGGGTACCGTAAGAGACGAGGACGACGTCGTATGATTGGAGGTCGGAGGCTTTCATGCGGCCTTGGCCGTGCCAGAGGCAAACGGTGAAGCCTTCGGCGTGTGTTTCGATCTCGTTCTTCCATTGCATGAGGGCGACGACGGGGGCAACGACTAGAGAAGGTTTGCGGCGAGGTTCGGAGAGGAGTAGCGCGATGGTTTGGATGCTAGCGGAATGTCAGCAGTGGCTTGGGCAGTGATGAGCCTGGACTAACGTCTTTCCCATACCCATCTCATCAGCCAGCATACCGCCCTTCCACGGACCTTCCTCCTGCTGCTTCATCCAATACAAACTCTCCTTCTGAAAAGGCAGAAGAGTGAGCTTGAGGGACGGATGAGCTTCCATGGTGGTAGGCTTGACAGGTGCAAGCTTGTTTTCGAGATCACCCCAGACATGCTCGAGCTCGGGATGGTACTGAGATATGTCAGCGCGGTTATGAAAACGAAGAAAGGGAACGTACCATGCACAGCGCAATCAAATTCTTTTCACCGTTCGTCAACTTTCTCCCCAGCTTCTTGGAGAGCTCCTTCTCCTTCTTCTTTCGCGGCGCCGCCGACTTGGCCGACTTTCTCGCCTCTTTCCTCCTCCTAAACTTCGTTTGCTCCATGAACGACAAGCCCTCTGGCTCTGGCTCCGACAAGGACTCTTCAGACACCTCGTCCGACTCGAAATTATCTTCCGACTCCTCTTCGAAGTCTGCTCCAAGCTTCCGACCTTTTCCTTGGAACTTTTTGGTCGTCGCCTTGCCTTTGACACGCTTTGCGTTACCGTTGGACTGACGGCCACCTCTCCCACCAGCGCCTCTTCCTCCAGCTCCACGGGCAAGAGGGATATCTTCATCGGTTTCGGTGGCATCGGGATCGGTGGGGGGCGCATCGGGGTCGGTGAAATCGTCATCGTCGGAGAGGGGAGTAACTTTGCCAGAGGCAGCAGTGGAAGTCCGGCCGCTTCGACCTGTTGAACAATAAGCATGATTGCCGGGCTTGCGACAAGATACTCACTTCCAGAGGCGATGACACCTGCCTTCCCTCGCCCTCTCGTAGCTCTAGCAGTAGAAGCTTTAATCGCCCTCTTCAACTGCCGCTCCTCTTCATCACTGTCCATGGCGAAATCATCATCCTCTGCAGACGACTCGGCTTTGACAGCTTTTCCCTTGCCCTTTCCTTTGGCAGCAGCTCGCTTCTTGGGCTTGATCTCGAGATCAGCCGCTGACTCTTTGACGACGCTGCTATAAGTTCCTATGTTGAAAGGCTGATCGGCCACAGGATCGAGCTCAGCCTGTCGATATCAGCTCCATGAGATCGGGGCGATAAGGTTGGCCACTCACTTTCGGCTTGATTTCTGGCTCCGAATCGCTCTCCACGTACTTGGACTTGGCCGTGCCATTCGATAAAGTTGGGCGCCGCTTTCTCTCTATGACAACTTCAACTGAGGGCCGGCGTCTTTTGCCGTTGTTCAGACCGTCGCCGTTGATAGAGCCGCTGGTGGAGCTGCCGTTCGTGGTCGGGGGCGGCGGATTGGAGGGGCGCGAGCTGCGTCTGAGCGGCATGCTGGAGAGGAGTGGCAAGCAGATAGACTGGAAGAGAAAAGAAAGTTGAGTGATGAAAGAGAAATTGAGGATTTTGGTGGGTGGTGATCGATGGCGAAGGGCGACGAAAAGTGGAGGCCGGTGGAGACCGGAGTTGACTCAACCGGCCGACCGTGGGAAGTTTTGGGAGAAGGGTTGAGTGATTCGTTCTTACTCAACACTGCACTAGAAGAGACAGCAGAGTACCAAATTGAAGAGAAATAGTATCTTAAAGGGGACTGGCATCATGGGCTGAGACCGCTCAACTTCTACTTACCAATTACATACCGACAGCCACAACACTCTTCGCAGCTTATTCAGCAGCAGGGCCCCGCTCGGCGGGCATCTCGGCTAGGTCCATCGGATATACAGGAAGCCCTCCACTTCCATTCTGTCACCCGTCGCCAAGTATGAAGATGATGGGTCAACCGATCTACTCGCCTCCTCCTGAGCTGGCTGCTGTCCATGGTGGTCTCTTCTATCATAACAGCCGCAGCTTACATGCAGAACAGCAGCACTCATCGATTTTTCGCCGATCCTATTCATGGTGGGCTACGCTTACCATCGTTCCTCTTCGACCTCTCTTCCAGAATGTCGCCTACATTTTGTATCAAAATTCGGCGTCTAAGTGAGGCTGTTGGCTCAAGAACTCAGAGTTAGAGACCTCATCGTCCCTCACGAGCCCCATCCCAGCAACTGTCTCCCTATGGCTGCTAGTGAGTCGTATGTTTTGGTGAACGGCCCGGGGCGAAAGTTAGCATTATGATTTGTGAGAAAGACCTTCTCTCCCACAGCCAGAGTAGAAGACAAGATGCTCATCATTATTCCGTAGTCCGAATTCACACTTCCCAACTCCATTTCGTTACCTCCATTTCATCCAGCTGTGCCGGGACCCGGTTTTGCGCTGTGTGTGTGTTCCATCAACAAGGGACTGTGTTGCAGTGGTAGCATTCAAGACTTCGAGGTCTTAAAAACTGGAGTTTCATCTTGCGGTCACGGGTTCGAATCCTGTCGGTCCTTGTCTTTTTGCTCCCCTTTCTCCATTTTTTTGCTCCCTTTTCTTCCTTGTAACATCTCCGCATATCGGAGATCGGAGTCTGCGGAAAGGCATGTAGGGGATAACGATTGTTGATGATGGCAAATAACAAACGCCTTGGCGAGCAAACACTTGGAATTGTCAAATTGTAATCCCAAGGCTACAAAGCCTCCCGGGATGCATAGCACGGTATCCCACCCAGCGTCTACTGCAAATGCCAAGCATATTGTTATACGCGCATATGGGCAGCAACTCAGCAAGGGCTGGATCTTATGAAGAGGATCTTTCAGGCGCGGTGAGTCACCCGCACGCGGGAAGCCGAAAATGTGGTTCGCACCAGGAATCCAGATCGTATTTTGATCTGTATCTGATCTCTCTGCGCTGCATGCTGCAGGGTACGGGTGCAGCTCCAGGATGGCGGCTCTTCCCTTCCCACGCTGCTGTAGCGATACTCGAGTATGTATCTCCGATTGGAGGCCGGATGCATGTCTGGCGTTGATTCGGCGTCGCGAGAGGGCTGCGTCATCTGTGGGATGGCGAAAAAATAGCGGTCTTCGGGGACATGGCCGTCTCTCTCTTGCTGTCTCATCTTGGATCTTGCTAGCACACGGGAAGTCTGGTGAGTGTCCCTTTCGTCACCTCCTGTACCTCTGCGTCTTGGCATCACCCCGCTATATAACCCCTCGCCCCGCCCCCCGCATCCACATCCATCACATCAAACGCAATGCCCAGAGGCGACTACAACCCCACCTCGCCCTACGGCTACACCCCCATCGAATGGGTCACTATCGTCTTTCTCGTCATCTTTTCCGTCTCGGGTGCAGTCCATCTGGCACAGGGGGTGTGGGGAAAGTATTATATCGTGTTTCCCACCCTCATCGTCGGGCTACTTCGTATGACCCTTTCTATGCTTTGTTTGGGCCAAGCTGACTGGCAGGTAGTTGAGATTATAGGCTGGGTGGCGAGATTTTGGAGTTCGAGGAATGTGCTCTACGACACACCGTTCCTCATGCAGATCATCACGTACGCTCTCAGCCTTGGATACCATCACCCTTTAGCTGACGATCTGATAGGCTCATCATCGCCCCCGTCTTCTTCTCGGCGTACTGCTACACCATCCTGGGCGTCGGCATCCAAGCCCTCGGCAGACAATACTCTCTCCTCCGCGCCAACTGGGTACGCCCCGTCCATCCCTCCTCCTTTCTGAGTCCGTGCTAACGAAACCTAATAGTATGTCGCTCTCTTCGTCACCTGCGACGTCATCTCCCTCGTCCTCCAAGCCGTCGGCGGCGGCTGGGCCGCCTCCTCTGACGAGCACCCCGTCCCCCACACTCCCACCAACATCATGGTCGGCGGTATCATCTTCCAGCTCGTGACGATGATTGTCTTTTGCTGTCTTGCTGCCGATTTCATGTGGCGCGCGGCGTCCAAGAAGGCTTATAAGAGCAAGCTTGGCCAGGCGGAGAAGGAGAGGGAGCTGGAGATGGGGGTTCTTGAAGTGCCCGACAGTCCCCAAACAGCCGACAGCGACGCGCGGTTAGCTGGAAAGGAGGTCAACAGCCCGTACAGCACGTCTATCGACGATGCGGGAGAGAGGAGGAAGAGGGTGAGGGGATGGTGGTTTGTCATGCTCGGCGTTGGGATTTGCAGTATCTGCATCATCGTGCGAGGTATCTATCGTACCGTCGAGTTGCTGCAGGGGTGGGATGGGTATCTCATTTCTCATGGTACGTTCTTCTTCTTCTTTTCCAGACCAAGGGAGACTGACAAAGGGTGTAGAGGTCTACCAAGACGTACTAGACGGTATCCCCATGTCGATCGCCATCATCGCCATAAACGTGTTCCATCCTGCGTTTTGGCTGAGTAAGAGACGGGGGTGGATCAGGGAATAAATTCTCCTCCCGCTCCTGCCGCCCTATCACCCTTCAGACATCCTCCGAACTGTGTCCTCAACCCCATCCCTCTCAATCCACAAAGCGACATCCACATCCACATTCAGAATCCAAATTCAAATCCATACATCAAATCGGGCAATGCCAAAGAATCAGAAATTTGGAGAATCGAAGAAAGAGTGAGAGAAGGGGTCAGAAGCTGTAAATCAAGCTGGTCTCTTGCGTTCGTTGTTGTGGTTCACGGTTCATGGCTCCTCCGACTCATGGTCAATTATCCTATCTCTTCAACGCTAGATACCGGTTCCTTTTGTTTTTTGTTTGTTTTTATTTTCCTTCTATTGTAAAGTGGACTACATATCATATATACCCCACTGGGCGAACAGTAATCATAGGATCTAGAGATCAAAATGCAACATATACACTTGACTTCGTTGACACTTGACTGTCAGCGCTGGCCAGTCGGTGCCTTGTCTCACTCAAAGTCAAGACGGAGGTTACCGCTTCCCAGCTCCCGAGACGCGGTTCTCGCGACAATCCATCCCCCATCTACCTTTGTCTTTTCTATTCCCTCTTTCTTTCAGTCAAGGTATCATCAGACTCGGCATAGCAAGCATCACAAGCAGGAGCAGAAGATCAGGGGCAGCACAAGATGTCCCACCAAGATAGCCGAGCGCGCGTCTGCGCCGAGCCTTCCACGTCCCCTCCTCCCCTTGTTCGGGATAGTCCTCGGACCTACTCCCCTCCCCAGCGCCGTGGTATGTCCCCCCTGCCTCTCTTCCCCAACGAAGTATGTATACGATACTGACCTTCTGCATAGATGGAAATGGCAGCGAAGAAAGAGACGTCAAGAGCCAGAGAGCAGCTGGGACGGACCTACCGACAGCAGCAGAGCTGTTTGTACCTTCATTACCGGGTATACCGAATTTGGCTACGCATCCGACGTATGTGCCCTTCCCCTATTTCCCTTACCCCTTCTTCAAGCCCTTGAGTCTTGGAGGTCAAATCGTCCGGAGCGATCGCCGTGACCTCTGAAAGGTCAGGCTTGTCAAGGCTGCTTGCTTTGCTCCCGCTCTATCCGTTTCATCGCTGGAGAGATATTCAGACGGAACGGGAGAAAGCGACAGGACGAAGCTCTCTGTGGTTATACGAAGGACGGAGGATGAAAGACGAAGGGCAGCGGACGGACCGACGACGGACAACCGAGGCGCAAAGACAACGTCGGAAAGCAAATGATCACAAGCTGACCCCTTACTCGTATAGACATCCACTACAAGTATACGCCGGAATGCTACCTTCGTACCCTGGAGAAGGAAATGGAGGTGGGGAGGGGGATGTGGGGAAGGATGCCAAGCTTTTGTATGTCCTCTTTCTTCTATGACTGTTCTTCTCTTGCCCTACTCCTTGACTCGCCACCTCTTCCTCTGCGGAACTCCTCTCCGACTCCTACTGCCCCTCCCACCCCCCCCCCCCCCCCCCCCCCCCCCCCCCCCCCCCCCCCCCCCCCCCCCCCCCCCCCCCCCCCCTCTCCACCTCATACCTCTCCCCTCGCCCCGCCCCGCTTCATTTCTCGCCCCGATCGAAGGCTGACACTCTCTCAGCTTCCTCATGTCCAAAGCCCGACGCTCCGCCGGTCCCCAACGCCTCATATTCTGGTTTAACGGCGGGCCCGGATGTAGCAGCTTCGATGGAAGTCTGATGGAAGTCGGACCCTTCCGTACCGTCCCCGCCTCTGAAACCACATCCGGCAAAGTGGAAGTCAAGTTGGTAGAAGGCGGGTGGGAAGAGTTTGCGACCGTGGTGTTTGTGGACCAGCCGCCGGGGACTGGGTTCAGTTATGTCCCTACAAATGGGCATTTACATGATTTTGACGAGGTATGGGCGTTTGAAAAAGAAAGGGAAAGGAGCTGATGGAAGTAGTTATCCGCGCACTTGATCCAATTCCTTCAAAACTTCTATACCGTCTTCCCCGAGTTGTCCGGTATCGACACCTACCTCGCAGGCGAATCGTTCGCCGGGCAGTACATCCCCTTCTTTGCCGATGCCCTCCTCAAAACACCTCTCTTACCCCATTTCCCTCTGAAAGGTATCGCCATAGGAAACGGCTGGATCGACCCTATAGAGCAGTACCCTGGTTATGCGGATTTCGCTTATGAAAAGGGTTTGATCAAGGAGGGGAGCGCGGAAGCGGATGTGTTGGAAGCTGCATTGGCAAAGTGTAGGGAAGAGATGGAAAAGTATAAGGATCCGTTTACGACGCCGGTGAATATCAACAACTGTGGGGAGGTTATGGACGCCGTTTCGGACCCTTTTACTCAAACGTGAGTCTCTTTACCCGTCGTTGGGGGAAGCGGGCTGATGGGGGATGTAGATTGAATGGGAAGAAGGTGTGTATGAATGTGTATGATGTGAGGTTGGTGGACGACTGGCCGGCTTGTGGTATGAACTGGCCCCCAGATTTGTCGGACGTCTACGACTTTCTCCGCGTACGTCCCCCTCACCCTTCACTCTCTTTCCAAGCTGATATGTAGTAGCAAGACGAAGTCATCTCTGCCCTCCACGCTACGGCAAAAGAAACCGCCTGGGTCGAATGTGATACCAAAGTATCCCACGAACTGCACCTCAAAAATTCACATGCCTCTTCCGCGCTCTTACCCGGCATCTTGGAAGCGGGCGTGCCGGTGATGCTATTCGCAGGAGCAGAGGATTTGATCTGTAATTATAAAGGTATCGAGAGGATCGTTGGGTCTTTGGAATGGCATGGCGAGAAAGGTTTCGGGGTGAGTCCTCTTCTACCCTCGAGGAAGACAGAGCTGATCAGAGGGTAGAACGCGACGAGCCAAGAATGGTACCTCAACGACACCCTCGTAGGCAGCTGGCAATCCTCCCGCAACCTCACCTACACCAAAGTCGACGCTTCCTCCCACATGGTCGGATTCGACGTACCGCAAGTCACCAACGACATGATCATGCGCTTCATGGACGTCGACATCTCGCTCTTACCCGGGGGTATCGCGCAGTGGGAGAGCCGAGTAGGAAGTGATGAGCGCGTGGGACTGCATCTTGGGGAAGGGAAAGAGGATGGAGGGATGGCGTTGATAAAGGGCGGCAAGACGGATTGGGAGGCGTGGTATAACGCGGCATCGGCGTTTATCGTGCTTGGTGTCCTCGTCGGTATCGTGGGGCTGTATTTCTATTTCAGAAAGAAGCCGCCTCATCGCCGAGCTGGACGGAAAGGGTCCTATAGACGAGAGAGGCAGTGGGATAGGGGCAGGGAGGCAGAAGAAGGGGATGCGGCGGAGAGGGTACCGCTGGGGAGTGAGAGGGTGGAGATGGAGGATATAGAGAGGGCGGAGGGGTATGAGTTCGAGGAGCGAGAGGGCTCGACGAGGTGGAAGGGGAAAGGAAAGGGGAAGGAGAAGGAGAGGGAAGAGGGCGAGGTGATGTTTTCGTTGGGGGAGGATGAGGAGGATGAGCACAGGGAGAGGGTTGTATAGATAAAATCCTGCTAGGGGCTTTTTGCACAAGATGTATGATACGCTTGCTTCACATAACAGCAGTGCATAGCGCTAGAAGGTGGCCTCCCATACATGTACAAGCCGATGGCCTCCGCCCTTTTCTTCCGGCCATTCTAGCTCCTTGTCTTTCACTCTTGAGAAACCAGCCTTGCGAAGCACAGCACCAGATGCCCCATTCCCAGGCTCATGGACCTACAGAACGTTAGTCACAGTAGTCCAGCAAGACGGAGCTATCACTCACCCCTGTAACTCGCTTTGCACCAAACCATCTCAGATAATCAACAGCGGCCTTGGCTGCAGCACTTCCCACCCCTTTGCCCCAAACCTCGGGCATGAGGTCATAAGCAATCCGCCAGTCGCCTTCAGCCTTAGAAGGACCGAGAAAGACCGTCCCAAGTAGTTTGCCAGTGTCGGATTCGCGCAATGTGTTGAAAGGGCAGATGTTGTCGGTGTAGGGTATCAATGGGGCTGGAGAAGTGGGCAAGGAGGATATTAGAGTGGCGAGGTATGCTTGTTGGACTGGCACTTTCTCGAGTGTCTTGCTTATCTCTTCAGCTGGACATGGGAAAGGGCGGCGCCAGAACCATTTGCCAATCTCTGGTGTATTGTATAGCTTCACCTATCACATCCCGTCAGTACTAGGTGTTGCCAAGTACAGAAGACTCACAAGGGCATCCAAGTCTGTCGTTTGACCGGGAGCCAGACGCAAGCCGGGGTGATCCGGTAGGGGAATGTACGCGCTGCCGTCTGTATCGACTACAATGGGACATGGGGGTGTTGCGGTGGCCATCTGTGTTTTTGATGTCGTGGGAGGGTCTTCGAGTCTTATCTGTCTAGAGAGCTGTGAGATGCTACATATATATGCATGGGCAAGAGAATTGTTTGGCCGAGAAAAGAGGACAAGATGAGTCAGAACTCAGAGTGCACCACATGTAACCATTCTTCAGGGCTCAGGGTCAGGGATCGGTCGCCGAGTTGTTTGCGAGTTGTTCGGCTCACCACTGAAAACAGCTCTGACGCCACGATATGGGGTCACTGGCAAGCTTCCGGCTGGACAACTACTGCCGGGGCTTCTATATATCGTCGCGCAGAAGCATGTGTCTGTCCTCCAACTCGCCATCCATATCATCTGCAAATTTCTTCTTCCACCAACGACTCCTCGACGGACGGATGGCTATTATCGTCATCTTACTTCACATCGTTTCGTCCAGGATATCTTGACATTAATGTTTCATAGATGACCTGACATGACAACACGATAAGACGAGTTAGCAGCGAGTCAGATTGCACCTTGTTCGAGGCTCGGAAAATCACTGTCGCCGAGTTGTTTGGTTTCAGTGCATCTCTGCACCTTACACTGGGTGGCCCCTTCTCATAGTAGACAGTCAACTGACACACTTGGGGTGTAGACTAATGCCTCTAGAATTGGACACCTGAAAATAGGCCTCTCCCAGTCTTGTTGAAAGGGGGCAAGAAGGTATTGGCATAAGCGCGAGCGAAGGCCGATGGCTAAGGTGAGGTGGTCCAGTGCTATATATCGGCAGACGTCACCGAAGACTTCACTCACAAGATTGCATGAGACTTCTTAGTCCAAGGAGGATTGTATCAGTCCATGTTGACCTTCGTTGAAAGGGACGGCGGAGAGAAGATGGTGCGGTATCCTCAAAGGGAAGATTGTCGGCCAACATACGAAACACTCTGAGTCGTGTGACCGACAATGGATGCTTTGGATACTTGACCTTGACTCCGCCCACAAGTCTTGACCTGCCTATGGACCCAGCGTATAAATCATCCGCGACAATCGATCAATCAATTGATAGACACTGACTCTCCTCGCCCTCATTGAGATCTTGATTCCGAGTATTACTTCCGTCGATTACCTCCCAACCATGTCCATGGCAAGCTACAGCACTACCACTCCTTCCCAAGAAGCGCAGCTGGGGGGGGCTATCACGCAATCTAGACTCTCGTCCGAGGCATGGATCGAGAAGAGTACGCCGACGTCAGATGATCATGGCTATTACCGCACGGCAGGGGGTCTGGACTGCATGCTGCAAGAGCAGGAAAACAGCACCACCGGTTTCTATCAACAGGCCGTACAAAGCGTTGGTCCCTGCAGGTCACGCGTTCTATCGGCTGCCACCTTTCTTCCTGTGAGAGGTATAGTTGAGAGGGCAACCGTGACTGCTCTAGCACCCTGCGATGTCTATGCAGAAGAGGACAAGGAAGAGATGGAAAAGGCCAACAAGATAAACACCGATGTGCGTCATGCCTTGCAGTCTTCAGCGCCCGTTTGGCTTGCCGAGTGTCGCACCCGCCAAAGTGCGGAACCTCTCAAAGAGGCGGAAGCCCGCATATTCGAGGAATTCTCAAAAAAGGAAGAGTACCATGGAGTCGCTTTGGAGCATCTCGACCCAACCAGTGCCAACTTCTCTGGCTATTGGCACCCCCTTTCGGAGCTTCTGGACAGATCCGAGGTGGCACCGGAGGATATGACACAAAAAGAATGGCACCAATTGATGTTGATGCGAACACCTCTCTCAAAGAAATCAGAGACCGCAGGGAACAAGGACGACACAAATACATCACTCTATGATGCCGAAGACGCTCAGGATGGTGACAATGGATTCTGGGTAGGTGAGAGACCAACGACAGCTAGATCTTGGGAAGATCAGGAGGCAGACCCTCTGCGAGCCCAGCCTATCGGGTCTCTCTATCGAGGTACAGATGCTTCCTTGGAAATGTCGACTGTACCATTGACGGGTAGGTCCGCTAAGAGACGACTGAGGGACATCTTTCACAGAAGAGAGCGAAGCTTAGATCAGAATAGCCGGAATGCTGGGGGCAACAGTAGGATATTGCGTATGTTTGGCCCAAGGGGTCGCTGAGCTATGTATGTGCACGCCGAATCCAATGTATGCCGCTGAAGGCTTGATCATCTTGGCGACACCTATCAAGAAAGTACATGATTTTTCTGTGTAGATACAGAAGTCAAGATCGGGTTGCAAATCAGTCCAACATCCAATGCAGCGGGACGGGGAGGAATGATATTCAGCAGCCTGCAGTGATTGTAATACTGCGTCTCCGATATTTTCATTTTACTTGATCATCTTGAGTAGCACATCATTCACGCTGGTCGTCTCTAGACTCCTGCTGGACATATACCTATCTGAGTAGACATCAAGACATCTGCATTCTTCAATCACTGATACCTCGGCACCGAGATACGTTTTTGTTTTCAGTATTGATTGTCCTTCTGGTCTCCTATCAATGATCCAGATTGATGACATTCCTCAGCTCACTGGTGCGATGGAATACAAACTTCCACATCGCGTTTAACAAACACATTTTTCCTCGAAGCCTTCTCGGTACTACCTCTTCTTTGTTTCTGGGAAAGCAACGTCGTCAGTCTGAGTTGTCCGAGTGATTCAAGGTTCCTTTCATGAGCGGAGGCGACAGCAGCCCTCACAGTACAACAGTAGCAGATTTGAACAAGGGACAAAAGCTGAAAGCGTGTGACCCTAGACGACGCGGACGGTGAATGTATGAATTCCCAACTACTATATGACGCCAGCGATGATAATAATCTCTTGTTTGTGTGGTACCATCATTTTCAAAACCTGCTCTTTGAAATAATGTCGTCTCAATATTCTGCCCACATGTGGATCGATCTTTCGATTGACTCCGAGAGCCATGAGGTAGACCGCCGCGACCGGACGCACGTTTTAGATTGCGCCCCGCTTGATCATGTCGTTCACGTTTTCACCGCGAGTGATATACAAGGATCTCTCATCGACGCATCAACGGGACAGCCGTACCGGTCATTTGTAATATCCGCGACGGATATGGAACCGGAAATAGCTCTATTCCACGAAACGTTCACTACCGTCAGCAAAGAAGACGACGCTGAGCGTAAAACGGAGGCTGTACAGAGAGCAAACGGTATGATGAGTGACATTAACGAGATTCTTCAAGAAACAGAACACGAATGGTATCCTCAAGTTCTCCAATCTCGGGACCTTGGAGCTTTCAACACGCAGGAACAGCAAGCTTACGAAAGACTCTCCGGTTTGGAGCAATATGAAGGGGTGGGCTTTGTCAAGGTACCTCTGGATACCGCTCGCGCCGTGTCGAGAATCAAACCAGATCATATTGGGGACGAGGAATGGGAGATTTACTTGAGGGAGTGGGATGCTGCGCGAGGGTCCAGCAGGCAGCAGGAAGAGGGAGGAGAGACGACGTTGTCTCGCCGATCGAGGTTTTCGCGCAAGTTGAGGACTTTTTTTCGTAGCCATGCTTAACAAGACGTTATGAACACTCTTTATACCTTTCTCGGGCTCCATGATTGGAAAGTCATCACGCATTTGGAACAGCACTGTGCTGCATTGTTGTGATACGGTATAACACATGTGCCGATTGACACTCGTCCGGTCAAAGCATCATCAACCTCGTTACTTGTGTAGCATTTTGATTGTGCGCTATTTCCAGGCAGTACTTTGCCTTCACTTCGGACTTTGGGGTGGGCGAGAAAGGCAATTCGAAACAATGGCGGCTGTTCTCGAGTCCTTTGGTGGCCATACGAGGTTGGTGGCCTATGATTCTCATTTCTGCATACCGCTCCTGCTGTCCTTTGTCATCTATCTGTCTTCTATTCTGGGCATGAGATCTATCGGGTGGTGGCGGAATAGAACAGTGTCGTTTCTGGGTGACAATATTCCCTATCTTCTTGACATGTAGTATTGAGCCCCACAAAGGAATTGAATCGTCCTCCGCATGGGGCGTGTAAAGGATATCATCGGGAAGCACATACTAGGGTAAAGGTGGAATATGACAAACGTGTCTTAACATGGCAAAGGTAATCAAAACATTCCCATACATATACATCTAGCCGTTCTGGAATTGTCTCTCACCAGTTATCCACCCCAGAACATCAACATGATTACCGTCGCCCACGATCGCACTTGGTCCGAGCTCGCGCCTTCCCAAGGCAGAACCCACCCGTCCAATAGCCTCACTATCCTGCGCGACAACGACATCTTGTTCAAAGATGGAAATCTGTCTCCACTCCCAGACTCCACCGTCTTTATCGTGTCCAACATCGACTTTGATGCCGACAAGAAGAATCTCTCGCGAAAGACGATCGTTTTTCCTCGTTATGTCGAAGGAGCCACCATTGACGACTATTCCAAGTCTGCCGCTACTGCTAGTAGGATGAATAAAGACATCTTTGAGGGTCTCGAGAGGACTGAAGATGACTGGCTTCATGAAGCGTTTACAAACAAGGATCCAGAGGTGCTGGCAAGGCAGGAGAAGGATTTGCTGTCGCCTTTGCTGGACACCCACGATGACTACAAAAGCGTGCAGATACTTTCTGTGGGAGAAAATGATTTCAAACTTGCTGAATCTTCCATCTATGATGACATGGGGCCATGAGGAATGATGGACCAGCGCTTTCCTGTTGGCGTTATTGAGGGAGGGTGAAATCCATTTTCCCGCCAGTTGCAGCGAACAAGATCAGCCGTAGTAGTGATGACGAATGATATCTTCTATCATATTTCTACAGTAATAACGCAGGGTCTTCCATGACTGCATGAGCATACGTTGCTACACATCAAGGTTATCAGCGCGGCTGCAGCTGCTGCTGCTGCAGTCAACATGGGGTTGGAAAAGTTACGTAAAGCAAACTGCGCTCGGGCCATCGCGACATCATGTCCAGATTCAACCCTTTCAACTCTTTCGCTCTTTCCTTCTTATATTTTTCGTACTCATAAAGTAGTTTACAAAGGCCCAAGATCTTGGACTTTTGTATCCTCAAATCAAGACACCCCTCGACAGTGGCGGCTAGCCGTCACACACCTTCTTGAAGAGTTATCGGTCGTCGCAGACTCTCCTCATCGATCCATTTCTTGACAACGGCTGCTATCGTATCGCTTGGCGCTGTCTACCTAGACCAACTCTGCGCTGTCTACAATCTGAAACTTCTGGATGGCGTCTTCAGCTCTCCTCTCAGCCCACCCATACGGACTAGATCACGCGTCTGACGACTGACAGTGGGTTGAAGCTGGGCTGCACCAAGGCCGAAGGCGCTTGCTTTCGGATGACCCGTTGAAGGACACAGACCGTTAGTACCTGGTTCGAAATGCTTTCAGCCAGCTATACGATGCTTCTTAGTTATCAACGGCTTCCAGGACCTCCCATCTGCTCTGACAATTGTTCAGTATGGTGTTGTTTTGCTGGCAGGGTCGGAAGGGTACGTTGAGTGAAGCGTGGTCGGGTCGGCTGAACGTTGTTTGCTGACTTGTAGTCACCGTCACTCGCTAATTACGTACCTCTATTCCGACATCCTGCATGGCAGTCGAACGAGCTACCCCTCCTCGCTATCCTCTTACTCCGTCGCCGCAGTATGTACAACTTGAAGAACACGCTTGACGATCTTTCTCGCGGCAGCCAATAAGCAGTCGCCGAAAGCGGAACAGCTCGATGAGCCATGACGTAATTATCTTGGCGCTTTTTCAATAGGGCAAAGATAATAAACTTGTAAATAAACATCCCTCTCCTACTATTATTCCCCCAAGCTCCCTTTGAGCTCTCGGCAGGCGCTTGTCAACACGGTCCACACGACGACAATTGCATCCCCAGCTTTTGAAACCGCATCTCCAACAGACCCGCCATGTAAGTCGGCCCAGTGCATATGGAGTATGGACGAACTGACTCTTGTGTAGGGACACTACCTCTCCCCGTGCCAAACATCGCGCCGAGCATCTCGCTCGAGACGCTGCAGCCGCATCGCACGCCTCCTACTACGCTCACCCCGCCCTGCATCTACACACCTACCTCGGCGGCGACAAACAGCCTGCTGTAGTCGACCGGGAGGGTCAGCTCGTCGGTGCTCTCAACGACCCGGCCCAGCCAATTGCCCAAGGCCCGGAAGGCTCTGCGCCTCCCACAGGCGCGCCCACCAAGCCCGGCGCTGGCGTCCACAACATTCCCGGTGTCAACGCCAACACCGAAGCGGACCGCAAAACTGGCATTGAAGGCACAAAGGAAGAGGAGGGCGGAAAGCAGGATGCTGGTGCGCCCAGTGGGGTTGACAAGGGTGCGCTGGAAATTGGCGGAGAGGCTGGAGGGACCAAGACATCGCCTGGGCCGACTGCCGAACAGGTGCAGCAGCATCGGGCACAGGTGCAGCAGCAGAATGGCAACCATCTGGATGTACCTAATGGGCGGCCTGGGCTTGAGAGGCATCGGAGTGTACAAGGGAGGATGAACCCGCATCTGCAAATGATGTGCGGGCCTCTGATCTCGTACTATACCGTCAAAGACAACATCTGGCAAGGTGCTGCCATGGTCGTCATCCGAAATGAGTATGTTCGTCCTTGTCTCTCCGTTCTCCACTGATGAAATGCAGAGGATCGGTCCTCAACCCCCCACCTGCCCTTTCTCTCGCCTTCCACCCCTACACCCCTCCTTCTGACGGCCAACCCACTCTCCACGAGCCCGAAGTCCAGCTCCTCCCGCCTGCCACCATCCCCTCCCAAAACATATTTACCTACAATTCTTCCGAAGGCGCCATGTCGTTCCACAGATTCATTATCGAGGTCCCTCTTCAACGGATCCAGACGACCGTGCGGTATAGCTTGAACGGCGGAGCGGCTATGGACTTTGTGGTACCAGCTTTGGGGCAGAACTTGCGGTGGGCCGCGCACAGTTGTAACGGTGCGTACTCACATTCAATTTGAGTCACGCTGACATCCAGTAGGATTCTCTTCCGGTGTCAACCCCGACGACTTTAAGGGTTCTTATCCCTCTGGTTACGACCCAGTATGGGAAGACATGCTTCTCAAGCACCAGGAAAAGGCTTTCCATTGTATGGTTGGTGGTGGCGATCAGATTTACTGCGACGCCATCACTCGGGAGCCCGAACTGCAAAGTTGGATCAATGCCCCGGATAGGAAGAGCAAGTTGGCATCCCCCTTGACTGATGAAATCGTCCGTTCATCTCATTTTCAAGATGATTCGAGTTGACTGTTGTATAGAGACTTGCCGTTGACAGGTTCTACTTTAACCACTACTGCAAGATCTTCCGAAGCAACGCCTTTGGCCGTGCCAACTCCACCATCCCCATGTAAACTTCCATCGCATACTGCACGTGAATAAGCTGACGATCTACAGGGTCAACATGCTCGACGACCACGACCTGATCGACGGTTTCGGCACTTATGACGACGAAACCCAAGCCTCCTCTCTCATGTCCCACGTCGGCTCCCGGGGATACTTTTGGTTCCTGCTTTTCCAGCTCTTTGTCCATGACGGTTTCGACGGCGTCGATCACACCCCTGGGACGCATATCGTCAAGTCTCTCGTCTTGGGCGACAAGAATGGACCTTGGATCCCGCACCCGACACATTCGCTTCTAGTCTACTTGGGGCCCAAGGTGGGGATGTTGGCGCTGGATTGTAGGGCGGAGCGAAAGTTGTCCGAGATTGTGAGGCCGGAGACGTATGCAAAGAACTTTGCCGAGGCGCGGAAGAGGTTTGTGGGTATCGAGCAGTTGGTGCTTCTTCTTGGTGTTCCCATCGGTAAGTCTTCTTCCCTCGCCAAAGATTCGTGCTGATTGGAAGCTAGCGTACCCCCGAATGTCTTTCCTCGAGCATTTCCTCGAACTCAAATGGAACCCCGTCAACATCCTCGCCCGTCACAACGCCATGGGTCTCGGCGGTATGGTCAACAAATTCAACCAAGCCTCCGAACTCCTCGACGATCTCAACGACCACTGGTGCGCCAACACCCACAAGAAGGAACGCAACTGGCTTGTCCTCGAGTGCCAGAAGATTGCGCAAGAGACGCATGCTCGAGTCACGTTCTTGTCTGGGGACGTGCACCTGGCGGCGGTGGGCTGTCTGTATACGAAGGGGTCGAAGAAGGGGCAGGGGTTGATGGAACCGGAGAAGGATTGGAGGTACATGTTGAATGTGGTGACGAGCGCTATTGTCAATACGCCGCCACCTGGAGGAGCGGCCAAGATGGTCGCCATGCTCGGTGGGCATACTCACCGTACTCTTCGTATGTCTCTTGCTTTCTCTTTTCGTTCCAGAGCTTACTAGGGTACAGACAAACACGACACCGACGAACACATGTTCCCCCTATTCAAGACCGACACCGACGGTTCAGCTTTGTCCAAACAATTCACCCTCGCGCGCCGAAATTATACCATCGTCGAGTACCAACAAGGCGATGGGAGCTTGAGCTTTGACATCCGGGTGGAGAAGAGTCAAGGTGCGGGAGAGACTGTCGGGTATGAGGTCAAGGCGCCCGCGCCGAGGTGGTAGAGTGATTCTCCCAGGATCGATAAGAGACTAGGAAAATGGCAATTGGTCTCAATGGGATAGTAGGGATATATTCCTTGTAGCTCATATATAGCTTGTTTAATATACCGTTTATACCCCGCCGATAGGTTTCATGTACACGAACGAAAGGAAACGGAAACAAAAGTAGTATCATTTTTTTGCCTTCAAAGGACACTGGATATGCATTTGTATACTTCTTGTTCATGCTTCGTCTACATACGTCATCCACGATACCTATGCGGTCTTGTGACTGGACAGGAGACGAAGGAGGAGAAGGCGCGACACGTCTAGACGGCTCCGGCAGCAGCAATCAGGATCTTGTCCCGCGGCATCTTGCCTTCCTTGTTGCCTCGCGATTCAATCTCCTTGATGATATCATACCCTTCAATTACCTCGCCAAAGATGACATGTTTGCCGCTAAATCAACCTCAGTCAGCCACATCCCCAAAGACGCCTGGGTGTACAGTAAAAGCACTTACTCGAGCCACTCGCATTCGTTGACGGTTGTGACAAAGAATTGACTCCCATTCGCATCCTTGCCATTGTTCGCCATGGCGAGTATTCCTTCTTTATCAAACTTCAGCCTCTCCCTCTTTTCCACCTTCTTCTCCCCCTCCTTCTCCTTCTCCCCCTCCCCCTCCTTCCCCTCCTTCTCCTTCTGCTCCTCCTCCACCTTCTGCTCCTTCTCCTTCTCCTTCGCCCTCACAGCACTCGGCAAAGGCCCCCCAAGCCCAACCTTCTCATCCGCAAAAAGCTCCCCATAGATCGATACGCCCCCCGTACCATCACGGCGCTCGAAATCGCCGGATTGGACCATGAAGCCGGGGATGACGCGGTGGAAGGGGGTGGAGGGGGCGTAGGCAAAGGTGGAGGGGAGGGGGGAGCCGTCGCATGTCTGTGATCCGCGATCAGCTTTTGAGGGGCTCAGTGTAAGAAACAGTCGACGTACGAGACCGGGGCAGAGAGCTTTAAAAGTAGCCGAAACGTTCGGTCCAGGGTGCTATTATCCCATGTCAATCCCACCGTCAATAAACCCTGAGCTGCCACAGAGACTACGAGTACTGTCAAGAGTAAGAAGAAGGGACTCACGCGACCGGTACAAAGACTCCTAAAATTCGCACATGTCTTTGGACAAAGATCATCATACAACTGGTATACGATCCTGTCGTGTCCTGAGGAGGTTTTGAATGGTTTGCCGTTGATGGAGATTTTCATCCACACATTACTGTTACCGATACAGTCAGCGACAAAGACCGCGCAAGGGGGGGTTGGCAAGGAGGGGGAGGGGGGAGGGATGGGGACATACGGCAAGTCCAACTCTTCCTCTTCTTTCTTCTCCTCCTCGGCGGGCTTGGTGTTTTGGGTCTTCTTTTCGTCGGCCATAGTTCTTATCTCTTATTTCTTATCGTAGTTGACGTTGATGTGTGAGGAGATGTGTAGTCTGATTTAGGAGTTTATATAGCGTCAAGCAAGACAAAGGCTGACGCCGACTCGCGCCCCCCACCCCTTACACTCCCCTAGGCGCTGACTCCTGTCAGAGCTCTTCCTTTGTGTGAGCTGTGAAATCTGTCAGGTCGTCATGCAGTCTAGAGTGTCCTTTGTGGTTAGGCGTAAACCCGCCAAGAGCCGAAGGAACGAGATATGGAAGGGGGATCAGTGGTTGGTTGATGTACCGTCAGTCTTGGTGTCAATGTAGGCGTGAATGAAGAGCACTTGAACCCAAAACCCCAGCGTCCCGACACGTACCAACCCCTGTCCCCCAGCTCTTGCGACCCGGACCGCACCCCCTCCCGATACACCTGCACCCCTCACCCCAAGCACAAGCACAAGCACAACATCACAACTTGAAATCATTTTAGTGAGATTTCTGTGGCATCCGCTACAAGGTCAAGTGATCTTGCCAATTGTCTTTCGTTTTTGTTTCTTCCTCCTCCAACTGATCACTCTACATTTGTCTTCATGCTTTTGACTAGCTTTTTTTCTATTACCTCCATATAATCGCTATTGCAACCACCTTAGAGAGCGGAAGCACCCTATAAAACACCATTAGCTCCACACTTGTAATTGCGAAAGATGGCAGGGAAGGGGAAAGGAAGGATGAAAAACGTACAGTGATAATGTCGATAAGCTCGTTGGTGATAACGGCCTGTCGTCCACGGTTGTACTGGAGCTGGAGGGAACCCATCATGTCGAGAGCGTTCTGTTGACACGTCAGTATGCGAACTTTGCACGATTCCCCAGCCCCTGTTCAATGTCACAACACCGGGCACAGACGCGAATACTCACGTTGGAAGCGTTCTCCATGGCAGTCCTCCTAGCACTAATCTCCGCAGCGTGACCCTCAACCAAAGCAGTGTAAATCGCATTGGCGAGCGCAAACTCGGCAAGGTCCTTGCTCACGTCCTCCTCCATCTCATACGCCTGGAACCCAGCCGCCGCCTGCAGCGCCTTGGCCGAAATCACCGAAGTGATCCCCGCCTCGTACGAAATAGCCGAGACATAGTGGTTGGACACAATCTTGACCTGGTCCCACTCGCCGCCGTGCTTGACAATCTCGTCCGCGACGGCACTGGCCTCGGCGAAAGTGGGCACATCCTTGCCGATGGAGTTGAAGGAGATCTTGAAGGCCTGGGGGACGGCACGGGAGAGCTGGGCCTTGGGCTTGTCGCCGATGACGGCGAGGGTACCGGGGGTCTTGGTGATCTCCTTTTTGATGAATCGGGAGATGGAGGAGTGGATACCACCGCAGAGACCGCCGTCGGAGGTGATGCCGATGTAGAGGATCTTGGGGTCGGCCTCGGACTCGACCTCGGCGTGCTTGAAGAGCTCTGCTTCGATGTTAGTGGGCGACGGTGCGGGGAGGGAAGGGACGGACCGTTGTTGGCGGCACCGTACTTCTTGGCCTCTCGCATGGCCTTCTCGGCACGGGTGAGCTTGGTGGAAGCGACGACCTTCATAGACTGCGACTACTGTTAACACCGGTCCCCACTGGAGTTACGTATGTCGAATGCGTACCTTGGTGATCTTTTCAATGTTTCGGACAGACTTCAACCTGCAACCTTGTCAGCCTTCTGCCCCATGCCTCTGTCCCTGTCGCATGCCCTCCCTCCTCATGGCTCCACCCCGTCGCCCCCTCCGAGGGCATCGCATCCCCCGGCCGAAGCCCCCGGACTGCGCCCCGACTCACCTCTGCTCGATCTCCCTGAGGGTGGCCATGCCCTGTTGCTGGTGGGCATTCCTGGCGGTGGCGAGGGCGGGGCGGACTGCGCGGGCGAACATGGTGGTGAGTGGATGGGACAACGACGAGGAGATGCAAGAGATGCAAGAGGAGATGGGTGAAAAGGCGCCACGGGGAGTAATACCGATAAACCCCGATCTTATCCAGCCCCCGCTTTAACGACTCGCCTTCTATTGTTCGCGTGGTTTTGAGTAATACTTCTGCATTTTACATTCCACGGCCACTCGCTCGACGTTCGCATAGGACACCCTCATCCAGCCCGATCGCCTACCCAAAAACATCCATCTCACCGAAAAGTACGCAACAAACGGTTTCATTTTGACCGAGATCTAACTTCTGACTCCTTTTGTTACAGTGGATCCCAATGTCGACTTGTTCGCTGGTATGAAGAAGAAGAAGAAGAAGGTCGCCGTTGCCGAACCTGAAGAATCGCCCGCCTCCCCCGCTCCCGCCGTCGAATCTACTCCTGAGCCTACCCCTGCTGCGGCTCCTGCCGCTCCCGAGCCTGTTGCAGAGGCGCCTGTGGCGGAATCGAGCGAGAAGCCGGCAGAGGATGGTGGTGATCTGTTTGCAGACTTGAAGAAGAAGAAGAAGAAGAAGAAGGATATCCCCCTCGACCTTGTGCGTTCCCCTCCCCCTCGAAAGAAGAAATGCTAAACCGGGAAGCAGGAGGACGCACCCGCGCCTACCGCTGACGGCCTCGACATCCCCATGAAGAAGAAAAAGTCCAAAAAGACCACCGACTTTTCCAAAGAGCTCGAAGAGCTCGAAACCGAGCAGAACGAAGCCGCCGCCGACGACGGCGACCTCGGCGACGACCCCTTCTCCACCAAAGCCCCCGGCGCCGACCCCTCCGCCAGCGAGCTGCTCGAAGCCGGCAAAGAACCCTGGGTCCTCGAGGCCCGCGAGCCGACGTATGCCGAGCTGCTGAAACGGTTCTTCTCCCTCCTCCACGCGCACAACCCCGAGCTCGCGGGGGAGAAGCGCAGATACACGATCGTGCCGCCGCAAGTGCAGAGGGAGGGCGCGAAAAAGACCAATTTCGCGAATGTGATGGATATCTGTAGGAGGATGAGGAGGCAGCCGGAGCATGTGATCATGTTTTTGTATTCGGAGCTGGGTACGACGGGGTCAGTGGATGGGACGCAGAGGTTGGTGATGAAGGGAAAGTTTACGCAAAAGCAAATCGAGAATGTCCTGAGAAAGTACATTGGTACGCTTCCCCTTTTCTTTCTTTCTTGAGTCCTGAACTGATGAAATGGCAGTCGAATACGTCACCTGCAAGATCTGCAAATCCCCCGACACCATCCTCGGCAAAGAGAACCGTCTCTACTTTATGACCTGCGAGTCGTGCGGGTCTAGACGCTCCGTCTCAGCCATCAAGGCCGGTTTTCAGGCCCAGGTCGGGAAGCGTATCAAGACTGGATAGTCTGCTCTTTCTGTTTGGGGGAGGTGGAGTGTATAGTATTAGATGCATTGATTCAAAGTGCTCATCACAGATGCCTGTGTATCGCACAGACCCAATACATAACAAGAATTCATTCAGACTCTTCAGAATCATCAGTATAATCAGAATCCCCATACTTCAACCCCCTCCTTCCACAACCGATCCACCGCATTCAACCGCCCAGAGCGCACCAGTCTTATCCCACCAACCCCATCCCCCCCTCGACTTTTTACGAGCTCTTTGAACACCTCGTCCTCCTTTTTGTAAGCGCTTCTGTGTTTTTTTCGCTCTGAAACAAGAAGCAAGCCATGTATCACGGTCTTTATCATCCCGCAGCCTCCGACTCAGCAACTCATCCACCTCTTGGCAAGCGGATCGAGCGTTTGGCGTGGTTCATCAAGCCGATGTCGTCATCCAGACTGAGGACGCTGAGGACTTTGCGTTTGACCGTCTTTGAATCCGGGTCGTATGAGGAGATGGATAGGAGGAAGGTCTCCGCCTCTTGCTCTTTCTCTTTTTCTTGAGAGAGTGACAGATGGGAAGGGAAAGGAGAAGGGGAAGAGGAAGAGGAAGAGGAAGAAGGAGGAAGGAGGCAACCATATTTTTGGAGGTCGAGTTTGCTGAGGCTTATGGGTCTTGTGACGAGTCGGGCGCTGGCGTGATGATAGGTATAGTCGACTGCCGCCGAGTCTTGGGATTGTTGGGTTTGTTGGGTATGTTGGGTATGTTGCCCGTCGGCGTCGTTTGTGGGGGCTGTAGTGGTTGTGAGGGTTGGGGCTGCGGTCCAGGTTTGTTTGGTGTACTGGGACATTGTCTCGGACTTGTGATGAGAGAAGACGAACGCTTCGCTTGTGTGTTGGAGTGTTTTATATAAACGAGAGGCATCGAATTTTGCTGAATACTCTACTCGTACTTCTTGGTGTCATCTGTTGAACGGATCAGGAAGAAGAAGTCGTGTAACGGAAGAAGGATCAGGGCTACGATTAGATATCATCACCTGGCTCGCTCGTGCCAATGAAAGGGACGATGTTTGGTTTTAGGACTTTTCGATACGAGAATAAACGACACGTTTGTCAGCTGAAACCTCTTCACACACCACGAGTAGAGTGACCACTGATCTCATATCTATTGTACCCATCCTGTGTACGTCTCTGCCATCAGGGCCGGTTTCCAGGCCCCACCTGGCAAGCGTATCAAGACTGGATAGACGCCTCTTCCTGTTGTTGTGGGGGTGTGAGACTGTAACAGCTTAAGATGCATTGAATCAGATTGCTCAAACCAATCGAGATCATCAATCAGAATCTTCAGAAGCCTCAGAATCCTCATCATAGCACGATTCCCTCTTCTCAAATTCGAGTGCTTGCTCCCACAGCTGTTTCACCGCATCCGGGCTCTCCGCGCGCACCAGCTGGACTCTTCCCTCTCCAACAACACTGACACCTCCATCGCCATCCCTGAGCTCCGAGAATAGCGCCTCCTCCTTTTCCAAAAGCGCCTTTGTATTCTCCCCTTGGAAGCACGAAACGAGCCACGCATCACCTTCACCCCCCGGCTCCTCTAACTTACGCGAAAGCAGCCCATCGACCTGACTCATAGCGTCCACTGAAACCTGAAACTCCGTCATCGGTATCCTCTTATCACTCCTCACAGCAGTGAGCGACGTCCGGGAGAGAGTGTTTGTGGTAGGGTCGTATCGAGAGGCAGAGAGAAGGATCGTATTCGTGTTATCCTCCAGGCAAGAGATACTACCGAGTGACCTGAGATTGTGTTTGGTCAGAGATATGGGTCTGGCGCGACGCGTGCTTTGGGGGTGACAAGCGAAAGACGGGTTTGTGTTTTCTTCTTCATCGTTCGATATGACGGTCCAGATTTGTTCGGTAAACTGGGACATGATCTTGAATCTTTTTCTTGTTGGACTTTGGGGTGGGATGGAGAAGAGATGGAGGAGGCGGTTATGAGTGTTATACGAGTGTTATACAATCTCGCCATGGATGTATTTTTGTCAGTCCGACTCGCATCGCTCGCCGGCGGTATCGATATCGGTCATCGGTACATATGGGAGATCAGGTCTGGCGAAGGCCTCGTCACGACTACGCACTCGTCGTAGTGTTGATTTGCTCAAAGGATTGATCGTCCGGTTTTTCTGATAGCAGATAAAGTCCTTCTTGAAAGCGTCTTCTCCTCCTCATCGAATTCCAGGCCAGTCAAGATGTAGGCAGTAGCATTCTCATCATCGAATCCTTCTTCCAATTCAGCCCATATCTCTCGGTGTTCGGAAGGGTTGATGGCAAACATGGTCTCAGCCGCCAAACATTGGTACGTCGAAGGCTGTTTCAGATGGAGTTCCTTCCCTTCTTCATGGATCCAGGACTGGGTGCTGTAGTATGAGACTTCTGACATTTTGGGCAATAGTTTCGGTGTTGGGAGTGCTCTTGATATCTGAAGTTCTCCCTCGACCTTTCTAATATGTGGCGATAGAGTTTGAGGCGGAACTTGGCACGCATTCTTCGGTCCTTTCACGCATATGCTCCTCTATTGTTAGACAACAAGTTGGAAGGAGTCGATTTGTATGGTAAGATTATTCGAAAGCCCAGAATACTACTTCGTTTATATTGAGTATGGCAGGCTTCTCCTCACGTTCAGAAATGTCACGACCACGAAACAGCAGAGTTGATTGTGCAAGATTGCATCTTCCTATATTCGTACAAAAACAATACTTCTTTCATATTCACTTTTTACGTCTTTCCTTCTTCTTTTGATACAAAGTTTGTCAGAACCCCCATGACAATTGAACCCCCCAAAGAAGAATGGCAAAACTCGGACCCGAGAACGTAGAAACAGAGAAGGGAGATTACTCCTTGGCGACTTCGAGGACGATACGACCGGCGATCTTGCCCTCTTCGAGACCCTCGTAGACGCTACATGCAAAGTCAGCTGCCGCTCAACAAGAAAAAGACAGAAGACTCACTCCTTGAGATCCGCAAGAGGCCTCTCCTCAAAGATAACCTTCACCTGACCCGACTCCATCAAAGCAAGCGCCTCGATCGCATCCTGCCTCGTACCCACATACGACCCCTGGATCCTGATCGACTTGAACACTGTCCAGAACACGTTGTTGCCCATCTCACTGTTCGGGAGACCAACAGCGACGAGGGTACCAGAGGGCTTGAGATAGTCGATAGCCTGCGTGTAACCAGTCTTGTGAGAGGCGGTGACGACTGCGGCAGCAGGGCCGAGGCCGCCGGTGGCTGCCTTGACGTCGGCGATGAGGTCTTTGGAGGTCTTGAAGTCGACCCAAGCGTCCGCGCCGAGAGACTTGACGAGCTTTTCTTTGGCGGCGCCCGTGTCAATGGCGACGACCTTGAGACCCATGGCCTTGGCGTACTGGACAGCCAAATGGCCAAGACCACCACCAGCACCGGGCAGGGCGACCCAGTCCCCGACATGGGTGTTGGAGACCTTGAGGGCCTTGTAGGAGGTGACACCGGCGCAGAGGATGGAGGCGGCGCCGGCAGAGTCGAGGGAGGCGGGGATGGGGGTGACGTGGTTGACGTAGGAGGTGACGTACTCGGCGAAAGTGCCGTCGACGGTGTAGCCAGAGAGCTGGGCGTGGTCACAGTCTATGGCAAAGGTCAGTAGGGTGTAAGGACGGGAAGCGGAAATGACTCACTCATCTCGAAACCTCGCCGGCAGGGCTCACAGCTGAGACAAGAATTGGCAAGCCACTTGATACCAACACGGTCACCAAGCTTGACAGGCGAGTTCTGAGTGTGGTCACCGATAGCAACGACCTTGCCGACACCTAGATTCAAGTCAGCTTCATATATATACGACAAAGAAGAAACTTACCTTCGTGACCACCGATGAGGGGGGTCATGGGAGGGATGGGCCAGTCGCCAGCTTTGGCGTGCAAGTCGGAGTGGCAGACACCAGTGTGGGAGATCTTGACGAGACACTCTCCAGGCTTGAGGTCCTTGGCCTGGGGGACGGGGTGGGACTTTTCGATCTTGATGGCAGAGCCGACGCTGGGAACGACGGCGGCGGTCTGGGTCTTGGGAACTTGGAAGCCAGAGAGGACAGACATGGTTGTGTTGTTGCTTGGGTGTTGTTGTGAGGGGGCAGATAGTTATGGCTGGCGGGTTCGCTATATATGTTGGCGAAGAGTGGAGGCATGGGGCGGAAGGGGCTGATAACCGTAGATGGTCATGTGAGATGCACCGGCAAGAGAGCCCCGGGACCGTTCTCGTCATCATACATCCCATCTCCCAAGATACGCGGCTATCCCACAACCGGACGCGCCTGCTTTCACTCTCCCCCTGAAATCCCCCGGCTATTCGAGCGCGCAACCGTCGTCACTCGTATCTTTGGGGCATGGCGTTAGTGCGAGACACGAAAAGCATGCTTCTCAATTTACTCTCGTACACCGCACAATCAAGCAACACTTAGTGCACAGCGCATATTGTGATTAGCCAGCGCGGGTGTCGGACCGGTTTCATTCAGACCCGACCACAGCCCTTGCAGGTCATGCTGCTTGCACTATCGGCGCCTAGTTGCTATGCCGTTTTTTGCTCCTGGAGGATGTTCTCAGGCTATAGAGGTATACCCGGATTGGCGGCTTCATCTGGCCGGCGGTCTGCTGTTGGAGAGATAGTGAGAATAATTATGGAAAAAACGCTCGGCGCGGACCTTTGTTTTTACGTTCTTTCTCACTTCCCACTCAGATACTTTTGCATGGGCAGCTCTTTGGTGGGAGATGGTCCTTGTGACTTTTCTCTTTGTGCGGAGGGGGTATTCAGCTCGGCGAGGCTTGGATTTGTATTCACCTTTGCATCGCCGCGTGGTGCAAATTTTCTTGGTCCGTCGTGTCCACCTGATATCTCCAACCCCAGGAAAGCATGCGTGGTTCATCGTGCATTCTCGAATTGGACTATGTGAATCTGTCATGTCATCTACATCTACAGTACAGCTGCAGGCGGCCGGGCGGCAGGCCGGCATCGATATCATGATGCGGGATCTCATCTTTTTATCTCCGTTCGGCCCGTCGGCCTGCCGAGCACTCTTCTTGGGACACGTTCTCTGATCATGTTATGCAGTACTAGATGTACAGTACACATTTGAGTCTGACAACGCCAAGTTCATCGTTCAGTTCGGTCCATACATTTCCATCATTGGCACTGTCAAATATAGATTCATGAACAGGGATTTGCATGCTATTATACCCTCCAAAATTGCCACTGAGGTATTCATACCAGACTCCACAACAGCAATATGTTCGTTCCAGTCACTTCATACCGCAGCTTCCAGTCGTACACCAAGGCTGAATTCGAAGACGATCCAGAGTGGCGGCCCTAAAACTTTTACCGTTCCCCAGCCGGGGTTATCCTCGGTACCGAGCCCAAAGAAGATCGGACCACCTGGCCTGAAATCGGTCACCCAGGTCCAGAGATTACTGCTTTCATCTTGTCCCTCCTGGAGTACGACTCGAAAAAGGAAGAATTATCTCGAAGGACGGTGACGGTGGCGCGGAACGAGTTCATGGACAGCTGTAATACGGAATAGGAGGTGGTGGACGCGCTTGAAGCTGCTAATAAGATGGATCTGCTGCTTTGGGAGCGGCTTAGTGATGAGCCACATGAGTGGCTCGCCAAGAGTTTCAAAGAAGGTAATACAGAGGCTTTGCAGACCAGGCAACACGATTTGATAGTGGAGTTGGAAGACGATTATCCGAACGTCCAGGTGCTGAGGAAGGAATGAGGCAATACATGAATTAAGTAGATCAGATGGCAAGTAGATGTGGCCCATGGATTTGCGTTGCTGCTCGCCCCAGAATAACATCGCCATATTTATAGCAGAAGCCTCAACAGCAGAAAAAGCACTGCGAGTACTCTATAGGCCATACGTTAGCAGGCTCCGACTATCAGAGAAGCATTCTATACATAGCTGTCGGATGCGGGAAAGCAGTTGATGATCCGACTCGGCTCTACCCCCTCAACTCCTATGACATTCATGCAGTTCAATACGAAATGACCGAAATCTTTGTGGTCGGTACGAACGGCCGCGATCGTTCTCCGCTGGGTCCCTTTTTCTAGCTGAAGATGTCGCACTGGAATTCGTCGTCTGCGTTTTCTAAAATAGACTGCCGCAAGACGCCTTCACTGGCCGGCAAAGCAGCTTCTACCTGACGCGCCGTGAAAGGACTTCGCCCTGCAACTCCGAGTCTAGGGTGCATGATATAAGAGCAGGTGATGAAGCAAAACCGACATATCCTCAACATCCCCATCCTGACATTTCCAGAACGATGGAGGCGCTCCCAGTTACTTCATACATCAGCACACAGTCTTGGACTGAACATGATGTTGACAAAGAGGGAAACAGACACTCATCAAATTACCAGCGTTCCCCAATCGGCACTTTTGTCGACGCCGAGCCGGATGAGAATCTAGAAGTCTGGCCAGAGACCGGTCGTCCTGGGCCGGAAGTAACGGCTTACATCGTGACGGTCTTGGAATACGACCCCAAAGAAAAGAAACTCTCTCGACAAACTGCTACTGTGACGCGTGCCCAGGAAATGTATGGCACTTTAGAGGACAGTATCAGGGCACTTGAGGCTGCCAATGAAATAGATGAAGAGATGTGGAAGATGCTTGGCGAGTCCCAACAGGAGGGATGGCTTGCTACATGTTTGACAGAGGGCAACACGGAGGCGTTATGGAGTAGGTCGTCCAGGCGCAGACATCACATCTTACATCCTTTCTGTCCTATCTTACGACCCTGCAAGCAAGAAACTCTCCCGCGAGACAAAGACAGCAAACCGGCCTCTAGAAAACTATGAGTCAGAGCAAGACTGTTTCGATGCCATCGAGCCTGCAAAGGGGATGGATGACTCTATCCGATCTGGGCTGGGTGATTCAGAAAGGGACAAGGATGGCTGGCTTGCTACGTGCTTCAAGGAGGAAAATGCGGAAGCGTTGAGGAGTAAGCAAGATGAGCTTTTTGAGGAATTGAAGGGTCAGTTTCCGAGTGTTATGCTGCTTGATCTTGAGACTGGTGTAAATCTTGGAGAGCGTCCTATCAATTGAGAGACAATTTTCGAAATAAGATCTGAACAAGAATATGTACATACGGGTAGGAACACTGCGAGGCAGCGGAGATGCAAGCAGAAGATGACGAGATGAACATGGTAGTTCGTACATAAACATCGTGTCTGGCCATTTCTCTCTCTTTGAAGCTGCAGAGCCTTCTATGAGATGACACAAATTTGCAAAGATACTGCGAGCTGGAAGTTCATTATTATCTCGTAACACAAGCAAGAGGTATTTTCCTGATAGCTCATGGGCGTAAAGCTGCCGCGGTCAGGTCAGATTAACCGGTCAGGATTGGTAACGATAAGGTCGCTCAATGACCGTATATGACCTGACCTTAACCTGACCGACCGTGACCTTGCTGGTTGTGCGGCAGTGCCGAGTGCTTGATTCAAATGTTCTTTGGTTGCATGCCTCCATCCATCCATCCATCCATCCATCCATCCATCCATCCATCCATCCATCCATCCATCCATCCATCCATCCATCCATCCAACTCTCCCGGGTGTGCGGTTGGCGCCGATGGCCAACTCAAAGAACCCTACGAAATCAGATTTTCTCATTCACGCGACGAGGGTGCCACAGGCGAGCCTCAAAAGACTTTCTCTCCAGAGGGACTCTCCGCGGCACTTGATGCGGTCAAGGAGGCGTCGCTTACTTCTACCCCTGCACCTGCTCTCTCTCAAGACGGCGACATCATCGTGATCGACAGTGATGACGACGCGCCGCCCAAGGAGAAGAAGGCCAAGGCAACTAGGAAGTCCAAGTCCAAGGGGTCCGGATACGACGATGTTGACACTGTCTTCACTCGTACGGAGGAGCGCGATGAGGATGGGAGGCTGGTCAAGATATCAGTGTGCTCTGTTTGCTCCAAGTGAGTTCTTGACGACTTTGTGATGTTATGGCGTTTCTGGGGCAGATTACTGATCCTCGACTCTAGGCCCAACAAACCCCGTGTACTTCGCGGTGATCTTTCCTCCCTCCGAGCTCATATCATGACCTCCAAGGATCACTTATTGAAGTATAAGGAGGGCTGCGAAAATGAGAACATCGATATGGCTACAAGGGTCGCTAAAAGGGTTGAAGTTGACTACCTTGGCATGGGCCTGGAGGCGCTGTAGCTGACCAAAATGCTTGGAAGTCATGGACTGGCGCCTCTTAGAGTTGACATCCAGTGACAGAAAAAGCAGACTATATACCCGGTGCTTTCTAAGATGGCTCGTGACATCTGGGGTGTGCAAGTCTCTTTGGTGCCTTGCGAGCGGATGTTCTCTCAGGCTGGCTTGCCGCTTGGTTGATACCAAGAGGCGCCAGTCCATGACCCCCAAGCATTTTGGTCAGCTACAGCGCCTCCAGGCCCATGCCAAGGTAGTCAACTTCAACCCTTCTAGCGACCCTTGTAGCCATATCGATGTTCTCATTTTCGCAGCCCTCCTTATACTTCAATAAGTGGTCCTTGGAGGTCATGATATGAGCTCGGAGGGAGGAAAGATCACCGAGAAGTACATGGGGTTTCGTTGTTGGTCAGCTACAGCGCCTCCAGGCCCATGCCAAGGTAGTCAAAGTCAACCCTTCTAGCGACCCTTGTAGCTATATCGATGTTCTGATTTTCGCAGCCCTCCTTATACTTCAATAAGTGCGACTTGGTGGTCATAATATGAGTTCGGAGGGAGGAAAGTGGCATATGGAGACCACAATGGCTCGCCCGGTATCGCCGCGCCGTCGTCTCCTGCTGGTCGTAGTCATGACCGAATGCCAACTAGAGGTCAAAGTAGATGCATTTATAAACATGCCTGCGAACAAACGGGGTGTGCAAAGCCATCGCCCCCACCGAGTTGTGGGACAACAAGGCATCATTCATCTGACCTCAGTCATCAGAGTCGCTCAGCGTGATGACCGTCTTCTTCCCACCTCCCGCACCCCCTTGAGAGAATCTGGAACACAAGTGAGCAAGACCTCTTTTTCCTACCTCACCACACTTACGATAATTGACTCTGTGTCGTTTGACTCGCCCCGCCCCTAGCACTTGCTTTAGCCGGCGCCTTCTTTGCCGCTGGTGCTTTCTTCGCCGGCGCTTTCTTTGCTGGTGCTTTCTTTGCTGCGGCTGTACTCGATCCGGCAGCAGCGCGACCACGACCTTTCCTGGGGGCTGGCTCTTCCTCCTCTTCCTCCTCTTCTTCTTCCTCTGGGTCGGAAATGTCGTTATCGTCGGAGGCGGCATCGAACTGAACGATACATCAGCTTTGTCGGGGTATGTACAGCATACGAAACGCGCAGAAAACTCACCAAAGCTTGACTCTTCCCCCGACCCGTACTCTTCGCCGGCGCTTTCCCTCTCGTCGCCCCTCCCCTCGCCCCTCCTCTGCCACCTCTCGAACCCGGCCCTCTCGCTGGCGCCTTCTTCGGCGCAGGACGGTCCGACTCCGAGTCGACAGACATGGCGTCGTCGTCATCTTCTTCGGCCACTATCGAGGGTATGAGTAACCATACAATGAGATGAGGTGGGGGGGCGTACTGCTATCGGCATCTTCATCCCTGCTCTTTCCTTTTCCTTTATTCTTCTTCTACATCCGGGGTCAGCTCTTCGTTCTGGTTTGCAATGAGGGACTGCGGAGGGAACATACGAGTTCAAATTGCCCCTTCTCCTTCTCATGCCTCGCCACAGCCCTATATCAAACCGTCAGCTCCGATAGCCCATCATGCAGACCAAGAGGCAAGATGGCGTACTCATTTTTCGCTTCCCACATCTATGCCATCGAGTCAGCATTGTCAAACAAGACCCAGGGGAAGGGAACGTACCTGCTCTTTGACGGTATCTGGATCAAACTCTTCATTATGCAACATCGCCTTGCTCACGAAATTCGTCGTCTTTGCCACAAAGCTGCACCCCATCAGTTCCGCCACACCCCACAAGATAGTCCAAAAAGCAAGAGTACCCACTCTTTGATAGCATCCCGATCATCCTTCTCCACAAACCGCATCACAGCTTCCTCCAACCCGCCCTCCACCAACACCCCCAGTTCCTGCGCTTTGAGGTATTGCCCGACGAGGTGTGCCATACGGAGTTTGGACGATGCTTCGTCGTCGGCGAGGAGGGATTGGGGTTCTTCTTCAATGTCGTCCGAGTCGGGTAGGTCGGCATTGTTCTTTGGCTCTACTCAAAAGTCAGCTCATGTCCAAGGGAGGAGGGAGGAAGACGCACTTCGCTCAGCGACCTTCTTCCTTCGATAATACTGCAACAAATCCCGCGGATTCGCTACCCTCCCAATATACTCCTGCCCAAACCTCACCGGGTTAATCACATCCTTCGCATCCGTCGTCTCCACCTTCAACCGCACAAGCGGCAACATCATCTCCCCATCCTCTGACGTATGCGTCTCATCCCATTCCTCCTTCGTCTGCGCTATACACTTCTCCACCTCCCCCCTCAAAAACATCGTAATCTCATCCCTCTCATCCAAACTGAACGCCCCATCCTTCGCTTCATCCCCCAGCACCACCTCCCCCATCGCCATCGGTCTCACCGTCTTCAACTGTATCTCTTCGATCCCAAACTGCTCCCCTTGGACGGAGAGGATGCCGACGTGTTTGGGGATGGCTTCGCCGGCGGAGAGGGAGGTGGCGACGGAGGAGCCGGGTTGGGAGATGTAGTATGGTTTGCCGGGGACGGATTCGGGGGTAAGGCGACAGTCGTGTTCGTGCCCCCAGATGACGAGTTGGATCGAATCGTCAAACATGCCTTCCGGCACATGTTGTTGCGGCCCATGTTTCACTCTACTTCCGTCAGCCCCTTCCCCTCTCCCTTCTTATCTTGAGGCTTACCGGTTCTGGTGCACGAGCAAGATATTGAACCACTCATCATCCGCCACCTCTCCCCCCGTCGGTACATACATCTTCACCCTATTACTCCTCAACTCGAAATTCATCCTCTGATCCCTCACATTCCCACACCCATACAGCGCTAGGTGCGTATCGCCTTTACGGAGGAGGACGGGTTTGATGCGGATACCTTTATCGGGGTCGGCGGATTGGGCATCTTCGTCGGCGAGGGAGACTTTGCCAAAGTAGTTGAGGACGCCAGAGACGGAGAGGACGTCGAGTGCGCAGAGGGCGCCTTCCTATATAAAGTCAGCGGTGAAAGCGGTGGGGAGGAATTGGACGTACGGGACCGGTTCCTTGGGGGTCGTCGTGATTGCCGTGGATGGAAAAGACGGGGATGGCGATGTTGAGGTTGGGGTCTTCGTAGTTGACTGCCGGGAAGCTGGATGGGGTAAGCGAACACCAAATGAGGATATTTCCGACTCACTTGAAGCCTGGTGTTGCACCATCCATAGGATCTGACAAAAGCTCAAACTGCCCCCCATCAGCCCTCATCATCACCACCAGGGAAAGAGACTTACAGGAATAGCCTTGTCCCCCAGCGTATACTCTCTCAGCAACGCTATCGTCTGATGCATACACGTCCGGCTCGGGCGGTTCTCATGGAACAGATCTCCTGCCAGTAGGATAAAGTCCACTTGCTCCTTCTGAGCGATCTGGAGGATTTCGCGGAAAGTATTGATGCTGTCTTGTCCACGGACGGGGTCCTTTTCGGCGTAGCCTATGTGGTTGTCTGTGGCGACCAGAATCCGGAAGCAGCTTTGACATGTTAGATGGGATCAAGAAGTAAAAGAGTGAGGTACTTGTCAGTGTCGACTGCTAACGTTAGCACATGACCGATACGCAGGCGGAAGACTCACTTCTCTGATCAATACTAGGCGGCAGCGGCTGCTCCTCGCTGAGAGCTGTCAGCTCTGCTCCACTCCGACCCAGTGCATAGGCTCACCTTGCTTCTGTGTACTCTCGCTGGCTCCGAGACTGGGTCATGCTGGATTTTGAAAAGTCCAGGTGGCCTATGACAGGGGAAAACAGGCGGTCGCGTCGGTGGAGGCAGTCCAGTGAACCGGAGCGACGGGATCAAATATCGCACTGGCACACCATGCTGCTTCAGACTATCCATGGGCTTGGGACTATGCATGGGTGGTGCTAATGACAAGAAGGGTGTGCAGGAAACCCTCTGGCTGAGAGCGGCAGGAGAAAAGGTGAGTGGTGGAAGAAGCAAACACAATACGGCAGTCACCGCCCGAGTCTGCTATAGCCTATATCCTTTGTGACTTGCGTCCGTTTCTCACTTCTGTGGGGCAGTCCCTTGTCTCCTCTATCCACCGCATATACTTCTCTATCCAGTCACCAAGACCGGCATCAAGCACGACAATGACACCCACCCACACCGTAAACATTGCTCACGCCGAGCGCGTGATCATGTACGACAACAACAAGAAGACGAGGGAGATCAGGGGTGCGAAAGATATCCGCTTGGAGTCTGGCTATACAACGGCTCAAAAGGACAAGAAGGCCAAGGATGTGAGTCTCTCATGCGTTTGTACCGAGAAACTACTCTGATAAGACAACAGGCAAGCAAGACAGCCGCCGTTGCGGCCGCTGTCGCCCTCGCCAACAAAGCTACCAAGCACAAGACAGTCACTCACACCGCACCCACCAAAGCTCCTTCCTCGAGCAAAGCAAAGACTGCTACGGTCACCCCTGCGCCAAAGACGAAGAAAGCCGAGTCCAACAAAGCCGAGCATAAAGGGCAGAGGAGGAGGTTGGGCGTGTACTTTGAAGAGACCATGTAGCGCGCATATTTGAGAGTTAGTAAGGGGTTGTAGTTTGTAGAGCCGTTAGGACTATGTCTGTTTGTGTGTATGTATCTCAGCATTTCCTGTACCCCTACACTCCCACACTCCGATGGGGACGCTGTGCTGCTGAGCGGTTGAATTGTCGGTCAACATGCTCTTCAGATGCTCCAATTCGATTCGTATTTCTAGCAATGCTTCCACCAGAAGCGCGGATATATACATCTCTCGGGCTATACAATGTCAATGCCGACATGACTGCATGCATAGGACCCAGTAAACGACCCCAGCAAGCATGCACTTGTTACGTATACACCAAGACCATCCAGGCGGAACCAAAAAGTTGACGCGTCGCGAGACTCTTATCACGCGTCTCTCCATTCTCATTGCATCCTCATCCTCTTCTTCCACCCGGCAAGATGGCCCCCTCCCGCACCCAAACGCAACACAGGAACCTCTCCGAAGAATTCGCCCACTCGACCCAGTCGCAAAGACGCGCCAAAATCACGGATGCGAAGGATATCTTCAAGCAGCCGGATCAGGAGGAGCAGTTGAGGCTGGGGAGGGAGTATAGGAATCTGCAGACGGCGGCTGATGGTGCGTCTTCTCTCAGAGCAGGGGAAGGGGAAGGGATGGGATGGGAGGAAGGGAGGAATGGGAGCTGATGATGGAGACGCGTAGAGATGAAAGGCAACCTGGCGAACGCCACTGCCCGAGACTTAGCTCAAGCACTCGCCAAACAATCACAACTCTTCGCCAGCGGTAAGCTCTCACCCCCACTCCCACCCACATCCCTACTTGCTAGATAACTGAATGTCCTGTGACGATAGTGCGCGATACGGGCATCGGAACCCTCGACGCCAACCTAATACGGACCAACGCCGAAAACGCCATGGGCCTCGCAAAGCGATTTAAAATCGACGGCGTTACGTTTGATATCGACGAGTTTCTTATCAAGATTAAAGGCCAGTTGGGACTGGACCGCGCGGAGATGATGGACCAAGATGCCGAAGAGTCGGATCTGGAAGATGATGGGCCTACGCAAGAACAAGGCCGAGGCCGAGGAAGGGCGCAGCAGGCTAGAGCTGGGACGTTGGGGGATTGGGAGAAGCTTGGGTGGATGGCGGCTAGGTATGGGCGTCGGATGCCGGGGGTTGAGTTCATGTGCGTTCCTCTTCTTCCTTTTCCTCTAGCTCCAAGCCCTCGCCTGGGATGGAGGGAAGATATGATGAGAGTTAGAGGGCTGATGGGAGATAGGTACGGACCGCTGCAAGTCGAATACAAGAAACGAATGCCCAACACCCAACGTCCAAAACAGGCCATGGTAGAAGAGACCCAAGCCACAGTCGTCGAACAGAACGCAGAGGCTTCCAAAAAGACGACAGACGACTTCACCAACAACATCAAAACCGTACGTCCTCCCCCCCCTCCTCATGGACCGTCGACTGACACTGACGGGCAGACAGGTCTACAAAATCCTCGGAAACCACGCTCCCGACGGCGAAAGCATGAACTTTTTCCGCCTCGTCGTCAACCCCACCTCTTTCGGCCAAACTGTCGAAAACTGCTTCTTCCTCTCCTTTCTGATCAAAGACGGCAAGGCGGGGGTGTATGTGGAGGAGGATGGGGAGATCAGGGTGGCTGTTGGGGAACCGCATAATACGGCGGATGATGGAGATGTGCAGAGTAATCAGGCGGTTATGGAGATGGATAAAGAGACTTGGGAGGTGAGTTCCTTCTCTTTTCTCTCGGGAGTGAGAGTGAGGTTGAGGAGGCTGATGGGGTTTTGGTAGTTGGCGATCAGGACGTTTGGGATCAAAGAATCTGCTATCCCGACAAGAGATTATCAACAGATCAAAATCCAATCTGACGGGTGGTACAGCTAGACTTTTTCGACTTGCTCTCTCTTCTTCTCTTTTATTTCTACCTCTGTATACAGTTAGACCTTGCGAAACCTTCTTATGCGGTGTCGATCTTCTTTGGGAGTGCAGCTGGGTATTTGTACAGTTACAATATGCTGGAAAATGCATCTGTCCTTGCTCTCTTCCCTCCCCCCTCCCCTACCACCGCCCTTGCTCTTTTCTCTCGAAAGCGCAAGGATCATTTAGCTTGATCCGCAATAGGGTTCGCATGCACTGTGACTCTCTCCAGCCGAATCTCTTGTAATGGCCGGTTCTTGGGATTGACGGGGGTACGTTCCATCGTATCGAGCACTTCGAGGCCGTCTATCACTCTACAGTCCGGTCATCAGCTCTTGGTCTCATTGGGGTAGGTGAAGAAGGTAAGGAAGGGGAAGGAAGGGAGAGGAAACGTACTTTCCGAATATACTATACTTTCCGTCGAGGCTTGATTGTTTTGCATAGGTGATGAAGAACTGTAACACATCATCAGTCATTCCCGCTTGTAAGACTAAAGGAAGAGAGCAGAGACACACTTGAGATTTGTTCGTATCCGGCCCAGCATTCGCCATAGCCACCACCCCTCTCGCATTAAACTATCATCTCCATCAGCATCCCCCCAGCTTTCTTTTCGGTGGAAACTTACTCGTAAGGTTTGTCGTATTTCATCGCTAAACGGCCGACCCCATATACTCATACCACCCTTTCCAGTACCGGTCGGATCACCGCCTTGGACCATGAAGGATTTGATGTTTCGGTGGAAGAGGGTGTTGTCGTATGAGCCTGAGGCGCAGAGGGCGAGAAAGTTCTGTCCAGAATTAGCCTTGTTCCACGTAGTAAGAGAATGAATATGGGTAGATATGGAGGGAGCTTGGGTTAAAGGAGACATACTTCGGCAGTACGAGGGACAGACTCGCAGAATACTTCAATCTTGATGTCCCCCAGGTTTGTATGTAATGTGACCGACTGCAATCTGGATCAGAATCCACAGCTTCAGCTTGGGGTGGTTGGGGACATACCATAGCGAGTTTTGTTGTTTGAAAAGTACAGGGTGGAGGTTGTTGTGACGGGGAAAGAAAGAGAAGATGGGCGGAGGAGTGGCCAGGCACGATCTGCTATTTTGTAGTAACTGATGACCAACGCTTTCCATCTACATTGCTTACTTTTCAGTCCCCGGCTCCGAATCATCCCGCCTTGTTATAACAGGTGACAATTCCTTCAGTACTCCAAAGAGCAAGAGCAAGATAAAACATGTCAAGACCCACCCAGCAACAGAACCCGGCCACAACGGCTCCCGCCCCCTTCGTCTTTGACCCAGTGCCAGAGGCTATCGACGCTGTCAACCGGGGAGAGTTTGTCGTCGTCATGGACGATGAGAACCGGGAGAACGAGGGAGATTTGGTGTGTGCGGCGTCAAAAGTTACGACGGAGGGTATGGCCTGGATGATCAAGTGGACTAGGTATCTTTTTCCGCCACAAATATCAAGAGATCAAGTGCTGACCAGATTATTCAAGCGGTTTCATCTGTTGCTCTCTCCCTCCTTCCCGTCTCGCTGCTCTCCAGCTCCCGCCCCTCCTGCCTCCCTCTGGTGTTTCGCAAGATCCCAAGGGTACGGCTTATCACCTCACCGTCGACTCGGCACCGGGAAAGAATCCCGTTACGACCGGTATCTCTGCCCACGACCGAGCGTACACTGCGAGGATCTTGGCGAATGAGGAGAGCGTAGAGGGAGACTTGACCAGACCTGGACATATGGTCACGCTGAGGTATACTGTTGGCGGAGTGCGAGCTAGGAGGGGACATACGGAGTGCGCTGTTGGTGCGTATCCCCAACATAACATCTTTTGGTTTCGCATGGCTGATGGCTTTTAGACCTGTGCTACCTGGCTGGCCTCCCACCAGCAGGTCTCTTGTGTGAGCTTGTCCACCCGACGGACGAAGCCGGCGAGATGGCCCGACGAGATGACTGCTGGCGGTTCGCTAAGGAGTGGGGACTCAAGATTATCAGTGTGGAGGGTTTGGCAGAGTATGTGGAGAGGGAGGGCAAGGATCTGGTGCCGGAGGCGCTTGCTAGGGCTTGATCTTGGAGAGGCTTGGGTTTGGTAGAGCGCGACGGGAATGTGCATTCTACAAAATGATAGATTTTTTGGTGATTCAGTGCATTTCTTTTGCATGCAGTAATCCACTGTCTTTTGCTTCGAATGTGTACCCCTTCACGATACTCATTACAATGCATGCATGAAAGAAGAAGAAAGGGTAACACGCCACGTTCGTATAACCCCGAAACTCCGCCAACTTTCATGATCTCTTACTTTTGCCATTGTCTTCCGCGCCCATACAAATCCACCCCCAAAACCGCCGCCAGTATGACTTCCATGGCCGCTGCTCTCGCAGCCTCCCTCCCCAGCGCCGTCTCTCGCCAGTCCACCCCTCTCCCCCAGAAGGAAGCCGCCTCCAAGGTCCCCCTGAAGCTCGAAGGTGCCGTCGATGCCGAAGCCCTCAGGGAGGTCGAGAGCGTCCAGCTCAACTCTCTTGTTTGTCGCTCCTTGATCACCACGGGGCGAGCTAATTGTCTGATATAGGTGTTCTTGAAGATCATGAAGCACTCTACCGACATCCTCCCCGCTCCCCCCGCCTCCGTCCTGCAACAGGACCGTAACCCCCCTCCCTCTACCGAGCTCTCAAGCCACGTCGATGCTTTGGGTGTGCTTACGGGTCTGGACCTTGATGGTGTCATGGAGGTGGAAGACTCTTTTGCTCTCCCCGGTGGCGAGACTAGCTTGGGTCGTAAGTCGCTCGTGGTCGAAAGAGGACAAATGCTGATCGAGAATTAGCCAACTCTTACTCTTCGAAACTCTTGTCCCGCCTCTCCACCGTCTCCACCCCCGACTCTCCTATCGGTATCTACCTCTCCACCCACAACGGTGGTTTCGCTACCCGAGTCTCCATCGACCTTCTCTCCGCCGTTGAAAAGTCGGCCGGACGCGGCAAGGCCATCCTCCTCATCCACGACGCTTCCCGCTCCAACGGGAACGACCTCTCCTTGAAGGCCTACACACTGTCAGAAGGAGCTAGAGAAGCCGCCAAGAAGGGCAAGTGGGACGGACAAACGCTGCAAGAGTATGGTATCACCAGCGCGACCTTGTTGGTGCCCTTGCCCGTCAAGGTCGCTTCTTCAGCCCTCCTCGACGCATTCATCTCCACCCTCTCCACCCCCGCTCCTTCCGCCTCCGCCCCCTCCCTTTCTTCCCCATCTACCCCCCTCCCACCATCCTTCTCCCCCCTCCTCAATCCCCTCTCCACCTCCCTCACATCCTACCTTCAAAACACCCTCGACGCTCTCACCCTCCACTCCCACGAGACCAACAACATTGCCTTCCTCTCCCGACAAATTGCGCGTGAGAAGAGCAAGCATGAGCAGGTGGTCAAGGACAGGGAGGAGGAGAATGCGAGGAGGAGAAAGGCTGGGTTGAGCGAGTTTCCCGAGATTGGGGAAGAGGTTCGGGGTGGGACGAAGGAGCCTAGTCGGTTGGAGATGGTTTGTCTTGGGGGCACGGTGGAGGGTGTTGCCAAGGGGATGGCGGCAGAGGCTGGAAAGGGATTGGTGCGAGCGTATTTGTAAATGGAGTCTTTTCGCTTTTCTCTTTTGTGTGCGGGTTCATTTTTCTAGATGAGACCTTGTAGAGTAGTTTATACAGCATTTACATTCCCATCTTGCACATCATGCATGTGCTGGTTATATGACTTGGTTCGTGTTTCGGACTTTCACCCAGACTTTGCCATACACCAGCGGCCAGCACCCGGCTGAATCCGGTCCTCCTTTGTTCAGCGTTGAAACGCGCCTCACTCCTGTGATGGAATCGGGTAGTTCTCAAGGCGGCTGTGGCTCCGCTGATGAATGCCTTGCACACCTGCTACTCTTCCCACGACATGACACCCACCTGTTATGCTTTGAACTTCCTCTATTCTCACGTTGTGAAAGTGTTCATGTGAAAGTGAATCCTATCATCCTCAACGAGGCATTTTCCCCTGACAGAAGCAGCTTCTATTACTACTTGCGAACACGCTTCCCAAGGCGTACCAAACTGCCTCAATAGAGTGCATCCCTCTCTGGCTCTGACATAAGTATATATATATATAGAAAGATGCCTCTTCCACCTTCTTCTCATCTCATCTTCGATAATTCAAGAATAAAGCAAGTATGTCTAACCACAGAACAGGGACTTGGAGCCAAACGGCCGGTACACCTTATGACTTCATTCTGGAGGGGACCAACCAGGATTTCGACGAAGTTACAGCGCTGGTCGACAGCGACGATCTGTTCACAAGAACTGCGCCTGTTGACAAGGAGACAACGTCCTACGTATTTACCGCCTACACCCATGACGCCGGGGCAGGAACTCTTCGTCGGGAGGCTGTGACTGCAGTTCGACAGCCACCTCCGGGGGAACGGGAGATGTATGACGTCGCCTCTGAGGCTAGCACCCAGCTGGACAAGGCGATCACTTGTAACCTCTACGGCGACACCACACACAACAGCGCGCTGATCAATTCCTGCTTCTCAGACCACAGCGTGGAGGGTTTGAAGGAGGAAGAGAGGACTATATATTCGAAGCTTATGGCCAAAGATGAAGGGCAGTATAAAGGCGTTCAGCTCTTGCAATTGGACGCAGGCACGATGAGGGATCTGATGGTGGTGTTGAATGATCGAACCACTGAAAGATGATTCGTTTGAGGGACGCCACCTAATTTGTTTGTTCAAGAAGAGGGTGTGAGTGTCCGGCGGTGATAAAGTAGCCAATCAGTTTAGTCAAATATGCAAACACCTCAGGGGCCAGGCTGATTTCATACCGCGAAACGCTGGACCACTACTGGTCCGCTCTTATCCGATCCCTCATCCTAGCCATGTATGCTGGGCCTTCTCATCCATTCTCTCGCTGCTCCTTTGACTGGATGAAAGAAGAAGTCAATCTTCTCAAGGCTTTTGTAGTTCCACTGATGGGTGAGCCGGCTACTCGCTTCACTTCTTCCCAGGACTCAATCCCACGACTTATCTTAGGGCCAAGTCCCAAGTGATTCCAATGGGCCGCATATATATTGTTGGTCCTGTGACATCACATCTCATTGTAATCAGATCTTAGGACATCCACTCAGTTTAATCAACATGTCAACTCACACTCAACGAACATGGATCGAAAAGGAACCCTACAAGTACACCTTGGAGAGGGCATCGGAGACACTCAACGAGCTTTTGGTATTGAACGACGAGGACCATTGGTTCGAGGAGACTGTACCTGCAAAAATCGAGACAACCTCTCTCATTCTCTCAGCATCTACCTACTTTATTGGGACCAGGACTCTTTCTAGAGACCTTGACAGTCGCGAGACATTTCCCTGGCAATCCCCTTCTTGTGGATCATTCAGCCAACTCTGAGAAGGCCGAAAAGATGGACGAGGAGATCACGAATAGCCTCAGCCAAATTGAGCACAATGGATGGATAGACTCTTGTTTCGCAGAGGACAATACCGAGGGCTTGAAGGAAGAAGAACTTTCTGTTTACTCAGTAGGATCATGGCAGCAAATGAGGAAGAGTACAGAGATGTTCAGCTCTTACAAATTACACCAGAGCAGATGCGTGAAGTACTGACCACCGGGGCTAGTACATCACCACAAGAGCCCATACAGCGGGCGGATGTAGGTACTGCGTGAGACTCTGGGTATTGTGTGGCCGACATGTATATAGAGTAGTAGTTTGGTTCTACCTGTAAGGTCAATGATGCATGATGAGTGACAGCAGCATCAATACGTTATAATGGTTTTATACCTGATAGTTCAAACCACCGGGCGTTATAGTCATTTAGGCCCAGCAAGCGCACACGGGATTGGAAGACGACTAATGGGGCAGATACAGGGAGAGCTTCTTTTACATGTTAAGCATTCGGGTATCATGTTTTATCATTGAAAGTACGGATCATATGGAATTTGGTATGTTGTAATGTCCTGAGCAGACCTCGCCATGGCGGATCCCATCGTCTTCTTTGCGATCGATGCGTGGCCTAATGACCGTGCTTCTTGGAACGCCTCTGCAGTAATAACGTCAGCAAACTCAGGTACTCATACCGACAACAGACTTACCTTTCTCTGTTGCTCATGCCCACTGGGTACCGCGCTCAACCAGCTCCCCTCTCCCCACTTGGCGCCCGAGTTTCCTGCAACACCTCCTGTCTGAGAAGCTTCCACTGCGACCACTCCATCCCCACCGGTACCAGAGGCGGTAGTAGCAGAATGGTCCACGACCTGAACAAGAGTCGAGCCATCAACGACGGTAAAGACTTCGGTATCCGAGTCGGCTGAAGCCGCAGCAGATGAGATACCACCGGAAGTGGCGGCTTGGACGGCCGCAATACCTTCGCTGGAGGAAGGGTCTTCTCCTTGAACAGTGACGTATTGGGTGACGATAACGGTGGACGTTGGGGTAGTGACAGTATCGGTTCCTTCTGCGAGGTTCTGTACGCGCAAACCGGCGGCAGAAGTGACCTCTTCGCTTGATGCTGCCGCTGCAGCTCCAGTAGTCACTGACGCACTTGCTACAGATGCGGGGGAGACGGCTTGTGAGACGACTGAGGATGGCTCCACTGCACCAGCTGAGGAAGCAACTACACCAACGGAGGAAGCGACTACACCAGCGGACTCGACGGCAGCAGAGGTGGCGGCAGCCTCAGGGATAGAGCTCTGGACCGGAGCGGCGGCAGACGAAGCGACGATGCCCGTTTCAGCAGACACTCCAGCTGTCGCCGTCGCTGCAGCTGCTGTACCAGAAGCAGCATCGACGACAGCGGAAGAAGCACCCTCCACACTCTCCGTCGCTCCAACCTGAATAGCCGCAGCTCCGTCCACCCCAGTTGCCACAGTCGCTACCACACTCAACGTCCCACTCGACACCGCCCCCGTCGGACTCGGCCCCACAGAGAAGGTCGAGAGACCCGTCGAAGCCAAGCTAGAACAAGTCGCAGTGGCATTGGCATACGCGTCCGAGGGAGTCTTGGCGCCGACATAGTCGGAGCCGGCGGGGCAGAATTCGACGATATAGTCGGGCGAGTTGGCGCATGTCCAGAGGGCCGTTTTGGATTTCTCGTCGTAGGCGTAGGCGTAGGAGGTGTTGCAGTTGTCTTTGAAGAGGGAGTAGTAGTCGACGCCGCAGGCCTGGCAAAGATCGGGATCGGCGTATGAACCTATGCGGATGTTAGCGATGACGACACAACAGTAGAAAGAGCGTACCTGTGCAGCAAGCTCGATTGCCATACATTTCTTGCCCAAGACCAGCATTACAAGCCGTCAAACAACCGAGGTTGACGCCGTTCATATCCAAAGCTGTCCTCAACATTGCCGGGCAAAGCAGGTTGAGATTCACTTGACATTGCGGCTGAGGACAAGACTCAATGGAAGGGATGATGTTGAGAGGGATGTTGAAGCCGTCCACAAGGGAGATGTCAAAGTTGTCTTCGGAATCCGGCTGCAAAGTAAACTCGGCTATCATGATCATTAGTAATAGCCATGAGGGGAGAACGACAACATACCGAGCGTAGCAGGAGGCTGATCGGAATTCTCGCAAGTCACATTCCCTCCCTCACCCGACCCGCACTGCCCTGTCAGACACTGAAACTTGCCATCCTGGATGACACACTCCGTCCTCCCCCAGATTCTACCAGCCTGCCAGTTCTCAGGCACTTGGAAGATGGTTGAGTCACCAGCGGCAAGTTCCCATCCGGTTGCTTGAGCAGGAATCTCCCCGGCGCCGGTATGCATACCGGGCCAGATGGTGGAGGAGCAAGAGTTTTTGACTGTTATCTGTCGAGCATGAGAAAGAGGTGCGAGGGAGGATAGAAGCGGGATGAGGAGGAAAGAGAGCATTGTCGGTTGATTTTGCAGTTGGCGTGATAAAGAGCGTGAGAGGGTATACCAGATACCTTAGCTTGGAGCATGCGAGGGATAGAGCGATTCGAGGACTCGTCAAGAGTTTACAGGCTGGCTGTAGGATATCTGTTGACAGGATGATCAGAAACGGCTGTTATGAAGCGATAAAGAGCGTCGAAAGCGATTCCAGCAAAGAAACGAGCGTGTGACTGTGTCAGAGAGGGAGAAGAGTAGAAAGGTGGGTGATGGAGGACCGGAAATGGATGGCGTATATGAACAACAATGGTTCTCGCGCCCACTCTTGCCCCCGTCCCATCCTCGCTCGCCGCTCCCATGTAAGTCCTGCCAAAGGAGCCCATACGCGTTCCACAAACTGCCATAAACCTCCTGAAAGCCGAAGACCGAGCAACGCAAAGGATTATCGTTTCAGGCAACCTCGTGACGACAATCATACCAAGACGACCCAAGGGTACCATATGCAAAGTCGAGACAATGGATGTCAGGGGAGAAAGGATGTCGGGGAGTGTGGGCCGAAGAGGAGGTAAGCGTATTTCGAGAGGATCTGAAGGAGGAGGGTATGTGATCGATAGGAAGGGGCATCCTGGAGGCCATCGGGGGCCTCGGGGAGAAGTCTGAGAGTAAGATTGGGGGAAAGGCCCACATGGGTCCACCAGGGGCTGCAGACGGGATTGATAGGGTAGGTAGGGTAGGTAGGGTCCGCTTGTGTAATCCGTTTCTTTCTTTTTCAGCAGATGTAATCCCCGTTGGTTGTTCAGTTGGTTTTTATCGGTTAGCGGCTCTATGCACAGCTCATCGATAGTGACCTTCCAGCCATATGTTATCCATTGAGCAAGAGCTTGCAGTCTACAAGTGTCAGCGATATATTCTTGCTCTGAAGTCAAAGATCATACTCCTAAATACGATAACGGCTCCAGGTGCTGGGGCAGCGCATATTCCACACTTTTTCTTCTTCGAACACCAGAAGTCCCTTTCCCGCTCTGTTCCGGTGCTGGGCTTATGGCTGCAGTGCTCCTCTGGCAATCCTCTGGCCACATGCATCACATGCATGAGATGAGAGATCCGTCAAGAAGATACGGCATTACGTACAGCGATGTCGGCTGTGCCCGCCGTTTTATTCCGCGCCGACCCGAAACCCCAGCCGAAGCCCGCCCGATCGTTTTCCTATTGTCTTCCATCTTCCCATTCTCTTGTTATCCAGGGTGTTCATCCAGCCATCCAGTCATCCACAAGCCATCCCAATAGCTTGCAGCGAAGCACATCAGTGTAGTTAACTACGAACCACTTTGCCAACAACTATCAAGACACGTTAACGCCTGCGGAAGGGATGCCGCGTGTAAAAGTTGCGTGCGATGCGTGCCATCGATCCAAACAGGTATTACGCCTCTCTGTCTCCTGCTTGCCATGAGCTAACGCCAAACGTGCAGAGATGCAGCGGTCCACCAGGCCCTTGCGACAGATGTAAAGTGTACGTCTACATCCTTCGATCGCCTATCTGGACGCCGGAAACGCGAACTGACCCTCGGTCAGAAACAGAGGAACCTGCATCTTCTCCTTTGACACTACCACTCGTACTCGAGTCTCCAGCCAGACACGGAGATCGTATTCTCCTCCACGCTTATATCGTTCGCCTGGGGATGTGTACCCACAGGCGCCACGATCTCGCCCAGAGATGTCGGGTACACCGCGCGTGTTGCCTACGCTTAGTAGCTGGTATGATGCGCCGAAGGGGGGATCGTCTATCATAAACGGTCCAGATGCGAATGAGATTGAGTAAGTTAATATTCTCAGAGTGCTGGCCAAGTACAGACTTTGCGATAGGGTTCTCAAAGCACGACTTGCCGACGTCGAGGGTACAATTCACAGACTATCCGAAGCTTTCCACTCGGGTCATCGTCATTCCTCTGGCTCTCATCCAATCATCGCTCCACCAACACACAGGATCGACCCTCAACTACATACGCCCTCTCAGTCATCCTGGGAACAACCCCTCGACCCGGCATTGGCGCCCGAGAACGACGCCATCATGAATGGGGAGTCGCCACTTGCAGCTGCTTTCGTTGATCTTCCTGTGCCAGATGCTATCTCTCGAGGTATATTGCTTATGGATGATTGTCAAGAAGCCTTTGACTTGTAAGTACTTTCCTCCCTGTATGGGACATCGCTGAAGGGAGGCAGCTATTTTGATCGGATACATCCGTGGACAATGATCTTGAACCCCCATGAAGATGGCTCGGCCGCCACCGTCCGCCAAAGGTCGCCCATCCTTTTCCATACCATCATTCTAACCGTCTTCTGTACGCTCCACCCCAACGCTCCCCCAGCCCTCGCTAACACCCCACAGACTACCGCCCCACATCAACCACCTCCCTCGTAATGTACCGCGCCATCTCCACCATCCTCTACTCCCTCCTCGGCCCCCTCCTCCTCTCCTCCCAACCCCCCCACCTCTTTTCCGACACCCTCCGCGCCATACACCTCCTCGACCTCTACCGCCCCGTTCAATACGACAACCTCTGGCTTTCCGGCGAGACCTCCCCCCCAGCTATCCAATACCGTTCCAAAATCAATCCCCAAGGCGCTTGGGCTTTGCGAAACCTTGCGGGGCAGATCGTACAGCGGATGAACCTGCCTCATGCTGGGATTGAGTTTGAAAGGTGCTCGAATGCGGGGGTACCGACGCATCCTAGTATCATTGCTGATGTCAGGCTGCACCTCGCGCTGGCATGGCATGATATCCACGGCGCACTGTCTGGCGGGTCCTCACAACATATCGTACCGCCCTCTATCGCCTTGTGCCGCCTTTTCGCAGAAAAGAGGTTTGAAAAGTATGACGTCCGCCTCGCAGCTAGTGCGGAGCTGTTTACGCTTGCCATCAAACTCATCCGCTCCCCCACCGTCTCTCCCGGCGAAGTATACGAATTCAACTCGAGTCTCGACCAATGGTGCGGCTACTGGCAGCTCCAACTCAAATCCAACGCCTACTACGACCCATACACCTGGTCCACCATCAACATGTACGGCGCATTCATCTGCTTGCTCCTGAATGCCTACGCTTTGGGCCGGTCGAGGTCGTGGTCGAGTTTGGAGAGTGTGACGGATGGTCAAGTGCAGTATATCACGCAGGTGAAGGCGGGGGTGCAGAGGTTGGTTTTGGCGGTGACGGAGCAAAAGGCGGATATGGGGGAGGGGTTTGTGGCTACCAGGTGGGGGTCGACTGTTTCGGCAAGAGTATGGGAAGAGTTGGAGTTGGATAAGGATATCATTGATACCATGCAGTGGTGCGGAGACTCTGTGGCTGCGGTTGTATGTCCTCATCTTTTATAAAAATTGCATTCGAGCTAACACATTGATAGATGTACCCCCACGCTCTTATTCTCCTCATCCGTCTCCACACCTCAGGCCTCCTCTTCCCAGACCTAATCACCATCAACCCCCACACCATCCCCACCCCCCAACCATCCATCCCCGCCGGATCACCCCTCGCCAACCTCCTGACCCTGGGCGACTCCATACTCGGGTCCATCGCGCCCAACGCCGAACATCCAGTGGGCGTCAAGGCAAACTACATTAGGCGTCTCAGGGGACCGTTCGTACCCGAGGGGATGGCGAGTAATAAGTTCAATGGTTCCGGGACGCGGGCGAGGACGCCGAGGACGTCGATGGGTGCGCCGTCGTTGGATAGTCCTGGTTTGGCGGGAGAAGGAGGGGGGAAGGGGCAGGAGGTGAGGGATCTGAAGAGTTGGTTGGAGGTCAATTTTGGGGATAAGGTGATCTTTTCGAGTGGGTGGGGGCCCAGTGAGATCTGATGGGGAGAAGGGCAGTGTATCATCAGACAGAAGGTACAGTGTTGGGGAATAATGGTATGCAACATAATGTCATAATGATGAAATTTTGCATTGCCACACGCTGAACATGTCTGGGAAGCAGGGCAGGGGCCAGGTAGGGTGATAGTCGTCGACAAAGATTTCGCCACAGAGGGGCATACTCGAGTACGGAGCGCTGTGCGCGATTATCGAAGACAGTCAAGAAGGAGTTGGTCATGCACCCACCCAAGAATGACGGCCAAGTACGATTTACGAAGCCTTTTGTCATTCAACGTTCGGGGTATGGCCTCATCATCGAGCATGGCCGACATGCGAGGGTGCGCTGCTTACGCGAGACTGCGCTTCAGCGCGGCGGCCGTGCGCAGTTCTTTTTCCAAAGGAGGAAGATGACGCAGGCCTTCGTTGTAATTACGGTGATGTGCTTAGTCACGAGCGTAATTACGCCTCCACTCTTGCTCTCCTCTTTCTCTTCCTCGCCTCCGCCTCCGCCGGCACCTACTTGTATTCCTTGCTGCACTATTATAAAGCATCCGTCTCTTCTCTTTGTCTCTATTTTTCAGCCGCCACCATGCTTTTCAGTATCAGTATCACTGTGCGTATGTGACTTGGGACGGAAACATCAAGCTGACGAGAATGTAGTCCGACGTAATATGTCCCTTCTGTCTCATCGGAGTCAAGCAGCTTCTGGGCGGTCCGTATCATCCATTCTCATATTGTATCATACTGACCCTTACTAGCTATCGACGAATTCAAATCTACCCACCCCGATGCCAAATTCGACCTCCGTCTCCTTCCCTTCGAGCTCACCCCTGGCCTCAGCGAAGAACCCAAACCCAAACGGGCAATGTACGAAGCAAAGTTTGGGAAAGAGAGGTCGGACGCGATCTTGGCAATGTTACCCGAAAAGTATGCTGCAGTTGGGGAGACTGTGTGAGTCATTAGCGATTGGATCGAACCTCGAGATGGCGACAAGACGCAAGCTGACAAATGAGCCGGCAGTGATCTCGATGGCCAAATCTCGTCCACCCACCACGCCCACCGCCTTCAGACTCTTGCTCTCTGCCGTGCTCCCGAGGCCCAGCTTCCCCTCGCCATGGAAATCTTCCGCGGCTACCACTCCAACGGCAAACACCCTTCCGACAAAGCCTGGCTCGCCTCTCTCGCTGTCAAGCACGGCATCTTCCCCACGGAAGGAGAGGCGCGAGAGTATCTCGATTCCAACAAGTGTGACAAGGAGGTGAGGAAGGCGTATGATGTCGCGAGGGAAACGGGCGTGACGGGTGTGCCGTACTTTGTGTTCCAGGGCAAGTTTGCGTTGTCGGGTGCTATTGGGCAGGAGAACTTTTTGCAGGTGAGTGCTGCGCTTCAAGGTGTCGGGGGTATGGCTGACGAGAATCAGACTCTGGAGGAGGTTGCCAGGCGCGAGACGGTGCTCGAGAAGAACTCGGCGCCTGCTATCAACTCTGCTCACGGCGAGTCTTGCACCGACCACTGCGAAGGCGACTCTTGCGCCGTCCCCACTACTGCTTAATAATCTTAGTTTACTTGTCTCATAGGAATTTTGCTTTTCTAAAATCGTCAGGATTACATACATGTGTATTTGGATTGTGGCGCAGATTAATGTATGTATGATGCTTTCTATCGATGCTATATGCTTTAAACGCGTCTATACAGTCTATACCAATATCTCGTGTTCTCAAGCTTGCAAGCCCACCCAGCACCGACCCCTTCTTCAAACCTAAACCACCGACTATCTTCTCCCCTGACCTTTTCCCATCCCTTGCCCTTGCTCGTCAACATCGCATCGACAACCATCCACGCCGGCCATTTCCTCCCCTCTGCTCCGAGGCTGAATTCAGAAATGTCTGAAGCAGAGTCTGCTATCAGGAAGAGAGTGCCGGGGGCAGTGTGGGCAGTGAGGGAAGCGAGAAGGGAGATGGTAGACGGGCGAGATTGCGTAAGAAGCTCGGCGAGCGTGAAGAAGAGGGTGATAAGTTTGGGCGGCTGATTGCTCAAGATCCCCTCCAGATCAATCGGCCCAGCCTCAACACCCTCCACCCTCTCCCCATCCCCATCCCTCTTCCCATCCTCCTTCCTCTCCTCCGCCTCCACACTCCTACCCACGCTCTTCAACAAATCACCCTTCACATACTCCACCCCCAGCACCTCCTTGTCGAGGGCCCAGTCGACGCGGACGGCGTGCTCGAGTTTGGAGAGGACGGCGTGCCAGTTGCCAATGTCGATACCGGTAAAGGTGAAGGTGGGGTGATGGACGGGACGGGAGAGGAGGGTGGAACGGATGAGGGCGGAGATGGCAAGAAGTTCGGAGCCGGCGCCGCCACCCAAGGAGAGGATGTTGTGGGTAGGTGAGTGTTGTTCCTCTTGCGAGGGTTCTCCCGCTTCTTCTTCAGGCTTCTCTTCCTCCTCTTCATCATCCTCGTCCTCTTCCAAGTCGACCTCCGCCAGTTTCTCTTCCAAACTCTTCGTCTTCCCCTCAAACACCTCCTCCCCCACCAACGCCCCCATCAACTCCCTAAAACACGCGGCCCTACTCGGCACCCACCTCCCCGCATACGCCTCCAGCACCCCTTCACTCCCACAAAACACCTCCAGCCACTTCTTCTCATACAACAGCCCCTTGATATGCTGGATAGACTCTTGAAAGTTGTCTGCTTGTAGGGTTTCGTGCAGAGCACGGTGGATGAGAGCGAGGAGCTCGGTGTCTGGAGGGTTGAATGGCCCTTCGGGGGGAGGGAGGGGGTCGGAAGAGGGGGGTGGGGGTGGGGGTGTTTCGGGACGAGGGGGAGGGGCGGGGTGGTGGAGCTTGCGGTTGGGACCGGCGGACTTGTTCTTTTTGTGGGTCTTGGGGGGACCGCCGTTGCGGGATCGGTGGGTCATTGCTTATTGCTTTGGGGTAGTCGAGAGTAAGTCGAGCGATTCATATCACAAAATGTTGCAAGACTTCAGCTTCAACTTTTAGTCGTGACATCATCACTACACCGCCACCCCTTCCAAACCCCGCCAAACCCCGCCCCTCCACTCCCCCCCTATATAACCAAACTTTCCACCCTTCTCAGTTCTTCTTTCTTTAGATCAAAAAATATTATGGTTTTCCATCTGCCATGCTCCTGCGCTACTTTCGACTGTCTCGCCTTCTGAAACATGGAGTGGGAGGGGGTTGTTGGAATCTACGCGTCTAAGGGGTGCTCATGGAGATTCACTAGACGAACGGATTAGTGTCTCGAAACTATTAGGAAACCCTTCTCTCGTTGCCATTGGTATGGGAATAGGGTGCTGAATGTCTCGATACAAGATTTTACCTGGGGGCTCTGTCTATGAATTGTTGTCTACACCTCTCTTGATTCTCCGCTGTACACTTGCTTCCGATCTTACTTCGCTCTCTCGTACGCGTGTTGTCCTCTGTTTGACTATTGTGCTCCAGACTCGGGAATAGAACTAAAGACATGGCGCATCTGCAGATTTGAGATACAGGTACAGAAAATACATCTTCCTATTGTTTGGTTCTATCAGACAAGAGCACGGCATAGCAAGGCAAAATGGGTATAAAACAAGTGGCTACAACTTCCTCTTCTTCTCCGCCCGACCCGAAGGCTCAGCTTCTTCCTCATCATCGTCCCCGTCCTCATCATCCTCCTCCTCATCCTCCTCCTCATCATCAGTCAAATATACACTGTCCACATCCACGGGCCCCTTCTTCCCCTTCTTTTGCCCCACCAGCTTGGCCAAGTCTTGCTCCCTGGCTTTGACTTGCTTTCGCAGATCTTGAAGGTCGGCTCGCAGTTCCTTACACTCGTACTCATAGTCTTCATCGTCGTCGTCGCCGTCGCTGCCAAAGTCGTCAAAGTAGTCGAAATCGTCTTCAAAGTGATTGACTTGAAATTCATATGTTAGTACGGGACAGAGCTCTGCGGAGGAGGCAACTCACTCATCTTGCAGGCGCGAGTGTTTCCCCATCCCCTCACCTTGCCATACCTCTGCACATTCCTGCATTCCTCCTCGAGGTGTGCGACCATCGTCAGGAGGTGGTTGATCTCCTCCTTCAACTCGCGGAGGGTCTCGGGCTCGGGGCCGGGGAAAAGAGCATCCAATTGTGCTGGGATGAAGTCGGAGGCTGTGGTACACTGATGTCAGCGATCGTACTGGCAGGGGTAGGAGTGAGGGGAGGAATACCTTTGGTGCCATCGGGGCGCGTGAGCATAGCATCCACATATTTTTCGGCCTCGTCAGAGAGTAGCTTCCTGGCTGTGGTACGGTGGTATCAGTGATAGTAACAGCACACTCGTATATGCATGAACAGGTAAGGGGAAGAAAACGTACGTTTAGAACTGGTGGTGGGATTGCTGTCCTCGAGCGGAGTAGCGACCAACTGTACTTTGGGGAGCGTGTCTATGGTACGGCAGTGTCAGTGGTAGTGATGGCAGGGGTACACGCAACGGTGGGGGGAGGGGAACGTACCGTTGGATTTGCTGTTACCAGCAATGTCTCGCGCAGAAGACATGGCTTTTAGTGTTGTCGTGTTGTCGATGTGTAAGGTTTATACGTATAGCGGTGGTGGTGGTGAGGTGGATACTTGGCGACGAGTTCGGATGAAAAGAAAAGAGGATGGGGATGGGGTTAGTTTGCATTCTTACACATGCGCACGTTCGCCCCCTCCCGCCCCATGACCTCTAATATATCTCTGGAGGTGCCACTTGTTGAGGATGTCCTCAGGACATCCCACAGCGATGTCACAGAGATATCCTCTCAGGCACGGCGCGCTTGACTGCTTTGTTTGGTTCCTCTTTTTGGCCACAAATTGGGCGACCTGTCGTGGCGTGCTGGTCTGGGGCCTGGGACTGCCACCAACGCCTCTTGTTTACTCTTGCGTTCATTTAATTGTCCTCTTCGACTGTTTGCTCCATTGCACGTCTACTATCCTATTCATCTCCCTTGGATTCTCCACTCTGTCATACAGATATGTCACGGATCGAGACTTTGGACACGTCCTTCAAACAATTGCATTCGGGATGTTTGGGGTCTTCACCCAACAAGCAAGCACATGGATCGAAGCACATTTGGAACCTATCTATTAGCTATTGGTATCTAACGAGCTACACAATTCAATCTACTCTTTTTTTTTCTTGTTGGTAGCCTCTACTTGAGAAGCCCTGTTCATATCGGCTAGTAGAGAAGCCATGGTGCGCTTAGGTGCCCCTTCCCTGATGCCCTCGCTCTCTGCCTTGGCGCCATCCTTGCCGCCATCTGTCACATGCTTATCACCCGATTTCACTGGCTCTTTTTCCCCCTTCTTGGTCGCTACCAGCTTGGCCAGCACTCGCCGCTTTGCCTTAAATTGCATTTACAAATCCTCGACTTCGCTCTTCTTCTTGTTCACCGTCCATTCCAGGGCTGTACCTGGCCAGAGATGCCCATAAATGGACGCAGCGCTGGTGATCGGCACGCGAAAGTGGACCGACCTGTGAGCTCAAAGGTACAGTTAACAGTGTAGGTGGCGCAGTCCCTCATCATTCATACCTTGATTGCCGAGAGTGAACATCATCCAGTAGAAAGCTGATAAGATAAGCACGCGGCCGCGACGCCAAACCCTGAAGAACCCATGCGGCCTGATGCCCGATACCATCCAGCTTTTGCAAGACAATTTCATCGAGTCAATTTCTCGTCTACTTTATAATTCATAATATCATCTCGACCTCGAATATAGCATTATGGTCGAGACATCAGCTACCCCAAGTTGTCCCATTGTCGTGGACCAAGATGGAGAGGCATACCTGCCCATCGCCGGTCATCCCAATCTTCGCCTCACCCTGCGAAAAGAGAGCGATACTGAAGCTATCGTTAGTCGCTTCCCCCATCTCCATCTCCAGCCATGCCTGACAGACCCATGACTACAGATGGAAATCGCAAACACCCCCGAAATCAGTCAATGGTACCGCTTCCGCGCCGTCCCCTTCCTCCTCTCCGACGCCCAGAAAGAAAACGCCGAGATACCCCTCGCCTCCGCCTACCTCCAAAAGATCACCTCGTCCCTCCCAAACAGGCCGGAAGGAGCGCCTGATGGGGCCCTGCCGATAAGAATGCCATTCAATATTCTACGCGATGTTTCTACAGGCAAAGCTATGGGCTCGTTCCGTTTCGGCGGCCCGGGCATGGACTTTGGACCAGGGAGAGAGAATGCGTGGGAAGCGAGCTATGAAATTGGACCTACGCTGTGGGGGAAGGGCGTTGGGACGAGGGTGGTTGGGGCTGCGTTGGACTATGCGAGATGGATCGGGGTAAAGTTGGTCATCGGAGTAAGCTCTTCCCGACTCTTGCCTACAAACTCATCTGATGTACAAGCAGGTCGTTCAAAAGGTCAACCTCGGCTCGAGCGGAGTGCTTAGGAAGAACGGGTTCACCCAATTCTTGGAGTTCCAAGACGAATGGCCCGCTGAGAGGGGAGGCGGTATCAAGACTGTTTGTGCGTATGAGGTTGCATTGTAGTGTATCATCCTGGTATTCCCGATGCAATTGAGAGCCATGTATGCAGTCCATCCAGCCCATCCATCAACTGTTGTGCACCTGCTGACGTTGCAAAGAGGAAACCATTTGTCCCTCGGTGACAGTGATGTACTGTCGCCACGACTCGGCCACGACAACCCGCGGGAACCCGACTGAAACAATTCGCATCTCCTCTTTCATCTCGTCTCCAAGGGTACTCTTTTCCCGTTTCACCCCATATCTCGTGAGTGACATCCTGCAATTCCCATCTCATCTACTCACTCACGATGCCCTCCATCTTTCGCAAAAAAAAGCAGCCCAAACCACCCAATCCATTCCCCATCACCCCTGCCCCCAACACTGCACCCGCGACCCCACGCAAATCCCTTTCCTCCTTCGTTTCCACCGCTCCCAGCACAACCGCCAGCCCTAGACTGAGCGTGCAAAGCAACGCGAGCTCGTCCTCTGCTTCTGTCTCTAGCCATCCACAGGCTCAGGCTCAGACGCCCATCTTTGAGAAATTCAGCCCTGTCAAGCCTGCCCCGCCAGCTTCACCTTTGGTAGACAAGCCTTCGCCCAGGATCAAGCCTCAGAGCGCCAACCCGAGCTCTGAAAAGACGAGAAACCTCTTCTCATCTTCGATACCGCAAGATCAAACCGGTCATCCAAAAAGCCCTACACCGCCTGCAAAAGAAGTACCCGTGACAGCCATGTCGACTGCTTCAGTCAAGTCCGTCAAGAATGCTCGTAAGGAGCAGGAGAAGGAACGCGTCGAGCGCCAGGTAGCCCAGCCTTGTTGGTCCTTCACACCATCTCCGACCTAGAGCTGACAGTATCTAGCCGGCAAAATCACCCCGGTGAAAGCCTACCTGATCTTCTACAACGCCGTCTCCACCCTTCTCTGGGGCTATCTCCTCGTCATCACTCTCACTTTCCTCCTCACACCGCGCTCCGCCCCATCGGTCGCTTCCCCGTCCTTCCTCTCCACCCTTAGCACCTACGTCCCCTTCCTCGGCGAGCCCAAACACGTCCAGTACATCCACAAGATCCTCAACCACCTCAAGGGATCTTATGACTTTGGTAATCTCGGCTGGTTGACCAAGTGGATCCAGTCGTTGGCCGTTTTGGAGATTGTGCACGCTGCTTTGGGGTTGGTGAGGAGTCCGGTGGGGACGGTCACGAGCCAGGTCTTTAGTCGGGTTTACACCGTCTGGGGAGTCGTTGAAGCTGTCCCTCAAGTCGTACGTCCCCCTTCCCTCCCTAAATGTGCATACTGACTCGGATGTAGACTCACGACTCGCCCCTGTTCACCACCATGCTCCTCGCCTGGTCCATCGCCGAAGTCGTCCGCTACTCCTTCTACACCCTCTCCCTCCTCCCCCCCGCCTCCGTCCCATCCCCCATCACCTCCCTCCTCACCTGGCTCCGATACACCTCCTTCCTCGTCCTTTACCCTCTCGGCGCAGGCTCCGAAGCTTTCCTGTCATTCTCCACTCTCCCGCCATTCGCCCTCCTCGCCGGAAAAGCTATTCGTCTTTTGCCAGGCGGGGCTGTCAGGGATTTGGTGGTGAAGAGTAAGCTTGGGAGGGAGGTGCTTTGGTGGGTTGCGAAGGAGGGAGGAAAGAATGTGTCGGGACAGGAGTGGGGGTTGATGGAAGGTGTGAGGCTTGTCATGTTTTTCGTCTGGTGGCCTTGTGAGTCCAAAATCTTTCTTGGAATGTGAAAAGCTAATGGGTCAACAGCTCTCTTTGCGCTCTACACTTATATGCTCAAGCAGCGAAAGAAGGTCCTTGGCAAGGGCAAGACTGTTGGAGGTGTCAACAAGGCTCGCTAAGGTATCCAGCCGCTCGTCACGTCTTTCAACAGATCTGGCTCACTGTCATCGAGGAAGGAATGAATGTCTATAATCACTTGTTTGAGACACAGAACCAGTTGCATAAGTCGTTAAGAAAAGACATGATCGACAGTCGCAAGACCTACAAAAAACAGACGTAAAGACCACAAGCCCGGAATATATTCACAATCACAAGACAAAACAATAGATATAAATCTCTTCTTTCCTTTCTTCTTTCTATCCTATAATCAATGTTCCAAGACATGATGAACATGTCACAACTCCTCAACCTTGGGCCCCCTGATGTTCCCCTGCTCGGCGTGCCCCTGCCACTCTTCACCACCAGTGACGAGGCAAGGCCACTCACTCTCCTCCTCTCCCTTGCCCAGCTTTCGCCCCAACGCCTCATTGATCTCATCCTTCTTCAAACTCTTCTTCGAGCCCTTGCCCGCCTTGGGCTTGAGCCTGAATGCTTGGCGAAGCTTGGCACCCAAACCGGACGACTTGCGTTCCCTCAACACCGGCCTCTCCTTCTGTTCTTCCGACTCGTGCATCGCCACCTGAGGGGCATTTTCAAACACACCATCATTAAGCAACTTGGCCGGCGACGGTGTTCGGATCAAAGGCTCATCAGGACCAGACGATGACGAGGTAGAAGTCTGAGAAGGACGGCGGAAGATGTCGTCTTGGTGGAGCGGCTTCGCGAGGTGTTCCTTCACGGGCACAAAGGTGGCTGAGGAAGGGTACAGCGGAATCCTGAGCACCTCCGACGTCTTGAGCGACGCAGGCGTCTCCAACCCCGCCCAAGCCCACTCTTCACCCCTCACCCACCCAGGCGCATCATCAAACTCGGCCTTGTCCTCTTCATCCTGCCTCCTCTCCTTCTCATGCACCGCATACCGCGCAGGCGTGGAGCCAGCTTTCGACTTGCGCACAAACTTGTATCTGCGGCTGTGATACCTCTCGGACCGGATCGGGTGGAACGAGTCGAGCAGCATTTGGGAGAGCTCTTCTTGGCGGAAGTGGTGCAGGGGAGGGAAGGTGCGGGTGGTGGTAAAGTAGCGGACTTTGGCTTCGGCCATGGCGGCGACGAGGGGCTTGTCGTCGGTCGACCTCTCGGGTTTGGTAGGTCGGGCCCAGGGGGCGGACGAGTAGGGGGCGTTGGTTGATGAAGATGAGAGGATGGTTTGGACGGCGGAGATGAAGAGGTCCTCGGAAGAGAGGACGGACGACCAGCCGGAGCCAATCTCGGCGTCGACGAGGCCATAGGAGAGAGCGAGCGATGTGTTGAGAGGCTTCATCTCGCGCAAGATCTCGGCCGCATGGATAGGTCCACATCGGTGCAAGTACGAGAACCTATCCCATATCAGCTTTGGCACTCTAGAGATAAAGATAGGACGTACGAATGAAGTTCACTTCCATGGAGACCCATACCCCTGTAAGAAGGGTTCAAAACCACCCCCCGGCCGGCGAGGACGACATCACAAGCCGTAGCGAGCGCCACACCACCAGCAGCCGCGTTCCCCCTCACACACGCTACCGTCACAATGCCCCTCTCACTCAACGCCTTACCCTGGCCCTGCATGAAAGCAGGCTGCTCGTCGGAAATGTCGGAGCAGAGGAAAGAGACGATATCGTCGATGGCGCAGATATTGTCCCAGGTCTCTTGGCCGGGGGAGGAAGCGTGTTCGATGGTGTTGAGGGCGATACCGTTGGAAAAGTAGGCGCCGCCCATGAGGGCGAGCACCTTGACATCCCCGCGGGAGGGGTCGGCGGCCCATTGGAGGGCTGAGAGGAGGGTACGGCAGTTTTGAGTCGTGAATGCTCCATTGCTAATATCGTGTCAGCTTCCATTCCACACTCAGAAACAAATGAACATACTAGAAGCTCCAGTAGACAAACTGGGCGATACCATCACCCTGCTTGACACTCCTCACAAACACCTCCTGCCACTCACCCTCCCTCTCTTCCCACGTCTCTTGCGTCCACTCTTGCACATTCTCCAGGATCTTGGCGTGCCCCGCGAGCTTGATAGCTTCGGCCATGGGGATCTTGGGGTCGATGGGCTTGTCTTTGCCCCGGGGTACACGGCCGTGGGTGATCCAGATGGCAGCAGACGAAGTGGGCGTTTGGGCAGTTTTGAACAGGACGGCACCGAGTCTTGTGGCGATGGGCGTTCCCGTGGGTACTTGTTTGAATGAAGTAAAGCCCAGGGCAGTAAAGAGCGACGAGGGGAGGGTGACGGCCGACTTGTGGAGATGGGCGCCATACGCAAAGAGCGATGCCTTGGCGTCAGACGTAAGAGGATGCAGCATAGCGCCCGGCTGAGAGTCGCTAGCGTTGAGGATCCTCAGCACATCTTCAGCCGTATGCTTCTCCCAGTCCGGTCTTCGCTTGGCAGACTGGAGCAACGGCCTCTCGTGCGTCTTTCCGCCCAAAAACCTCTCGCCCAAAGAGACGCTCAGCTCTTGCCAGCTCTTCTCCGGCGCGACATTCATCCACTCTGCCTTATCCAAACCTGCAGTCTTTTCATAAACCCTGATGAGAGCAGTGATGACAGCCGTCATGGCAGCAGGCGAGTGGAGGTTCTGGTAGATACCGGCTTTGGTAACAGAGCCGATGGGAGGGAGGGGGTACTGCTCCCACGCCCAGACAGCCCCGCCATCGAGATCTTCGGTGGCCTGGAAGCAGATCGTGCCCCAGTGTGAGCGCTGGGCTACAGGGCTGGGCAGGGTTGAAAGGAGGGCAGGGAGGAGGTCGGTGGAAGAGGGGACGGCGCCGTTGTCGCCGAGCAGGACCCAGTCGAGGGAGGAGGGGCCAGCATCGCCGGGGGGGCCTGGGTGGACGACGAGGGTGATCCACTGTGCATGTCGAGGGAAGAGGATGATGGTAACTCGTCAGCTCAAGGTTTCTTGGAAACTTGTTCCGAAACAGTCCCAGCGCGGGGCTGTTCCTGCGACCTGCTCCCAGTGTCCAGGCTGATGCAAGCAATAATCCCTGGCAAGGGGAGGCAGGAAGCGGTGGCAAGGAAGAAGACTCACGGTGTTGTGGATGCTCGGTGACAGCTTCTTGGTCAAGAAGGGGCACAGCACGATATCGGGCTGCCAGCTCTGGGCAGCTTGGAGCATCGCCTCGTCGCTGATGGCGAGCTGGACAGAGACATGCTCAAAGCCGAGGAACTGGAGGTAGGAGAGCACGCGCTGGGTGAACGAGTTGACAGAGGTGACGAGGAGGAGGATCTTTTGGCGGGCGAGGCCAGCAGCATGGGGAGGGAGGGAGGCGAGGGGGCCGAGGGGCGGGGAGAGGGCTGAGATGGACATGGCGGGTGGAAGGTAAAGAGAAAAGAGATGCGAGTATGGTTTATGAGGCCTTATATACTTGGAGGCACGGTGAGAATGGCAAGATGTGGGCCCAGGCGGGTTGTCCAAGAGCCATGGTCGGTTCCTGCCGCCGTTCCTCCGTACATGGTGCCATGGAGGGATGCATACGCCAGGGGCACATGGAGATGGAGCAGCACCTGCATGCTGCCAGAGGACGCGTTGTTTACGCGGCGCCTTCCCGAGCTACGTACGGCAGATACTAACCCGCACTACGCAGACCGTTCGTCAACAACCTCTTCTCTCTCTTCTTCCTCTTCTCTCTCGTGGGTACACATTGGAGCGTGGTCAGGGTGCGTTAAGCCTTAAGCGTGACAGGCTCGTTCAAGCTTTTTGCGCTGCTTTTTTCACTCTCCGCCCTCTCCGGTGTGGCGGGCTTCCGACGGTGGCTCAGCTTCAAGCTTAACTTTGGGCCTGTTCTAATCCACAGATCTAGGGATTTATACTCATACGTATCCCCCCTCCACATGTACCCTCCTCTTCCCGTCCTTCGTTAGCATATGCCCCCCCTCTCTCTCACGAAGATCTCGATACGTACATCTTACATCTTACGTCCATCATTCCACCCCGCGGGGAGAGGGGGGGCGGGGGCGCCGCCCTGCGGGACTCCTTCAACATGAACCTTCCTTCTGCCGCGCTTCTGTCTTCCTCCCTCTTGCATGCGTCAGCGGCGTACGCAGCGAGTGGCTTGTCAATTATGAGCCATTGTCTGAGAGCATATGTCTATGCTTTTCCGGGATCGGAGGTGTGCTCTATACCGCCTCTATACCATTTCGCTTTTCATGATGATATGTATGTATGGGAGATTGCGATTCAGAGTCTGAGGCCTGCAAGGCCTGAGAGTGAGAACTGAGACTTGGTGCTACATACGTACCATGCTATTGCGCTATCTCGATCACTTGATTGTTTCACCTTGTCTCACATACATGAGAAAAGACACCAGCGACAAATCAACAATTGCAATTATTATCAGTGCCTCTCTGCTTCCTTGCATTCCTTGTCATCTTGCTTCTTGTGCATGGTGAACCATGAATCTTGAGTTTCGATGCCTCATGATGGAGCGAAGGGAGAAGTAAATTGCAGACGATCGTAGATGAACAAATGAATCGATCATAAAAGTGTGATTATGAGGAGAAGATGTGGTGGTGAACCGGGAATCGTTGAGATGGGAAAGAACAGGCAAGGCTGCCGTTATCTTCTTGAAATCTTTCAAACAATCTCGCTCTTGCTCGTCTTCCTTCGCTCTCCTGCTGTTGCGTTCTGACATCAGTCTATCGCTTGTCGCTTGCGTTGCATCCTCTCCAGTCAGACTATGTACACATCCCTCCGCCACGCATGCAATGCAAGGCCAGTCAATTCTCCAAGAGTCCAGACTCCTCCTCCATTCGGTACCCACTGTCCCTTTCCCGAAGCTGGTTTAGAAAGTCATGGGTTATTATGTAGCTTGTACAGCAGTACTCAGTCGCCCAACAGATCACCTCCATATGTATCATCAGACGCTCCATTCTGAAACGTTCTATATTGCAGGATGTAACAACCCCTAATAAAAAAAAAGTGGCAGGAAAGGCCGAGAACTCGTGCAAGTTCAAGTGGCATGCCGCATGCGTGGTTGTATGAAAAAGGTCTGGCCATCCCACAGACTTTGTACCTTCTTGCTGGACTATGGGCTATGAGCTATGGGCTTGGGCTTGGGCTTGGGCTTGAGCTTGAGCATGGACCACCCATCAAAAGGTCCAAAAACAAACGAGATACCCGGACCTGCACCACAGCGCCTAGCTGCAGCCTGCAGCTGTTGGCTGTTGTTTGCACTTGGCGTTGGCAGAAACAGAGAAAACATTCTACCCAAGTTGGCTAGCGTAGGAACTGGGATGAATGATTATGAGACAGTGATGAGGGTCTGGAAGCAAGTTAATTTGGGGAAATTAATCCGGGGTTGTTAATAAAGGAAGGTCTTTGGGAGATCGGATGTGTTTCGGGCGGGGGATAGGCGGCGTTGTCCGATCAGGCGGAAGGCAGAAGGCAACGAGAGCAGGGACAAGGTCAATCGGGTTTCACTCTCGATTATCGACTTCATTAACTTGACAATTGATCAATTGTCATTCAATATGTGAGCTTTCGGAATTTGGGCAAGTTTGTAACTTGTGGGGTGACAATTGAGTGACATTATTGGTGGTGTCGTTGGGACGTGGTGGAGGGCAGAAGGATGCATGAAACACATAAGTAGATCGGTCGTCGTCTCGATATGCTTGCCCCGCTTTCTTGAAAGCCGACGGAAGAGATCTATTATATTGCCATAAGCCTTGCAATCAGATGTCAAACGTCAGCAACAACTTCGGTGGCATCATACGAGTATGGTACAGAGTGTCGGTTACAGGCTAGCTAGACAAACAGCCCCAGTATACGGTCGATGTAGGGGCTGACGGAACCTGCTGTGCTCCAGCAAGCGTTATCTCACAATGACGTTGAAACGGGCTCTTATCTGATAGGGAGTGAGCCCAGCCACATCGTTATCGATCAAAAGTCATCAAGACGACGCGTGTGGCTGCATTGCATCATCCGGCGAAGGATTCGTCGTTGCATCTACATTCACGTCGGCGTCTGCAGTGATATGAATGGGAGCCCGTCTCTGGGGCGTGCCCTCAGACAGTAGCTTTACTTTGAGGTTCGGGAGATATCCTGTATCAATTACGTGGTAGTCTTGTTCAACGCGATGCCCGCCGGTAGAATGCCAGAGCCTCGAGCTACGACCTTGATAGCATCTTGTGTCTTTGTGAGCCCTGAGGTAATGGTATCAGCATCCCCCGATAGCCAATCGTATACTGAAATCACGATCCACAATATGTCGGCGGTCAGAGGTCAGCAAACGATACATTCAGCGGCCGCATCAAACAGATCAAAACTCTTATACAAACATCGTCACCCCTTACTTCTGATCTTTGCCTGACTCTACACCCGCTAGTCCACTTGCATCTTGCTCCCTTCCTCCGCTGCCTTCTCTTCAGCCTCCTCCTTCTGCATCAGCTCCTTGGCCCGCTTCAAAGCGATAGCAGCCTCATTCGAATAATGGTTATTCCTCTTCTTGTTAAACTCCTTATGCCTCGCCCTGGTCTCCTCATCCATCTCATCCTCCGAATCATCAAACACCTCCCCGCTGTTCGCAGCCGTATTCGCAGCCGTCGCGCCGAGCTCCATCCCAGCATTTGGTGATTTGGGTGAAGATCCCGGACGGACGGGGTGGTCTTTGGTAGGGAGGGAGAATGAAGCCGAGCGAGAGGACGAGCTGGAGCCGGTAGATGAAGGACGGCGGGGGGCATCCTGTGGAGCAGCGTTGAGGGCGGTATTGTGGCGAGTCTGGTCGGGGCTAGTGGGGAGGCTGTACACAAGTGGAGTCAGCACGTGGTCCATGAGGCGGAGGGGTGGGGCAGGCGTTTTACCTCTTGCGAGGACTCAGCGGGGTGGTAGGGGAGCGCGGGTTGTCGGCTTCGAGATCGAAAGAAGGGATCTCGCCGTCTGGGAAGAAGTAAGCGAAGAGGCACGGTGGCAGCGTTGTGGGGGCCGCACGCACCGTTGGGCAGGACTTGGTCGTTGACGGCGTCATACCGCACGTAAGGGGTCTTGGGCTCGTCAATCTTCCTGTGGCGGAATGTCAGCATTTTGTCAGAGGAGTGGGATGGAGGTCGTACATGAGCGAGTCCTTCTGGATCTCCGTGAGCGCAATGTTTGCCTCGTCCCATTGCAGACTACGTCCTATCAGCGCTGTTCAAGCGAACACTAAACTCACACTTGCTGTTCGGCGATCTTCTCAGCCTCGGTGAGTTCACCGTCCACGACAATCTCGCTGGGCCTCCTCGAATTCTTCAAGATTCCTCTGGTGGGTGGCGGTTTGGCGGCGCTCGGGACATAGTCGGCTTCGAGCTCTGCGTCGGGGCCGTGGTCGGGGGTGATGACCTCGTCGTCCGGGGCGAGGTTGGGGACGGCGGAGGCGTGGGGGATGTCGATGTGGTTGGGGGGCGCAGGCATGGCGATAGAAATGATAGAGGAGATAGAATTGACTTGGAATTGACACTTGCCATATTTATGATGACGACCGCCGGCGACATGCCCCTTACGTAATCAACCAATCTTACACGTCGACACCACGACACGTCGCATCTTGCATTCTTCGTTCTTCTCCATCTTTCCATCTCGTCATCCAACATGAAGCCCCAAAACGTCGTCGGTGCTGCCGGTACTGGTGCTCTCCTCATGGCCGCAGGTGCCATGGCTGACCAGCAGGTCTTCCAGGTCAGTCCTCCCGCCCACGAGAGACCCGCAACGAGCTCACTCCTTTGTCCAGCCCACCTCTCTTACTGCGCCCTTCATCGAGCAGTTTATCGAGTCTCTTCCCGAGTCTCGATGGACCGTCTCCAAGGCTACCAAGCAGACCCCCGTCGGCGACGAGATCTTCTCTTACGTCGGCCAGTGGGAGGTCGAGGAGCCAGAGATCTTCCCCGGAATCGAGGGTGACAAGGGTCTTGTCCTCAGTACGTCGGTCGCCGCTCTATCCTGCTTTCTCCCACTAACGTCCCCGCAGAGACCAAGGCTGCCCATCACGCTATCTCCACTCTCTTCCCCCAGCCCATCGACCCCAAGGGCAAGCCCTTCGCCCTCCAGTACGAGGTCAAGCTCCAGAAGGGTCTCGAATGTGGCGGTGCCTACATCAAGCTCCTGACCGAGCACGAGGAAGGCGAGGGTCTCCGTGCCGGTGAAGACTACACCGACAAGACTCCCTTCACCATCATGTTTGGCCCCGACAAGTGCGGTTCCACCAACAAGGTGCACTTTATCTTTAGGCACAAGAACCCTCTTACTGGCGAGTGGGAGGAGAAGCACTTGAAGAACCCCCCTTCGCCCAAGATCTCCAAGACCACCAACCTCTACACTTTGATCACCAAGTGAGTACTGCGCCTCGTAAAAATAAAGCTGTGCTGACATGTTGCGCAGCCCCGACCAGACTTTCGAGATTCTCATCAACGACGAGTCTGTCAAGAAGGGTTCTCTCTTGGAGGACTTTGACCCCTCAGTGAACCCTCCCAAGGAGATTGACGACCCCGAGGACTTTAAGCCCGAGTCTTGGGTCGAGGAGGCCGAGATTGACGACCTCACTGCTACCAAGCCTGCCGACTGGGACGAGGACGCCCCTTTGATGGTTGTCGACACGGACGCTTCCAAGCCCGCCGAGTGGCTCGAGGACGAGCCCGAGTACATTCCCGACCCTGAAGCCGAGAAGCCCGAGGAGTGGGATGTGAGTGCATAACCTGAAAGTATGGACAGTGCTGACAACATGTAGGACGAGGAAGATGGTGACTGGATTCCTCCCCAGGTGCCCAACCCCGCCTGTCAATCTGCCGCTGGCTGTGGCCCCTGGGTCGCTCCCAAGATCCGAAACCCCGACTACAAGGGCAAGTGGACCATCCCCAAGATCGCCAACCCCGAGTACAAGGGTGTCTGGGCTCCCAAGAAGATTGCCAACCCCGTCTACTTTGAGGACTCTCACCCTTCAGACTTTACCAAGCTTGCCGGTGTCGGTATTGAGCTCTGGACTATGACTGAGGACATCCTTTGTGAGTATTGCGTTGGGTGTAGAGGGATGTAGCTGATGTGGGGTCAGTCGACAACCTTTACATTGGTCACGACGTCGACCAGGCCAAGAAGTTTGCTGCGGAGACTTTCCACGTCAAGAAGCCTCTCGAGAAGGCCGCCGAGGGATCCACCGAAGACGACGATGACGAGCCCGAGACTCTCGTTGACCAGGTCAGGCTCAAGATCTACGAATTCATCAGTACGTCCCCCCCTCCCCCCTTCCCATGTGTGGCCGATTGCTGACTGAAAGGCAGACCTTGCTGGTTACGACGTCGTCGCCGCCGTCAAGCAGCTCCCCGAAGTCGCTGCCGGTCTCGCCGCCGCCGCCTTCACCCTCATCGGCATGCTCCTCGCCCTCTTTGGCCTCATCGGTTCCGCGCCCACCAAGGTCAAGACCACCAGAGCCACCGTCAAGAAGACTGCTGGCGTCGTGCCAGCCCAGCCCAAGGAGGAGGAGAAGGAAGCTTTGGTGGATGCTGGTGTGCCTGAGGAGGTTGCGGAGGGTAAGGAGGGGGTTAAGAAGAGGGTTATTAGAAGTACCAAGGACTAAGTCTGCTTGGTCCTTGACTTTTGGCCGTTAGTGGTATGTAGGTAGTGAGAAAGAAGAATACAAATCTGAGAATTTTTCGATTTTGTTTTCTTTGGAGAGTAGGAGTGAAAAGCGCGTTGACGAGTGATTGTGTCTTGATCCCTCGATGCATCATCTCTACTATTTCTACGATCCATTTGACATGTTTGGTACCGGGTCCATGTCGAAGACGGTTCCATCAGCATCTGCTGGCATACTGCCTCTCTTACATCTGTGAAAGTCTGTATATGGAGAGGCAAGCCACTTGATCAAATTCTATGATGATACATGCACAAGGTGACAAGATAAAACAGCGTCTAATCGAAAGTGATCTTAGTAGGGGGAGGAGCGTTGGTAGTGTCCTTGTAGAAGGCACCGTAAGATCCGTGCTCTGTTGGACATCAGTAACAGCCGGTGGAAGAATCAATTCCAACTTACCCTTCTTCTTGATGGTAGTAGGGAACCTGTCCATCTCTTTGGGGATCTCCGCACCAGCATCCCTCAACACCCTCATAAACTCTCCCGCCAAGCTCTTTTCGTGGTTCTCACCAGTAAAGAACGTCACCGCCTTCCCACTCTTCCCCGCTCGTCCCGTTCGTCCACACCTATGCACAAAGTCTTCCGTCGTCAACGGGAAAGTCACATTAATCACCAAATTCACATCCGGGATATCCAACCCTCTCGCCGCAACATCAGTCGCCACAAGGATGTTTTGCTTGCCAGTCTTGAAATTGTCGAGCGCCTTGAATCGGGCATCTTGGGTCATGTCGCCGTGGAGCGCGCCGACTTGGAAGCCGCCACGGCGGATGGTTTGTTCGAGGCGTTGGGCTTCTTTTTTGTAGAGGGCAAAGACGAGGATACGGGTGGGGGAGGCGGTGGAGTTGGGGTTGGCTTTGAGGTGGGCGCGGATGTGGTAGATCAGTCGGGGGCTAGGATATCGTCAGCAAGAAGCCAAAGTGGGGCAGGAAGGACGCACTCTTTGCCACGGGGGTCGTCGAGGACCTCGACGACTTGCTCGATACGCTTGTTGGCGCTGAGCTCGTCAGAGCCGACAGTGATGCGGACAGGGTTGTTGAGGAAGGTGGCAGCGAGACGACGGACAGACTCGGGCCATGTGGCAGAGACTGCAAGGTGTAAGATTGGTCTGTATTGCAACGATAAGACTTACACATGACAGTCTGACGACCTTGCTCGTGGCCAGGGGTGTGGGCGATGATACGACGGATGTCATTCTCGAAACCGGCGTCGAGCATTCGGTCAGCCTCGTCGAGGACAAGATACGACACGCTACCAACATCAGTCCAGTACAAGTAGTCATGGGAGCATACTCACGAGCTCAAGTCCAAGTCTCCAGAATCAGCCAAATCCAAAGTTCGGCCGGGTGTACCAACAACGATCCTGGTCTTGGTGTCGCTCAGCTCTCTGGCCTGGCCATCCTTGCCAACACCACCAAAGATGCAGGTACTCTTGATGCCGACTTCGGCGGCGAGCGCGGCGAGGTTGTCGTGGGATTGCTGAGCAAGCTCTCTGGTAGGGGCGAGGACGAGGATCTGGATCTGGCCAGGGACTTGTCCCCTGCCCTTCTTGCTGCCAGTGACAGGAGCAAGGCCGGAGAGAAGGTTGACACCGGGAACACCGAAAGCAAGAGTCTTACCAGACCCAGTCTCGGCGATACCGACGACATCCCTCTTGGTCAAAAGAGGGGGCCAAGAGCACGCCTGAATAGGTGTAGGCTTGGTGAACTTTGACAAGAACTTGGTGATCTTGGGGTTGACAGGGAGAGAGGGGATAGAGAGGACGGGAGGGTAGGTATGGGGGAGGAGGGTGATGGCGTTTTCGGTAAGGAAGGCAGTGTGTTCGGGGGTGAAGGTGGTGGACACTTCGACAGCCGGGAGAGACGCAGCGGCGGTCTTGGTGGCTTCCTCAGCGGCAGCAGCCTTGGCGAGCTTCTTCTGTTGCTTCTTGGAGATGGGCTCTTCGGTGGCAGCAGGAGCAGGCGTAGCGTCGTCGGTAGACTTGCTCTTCTTCTTCTTCTTGGGGGGCTCTTCACTGGCCTCCTCCTTGGGAGCTTCTTCGGCGTCCACGTCCTTTCTCTTCTTGTCCTTCTTGTCCTTCTTCTCCTTCTTGGGCTTAACCTCCTCGGCAGCAGGGGTGGCCTCGGTAGACTCGGCGGGGGTAGCTTCGGCAGAAGCGGCAGCCTTGGCAGCCTTCTTTGCCTGCTTGGCCTCCTTGCGGGCCTTCTTTTCTTCCTTGGTGAGCTTGGGGGCGTCTTCAGAGGACATTTTTGGTGGTATAGGTGAGTGATCAGAAACCAAATAGTGAATCGCTTGAAATTTTGAGTGGAGGGCGCGGCAGCCGTGGCCCGATTTGAAAATGGGTGCAGTAACCCATTTTACGAAGCTTGATATTTGGTCCAGTGCACCACGAGCAACACCTCTGTCCTGCCACTCCTCCATGCATGCCTTTGCGGAAGTATCTGCTCGCCATGCGTGTATCCAAGACATGCCCCATATGAATTCCCCTGCGTGTGCCATACTACGGCCGAGTCGCTCAACTCTCGGGCTTCCGGTGAGATCTGGGCTGCCCACTTTACGCGTTTTGGACGAGTGATAACTACGCGTCTCCACAACCAAAGTCAAAATAACCAAAGTTCACAACTCTTTTTGAACTCTTTCTTCCTCTTCCATCTCCATCCCGCCATGTTCAAGCAAAAAGCACCCTCTCTCCCCCAGGAAACAGATTTTACCAGAAACCTCAGAGAAACCTCGTTCTACAGATATGGCCACCTCCGCTCCCTCGGTCTCACGGGCGAAGTGACTGCGCTGGCTATAGATCCGGTGCTGTCGCTCTTTGCCATCGGAACCTCAACAGGTTTCGTCCACTGCTATGGGTCTGCCCCATTTCAATTCACCCTGCCGGTGTCTACGGCCTCGTCAAGTTCACCGGCAAAACCGATCCGCTTCCTGTACTTTCATCCCGGCCATCATCGTCTCATCGCCATCGACGACGGCAACACCATATCCACATATTCCCTGCAACACATGACCGATAGTCCCAACCCCCTTACCCACCCTACGCTGCCACTCAAAGAGACGTCGTACACGTTATGGGGAACGGTGACAAGTGTCGACCAGCCTTTGCCAAGTCATACACACCTCTTCCTTACGGTCAAGGACGGGACCACTTTGACTTGGGACTTGAGCAGGCGAGGGCTGGGGAACTGGAAGATTGGCAACTGCTGGCAGGACTATGAAGAAAGGATGATCCGAAGCGGGATACCGGGGCGTAACAAGACGCTTGGCGGGTGAGTCGGACACTGCTTCTCAAAGGCCCTACTGACTCGCGCAGCCCCATGGCCACATGCATAGCCATGTCCCCTCGCGATCTCAACATCATCCTCATCGGCTACGAAGGCGGCGTCGTTGCCTGGGATATGCAGCAGCACGCCGTCGCAAATACATTCGAAATGATCCTTCCTCCGGGCTCTCCCGGTGGCGGCTCCTACCAAGACGCGGACGGCTCGCTCTGGACTGAGCGTACACCTTCAGTGACGTGCATCACCTGGCGCCCAGATGGACTGGTATTCGCCGTCGGTCATTCTGATGGGTGTATCGCTCTCTGGGCGTACTCTGAAAGCGACAAGCCGCTCATGGTGCGCACCATCACCCACGAAGACGTCAACGTAACGGATGCCGAAAGCCTTCTCGACGCTGGTGCGCTTCCCAATCAGATCCGTCAGAACGTCGAGCGAGACCAGCACGGCAACAGAGTCGTCCCCGCCATCTCGGCCAACCGCAGAGTCGTCCCCGCCATCTCGGCCAACCGAGAACCAATCTTCAAGATGACATGGGCCGGCTTCCCGGACCAGCCTAGTCTAAAAGCATTGATCGCTGCGCAAGGTACGCCTCAGGCTGGGGAACCTTTGACGAATGCGACGGTGGAGTATGCAGAGAGGGGAGAGACGTTGTTGATGGTGCTGGGTGGACAGAGTCCGGGAGAGAAGCCGGGGATCAACATTCTCCAGTTCCCGGCGTACAAACCGCCCATCGTCAACCCTAAAAACCCTCACGCCGAGTCCATGCCTGTCCAAGAGCGATATGCTTTCCGCGACTCTTTATCCCCCAGCGGCAGCTCTGTCTGGCTCACTTCCACCCCGCCGGAAGATTTCGTGCTTCTACCGAGGAGCAGTCCCTACTTTAACCTCTCGCACGACCCGATTTCCATCATCATCTCTCTCACGCCAGATCCCTCTGTCCCGGAACTCAAGGCACCTCATGCAGCGCGCACGATAGAAGCTTGGACATTTCCTCCTCCCCGCTCCAACGTCGTTCCCCCACCCCTCGGCAGGAGGACCTATGTTCAGCCAGGAGAAGGGGAGAGGGCAGTGGCGATGACGCCTGCGCCCGTCTTGTCGCCTACACCTGGGACTCCTACGGGGAGTGGGTGGAAGCTGCCTTGGTACAAGCGGGCTTCGTCGTCGTCTACGAGCATACCTGCCGTCTCGACACCCGACTCTACCCTCAGCGGTTCTATCGCGCGCGCTTCCTTAAACCGACGTCAACAAGCTTTACCTTCTTCCGTCTGGTCGGGCACGCTATCTGTACTCGGTACAGAACTTTGCTCCCTCTCCACCCCCGCTTTCAAGCGCCTAATCAGCTGGACAATCGAGCATTCCGGTGAAGAGATCGCCCCTCGTCTACCGATACACGGCGGCATGGCCGTACCCGACTTGCAATCCCACGGCGCCCCCGAAGTGATGGTCGCAAAGATGGAAAGCTACCGTATCATGATGACCTGGCACGCCGACTGTACCGTCCGTTTCTGGGACGTCTCGCCCCATATCCTCATCCTCCCCACACCTTTGCGATTCGAATACCCGAACCCACTGCCGCATTTAACAATCAACATTGGCGATTGGCTGAAACATCCCGACGTGGCGCATCTCCCGCTGGCGCAGTTGTGGTGTAATGACAGGTCGAAAGTACAAATCAAATCTGTCAATCTCGCTCGCGAAGCGCTCGAATGCGTCATCACATTCACGACCGGTGAACTGCTCGTGACCAAGTTCCAAAAAGCCTCTTTGCCTCTGAATCCTTCAGACGACGGGTACGAACCCGATTTCGAGTATCGCCGGTCGTACGAAGGCGGAGAAGGGTACAACGAAGAGGAACGAGAGTATTTCCCGCCGCAAAGCAAGCAGGGGGATAGTGGATGGGTGGAGGAGGTGTTGGAGATTGGGCAGTTGTCCAAAGGCAAGGTGGATGGGTTCAATCCGTTGGCGATATTTACGATGAAACAAGGGGATCCGGTGTCTGTCGCTTTGTCAGATATCGGTGAGTCCATTCTTTTTGTTGTGGATGCAGAGCTGATGGGGGACAGGGTTTATTGCTGTGGCGTTTTCGTCAAAGTCGCTTGCCATCATCGATATGCGCGGGCCGGATGTCATTTTAAGAGAAGGGTTCGATGAGGAAGGTACGGTGATGAAGAAGAAGAAGAAGAAGGGGAATACGCAGAACGTCTTGCCGGAGAGCTCTGTGGTGGGGTCTATGAAGTGGGTCGTGTCGATGATGGGTACAGGTGAGTGCTTCTTCTTACTCCAGTGCATCTATTGACTTGGATAGACACTGTTAATCGCCCAAGATTGATCGTCTCGTATGCCAAAGGCCTGAACAAGATCTACGCTCTAATCAACGTCCTCGGCGAATGGCTCGTCGAGCCTAAACCACCCACCTTTACCAACGACTCTCTCGCCCACCCCCTCGCTTCGTTCGTGCTCGACCCACTGACGGGCGCCGAGCTCGTCACCAGTGCCGAAGCTTTACAAGTCGCCATGCGCGATTCCGAGAATCAGCAGCATATAGCGCAGAGTAAAGGGAAAGAGGCTGTGGTGCATTGTATTTGGGTGGCGGCGAGTCGGAAGAGTATTAGATGTGCGCTCAATTACAATGGAGAGAGGATTAGCAAGGTTGAGATGACGGATGCTGAGGAGTTGTCGGATGTGTTTTACATTACGCGACATGGTGCGTTGCATCCACATATGACAATATCTAGCTGATAAGAGAATAGGCAACAAGATCATCGCAGGTGTCACAACCACCGGCATGGCTCACTTTTACTCTGTCCCCAATCTTCAACCCATCACCTCCATGCCCCTCTACTACGGCACTTCACCTCGATCCACCGGACGTCTCTCAATCGATGACCGCTCTGGCGATTTCATCGAGTACTCTGGACCACTGGATATCAACCTTCGCACATTCTTCCAGTTTAGGAAACCGTTCCCGCCGAGGCTGGACCCTTGCGCGCATAAGAAGGCGATACCGCCTCAGCCTTTGCCGGTCACGACTGGACTGATTGGGTGGCTTTGGGGAGCTGCTTTGACGGGACCGCAGCTTGACGCTTTGAGTAAGTCTTCTTGAGCGATCGTAGATGTAAGTGTTGACACTTGTCCAGTCGGTGGTCCAGCGAGACCCCCACCCCCACGCGAACCCCCCGCCCCAACTAAACCTCTCATCTCATGGGGCAAACCCCCCACCGAAGAGGCTCCCCGCACGCCCACCTCGGCCACCTCCGTCCCAACCCGCAAATCCGTCGCCAAAACCAAAGGTCCCGCGCGCGATGTGAGAGAAAGGGAAGATGTGTACAGCGAGATGAGGAATGCGGCTTATATGAGGGATGGGATGTTGGATACGTTGGGGGATAGTTTGCAGAGTGTGTCGGGGGCTGCGGGGCAGTATCTGTCGCAGGCGAAGAATTCGGCTGTAAGTGTGGATAGATGGTTTGCATCCGCAAGTATGCTGATTCTGGCTGTAGTTGAAGGAGGGGGCGAAGATGACTGCAAAGGGCATGTTTGGCAAGTTCTTGTAAGACATGGCTCGACGGGAATCGTGGCGAGTCAGTCATAGGCCGCTGGCGGCGTTTGGGGTCGTATTGCACATTTCTATACATCTTGGGTTTGCGTTATCTACATTTCGGGAGTTTGTGGGCCTTTGAAGGGGTTAGTCATTGTTTGTATGGATGGATGAGTTATATCTTTGAACTTGCCTCAACCCTGTGCAGTTGAGGACCATCGAGCATTCGCCATCCCCCTTCGAACGAGTCATACCCCGATGGCCGGCAAGGTTACGCGTCTCGATGACCGGCGGGCTGAAGGAAACACGCCGAGGGTCGGGGAGATAAAACCATGCCTCCATTCACATCTCATCTCTCATTTGTACATCCACAATCTCACTCTGCGCCCCACTCTGTCTGCCTTATCCCGCCTCATCCCAGCCCGCCTGCCATTCCCCACGCTGCCGGCCATGTCCTCCACTCCCCTCCCCCAATCGCGCGACATTCCCAAAGACTTTCGCGCCTCCCTATCCGCATGGTGGTCCTCGGGCTCCTACAAGAACTCGAGGCTAGCCGAAGAACGGCTGCTTCGGAGGCTCACAATGTATGAGCCGAAAGTGGAGGAGGCAAAGGTCGAAGGGAGCAAGGGATGGTTGGGATGGGGCCATGGAGCGAGTTCTGTCACTGAATCACAGTCCGCCACCGCCCAGGTTGCTTCTACAGTCACGCTGGAGAGCTCTGGTTCTGGATCTCCTGCGGGGCTTGTAGCTTCGCTGCGCAACGTGTTTATCCCCACGCCCGATCCCGAGGACGCCCCACTTCACCCAGCAGACCCACGCACGCCACTCGCCTCTCTGGCATCATCCCCAGCTTCATCGTCCACGTCTGTTGATTCCCACGAGAAGAAGCACAAGCACAAGTGTCACAAACATCGAAAAGATGGCGAGCTTGTAGACTATATCAACACTCTAGAAATCTCTGCCCCGAAAGATAAGAACTCGAAAGAGGCTGTTGTCGTGTTACATGGGTACGCTGCAGCGCTTGGGTAAGTCCTTGATCCTCCCTGACTCGACCCAAGCTCATGTAGTCTTCAGCTTCTTCTTCCGTAACTGGGAATCCATAGCCACGGCAGCATCCTCAACCGACCGCCGTGCATTCTTCCTCGACTGGCTCGGCATGGGCCTCTCTTCCCGTCCTTCCCCAGCCCTCCTCGCCTCCCCATCCACAGCTTCCACCTCATCCCGCGTCGCTCGTGCCGAGCACTTTTTCCTATCGAGCTTGGAAAGCTGGAGAGAAGAGGCAGGTGTCGACAAGATGGTGCTCGTCGGCCACAGTTTGGGCGGGTACCTCGCGAGCGCTTATGCGGTGAGGTATCCCGAGAGAGTCTCGGGTTTGATCCTCGTTAGTCCTGCTGGGATTCCCCACGGCCCCGAGTATGTAAGGCAGCCTCTTACGGCCGAGGTCCGGTCGGCTGCGTCTTCGCGGGAAAGGGTGGAGACGCCGGGAGATTTGGATGGAGCTGTGAATGCTGCAGAGATGGAGCTTGGTGATCAGACGAAGGACTCTGCGCCCAAGGGCGAAGCGAAAGCAGCCAGGGAGCGAAATGAACAGTCGTTCTCGAGGCGCAACATGATGAAGCGTGAGTGGCTTTCTGTTCTCCGTCATCTTCCTCAAGCTGACACTATGGGTAGTCTTTGTATGGGGCTGGGAACGTGGTCTTTCACCCTTCTCCATCCTGCGCGGTTTAGGTCCCTGGGGACCTCTCTGGGTCGGCAAATACAGCAGCAGACGTTTCGCCGCTCAAACCGAGGAAGACGTCCGAGATCTCCACAACTACATCTACGAAACCAGCGTCATGAAAGGTAGCGGCGAGTTCTGCATCTGTGAGCTTTCCCCATCATCCTCTTCCCACACTCAATTCTGACTTGGCCCCTAGCGCATATCCTCGCCCCAGGCGCATACGCCCGTATCCCCATCCTCGACCGCATAGCCCGCATCTCCGCACCCGTCACATTCATGTTTGGCGATAACGACTGGATGGACGTGCAAGGTGGGTACGACTCGAAAAAGCTGTTGGCGGAAGCAGGGAATGAGAAGTGTGAGGTGCATGTGGTGCCCAAGGCGGGGCATCATTTGTATTTGGATAATCCGGAGGTTTCGAATAGGATTTTGAGGGAGGCGATTGAAAGTGCGCCGAGACAGTACTAGATGGGTAGGGTAGATATGTTTTCAAGATACATGGGTGCATCGTTCAAGCAGTTTGACTTGTGATTGCACATTCATTCCGCACCATTCCGCATTAATGTCATCCAAACAGTCAACCCAGAGTCAACCCCGGTGGAGGTCTTCAGGGCTCGCATTTGAGGCACAAGTTACAAGTCGGTGCGGCAACTGTCCATCTCTTTCTCTCTTTCTTCTTTACTCGGAATATGCCCCCAGACCCCAGCCATGCCCCCCAGACCCGGCACAGAAACAGCAACCACAGATCCGCTCTCTTCTCCCCAACAACACGCCCACGAAGAGCCCTTCCCTTCACTCCCCTCTCTCCTTACGAACCAAACATCCCAGCCCGAGCCTTCTTCTCGGCCCTCACATCCCCATGAAGAAACGAGTCATGAGAATCAAAATGGAGGGCAGAGGAGGAGCTTTACAGTGAATAGACAGTCGCATGCGAATGGACACGGCGGAGGGCCGTCTGCGATCGGCTCGACGACGGTCGCTACTGGGCCCGGCGGTGATGGTACCGGCGTTGCGGCGTTTGGTGTAGGGATGGATGACTGGGAGCAAGAGTACGAGAGGCAGAAGAATAGGGGGTGGGATGAGAAGCTGGAGAAGGATCTGGAAGGATGGCGCGGGGGACATGGGTGAGTGCTTTCTCTCTACTCGTCGGCGGGCATCTATCTTGATGGGGTAGCTGATACGGTATATGTACAGCAAACCGCGCTCGGCATACCCGCGTCAAGCACTCCCTCCAATGTCTTACTACCATACCCCTGTAACAGGTGTCATCGGGCAACACCTACCGAAGGAGATGGTCAGAATAGAACGGGACTGGACGGATGGTGAAGTCTGTCAGTGAGTCCTCAAACCTCTCTTCTACCTCTCATCCCACACAAGCTAAACGACGATATTACAGATTCGAAACCGTGTTCCCCATCGAGCTCGACAACCGCATATCACCCCAAGCCCTCTCATCCTTCATCAACACCCTCAACGCCCAGCTCCAAGAAGCGTACAAACCATGGCCTAATGCGCTGGATAACGTGATTGGGATAGCGAGTTTGTGGACGAGTCTTTGGTGGAGACAGAGTCATTTCGAAAAGGTGTGTCCGCCCGTGTCCGTGATAGGGAGGTTGAGGTGGGTAGCTGACGGTCAGAGAAAAGAGCTTGCAAGCCCTGGAAAAGTATATCGAAAACGTCAATCACGATACGTTCAACCCTGCTGGTCTCAACGTCCTCTCTCCTCGGGATGTTGCTTTGCAATTCGTAAGCCCGCTTCATCATTCGGGTACTGCCCAAGCTGATGAGTGATATCAGCTCGAGATAGAGTACTATTAGCAGCATCTCTCATCTACCACCAGCATCTTTTATCCCCGACATTTGTAACGAACCCTTGGTCATGCCCATGATACGAACCATCACGATCTGCAGAGAGCTGTATAATATATCATGCTTGGACTGGTACCGGCAAGTATAACCCAGAGATAGATATGCAACACCATGCTCTATTTGTGAAGCCAAAACATTGTCTGTTGATGAAGCTGCTTGAGCGCAAAGCGAGTATAAAATCCAAAGTGATGCATAGCGTCCAGCGTATGTCAAAAACGAGCGGTCACAAAAGACATGTTTCAAAACTATGTACCGTATATGTCCAATTTCACCAAATCCTTTCCCCGATCCTCCTCGACACATGTATATAGGAAGCCAAAAATGTCGCTCAAAAGCTCATCGTATCTCCATCAGCTATCTCGATCATACTCGGCGATCAAACATCTCTCTCAAAAAGCATGCTGAGACACCCTAAACAAACCCATCAGCCTCTTCCCTTCGCCAACTCAAACTCAACCTCAAAGAGAGAAACAGGACATACCTCAACTCATCACTCTTCCTCTTCCTCTCAAACGCCTCTTGGATATCATACCCCCTCTTACCCCCCGTCACAGGCGTAGGAGAATCCACAGCAAGTTGGCCATACCCCCCATAGCTCAGGTCATTCACCGCATAACTGTAATCCACACTCTCATCCCCTGCAAACTTGCCCTTTTCCCAATCGCCTCTAGATTTATTGATGGGTGTCCCAGATTGGTAGACCCGCTCTTCATCCCCACCCCTCATAAGTCCACCACCACCAGCACCCCCACCACCAGAGGAAGAAGAAGAACCGAAGAGCTGCCTCCTCTTATGCGCCTTCCAAAGCGCCCAAAGGATACAACCAATAAGCCCGGTACCGAATACGATAAGGAGGATGGAAGCGACGAGGACGGCAATGTTGATGGGGTTGCTGCTCTTGTTGTTGCCAGCGTCGGGGAGGTTGGTTTGGATGGGGGCGGAGCCGTGGGTGTAGCTGGTGATGCCGGATGAGTGAGTGGGCGCGGGGGCGGGGGAAGAGGCGGGGGAAGAGGTGGGGTGGTCTGGGGCCGGCGCAGAAGAGGGGGAAGAAGAGTGGGCAAAGAGCGCAGAAGTTTGGCTGGACGGATGGGCCGTAGGAGCGGGTAGCTCGTCGGCACGAGGGATCAAGTGCGCATTCTCACTGAACACTTCTTATCAGCACCAATCTCACCGAATGCCTGGATATGCGACTCACAAAGCACCGTCCGCCAACAAATGCCTCTCTAGCTGCTCATCAAACCACCTAGCCTCCCGCTCGCTCCCAAACAACCGACTGACTTCCTCCCCTCTTTCGTTGAGCCAAACCCAATCATAGCCCCCGTCCGTGCCGTCTGTGTCTTCGCAGTCTTCAGTAGGCTCGGGCTGGGGGGTCAAAGGCTTGGGGATAGTGGGAGACGAACTGGGCAGAGTCAGAGAAGAGCTGGGAGGGATTGGCAGTATAATGTTGGGTGAAGCTTGGTGTGGGAAAGGGACGTACGTAGGATTGGGCTTCCACCAGTCCCACCACGGGTTCGAAGGCCAGAGACGTTTCTCCAGCTCGTCAGAATCGTCCTCTTGCTCAGGCATACTGTCATCCGGGGTGAGATTGGTGTCGGTGCCATCGTCGCCATCACCATCGCCGTCCGTACCGGTAGAATTATCGGCATACTGAGCGGGTGTGGCGATGTTCATCTTGGGCAAAGCCGTTCGAGCTGCGAGGTGGTCCTTGGGAGCGGCATTGTTGACGGCCAGAGCGATGATGGAGGTGGATAGAGAGAGAGAGGCTAGGAGGACGAGGTGAAAACGCATGGTGAGAGTGGCGGTGTGAGTTTGAGGTGAGTGGTGAGAGTGAGATGGTCTGGGATGTATGTGGGCTGGTCGAGGTGGGGGTGGCAAGGGGGGAGGGGGAGAGGGAGGGGGGATAGACAGGGAGTGGAAGAAGGAGAATGAAAGAAGAGAAAGAGAAAGAGATGTGATGTGAGCTTTTATATCTCCTTTCGGTGCATTTCAACATGCATGCAATATTGTCGGCTCAAGCAACAGGGGCATCCTCCTCCACCTTCTTCTTCTTCACCTCGACCTGCACTCGTCAGCCCCATCTCGTAGCCACAAAAAGCACTCACCCTCGTAATCTGATCCACCGGCACCCCCTTCAACGCCCCCGCCCCAGCTCGAATCATCTCCACAATATCATCTCCCACATCACCCTGGATCACAATCTCCTCCTCGCCCTGCGGATTCTTGCTCACACTACTGCCCGTCGCAAACTTGCCTGCAAATTGCTTGGCGGCCTTTTTCAGGTCGACGCCGAATAGTTCGAGGTTTTGGATATGGGTTTGGTGCTTGCGCTTGGTACGTTCGGATCGTTTGATGATGACCTGCTGCTGTCAGCGCCCATCAATCGTTTGTAGATATCTTACCTTGGTAGACTCCTTCTTCTTGCTCTCGGCTTCAGCTTTCTTTGCAGCCTTCTTTTCGAGCTTGGCGGCATCAGCCTCAATCTTTTCCTGCTTGTCCAACGACAAAGTGCCAATCTTGGCCGCAAGAGCACCTAGTCATCGTTAGCTTTCTCGTCTCTCTTTGTGAACAGACTCACCCTCTCCCCAGATCTTTTCGTACTCGTCGTCGTCCTTCTCCTTGAGCCATGTCTTGCACTTGGACACGGAGGGCCCAAACTCGCAGTACTCTGTCGGGAGGGAGCAGACGGAGCAGTAGAAAGGGTGTACGTGTCTCGTGGAGGGTCCGCTGGGGGGCGACATGGTGGATATGGCTCTCTTGACCTTGTACGCTGTGCAAAAAGGAGAGAGGGACGGGATCAAATTATTACCCGCTGTGTTTGGCTCCTGTCCCATGTTCTCTTTCTTCTCTGACAATTCGCTGACTCTGGCGCCCCTGGGTACACAATGCCCCTCTTCAGCTCCCTCCCGGGAACTGTCATACGCTGCTTCAAGCGCGTGGAAACATTCGCAGACTGGATCACAGGCGCCGCCGGACCGTTCTTTGTCTTCTTCTGTTGGGTCCTCATCGGCTCGGGCGGTATACTCTTCTGTACGCTTCTCCCCTCGTATCAGGCAATGCAGCTGACATGTTCTCAGTCGACGTGGTAGCCCGCGACCTCAACATATTCGCCCTCCTCATCCTCTCCCCCGTCCTCATCCTCGTTCCCCTAAACCTCTACACCCACTACTATCTCGTCACCCACGTTCCCCCCGGCCACCCTGCTCCACGAGCATCCGGACCGGATAGGAACGTCAAATGGATCATCCATGATCCCAAAAGTATCTGGTCAGCCGAGCGGTGGGGTTTTCGACGGCGCGTGAGGCTGCCTCTGAGCCAGGGTGCGGCGGGGGATACGGGGTATTCTAGAAATGGGGGGCAGGGCGAAACGGGGAGAAGGGTGAAGCGGTGTAGGAAGTGTGATGGTCCCAAGCCAGAGGTGCGTGTATTATGTTGCTGAGACGTCCTTGGCTGCGAGCTGACTTGAGGCGTGTAGAGGACACATCATTGCTCAGTGTGCAAGAGGTGTGTTTTACAGATGGATCACCATTGCCCATGGATCAACAACTGCGTACGTCCATTCTATCCCCGCCTATTTAAACGCCGGAATGCTTACGCAAAGCAGGTCGGGCTGCATAACCAACGTCACTTTGTCCTCTTCATGTAAGCTCCCCACCTCCCCCCACGATCCCACCTAACCCTCCTCAGGGCCTGGCTATCACTAGCTTGCCTCGTCCTCTGCACCCTCGGAGTCCAACGTTTCTTTGATACATTCCGCTATTCTGCTGAATGGCCTGCGTACTCGCCGCAATTGGCATTCACCATGATATGGGTGCTTGCTGCTGCTATCGGTGAGTTCCTTCTTTGGATGTTTTGAGAAAGATCTGATTTGTTGTGGTCAGGTTTTGCGGTTGGTGTTCTTTGTGCTTGGCATTTGTATATGGTGTCTAAAGGAGAGACGTCTATCGAATCGCATGATAACGATTATCTTGCAAACAAGGCCAAGAGAGAAGGTCTCGTGAGTCCCTTCCACCTGAAACTACAAAGAAGGAGCTCATCATCACTAGATGTACTTGAACCCCTATGATCTCGGCAGACGGCGTAACTTGGAACTTTTCTTCAACATCGGCCTAGGCGGATAGTGAGTCCCTCCCTTCTTCCCTTCTCCCTGCCTTCCTCCCCTGACTATACTAACAACCAAAAAGCTCTCCATACACCCTTCTCTTCCCCTTCCTAATCCCCCCCTCCTCAAACGGCTGGTCCTACCCCCGCCGCTCCCTCCCCCCACCCCAACATCCCCGCCCCCCACACGCAGCGTCCAACTTGCACGCGCCCGAGCTGGGGGAGGGGTTGATAGCGCGGTCGAATGTTGGAGGAGGGGAAGGGTTGGGGTTGGGGTTGGGGTTGGATTTGACTGGATCTGGTGCTGGTACTGGGGGTGGGGCCGGAGGGGGAGGGGAGGAAGGATATGGGGGCGGTGGGAATGGGGGGTATGTTATGGGGGATGATGGGAGTTTGACGGATGATGATGAGGGCGGTGGTGGGTGGATGGACTATTGAGCTTACGGGCATGTGTATGTTCATTGAAGGCTGGCGCATGTTCATGGAAAGACGTGTATGCATTATATCTGTTGACACGAATCGCAGATCAATCAACTTCATCCAACGCGTTATCATGTTCAAACAGACTACAAGAAACTGGTCGCGCTCCTACCATAAACCTCGAGATCCATCTCCACAAAACACAGCTTTCCATCCTTCACCAACCCCGCATACCTATCATCCCTCTTAAACAACCTCGCCCTAATCTGCTCCGCGTCTTCGACGTGATACTCCCTCACATTCCCATCCCCGGGATCACGATCCAAGATCCATCTATCGATAGACGTCTTGACCGCATCATCCATGCTCCGCTGGGACATACCTTCTTCCCGGTGTTTGACTTTCCGATGAACATGTACCTTTACCTCTTCCCCTTCCGTCTGCTTTAGTCGACAGGTATCGCAGCTTTCAAGGCAGTTGCTGGGGTCTTCGAACGATATTCCAGTCCGACTCCCAGCTTGCTCTGGCGCCCCACTCGGCGGATAGAAAGCGCGTACACTACTGAGGATTTCGACCCCTCGACCAATAAGCCTGCTGAGGTCGTGGTACGATACAGTGAAAATCGCATGAGCTGGCTCTTCGTCCCATCGCACGATCACATGGGTACAAAGCGGGCCTAGAGCATCTCGGATGGATATGTCGTCGGTCCCGGGCCCGCTCCCGAGGGGGAGGGTGAAATACGGACATTCGCTGCGCATGGAGGCAAAGTATGGTTTGGTGGGCGTACCGTCTTCTTCCTCCTCGCATGAAGGGTCTAGAGCCCGGGCGGCGTAGGTGTTTAGAGCGGATACTGAGAATTCGAGAGTGGTGACGTTGGGAAAGATGGGTTCTGGGGCAACGTGCTTTTTGGTAATGGTCACTTTTCTTCTTCGAGACGAAGTGGGCCAAGCGCAAGCTCCGGGACGCTTCTTATCCGTCAACGCCAAGTTCCTCAAACGCTCCAAACACTTCACATCACCCACCCTGATCACCTTCGTACTCTTCAAACACATCCTCAACACCTCACTCTTATTCTTCCTCCCCAGCCGCTGCATCAATCCTTCCCCCAGCCCGACAGTACCGTACAGTACTGGGGCCGCACGAGCGAGATGAGCGCGGGAAAGCGCCATATATTTACGGGGCGCTTCGTTGAAGAGCAGGTCGTCGAGGATGATGTGTTGGAGCTCCCAGAGGGTTTTCTTGAAGGGGGATGATGGTTTGGTTTTGGAGCGGGTTTGAGGTGGGTCGGGGCGTTTGGGGAGGATACTGGAGATGATAAACTATATGAATGAGAAGAGTGGGGTGAGCCTCGTCCTTAGCTCTCATCAATTAGCCCAACGCGAAGCGCACCTTTTTTCCCTGCCCCATGATGATGTTAGTGTCTCTATTTACCAGCAGTTATATCTACACTGTGAATGCTGCAATTGATGAAGGCGGGATGGAAATTCGGGAGTAGATTATATAGCAGAGCGCGTAGTCGTACGTGCGCCTGTGATCATTGAACAACGAGCAGCGACGGTACCTAGAAGTAGTACTCATGATATCTGCACGTGCCAGTATGCATATCGGTCCGCAATCATACCTCTGCAATCACTGCCAATCTACGCTTCAGCCAGCCATGCATAGCCGAGCGCCACCGAATAAAGTGAAGTCACGTCTGCAGGCAGCGCATGGCCCATCCGGCAGTAATGATGCTTGGGCGCCGATGGCCATGCTGACGGTGCGACTCCGGGTACGCGGCAAGAGAGACTTCTACATAGACCACGCACATACGCCAAGACGTAAGGACAGCAAATGACAACGGCAGTACCATTTGCTATCTCTCCTCCCTCCCGCGGCGCTAACCATCTTGTTTCCGCACAAACTTGGTTCGCCGCTCCTCGAATAATCCACATTTCAAAGGTCAGCGATATACTGACGAGTTTTCACGAGAAGGTCAGTCTCATTCATCACCTGCCATTGCGGCGCACTTTTGAAGCAATACATCTGACGCCCAGCTTCTTTCAATAGCCCACTGTGTTTTCTGCACCATGTCCTTCTCCCATACTGCTCCCAAGCCCGAGCCAAAGACACTCTGGGAGCTCAGATACATCATCCTCGACGATCTCATCTTTCACGATGCTCCCCGCAAATACATGCAGCTCTCCCGCTGGCACTTTCAGCGAGCCATTCCCGGCATCTATCGCCGAATCACCCTCTCTCGCAAGCTTTTGGAAAGGATCTACGACGATATTGATGATACTGTCTTGCGCCGATGCTTGAGCTATGTGGAGGTTCTCGTGGTGCGGGATCTCCAGTGCGTGTTGGATCTGAACGAAGTCGCCCATGGGAGAAAGCTCCCGGGAACGCCGGGCAATGATACGATACATCGAGACATCGGTGTGCACTTCCCCAACGCCAAAGCTCTCGAGTTTCCAGTGTCATCATTCAACGCTTTCTCTGCTCGCCGAACGCTCTCGAGTGCCCCAGACCTGCCACTAGACATCCACCAGCCGCTTCCTCCCAAGCCATCATTTGTCGAGTCGGAGGACTTGCCCTCCATCGACATGCCCCTGGGTACCGACGATATCTCCATCGCCAAGGTTCTTGGATCGTCTTGTACCGAGATTATCGTTCGCTTTGACGAAAGTCCGGCCTACGCTCAGCACGTAATCGGGCTGCACAAGCTCAGTCAGCTCGTCGGCCGGGGTATCGAAATTTTGAGCTTTTTGTTGACTGACTCTGCCCCTAGTTCGAAAGGGACATGGACGTCTGTCACGATGCAGGCCCACTGCGAGAGGGCCCTTGAATGTACAGTATGTGGACAGCGTGAAGAGACAAATGTGAAGAAGCTGCCGATAATTAAGAACGTGTTTGATTGCACAAGTGAGCCAAAGAACAAGCATCTCGGCAGCCTTGACTGCCGGATGAGCCAGTCGCTCAACCGATGGGTCAAGCAGCCAAGGGGGAACGCCGAGAATGAACGTGAGGTCGAGTATCATGTCAAGGATGCGGAAGCTGTACGGACTCGTCTCTTCAAGAAAGATCCTTCTTTGAAGTGGTATCACGAAAACGGGTACATGTCCTTTGTGGAGCTGGAGGACAACAACAAGTGGTCTGAATGAATCGCGAGTGCGAAGAGGGAATTGTTATTAGCATCATGACTTGCCCATAGGAATACTGGTGATTGTAGTAGTGTATGACATGTATTTTTGAACGATGGGAAAGTATGTACCTTCCACTCAGTTTTTGCTTATTCAGTGCGCTGACTAATCATCATCGGTGACAGCATTCTCGCACCATCGATCCAGCTTTGCCAACCAAGCTTCGGCATGCGGCCGACTCGATATCAACTTCGTCCGGGAAACGAATGGTTCCAGACAAAGGCGAGACCAGGCCGACGTTGTGGATACAAGTTCATGTACATTTGTGCACCGGCAGGGGATCGTCGCAGCGCGGGATAATTCCGCCGTAGCAACAATGATCACACTCGTTCCTTCTCCTTGTCTGTGATAGAATGATCATGAAAGAGACCGAGAACAGAAGCCGGGCGAATGAATCGATATGGTCAGATGATCTCCGTGTTCCTCTGTCTGTTTGATCATGAGGGGCGATCCACGGCCCGGCGTGACTCCGCAAAAGTCGGTGATGTATGGAAGTCTCGTCTCTTTGGCAGATAATGTCCTCTGTAGCTACTGAAACTCTGTTTCCTCACTGCGAATGAGACTTCGTATGAGAATGGGTCACGGGCGCATGATATTATGGTCATGGTGGGAAGACAACCCCAGGTCGACATGGTCATTCAACATGATCTGCCACATCGTACTGACGCGCGTACAGGCACTTTAATCACATGGACTTGCACTGTTCCAGGCCCCTTAAGCATACCACCGTTTCAGTCGCTAATTTTGGCGACCCTCGACCCCCCCTCGCTGCACATATCAAACCCCTTAGATCTCGGGTATATGACTATTCTGCAGATTTCTCGCGAAGGAAAAAGATGCCGCTAAATATCCCGTCTTACCGCGTTTGATGCGTGCCTTGATTTGTGGTGCGTGCCTGAATATCATTCGCCGCCCGCAAACTGGTGGGCGGTGAATGGTGATTCGCGTGTGCATCGCTGCGTGGTGGAGGTGTTGGGGCTGTCCTATGCATGCAAGTGCAGGGATGAAGGGGGCTAGCATGGGGCAGCAAACACCGGAACGATGCAGAGTGTGAACATGCGTGGCAGCGCAGTGGTGGGCAAACTTTGGCTCGTCGGGCACTGACCGGAGGCGACCGCTTGCAGGGAAAAGTTCAAACGCCGTCCGAGATATGTATCTATGGTGAAGATTGCGTCAGATATATATAGTCGGCCTGTTATCGCTTTTCTCTTTCGCCACTTCGTTTCAAATTACTGCCATCCGAGTCCCCTTCAACTCACTTGCACTCCACTACACCCACACCAAATCACCACCATGTCTTTATTCGATTCAATTGCCGGCAAGCTCGGATACGAGACCATCCCCAAGGAAGTCGCCAGTAAGAGCTTCTACGACCTGAAAGCTACCTTGCCCGGAAGCAAGGGTGACTTTGACTTTGTGAGTAGATGATGGATTTGATGTATGCTGCGGTGGTGGCATCTTGTGGTTGCAAAGCTCATGGCTGACTCTTGATGTAGTCCACACTGAAGGGCAAGACCGTCCTCATCGTCAACACTGCTTCCAAGTGGCAGGTCCACCCCAGTATCACTCGCAACCACTTCTGACCCATCTATAGTGGCTTCACCCCCCAATACGATGGTCTTGAGGAGCTCAACAAGACCTACGGTGACAGGGGTCTTGTCGTCCTCGGTTTCCCCAGTAACGAGTTCGGTGGACAAGAACCTGGAGCTGACGAGGAGATTTCTTCATTCTGCACTGTAAGCACGCTCCTCCCTGTCTCTCTTTTTCCCACTGACATACAGATAGTTGAACCACGGTGTCACTTTCCAGCTTATGAAGAAGTCTGAGGTCAACGGCAAAAACATGAACGAGGTCTTTGCTTGGCTCAAGACTCAGACCGGTCAGGGTGTTGGTGGTTTGGCTGGTACTACTGCTATCAAGTGGTGAGTCTTCTACTTATATTCAGCTTCAGGCCAGCTGCTAACGTCAACACAGGAACTTTACCAAGTTTCTCGTCAACAAGGATGGCAAGGTCGTCGGTCGATTCGGTTCCACCACCAAGCCAGAAGCGCTCAAGAAGGAGATCGAGCCCCTTCTGTAACAAGTCAGAATTCAGCAGTCAACATAGATGAGATTCAAATTGATCCTATAGTATTCCAAGTACCATGCAAGTACGTTGTATCTTGGTTGGTGTCTGATTGCTTTGTCGATCTTGGGCAACGCAACGTTGGGTGATGGCCTCACACCCACATCCTGGTACTTGTGATCTCGGTGATCAGGCGTCCACGACTGATGCCAGTGGGCGATGACAAGATATTCAAGACTGGGTTTTCCCCAATACGTGTATGATCAATCAAGCCAAATCAGCCGGACGCCTGCTTGGAAGTCTGAACCAAAGAGAGGGAGAGTACGTATACCTCGGGGGTAATCGTGAAAGAGCTTGTCATTCGTCTATGTACACTTCATGCAATCATAGTACACGATACCTCCTGTAGCAGCGACAAGAGAGATGCATCTACCCAGCCCTAGCCACACTATGCATACCACACCTCAGCGAGACTGGAAGCTAGATCCAACGGAGCTTATTACGCCTCACGACCGCAGGCACGTTCGTGGTCATGACTGCTTGCGCAAAATGTCAAACATTTACTCAACTCCATTTCACAACCACATCTCATCCATCTCTTCCAACAACCATCCAGAGGGCAGCCGGAATGCCCGACGCTCCATACGATACCCAGGACATCGACGCTCCGCCCTACCTCACCGCCTCTCGACCGCATCTCCACCCAAAACCTTCTTTCCTCGACGAATTCCTTCCCTCCCCCGTCTCTTCCTCCGCCCTGCCCTCCAACAAGACACCCACATCCCACGCTATCCGGCGCTCTCTGTCAGTCGGGATCATCGTCGTCTTTCTGCTGTCAGTCATCTTTATGGCGGCAAACTCGCCTGATCAGGATGCGCAAGGGGTGGGATTGAAAGCTGTCAAGGAACAGTTGAAGGGGGTGTTTGGTGTAGGGAGCGTGGTGGAGCTTGGGGAAGCTATGGCTGAGAGTCTTGGACTTGGTGGGGATGATAGCAGCGATTCGAGCGATGCTGAGGAGGCTGCTACGAGCAGCGATGAAGAGGAAGCAGCTGCTGACAGTGCTGCTCGGCCGAAGTTTGGTATGACCAAGCTTTCTCCATGAGAGTGAGGTGCTGACTTGCTGCATGTAGACTTTGATAAGTACAAGACACACTCGACGATACGTGGGACCGACTATGACCTCTCGTCAGGCCACCGCTTGATCTTTATTGGCGACGTCCACGGCTCATACGACCCTCTCCTCCGGCTCACCTCTAAACTCAAATACTCGCCCTCTGACGATACGCTCATCCACGTCGGCGACCTTATCGCCAAAGGCAGCAAGCACGAAGAAGTCTTGCAGTGGATGCGGCAGAATGATATAAAGGGTGTGAGGGGTAATCATGACCACCCGGTGATTCAGTGGCGGACGTGGATGGAGTGGGTTGGGGGAAAGAAGTGGCAGTCGGTAGTGGATGACTTGGCGGATAAGAGTGATGAGGAGCTTGTGCATGTGCTTGGAAGGCAAGACCAGCGGTTCCCAGAGGGGTGGAAGTGGAAGGGAGAGCACTGGGAGATCGCAAGGTAAGTCGGTGCTAAGCGTCCCGAGTCAAGCTGACTTGTTGCAGGTCTATAAGCAAAGAGTCTTACGAATACCTAGTCGCTCTGCCTCTCACCATTCACTTCCCCTCCCTCCACACATTCGTCGTCCACGCCGGCCTCCTCCCCTCCGACCCTCTCAAATCCCAATCCGACGACTCTCAACCCCTCGTCCACGCTTCCAACGCCTCTCTCTCGCGCAAGTCTGAAGAACTCGAGCTGCTCTACGTCGCTCAAAATATGGTCCCATGGAACCTCATGAACATGCGATCCGTGTATACCAAGGGCAAGAAGCAAGGCACAGTCACCAAAAAGGCGGACAAGGGCACACCGTGGAGCGAGGTGTGGAATAAGGAGATGGAGCGGTGTAAAGGGCCGGGAGTGTGGGGTACGGAGGATGAGGCGTATGAGTGGTCGGTGGAGCAGATGCAGGTGGATGATGTGCAGTTGGAGAGTGTGGAGGAAGGGGACAAGAAGAAGAGGCAGAAGCCGGGGACGCCTGCTGCGGAGAAGGCAAAGGACAAGGGGAAGACGCTGGATTGTTCGCCGGTGTCTGTGATTTATGGTCATGCTGGTGAGCACCTTGTTGATCGGGTGGAGTTGTTGCTGATGTGAGCAGCTGGACGTGGTCTCGATATCAAACCTTTCAGCAAAGGCCTAGATACTGGATGCGTCGTAAGTCTATGTCCTCTCGTCATGTCCTTGCTGACGCTTAAACAGTACGGCCGACGACTGACTGCACTTGTCCTTGGAGACCTTTCCGGACTGGAGGGACAAAGAGTCCGACTTGGCGACCAGAAGGGTCTCCTTGTGAGCGTTGAATGCGAAAAGGGAGGTTTATGAATGGACACTCGCAAGCCATTAGATCTGTAGATATAGACTGTATCATGCCACCATGTTGTGCTTCTATCTTCTCCAGCTGCCAAAGCTCGACGACTTTCGCTTCTTGGCCTCTTCTTGTCTCCTCCTGTAATCTTCTTCGGCCTTTCTCGCTTCTGCTATTCTTTGCTCCTCCATTTCTTCAGCCCTCTTGAGTCTCCGCTCTTCCTTTTTTCTTCTAGCTTCGAGCTTTTCTTCTTTGGCACTCTCCTTTTCCCTCCTCTTTGCTGTCTCGGCGTCTAACACCTTCTTCTCCACGCCCTGCCTCACACTATCCAAGGGGTTGTAGTAAAGAACCCAGAGCCCCTTGTTCACATCGTCATTCTTCCACTTTTTCCCTACTTCTCCCAACGCAGCATCAAACAGGTCTACGACCTGCTTCTTTTGCGCATCACCCACGGGATCTCCTCTTTTCCGGTTCGCAAAGACGACTTGCACCCGATCGCCCTTCTCCAGCAAGCCCTTTGCTGTATCAAGCTTGTGCTCCAAGTCGCCCTTTGCACTCTGCCACGACACCTGCACCTCCTTCTCCTCCATCCCCATCTTCCTTTTCACCCTCTCCTTATCTTCCTTTTCCTTCTCCTTCTCTCGCTCCTCTGCTCTAGAGACGAGCTTGACGATGGCATGTGGCCCGTCGGTGGAGACGAGTATGAGCGAGTGGTGGGAGGGGTCGTATGTGGGGAGGATGGAGGAGAGTGACTGGGGCTGTGATAGGCCGGTGGGGGTGGCTAGGCGGACGGTGCGGTGGGGGATGGCAGAGTCGCGCAGGCCGATGGTAGAAGTGGGCGGGGCGTGCGAGGAGGCATAGCGAGGTGCCAGGGTAGCACGGGATATGCTTGGGCGCAGCAATGTGCGAAGAAGTACAGGCAGAGGGGGCATGGTGGCTTGCAGACAGACCGAGACGATTTTCAAGTCGGAATGTAAGAGAAGGCAGGCGGGGTGGAGGCCGACGGGACCAAATTGGACGCAGCAATCTTGTTCTCTCTGAGTGCATCTCATTCCACATTTGTTCCACATCCAGCATTCACAGAGAACAGAGGGCTGCCCACCATGCTCTTCAGGCCTGCTGCTGCCCTTCTGGCTGCACTCCCCTTCCTGGCGTCGACCGCAGCATTCTACCTCCCCGGTACTGCGCCGCGCGACTATCAGTATGGCGACAACATCGACGTCTTTGTCAACGCCCTCACCCCCATGCTCAACTCCAAGCTCCGCTCCCTCATATCCCACGACTACTATGACGACCGGTTCCACTTTTGCCAGCCAGAAGGCGGTCCTCAGAAGCAGCCCGAGAGCCTGGGGTCTATCCTCTTTGGCGACCGTATCTTGACGTCGCCGTACCAGATCAATATGCTGGAAAACTCTACGTGCCAGAAGCTCTGTCAGAGCAGCGTACCGAAAGACGACGCCAAGTTTATCAACGACAGGATAAAGGAGGACTACGGGTTGAACTTTTTGATCGACGGGCTGCCCAGTAGTGAGATGAAGAGGGATAGCAAAACGGGAGAGATCTTTTTGGATGCCCAGGGTTTCAATCTGGGTGATGACGAGACGGATCCTACCCACCCGGCTCTCAACAACCACTACGACATCTACATCCAGTACCACGCTCGTGACGAACACCACTTCCGAGTCGTCGGTGTCCTTGTCTACCCCAGGTCAGTCAACTCGTTGGTGGCTGGGTCATCGCAGCCAGACTGTTTCAACAGCGCCCAGTACCACCTCAATGAAGAGACTGGCAACGAGTTCTTCTACACCTACTCTGTCTCTTTCCTCGAGAGCGACATCCCTTGGGGTCTTCGTTGGGACGCGTACCTCCACGTTTTCGACCCTAAAATCCACTGGTTTAGCTTGGTCAACTCTCTTATCATTGCCGGCTTCCTTGTCTTTATGGTCGGCATGATCCTCCTCCGATCTATCTCTCGCGATATTTCTCGCTACAATGCTGTCGACTTGGCAGACGACGTACAAGAGGACTATGGATGGAAACTCGTCCATGGCGAGGTCTTCCGTCTTCCCCAGCGCCCCATGCTTCTTTCAGTCATGGTCGGTAATGGATCTCATCTCGTCATGATCAGCATCGTCACCCTCGTCTTTGCTCTATTTGGCTTCCTCTCCCCTTCCAACCGGGGCTCTCTCGCGACCGTCCTTCTGATATGCTGGACTTTCTTTGGCTGTGTCTCTGGGTACACCTCTGCTCGAGTCTTTGCTACTATCGGCGGCGACGAGTGGAAATCAAACCTCGCTCTCACGACCGTCCTCTTCCCCACCGTCGTCTTTTCCCTCATCGGGTTGTTCAACCTGTTCCTCATCTTCTCTGGTGCCTCTGGCGCTGTCCCATTCGGCACCATCCTCGCGGTCCTGTTCTTATGGTTCATCATCTCCGCGCCCTTGACCGTCGCCGGCTACTTTTTGGGTATGAAGCACGGCGCCTTCACCAACCCCGTCCGAGTCGCCTCCATCCCCCGACAGATCCCTCCCAAACCCTGGTACCTCTCCACCTGGCCCGCCACCATCCTCGGCGGTATCCTCCCCTTCGGCGCCGCCTTTGTCGAGCTCTACTTTGTCCTCTCCTCTCTATTCGGCAATCGCGCATACTATGCGTTCGGGTTCCTCTTCCTCACCTTTATCGTGGTGGCGTTGACAACAGCGACCGTGACCGTGCTCTTTGTCTACTTTTTGCTCTGCGCAGAAGAATACAGGTGGCATTGGAGGTCGTTCATGATCGGAGGAGGGTCGGCCTTTTGGCTGTTTGCGTACGGAGTGTGGTACTGGGCGTCGAGGTTGAGCTTGGATAGCTTTACGAGCGTGGTCTTGTACTTTGGCTACCTGTGAGTTTCTCTTTTGTGGCTTTTGGGTGGGAGGGGCGATACTGATTGGTAATAGGTTCCTCTTTTCGTTACTCGACTTCCTTGTGGGAGGCGCGATTGGGTATGTGGCGACATACTTCGCGTTGAGAAGATTGTACGCTTCGATCAGGGTGGACTAGAGGCTGTGTGACGCGTGAGTCCATCTGGAAAGGACGTTGTATGGGAGCTAATGGTTCGCAGATGTCACGCCAGCAGAATGGGAGTGAAATGAAGTTGCAAAAGAGAGACGGCGACGATGGAGATGAAGCAGGCAGAAAAGGGAGGAGATTTAACGACTTAATGATCGCCTATAGACAGCAGTCAGGCTTGCTTGTTGATGTATCCATACTGGCATCTCTGAGCAACATTTACATTCAAACTAATGACCTTTATAGTCTCCGTCATACCCCACGGCAGCGACTTCTCCCTCAACATTGCCTCGAACGCTGACGCCATTAAAGGATTTTCGAGTTGCCTTTTGCCTTTGACATATTTCACAGCTTGCCGAAGAGAACGTATCTCGTAACACCTCTTCCGGATCCTTTATCTCTGACAGGAGCCCGTCTCTCACTAATTCTTTGATGCGTCCTGTTTTCAGAGGCGCAAGTCGTTGGTGAAGATTTTGCAAGGGTGATAATTGGTTCGAAGGCGATACTTGGATAGTATTGGTCTGACCCATAAGCGAGAATCGCTCTGACAAGTCGATGCTGAGAAGACCCTACATCTTCAGTATGCTCATCATGCGTAGGAAGAGGACGAAGCTCACGCGATGCTCACTGGGCATAATACTCGTACGTGTAGTCCGCAATGACACCTCCTACTGCATTGGCCCGGCCACGGGTCATAGGTGCCATTACGACCCGGTTCTGAAGGTCAAGCGAGCCAACAGCAATGGGCGAGAAGAGTTTGGAAGTCTGTTGAAGCATTGTAGGCTGTTGTGGCAGAACACTGGGGAAGGAAGGCTCGCCTGTATCGTCTATGTATACCACTGACTGACCGAGGTCAAACGCTTCGGTATTGAGCTGCTTACTCTCTCACTCTATGAAATCCGTCGGGCACTCTGAATCTGGCCGCCGGTAACTGTAGGCTCTTGGAAGTGGCCACGCGGAGTAGGACTATTCTTGGTCGAGTTGTGGTCGAGCGAGAGAGCCTGGGCCATGGTATCCATGTCGCTCCTTCAACGAGATGAGAGCATGATCAGAGGGGGCCTTGCATGCACGGTCTCATGCCTTACACGCACCTCATGTACTGCGGCCAAGCGGAACCAAGACGGCCTCCGGCTCTGTTGCCGAACCAAACAACGCGACGGAAGCAATTACGGGATAGTCCTTCTCGCCGCTTCCCGATCTATAAGACGGCGTCGTTGTTGACGCTTCATTTGGTATGACGTCTCAGTTTCGGCATCGACAGAATCAGCAATGTACAATCTGCCTCTATACAGTCTCTTCCATCCATTCATAGGCTGAGCTACAGCCAATGTCTGATCCCTCGACTCGCGACATAGAACACGGCAGCGCAAACGGTATGACCCAAGACTGCACGCATCGCAAGAAGGTGTTGGTGGTGGGCGCTGGAGCAGCTGGGTAATTTAATCGGTGATTAGCCTTTCATACGCTGACAGGGTCCGCAGCATGTCTACTGCCTACCATCTGTCTCAGCACCCCGAAAAGTTTGACGTGACCCTGACCCTCATCGACGCCGTCGACTACTGTGGTGGCCAAGCGTTCTCGATCCCGCTCGATAAAGACCGCTACGGCGCCTCCTGGTGCAATCAGGGTGTCCAAGGCGGATCCTACATCTTCCACCACACCGTCACCATGTTTCAGCGCCAGGGGTACCACGCCGATCCCTGCAATCTACAGGTCTCGTTCGGCAAAGACGATACTTTTTGGTCAAACGTCTTCCCCACCGAGATCTTGGTCAAGCATCAAAGAGAGGTGATCCGCCTGGCGTGGATGTTGAAGTGGATCCGAAGACTCGAGCTTTTCTTCGCCCTTATTCCTCTCCGTCTAGTCTTCAAGCTCTTCATGTTTTCCGAAGAGTTTATCAACATTATCGCTCTGCCCATGACGGCTCTCTTCCTGGGCACGGGTAATGCCACCCCACAGGTACCCACCATCATGTTTGAACGACTCTGTACCTCTCCTACTTACGGCATGTGGTTTCCGCCCGACAAGAATACCGTGGTGTCCAACCAGCCGCCCATGATCGTATTCCCCAAGTTTTCCGAGTTTTACGATACTTGGAGGAAGGACTTAGAAGACCGCGGGGTGACGGTCAGACTTTCGACGGAGCTGGCAGAGGTTGTAAAGCGGGACAAGAATGGCGTGGTGGTCAGTCTTCGAAAGAGGACACCGGCAGAGGACGGGCATAACCCCAACGGTGCCGATAAGGACGTCTCTCCGAGCGAGGAGCAGTACGACGAACTCGTCCTCTGTTGCCTGGCCGATACCGCCAAGAAGGTCCTCGGCAAGTCGGCAAACTGGAAGGAGAAGAAGGTACTCGGGTCCGCTACCTTTAGCGACGATATCACCATCACGCACAACGATTCCGACTATATGAAGAAACACTACGAAAACTTTTACCGCCCCGACCTCGCCGTCTCGTCCGCCAACGGCGTCGACCAGACCGAAAGAATGGAGGCCGCGAAGGAAGACTTTCGCCCGATGTACTATATCAAAATGTACCCGAAAGACCCTTCCAAGCTCGAGATGTGCTTTGACTGTACCAACTACCAATCCCAATTCCCTCCCAACGTCCCCTTCGAGCAGCACGTCTTCCAGACTATCTATCTCAACACTGCGCGCGACGGCCATCTCTGGTCAGACGACGAGATCGAAACAGACAAGATCATCAGGAGAGATTGGTGGCACCAGCTGTGTCACGGCTGGACGCACTACTTGTATGTCATCCCTTGGATGATGTTCCTCCAGGCCAAGAACCACACCAGGTTCGCCGCCTCTTGGACCCTTGTCAATGCGCACGAGATTGCAGTCATGTCTGGTATCGCCGCTGCCGTCTCTCTCGGCGCAGAGTACCCCGAAGATCTTGAGCATGATAAGTTTGCTTTCCTGTCTTTCAGGCTGTATTACCTGATTGCGTACGGCAAGTGGTATAGCAGAAACTTTACGTCGAAGAAGAGGAAGGCGCAGGTGGAGAGTGAAGCTGCAAAGGCGGGTAAGGGATGGGCGACAGGATTGTGTGGAAGTATGTATCAGGGGCCGGGTGTCAGTACGGTAGAGAGGAGTACTTGGAAGAAGGAGATGAAGGAAGGGACGAGTACTGGGAATCTGGCAGAGGCGAGGGGAAACGGCAGAAGTCAGCCATAAGAGGGCATCGCTAGTATGAAGCAGTCAGAACGAGTCTATGTAAAAGTATTGGAACATAGATGATGAGAATCATTGTTCGAACAGCGGATGTACAGCCGCCGAGTCCATCGCTACGAACATACATACCATACCATCTGCAGTACAAGACAAGTACAAGAGTCTGACAGGTGATGTCACCCCGAACCGGGACCGACGCGACGCGTTTTATCATTTCCCTCTTGCAATTGCCTTTCATCCCGCGTGCTCCATCCGGAAAACTACCTTCAACTTGCCTTCCCAGAGTGCAGCTAGGCATGGAGGCTACTCTGAAGGACAATGGTATCAGAAGTAAGCGATCATCGCATGGCGGGCGGCACGCTGACACACCCTCAGCTTTCGTCAAGCTCCTACAATGTGCCTCCAAGTTCGGAGATGACCTTCATATCTGCGTGGGACCCACTTGCGTATGTGCCCTGTCTGCCTCATGATTGATGCTGATTCTCTATGTAGTGGGAGATGTCCTCAATAGATCCATCCAAGACCGCATACGTCAAGTACACACTGGAAAAGGACTTTTTTCAGTACTGGCGCAGGAAAAGTAATGTCAAGGGAGAAATCAAATGCCGAGTATTTGTCAAGGTATGTTGGAAGTTTTTGCTGTCCGATTCTGGAGGCTGACGAAATACAGTCCATCCTGGCCATCCTGGGCAAACCAGCTCAAATGGCCTCTGTCCAGAAGATCGAGCTCAAGATTGTCGACCCTTCAGCCGAGCTCCGGCCTCGAAGCCGTATAAACAAGCGACGGAGAAGAGAAGCCCAGGAGGTTCCTGCAGATCGAGACTTTATCAAGAAGGAGGGGAATGAGGATGAGGATACGGATACGGATGAGAACGAGGCGCAAGCAGGATTGCAGGCAAAGCTGGTTATACGGCTATGTTGCGAACATGGTACGTCGTCTCAAGCGTATGGATCCCAGACAAGCTGACCATACGTATAGGAGTCATCCGGAAACACTCTTTACACCTGGCGACATCGGCATTCGATCGAGTCAACGTCGACCCCGAAACAACACCTTCCCATTTCACAATCTCTTCCCGCATCCTACGCGAATGGCTGGAGCACTTTACCATCTCCTTTCCTTCATCGAGAGATCCCCTGAATCCGACCGGGGGGTTGAGTCAGCTGTGCTGGTTGTTCGCGGAAGATCATGTTAGGATCAAGAGCTTGGAAGGCGGTGGTGGTGCCGGACTGAGTACAGAGATCAAGGTCGATACGCAAGAGTTTGAGGACTTTGAGCTCTTTGGCGATCGGGTGGACATGAGAATGCCGATGAAGGAATTCAAGGTGTGTCATACTCCAACGCGAAATATATATGATGGCTGATACCAGACAGGCCGTCTTGAGTCTTGCCGAACAACTCTCGATCACCCTCAACGTCTCCTTCTCTACCGCCGACCAACCTCTCACCCTCACCAACCTCGAAGATGAGCTGGAGGACCTCACCATATTCTGCGCCGTCGCTACTTCGAAAGAGGAAGAAGCCTTTGCCGGCGTCCATCTTGCTCACGAGATCGAGCCGCCCAGGGCAGCTTCTCGAGAGCAGTCGATGAATCGAGGCACGGCAAGGAGTGCACAAGTGGAAGTTGGCGGTCCGGCTGGGAGTGGCGCGAGCTCTGCTCGTCGCAAGGGTGCTGGAACTCAGCGCAGACCAAAGCTGAGCTTGAGCGCCTCCAAACCCGTGGAAAAAGAGGAAGAGCGACTCGTGACAGTGTACCTTCCCAGTCGCGCAGCTGCTTCCCAATCACATTCTCAAGTCAACCCTCGCGCCTCTGCTTCACCTCAGAAATCTCGATCCAACGATCAGGAACCCCTCTTTCTCCCACTGTCTCAGGACCGATCGCCACCGCCGGACGCTGGGCCTTCCAATACCCAATTTGGTGGTGTACGCATGACTCAGCAGGAGGTGCTTGATTACGCCGGACTGGGAGACATCGACATGGACGAGCTGGGTGATATGATGAATGATGAGGAGGAGGAGGAAGAGGCTGGAGCAAGCCAAATACCCGCTCCTTCTGCTCACCGGCAACAGCCAGTTACCAGCCCGAGAGCTCCCATGGGATCTCAAGCCCGTTTTAAAGCGAGGGAAAAGGAGAGGCAAGAAAGAATCACCCAGCGAGAGACGCTCGGTCGAGTTGGGCCTTCTCGTTCGCTGGAGCAGGAGAATGTGGTCGATACGACAGAGGCGAACGAGAACGACTTTACTTGGGATCCGACAATCGACATGGACCCAAATCTCATGGGAGAGCTCGACGCCCCCGCCGAACGCCCGTTCGCATCGACATCGAAGGACGCAAGAAGGCAGGCATTGTCGGATGTGGAGATGGAAGAAGAGAGGAAGCCGGAGATTAGCGATAATGATGGAGAGGTTGTTGATGATTGGGATGATGACGGTGATGATGATGAAGGCGCTTTGGGGCCTACCCAGTATGATATCAATTCCAAAGTAAGTCTGAACGGTTCGGTGTATAACAATGCGCTGACGATTTGGCAGTATCGACCATTGTTCGATTGATCATTCGTACACATGTACTGTACCAACATATAATATCACACAATCGCATGTTGAATCTGCATCTACAATGCATTATATATAGATTACCTGGCTTTGAAGTCTCAGCAAAGATGCGGAGAAAGGACCAGCAGTCCGCGGACTCTGGAAAAGGTACAATGCGGCATGGAGATCAAGGAGAGGGAATCAAGTCATAACGGAAGCTCATGATGACATGCATCTACCATATATATGTGAATCAACAACCCAAGTCTAGTCGCAACAATACTACCATTCAATATACACGTTACGCCGCCGTCACCGCAATAAGTCTGAAACTCTTTCCCACTCTTGAGATGGCACGTCAAGAGATGTTTCCCTGGTCTCAGATTATCTCTGACCGTCGCCAGTCTATTGAAGAATGTCAATGTTACCGTCTTCAGCAAGACGAGAGGCAGACGAGGCTTACTGTGAGAGGTGATGGGGCCTGTCCCAATACCCATGAACCTTCACCGCTTGAAATTCGCTCCCATCCACCCAGCACTTGACACGTACATGCGCATAAGAACTACTCACCGAACATGATACATTGGAACCTTTTGCGATAAGATATAGCCAAGTAGGGGACTGCCATGGAAAGTCAGCTGGATCCCCGATTGCCATGTTGAGAGAGTCAAGGTGGTCAAAGATGATATGGTTGAAATTTGTTGCTTGTTGATCAGGACCGCCGTATGACGGAAATCCATAGAGCTTGGGTCATTTTGATGCGCTGTATATGGGTAAATGCACTGCGTTCGACGGTTACCTGAGCATGACAAGTCTAGTGTTGTACATAGACGCAAGGTTGAGCGAGCAAAAAGCAAAAACGACGGCACCCGGGATTCCCAGGTGGTCCCCCACCCTGGTACTAACCGAGCGCTCTCCTAGTTGACTTCGCGGATCAGACGGGACGCGGTACTTTGAGGAGGCTATGGCCGTCGATGTTGAACGACACTCAACATGCAGATGCGATGCGGCGGTGACCGCCCCGCGTTGCGAGCTGGTGCACGGTGCATCCCCTCTCAACCCCATCCCCGGCCCCGTCAACCCCACCAGCACCGCCGCCGACGCCATCACCGCCCCCGCCGCCGCCCCCGCCTTCACCGCCGCCACAAGATGGCCCCCATCACCCTCCCCCCGTCATTCTACAACTCCTTCTGGTCCGCCGACTACAGACACGGCCTTCAGAAGCTGTTTCACAATCTTGAGCAGGGATGTCTCGAGAATGAAGATATAACCTCTTTCGTGGAGGTACGTACTGGCAACGCACGAAGCCTGCGCTGACAAGCTTGCAGTCCCAAGTACGCGCCCATCAGAGCCTGGCTAATGGTCTCCTCCACCCTCCGCCTTCGGTCAGCTCTCCCGACTCTGTAACCTCCCTCTCCCACTCTCTCCTCTCTCTCAAAGGCGCTTCGGTCGGCCGTGGTGAAGCCCATCTCGGCCTTGCGCAAGAGCTCGAAGAGCGAGTCCTCTTGGCATGGAAGGGCTGGGTCGAGAGGCACGGCGTGAGAATCAAAGAGGCCAAGGGAGATATGCTTGGGAAGGGCGGTATCATCGCTGCATGGGAAAAGGACGTGCAAAAGCTGGAGACCTTGAAAAAGGCATACCTGACAAAGTCTCGCGCGGCAGATGATAGCGAAGACGAGTGAGTGACGGGTCTCTGTGTTTCGGGGCGGTGCTGACAGTGAGCAGCGCCAAGTTTGCCCCTGCCCCAGCCAACAATGCCATGTCCCCTCCGCTCGACAATTACACGTCGTCCCCCAAGACGACCCCGTCCAAGCTCACTGGGGCCAACCTCCGCCGCGCTGGGACAGTCGCAGACCGGATATCCGAGAAGCTTCGTGCCGCGTCCGTCAGCAGCGGTTCCAGCGTCGCGCCGTCTTCGCCTTCTCGACACCGCAATACCTACTCGGTAGACGGCAAGGTCTTGCCGCCTCCTCCGAGCCCTCTCAAAACAGAAGATTTGACCTCCAGTGGCGGTCCCGAGAGTCCTTCCAGTCCGCGAGAGGAAAGATTCACGCCGCCAGTCCACCCTGTCGGCAAGCCTGCCGCTTCTGTTGTGGACAACCACGTCTCTCATGATGACTCGATCCTCCTCTCCGGCTTGTCCCTGACCCAGCAAGGGCTCAAAGACATTCTCAAACAACTCGACCTCTACCTCCTCACCCACCCCGCGCCCAACGCCGAATCTCCTCTGATCCCATCTACAAAGTCCAACGCCGCCCTCGCCAGCCGTCAGCGCAGCACCATCCTCGGTGTCTACGAAAAGACATTTAGCGGCGCCGAGGTTGTTGAGTGGCTTACCAACACGGTCGAAGGCTTTGGGGGCGAATGGGATAGGTGCGAGGATGCGGCGACGGAGCTGCACAAGATGGGATTCTTCAGCAGGATCGGGGTTGGTAGAGGGTTTGATGCAGGGGATGACACGTACTTCATCCTCAAGATCAATGGTCCGGAGACTACGTCCCAGCTCCCGCTTGGGATCAACTCGCCCCTCTCCCCCGCGGCAGCCACCAACGCCATCCCCAGCTTGTTCAAGCAATACCAATCCTACCTTCCCGCCTCGCTTGCTAACAGCGACGAGCCGGTCCACGTGCGCCTCCGCCGCGAAGCCACCAAAGCGGACGAAGCGTACCGCGAGGGCGTATGGAGTGCCGAGGACAAGCGTCTCGAGATGGAAGAACGTATCGAGCGCGGACTACGCATCTGGGAGCGCTGGGAACGCGAACGTCTCGCCGCAGTCAAGCAAGTTCTCAAAGAATACGAACATACCCTCGCCAAACTCCCCAGCCGTCTCGCCAATATCCAACAATCCACCGCTCTCTCCGTCGAAGCGTTCAACCCCGACACCGACCTCAAAGCGCTCATTGAAGGTAACCGCACAGGACCGTTCAGGCCGCAGGCGTATGTCTATGAGAGTTTGGAGAGTGATTTGCCGGATGTCAATTTTGGGATTGATTTGAGGAGGTGGAGTGGGGAGAGGGGGTGGAAGAGTTTGGTGAGGACGCGTACGAAGAGGAGCAAGGGCGCGATTCCAGAAGTGCTGGAAGCGATGTTGAGGGCGTTGAACGAGATGTACGAGGACCTCTCTGAAGAAGGTGAGTACCTTTCAGTAATATGGGTCTTGGCTGACAACACCAGAACGCCGTCGAGGATGGATCTACGAAGTCCCTCTGACCGAAACGCACATGCTTCGCAATGCCATCAACAATCCTCAGATCGCCATCGATGATATCGTCAGCATTGTGAAAAAGTTTAACGTGCCAGTGGCAGCGGGGACGGTCAAGCTGTTCTTGTTGGAACTCAACCCGCCGGTGATGGGTTGGGAAGGATGGGAGGACGCAAAGGCGGTCTACCCTGCTAGTGAGTTGATGTTTTTAGGTGGAGAGGGTTTAGCTGATGATGAATAGTTGGCGCGGACCAGGAGGTGGACATGACTAGTGGGGTGTCGAGTGTCTTGGGCAGGTTACCCGCGTCGCATGTGTATGCTCTCAATGCTGTCATCAAGCACTTGAGAGAGTGAGTCTGCCACATTCATGCTTTACAATGCTAAACATTCGCAGTCTTGTGGATAAGACAAAGTCAAACGAGCCCAATGAGGTCTACGTGACCAAGTTGGCATTGAGTGTTGGAAGGAGTGAGTCATACATGTCCAAAGATGCCTGAGCTAATAGATTATAGCCATCCTCCGACCTCAACACGAATCACACCTCACCATCGGCGACCGCACCCCCTCCCTCTTCCTCGCCGACCTCATCAACCACTACCGCACCCTCTTCCCTCCCCTCCTGCACAAACTCAAAACCGAATCCGCCGAACGCACCATGCCCGTCAAGAAACGCACAGCGCTCGTGGACCAGCGCATCTCGAGGAGCAGCTTGGGGAGCGATCAGGATCCGGGGCATTTGATGGAGTTGCAGAGGGCGCAGATGAGGTCTGTGAGCCCGGCGCCGGGGGCGAGGACGAAAGATCTGCCGCCGGTGCATATCCCTGCGGTGCAAGCGGGTTCGCCGTTCTCGGTACCTGCGCCTCCGCCCAAGGCTGAACCGAGCACGCCGACGCCGCCGCCCAGTAAGCCTGCTGCCAACTCTGTATCGGCGCTGGGCCTCGGGACGCCTATTGCGGCCAAGCAAAAGCAGAGACATGCGGCGGATAGCGATGAGGATGAGCCGTTTGTGCCGCCTAGCTTTGATAAAGGTAAAGCCCCTGCGGCCAAGCCTCTTGCTGCTCGACGCGGTACGCATGATGAAGAGGAAAAGCCATTCGTCCCTCCCGTGGTCCCTCCCGCTGAAAAGGCGCATGTACGAGCTGCAGCTCAGCGCGCGTCTAGGGGTAGCGATGAGGATGAGCCATTCGTCCCTCTTGTGACTACCGAAGCACCTGCTCAGCGTGTCCCTGTTCAGCGTGATGCCCAGGGGAGCGATGAAGATGAACCATTCATCCCGCCCGTCCCGGCCCAAGCTGCCAAATCCTCCATCTCTTCCCGGACCCCAGTCCGTCCCACGGCACAGGGGAGCGATGAAGATGAACCATTCATCCCTCCTACCGTGGCTACCCAAGCTCCCACGCCCCAGCGCATCTCGACACACTCCGCGAGGTCTGGTAGTCGAGATACCTCTCGCGCGGCGAGTCCTGCCCCTTTTTCAGCCGTATCGGGCGTGTCAAAGACAGAGGACGATGGTGTACAGGGAGGTACGCTAAAGAGAGGTCCTTCGAGCGATACATCCAGGCTCCGAGGGCCGAGGGCTGCTAGAGGACCAAGGCCGGCACCGGGGTCGATCTCCAAGGGCGGGGAGAGGCCGGAGAGTCCTGCGGGGTTGACGAGTCCGATAGGAGAGGGCGCAGCGGGGTTGAGGAAGGTTGGGACGAGGCCGTTGAGTGGCGCGGGGAGTAGGCCGGAGACGCCGGGGACTCCTGGGGCTGGGGAGAGGCCTACAAGCAAGGTAAGTTGGGTTGTTGATGATGGGTGGGCAGGTGCTGATGGTATGCTGTAGTATGGGCATAGCACGAGAAACTCTGTGAGCGCTGCTATCGCCAAGTTTGAACAAAAGTAAGGAATGCCTGGGGTTGGACTTGAGAGGAGATACATGTTTGCAGGGTCTTTTTTTGAAAATGCTTTTACGATTTACTTTACATGTATCTCTTTTGTATGCAAGGGGTGTCTTTCTCTGTCTCTGCGTCTCTGCTTTTCGAGTGGCTGTGGCGAGGCGCAGACCGGTTTCTTCCCGTGCGACATTTCCAAAGGGGAGGCGTCGTACATGATGCATTTGAACTTGTTGGTGGTATATCCATTCAATCCTCCTCTCCCATCCTCCATGTGGGCCGCTCTCGAGCCACCCCCGCTCCCAGGTATCCTCCAATACGTACGCATCCCGTAATACCCCCCCCTTGCCACCCGCTCACCCCCCGCCCCTGCAGTTCCCCTTCGCCTGCCGCATCGCCGCATTCGCACTCTTCGTCCCCTTTGCACTCTGTATCGTCCTCGACATCGTCGCATACGGTGAGCCTCCCTGCTCCCCTCCGCTGCCCACCACAACCGTCGACGTCGTCCATGCTGTCAAAGCCGGCCGCCACACCCAGTGGAGCGGCATTTTTTATTGCCAATGGCTGACCAACAAACTTCGCTTGCAGCCATCGCACGCACTCTCCATCTTTCTCTCACCCCCCGCCGTGTTCCCAGATCCCCCGTCTCCATCTCTACAGACATCCTCGACGTCCACAGCCACACCGAGTCCGAATCAGAAACCTCTTCCGCCGTCTCCACCCCCTGACCCACTCTACTCCAAACAATGACGACTCCTACTTCCCTCACGCTTGTCGGCGCTACAGGTCTCACGGGATCGCGCACCCTCAAGTCCCTCCTCGCCTCGCCCCAGGCATTCAACATCACCACCATCACCCGCCGTGCGACCGAGAACAGTGCGCCAGCCAACCCGTTGACCAAGGTCACTTCCCGCCTCTTCCCCTCTCTCTTTGACGCTCCCGCCGACAAGGAGCGATTGGTGGAGAGCGGGGGTGTGTACGTTTCGTGCTTGGGCACGACTCGTGCGGCTGCGGGGGGTACTGCCGGGCAGGAAAAGATTGATTTGGTGCTCAACCGCGACTTGGCCAAACGAGCCAAGGAGGACGGTGCTTCCACTGTACGTATTCCCTCCCCTCTTTCTTCAAAGCTGACTTTGTTCGTAGATCATCCTCGTCTCCTCTGTCGGCGCATCCCCCGATTCTCGCATGTTCTACCCTCGTATCAAAGGTCAACTCGAAGCCGACGTCAAAGCCCTCGCTTTCGACCGTACCGTCATTCTCCGACCTGCTACCCTTCTCGGCGCCAGGACCGAGTCCAGGCCAATGGAGTATATCGCGCAGAACCTCTTTAAGGGCTTGAGGAAGGTTGGTTTGCCCATGGATAGTCTGGCTATTGATGCTGAAGAGTGAGTCTCTTCCCCTAATAATGAGTGAGGAGAGTGACTGATGGGAAAGCAGTGTTGGAGCTTGTATCGCGCATCTCGCTGCCAACCCGTCGACCGAGAAATTGCTTGTAATCGATGGTCACGAGATCATCGCCAACGCCAAATTGTACCGCGCCGCACAGTCGACATCTGCCTAGATGGCACTGTCGGCGATATGTGTATCAAAGTGTATCGAAAGTCATGTCGAATACGTACGAGAAAGAGAATGGTTGCAAGATTGTTTCATGTCTTTCGCGGTTTCTAGATGGTTTATGCAGATATCTGTGCTGTACAGTTGGTTGATGTTTATTCCTACAGATTGTTACAACGAGAGAAACCCGGCCTCCATAATCAGAAGAATAACTGCAGACTTTTGTAGGTCTTTGCCATCTTGAGTAGGTGGCTGGTGTTGACGTTGAGATACAGTTGATTGTGGCAGTGGATCAGGAGATGAGGGAGCATATACTCTTCGTTCTGGGAGGTCAAGTGTGCCACGAAGGCCTCTGGCTCTGACGCCCTATGCTGTTTGATGTCATCCATCCTTTCAGATCTGTACGCTAAGAATCAGGTGACTTGTGATGGTCGCCATCCGTCCCCGCAGTAGTTCCACATGTGGTGACGAAGGCATACAGACCTTTGTTGACGGTACTCTTTGCGCCATTCTGTTACACAAAGGTCATGTCATAGACAGCATGTAATAAACAGCCACTGCTACGGGAAGAGACACCCCGTCTACTGATGCAAGAAGGTCTAGATGTCAAGAGTCATGCATTTTCACCACTTCCCCAGTACCGTTACAGATCCTCAAACACTCTCCAGCAACATTCTTCCTCCGAGTACTAATCACCTTCTATACCCGCTGTCCCTTTCCCTTTCACCATACCCCCCTCGCCCACCTCTACTCCTACTACCATCCTCAAATCGCCTCGGGGGAGGAGGCGAGTCCCTCCTCCTAGGCGGACTGGGGGACGGCGTATAGCTGTCTCTCCGCCTCCTCCTAGGCGCCGGGCTTGGGGATCGGCTTACTGAGCGCGAAGGGGAGGGCGAGCGGCCACGGCCGGTCGACCTTCGAGGAGGGGGCGAACGGGGCGAACGGGGCGAACGGGGGGGAGGGGAGCGCGAGTCGTATCGGCGTCGAGGAGGAGAGGGGGAACGCGAGTAGGAAGGAGAGCGCGAATGGTCTCTGCGACGGCGGGGAGGAGAGCGCGAGTCGGAAGAGTATCGGCGCCTCCTTGAGCGACGCGAGTATTCACTCGACGAAGAAGAGTCAGAGTCCGAATCAGAGTCAGAGTCGGAGCTGTCGGATGAAGAGCTCGAGTCTGAAGAAGACTCCTCTGCAGCCATAGCCGCGTGCTGGGCAGCAAGCAGCTTGGGCGCGTTCTGGAGATACTCGCGCATATCTTCAGTGACCTTGCCCATACCGATGGACGTAAAGTAGTTGATGGAGAATCGAGTGTTTTTGGGATTGTCCATCGGAAACATGCCGGCGAAAGCGGGGCGGAAGTCGGGGATACGGAACCTCTCGGCGACCTTGTTGACACCGAGCTCCTCTACCATCTCCTGCAGCATGATTTTGACAAAGATACGGCTGGAAGAGGTGGTCTCGTCCTCGTTCATATGCACGACTTGCAAGACGGCCCATGAGATGGCGTCCGATGCCAGCAGATGCCCGAAGAATCGAGCGATGTTTCGCAGCTTGTTGGTCTCGTATCGATGGATGGTGTCGTAGTATTTTTCAAACGCCTCTTGGAAGCTGTCTGTCCAGACTCGGTTCAGCTTGCAAAATCGCTCGCCGATAAGCCCGTAAAAGTTCGAGTAGGCTCGCTCTTGAGAGCAACACTCGACAATCATGTTGCAGAGCTCAATTTCGCGCCCTTCAGGAATGTTGATCTTCATGAGCTTGTGGACAGCCTCTTCGTAGTTGAGCTGGTGAATGTCAGCGAGATACCTCTAGATTGAGAAAGAACGTACCGAGTTCATGATGGTCAGATAGATCGTCCTTCGGAGGTTGATCAAGTTGGTCTCGGTCATATCCTGAATACCCTGCTTCTCCGGCGCGACATCGTCTTCATCATCTTCCTCCGAGCCCGACTCGTCGCTACCAGACTCGCCAGACTCTTCATCGTCAGAGTCGCCCAAGATTTCACGCTTGATCTCGGCGTAACGCTCCTCATTTTGGAGAAAATTGGGGTCGGCCTTGAACAAATCTGCAAAAACGTCAATGCCGTCCTCCACGCAAATGTATCATACTCACTCAGACTCTCGAGCACCTTGAGCTCATCGTCCAGCGTAATCTTGTGCGTAATCTGCTCATCCTCTTCAACCAGATCCAAACCCTCAGGTACCGAAGGGTTGTCCATAAACTTGTCCTTCCTGACCTGGAACAACACTTCAATCATATACTGACACCTCTTGCTGATCTCGCCCTCATGCAAGACCGCCCTGAATCTCTCAAAGACGGTGTTGTTGGCTTTGGGCGACACTTCCGAGAGGAAGAGGCCGACCTCGCGCATAAAGCCGACGGCGATCTCTATAGAATCGTCGGTGGGGCGGTCCAGGCAGAGAAGGAGGATTTGGAGAGCGACAATCTCGTGAGCGACGTATTGGTTGCAGAGGTGGGCGATAAAGGTGGAGGTGGCGTGGCAAACAAGCTGAAGGAAAGTCAGCGGCGGAAGTCAGAAACGTGAATATACGTACCTTGTCATTTCGCTTGTAGGCTCGTCGGAACTGACTGATCAGCCTGATCAAGACAAGCTCGCCGACCTGGGGCAGCTTGGTATTGATGATGGCTACCAGAGCCGCAAAGACAGGGGTGAATGGCAAAGACGAAGCCTGGGCTCTCATGATAGACCTCGCGAAAAGACCTTTGCCCCGGATGAGATTTTCCCCAAAGAGTTCGGGAACAACATGCTTGATGTTGGCAACGTTGACCTTGTTGATAAGACCATTGATACTCTTCTTCAGCGCATCCCAACTCATTCGCTGGTATTCTGCACTCTTCTTGTCCTTTGCCGCCTCTGCTTGCATCGCCCTCAGCCTCGCGGGGGGAATGTAGGCACCACCACTTCTAGATCCCAAGAGCTTGGCAAACTCTGCCTTGGCAGCATCGTCCGCATTCGGCCTGGTTGCAACCGTGCCATCGTCATTGGGTTTGGCAAGTTCTCGGTTGATTTCCTTCTCCAGCAATGCTTGTTCTCTAGCCCGACGGCGGGCGGGATCGACATCATTTACTCGAGGAGCATCGAGCGCCTGGGATTCTGGGCGTCGAGGGGGCGATTGGGAGCGTCGGCGACGGGTAGGGGGCGAGGCAGGGCGGTCTCGCGGGTTAGGCGATGGGGATCTGTAAGGCATGAGCATCGAACATCCCCTGGCGTGTGGAGACTCACCTTTTTCTCTTGGAGATGGGAGCGTCATCGACGGTGTCGCTTCTGGGACGGGGAGAGGGAGAGCGGGTGTAGGAGCGACGAGGGGAAGGAGAGCGAGAAGGAGATGGCGAGCGGGGCATCTTGAGGTGTTTTGAGGGCTTTAGGAAGCCGTTTTTTGGGTGATTACTGCTTGGGGGTGCCCTGTCGTATGTTCCCGTGGACTTACTACGAATCTGGGTGAAATCCGGGATTGTTACAGGAAATGCAAACTCAATAACCAGAGTGTCGGCGAGGAAAGAGATGAATGGGTGATTACGTAAACCTGGTCTTAGTTACTCCCCCCCTTACGCGCATGAACGGGACTTTTTGGGACGCGACGCGTCGAGTGTCAACAAACAATTGAAGGTCAATTTCTTGTTGGATCCGCTTTTATCACCCAACATGCCGCCACGACGCTCCACAAGGGCAGCCCCGGCAGCTTCTTTAGCCCCGGCAACCAAGACGACAGCGAAGAGATCGACACGGGCCAAGAAGGAGCCGTCACCAGAAGTATCAGGCGAGGAGGACGACCTCGACTCGGTATCTGCTGCTGAGGACCACGACGACGATCAGGAAGAGGAGGAAGAGGAAGAGGAGGAGGATGTGAAGCCAAAGATCAAGAGGGGCGCAAGCAAAGCAAAGCCGAAAGCCAAGGCTGCTCCTGCCCCCGCACGCCGAAGCGCGAGAGCTTCAGTTGCGTCCGTCGCTTCTGAGCCAGAGCACACGGAATCTGAAGATGAGCTCGAGCTGCCACCGCCAAAGCCCAAAAGCAGATCCAAGAAGGCTGCCCCAGCTCCGAAACCCAGACCAGAGACGCCCGAGATGACATCGGAGGATGAGGATGAAGCAGAGGAAGAGCTGCAGAGTGCCCTGCGAGGTCAGCGAGGGACCGTCACACCTTCAGAACCGGCTACGCCGACTCCTCATTCGCGGACTCTTCCTCGGGAGCAGAGTACGACCCCTCGGGCGGGTACAAATGCTGCTGGTGCCCCCGAAATCAATGTTGAAGCGCCCGCGGATGGTACCCCTCGACCCAGCACGCCCAGCAAGATGCCCCCTCCCCAAACACCCTCCCAACCCCAGCGCACTCCCCTCTCACAGCCGGATCCTGCCCCTCCACCAGCACCTTCCGGCCCCAAGCCCAGGTTGACCATCCACAAAATCGTGCTTGTCAACTTTAAATCCTATGCCGGCCGACAGGAGATTGGGCCTTTCCACAAGTCATTTTCAGCGATTGTTGGGCCGAATGGAAGCGGTAAAAGTAATACAATCGATGCGTTGCTTTTCGTGTTCGGTTATAGGGCGAGCAAGATGAGGCAGGGAAAGCTCAGTGAGCTTATTCACAACTCGGCAAAGCATCAAGGATTGGAGAGCTGTTCAGTAGAGGTGTGGTTCAGGGAGATTGTTGATCTCGTACGTCAGTTCTATTGGGGAAAGATGAAACTGACTGTGTGCTAGCCCGGGTCTGACAAATTCCTCCTCGTGCCCAACTCGCAAATCATCGTCAACCGAACCGCCTTCCGCAACAACTCGTCCAAATACACCATCAACGACCGTTCCAGCACCTTCACCGAAGTCACCACTCTCCTCAAAGGCAAAGGTATCGATCTCGACCACAATCGATTCCTTATCTTGCAAGGTGAAGTCGAGAGTATCGCCCAGATGAAGGCCAAGGCGCAGAATGAGCATGAGGATGGATTGTTGGAGTATTTGGAGGATATCATTGGGACGACAAAGTATAAGGAGCCGATTGAGCAGGCGAGTTTGGAGGTGGAGGCGTTGAATGAGGAGAGGGGAGAGAAGATGAATAGGTTGAGGGTTGTTGAGCGAGAAAAGGCTGCTCTTGAGGTATGTGCCGTTGGTCAATGAGGTCAATGAGAGGGCACGAGCTGATAACATGACAGAGCAAGAAGCAGGAGGCTGAGGATTATCTTCGAAACGCCAACGAACTCACTCGAAAGAAGTCTTTGCTCTATCAGAAGCACATGTACACTCTTCAAAGCAACATCGACATCACCACCAAAGCCATCGTGCGTATCCTTTGCTCGACTACAAACCGTACTGACATGGTTGCAGGAAAACCTCACCGCCCAACTAACCTCCGAACAAGAGCTCAATGCCGACCATCTGGCCACCATCGATGCTCTCCAAAAAGAGTATGACGAGCAAGTCGCTGCTTTTGCTGAGGTCAAGAAACATACGGATACATTGACCAAGGAGGCCAAGAAGATTGAGAAAGAGGAAGTCGGGTTACAGGAGAAGAAGAAGCATTTGGTCACAAAGCAAAAGAAGTTTAAGAAGAGTATCACAGACGTCAGTCTTACTCTCCGTCGTCCTGGGACAGCGCTAATGGGGGAGTAGGATGGACACGCCAAGTCTGAGGCTCAAGCGACTATTGAGAACTGCACCGAGCAATTGGAAAAGAACCGTATCAAGGTAGCAGAACTCGAAGAGAAGCTTGAGGCGGAACAGGCCGAGCACGAGGAAATCGTCGAGAGCTTGAAAGGTGAGTCGATACCATCACTGAGGGCGCAGTGCTGACGCGTATATACAGACAAGACTTCCGTCTTCACCACTCAAATTGAAGCCAAGCAACGCGAACTCCAACCCTGGAACGACCAAATCCGCGAAAAGCAAGGTCAAATCGACGTCGCTACATCCCATCGCGATGGTCTTGCTGAGAAGGCTACTTCTAAACAAGGTGCTTTGGACGATGCTAGGGAGAATCTCAAGTCGTTGAAAGAGGGTGGGGAGGGCAAGCATGAGGATTACGGGAGGTTGAAGAAGGAGGCTGTAAGGGTCAAGAAGGCTATTGCCGATGGCGAGGCGAAACTCGAGGTGCGTATAGTGGCTATTCATGCATCACTCGCTGACCTATGGAACAGGATCTTACCGGCAAATGGGAAGGAGTCCGAGCCAAAGTCTCAAACTCCCGCCACAAGGCCGATGAAGCCAAGGCCTCCATGGCAGCCGACAGGAGCGAGAACGCTGTTCTTAGCAGTCTCAACAAGCTCCGCGATCAAGGCCGTATCAAGGGCTTCCACGGCCGACTCGGTGATCTCGGTGTCATTGACGACAAGTACGATGTTGCCGTCACCACTGCTTGTCCCACGCTCAACAACTTGATTGTTGACACGGTCAAGCAGGGTGAAGCTTGTATCGACTTTTTGCGAAAGGGCAATATCGGGCGAGCAAATATTATGGTGCTCGAGAAGCTTCCTGCTAGGGTTCCTGCTGCTATCCAGACTCCAGAGAACGTCCCCAGGTTGTTTGACCTCATCAAGCCCAAGGACGCCAAATTTGCCCCGGCATTCTTCAAGGGACTGGGCAACACCCTTGTTGCCAATGACCTCGAGCAAGCACAGCGAATTGGGTTTGGCAGCTCGCAGCGATGGCGAGTTGTGACCCTCGGTGGACAGTTGATCGACCCCTCTGGTACCATGTCTGGTGGTGGTAACCGCGTCGCTCGAGGCGGCATGTCATCCAAGTTCAAAGCCGACAAGGTTGCGCCCGAAGTCGTCGCCAAGTTTGAACAAGACACGGCGGCTGCCGAGGCAGATCTGGCGAAAGCGCAGGAAGAGAGAAAGGCGGTGGTGGCGGAGCTGCAAGAGTGGAAGAAGAGGCTGCCGCAGATCGAGATGGAGATGAGCAAGATTGAGCTGGATGTTGCTACCTCTGGAAAGAGAGTGGAGGAAGCTGAAAGGAGGTTGGCAGAGCTGCAGTGAGTCCAGTGCTTGATAATCGATGACAAAAGCTAAACAGGTGTCAGGTCTGAGAGCAAGCCGATAGCGGCTGATGAGAAGCGCATCAAAGAACTCGATGCCGAAATCGCCTCTCTGACAAAGGAGACTGACAAGCTTCGCACAAAATCATCTGCCATCAACGACGAGCTCAAATCTCTCCAGGAAAAGATTCTCGAAGTCGGTGGTGTGCGTTTGCGTGCTATACAGTCCAAGGTTGCCACCACCAAGGGCCTCGTCGACCTCGCCAACGACGCCATCACCAAAGCCGAAGTCGGACAGGCCAAAGCCGAGCGTGATGTGGAAAAGCTGGGCAAGGCCATCATCAAGAATCAAACCACCTTGGAGGAGGTGGAGGGCGAACTGGAGCAGGTGGAAGCTGACCTGGCCAGTTGTACGGCGGATCTGCAGACTCTGAGAGAGAGGGTTCAGGAGGCCGTGGACTCCAGCGAGGATGTGAAGGAGGCGTTGGAGCAGAGCAAGCAGGAATTGGATGAGAAGATGCAAGGGATCAACGCCTTCAGAGCGCTCGAGGTGAGTCGCAATTTCGTGTGATGGGAATGAGCTGACTTTGCTGTAGATGGAACTGAAGCAGAAGATCGACGACAGTACAAGGTCTCAGAAAGACAGCAAAGACAAGTACAAGCACTGGCTGAAGAGGCACGAAACTTTGGAACTGGTGTATATCGAGTGAGTGTATACGTTTGTCCGTGTACTTGACTAACCAGTTGTTAGTGAGGAAGATGAAGACGAGGAAGAAGGCGGTGAGGGTGCGCCCAAGGAGACGGAAGATCCTGCCGAACCCGTTAAGGAAGGTGAAGGTGCCGAAGACGCCGAAGGCGCCGGGGAAGGTGCAGAGCCCGAAGCAAAGAAGAAGGCGCCCGCCAAGAAGAAGCATCAAGACAGCATGGAGCTTGCAGAGTACTCGCCTGACGAGTTGATGGATGTGGACAACGCAGTGCTTAGTGCCGAGATTGCTGCTCTTGAAGGTATGTCTTTCACCTACTTCATCTGACGTAGTGCTCATTAGATACAGACGAGACAAGTAAAGCTCGACCAAACCTCAACATCCTCGCCGAATACCGACGCCGAGAAGCCGAGTTCCTCGACCGAGCCAAGGACCTCGAGCGTGTCACTGGTGGTCGCGATGCCGCAAAGTCGAGGTACGACGACCTGCGCAAGGTTCGTTTGGATGAGTTCATGGCGGGCTTTACGGCCATCACTGCCAAGTTGAAGGAAATGTACCAGGTGAGTAACTGTATGACGGTCCAAGGATGGTACTCATCGCCGTTATAGATGATCACGATGGGCGGTAATGCCGAGATTGAGTTGATCGACAGTATGGATCCGTTCTCCGAAGGTGCGTCCCGTCCCACTGTCTTACTTGCCACGTCTGACCATCTACAGGTGTTGTCTTGTCCATCATGCCTCCCAAAAAGTCTTGGCGGGCTATTGCCAACCTGTCTGGTGGTGAAAAGACCCTCGCTTCCCTTGCCCTCGTTTTCGCTCTGCATGTCTTCAAGCCCACACCGCTTTACTTTATGGACGAAATTGATGCCGCGCTGGATTTCAAGAACGTCTCGATTGTAGCCAACTACATCCAGTCAAAAACTCAGGCCGCGCAATTGTAAGTAGCTCCATTGGAATCGAGATGGGACAACGCTGACTTTTTGATAGCATTGTCATCTCACTCCGTAATGACATGTTCGAACTCGCTCATCGTCTGGTCGGTATCTACAAGACAGATAACGTACGTGCCTCCACTTTCCCTCTGATAGTCGTTCAAACTGACTCTTGCAATAGTGCACGAAGAGTCTTGCGATCGAGAACAAAGACCTGCGTCTCCAAGCTCGTCCCAAACGTGCTGCAAACGTGCCCCCAACACCATCTGTCGGAGGCGGAGCTGTACCAGCAACACCCGCGTTCCGGAGACAACCTGTGAACGTCGTCAGGGCGCAGGCTGAGGAAAAAGAAGACCCGAGCACGCCAGGGACAGTCGTAGGGTGATCGTAGACGGTCTTGAGCATATATATACCTTATTTCATATTTGGTTTTTCGGATTATTGTGGTGGTCTTCCTTGTTGTACGATCTGATAGATGAATGGAATTACGCTTTGCAGGCATATGCAAAGACGTTTCAAGCTCACAGGAAGCAAGATACAATGATTCATGATTGTGTATGAAATTTAAATATCTACAAAAAGCCTTCCTCAAGTACCGCCAAGAAAAGTGTCTGATTGAAGAACCATAGTCTAGGATAGATTGGCTACATCTGCACGGACTCAAGCGATCGCAGGGGCAACTGCCTCAGCCGCATGGTCTTGCTTGATCGCACTGTACTCGAGGTAGCTATCAATCGCATATCAGCCATTGATCAAGACATTACGACCATGATGCTTACTCGGTGTATCCCTCAGGACCAGGGCTGTAGAACGTGTCACGGTTGTACTCGCCGAGGGGGTGGCCGTTTTTGATACGTGCGACAATATCGGGGTTGGCTTCCGCATTGTCAGAAGGTACACGAGTCGAAGAAAGAGGAAAGCTCACAAATAAAGTACCTCCCAATAGCCACCAAGTCATCAGTGGCATTGGCATGCGCAATAGCGCTGTCGGGCTTGAAACCACCCGCCACAATCAACTTGGTGCCCTTCCCCTTCTCCTTGATAATCTGCCTAATTGGTTCGAGTGTATCTTCTCCCACGTCATCCTTCAAATCATACCCATCGACTCGGGGTTCGACAGCATGGACGAAAGCGAGGTCGGGGTGAGCGTCGAGGGCTTTGTTGACAAAGGGGACGAAAGTATCGAGGGGCTTGGCTTCACGCATACCTTGGAAAGTGTTGAAGGGCGAAATTCGGAATCCAACACGTTCGGGGCCGATGGCGGTGGTCAAGGCATCAATGATACGAAGAGGGAATTTGAATGTGGAGGCGGCGTAAGAGTCGGTACGCTTGTTGCTAACGGATTGGATCTGAGGATGGTATTAACGCAAGTCCACTTGGGTGATTGAAGAGGACACTTACGAACTGGTCAGGAAGCTTTGAGAGAGAGTATGGTCAACGACAGTACCAAATGACGAGTACATCTAAACTCACATAGCCGCTGGCAAAGTGTGCTTCGACTGCGTCAAACCCGGCTTCAACGGCGTTCCGAGCGGCCTCAGCAAAGCTCTCGACAAATCGGTTGATATCTTCTTCAGTCAAGACGTGGAGAGTCTGGGGGCCTCCAGCGAGGGGAACATCACTGGGAGCAACGACCTTGTCTACATTGCTTGGGTCGGCAACACGCCTGCAGGAGAGTCAGTGATTGAACACTTCGAAAGTACGAACGTACCCAAGAGCCCAAAGCTGAGCCGCGATCTTTCCGCCCTTGGCGTGAACGGCGGCAGTGACGAGTTTCCAGCCCTCTATCTGCTCTTTGGTCCAGAGTCCCGGAACGGAGAGATATCCTCCAGCCTCTTTGGAGACAAAGGTGCCCTCAGAGATCAAAAGGCCACCCTCTGTTGGTATCGTCAATCGACGTCATGTTCAAGTAGTCAAGGCACTCACTGGAAGCACGCTGCTCATAGTACTTGATGTGGTCAGCAGAAGGCACACCGTCCTCCTTGCCAGCACGGAACCGGGTCATGGGCGCGAGCACGATACGATGGTCCAGCTGGAGAGAGCCGGCTGTGATAGGAGCGAAGAGCTTTGATTGGGGCGACATGGTGAACAAGACAACAAAGTGCGGTGGGGGACATCGATTGACATTGTGAGCCCTTTATACAACTTGACATATTGACTAGCATCGATGGATGGCTGCTGCTGCTGCTGCTGTGGTCAGCCTCCACGATGCCTCCACCGGGCTGAATCATCGAGACAGCAAAGGATGAGCAAGCAATGCAAATAAGCTAAGTTAAGCTTAAGAAGAAGCTAAGATCAGAAGCACGACGCACATGGCTTGCTTATGTAATATTACGTAGTGCGTGCCTTGCCCGCCGTCTTATTATTTGGTTTTGGTTTTCGGACGTGTTCGCCCGTGGCCCGATAGCTGTCGACTGAATACAAATCGTCCACTGGGCAATACAACATTACAAATCAAGTAAACCATAAACAACTCTCCTTCTTCCAGTAATCCCATCACACAATGGCCCAGTCAGCATCAGCAGCAGAGAGGCAGAGAAGAGAGGCTCACCAGCAGCGCGCTGTAAGTGCTCCGATGTCCGGTATCTACCCGACTGACGACCAGATAGTATGAAATCCAGTTTGCTGGTGGTGTTGAGGTATGCTCCGCCTCAACTAATCTCGTATACTAGCTCATTTACGACAGGGCGCCATCAAGTGGACTATAGGTGGAGCTCTTGCTTGTGTCGTTGGTCACTATACTTGGCCCGTGTTCGCGTGAGTGATCTTCCTTGAACGCCAGAGCAGAAAGCTGATCATCTCGTTTTGGAATGGCAGGAGACAAACGTTGGGTCTGAAAGCATTCATCACAAGTTCAGGTGGGCATATAGCCACCCATTTTACCATCGGGCACTGATTGCTATATAGCCACCATGTGCGGCCTTGTCATTGGAGCCGGTACGCTGGACGCTATATTCCCAATGCTCCTATTCTGATGTTCTCAAATAGACGATCACCTACTCCGATTCGAACACGGCATGCGTGCCGAAGAAAACGAACTCCGACGGCAAGCGCGAAACGCCCTCGCCCTCGAAGGCAAGATTGCCAGCGAAACCGAGATTCGAAAGTGGAGAGAACGACGTGAAAAGCAGATGGCGTTGGATAAGGAGAAGGAGGCTGCTGCTGTTGGTATGTCGAGTGTTCAAGAGACACCGATTGCGCCTGCTGCTGCTGGATCAGGGGCGACGGGGAAGGTTGTAGAGGAACTGACGGGGTCGGCGGTGCCTCCTCCGGCTCAGCCTGCCCCTCTGGCCTCATTATCTAGCGAGGGAGAGAAGGCTTGATGACTGACTCGATAGAATCATTGCATTAGTCGTGAGAGCTTCGACCGTGACTCATGCACATCTACCTTGGAATGTTCGAATTCGATGAGCGGGATTGCGCATACGTCAAACAGGGAGGGTCTTATTTCCTTCTCCTCAAACAGCTAATCCTTTGGCAACATCCGGTGCTTGAAATAGCTAATGAATATAACAGCTTCCTAAGACTTCACTCTACTAGATCTCTCGTCCACATGTGGTCCACGCTCAGAAAAGGTCGACCATTTGTACAAAGGACATCGGGCCCTTCCTCGTCAAGTCAAAGGTTCGGCCAAGAAGGCTTGGTTCAGTCTTCCAACATATCACAACTTTCCACAAATGGGGACTGACTACGCCAAGTCCGCTTAGCCTAAAGATTGACAACCCGACAAAAGATTCGTCTGGGTCTCAGGAGTTCCAAAGTGTCGGATCAAGCCGGTCTTTGCCCGCAGCATTCAGAATAGCTGCCGGCGATACCGTCCAGCACGATCATATATGTAAGTCCGACCTTCACGACTCACGAATTTTCTTCATACCACATCCGATCTTTTCACTCACCTCACTCCAGAATGTCTGACGATGGCTCCGAAATCAACGACCCTCGCCTTATCCCAACTTCATCCACCCCTCCACCTTACTCTGACCGCCAGCCATCCAAAGGTGCTGCCGCCATCCTCCAATTCTGGCTCGACGACCATGACGACAGATCCCTCCTTTCCACCCTCACTGATCCCCAGTTTGCCGCGCAATTTGCGAGTGAAGTGGAGGGGGTAGATGACGTCGAACAAGTCACATCTTGGGCACAAGAAGCGCTGAGCTTTCTCCCGCGCGAGGCGCAGGCTTCTATGCTATTTGGTCTTAGCGGTATGTCGGAAGAAGTTGAAGGTCTCGCCTCTGGCTCGCGGCAGGAAGAGTTTCAGCAATTCGTCAATTCAGCGATGCAAGACGCGCAATGGAAGGCTCTTGCAGATAGCATGTGTGGTGAGCAACCTTTGCCGTCGGTACAAGAGACTATACAACATTTCCATTTAGTTGAGACTTTGGCGGAAGCTCTTCGGCAGCTAGAGGTGGACCATTCTGCAAAGGCGAGGCCACAACGCAAATTCACTGCTGTAAGTCCATCTGACTGTTTGCCGAGTACCGGAGCTGATGAAAGCTATAGGATACCGTCACTACCAGCATGTCTTCAGTCTTTGACGCTAATGGCTCCGAAGACACGACCATGGCATATTCGCCTTTTACTGAAGATTTGGAATACGATGAAACCGATGAGCAGGTGAGACAAGGAGTAGAGGGCAAGGAATTCTTATAAGCTGTCGTGTTGTCTTGACTGAAGATAGTCAGCTATCCGGTACACATACATAGAAGGCTATGTGGAGCTGCTGCAAAGTCTGATATCTATGCAATTGTTCTTCTCCTTCGGCACGGGGCCGGGGCCCGGATAACAGAAGTGCCGAAGACGAAGAAGCTGAATATCACGGGAGTGCCTATGTTTGGAGGTCGGTCATCCGTCCTCACCAGGTCAGATGCTCACACGATGGATCCACCGCGCCCTCTTATAAGCTGAACCATGGTCCTTCTCGATGGTGCCCCCCATATGTTATCAAGATGAGCAAGAAACAGCTAAGTATAACCGAATGTGAGCTTGACATTACCACTGGGCCGGGACGATGGAGCGCAATTGTGCTGACAGATGTGCAGGTCATCGTCTCTTGTCTCAGCCTGGGTCGCCTTTGGAGACTGAAGAGAAGGTTATCTTTGGTCGGCGCACCAAAGTATGGAAGAATGTGAGCACATATTGCGTCTTCGGCCGTCGTTGCGCTGACGATCCACCGGCAGCAAGCGCCGCATTTCCGAGAGTGGATCCTCCTCAATTACGAAAAGCACAAGAACAAAATCTTCGTTTCTGCCCCGCTCCCTAGAAGGGAACCTTACCCGCCTCTGGCAGAAGGCGACATTGGCATCGATGCCCGGGAGTACTGGACTTTTGGGGAGATTCTCGATAGAGGTCTAAAGCTTGCGGCCTGGCTGAGGAGCCGAGGGATCAAACTTGGGGACAAGGTAGTCATTGGAGGCAAGAACTGTGCGCCGTGAGTACTCCAGAAAATTAAATTTGGGTCGTTGGCTGACTTGTGTACTCAGATGGATCGTATCTTACACCGCCATACACCTTCTCGGAGCAGTACCTGTGTGTCTTAACGCGTGGCTGTGAGACTGATTTCGCCCTATTGCAGAGAGGAATGAAAGACTGACAGATATCGAGACCTCGGGAGCAGCTGGTCTACCTGATCAAGCTAGTTGACTCAAAGCTGCTTCTCCTGGACGAAGACCGCGCCCGAATACTTAGCCCTTACACGCGCATCGCAGAGTTTGGATTGCCGCCTGTATGTCTGGTGCTTCAGTCATGACCAAGGGCTAGGGCTAGTACTGATGATCTGCCTAGATGTACTGTTGGAGCGACACGACCTACCTTCCATCTATAATTGAAGTACTCAGCACTCCTAACCCTCAAGGCGTCCAGGATATCTTGGACGGCGGAGGGCTAGAAGAGCTCGGTCCGGAGAGCGACGGTATGATCTTCTTTTCTTCTGGGTGAGTACCGAGAGCCGGATCGTAGTGAGGGAAGCTGAATCCGTTCTAGCACGAGTGGTGTTCCTAAAGCTGTCCTCAGTACCCAGAGAGCCTCATTGTCGAGCGCCTTATCCGGTATGGTAGGCTTTGCTCGCGCCCTTCTTCGAGCTGGTCTTTCCATTCCCACTCCCGAAGAAACTGCCGCCGAGCCCCAAAAAGCCATTCTACTCTCTGTCCCGCTCTTCCATGTGACGGCTTGTCTGCAATGGCTGTCTCGGTCAATCACGTTCGGCAATACGCTCGTGGTGTCTGACAAGTGGGACATCAAGGAGGCTGTGCAATTGATCCAGAAGGAGAAAATCACTTCCATAGGCGGGTGAGTAACGTCTCCTAAATCTGTGACCTTAGCGAGCTGACGTGCTACAAGAGTGCCTGCTATAGCCAGCCAGATCATGCAGTCTCCGGATCTACCTCGAGATACTACGATAGACGGCGTCTTCTACGGCGGAGCGCCTTGTAGCAAGGGCTTGGCGTCGCAGATCTCGAACCGGTTCCCCAATGCAGATCTGTGGGCAGACTCTCCTCGTCGTCGTCAAAGCAATAGACTGAAGCTTTTCCAGGAGCCAGGGATATGGCTTGACAGAGACCAACGCGATAGCCGTGTCAATTGCTGGACAAGACTACCTCGATCGAGTCAGTATAAATGGCTCGCACGAGTGTAGCTGATGTTGGCTGATAGCCTGAAAGCACTGGCCTGCCAGTCTTTACGAGCGAGGTCAAAATTGCGGACCCCGATACCCTCAAAGAGGTGCCGGTTGGGCAGAATGGTGTTATACTTCTCAGAGGCGTCAACGTCATGAAATGCTACTACAACAACGAGAGTATGTCTTCTTTCACTTCTCTCCTACCGGCGAGAAGTCGCTCATGCAATGGCCATTGTAGAAGCAACAAGGGAGGCGATTGACGATGAAGGCTGGTTCAACACTGGTGACGTGGGTTGTCTCGACGAGGAAGGATTCCTGTATATGAAGGACAGAAGTGAGAGGATATAACAGTTCTCGTCACTGCAGATAGCTTACGCGGTACTTTAGTCAAGGACCTCATTATACGAGGTGGCGAGAACGTACGTTCGCTCTTCTTTTGCACCACAAAACCTTGACTGATCTCGACTGATGCAGATCGCATCGCAGGATGTCGAAAATGCCCTCACCTCTCACCCGCACGTCAACGAAGTCGCCGCCATCGCCCTTCCTCACCCGATCCTCGGCGAGACCGTCGGCGCCGCCCTCACCCTTCGCGCCACAGCTTCAGAGACGGGCAAGGGAGGAAAGGTCAAAGTCACTGAGGACGATATCATCAAGCATGTCCGTGGAAAGCTGGCCAAGCATGCGGTACCGGTGATGGTGATGATTTGGAAAGAGCTTGATTTACGTGAGTCGAGTCGTGCGCTGGTATATGGGCGACTAGTCTGCTGACGAATCTTCAGCGAGAAACGTCAATGGCAAGATTGTCAAAAGAGAGATCAGAGACATTGCTCGCCAAGAATGGGCCAGAAGGAATGGTATCAAGCAAATAGACGAACAAGCCAAACTGTGATGTGAAGTGATGAGACTATTGCGCTTCGTGGCGTCTTCTAATCATCGGGCAATTATATGCTCAATATGTGTTGTCTCTTAGCGTATGTACTCGTACTGTATAGCTATGCTTGTATCGCGCCACTTTTGCATATATCAGGGATTACACAAGGGGTGGACTGCGATCTGTCCTGCAACAGAAATGATGGTCGTTGTCGAGGACTACTAGCGTACGACGTGACTACCGTCAGAGTCGAGACTTATTGGCGAGCGCTGTGCGAGCTCAAAACAGTGGCAATCATATAGCTGGATGTTGGGCACTGTGACACACTGCACACACATGTGAACTCCCCATCCGACAGCCCACAGGACTCATGTTGGACGAACCCACGCACCGAAAAGATGGCAGAACGATAGCGGGGGCCGACGAAGGAGATGTCCACCGGGTGTGCCTGGATACCGCACCCGGAAAAGAGGCGTTCGTTTGCTGGATCGGCCATCCGTCTCGTAACAACAGCATCACGAGTTTTAGTAGATCCAGCTAATGCGCCGATTATAATAGTGTATCCACTTGCTGCCACTGTATAGAACCCACGGCTACCGCCTTTCGTCTCGACAGATCCTACCATGAGCCAGAAACAGCTCAGTATCGAGGAATGTGAGTCACTGTTAACGGCTGGCCAGCAGATGAGCTGACATGTAGTAAGGCGACCGTATCCTGACCCAGCCAGGGTCACCTATGGAGACTGAAGCAAAAGTGATATTCGGCAGGCGTATCAAAGTATGGAAGAACGTAGGTATCCTCCCCATAACTGCGAAAAAAGAGATCTTGGCACTGAGTCTCCCCAATCATCTATTACAGCAACCCCCACACTTCCGAGCATACATCCTGTACAATTATGGAAGATTCAAGGATCGCACCTTCATCTCTGCTCCTCTTCCTAGACGAGAGCCTTTCCCGCCTCTGGCCTCTGACGATGAGACGGGGGTGAAGGCCAGAGAGTACTTGACGTATGGCGAGACGCTTGACCGAGCTGCAAAGCTTGCGGCGTGGATGAGGAACAGGGGAATCAAGCTGGGAGACAAGGTCGTTGTTGGGGGCAAAAACTGCTCAGGGTGAGTGCTCTCTTGTGATATGCAAGGGGCTACAGCTGACGGTCGTTTTCAGGTGGATCGTCTCCTTCACGGCGATCCACCTTATTGGAGCAGTACCTGTGTGCCTCAATGCTTGGTTGTAAGCTCCCTAGTCGTCTTCGATTTTGAGAAGGAGTGGGGTGCTGACTGCTCATTATAAGACCCCGTGAACAGCTTGTCTATCTGATCAAGCTGGTCGACTCGAAACTGCTACTACTGGACGAGGACCGGGCTGAACTTTTGAGCCCGTATGCGCATATCCGGGAGACTGGTCTACCTCCGGTAGGTCTGAATGTCAGTTCCATGAGCTCTACATTGACAGACTTCATAAGATGTACTGCTGGAGCGAGTCGGGCCACCTTCCATCTATCGTGGAAATTTACAACGCACCAAACTCGCGAGGTGTACGAGAAGTAATGGATGGGGTAGGGTTAGAGGAGCTCGGACCGGAGAGTGACGGCATGATCTTCTTCTCTTCAGGGTAAGTACTCAAAGCCGAGACTGGTCAAATTGAGCTGATGGTCTCCATCAGAACGAGTGGCGCTCCCAAAGCGGTCCTCAGCACCCAAAGAGCAGCACTCTCCAGTTCCCTCTCTGGCTCCATGGCCACGGCTCGTAACTTTTTACGACAAGGAAAACGCCCTCCCACCCCTGCAGAGATCGCAGCTATGCCTCCGAGAGTCACGCTCCTGTCCGTTCCTCTCTTCCACGTGACTGGCTGTCTCTCGTGGTTGTTGCGTGCGATTTCGAACGGGAGTAAGATTGTGACGTGTAACAAGTGGGACCTGAAAGAGGCTGTGCAGTTGATCAAGAGTGAGGGAGTCAATACTGTCGGAGGGTGAGTCATGACTTGAAAGATTTCATGGTATGCTAATGAAGTATTAGTGTCCCCGCTATCGCGAGCCAGATCATCCAGTCCAAGGAACTTCCCCAAGACAATACCCTCGATAGCGTTTTCTATGGCGGCGCGCCGTGCCCCAAGGGTATGGCCGAAGAGGTCAACAAACGCTTCCCTACTGCTACCATGTAAGTCGTCCTGTTGACGAGTTTGGCGATGAATGCTGATATGGAGCGTGTTAGCATTCAAGGCTATGGACTGACAGAGACGAATGCGGTCGCAGTGGCAGTTGCCGGGCAAGACTACTTTGATCGAGTGCGTAGTCCGAGATAGACCTCTGGCAGGTCCGCATAGGCTGATCATCCTCAAGCCTGAAAGTACAGGCTTGCCCCTACCCACGACTGAACTCCGCATCGCGGACCCTGAAACCCTCGAGGAGCTGCCCGTCGGACAAGTTGGTGTGATTCTCTTGAAAGGCGTCAACGTCATGAAGTGTTATTACAATAACGAACGTGAGCTTGTTCATGGTCCTCTTCTGAGGTGCTCGTCACTGACCAGCGATGTGATGACCCTAGAGGCAACGAGGGAGGCGATCGACGATGAGGGCTGGTTCAACTCTGGAGACGTGGGATGCGTTGACGAGGAGGGCTTCCTGTATATCAAAGACCGAAGTGAGCTGCCCGCCTACGCTCCACGGTACTCTCACTAATCAAACTATATCAGTCAAAGACCTCATTATTCGAGGAGGCGAGAATGTGAGTGATGCCCCCAGTGTTGGTGATTGGAACTTACTCGAAATGGCAGATCGCGTCGCAGGACGTCGAAAACGCCCTGACATCCCACCCCCACGTCGGCGAGGTCGCAGCGGTTCCCCTCCCACACCCCATCCTTGGCGAAATCGTCGGTGCCGCTCTCACTCTTCGCGCGACTGCTTCAGAGACGGGTAAGGATGGAAAAGTGAAGGTGACTGAGGAGGACATCATCAAGCATGTGCAGGGCAAATTGCCCAGGCATGCTGTGCCGGTGATGATCATGATCTGGAAAGAGGATGATCTACGTGAGCTACTTTCAGAGACAAGGCGGGCAGGGTACTGATGAGCATTAGCGAGGAATATCAATGGTAAGATCATAAAGAGGGAGATCAAAGAGATAGCTAGAGTTGAATGGGAGAAGAGACAAGGCGTACAGAGGCCCGAGGTCAGGGCTATGCTGTAAGGTGATGTGTTGATATTTGTCGTAGTAGATCTTGTAAAGGTAGTGAATCTTCTGTCATGTGATGCCAATGTCTGTCTTGAAGACCCATTAGGAACCTGGACAGTTTCGCCATGAGTCTGAGGTTGTCAAGTCATACATTACAACAATGAATACTACTGATGCTAGTAGATGCAAATGCCCTCAATAGGGCTCAATCGTCTGCCTCGGTCGACACGAGCCTGCAGTTTATCAGTCTACGTCCGATCTGTAAAACGAACGATACCCACATAAGCTCGGCAAACTTTGACCACCTCTTCTTCTCCAGCACCAACATTCGCGCCAGCTTTATCCAGCTCCCGACCGTGAGGTCCTTCATCCGATACGGCGTCACCTTCTTCAGCGCCTTATTAAACTTGTCCTTCTTCTTTGCTACCTCCTTATGCTCCGCCTTGTTCTTGGGGCGCTGGAATACGGCGGGGTCGTATGAGGGTAGCAGGTGGAATGGCACAGGGACCGGCTGGGTCAGATTCCCTTTTGGTACCAGGTCTTTGACCTTGTACGTCGTATACTCCACTTTCCACTCTGGCTCCTTCTTTCCCTTCTTCACGCTCTTCTTTGATAGGTCAGGCAGGTAGAACTGCACAAAACCAAGTGGACTCAGGGGCCCATTCTTTCGAGAGGGAGAGTGCTTGGAGTAGTGCCGGGGTTTGTGTTTGAAGGTGCAGTGGGGTTTGTCTTCGTTTTCGGGGAGAGAGCAGTCATCCTTGGTCTTTTTGTGTCGGTGGCCACCTTTGCGTTTCAGGGTGGAGAGGAGAGAGGAGTCTTCCTCTTCTCGAGAGTCAGAGAAGAGAGTGTCTGTTGTATCATCTCCCTCTTCTTCGCCCAGCTCTTCCTCGTCTTCCTCTTGCTTGTCGGTCGGTTCATAGAGACCTCGGAAGTCATCTTCTGCCCCAGTGATATTATAGCTATTCCCATCAGCCGCTCCCCTTTCCTGACACCATAGACGACTCACGAAAACACCCTGATCCCGGGGTAGTACGTCGGAATAACACTCGGCGCCACATTCATCACCGCATAATCCTTGAGCTTCAACACCCTCGGCCCCGGCATCTCTCCAAAGTCCTTCTTCAACTCTTGTTCCAGACTCTTCGCACCCGATCGGCCTTGGATGGTGTATCGTCCAGAAGGCGAGTATGAGTTTGGAAGGTAGGGGCCGTAGGATTGGATGGAGGCGTTGGAGGGAGATAGAGGAAGGAGGTTGGAGGTGGCTTCGAGCTCGTCGACGTCAATGAAGAAGAAGTGGTCAATGTTCCTGCGCTATGTCAGCCTGTATACTCATTCTTGCACGTCTTCTTACATGTGACCGAACAGATGTCCGACAATCGTGTCCTGGTATCGCAGAGCTAGATCACCATACCTCAGATCTAATCACTGATTAGCATCATACCTCAGGTTAAGAATCATAGACTCACAGCAATTGTCATAGTAATGACCCATATGAGGCGGTACATGCCCCGTCATCCAAACTTGCATACCCCTCTGCCGGAAGTTGCTCAGTTGTACTTCCAGCCAATCCATCTCCAGCGCTCCGGGGTCGTTCGAATGGTCGCCGCAGCCGTCTACCACTAATGTGACTATCAGCGGGTACAATTGTAACATGGGAGATGGCGTACGAGTGTTGGAATCATACCAGAACAGAGTATTCAAGGAAATGACGGCGAGCTTGTCAGGGATGACTTCGGAGGAAAAGTATGCTCCTCGCTCAAAGACATGGGAGGCCTCGGGTGGGATAAACCTCTTCCATATTCTAACGTTTGTTAGCTTGGGCCATATCGTTGCCAAGCCGCACTCACGATAAGAACTCTGATGTGATACGACTAGGACCGGCAGAGAGCACATTGTGAGGGTAGATATCGTTGTTACCGATACTTGGCACTATGGGCATGTCTTTCCCGAAAGTGTCGAGCATCTTACCGACTATCATGTGATTGAGATTGAATATCTCGTTCGGCGTACGAGGTCGATTTCGATCAATATCGTGTCTGAAAAGAGTGAGCTGTGTTATTCGAAGGGTGAAGACACATACCTCGCGTTATCTCCTGTCCATACTACGAAGTCAATCTCGTCTGCCCATTCCTTCTTGAGCCAGTCGAATGTGACATTGACGAGAGATAGTGGACAATCACAGACACTACATCCAGATCAGCATACCGCTTCACCTGTAGATCCCCCACTTACGAATTGGCAGTCCCATATTTGCCGGCAAGGTCCTCCTTATCGACGATCGATACGTCGTAGTCTTGTTCTTCTTGCTCCTCCACCTCCTTGCCCTTGCCCTTCTTGCCTTTCTTCTTCTTCTTCTTCTCTCTTTGATGACATCCAGAAGCTACTGTTGCTTTGAATTGATAGTGTGGATCAGGATGTATGTCGGTGATGTGTAGAAATCGTCCTTTCAAAGCTAAAGCGCGAACGTGGTATCAGCAAGGGCTGCTCGTGGTGCTCAGGATGATCACTCAGACTCACATCGCTTCTTCATAGCCTTGTCCTGGACTGCCCCCTGAAGTGAAGACTCTTTTGCCCCGAGCGGTTTCTGCTCCAGAGACGGGGCAGCCTCCGCATGGAGGGCGGAGAGGGTGAGGGCCAAGAGGCCGGCGAGGAGAGTGGATCTCATGGTGGTGACTCGCCGTCGCTCATGCAGAAAGGGGTAATAACAGAGGTGGCCGTGTGAACTGCTCTCGCCGCCGTGTTGAGTGATATCTACGTTTCCCGGTCAATACACTCGCCAGCCACGAACGTGCAACCCAGCGCAGATCCAGAAACTCAGATCGCGCCGTCATACTCCTACTAAGGCACAGTGTGTACTCGTACATTACATAAGCAGATCGGCATTCATCTCAGTAACGAATCCAGCAGATCAGATCAAGATCAGATTCAGATCATAGGTACCTGTACAAGTCTCGAGTATGGACGCCTGTACGATCCACCATACCGCTCATGCACTTTGGAGCAATCATACATGGCCAGATGGGGCTGTTACACAACCACATCTCCGCTCTTCCCGACCTTCTCCTTGCTACTCTTCTTCTTCTCACCCTTGTCCTTCTTCTTCCTCTTCACCTTGACTACCTGTACCGCTGGAGTGCTGATGGCAGGCTCGACCACCTTTTCTTCTATCACATCGTGACCCATCCCATTCCCATTCACCAGGCTCCTTGTTCTTTCCTTCTCTTCTTCTTCCTCGTCCAGCCTGTACTCTTCAAATCCACTGCTGCCTCTGGAAAGAGGGTTGTTGGACGACGAAGCAGAAAGATCAACAGCAGCAAGGCCCGAGGAAGAGTTGGCGCGCGACGTCGAGGCAGATGGTCGGGTGGGAGGAGTCAGAGCGCTGCCCTCGGGAAGTTCACCGGTACGGTCAATCTCGGGTGCGACCTTCTTCTTCAGCTTCGTCTTGGCTTTTCCTTTGGACGTGAAATGTGACGGTTCGGCTAACAATCTTCAGTCATGGGCACGGTTGATTACAAGTAGAAACTTACCTGGGAGCTCTGGGTCATCGAGTTTGACTATGGGGATATTGTCCACCTCGGCATCTTCTTTGTCGTACAGGTAGTATGGATCATCCTTGTGCTTTGCTCTCCTTGCCGCTTTCCGCTACAAACCAGTCAGCTTGTGTCGAGATATTGATCACATACACTCACTCTCTCTTTCTCGGCCTTATCCTCTTCACCCTCACCCTTCTTCCCCTTCTTCTTCTTCTTTCCTTCTCTCAAAACCCTTCTCAGCTCTTCCATACCTTCACCGCCTCCTTCTCCAAGATCCAACGCCCCAACTTGCTTCTCCCTTTCTCTCTCCTCATCACTTTCCTCACCGTCCTGCAGATCATCCGGCCAACCACCACCCGGGACGATATCCACATCTAGATAGAGCCCTTCCGGGACAGAGATCGACTCTTGCGCATGCGAAGCCACAGCATTGAGCGGATAAGCCGTCGACAGAGGTGGGAATATGTACAGTGATTTTGGATACACTGGCTCATTCGCCTCCTTCTCCGCCTTGCCCTCCGTCTCAAAGCCTCCTTCTATCTCTGGGATGTCCATATCCCTCCTCACCGTCTCTTTCGGAGGCACATGATGCTTCAAGTCGGCCCGGACGAACCCAAGAAGGCCTTTCGCTTCTCCAGCTCGTTCGAGTACTTCCATATCGCCCTTGCCTTGCGCCACGACTTCTTGAAGCCCCTTTTCGATACTGCCGACGAGAGCTTTGGTCTCTTCAAACTTGTCTTGCGACCAGGCGGATGCGCTGGACATGCAATAGAAGCCAAAGATTTTGGCAACCGATTGAATAGCGGGTGCCGTCAATTCCGGGGAAGAGAAGGGTGAGAGCAGGTTGGATATCGTAGAAAGAGGGGATACCAGAGCGTCGGGGTATTCGCCGCATACGAATATAGCAGCATCCACCAAACCCGCTGCGCTCTCCCCATCATCCCCAATCCTTTCTCTAAACTCATCATCCGCCAAAACCTTTTCCAGCACACTAACCGCATACCCCCTCGCACTCTTGACCCTCCCCACAATGTCCAAAATCAGCTTTTTCACCTCTGACCCCACATCCACGCGGGAAACGTAAGAGACGTCTATCAGGACGCTGATGACCCATTCAAAGTCTGTGACGTAGGCGTAAGTGTCGTATGAGAGGATGTGGAGGAGACGGGTGGTGAGGAGGAGGCGGTAGGCTGGGGAGAGGGATGGGGTTGGGGTGGGGGTGGGGGCGGAGGAAGAGGCGATGGCGGCTAGGGAGGCTGCTGCTGAGGGAAGGGCTGGGGCTTGGGGGGCGAGATGGGAGAGCAGGGCATCGGCGACTGTTTGTAGATTGTCTGAATCCACCTGTCTCTTGGGTCAGCTTGGGCCTCGGCATTCAAAGGCGACCCTTACCATATTTGTGACCAGCTCGAGAGCACGCATCCGTATTGACACGTCGGGGTCGTCCAGACTCTGGAGGATCTCTTCCTGGTATTCCGCGACCATTTGGGGGTGTGTTGGGATGATCTTGACCATTGCCAAGAGCGCAATGTATCTCACTACGTCTGGTCAGCTTTGTCCACTCGTGTCATAGAGGAAGACTTGCGATTTTGGTCTCCACCCTCGTCTCGTAGATACCCTCCCAGTTTCTCCACACAGACCCTAGCCAGCGCATCCGCCTCTGCCCTATCAGGATCCAACATACCCCCGACAATGCACGTCCTGACACACTCATACAATAATGAGATCGCGGAAGTGTTTGATATGAGAGAAGTAATGGGCGGCAGCAGCTTCCGTACTAGTCGAGGTTCCAAAGGCGTCAGAATAGCAAACAGCTTGACCACCTTGATGAGCATCCAATTGTTGCTGCTCCCCGTCAAGATCCCAAACAGCTCGGGCGCGAGGGGCAGATAGTTCTTGCCCCCTTGCCGTCTGGCAAGCTCCATGACGACTCCGACTGTAGCACCAACCACACCCTGATCCGAGTCTTGCAGCTTCTCTCTTAGCCTTGGGAATCCCTCCCGGAGACCTTCGGGGTATGCTTCCCAGCAAGGCAGGAGGCATAGGACGGCGCGCTTTCTGATCCGCGGCGATGAGTGGGTAAGTAGATGGAGGAGATCGGGATTGAGAGAGGTGGATAGTGATGGGGAAAGAGATAAGAGGTGGGGCAAGGCTGTCAGGGGTAAGGGTGGTAAGGAAGCGTGGGGGGATAGAAGGTCCTGTAGACGTTGTGAGCAGGCTGCGAGATCGCCAAATCGAGATGCGATACCTTCTTGATACCATTTACCGTCAGAACAACCTCTTCCGTGTCACCTGAGAAAACCATAGGAGCGGCAAGATATCCAATTTCTGTAGCCAGGGTCAGTTCCACCCATCAAGGTCAGGAGCTGGCGCACGCTTCAAGTGATATCTCGGCGAGCTCATGACTTCGACGACATGGAAAGCAAAGCCAGCAGGCGGCGGTATCGGATAGAGCATCAAAAGCTAGTCATGTCAGCGATACTCCAAGTCATACTCTGGACCTACATAGCACATCTTGATGACACCCTCTGCCTTGAGGGCCATGTCCTTGCCCTTGAGCTCGTCGCGGATCTCTGCCATGGCCTCTGTGATGAAGGCATCTTCCTGGGCCTTGGGTGCGCTCTTGTGTGCCCTGAGCCCCCTGATGAGGTCCTGCAGCGTCCGCTCGAACATCGCTGGTATTGCATGCATAGTCAATGCATACCGAGCATCGATTCGCCCTTGTCACTGGGAGGTGGAGGGAGAAATTACATAAGCATCTCCCACTTCTTGCTCAAGAGCTCGAGGGTGTCATACATTGTCTGCATCCATAAAGCACGACTACTAGCACTATCAGCCGACAAGATGGAGGTAGAAAGAATCGTGAGGACGCATGTGTCTACAGACGATCTCACACCCCCCCAAGAGCTCGTACAGGGTGCGCTCCATCTTCTATCCTTTGCTCAGCGCTCATTGCTCGGCTATCCGCAGCTATCAACAACGGCCAGACTCAACTACTCCAGATCGTTAAAGCTTTGGGGGAGTATCTGACATCTACAGAGGATGACACTCGACTGAAAGGTACGCTCAATCCCCCATTCAATACCAGCGCTCATGGGTTACAGGTCTCACTTTCTTATCGAATCTGTTGGGCGTGGTCAATCCCGGGAAGATCAACCGACAAGCCAGTTAGTATACCTCCTTTAGAAATGCGCAGTACTCACAGATTTCTAGCAACCGTCTTGACCAGCTTCTATCTGTCAAAGCTGGATGACTTTGATTCATTGCCGCCTGCACTCAGCGGATTGACAGTGCTTTCAAAGCTTTCGACTTTCGATGGCAGTGCGGCCGTAGATGTCTACAAAGGGTACGATCCACATCTCAGTCAAGAATATATGCTTACGGGGCTGCAGAATTGTCGAAAATGTAAACCTCAAGGCGTATGTGCAAGCCACAAGGCATATGGTATACGTACTTTTGGACAGTCTGATAGGACTGCACCGCGAAGGTAGGCTCATTTTAAACTATCAAGATACGACTGATCTCACACTGCTCAGAGTTCAAGAAGATGGGAACCGCATTCATAAACAGTTATACAAAGACAGTGGACGGCGAAAAGGATCCCCGCAATCTCATGCTCCTCTTCTCCATCGACCGAGTGATCCTTTTGGAATTCGACGTGCGCGACCATATCGAAGACTTTTTCGACGTCACATTCTGCTACTTTCCCATCACTTTCCGACCACCTCCTAATGATCCATATGGTATCACGGCAGACGACCTGAAGGTTGCGCTTAGAGGTTGCTTGGCCGCCAGTCCGTATTTTGCCAAAATGGCGCTTCCGCTGTTTTTGGAAAAGTTTGCTACTGCTACGGGGGCTACTATGGTCGGTCTCGTCCCTGTCCCACATGAACACGCTGATGCTGTAAGCAGAAAGATCTCCTGCAATCAATGGCTGCCTGTTTCCCAACATACGGTGCTGAAGCTGTCGGTGAACGCGGTAAGGAGCTCTGGGAAGGCATCAAAACCGAAATCTTGTATTCTTCCGATGCTTCCATCGAAGCTGCTTCTCTGTCGGCGCTGGAATCACTCATGAGAACACTTTACCCTACATCGAGCGATGTACCCTCAGGATTGGCGCAGGACATCATCAAAGAGTGCCAGAAGATCCTGGAGGAGCCGGATAAGAGCCAGGCGATGGGTGCCACGAAGATCATTGCTGCCATCTTCCGGGGCTCGCGTAAGTCTCGTCTTGGTTTGTTTCTTGCCGTGGTCTAACGTCACGCAGCATCCGCCGGCAAATTTGCTCTCTCTCAGATCCTTCCTCAGCTCTTCCGATCTTTCAACTCTCCAAGCCTACCATCTCATCGCTCCCCTATCCTTTCATCAATATCATCTATACTCTACGCTTGCCAATCGACATACTCTTCTTCACAACGCTCTCACGCCGAGGAACAAGTACTGGAGCCGTACAGAAGCGACTTGATCGATGTGTTGAGAGAAGGCTTGAGAACTGAAGGGTTGAAATCACCTGCTATCAAGGGGTGTGTAGCCTTGGTCGGGCTGGAGGGGTATTGGAGCCGGTTAGAGGTCGAGGACGTGGTAAGGGGTATGGACGATATCCTCGTGAACGACGAGAATCCCGAAATACGGTGAGTCTGCAAGCGCTTCTCAAATCTGCCGAACCTGACCATATTGACATGCCACAGCCCCGAAGTCATCACTGCCCTCACAACAATCTCCAAATCCCACGCTGCCGTCATCGAATCCCTCACGCTCCCTCTCCTGTTCCACAATCTCCCCGAAACTGCTCCATCCGTAGACGAACGGGAGGCCCGAGAACGATATCGATCGATACTCGGGTCCTTGAGCAAGCTGTGCACCCAGCCGGCACTTTGGCAGACGATGATCATCCGCATCACCAACAAACTCGACTACCTTGCTTCTGCGCCTTTGCAGAGCAATACGGACGTCAGTATGGACGGCTCGGATGGGGAGAGTGCGAGGGAGTGCGGTATCGCTTATGCTTGGGATCTACTCAACACGCTTCTGCGAGTTATTGATACCAAAGTCAAGGAGAAGCATGTTGATGTGGGCAAGTATTACGAGGAGTTGATGCCGAGGTTGTTTGGTCTTGTGATGGGAGGGGCACAGGTGAAGGTCGGGGGAGGGAACGCGCTGTTCATGGATAGGAGATTGGTGGAGATCGTGGGCAAGATTGGAGAGAGATTGCTTTGGGACTTGAGCGCTGAGTCAGTCCACTGAAAGCCACGTTCCATGGGGGTGTCTAACGATGTGTCCTGTAGGAAACAAGAGAAGCAATTTGCTTTGATCTACTCGGCGTTCGAACGGGGTGAGATCGGTGGCATTGTCTCGGACAGCAGCAATGTCCAGAGTCTTAGCCCGCTGAGAGTAAGTTCCTTCAGACGTCCAAGAACGTCGCTGACAAGTCTCAGTTGGGAGCGAGTTCGTCTGAACAAGATCTCATATCATTATATTCCTCCCTTCTACAAGGCCTCAACCCCTCAACCTCTTTACCTTCCATCACCTCCTCGGCAGAGTATCTCGGTAGCAAGATCCATTGGACTATCAATATCGCAAAAGACATGTGGCAAGTCAGGTGGGGACTCGAGATGATCTGTGCCTATGTGAACAAGAAGGAAGGGGGTACGTGATTGTGCCAACCGTCGAATGTTTTGCTGACTTTCTGGTCAGATCTGAAAGAGACGCTTGAGGTGATACTGGAGAAGGTCTGGAATGAGGCGCAGGACACGACACGAGAGTTTGAAATTAGGCGTAGAGGTCTCCTTGTATACTTACATGTGAGTGGTCTTGTCTTTAGCGTGACCATAACTGATATTTTGGCAGATAATAAAAGCGCTTTCCCTCCTCCGCCAGCCCCTTGCCTACACGGCGCTCGAAAAAGTCATCGACGTCCTCAGCCTTTTCTCCATGGACCCTCTCTTCGTCGAAGCATCCGCTAAGGCTTTCGGCGTCCTCGCCCGAAAAGGCGACGGGCACCTCACCGGCAAGCTCCTCTACGCCCAAAAACTCTGGAACTTTGCTCTCCCCAAGCTCGTGCAATGTGACAAGGACGCGTCCGGGAGAGAACGGATCGTGTACCTTGTCGCTTTTGCGTCGCTGTTGCCCTTGGTGCCTGCTTCTCTCTGCCTCTCCGACTTGCCTACGATCCTGCCGTTGATCCAGCGGTCGTTATCCCTTGCTTCCCCTACACAGAGGACGAACGCCATCCTGACGCTCACTTCCATCCTCGAGACACCTTCATCCCCTACCACCGATTCCCTCATCCACTCATCAGCCCCGACTCTTGTCTCATCCCTGATATCTTCCTCCATCCCTCAATCTGGTGTACCAACCTCTGCAAGAGTACGAGAAGTGGCTCTGGGATGCCTGAGTGCAGTGCCAGAAGTGATTAGGTATGAGGTGCTGCACAAGGAGAAGGCGGTGGTCGTCAAGGAGCTGGGGAGGGCGGTGGACGATGCGAGTCGAGAAGTGAGAAAGGAAGCTGTAGAGTGTCGTGCAAAGTGGTATAGATACGGGCAGGCTACTTGATTAGACATATTGTATGGATACCATTTTCGCATAGAACGGGGATCGAGTATTATCGTACCGACTGCAAGCACATTAAGAGGTCTATGCATGATGATGATGATTAAGCCCAGTCACGAGGGTTTCGAAGAACTTCCGTGAGCTTTGCTTCAGGAGTGCCAGCACCCTCTCTACCAAGGTCGGTCATATACTCCCATCTCGCCGTCTCGGGCAGACTACACTCCATCAGCAATTGCACCTATGGAAAACAGAAACAACTCACCTCATCAAGATACTCTCAATCCTCGCTCCAGGTGTGTTCAAGCCAAACTTGGTACCCCTGTCATACACCAAGTTAAACTCTACATACCTGCCCCTTCTCAGCTGCTGCCATCTCCTCTCCTCGGCGGTCCATGGCTTGTCCTTGTTCTTGTACACTAGAGGCACATAGGCAGGGAGGAAAGCGCCAGAGGCAGACTTGACGAATTCAAATATCTGGTCGGGAGAAGGTGGAGGGGTAGCAGGGTCGACAGGGGCATGGAGGGGAGTCGAGGTTGTGAGGTCGTCAAAGAAGATACCGCCAACACCTCGGGTTTCGCCACGGTGGGTGATGAGGAAGTAATCGTCGCACCACTTTTTGAATCTGGGCCAGTACCTCGCGTCGTGCTTGTTACAAGCATCCTTCAAAGTCTGATGCCAGTGCACCGCATCCGCCTCGTCCAAATACGAAGGCGTCAAGTCTGCTCCACCACCGAACCACCATGCCTTTGGCTTGCCGGTAGCAGGGTCGTCAATCTCAAAGTAACGATAATTTAGATGGGTGGTGGGGGCGTGGGGGTTTCGAGGGTGGATGACGATGGAGAGACCGGTGGCGAAGAATGGGACGGTGTCGGTGGGTTCGGGCAAGCTGGGATGATCGGGCAGCATTGCTTTTTGGGCTCGGGGAGGCAGCATGCCATGGACGACCGAGACGTTGATGCCGGCCTTTTCGAATACTCTGCCACCGGCCAAGACACAAGACGAGCCTTCTCCGCCTTCCTTACGGAGCCAGGTATCTCGCAAGAATTTGGGCGGTTCGGCAGAGGGGGCAAACTCGTTGGGGGCAGAGGAAGCCTCGATCTCTTCCATGGTGTTGACGATGTGGTTTTGGAGGTTCTTGACCCAAGTGGCCATACGGATGCGCATGGGGTTCTGGGACAGTCAGCAAAGTACGAATAGATATAGCATGACTCACGGAAGGGTCGTCTTGCTCTATGCAGTCTACAGGGGCCCACGGGTGGCCATGAGTGTCGATGGCTTCGACAGCAGGTGCACCATCACATCTGGCGACGTTCTGATTTCAATCAGCTCTGTTCGCGCAGCATGTATGCGACTCACAGTACCACGGTATCCTTTGGTGAGTTCGATACCGAGACCGACAGCGAATCCAGTGGCACCGAGAGCGATCAAGGCCTTTGCCTTGCTAGGAGACGCCGGGTCTTCAGGAGCAGAAGAGTATGCGCGGGTGAATGAACGTGTTTTTGGGATGTTTCTCGTCGCTGTGGACGACAGGATGCGTATTGAGGATGCTCTTGAGGCCATGTTGAGTGATATTGTCGAACGAGAAATGATCTGATTGATTCAACTGACTTTATAGGAGAGAACGCCCGAAGCGAATGCCGCGCCGAGAACCGGTACTGTCCGAGATTACGTACAGAGTCTCCGGTGGAGGCATGGATGCATGAGGGGTATTTCGAGTTGATTTCGAGGCAATTTCGAGGGGTGCATCGGAACATCAGAACAGCGCACAGCAGGGGCACAGCAGGGGAGCACATCGCCATGCTCACAGCCGCCATACGGGTCATCGCCCGCTCAGCCGCCATCCAGCTCGAAGAAGCAGCCCTCGCCGCATCGCGCACCCCGGCAGCTCTCGCGAAAGACCTCTCCGACCACTCGGAACGACATGGACCATCGTTTCCACAAACACAAACCCTCTCCGAGAGGCTTGACAACACCAAAAAGCCGTCCAATCAATATACGACTGTTCATAACAAGGTCACCCCATTGGACCAGCTTATATCGAATGCGCCGCGGACATTACCACCTGTTGCACCGAATACGCATCCAGCAGACAAGGGTCATGGTATACCGTCGCCTCTTATGATCAAGACGGCTGGTAGGGGAGACTTTGTAAAGACGAAACCAAAGTCTGAGAGCTCGCCCCCGTCTCACACGGCTAAGAAGGGGCCGTCATCGATCGATGCAATGATAGCGTCCGCGACAAGAACACCTCCGCCCCCTCGTGCTGAAGTTGCTTCTGAAACACCTGCTGTCAGCCAGCCAAAGGCTGAACATGTGGACCAGCCTTCACCGAGCAAGTCGGGCGTCTCAGATACACCCACTCCCTCCTCACTGCCAACGTCCACTACGACGTCTCTGAAACCCGAGCCAGAGTCCGCCAACACACCTCCTCCCCAGCCCATACCTCCTATCGTCGAACAACTCGAATCATCCCCCATCCCCCCTCCCATCCCAGAAGCCTTGACAGAAGAAGAAGAAGCTTCCCCAGTCCTCCGCGCTTCCAAGGTACCTTCCTCACGTATCGGTCGTCTGTTTCACTACGGCTCTCTCGCCGCCTCTCTATCCTGGGGAGCCGCTTCAGAGTCTGTACGCCGGACGACAGGAGGCGGTGGAGCAGGGAGTGTGTTTATGAGCGATGCGAATGTGAGGCGGTTGGTGTCTACCTTGGGAAGGATGCGAGGAGCGGCGCTCAAGTTGGGGCAATTCATGTCTATCCAAGGTCCGTTTTCCGTCCGTGACCCTTCCGTGCTAACGTTCCTCTTAGACAACCACATGCTCCCACCAGAAATCGAAAAAGTACTCCAACAAGTCCAAGCTCACGCCAATTACATGCCCGATTGGCAGATGGACAAGGTCCTGCGCGAAGAGCTCGGCGCGGACTGGCAAAACATTTTCGCCTCTTTCGACCGTACCCCCGTCGCTTCCGCCTCCATTGGACAGGTGCACCGGGCAACTATGCCCGATGGGCGAGATGTGGCGGTCAAGATTCAATTCCCTGGTGTCGCTTCTTCGATCGAATCAGACTTGAACAATCTGTCGCTTTTGCTCCGTACGTCGGCGCTCTTACCGCCGGGGCTGTATTTGCAAAATACCATCGCGGTGACGAGGCGAGAGTTGGAGGATGAGTGTGATTATATCAAGGAGGCAGCTGCTGGGCGGAAATTCAGCGAGCTGTTGAAGAACGACGAGTTCTTCCAGGTGCCGACGATCGTGGAAGAAGGTACAACGGGTAAAGTCTTGACGACCGAGTGGATGAATGGTAGACCACTGAGCAAGGTCAAGAGCCTGCCCCAAGAGACTCGTGATCTGGTACGCAACCCCATTTGCATCTCACGAACCAAGCTGACATGAAAACAGATCGGCACCAACATCCTCCGCCTCTGCCTCCGCGAACTCTTCCAATTCCGATTCATGCAAACCGACCCCAACTGGGGCAACTTTCTCTACAACTCCAACCCTCATCCTCAAATCCAGCTCATCGACTTTGGCGCTTCGAGAGAATACACGAAAGAGTTTATGGATGGGTGGTATAGGTTGTTGAAGAGTGCGTTGGAAGGGGATAGGGAGAATATGAGGGTGGAGAGTTTGAATTTGGGATATTTGACTGGGGAAGAGAATGACGTTCGTCCTCTCCCATGAACCCGTTGATTTTACTAACGTAAACGCAGGTCATGTTGAACGCTCATATCGACTCCATGGCCCTCGTCGCTTCACCATTCGCGCACGACGGCCCATACCCCTTTGCCAAACAAACCATCACCGAGGCCATCCGCGGATTGATCCCCGTCATGCTCAAACACCGCCTTACACCCCCGCCGAGCGAGACGTATTCGTTGAATAGAAAGTTGAGTGGAGCATTCTTGCTGTGCGCAAAGATGGAGGCGAATGTGGATTGTAAAAAGCTTTGGGAGGAGGAAGTTGGTGGTTATAAGGAAGGGTAGAAAATTGCATAGTACATCAATCATCACATGCATACATCAGACAACATGGAAGGCGAGTTAGACAGGACATTACTCGAGTATTGTTAATGTTACAAGTATCAGACCCGCTCGACAACTCGCGGGCAAGTTTTTAGACTGATTACAAAATGCAAATTATTTGTACGTATACCGCCGATAGCAGCAGGAAAGTACATGAAGTGAGTCTGGCGGAAACAGCAACAGTAAAGGCAACAGAGGTCGGCAGACGGGCTAGAAGGATGCATATAGTACAACAGACAAAGCCAGAGGCGACTACTTCCTGGATTTCTTGCTGGGGCCGGAGGAAGATTCTACAGGAGGCTCATGAGGGAAGGCGTCGGTGGACAACGGTGGCGCGCTGCGGGGAAGAGGAGGGAGTGACATGTTTGACGGCAGGAACGCGTACCATATAAGTTGTGCCGGTCACTTCGAAGGAGCGACTGTTTTCGTCGGCGTCGCGGACTATCCCCACGCACTAAATGTACCAGACGATTGCTGGAAGGAGGGTCTTGTACATGGGATCTTCAATAAGGTCAGAAAGACACGGGTTTCTGCGTGGCTGTAGAGAGCGAGGAGGGCAGCGGCGCACCCCGCCCAGTTTGATTCCGCTCCTGTGCCTCCACTTTGGCGCTGGAATTTTGCTGTTTTGAGCGTCATGAAGAGAGAGCTATCTATAACAGACCAGAGCAGCACAGAGACCACAGCGAGCTCATCGTATCCACCACCAGCCTATACGCCATATCTCGGAAATCAGCCACCGATTGTCTGCCACGACCCATTTCTCCGACCTCCTAGGATTTCTCAGCAGCCAATATGGTACACCTTGTGATTCTCGCTACATCGTAATACTGATCTGGTTTGCAGCTCCGACGTCAAACCAGAGAACGCAGGGAGTACATCTTCAAGAAATCGCAAGAGTCCCAAGAGCGAGCCATCTATGAGAGGAAGCAGAAAATCAAGGATCTGCTGGCGCAGGGAAAGAGTCTGCCGACGGAATTGAGGAATGAAGTGAGAGAGTTGGGCGGAAAGGAGCTCGTTTTGGATGAAGCGCAGCAAGGTGGGTTGCAGTTCCTCAGGTGTGGAATTAGAGCTGATATGAGGCAGATCCGAGCGCGCTCATCGACGATGAGTATGCCAAAGTCGGCACCTACGACCCGAAAATCGTTGTCACCACCTCTCGTTCCCCTTCGTCCCGTCTCCTCCAGTTCTCCAAAGAACTTCGTCTTGTCTTCCCCAACTCCTACCGCCTCAATCGAGGAAATACAGTCATCAAAGACCTCGTCGGCGCTTGCAACTCTCAAGGTGTGACGGATCTGGTCTTGATCCACGAGCACCGAGGTGTGCCCGACGCCATGATTGTCTCCCACCTACCACATGGCCCGACAATATCGATGACGCTGCATAACGTCACGCTCAGGCATGATGTGAGCAGCAACTCGAGCACGGTGTCGGAGCAGTACCCTCAGTTGATCTTTGATGGGTTCTCGACAAAGTTGGGCGAGAGGGTCACGCAGATCTTGAAGGCGTTGTTCCCGGTGCCCAAGGAGGATGCCAAGAGGGTTATGACTTTCGTCAATGACAGTGACTTTATTTCTTTCAGGTGAGGAGGTCGTTCGTTTGAGTGTACAAAGCTGACATGGCCCAGACACCACGTCTTTGCCAAATCATCTCACAAGGATGTTCAGCTCGCCGAGGTCGGTCCCAGATTCGAGGCCAAGCGTGAGTACACCTGCTATATACCCGTGACCAAAACTAATGTGCGCTAGCCTACGAGATTCGTCAAGGCACTATCGACCAAACGTCCGCGGATGTCGAATGGCGTCTTCGTCCTTATCTCCATACCGCCAAGAAGCGCAACCAATTCTAGAAGTTGTGTACGAGACACCTGTTGTACAATGCATATACAGTATATTATACGGATACCATATCTTACAACGGGGCGATACACGATTTGGATCTGTCAACTCTCTGGAATCTTCAGCTCAACCGACACAGAATAAAAGACACAAACTCACTCAGATGGTCTGAGGCCTCCATTGCGTCTTCCAGTTCTGCCAGGCATGATCAAACGTCTTGAGCAGTCTCGCCCCACACACCCGGCAGTCGACATGCTCATTGATGGCCCGCTTCATCAGCGTTTCCACTCCCTCGTCCCTCTTTGCGTTTTCCGTGATATCCCTCATCGTCTCACCTGCATCCGCCCTAAAGTTCTTCCATCGCAAATCGGGCGCCAGGTGCTCGTACCTAACGTATGAATTACATCCACCATTCTGTTTACACTTCCTTCCAAAGTCTGCTGTGCCATCCGACATGGGCGTCGCCCGTATCATGGCCAACGTCAACCCCGGCAGGCTCTTTCTCTTGCGTTTGTGCAGCGACCGTATGCGCATAAGAAAGTTCGGTGCCTGCTTGTACAGTATCGACACCACCTCTGGTGGCATATCCTCGATATGATATGGCAGCGTCTGCGTACTCGCCGTCTTCGCGAGTGCCTCGTTCTCTGACAGGGCTGCCATCAGGTATTGGTGCCAAGCAGTCGGCGGGAGTACGATTCGCATGTATGCGGAGAACTCGGGTATGTCGTATGCGTCTGCAAGCTTGACTGCATCGCCAAGGTGAATGTAGACCTTCTCGAGAGGCCACTGGTCGACGAATGGCTCAGAGGAGGGCTTGAAGCCGGGTAGGGGATTATGGGGAAGCGTGCTGAGTAGGGCCATGTTCTCAACCTCCGTGAGAGCGTCGAGCACGAGGTGCAAACCAAGAGAAGTAGCGTTTGGTACCTCTCTCGTCTCACACTCGAACTTGTCGGCGTCTGGCTTCTCTCCTTCGCTCTGCGGGAAGCTTTCGAAATCGGCAAAGAACCCAGAATAGCGGGTGAGGAAAGCGAGGGAGACGTAGAAGCCAACGTTGTCGGAGGTGAGGAGTAGAATATCGTCGAGGGATTCGTGTACATAGCCCGGGTGGATGACGCGAGGGGTGGGCTGGGGGTTTGACGCTACGGGCTCTGAAGCGGGTCAGTCGGCGTCCGAGGGCGCAGGCCTGAGGACTTACTAGGAAGGGCATTGTTGATGATACTATGGGATTTTCTCACGAAGACGGGGGCGTTTGGGGAGAGCGGCATCGCGAGTGCAGGCTTGGGAGATGCAAGTCCGTCGTGCAGTGGGAACGGGAACAGCGCTCGATATCAGTTACGTAAGAGATCATCATCCGTTTGTTTGGTGGTTCTTGCATCGGCGAGATGACCTCTGACACTGCTCCATTTCGGTGGGTGTAGTCCAGTTGGAGCATCAGTATAGCTACATACTTATACTATGCATGAGTACATATTGAGTCTGAAGACACAGCGTCCTGCAATCACATTTCGACATAAAACAGCAAAGCGGCTGAGGATACGATCCGGGCCCAGACAAAGCTGCAGTCGGCGTGGCCCTCAAGTATGAGCTTGGCATTGCAAACCCTCGGGATTCCCAGACGTGGATTTGTCTCTCTGGAAGGCCGAGTAAGTGTACCAGATGAAATGCCAAAAAAGAGCAAAAAATGAAGCCTGCAGGGATCGAACCTACGACAACACGATAATCCTACGAATCTTTGAAATATCAAAGCCAAGTTGGAATCGTGGACTCTACCACTGAGCTAAGGCTCCATATGGTATTTGCTTTGGTAGTATTATTATGTCCAGTTATCAATGCTATATACAAGATCCGCCGGCTCTGCCTCCACCCGCAAAGCTTCAATTTGGCTATTCTGTCAAAGTTGTCAACAATACCACCACAACACCATGGCCGACAATTTCAAGGCCCCGGCCAACCCCAATGTGCCCCAGGACATCGCACACATCATGGAGCTCGTCGCCACAGACCAGGTCGTCGGTGCGATGCCCTCCGTCGACATGTCTGCCGCCGAGAAGCGCAAGCTCGTCGAAGAGAGCATCAAGCGGGGCAAGGTCGTCAAGCCAGAATCCGACTCTGACTCTGACTCTTCCAGTGAGTTTGAGTCGAGCAGCGAAGAAGAGTCGGATAAAGAACCCCTCACGGCCGAGAAGCACCAAGAGCTCAAAGCCGAGCTGGATGAATTTGTCAAGGATGGCGAGGTCGAGTGGGATTCTGACTCTGATGAGGGTATCAACCTTGACAAGATGGGATTCGACTTTATGGAGGATGAAGATGAGCCTGCAGGTGGGCCCATAGCTTCCATCCACGAAGCGCCTTTGCCTCCTGTCAAGCAGCCGCCGCTCATCAAACTTCCCGATGGCGAAGGCGTCAGTCTTGCGGGGGACGTCGTCAGCTGGATGAGAGAGAAGAAGGTCGAGGCGTGGCTGGAGATCAACAAGATGGAGGGAGAGGATGTTCAGGCCGCTGTGGACGCTCAAGTCAGGATTGAGAACCCAGAGGCTGCACCTGAGAGTATCCCGGCTGCTGCTTCTGAGGATACTCCTGTGACTGCTACTGAGTCTGCATCGGAAGCCCCTGAAGCTGCCCCGGTGATCGCTGAAACCGCTCCCAAGCCGGTGAAAGAGGTCAAGCAGCCCAACTTTTCTTCATCAGGAACTGTGGTCGTTCGCGCCATGCAATCGCGGCCTGGAGATCATGACGAGGGATGGCTGGAAGAAGGCAGTATCTTGTGCTGGGAAGATGGTAGAGTCTTGGGTACTGTGAGTTGTCTATGGTTGTGTCGCTCTCTGCTGACCCTTCCCAGGTCCACGAGACTTTCGGTCCCCTCACCTCACCCTTCTACACTGTTCGTCTACCCCCACCTCCATTCCCTTACCCCTCGCCCGAATCCCTCGTCCCCGGATCCCGACTATTCTACCCGCTCAACAACTCTTACCGCTCCTTCGTCAACATGATCGCTGTCAGAGATCCCCGTTTCAAGGGCACGGACGCATCCAATCTATATGATGAAGAGGTGGGCGACGACGAGGTAGAGTGGTCCGACGACGAAGCCGAAGCTGCCGCCAAGCGGGAAAAGAAGAACAAGAAGGGAAAGAAGGGAAAGAAGGGAGGCAGCATTGCTGGAACGCCACGGGCGTTGATCGCCGGCCTTCCTGCGCGACCGCACTTTGACTATCAACCAGATGACGCTTCCGGCGCTGGAAGCATGTACGGCGGGGACGACGAGCGGTGGGAGATGGGATCGGATGCGGGGTCGACGGTCAGTAGGGGCCGTCCTGCGCCGATGCCTTATGATCTTGATGAGCCGAATGGAAGTGCTGAGCGGGGTGGAAGCAGAGGCAGAGGAAGAGGACAGGGGAGAGAGCGTGGGAGAGGCAGGGGTAGGGGTGGATATGGTGGACAATCCACTGCCCCCCTGCAACAGCAGCAGAGTCCTGTGGACTTCCAATACCAACAACAACCCTTCCAACCTTATCCCAACCAGTGGCAGCAGCCCTTCATGCCAGGCATGCCCATGCCCGGCTTCGGCTTCCAGCCCGGATTCCCGCAGATGATGGGCTTCCAACAACCTCCCCAGACTCCCCAACACGGCGGGTACACGCCTAATCAACCTTCGGGTGTTATGCCAGCGTTTGGGCAGCAGCAACCCCAGCAGCAAGCTCAGCAGCAGCAGCAGCCACAGGGGGTCGCGATCAACCCTAGGTTTGCCGCACAATATCAGGCGATGATGGGGATGGGGCAGAGTATGCAGGGTGGTATGGGGCAAGGTGCAGAGCAGGGCGGCCAGAATGGAGCGTATGGGCAGGGCCAGTACGGGTACGGGCAATACCAACAACAGTAACATGTAACTTTATGCATTATCTATGTCATAAATCGTCTTCATTATAAACATACGCCTTCTAGTCCAAAGTTGAACGGTTGAGAATGGTCCGAATCTCCCGGTGCTTCTGAAGCCACGTCGAGAAATCGCTCTTTTCCAGCGGGATACCTTCGGCCTTCATCTCGAGCAAGAAGTTGGCGAGCACGATCAACGCGCCGTCTGTCTAAAGTCAGTGTGGTTCTTCACTGCCCGGACCATGCTCACATCTGTACAGATAGTTGATCGTCCTTGTGAGTTGCGCTTTGTGTTTGGCAGTTCCAGGTTCCGCCGCGTCTACTTGGAGTTTGAAGCTGTGTTCTGTCAGCACAGGTCAACTGTGTAGGAGACGACTGACTCGTAGATGGCCTTTCTCAAGTTCTGCACGCCTTGCATGAGATCGATAGCGCGATCGGTGACACGCTTCGCCTCCTTGCCCCGGCTCATCACTGTAACCAGCTGCAAAATGGTCTTGTACTCGCCATTCTGATACTGAGTGGCTTCGGGAACAGCTTCATCCTCCTCCTCCTCGTCCTCATCATCCGTGTGCAGGCCGTGGTCAAAGGGAGCTTCGTCGACCGCAATGGTAGCTATCAGTGAAGCGACAGCCATACCCGTCGTGGTTCTTCCGCGACCCATTTGACAGTTGAAGACAAAGTCGGTGTTCTCTCGCAGACCACTAGTAAGACGGTTGACCATCACTTGGAGCGTCACAGGCAGAGGGGCTTGTTCGTCTGTCTGTTGAAAGTTAGTAAGGTCAATCAGCTGTGCCAGCACTCACAATAGCAACACGCATATAGTCCACCTTGTAGCCTTCCCTAATCACACTTTCATACAACTCCTTCGGCGTCATCACATCCTCTTCTTTCACCGTCTCCCAGATCGGAATGATTTCGTAAACACCGGGCTTCGACTCAACTTCGTCGTGAAGTAAAAGTCGGCCGTCAGATTGGGCGCGTAGTTCGTTGATAACATCCTTCTTCATGGCCTCCTCCATGCGTTCAACGACGGCAGCAGTGACACCAGTAGTTCTACTCCAGTCAGCACACGCTTGATAAGCTATTTATAGACTTACTCGACATTGGTGAGAGGCTTATCGACGAGACGCAGAACGTGAGGCCGAGAGTTGACGTACTGTGAACTGTTAGATGGATTGCATGACCATATGGGCGACTCACGAGGACTGGCTCCTCTCGTAACGACGTCCATTTGACTGCTCGGCTACCATTGGGACCAGCGTCCATTCTGTTTAGAGCATTTCGCAATCCTTCAGCAGAAGGCATTCTACAAAAGATCAGTATTGTTCGACAAGACGGCGAGTAGCTTACCCGGTACCATACACAAACTTCTTGTGCTCTTCATCGTCTGGTTCCACAGAGCTGTCGCAAATCAGAGGCAGCTTGCGGTAGTTGGCAGCCCCATCCACTCTGTCTGGCAGACTTTGCTTTTGCAGCCCAGAGAAAAAATCGGACTTGAGGATTGTCTGTGCCGATAAAATGACGCCCGCACGGTTGACTACGACCTGAGTCACCTCATCCGGCAGCGCCATCCCATCCGCAGGGTCCATCTTTTCTAATGGCGCCAAACTCTCGATGCCGCCTTCTTCAAGCTCTTTTTCAAGCGTCTTGAAGACTGGTCGATGCTTGATGAACGACTCGAATGAATAGTATTCTTCCTGCTCCGGTGCTCGGTCGTCGAGGTAGGCAGCAAAGAGCAAGAGGTGGTAGTATCGCTTGAGGTGGTAAAGACCGATGGAAGTAAGCTTACGCTTCTTTTCCGATTCAGTGGCCTCTGAGGCCTCGACATAGATATCTTCAATAGTCTGGCGAAGGTTGAACTGAGCGGCAGTCGCATCGATAGCCTCGTCAACGACCTGCTTGACATGCAGCCCGTTCCGAATGACTCTCAAGCAGCTGTTGATTACTTGCCAGCTCGTCTTTGGCGACTGGTCGACAGTGGTGTTCTTCCTCGATGCCTGAGGTCTGCTTCTCGAGGGCGTTCGATGGGATTGGCTTCGGCCACCCTTGAGCCAGCGCTGGATTAGAAGGACAATCACAGATGTCGTGGACGATCGGCCTCGACCGAGTTGATCGTTGAGAATGATAGCCGTGCTGGACAGATCGATTCTCATACAAAGTTCGACGAGTTCGGTAATGTCGTGGAACTGAAATGTCAGCCGGGTTCAGTTCCATATAGACTTACATCAGGCGAAGATTCCGAGGTGATAGGAATTCGGACAAAGTTCAGCTGGACCTCTTTGGAGGCATGGGCAGCTTCATCCATAACTTCCCTGAGTGACGTAACATCTTGTTTGTCGACGCTCTCCCAGACTGGCACCACCTGTCCATCCGCGGTCTCGGTGTGCAACAGCACTCGGCCTTGGAATTGGTCGATTTCGGCAATGACATCTGATTTAAGGCGCTGTTCGAGCATCTCGAGCCGGGTGGATGAAACCCCCGAGTAGTCGCGCATGTTTCGCAGCGCTGTACTGCCTCGGCGAAGACAGTATGGTGATCCTACGTGGGTCAGTACATTGCACAATCAAATATGTACTCACCATTGACCATGACCAGCGGTTCTTCTCTCAGACACACCCAGACCACGCTCTCAATCGTCGGCCACTGCTCGCGCACATTCTGGAGGATAGTCCAAACAGCGTCCTGCGTAGGCTGTCCTGTCGCATAAATCATAGACCCCTTAATCTGTCTAAACCCAATAGCACCCCTTACGCCCTCATTCGAGCTCGCACTCTCTGTCAACCACAAATCTGACTTCAGCAGAGTGCTAGCCCGCAGCATGATACCATTTCGATTGGTGACGACGTGCTCGGCCCATTCGTCGCCGAGTACCTTGCCGCCTTGGAGGTCGACTTCGCGGTGGGTAGGGAGATGGTCGTCATTCTCGGAGGAACGGGAGATGACGGAGAGGTCATTGGCGGGGGCAAAGGCGAAGAGACGATTACCGCCGTTACGTCGAAGGACCTTGATTTGACTGAGAGAGGTCAGTACAGCCGATAGAGACTCTCGTAGCACTTACTGCCAGATCTCGGGACGGCTCTTCAGAAAGTCGGAGAATGTCACACCAGTGTCTCCAGCATCCTCTTCGTCGACATACGACGCAAAGACGATCAAGTCAAAGTATTGCTCGAGCTATGTCATATCAGCTTGGGCTCTCACGGTGTGGGTCTGGCTTACCGATCGGAGCGCCTTCTCCAGATACACCTGCCTCTTCTTGTCATCCATGGAAGCCACGCTATACTTGATACGCTGCTCGATAACATTCTCCCTAAGGTTGATGACCGCGTCGCAAGAGTCAATGACCGCATCCACAAGATGCTTCATTTGCTTGCCTTGATCCAGACTGGACAAGAGCGAGAGGACGATCTGGTAGCTACCCATATGGGCTTTGCAGAGTCGCTCGAGGAGGGCTGGCTGTGAAGTGAGGAGATCGATAGCTGTTGAAGGATGTTTGGACGGAAGGTCTGTGGCGGGTCAGCTCGTCCAGGCGACAGAACACTCACTTCTGTTGAGGATACGAGTCATCTTGAGCAAGCTCTTGTTGAGAGCCTGCTGCGACGCAGTCTGCATCTTTGCTTGGGCTGCTTGTGGCATCAAAGCAGCTTGGGGAGTGTTGAACCCCGAGGATGTTTCTGAAGCAAACGGATCGTCATATCCCCGCAAAAGGAGCTGCTTCCTTCGCACAAGCATAGCCGCACACATGCCAAACGTCGTCCTGACCACTCCCATACCACAGTTATACACCAAGGCAGTCGTCAAGGGGTCAGCTTCTTTGAGCACCGAGACGTAAGAGTCGAGATAATTGTGTTCGATAGGCGTGTCGGGGGCAATGGGAATTCTGTAGTAATCCACCCTCCACCCTTTCTTCTTCATGTCATCCCACACTTCCCTAGGCGTCTGGATGCTCTCTTCATCGACGCTCACCCATGTAGGGATGATTGTGCCGCCCGTAAGCTCGTCGTGGGTGAGGATCATCCCGCCGTATTTCCGAGCTTCGTCGAGAATGTCGATCTTGAGACGTCGTTCAATGTCTTCGAGGTTAGGGGCACGTTCGGAAAGTGCGAGGGTTTGATAGGGGTTGGATGCGTCTCGAAGTACATACGGTCGACCATTGCTACTTGCCCATCAGCGAATGTCCTACGCGAATGAGAGGACGCACCAGTAGACAAGAGTCTCCTCTCGAGTACTGAACCAAACAGCCTTGCCCTGCGGCTCCCTCTCATCCATAGAGTTTGATCTCTCGAAAGGCTGCCTTTGTGGAAAGTCTTCGCGCGAGAAGCGCCTGTTGTTGAGGGCTGGGGAGGCGCCTGTCACTGTTGAGCCACGTCGGTTAGGTTTACGGAGAAAAGTCGGCTGGGCGCCGAGCATAGTGAGGATTGATTTCAGACCGGCCGTGGTGGGTTGTGCCACCTGTGCATATCAGCATAATCCATTATGTGGGACGTTTTACTCACACCAAAAACATTGAGAGTCTCATCCTGGGGCGCTCGAAAGTTGGGAGCTCCTTGGATGTTTAGCTCCAGATCCATAGCACGTCCGGTCGGGAAATGGTCTGCATCATCGTCGATATCGTACATTAAGCCTTCTGTTCCTTGCATAGCATTGAGACCTTGCTGACCTGTTTTTAGAATATAGCTGGAAGGAAAGTCAGCAGGGCTTCTCTGGAATTGCAGACTCAAAGGAACGCGTGCGGCAGTGGTCGCCTCGTCGGATCGTATGCCCTCGTCTGACACAAATATCACAAGAGAACCGATTCCAACAGCAGTCCAAAAAGCAACTCACCCTCTTCCCAACACTCCCCCAGTGCGCCTCTTCACTACACCGTCTACCTCTCTTCGAAGCTTGTCTTGAAGTCCCAGCGTTCTGCCCTTCTGCCCGAGACTACCACGCAGCCCGTTGATGCCAGGTGATGACCGGTCGGGCTCCGAGACGGCGATAGAGACTTTGCGAGCATGTGGGGGCTGAGGTCCTGAGGATGATATTGAGAGCGGCGAAGGTCGTGCAAGAGGTGGCATTTCCGTCGCTTCGTCGTTCGGGGGGCTTCTGGGTGGATGCGCTGCCATGGTTATATATGTGGCGCTGGGTGTGGTGTGTCGAAGGCGAGCCGGTGGCTGAGTGGCGTGGGCGGAGATGGATTTGCGGAGATGAAGACGAACGTTGCAACGATGGACAATCCTTTTACAGTTAGGCCGCTTTGGGTGGATCCCGCGACCCGTTGTTTGCTATCGCATCGCATCTGCGTGCATCTCGGATCGCTCTCTATCTCCCCAAGTCCCCCGTCCCCGCCTCGCTTCATGCTCCACCCAGCCGCTCCACGAGTATGCATGCCATGTTTACGGGTGCATTTGGTCCCGCTCCTCCGAACTGGTCGGCCTTCTGCCTCTTATCTCCTTGGTTCGCGACTGATTTCGTACATGCAAAGTAATGCCGAGTGAGTAAAAGCACACAAAGTTAGAAGTGAGCCAAGCTTCCAATACATACATATACTTTGAAGCTGGTGATTTCCACCACAGCCCTTCTGTCAAGCGGATTGTTGTCACCTCGTCTGCTGTCTCGATTCTCAATATCATCTCAAACAAAGCTCCTCATCAGTGAGCAGGGACTCATCTATCGTCATGACGCTGACCATTGCAAAGCTATAGGGAAGAATCTTCGAACATCGACTCGGTTCCTTATATCGAAGAGCACGGCACAGAGGACGGAGGGCTCCATGCTTACTATGCCAACAAGGCCATCGCAGAGAGAGCGCTCTGGGGAAAGTGCATCTTTTCTCGGTCTATTTTTACTGACGATATACGACAGAATTTGTCGAGAGCGAGGAACCCACCTGGGATACTTCCACTATCAACCCTGTTCTCGTCTCTGGCAAGGCCATCCATCAATGCGACAAGGTGGAAGATCTCAATGCCTCTGTCGGTGCGCAACTTTTCTCTCTCAAGCAAGTCATGTCGGATCCTCTCTTAACTATGACATATCAGTGGGCTTCTGGACAAAGGTCCGAAAGCGATTTGCTAGCACAAGCAGGCCCTTGGGTAGACGTCAAAGATGTCGCTCTCGCCCATGTTCGCGCTCTCACCACTCCAGAAGCCGGGGGAGAGAGGTCTCTCCTCAGTGTTGCCAACGCTGCAGGTCAGGACTTTGTCGACTCTATACACAAACACTTCCCAGATATCAAAAATGTGCCCGTTGGTCGGCCTGGGATTAGCGCCACTGTCAACGAGCAGCAAATTCATATTGATGGTCGAAAGGCTGAGAAGGTACTTGGGATCAAGTATACGAATCTTGAGGATTCTGTCAAGGATCTATTCGAGAGCATAAGAAAAAGGGTTGGCACCATATAGTAAGATATAGAGTGGCTATAGGAACCAAATAGTCAAGAGTGTTGGACTTACGGGCGGGAAGAGATACAATGCTCATGATCTCTCCTCCTCGAGCGGTCTGTCAACACCGCAAATTCCGCCTAGCAATTCTGCGCCTCTCATATCAAGGCATGTATGCAGATCACTGGCCTGTCGCTGATACCAAAATACGTCGCGCATGGAAGGATGAGTCATTACGCGACCGGGCGCGAGAACCAAACAAAGCGCAAGCGAAGGGTCGGTAAGGAACCGAGACCTGCCGGACTTGTCATCTCAAAATCTCTGCCAACATATCCGAATCAAGTCATAACTCATGGTCATCGGAGACGCAGCTGGATTGCAAGATGCAGTGATATTTCTCTTCTTGCTCTACGACTCTGATCAAAGCCACACCACATCAACACGGCAATCATCATGTCTTCCTCGCACACCATCACCCAAGGCGACCTGGTTCTTGTGACCGGCGCTTCGGGCTACATCGCTGCCCACACTGCCCGGGAATACCTTAAACAGGGATTCAACGTACGAGGGACAGTACGGTCAGACGACAAAGGCGAATACCTCAAGAACCTCTTCCAAGACTTGCCCGGAAAGTTCACGTATGTGATTGTCAAAGACATCGCCCAGGTTCGTCTCTTTCACAGCTCCACTCGATACGCGTTCACTCTCAATCGGCAGGAAGGTGCATTCGATGAAGCTGTCAAGGGTGTAGACGCTGTTGCCCATATGGCTTCTCCATTCTCCATCACAAAGGTTGAAGACCCTCAAGATCTTGTCAACCCTGCAGTCCAAGGTACCATCGGTATCTTAAAGAGTGTCCAAAAGAACAAGTGGGTTCTTGAACGCCCTATGGCACGAAAGAGGGTTAATCACACTTTCAAGTCCGTCTGTCAAGAGGATCGTAGTCACCTCATCTGCAGTCGCTATCATGAGTATTATCTCCAATAAGCCTCCCTACCAGTAAGCTAATCCCCGTGATCTCAGTCTGATTGTGGCGCTGACGAGTATCTTCTAGCTACACAGAGGCCGATTGGAACGTGGACTCCATCCCTTACATCGAAGAGCATGGTACAAAAGATGGTGGATTGCATGCTTACTATGCGAGTAAGACCTTTGCCGAGAAGGCGCTTTGGGGTGAGTCCATATTGCATCATCGTCCTACCCCATAGCTGACCCAGTACTCTCAGACTTCATCGAAAAAGAGAAGCCTTCCTGGGATGTAGCAACCATCAACCCTTCCCTAGTTTTCGGAGAGGTCATTCATCAGTGCGACAAGCCTGAGAGCTTGAATCAATCTGTCGGTGTGTATCTCTCACCATGATTTCGTCATGCGCGTTCTGACCAGTCTCCAGCTATGTTCTACCATTACGCTACCGGTCAAGTTCCGGAATCTCATCTTCTGAACCCTATCGCCCCCGGGGTCGACGTCAAGGATGTTGCTATTGCCCACGTGCGCGCTCACGTTGTTCCCGAAGCCAGTGGAGAGAGATTCATCCTCAGCAACGGGAGTGCCACTGGTCAAGACATTGTCGACTCTATTCACAAGAACTTCCCTGATGCCAACAAAAACATCCCTGTCGGTACGCCCGGAGCCGGAGAAGCTGTCAACAAGGAGCAGGATAATATGGATGGCTCCAAGGCCGCCAGAGTGCTGGGGATCAAGTACATGAGCCTCGAGGACTCGTTCAAGGAGACCTTTGAAAGCCTTCGACAGAGGTTTGGGACCATGTAGATGCGTAGGATGACCTAGGTGGGGCATCATGCCATGTATGATGTATGTCATCTTGTCTATCCATCGCAAGGCTGCTTGTAATATCAAATCGGCGCTACGTATATGACATAACAACAACGTCAGTCACCCGCACCAACATTCGAACGCGAAGATAGCCAATGCGAATAGCCAGACTCATTCGATCTGCAAAGGTCGTCCATTTAACACTTGATTAGTATAGAACCTACCAGGGTGGCCAAGTACCAGCCAATCCCACATGGTCAATTTGTGCGTGGTGATGACAACCTACTCCTCTAACGTTCAAATCAATAACTCCCAGTCGTAAGAAGCAACTCTCAGTCTATCGGTCCTCAGATAGTGATGAGGAGAGGGGAAGAGACCTCTTCGATGCATACGTATCATATGGCCGGCTTCTGCCACTTCCAAGTTGCCAGACAAGAAGGATGCTGAAAGCGTGAAAGATGAGAGACGCGTCGCGTCTTCCTCACCCACCCGCCGCGCATTGCCTCTACCTTTCTCACCGTCACTTTTGTACGCCAAAATCAACTTGGCAACACCGATGCGCCCCTGATTCCAATACAAGGTGATGAATTCTGGCCCAAGCAGGCACGACAATCCTAACGCCCTGCACACCTGTTGGAATACATATACTCACTCCCCGGCCCACTTCTCCCTGCACCCTGCTCTCCGTCTCTCTCACTCACCTGCAGCTCATAGCTTATGCTCGTAACCTTTACGCGCCTTTATACACACTTCCCAATATCACTGCTGACTACTAGCCTGCTATACTGCCCCGAACCACGCATTCTTCACTCGACCGCCTCCTCCCGTCGCATCTGTACTCTGCACCTCAAGATGGGCTTGTGCAGTTTCATCTCCTCCACATTCTGCAGTATGTTCCTCTCTCATCATCATCCTGTACTTCATATAACACCCCCGGTAGCCTCCAAGCCAGAAATCGATACCACTAGTCCCCAGACCGCCGACTACCTCTCCCACCCCACCCCCGCCACTCATGGGCCCATCTCACGCCCGTCCCTCCTCTCCGAGAAAGCGACTGGCCGCACGCATGTCATTACGGAGCTTGTCTGCTCCGAGCGGACCTACGTCAATCTGCTTGTCGAATTTGAAAAGGTCTACATCGACCCTGCCTATCATCCCCTCACCTACTCGCCTCACGGCAAGCTCGGCCCGAAGATCACGCTCGACACTGCTCTGACGCCGGAGGAGCGCAAGCTCATGTTCAAGGGGCACGAAGAGATCGTTCGACTGCATGGCGCTTTCATATTGCCCGAGCTAGAGAAGGCTACCCAAGACTTGTTCAAGGCCGGCGACGACACCCAAGGCTGCCGTTCCGCCAAAGCCGCCATGCGAATATCCAAGGTCATCTGCGCTTATGCCGAGTGCTTCAAGATGTACTCTGCCTATAGTGCTGCTTGCGACTGGGCTACAAAGAGGCTTGGGCAGTGGGTTGATGGGAGAGATCTGACCAAGGCGGACAAGGCCAGGGTGCAAGCGTATCTGCTGCAATGCAAGACCAACAAGGCGCACTCGCAGATCGATATGACTGGGTACCTGCTCTTGCCTGTGCAGAGGCTGACTCGCTACCGCATGCTGGTAAGCAGCACTCTCACATTTCCGCTTGCTTCTCGCTGACGAATCACAGCTGGAACATCTCGAAAGCAACACCCCAGCTCCTCCCGCCGGCCACCGCGATTTTGTCGGCGAAGCCCTCAACCGTATCTCTACCATCCTCCTCTACGTCAACGAATTCAAACGTGAGGTCGACTCTCGCCGGCGTCTCTGCCATTGGGCCGACCAAATTCAGCTCTCCCATCCCAGCTCCACCACCAATCCTTCCTCTCTCGTCCAACCACACCGCATTCTCGTTAGAGAAGGACCGGTCAACTTTATCGCTAGAGGTATCATGGCCCGGCATCTAGATCTCGAAGAGGAACTGCCAGGTTCGCCCAAAAGAAGAGGATCACAGCGCGAAGAGAAGGTCAGTAGGCAGGTCGGAGCAGTGGACAAGCACTGTATGGCGGTGCTCTGCCACGATATGCTTGTGCTGGCGGACAAGGCGGAGGGAGATGGGTGGAAGGGCAAGCTGGAGCTGGTGGATGTGGTGAGGTTGAGTGCGATGGGGAAGGCGAGGGTGGAACATGGGAATGTTGTTGTTTTTGAAGCCTATGAGGTGAGATTCATCTCGTCCGTGTGAGGTTTGACTGACCGTTTTGAAAGGTCACCTACTATCTTCAAGTAGATACGACCGAGATAGCCAAAGGTTGGGTCGAAGCTATCAACCAGTACCGCTGGCAATAGTCTTCCGGGTGCCAGACGTCTCGACCACCCTTCCATCATATGCGTTTCGACTACATGTCCATTCCTACCAATGCTCATTTTCGGCCCTTGTTCAGCGTGTCGTCAAATCGCATTTGTCTTTCTTCCGGTGTCGTGTATTGTCGATGTACATTCTGATGGCTTCTGTATCTTACCTCTTGATAGCCCAGATAGAAATGGTTGTATCGAATGCATATGATTGAATTCCTATGATGCTAACCCTGAAGGAAAGGTCAGATTGAGAGCTCGCGGATGATTCGGCATGGCTCACCCATTATACACCCACGATATTACTGCCCACATTTCAGCCACCTACATCCTTGAACCTCTCTCTAGTAGCCAGGCCTACTTGTGGTACCTCCAGCATTCACTCCGGGGATCTTGTGGTCTGCCGGATTGGCATTCGACTCGTACACGATCGCTCCCGGCCGGTTGGGCAACTTTTCGTCCATCAGCCCTTGAACCATCCTCTTCCATTAGCGGGTTACTCACAGGCTTGTGTGATCCTCTGAGTCCAATGTAGAAGATCTTTGTGGTTTCCTCATCATCTTCAGCTGTGTTGCCGGGGAAGAAGACCGTCAAAGAAGTGAGACCGTTGAATTTTGCTGCTCTGCACGTATTGTCATCAGCTACTCTATACTATGTGAAACATGAGAGGAAGGAAAGACGAACTTGACTTGATACTCTACGCCAGCCCTATTGGGAACGACATCAAACGTTTGTGCGGGGTTGGTGGAGCTGGCGTCGGAAAAGTCGAGGGCAAGGTTGTCTCTGAACTGTGACATTCCCAATCAGTTGGACTTTCACGAAGCTGGCGGACGGGCATGACAATGATGTTGCTTACTAGGTGCATCTCTCGTGGTGTGTGACCAGCTGGACCAGCTTTTAGCGTTATTGAGCGAAGCGATATTGATGCGTTGAAAGGAACTGGTCAAGAGCGTCGTTAGCGCCAGTCAAGTACGTCAAACGAGCGGACCTACTGTTGATGATAAGTTCGTCATCCACTTCACTCTCCAGCCACTATCCCAGTATCAGATCTCAAGCCAACATGGGCCAAATGAGCACATACGATAGTATCATCTTCCTTCATGTCCCAGCTCCTACGCCCATTAGCTCTTTGACCATAGTTGGATAGGCTTGATACTCACTTGATGACCTTCTTCCCTGCCTCTCTTCCATCCTCAGCATTCAATGCGACTACATTTGGCAGGTCGATCTGCTGGTAAAGCGAGTCCAGCGGAGATGATTCCAGAGGAACGTCATGGTCGTGGCCAGCGTGGTCGCCGTGATTGTGGTCGTGGTCGTGAGCTTCGTGCGAGCAGGACATGGTCTCCTGAGGTTTCCGGTGGCAAAGAAGTAGAAGAGAGAGAAGAATACAATTCAGCGTTGAGAATCACATTGCTCCTTTGGTGCCCGACGGCCGCTTCTTCAGAGCCTTGTTGTCGTTTACGTAACGACATATACACCTATTTGATCCCGGAGCTTTTACTACTGTCAGGCTCTTGCGGTGATTCGTCGTCTTTCAAGAACGCCCAGTCCACCACTTCCGCCCCTCTCGCCTGCCGCAGCGCCCCTCTCCCACAAGCACCACGAAGAGATATAGAAGATTGAACAAGATGGCGTCAACACCGAGCATGGAGCAGTACCGGGGTACGTTATCTCTTGCCTCGCCCTGAACTGTCGCTCATGTCTAATATTCCATCCTTCTCTTCTCATCTCCTACCCTTCCTCACACCCGGCACCTCCAACCAACAGAGAAGATCAACGCCCGAGACGATCACATCAGAGAATCATGGATTAAGGCTATGGAGGCGCGAATAGTCCGGGAAGAGCTGCAAAAGTGCTATAGGGGCGAGGGCGTGAACCAGTTGCAGAACTGCAAGGGACTGGCAGAGATGTACGCTGGTATGATTAGGGACAACAAGGTGGGTCAATTCGTCCGGAAATAATGGAGAATGGCGACGGGCGAATGTCGAAAGGGGTGCCTCCTGATGGCAGGGGCAGGGGACGGACGCTTTGCTGACATTTCGAATAGGTCAAGGGTTACAAGCAGGTCGACCAAGACATGTAAACTCGAGTTTGAAGCAGTCGCCATGTATTTATTCGCATCCATACTTGAGATCATTTGCGCAAAGTCCGCCATCGCCAGACTCACTCGCTACAATTCTACAACCTCTATTCTACAGACCGCCCTTCTTCTCTTACACGACCTCGCAACAACAGGAAAAGTATCAACAATAAGACTACGAGGCTCGAACTACATCGGATCATTAAGGGACCCTCAAGATCCCACTAACATAACTGACACTACTGTCTTTCCCCGTTACACACCGACTACTCTGCTCATATCTCACAAACGTAAACTCCGGTTTACCGGCCCTGTCTGCATAGACATGCTGAACAAGGTTGAGCAAGACAGTGATTGGACTTCGCCCGCAGATGGTGTTCTTCGTCCGCTCGAGGTAATCGTGCCACTCGTCCACAGCGCCTTGCTTCGCAGGGTTGCGAAGAATGGCCATGCCTTCATGATCCATGTACTCGATGGACCTCCAGATGGGAACATCAGGGTTCGCGGTGGCACTGGAGAACTTTTTGACCAAGTCTACCTTTCGGCTCTGCGCCAAAGGCCTGTCGGAAGCGCTGGTTGGCGGTACAGGGTCTGCAATAGCCGGAGGGTCGGGGTAGTATGGCGTGCAAGAGAAACGAGAGCCCCAGTGGCAAAAATCGCTCGAGATGACGAAGAAGGTAGAGGGGTCGGACCAGTATGGTTCTAAAGCGGCGCTGAGGTTGCTCGAGGTCGAGGCAGACGGGTGACCGACGAGGATGGGGACGAGACTGATGTCGCGACTGAGCAGAGGTCAACATACGATCCAGCGTGAGACGATTAGAGAAGCGTACTCTTGGAATATGAGCCTGATGTAGGGCAAGTGCATCTCGAGTGAATGCTCATCTTCGTCGACCGAAGACTTCATGTCGGAAAATATGCCGGTCTTGCGGAGGTCATGGATGGCTACATGTACAATCAGCCGAGACCATGAGGGGAGAGGTAGGATCTATACCTTTCAGATCCAGAGGTATATCTCCCAAGGGCGTTTCGTACGCCTCAAACTTGGACAAGGCCACGCCCGGGAGATACGCATGATGCGAAGGCCCAAGCAGGATCACTCGCGTACTAAAGGCCTCGAATCAGCGGGCACACCAAGCATGATGCTAACTGTAACTCTTACATCTTGTCAACAGGGATACTCTTGTAAGCCCATGCAGCCGCAGGCCCGGAGTATGAGAAACCCGCATGGGGAGCGATAATGGCCTTGGCATCTTGTACAGGCGGGTCATATGCGAGTTCGGGAAGAGGGTGGACGGCAGAAAGGCTCTGATTGAGCTGCTGTGAAAGACCGGTAGCTTGAGCGTACGCATCAGCCCTGTCAATGATGTACAAGCTCTACTGGCTCACATGAGGCTGTATACCAGCTGCCGGCGTGAGTAGCTTCGCGGATGCTGCTCGTTATGAGCTGACCAGTCCAGAAAGTGGCTACTGCAAGATATAAACCTACCCAGACATAGCACACTCCTCTTGAGACTCGTTATACCTTGTGAGAGACACACATACACCAGATGAGGTCACATCGCGGACCGTTGCCTGTGGCGACGAGAAGTGGAGGCACGAGCATGCGTTACGTAAGCCATATAGTGCTGTAACTGTCGCAGTGCAGCCTCAGCCCCCTTCTATTGATACACCATGCATACACAGCCATGAGAGATGGGTCCCAGCCGGTCTCGAGGGATGCATTGGACAGGGGACTTGCCCGACGCCGGCAGAGGGCGCCCATGCCGAGTGCCACACTGAGCCGCCACAAAAGCCAACGAATTTGATCCCGCCGCACTGTGCGCTGCACCACAAAGCAGCAAAGTGAGCGCCGCCTCTCCACATCCCTCACACACTCACCATGTCCTGGCAACCCTCCGAACAGGGCCTCCAGGAGGTCCTCGGCATGCTCAGAGACACCTCCAGCACCGACTCCCAGGTGCAGCGCAACGTCGCCAGCCGCCTCGACCAGCTCCGTTATGTCCCCGACTTTCTCGCCTACCTCGCCCATGTTCTCATTCACTGCACCACCGAGCTCGACTCTCACCGTGCTGTCGCCGGTCTGCTCCTCAAGAACGCCGTCAACCAGCGCTCGGGCCCGCCCTCGAACGAGAATGATATCCGGGCAATGGCATACGTCAAGAGCACCGTCTTGACGGGTCTCGCCGACCCGGATCAGATCGTCAGGCAGACGGTTGGGACAGTCATCATGTCATTGATCTCGAATGAAGAGTCTGCCGGGTGGATGGAGGCGCTCGAGGTCTTGACAAACGGCATGAACTCGTCAGATCCCAATGTGGTCGAGGTGGGTCTTCCCTCTGACATGTATGGCCTTGGCTGACCTCGAATAGGGTTCTTTCAACACGCTACAAAAGATTTGTGAAGACGCCCCTCACAAGCTCGATTTCCCATGGGAAGGCCGAGACTTCCTTGATCTCATCGTCCCCCTCTTCATCCAGAGCACCGGGCACGATAACGCCAAAGTCCGCTTGTATGCCCTCAACATCCTGCAATCTCTCCTCTCCATCCGTGTCAATGCCCTCAACGCCAACATTGACACCTACATCTCTGCCCTCTTTGCCCGCGCTGGGGATGGCTCCAGCGATATCCGGAAATCTGTCTGCGCCAGTTTGGGCCTGATCCTTGCCTCGCGGCCGGACAAGCTTGTTCCTGAGATGAACAACGTCGTGCAGTACATTGTGTACTGTACAAAGGACAAGGACGAAGCTGTCGCCCTCGAGGCCTGCGAGTTCTGGTTGACCTTTGCCGAAGACCACAACTTGAAAGAGCAACTTCGCCCTTACCTCGCCCAGGTGGCCCCGCTCTTGCTCGATGGCATGGTTTACTCCGACTATGACATTGCCGTGCTCGACATTGACGAGTACGATGAAGATGTTGCCGACAAGGAAACCGATATCAAGCCGAGAAACTACTCTTCCAAGGTCCACGCGTCTCACGAGTCCAACGACCCCTCGTCTTCCAAAGCCCAGGGAGTGTCGCGAGAAGCCGCCGACAAGGCGTTTGATGATGACGAAGAAGAGTATGATGAGGAGGACGATGATGATGATTTCTTTGATGACGAAGATGCCACGGGAGAGTGGAACATTCGAAAGTGCTCTGCGGCGGCATTGGATGTGATGGCGGTGTCTTTTGGTACGGAAGTTTTGGAGATCTTGTTGCCGTTCTTGAGGGACAGGCTTTTCGCCGAGGATTGGACTGTGAAGGAGAGTGGCGTGTTGGCTCTCGGTGCTATTGCTGAAGGTGAGCCTTGATTTTTGTTGGTTGAATTCGCTAACATGAGTAGGTTGTATCGCCGGCCTTGAGCCCCACCTTCCCCAGCTCATTCCTCTCCTCATCACTTGTCTCAAGGACAAGAAGGCGCTCGTCCGATCCATCACCTGTTGGACTCTTGGCCGATACGCCAGCTGGATCGTCCAAACCAACCCCCAGGACAAGACTGCCTACTTTTTCCCTGCCATGGAAGGTCTTCTTACCATGCTCCTTGACCACAACAAGCGAGTACAGGAAGCGGGTTGCTCTGCTTTCGCTACCCTCGAAGAGGAGGCCGGAGCCGAGATGGCGCCTTTCCTCGAGCCGGTGCTCCAGAATTTGACCCATGCTTTCAGCAAGTACCAGCAGAAGAACTTGTTGATCCTCTACGACGCCATCGGAACGCTCGCCGACTCTGTTGGCGGTGCACTTGGTCAACCTGCCTACCTCAACATCTTGATGCCTCCCTTGATCGAAAAGTGGCAGAGATTGGAAGACAACGACCCCGACCTCGTGCCCTTACTCGAGTGCATGTCTTCTGTCGCTATCGCTGCCGGTGCTTCCTTCATCACCTTTACTGCGCCCGTCTACCAACGCTGTCTCAACATCATCCACTCGACCCTTCAGCAATACTCTGCCTTTGAGCAAGACCCTGATGGAGTGGAGGAGCCCGACAGAACGTTCATCGTCGTCGCGCTCGACTTGCTGTCTGGTTTGGTCCAGGGTATGGGCGAGCAGATCCACCCCTTGATCGTCGAAGGCCAGCCGCCTCTGCTACACGTCCTGCTCCTCTGCTTGACGCACACTGAGCCGCCTATCCGCCAGTCTGCCCATGCGCTCTTTGGTGACATGGCCATCTCGTGCTTCCCCATCATCAAGCCGCTTGTGCCCCAGATCATTCCCGCCGTCATCGAGCAGATCGTTGTCGACGTCCCCATAGACTGCATCAGTGTGTGTAACAATGCCGCCTGGGCTGTCGGTGAGGTCGCTTTGCAGTACAGCTCGGACGCCTCTCCTCTCGAGCCATTCGTGCCCGGCCTGATCCAGAGGCTTATCCCCATTTTGACGAGCCCCAAGTCGCCCAAGAGCTTGAGTGAGAATGCGGCTGTCACCATCGGCCGATTGGGTCTGGTGTGTCCAGCGCTGGTGGCTCCTGAGCTTCCCAACTTTGCGCAGGCTTGGTGCACGGCGTTGTGGGAGATCAAGGACAACGATGAGAAGGACTCGGCGTTCAGGGGATTGTGCATGATGATCAGTGCCAACCCTGACGGTATCCACGGCGTAAGTTTCCTCGTAGCTTTGGTTGGACACGGCTGACCCAAAACAGAGCTTTGTCTTCTTCTGCAACGCTATCTGCAAGTGGCAGAACCCGTCCGCTCAGCTTGACAGCATGTTCCGATCGGTATGTGCCCGTGACTACTATCAATCACTTTACTAATCACCATGCGCAGATTCTGCAAGGCTTCAAGTCTGGTCTCGGCGCCGGCTGGGAATCTCAAATCTCCAACTTCCCTCCAGTCATCCGCCAACGTCTCGCTGAGCGATACGGTGTCTAAGCTCGACGGTTTCTTGTGCAATCTTTCTCTATGTTTCCCTAAAATATATTACCCATCCACCCATCCATAGGCCTTGCGCAAATATACCCTTACATAGCATTGAACGAGGGGAAAAAAGAATACTGTGCATTACAGGATTTAGTAGTATAGGCCACAGTCATAGCAAAGTAGTATAGAATTTACATAGCATTTAGCATATATCTCGGCCTTAAGCTGGATATCTTCTCCCATCATTAACGTAGCTAGTCTGAACACGTAGGCGTCATGGAAACAGTGAACGAACGAACTGATCATCATCACTGCATAATACTTCAACTGCTGCATAATACTAGCTATAGACTTCAACATGCTCGCGCTGTGTTACGTAATGACGGCGTTTTCGGAAGAAAGTTTGTGGCAAGGGGCGCCATTGTTCTCATTCAGCGTGGTGATTTTGCGAGACAAGCCATAAAAAAGAGTCGACCTCTTCCCGCCACCATGTCCTTCTTCGCCAAGCTCCAAGACGACTCCGACTCCTCGTCCGATGAGGAATCCATGTCCTCCGGCTCCGACAACGAGCAGAAGCCCCGCAAGAACATGTTCCAGGGAAGCGACAGCGAAGATGACAGCGATGACAGCGAAGACGAGGACGAGGAGGAGATGAGTGACAGCGACGATGACAGGGCTGTGCGTGGGTCTGCTTTCTATGGGGTATGGAAGCTGATACTGGGTTACAGGCTGCTGCCAACAAGTTCTTGAACGATGCCGACTCTAGCGACGAAGACGACGAAGGAGAGGACAAGACTGTCGTGCTGAGTGCCAGGGACAAGCGATTCGCCGAGATGGACGCTGCCATCCACAACATCCAGAACCAGGTCAAGAACAACGACTGGGTCCTCGTCTCTTCCGAGCTCGACAAGCTCTTCCGATTCATCACCCGACACCAGCTCACCCTCGTCGCCTCCCCCATCCCCGCTGCCGGCCACATCCCTCCCCAGTTCCTCGAGACCCTCGTTACTCTTGAGACCGATGTCGCCAAGAAGATTGCTTCCGAGAAGAGCGCCAGCAAGAAGATGCCCCCTGCTAAGGCCAAGGCTGTCAACGCTTTGAAGCAAACTTTGAAGAAGAAGACCAAGGAGTATGAGACTGTTTTGGAGACCTACAACAAGGTGCGTTACGTGCCCGTATTGCATGTGAACTGCCACTGATTATTGTAGGACCCCGCTGCGTACACCGAGGCCTACAACAAGGCCAACGCCGCTCCCGCGCCCGCCAAGGCTGCTAAGAAGACTCCTGCCGTCCAGGCTGCCGAGGATGGAGAAGAGTTCATGACCATCGGCAAGGGTGGCAAGACCTTGAACCTCACCTCTGACGGTGTCTTCAAGACTCTCCGAGAGTTGTTTGAGGCTCGTGGCCGAAAGGTACGTTCCTCTGTGATCACTGAAGATCCCTTTGCTGACCCTTTCGCAGAACACTGACCGCGCCGAGACTGTCAAGATCCTCACCAAGCTCCTCGAAGTTTCCGAAACCACCTACCAGAAGATCCGTGTTCTTCTCGCCCTCGTCCCTGCCCGTCTCGACTACTCCCAGCACCTCGTGTCTGTCCCCCACGAGGCTTGGACCGCCGCTTTGCAAGAATTTGACCAGCTTGTCAGCATCTTGATTGAGGAGCCCGACTACATTGTGCAGGAGACCGTGACCGAGTACGATGATCTTGTTGAGAGGACCCCCGAGGTCAAGGATGGCAAGAAGGAGAAGGTTGTTATCGCCGGTAGCTTGATCAGTCTTTTGGAGAGCTTGGACAACGAGGTATGTCATTCGAGTCTATCATGGAACCCAGCTGACGGTCAACAGTTCACCAAGACTCTTCAACACACTGACGCCCACGAGAAGGGTGACGACTACATTGAGAGATTGAAGGCCGAGGCTCCCCTTTACACCACCATCGCCCGAACCCAAACCCTCTTTGAGCGTGACGACCTCACCGACAACCTCGCCCGAACCGTCATCCGACGACTTGAGCACATCTACGCCAAGCCCGATGTGATCATCAGCCACTTTGAGGTCAAGCTCAACGAAGTCGCCGCCGGCCTCAAGTCCACCATCACTCCTTTCGGTCAACAACAAGCTCCTCAGGAGGTGATCCACGACCTTGCCGTCTTCATCTACCAGTCCGATGCCCCTGTCCTCCGTGCCCGAGCTATCCTCTTCCACATCTTCAACCAGGCTACCCACGGCCGATTCCACCAGGCTCGAGACCTCCTCCTCATGTCTCACCTCCAAGACACCATTGCCCACGCCGATGTCACCACCCAGATCCTCTACAACCGTGCTGTCATGCAGCTCGGTCTCTCCGCCTTCCGTCGGGGCTATATCCCTGAATGTCAGGCCATCTTGGCCGAGATGTTTAGCACCATGCGACAGAAGGAGTTGCTCGCCCAAAGCGTGCAGAGGTACAACGTCCAACTCTCCCCCGAGCAAGAGCTTTTGGAGAAGCGACGATTGTTGCCTTTCCACATGCACCTCAACGTCGAGCTCCTCGAGGCTGCTTACCTCACCTCTTGTATGCTTGTTGAGATCCCCTTACTGGCGAGCGTCGACACCGAAGAGCAGAGGAGGCGCGTGACCAGCAAGACCTTCAAGAGGTTGTTGGACATGGCCGACAGACAAGCCTTCATGGGTCCCCCCGAGAACACTCGAGACCACATCATCAAGGCCAGTCAGGCTTTGCAGGCCGGCGAATGGGAGAAGGCTAGGGACTTGATCACATCTATCAAGGTGTGGACATTGCTCGACAATGCTTCCGAGGTCAAGGACATCCTTGCCAAGAAGATCCAAGAAGAGGGTCTCCGAACCTCCCTGTTCACCTACTCTGCCTACTACGACTCTCTTTCCCTCGACCACCTCGCTGCCACCTACAACCTTTCCACTTCCCGAATCACCTCCATTATCTCTCGGATGATCTACACCGACGAGCTGCCTGCGTCTCTGGACCAGACTGACGGCGTTGTGATCTTCCACAGGGTCGAGCAGACTGAGGTGCAGAGGTTGGCCCAACAGCTCGCCGAGAAGACTTCTCAGATGCTCGAGCAGAACGAGAAGACTCTTGACGTGAAGCTTGGTAACCAGGGACAAGGACCCGACAGGGACGCGAGGGCGGCTGGCGGTGAGGGAGGCAGGCAACAAGGCGGCGAGAGGAGAGGTGGTAGGGGAACATATAGGGGACGGGGCGGCCGGGGACGAGGAGGTTTCAACTCTGGATTGGGAACAACAAAGATAAGAGTTGATGCACAGTAGAGGGAGGTGGTGACTTGTGATTAGATTGTTTCTTCTTTCTCCTTTGCTGTCTTCGGACACGATAATGCATATGCGCATAGTATGACCGTTCGTATTATTTTGTTGTCAAGGAGAACAGGCCCAGCAGGCACTGTCCCGAGCTCCCGACAAGTACGTAGCAACGAGGCACCGTCGCGGGCACTAAAAGGGGTCGACGCATTTCGCCGGCACCCTCAAGCTTGGACCTGGCGCGTGCTTGCAGATGTACAAATTCAAGTGGAACGTTGCATCAGCATGGACTTTTATAAGTCTCTATTCAGTATCCACTGACTCTATCCTGACTTGGTAGATTGACAACAATGACTCAAGGAAACGTCCGCACCGTAAAGCTGAACGACGGCAGCCAAATCCCCGTTATCGCCTTTGGGACAGGTAAGACAGATGCCACGTACTGTACCACATTGACATTACTGATACAGCCGTTTAGGTACTGCACAAGCGTGGACTGACTCTGCTCCGGTGGTTGCATCCGCCCTCGAAGCCGGCTATCGCCACCTCGACTGTGCGTGGCACTACAAGAACCAGCACCATACCGGCCGCGCTATCAAGGAGAGCGGTCTCAAGAGGGAGGATGTCTGGGTGACCAGTAAGGCTGGAAGCTTCGATGATGATCCTGCCGACTTTGATGCGCGAAAGTTCCTGGAGTCGTGCTTGAAAGATGTGGGTTTTTGACAAGGCCTGATTCGGATGCGCCATTGACAGGATGTAGCTCGGGGTGGAGTACGTTGATATGTACTTGATCCATGCGGACATCTTGGTGGGGTCAGTCAAGGAAGCTTGGAAGCAGATGGAGCAGATCAAGAAAGACGGGCTTGCACGATCCATTGGGGTGTCCAACTTTACCACGGACTCTCTCGCAGAGATCTTGGCTGATTGTGAAGTGAGTGCTCTTTGTTGTGGCAAGCGCATAACTGAATGCCAGTATCAGGTGCCACCGGCCATCAACCAGATCGAGTTCCACCCGTACTCTATAGCCCACTATCTGCCCACCCTCCTGCCTTTGTGCAAGAAACACGACATCAAGATTGCGGCGTATGGTCCACTCATGTCCATTGTCCGACACAAGGACGGGCCCGTCGATGATGTCGTGAAGCGCATCGCGCAGGAGAGGGGTCTGGGGGAGACAGAGGGACAGGTCTTGCTACGATGGAACCAAGAGATCACTGGTGGCATCGTTGTCACGTGAGTGCCACAACACACTCGACAAGATACGTTGAATGACCCATCCCCGCGCAGCACCTCTAGCAAGACCGAACGCATGACGGAACAGATTCAACCTTTCCTCATCGACTCTCCCGCACCACCCCTCTCGGTGGAGCATCGCCGAGCTATTACCCAGGCCGGAACCAGTGCTCCATTCCGATTTTGGGGGCAAGGCTTTCCATATTTTGTAAGCGTCGGCTAACGTGCTGCAAGCGAGGGGCTCGAGCTGACGGCCCGTGATTCTGCAGATGAAGGGCGAAGGCAACTTTTTGGTGTGCCATCCGGATGCTACGCACCGTAATAAGAATCCGAATGTCAATGGTGGTCGAGGCTGGTGATTGGTCTTGTAGCTCGTTTATTTATGCGTGCAAGTAGTAGAGTCCGATACGGATATGTTGGAGATAGGGGATGTATAGGGAATACGTGAAGATCTTGCAGATACACCCCATGTCTCATTTCGGAGATGATTATCTGATTATCTCGGCTCCTGACAGATGCGATGCATCTTATCGTGTAGGCGACAGGCGATCAGCCTCAACAAGTGTCGAACGCCTGAGGTCTTTGCTGAAAGACAAGCTAAGGATAACGAGAAAGGACATCGCACCTCTGCGCTGCCTCGTGATGCCCACGTACACCGAGCTGTACTTATGGTATAGCAAGCGTGAAAGTAGCAGTATTCCAAGAGGGTCATGTGCTCATAGATCACACGTGACCATGGTATATGCTCCGGCAGATGTGGACTGTGGACGATAGCCTCCCGAAGCCGGCAGTGGGCCGTGGCCCGTGGGAAGAGGCAACGTAGGCGATACTTGGTAAGGACGTTCATAATACCTGAAACCGAAATGTGCAAGATAAGACTGATGTGCCCAGCCTATCGGAGTAGACGACGCTGATTGACACGACAAGTCTGTGGAGAAACGGCCAAAATGTGAACAAGCGGGCCCCCGCGTTTTCTCACTTCTAAAAATATTTGGCTCCACTCTGGACGGCGGCCTGTCCAAGCGAGGTAAATATGGAGACCCGCTTGCATCTCAAAGTTCTCAAACAGCTCAGATAGCCACCCGCCAACCGCGCAAATATAAATCACCAGCGAGTCACAGAGAGAAGATTTCTCCCCCCTCCACCACATCGCAAGCCATATCACGAGCCTGCCGTCGGGGCTTCCTCTCGCCACACCATGTCAGACCCAACACCAGCAACAGAATACCCCCTCAAGGGACCATACACCCGCGAGACCGTCACTGACAATATTCGACGAGAACAGGAGGGCCATGGGCCGTTTGGCACGTCCCGGCCTCATCTCGAGATTGAGGGGCAGGAGACCGTGGCTGCCCCCCACAAGAACTTTCATCTCATGAGTTTGGGTGGGTTTTTGTTTATCTCTTGCAGAGCCTGGGCTGACTTTTCCTAGTGGGCTTGGCATATGCCATTCTGAACTCCTGGACCGCCATGGCGGTGTCGCTTTCTGTGGCCTTACCAAGTGGTGGTCCCACCGCTGTTGTCTGGGGTATCATTCCCTCTTTCATCGGTAACCTCGCCATGGCCGCCAGTATGGCCGAAATCTGTCATGTCTACCCAACAGCAGGTGGACAGTACCACTGGGCTGCTATCTTGTCTCCTGCCAAGATGGCTCCTGTGGGTAGCTTTATTGTTACCAAAGGATAACGCACTGATGTTTGTTTGTGCAGGCCATTTCTTGGATCTGCGGCTGGTTTGCTACCTCCGGTTGGGTCGCTTTGGCTGCTACCGCCGGCTCTCTTGCCGGTCAGCTTATCACCGGTGTCATCGCTCTCCTCCACTCCAACTATGAGTCTGAAAGATGGCACATCTTCCTCATCTACATTGTCTACACCCTCGGTGCCTGTTTCCTCAACATCTTTGGTCTGCGGCTTTTGCCCGGAATCAACCAGACTGCCATCTTCTGGTGAGTGTTTTGTGCAAGTGGCCCGTGCGTTGTTGACATGCGTAGGTCTTTGACTGGTGCCGTCGTCATCATCATTGTGTGCTTGGCCACCGCGGCCCCCAACTTCCAGCCCGGCAAGTTCGTCTTTACCGAATTCATCAACACCACTGGATGGCCCGATGGAGTTGCTTGGATCCTCGGATTGCTGCAGAGTACGTCCCGTTGTCTTATGCCTGGACACAGCTGACCTGATCTATAGGTTCTTTCGGTCTGACTGGTTACGATGCCGTTTCGCACATGGTCGAGGAGATGCCCAACCCCCACATCAACGCCCCCAAGACCATGATCCTTGCTGTCTGCATCGGTGCCTCGAGCTCCTTCATCTTCCTCATCTGCCTCTTGTTCTCCATCTCTGATGTCGACTCTGTCAACGAATCTGCCGCTGGGCCTTTGCTCGAGTCCATGTTCCAGGCTACTGGCTCCAAGGCCGGTGCCGTGTGTCTGCAGGTCTTCCCCATCGTAAGTCTGAGAGCTCATATGATTTCAAGAGCTAACCAACTGTCGCAGATTGCCATGGCTTTCACTAGTCAAGCCCTCATGACCGCTTCCTCTCGAATGGTCTATGCCTTCGCCCGAGATGGTGGTCTCCCCTTCTCCCGAATCTTTGCCATCATGAACAAGAACGGCGTCCCCATCCCTGCCGTGCTCTTTACGACAGTGTTGGTCGCTTTGTTTGGCTGCATCTACTTGGGTTCGTCTGCTGCCCTCAACGCTATTCTGTCGAGTTCAGTCGTGTTCTTGAACATCTCCTACTCCATCCCTAGTGAGTCTTCTTCGTATCCTTCTAGAGACTGTCCATACTGACTGAGCCTAGTTCTCCTCGTGCTCTGCCGTGGACGACACATCCTCCGACCTCCCTCTCTTCCCGAGCCCACTTGGACTCTTGGACCCATCCTCGGGCCCATCTGCAACTGCGTCGGTTTGGGTTTCACCATCCTCACCACCGTCTTCTTCCTCTTCCCCCCTGAGCTCCCTGTGACTGGATTGAACATGAATTACGCCATCTGTGTTTTCGGCTTCATCTGTGAGTACTTGTTTCTTTCCTTGTTGTCTATGTTGGCTGACAAGCGGCAGTGATCGTCTCTGTCATCACCTGGGTTGTAGACGGCCGCAAAAATTTTATCGGTCCCCGAGATCTTGGTGCCCTCCTCGAGCTCGCCCGATCCGAAGTGGATGCTACCAAAGTCAACGCCCACCGTGCCGATGGCGGCCAGATCGAGCTCGACCGCCGCACCCCCGAAAACGTCTCTGTCACTCATTCTAACGAGAAGGAGAGCGGTGGTACCGTGCTGTAAGAAATAGGAACAGTGAGGGAAAATAGTATGTAAGAAGGGCGAAAATGGGGTGTACGATATTTGTTAGCAGTGCATATTTCATCGGGTTTGTGGTTCTCATAGAGGCTTCATAGGTTTACAGTACATCATACCTCATGCTATGCACACTTATACCTCTATACTTCTGCCAACTTGATATATATTTCACTCAACTTGTGCCTTTGTTACGTACTGCCACGTGTCACTCTGCGCGTCGCGTCGGTCGTCGCTTTTTCTTTCTCCAAGCTTTGAGAGCAGCAGCATCGTCAGAATGAGGCTCCCCAGGTTCGCATTGTGTCTGGTATCCTGCCTGGCCGGGATGTCTGCCGTTCTCGGCCGGGAAGAAGAGGCCAAAACGTTCAAATACGAGGTATGTCGCTCCTGCTATGCCGGCCCACCAACGCTGACCGTGGGCTGCCTAGTCTGATATCACTCGTCTTAGATCACTTGTCATTCATTCCCTCTACTCCCACAAAGATGTCTTTCTCCGTGAACTCATCTCCAACGCCAATGATGCCCTCGAGAAGCTCCGTCTTACTGCCTTGACTGATCGATCTGTCATGTCCTCGGGCGAAGCCAACATCACTATCGAAGTCGTCCTTGATGAAGATGGACAGGGAAAGACGGGCCAGATTATCATCAGGGATACTGGTATCGGTATGACCGATGAGGAGATGTCCAGGAACTTGGGGACTATTGCCAGGAGTGGGACCAATGAGTTTTTGAAGAAGGCCGACGAAGGCAAAGTAGACAGTAACCTCATTGGGCAATTCGGCGAGTCTAGCTGTGCGATAACTCCACGCTGAGCTGACATGTCTCTCAGGTCTTGGTTTCTACAGTTGTTTCCTTGTTTCCCCGACCGTCCGAGTGTCTTCCCTTCCTCCGCCGACTAAAGAGAATCCTCGACCCACGCAGTATACATTTGTATCCGAGGCATCTGGCGACTCTTTCCAGATCTTCACCGACCCTCGGGGTAACACTCTCGGACGAGGTACAGAGATTATCCTTACTATCGGCGAAGATGAGAAGGAGTGGTTGTCTGTCGCGAAATTGAAGGGCCTCATGTCAGTCGTCTCGTAACTCCCTTGTCACCATGATCCTGACGTTCGAATAGCGAGAAGCATTCATCCTTCTCCACCACCTTCCCCATCTACGTCAAGGAGCGCAAGGTCAGCCAAGTTCCCATCGAGTCCGACGACGACTTTGAGGACGAAGACGACGAAGCCAAGCAAGAGAAATTCGAGAATGTCGTCGAAGAGAACTGGGTTCACGTCAACGACCGTCCTCCTATCTGGATGCGAGAACCCAAGGAAGTCGACGACGAAGAGTACAAGGCCTTTTACAAGGCCGTCTCGAAGGATCCCTTTGCCGAAACCCTTGGGTGGAGCCACTTCAAGGCTGATACCGGAGATGGAGTCTCGTTCCGATCCATCATGTACATCCCATCCAGCTTGCCCAAAGACTTTTGGCAAAAGATCACCAGCGGGATTGACAACGTGAGGTTGATGGTCAAGAGAGTCTTCATCACAGACAACTTGGGAGAAGAGTTTATGCCTCGATGGTTGAGCTTCCTCAAGGTGACGGTTGATGGTGAGTGTTCCACTGTATAAGGGAGCTGTTGCTAACGATATGACTCAGCCGATGATCTTCCGTAAGCGCCAGCGCATCTCTAAGTAACCCCTGCTGAATATCATCTAGTCTGAACGTCTCGCGAGAAACTCTCCAACACACCCGCTTCCTCTCTCAGCTCCAGCGTATCCTCATCCGCAAAGCCATCGATCTCTTCACCAAACTCGCCAACGACCAGCCAAAAGCATTCGAGGAAGTGTCCAAGCTCTACGGCAACGCCCTTCGATTGGGTGTCATGGAGAGCAAGAAGGACCATGTCAAGCTGGCCAAGCTTTTGAGGTTTGAGAGTACTCGAAGCAACTACACGAGCCTGGAGGAGTATGTGGAGAATAGGAAGGAGGGACAGACACAGATCTATTACATGGCCGGCGTTGGTGAGCGAGCAGAGGACCTCAGGCGTTCGCCCTTTGTCGAGAAGCTCATCGCCCGAGGCTACGAGGTTCTTCTGCTCAACTTGCCCTCTGACGAGCCTATGATGGGTGCCCTCAACAACTTCATGTGAGCGCCTTGTGATCCAGCTCCGCCCTGTACTGACGATGTTCAGGGGTATGAAGACTCAGGACGTTTCTAAGAAGGGTCTGAAATACGGCGATGAGGATGAGGATGAAGCCGAAAAGAAGGAGCTCGAAGCCCAAAAGATCACTTTTGGCGTTCTGATCAGCTGGCTCAAGAAAGAACTCAAGGGTCAAGTCAATGATGGTGCGCACTTTCCTTCTGTAACTCAAGAGGAGATCTGACCAAGCTCGTAGTCGTCCTTACCAATCGCCTCGTCACCTCCCCGTGCACCATCGTGGTCGACCACATGGGATGGTCCGCCAACATGCAGCGAATCATGGCCGCCCAAGCCGACGCTCAAGAGGACCCCATGTACCAGGCGATGAAGAACCTTCCCAAGGTGCTCGAAATTAACCCGAAATCGCCACTTGTCGAGGGACTCTTGGACAGAGTCCTGGAGCTGACTGGGTCTGGAGAGGACGATGAGGAAGGAACGCTGAAGGAGAGCGAGGAGGAAGAAGAGTTGAGGGAGGTCGTGAGGGTGTTGTTGGACACGACTTTGGTCAGAAGTGGCTTCAGTGTGGCTGATCCTACCAGGTGAGTCTTCTTCATCTTGAATCGAGATATATGCTGAGCAACACTCGATAGCTACTTTGACCGGGTAGAGTCTCTTCTCCGAAGATCGCTCAACATTGACCTGAACGCTGAAACACCTGCCAACGTTCGGCCCGCTCCTCCGACAGCCATGGGTCCTCTCGACGAGGAAGGAGTGCCCCACGAAGATTCATTCGAGAATCTCTTTCCGGGGCAGAATGTTATGGAAGGCTCCGAGTGGCTGGACTGGGCGGATATGAAGAAGCAGGCGGATGGTGGGCATGATGAGCTCTGAGTTGGGGTAAAACAGTGCAACTGAGTTAGCATGACATAGGCTTGTGGCTAGTACGAAATAACGAAATGTAACGCAGTCGCATGTCCTCGGAAAGGCGTTTTGGCCGGATAGTATCTGACCTGGGTTCGCAATGGTTCAGCTGTCCAGATGTTATGAGAATTGTGCACGTTGAAATCTCAACAGATGACTGCTCGAGACATATTGCGGACGACAGCTGTCCATCCCCTCCCTTCTCTTTATACTTGTATACATGCCGTGTCCTTTTCGTGAGTTCGTGACAAACCTGGAACCAAGCTAACGCCGAGCCTAGACTGCACCAGCGGCCTGTCGGACGAGATCAGTGATGTTGGAAGCCAAAGCTGCAAGTCAATGGTCAGCAACTTTGAATGAGGCAAGCAGTAAGCTATGTTTTACCCTCAACCTCCAGAGTCGTCGCCGCCTCTGCATACACTCGCACGCAATCCTCGGTACCACTCGGCCTCACAAACGACCTTCCCTCGACAAACTTGCCAACCGCCGCATCGATCTTTCCCTGCAAACTGATAGGCGACTCCAACTTCCTTTCAGCATCGGTAGCCACAAAGATGTACCTATCGGGCACCTCGACCTTGACGAGCCTGTTGGGCAGGTCCTCGTAGCCCGCGTCCCATTCGGGAGCACCCCAGCCTCGGTGGGCAAGAACGGTCTCGACGAGAAGCATGTCTGAGAGAGCATCGCCGACGGCCTGGTTGATGAGGTTGTTGAAAGCTAGAAGGTGCTTGATAGCATTGGCCGCGTCGGGTGAGGTGGGCTGGACGGATTGGAGAGTGGTGATGGTAGAGGGAGAGAAGAGGACAGTGCCGTGGCCGTTGGCCTCAAAGTAGACGCCAATGTCGAAACGCTGAGCGGCATGGTGGAGGTGCTTGACACCTGTAGGGACACATGCCACGGGGATCTTCCTCTACACGGCTATAAGCAGGACATCTGAACAGGGGAGGAACAAACTTACGCTTGTCAAATACTTAGTGGAGCTCCCATTGGCGTAAGCCGTCTGGACAACACCAACCTCCAGGCCATTGTCTTCTCCCAACTTGGCCTTCTTGACCAAATCTCCCAAGAACATTGCGACCATAACTGCAATCTTGTCACCGTCCAGCAGCCTGAAAGTGCCCTTGCGCTCATCAACGTAGTAGTAGATGATTCTGTCGGCATCACCATCAAGAGAGCAGGCGCGAGTGCCAGCCTTGGCCAGGAAGCCAGCCTTTTGGATAGAAGGGGGCAGAGCTTGGCGGGTCTTGACGAAATCGGCACCGCATTGGCTGTTCAAGGCGCCAGGGGTGGTAGTATCAGTGTTCAAGGCGTGCAAAGGGAGAAGGTCACCCAAAGACTGTTTCAGCTGCTCGAGAGCCGGGGCTCCGACACCATTGGCACAGTCGACATAGAGCGGGGAGAGCTTGCGGTGACCCTATGTCTGCGTTAGAGAATGACTTTCGTGTTGTATAGGACGTACAATCAATGTCTTGAACGCAGTCGACATCTTTTCGTGGTAGCCCTCTACAGTGGGCTTGCCGTAAGACCCGTCCTTGACGTTCAAAGCCTTGACAACGTAGTGCAAGACCGGGGTCGTGGTGATCCCAACGTCAAGCAGCTTGACTCCCTGGCCGAACGCTTTTAAACCCTCCTCCAGAGCAGCGACAAGCTCAGGACCGCTCGGTCTAGTGTCTCGGGCGTACGCAATAGAGGCGGGCTGATGAACATCGACCCGAAGATGGGCGATGAGAGTAGTGAATGTAGAGACGAGGGATTCGGTGGTGGGGCAATTGGCGAGGGCTGTCGCGTGGGGCTCCCAGGTCGGGTCAAGCATCTCTCCGGATGGGTCAACAAGCTTGACACCGTTGTCCTACGCAATGTCAGCATCACGCTCGGAAAGAGGGGAGAGGCCTTACAGGTTCGGGGTTGTGGGACGCTGTCACCATGACACCGATGGTCGCACCTTCGAGCCTCTTGGAGCGCAAGATGGCGAGGAGCGCGACTCTGAACATGACGGAGGGTAGTCGGGCACCCCTATGCACAAGACTCAGCATTGCCACTCGCTTTGCCGAGAGTACCTACAGCGTTCTGAAGCCCGCAGTGCCGTAGGTGAAGTTGACCTTCTCTGGCTTGGGGTATTTGTCGGCGCCCTTGGCGATGGCCGCGAGGAGGTCGGCGTGTTCGTGGGCAGCGTCGGACATTGTGCTGTGGGTATAGGGGGCAGGAGGTCGAGAAGAAGAAGAAGAACAAGAAGAAGAACAAGAACAAGAGGAGAAAGGAAGATCAGGCAACAGAGTCAAGCTGTCAACAACAATTCCGAGGGTCATAGCATGGCATGCTGTGTGATGTATAACAACTCAACAGCCTCCTTTTAACCAATTCTCAATCGTATAACGGTCAGTATGCTCGCTTGTCATTACGTAATCGTATTGCGCGGGAGACCAGGGTTCGATTCCCTGTTGGGAAGTTTCTTTTTGACGCCTCTTTTTGAAATCTTCCCCTTGACCATGAATCGATCCGTTCTCAGCGTGGCGGTGAAACATAATTGAAGAACCAACTGCATACATAGGTTGTCAAATCGTACATGATACGGAGAATTAAACTAACTCAAGATCACTATATGGGAAGTTTTCCTATGATATCGTCCGTGGCAACTATTCGGCGAAAACGACAACTTCCGAATTCAACTGCCATCAACTAACGCAATGTCCATCGTCGCCTACACATCTCACATAGTGTAGTCTGACAACTCTTCGCCATCCTGGTAGCCCTCTGAGGACCCGTGAGCAAACACGTCGCCATCGGAAGAAGGGGGTGTTTCAGTACTGGAGCTCGCAACTCCCTCGCCTTCGTAGCGCTCCCTTTCTCGCCTGCTGTCCCTCAACGCGGCGGCCATCATGTCGTCCATGTTCGCCTCTTGCTCTTCTTCAGTAAGAGGTGGCATGTCGGGGAGATCGAGAAGGGAATTGGGGCTGGAGCTGTAGTCACCAGACAAGAAGTGCGATCCTTCATCGAACGAAGAGGCAGGAGGAGAGCTGAAGTCAGAGTATGAGGCAGAGGTGGTGTCGGCTTCGATCTCCCTCTCCTTTCCCTTCTTTGATGCTCTCTTGAACTTGATAGGAGAAGACCTGATCACCATCCGAGCTTGGACGTTCTTCTTAGTCTTCCTCCTGGGGGACTTTCCTTCAGCCAACAGCCTAGCGTCTTCGATCTTCTGGGCCTCCTTCTTGGCTCTGAAAGCCGCAGCCTCCTCAGGTGACTTCTTTTTGCCCTTTGAAGCGTGTACACGCTCCTTGTCCGAGTAGACACAAGGAATGCCGCGCTCGATGCAGCGGTCGCAAGGCTCCTTCTTGTCGACGTGAAGACGGTTACACTGGAACATATGAGCGTGTGTATGTCTTGACATGAGCGTATTGACTCACCTTTCTCTTTGTACGCCTGCATTCATTGCACCCAGTCCAGACTCGCTGGACCTCTTGCACTACCTCTCCATCCTCCAATTGGACTTTGATCTTCTTTCCATTCTTGATAATGCACGCGGTCGTGTCACCATCCTCGTCGGTCACTTGGAGACTTGAGCCTTTGTCGCCCTCGTCCACAGACTGTCGCTTGCGCTTGGAGGCGGAATTTTTGGCAGCCGGATGAGTAGCAGAGCTGTTGAGGGTGAGAGACGAGTCATAGTTCCCAAGAGCATGGGGAGAGGGGACAAAAGACGGGGCGGGCTGAGGGGCGGCGGAGATGTGATGGTTGGTCTGCTGGGCGATGTCAGGGTTGAGAGCCTGAGCGCCGGTGGGTGTTTGGTAGATATGATTTGTGACAGGCATTTGTCGAGGGACCATGGACTGATAAGCGGGATCACCTAGACCTAGACAAGGGGGGTCAGTCCAAGTAGGCAAGACGTCGCAGCATGCAGTACGTACAAGCGGACACATTGCTGGAATTTTCGAGACGCAAAGTAACCGCGGCAGCGGGGGGTACATGGAAGGGGCTGATGTAAGCCATAGGGTCCACAGGTATAGCAGCAGGGGCCATCATGTGGTCTACGCCATGTGTCAGACAAGACTTCCGGGGGGGAGTGGGAAGCGACTTACCTGCGGTAGGCTCGTAAGAATAATTGGTCCAGTCCATCATGGGCGCTGCTGCCTGCTGGGTGCTTTCGGTAGGCATGAGGATCGAGGCTTGGGGAACACCGAAGGGCGCCATAGGAGTGGTGAGGAGACGATGGGTATTGAAGATCGGATTGAAGGGGCCATTGAAGGCGTTGATGGTCTCAAGAGTAATGTCGGCGAAGGGATCCTCGCAAACGCCGATAGGCACCACATGTAGGCCATTGGTGGGGGGGTCCTGGTGGTTCTGGTGATCTCCTTGAATGCCAGGGACTGATGAGAGGGTGAGCTCGACATCTCTCATATCAAGCAAGAAAGCAACTTACCAGCCGGTGCGAAAGAAGAGCCAGTCGCCACCGACCCGTTGGCGGGGGCAACAGGGGCAGCAGAATAGAGCTGTTGCTGTGGGAAGGCAATGGGGACTTGGGTATAGACTTGGGGGAGGCGGTCTGGGACGAGAATCAGCGGAAGCTCCAGCGTCAGGCTCATCGTGTCTCTTACACTGAGCGGGTTCCTCCGCCACTTGCATCATCATCTCCCTAGGGAGCTGGGTGTCCAATGCAGCTGGGAAGGTGCCATGCCCAAGGCCGTTGCCGAGGACAGAACTGTGGTCGGCTGCATATGGTTAGTTAAGAGGAGTAAGCTGAACAAGAAGTACCTACCAGCATAAAGGGCGCTTTCGCCAACAAAACCCAAAGTCTCGCTGTTGTCGGCAGCGGAAAGATCGGCATCACCCGACGGAGCAGAAAAAAACTCGAAAAACTCGAAAGAGTTGTCCATGCCGTTGGTACCCAGGTCGTCCCACATGGTGAACAGGTTCCTCCGAGATTCTACAGATTATGGCAGGCTAAAAGCGCAATGGGGTATGGGGGTTGGATGCGGGGTGGTACGAGTAACGTAGTGCTGGGGGTGGTATAAGAACTGTGCTGTAGAATGAATACCTGGGAGTGAAGGATGATTGATGAAGGCAAGATAGATAGAATGGAAGAGTGCCCCTATATGCATGCATCTACGGATATGCGGCGGTTAACTTGTCCTTCATGAGACAGATGGTTGATGACCACATCGCCGGTGCCCTCGACGCAAGAGGGGGAAGGCGGAAGAAGATTGGAAGACTTTTCTCACCCATTTTGGGTCGTAGAGGATTTTTTCGAGCACTGGGGTGTAGCTATGAAGCACAGCTACATTCAATATTATTATGATCTCAATCAATGCTTGGAGCGAGCACCCAGCCTCCGTGAAAGCTTGCTCAACCCCCGGTGCGAAAAGTGGACCAGCGCAGTGGAGGTGAGGGTTCCTGAGCGTGCCTGACCCTTCCGCTAAATTCCCTTTTCGGGCAACTCCGCGTGTTCCGGCACTCTTGGCTGATGTTATCCGTCGTCGCCCTCGCTGGCTGTCTTGTTCAGTGCATGGGTGCACAGTAGCACCCCCATGCCATAGAGGAACGTATGTATCACCTAAGTATCTTACAAGCTCAGAAACTGGTATAGAGAGGGAGATGACTGGTTGAAGGGTATGCAAGCAAAGCTGTCGGCAAGCACTTCTGATCAATAGCAGACGAGTGCATAATGCATACATATGATCAAACACTTTCAAGCTCCAAAGACTTTCTGCCGATACAACCATTTATCCAGTCTTCTCTTTCCTTGACATACCCCTCACTCGACAGCCATCCCTCTCGTCCAACACTTCCAACGTGACCTTGCTGGAATTCGCCTCGCCCTCACCCTCGTATCTGACCAGTCCATCAGAACGTTGACCCTCCAGACCCATCTTGTTGAATTTGGAAGTAAGATAGTCGGCATCCATTTCGAGGCTGTTGATGGTCTGGATAGGGGAAGCAGAAGCTGCTGGAGCCGGAGAGGGAGGACCAGCCTCTTTAGCCTTGCCCTTGCCCTTCCTGTCAACCTTGTCAAAGATCCCTCCAGACTGTAGAAGACATTCATATCAGCCTCAATGACATGTAGAATAAACTACGCACCTGTTGCTCAAAGATGGAGTATTCCTGAGAAGGCCACTTATTCGAGGGGCCGCGGAAGGGAATCATGGGCAGTTCAAATTCCTCGCCTTCACCTGGCACGTCGTCGTGCCATCCAGCAGAGGAGAAGGGAGTTCCAAGAAGGAAGTGGGCCTCAGGAGTAGCTGCAGATCGCTCGAGAAGGCTTCGGAGCTGCTCGCCGTCATCGTCGGGGTCTCTCTTGCGCTTCTTACTGGGAGTGTCAGGGACAGCGGGTGGCGTGGAGCTAGAAGGGTCGAACAAGCTTGGGTGAAGACCATGGACAGCAGCTGCTGCAGAAGCAATGAGCTAACCGGAGATGGTGTTCAGGAAGATGGACTTACCAGCAGAAGTAGAGTGAGAAGTCGCCACCGACCAAGAGGCGGGAAAGGTCACAGCGGAAGAGGGGTTGGGGAGGGCTTGACCCTTGTCGGTGAGCTCTGTGTTGATAGCATCAGGGCTCAAATCTATGAGAGAATTCAGCAGCTACAACGATCACAATATGAGCACTCACCGTGAACCAGCAGGAAAGCGGATCCCGCCGCCCTCCTCTGCGAAAGTGTGTGGAATGAGGTAGTAGAGGCTACGTCTTTGACAGAGCTGCCGAATACACGGAATAGATCGTTTTCTGGATGGATATGATCAGCCTGGACAAGTGTGAAGGGGAGAGGACAAGCAAAGAACGCACCCGCATGGTGTTTGCCCTCTTCAAAATTAGCGGAAAGGGAAGAAGAGAGAGCTGAGTGTTGACAAAGAAGCCCGAGAGACTCGGGGCTGACTTCAAGCACGTTCCTCATCTTCAATAGTGCTCGATGGAAGATATCAAGAGAGTGAAGCGTAATGCTATGCCCTGGGTGGGGAAGACGAGGTATGGTAAGTAATCAGCAGGCGTCAACAAGCGGCGGGCTGTCTGTACCGAGGTGTTGATAGGTGAACCCCGAATGCAAGAGAGATGATTCAGGATGTAGGACCAGCTCACATATGTAGCATGGCGGAAACACAGCTGAGCGGAAAATCAATTGTTGGCAGACACTTTGTTGGTGTTTCGGAAAGAGAGGTGAAACTTGGCGGAACAAGAGGAGAGAGCTGTGTGGTGCATTTCTTTACCTGATTCGGCTCACATATCGTCCATAGAAACTTCAATGGATAACTGGCAACTTCAACTATCAAAGCTCCAGCTCATGTCTCTCTCATGCCTACCCGGAAGAACTATGCTCGCTACTAGTGACGATGGTGTAGGAGCTCATTCAACACGTCTTGGTATGGTGGACTGGTGGGTGCTACTAGAGTACATCTCCTGGTAGTCTCGCTTTCTCGACTGTCTATTCCCTGCACACATTCCAGTCTATTCCCTGCACACATTCCAGCATAATGCGAGATGCAACCGTTACCGAGACACTGATATCCCTGACGCATAGTTCACCCTACAGGACCGCCGCCAAAGTCTGCAGCGCTTCGGTCGTATTCTGCTTTTCCTCCTTCACAAGCTTGGCGATATACTTGAACTGAGGGTGGTCGGCGTCGCCTGCACGATTGAAATTTTCAGTGACCATCCATGATTCAAATGATTTTGTTCATACTCACCCAACAGCCTGTACAAGAGAGATTCGCTGGTCGTGATCTGAACCCCTCGTTGACGAAGATTGTCTAGTGCGATCGGGACCTCCTCTTTGTTGCACGACGACACAGCATCCACTGGTATGTATATATTCTCTGCTCCTGTGATTTTCAGTGCATCCAAGGCCGTTTGTGTGATGCAGATGTGCGACTATGCAGCACATGGTAAGCTGATATTCACCAACAACGCTCGAGGATATAAGCTGTTGGTAGGTGTATACGGCGTACCTCAATGCCTGTCAAGATGAAGTTTTTGTACCTTGGAAGCCCTATATCATCTTCCCAACTCTCGTCGGTAATCATCGAAAACTGGTAAACACATGTGTCAGACGTGTTGCCCTAGCATCGGGCTCATCGGGCGCATACCTTTGTTTTCGAAAAACGGCCCAGATTGAGCTCTTGATCAGGTGACTTGTCCAGCAAACTAGTGATTTCCTGGACTGTAGGGCCCAGAGCTATGGTGGCATCAGCAGGGCTCGCACACGCTGCGTATTGGCGATTCACCTCTGGGGTTCTGCTCAGTCACGAAGTTTGGAATGCCGAGTACCTGTCATCATGAGGCGTCAGCTACTGACAGTATCGAGATGAGAATACCCGGCGATAGGATTGAAGGTCGCTCACTTGGGAAGCTTTGACCAGCTTGCATATACTTGCTGTAAGGGGCTCAAAACCGTAGATGGCACTTCCTGCTCGGACACGACGTACACGGTAAGTGGGATCATGGCCCATGTTCCTCCTTCTTTCGCCGACGACACTCACGGAACCGCTCTTGGACGTCGCAGATCAAGAGGACTGTCTTCCTGGGGTTGAGGCTCATTGCTGTCTTGTGGATGCAAGAGATGATACAACAGTACAAGCCTTGTCACTGCAGTCGTCACGCAGCCTCTCCATTGCCTCTCCGGGGGGCCGGCCAGAGCCTCTCGGCCTTCCGTTTACCCGATGATTTGATTCCGCTGCAGCTTGCCATCATCATCATCATCGAAGTCTGTTCTCTCTCTCTCTCTGTGTCCCCTCGAGATGCCCCCTAAAGCCACGGAAACAGCCCCAGACGCCAGACTCAGCCTCCCGGAATGGCTCAAAGTCTTCACATCCAGAGGTGTCGACATGCGAGGAGCCATGGCCTTGGCCGCAAAACTGTGAGCTATCACTCTCTTCATCTGGACCTTGATGATGAGGGGCGGTGCTTAACAAAATCAGCTACAAGTCCCACGGTAGTACTGCACTTATATCACAGATCAAGCCCCCTCAAACATCTGGTGTGACTGACGATAAGGAGAAGACGAAAGTCATCAACAATGCGATCAAAGCCCTTGCCGCTGGAGAGACTATCAACAAGAAACGTGGACGGGACAGCGATCTGCTGCAGCCGCTGAAGAATGATGGCGAGGATGAGGAGGCCCCAATAGGACTAGGATTCGCAGTCAATACCGATATTGAGGTGAGCGTCTGGTAATTGTTGAGAGCCAGTCTAATCGAAAGTGCAGCAACTTCGAGGAGTCAAGATTACTACAAACCGCGCCCCAGTCAAGACAGCCTGGGCATATACCATTGCGCTACGCCTTGGCTTCTCTCATCCCGAATCACTCTCCCTTGCGCAAGCCTACGTCCACATCAACAGCTTGAAACATGCCCTTAAACTGGGCGGCATCCTGGGGGAACAAGAAGCCAAGGAGGCGCGGAGAGAACTAGAGGAACTACCGGGCGGGGCTGATATGAGCCGTCTAGGAAGGGAAAAGCGACAAAAGACTGCAAGAGGGTCAGGAGGAAGGGATGTGCCTTTCGTGGGAGTCGGAGACAGTGCCCAGCCTTGGGTCGATATCCTGGGCGCGAAGTAAGTCATGATCGCTTGTTCAAACCTGTTGCTTATGCTAATCCTTCTTTAGATTGTAGGTTCAGTTGTCTGCTTCGATGTAGCCGAATAGAGCTCATCTTGGTCATAGACCTATAATAGAAAGATCTGATGGCACTTGCCGTGCGATACAGAAAGGTGTACCAGTCAAGCCAGGTCAAGTGAGCATCCAACACCCTCGAATGTGTTGCTACTCCAGACAGACGTTGATCTATGATGACTCCAGGCATACTCGTATATATCCAAAGCATTCAAAGAAAAATCACCACAAGCTATGGGTGCTCTCAAGCTAGTCGCCGACTCTTATGAAGTTGAGGAGCTCAACAGGCTGGGAAACGACATGTATGTGAGTCATCGTTTTCTGCCGCATAGTCTAGTCAGCCCGCCGGTGTTGATGGGTGCCAGATGGATTTCAAACCCGATGTGGTCGAATGGGGCCAAAGGGGGACGTTCGACCTGGATAGTGTACTGGAGCATGTCAAAGGTGCGGAGATCAAGAGATTAGACGAGGGCGGCGATGTGAACTCAGTTGTTGGTGACGAGGATGACGGTGGCCCAGACTTGCAAGGTAGTGTGGAAGTAGAGCCGAGCGGAAAACAGTCCATGACATTGGAAGAGTACGAGGCAATGTTGGACGAGGAGGCCTTGGAGGGTCTTCCAGATCTCTGAGATGATCTCCGCAATATAGCTTTCATAATCTCATCATGCACTATGATAGTCGTCCAGTCAAGGCAAAGCAGGGCTTACGAGCATAAGATATGGACAAACCAACCGCTCCAGCGTCCATGGTAGGGTTCCTCAAAGCAAATATAGCCGCGAAGATGGTCACAAGGGCACTGACCAGGTTAAGTTGCCGAGAGAGCGGAGCCGATTGTCGAATGACGGTTGAGCGGAAAAGGAGCAGTCTAGTGTGACGGGAAGGTGCATGGTGAGAATAGGGATGATGGGTCGATGCAGAGCAGACATGAGAGTGATCCACCCCTGATCTATGTCAGCGACAGGGCGGGCCAAAGTAAGACAGGCCTCACAGGGAATATCAGTTCCAGCCACGTCCCTTGCCGAGCAGCTTTGGCGATCTCGACCTCAAACCACAAGATTCCTCCGACAATCCCGACCCAGAACTTGACATTCTGCCAAAAGTCTTCACTTCGTGTTCTCCTGGAGCGCCAGTCTCGGACCAAATCTTCGGCGTTCTTCTCATCGAGCGACTCCTCCGTTGAGGAAGGGTCCGACGCTAGGTAAGGAGGAAGGAGGTTGGACGCTAGTGAGTCAAGGATGACTGTAGACTCGAGAATAGAGAACTCAGGAGACATCGTAGTGGATCGGAGGGCAGATACAGAGGGTGAAGGCGGGGACTTGAAGTAGCATTTGGAGACGTACTTGGTAGCAAACCAGACGATCGATACGAAAACCAGGAAAATGGGGTAGGTTTGGAGGTATCTTTATCTGTATGTCAGGATATTGTTCGGTCTGTATGAGGCACACTCACCTTGACTGACAGCAGTGAGTAAAATTGTGGCCATTCCATACCTTGTGGCAGGACCAGCTGCCTGGCTGGGTGAGCATCGGTGCGCCCATGGCGATCGACCAGTTCATTTTAGATGGAGGTGATATTTCTTGATGTGTGTAGCAGCATGGGCTTCAATACGTAGTTGGAGGGGGTAGGAGGTGAGAATTTATACAGTCATGGATGAAGGTGGGCGATTCTGTCGCCAGGGTCAAATTGTACAAGGTCCCCGGAGAGTTGTGAACCGGTGAGGAGGCTGGGGGAGGAGCGGGCGGATATGGACAGTGCTATTATACGGTGCTGGAAAGAGAGACCGACTGTTTGGCGGGTTCGGCGCCTTGGATACAATTTGAACGCGTTCCACCAAGGCAGAGAGAGACAAACAAGACATCCAGAAGATCGCGACGCGTCGCGGTCGGACATCTCCCCTTTGATCGAGCCTAATATCAGAATTCTGCGGTAGGTAAGACGATCAACATGGCTGAGGAAGAGCGGGCGATCTGCTCGACAGTAACGTGATACGGTAGTACTATAAGACGCCAAGGTGGAGCCTTGAATGACACCGTGTAGCCCAGGAAAGGGATCCACTCTCTGCAAGATCAAGGAAGATGCATTCAGCGTCACATTTTGAGCGACTTTGGCGTGCGTGCGCCACATTTCTATACTTTTAGAACTCGTCTTCGTCCATTACAATAGCATCCGGGTTCGCCACCTCACCAGCCTGCTCCTCGCCCTCATCAATGCCGTTCGCGTTCGTCTTATTCAGCGAGCTCGCCACAAAGGAGGGCGCGCCACTTCTCTTCGCACCCGCGTCACCCAACTCTCTCTCCATCGCCGCCATAGGATCAGCAGCGTCTTGGGCTGACTCGGCAGAAGTATCCGTGGGCTTTTCAGTGCCCTTGGCAGCAGCAGCAGCCTGAGCAGCGATGAAGGATGTCTCGGTGTTGAAAGAGGCTTGGACGGCACGCTTGATACGCAGCATCTCTCGGAACGTGTCTTCAGATCCAGTGTCGACTGCAACAGGCATAAGCGGACTATTCTACCATCAACAAAGGAGCACTCACTCTCAAAGTCGTTCCATTCCTGCCAAAACTCGGGCTCGATCCTAGGATCGCAGAACTGACTCGCGTGCGCATAGATCGCCCTCGCCCGATCAATTTCACCGAGCTTCTTCTCCATTCTTGCAAACCTCTTGCACATCTCTGCAGCTTGCTTATCCGGCAAGCTGTCAAGCGCCCTCTCATAGATCGGGCGTGTGGCAGGCAGCCCAAAGTTGGCGGTCGCTTTCGCAATGTAGATGGTGTACATGTCGAACTTGTCCGTGTCTTGGACAGTGGAAGCGGCACGGTCGTAGATGCCCATGGCACGCTTGGCGAGACCGTGTTCTTCTTCGAGTTTGGCGTACATTAGGTAGAGGGGTTTGCAGAACTTGGCCGGGCAATTTTCGAGAGCTTGCTCAAACAAGTCACGGGCACGCTCCAGCTTCTTCCCGCCGTATCGCTTGACGAACTTGGAAAGGTAGATGTTCCAAATTTCAAAGGCGATGGGGAAGTGGAAGAGCTCAATACCTCGCTCGTACACTTTGAAACTCTCTTCAAAGTACTTCTGCTCCTCAAGGAAGGTAGCATAGTTGACGATGACCTGGGCGTTGGCAATCTTGAGCTCCATGATCTGGTCGTAGACCGCCTTCGTGGACTCGACATTGCCAATAGACTCCTCGAGGTCCACATAGTAAGACCAAAGTTTGAGTGATTTGAACAAACGCGATTGCGGGGGAATGTTCTGGATACTGGTCAGTCACTGACTTTAACGACGCCTGTCCACTTACATCATCGTAGTAGTTGATTTTGACATTTTTAGGTATCGTCGACGCCCGCTGCATTAGCTTGATGGCCTCCTCATAGTTCCTACAAAGGGTCAGCATGATCTCATGATCACTCGATGTACTTACTCATTCCTCAACTCCAACTCCGCCCACTCACACCAAACCTCTGCCAGCTCGTCGACACTCTTGAATGGTACTTTGACCGCCCTCTCCAGAATCTTTCTCGCCTGAGCCAGATCTGGCTCATTTCTGGGCTCTCCATTGTCATCTTTGCTTCCACCCTCCTCGTAGAATTTGGCGAAGTTGACGTATAAGGGGTAAAGGGGTCCGGTGGCCTTGCGGGGAGCGATGGTATCCAGGGCTTTGACGTAGGTCTCGATGACCTTGGCATCGTCGTCACCATAGAGGGCAATCCGCTTTTCCCATTCAACGACTTCGTTTGGGTTCCGGCGCAGAAGAACCTCGTTCACGATGAACGGCCGTCTGTCCATCAGCTCCTCGAACTTCTTCATTCTCTCATCCAGCTCTGCCTCTGTCTCTTCGACATCAAAGTCTTCGTCCTCGAGGTTGTCCTCGTCTTGTATAGCATCCATGAGGGTGGAGATCATGGTTTCGGAGAACTCGGCGTAGGCATCAAAGATCTGAGTAAAGTCGCGGATGGTGACGACCGTAGCCAAACCTTTCTCAAAGGTCGCGCTTGCCCGATCAAATTCACCGCGCTTGATCCAATACGTTGCCAGACCAGTCCAAAGTCTACCAGCCTGATCTTTGTATACGTCAAGACCATCCCGGTGGACGATACCCTCCACATCGAGGAGACGTTCGCTGGAGGGATCGGTGTCTTCGTCATACGGCAGCTCTGCAGTCTTTTTGTTGGATACGGCATCGACGGGCTTGAAGATTTTGCCAGACTCGAGGGGTACAGGTGGACCAGCAATGCGCATGAGCCGGCCGTTCACACTGGCGGGTTCCTCAGTCGGCGCACTCGGCTCCTTCTCCTTCTCCTTCTCTTCTGACTCCTCTGCTCGCTCCCTAAGGGCTTTCTCCGCTTCCTGAAGTTCCAGCGTCTGTTCTTCATCCATGCCCACCTGATCCGCATACTTTTCAATTAACTCCAAAAAGTCGACAAATAGCTGGTAGGGCGACTTGCCCTCCAGAGAGGAATAGAGGTTTTGTTGAGCTCGTCGAGCGATGGAAAGAAGGTATTTGGCGGCCGTGAGGGGACGGGAGGGAGTAGCATCGAGAAGATAAGTAATATGGCGTTCAGTGAGACTCGGGTCCACCTATAGACATGTCAATACTGTTCCATCTCGCAAGGACAGCACGCACCTTGAGATATCTTCTCCAAACCCTCTCTCCAGCATCACCACCTGCGATCTCAGCCCACCTCAGGTAGAGCCCCCAAACTCTTCCATGCAAACTTGGAGGAAGGGTTCTCAGAGCCCTATCAAATGCCCTACGCGCATAAGTCCTCCTGAAAGCAGCAGGGCACTTGGGATGAAGTAGGGCACCGAGATGGAGAAGCCATGGCACAGGCAGATTCGGGAGGCACATGATCATTCTCTCTCCCACAGATATCAAACTTCTCCATTCTTCATACCCGACCACAGGATCGAGTCCTCCAGACCAGTCGTGAGCTTCCTCAGCGCCGTCCAAAAGCTCGCGGACATTTGTCTTGTATGCCGCACCACGCTTGGCCTGCTCTGACCGCGCATCCCTGGCCTCGTTGGTCAAGCTTCCAAGGACGTACGCCTGGCGGGTCAGATAGTATGCCTTCCAGAGCTTGTAATTGGTCGGAAAGAGGGCGATGGCTCGCTCATAGATAGAGACCAGCCGCTGCAATCCGTCTCTCGCGTTCTTTGTCGCCAGCGGCCCTAAAAGTTCTTCCTCTGGCGAAAGAACATCGCCCTTCTGGGGCTCTTCCTCGGCTATCTTTGCTTTGACTTGGTGGATGTAGGACAACCATGAGCGGAGGTTTTCGGGGTTGTGGAGGAGGTCTTCTTCGACGGGGAGGTCTGCGGCGGGGATGAGCTGGGGATGGGTGAGCGGGGTGGGGATGGGGAGGGTGAGGGGGAAATGGGCCTGGAGGGTGTGGATGAGGGAGGTGGACGCCATGGTGCCCGCGATGTGGAAAGTCAGGATTGTTATGAGCGCCGTGAGTTTGAAAGAGAAGAGAGAGCGAGCGGGATCAAATCCATTTCTACTCTTCTCTATCATTCACCCTCTTCTCTTTTCGTACCCCCTCTAGATACCCTTGCAACAATTCCATGCGCCTCAGGAAGATGCCCACCAGCCACAGTGCAATTCAAGGTGTTATCGAGCGTGTTATGGCCACCCCAAACGCATTCTCGGTGGTCGAATCAGACAATGCCTGGCCTTCCTCCTCTACCAGTGCAGACACCAAAGTCCACTTGGCCGTCCTCGACTCGTCATTCAACCCACCCACTTCTGCACATCAATCTATAGCCTCCTCTATCTTCCCGCGCTTGGGTGAAGACAAGGTAGATGGCTATACAGCAAGGCTCCTGTTGTATTCCCCAAAGAATGCTGCCAAGACGCCGACGGGCAAGGATGCCACGCCTCTGCAGAGATTGGAAATGATGTCTCTCCTCGCTTCCTCTATGCGGTCCGCATCTTTGCGGAAAGAGAGCATAGCAACAGCTCTCATTCACGCCCCAAACTTTTCCTCCAAAGCGTCCATCCTCCGCTCCCACCTCCTCTCTTCCTTGGGCCCAGTGCGGGGAAAGGAAGCCGAGATGACATTCCTGGTTGGAATGGACACGCTTGTGAGAATATTTGATCCCAAGTACTATCCCACGGGGGAGATGCACGGGATCCTGAGAGAGTTCTTTGAAGACTCGGGAGCGAGGGTGGTGTCAGCGAGGAGGGGAACGAGCGAGGCAGATAGAGTCTTTGAGAAGGATCTGCTGGGGAGAGACGACGTAAAGGGCTGGGTTGGAGATGGTAAAGTCAGGGTATTGGGTGACGGGCATGATGGATGGGAAGATATCAGCAGTACACTCGTACGAGAGGGTGTCCGGAGGGGAGACTGGTCGAGTGTCAAGAAGCTGGTGGGAGACGGGGTAGCCACATATATACAGAGGGAAGGGTTGTTCAACGGGTCTGATTAACGACAAGGCAATGAAACTTATGATATGTCCTTGATGAATATGCCATAGCCCTTAGCGATACAAATGCTCGAATAACTATTGCGTCCCCATGATCCTCAGCATCAGCTTTCTCGCCTCCGACCTTTTACCCGTGTCCTTCTTGGCCACCTCCAAATGGTCCCCTTTGGCTTCTCTCCTCTCCTCGATTACTTCATCGCCCCTCTCTCCTTCCTCCACATACTCCTCCCTTATCCTCTTCACCAGGACTTTCGGCACGTCCAAACCCCATCGCTCCATATCCTTGATGACCCCCACCATTTCTCGCTCGACCTGTTTAGTCAAAGGCGCGAATTCTTTGGTGATTCCCTCGGGAGAAGGAAAGCATGTGGAAAGGTCAAAGCGGGCCCAGCAGCATCGAATGAGCGCATGGAAGTATCGTTTCCCTTTGGCGCCCTTCATCTCCCAAACCACAACCCATTCATCCACCCACCGCTTCCTGACCTGCCCATGCAGCTCGAGCGCCAACACTCCCAGTCCCACCACCGGGGGCAGCCTGCCCGAACCCCTTGGAAGCTTGACGCCTGTCAACGATTTGCCGTTTGCAAGTGCTGATTCACGTTGAGCATACGTCCTCATGAGGGTGGTGAATGCTTCCTGTGGGAGCAGCATTTCGGGCGGGGGAGCAGAGAGCAGAGGGTCATCGGCGAGAAGGTCCTGGAAAGCACCACGCTCCGAGTAGAGGGCAATGTTGTATACTCTTTGGGCGAGGCCAGGTTTACCGGCATTCTCGAGGCCCTTGAGCAACGAGGTGTATATTCTGGGCGTCAACCGCGACGACTTGAGCCGGCCGCTTTCCCCGACTACCAGGCCCATCTCCTCGTCACCTTCTCCAAGCTCGGCCTTCTCTGAAGCAAGGTAAGGAATGAGCTGATAGATCAAAGCTTCCAGCCTCGAGAATTGTGATGTCGCCGAGAGATGTCTAATAAACTCTAGCACCGACGCTTCGTTCGCTTCCGGCATATCCTTCTCTTCGGGTAATATCACATTGAGCCCACCCCCGACCTTTGTAATGTCCCCCTGGGCAGCCATCTTTCTCCTTGAAAAGAACTCGCGCTTGTCCATCTGGTCCTCTGGACTCGGAAGGGCGAGACCGCTGAATAAGACGCCTCCTACTTCTTCAGCAACTTGATGCTGCTTCAAACGAGAAGCGCCACCGAGTATGATATTCCAAGCATCCGGTGCTCTACCGCCCATCTTGAAAGCCGCCTTCATGTAGCCTAATAGAGCAGCGACGATGTCTGGCGCTCTCAGGGAGCGGAAGCCGTAAGACAGGAGCACAAGGGAAGAGGACCAGGAGAGAGGCGGGAGTTTGTAGGGGCTGTCTTGAACGAGGGGGACGGGAAGATTCTCCGAGTTGATGACAGGGGGCAGGTCGGGCGATGGCAGCACCCTCTGCTCCGCTTCGTGGGCTGCCTGTATCATACCCATGTTGGACGCCGACATCGGCGGGCGCCACAGGAGGCTCATCAACATGACGTGAGTCTGAGTAAATGCCGTGAACGCCCAATCATCACCCTCGGGTTTGGAGAGGAGAGACTCGGGAAAGACGTCAGGCTTGAAAGGTGCGCGATGGGCGGCTTGGAGGAGATGACGGAGAGCGAGGATGGGGAGGGTGCGGGAGAGTACGGTGTTGGCTAGTATTGCCAGCGCGCGCATGGAAGAGGCAAACTCGTGTGGAGTCACAAGTCTGGGGTTCAGATCCAATGACGATACGATAGTATTGAGTAGGCCAGAATGGGGGGCAGGAACGATGGAGGGAGGAGAGGTGGCGAGGGGTACAGGAAAGTTGCGCATCTTCTCAGGTAATGCGATATTCCTCGGATGCCATAGGTCCAGTCGGTCATGCGGCGACAGAACCTCCCCAGGCCATTTCCACGTCCTGATGCCAGTCCACCACCTTGCCCCTCTCTCTTGCTTCCATTCCACCCACTCTCTTGGCGGGCCACCACCGGGATGAAAGTCCTCCGGGGATGCTCCCTCTGCGACACGACCTTCAGTGACCCATTCCTCGACGAGGCCGACGTATATCTTGGCGGCGATGTGGGGCTGAGACTCTGCGCAGCACGCGCGGATGATGAGGTTGTACATCTCGGGCGTACGAAGATAGCGCACGTCTTGTAGTAAATCGAGCAAATCGAGTAGGGATTGCAATCGGGGACTTGGAGGAGGCGGTTGTTGTTCAAGGAGGGTAGGCTTGAGATTGTACTTGGGATTTTTGGGTTTGGGTTTACCCTCAGTCAAATGAAAGATGCTGCGATGGGCAAAGAGGGCTTTGAGCGTCTTTACGTGGACGCGATTTCGCCGGGCCATGCGAGGGGCTCCTCTTAGAGCATGCACTACCACGCTCGTCGCAAGATTGCCCTTCTTGTTGCGTATCAGATGGTGGACCAGTATATGCAGCTCCAGCGTTGATAGCGAAGCGATATACTCTTCCGACTTGAGACTGGCAAGTCTCATCGATCTCAGGATGGTCCCCGTAAGGATCTCAGGATTGCCGTAACTCGCTGTCGATAGCGAGTCAAGCTTTTGCCGAAACAAACGCGGTCCCTGTCTCGATGAAGACGCCGAGGGGGAGGGTGGCTGGTAAGGGAGCCTTGAGGGACCAGCACCATAGTCTTGGCCATAGGGCTCATCATGTTGGATGCGGGCTTGGGCGGCTGAAGAATGGGCTCGCCGGGGGTGCAGCCTGACTTTGATACGACGAAGCATTTTACTGAGAGGACGGTTAGATGGTTACACGGGACAGAGAATGTACTTACGGGGATATACCTCTCGATTCGATGTAACCACTCTATAGCCGTTCCATTCAAGCGATCTGCAAGCTGCCAGCGACATTAGTACGCCCTCGACAGTGGCTCTGTATCACTCACAGCACTGTACTTGTTTTGGTCAGACCCCTCCGAGAATATATATGGACTGTGACTGCGAGTGGATTATTACAGGCCAATGGCATATTTCGGAAAATCGCGAGAGGACGATGAGCATTCCACGTGGGTGGTTACGTAATAGTGCCACACTCATTTGCCACCCCCTTAGTGCCATCTTTCCATTGTTCTTTCATCCAACTCCCTCTTTTCCCTCTTTTCCCTCTTTTCACTCTTCCCGCCCAGTTGAATGTCTGCCCTATTGGAGTACGCCTCTCCCCCTCTCTCCCACACCCACGCTCACCCGCCCAGCATGCCTCCCCGCTCCACACTACCCACCCCCAAATCTCGTCCTCCACCCGCCTCTTCCTCCTCCCACGCCCACTCTAGTGCCCACACATCCTACACCAACGCTCCCAAGCCTTCAGGCCTCTCCACCTCGCGCCCAGGCACCCCGTCATCGCATTCTCGCAAGAGTGCTTCTCAGTCGCGGAACGAGTCCCCGGCTAGACATCAAAGGGAGCCCATGGAAAAGGCGCCTTTCACGCCTTCTCCCAGACCGCAGAGGAAAAGGAGAGGAAACCAGCCCTCCAATCAGCGTTCCGAGTCTGAGCCCCAGCCTGCGTCGCCCGAAGAGGAAGATGCTGCGTTGTTTGATCTGCTCGGAGTCGCCCCTCCGCCCAAGAAGGCCGAGCCAGAACCTCAGCTCGAGTCGAGACGGGGTGTCATTGTGCTTCCCGAAGGCCAGGGTTTGAATGGTACAAAGAAGCAGAAGAACCGAAGAAAGAATAAGAAGACCCCAGAAGAGGACATTCGGGATGACGGTCTTCCTCGGGATCAGGCGGAAAGCTCTAGGCGAAAGAAGAAGCCCGTCAAGCCCATGCTCACCGAAGCTTTCTCTGCCCCTGCCCAACAACTCTCGCAGCCATCGTCTATCGACTCGCTTATGGCTTCCGCCACCAAGAACTCGCCGCCCTTCTCTACTTCCTCTCCCAAACCGCGTTCGCGGGATGTCAAGAGGGCGGAGAATGACGGTGCGTACGAGACGGCGTCGTTGAGTAAGAGTCTGCCGGCGGATGTGGGTGGAGCGAGTCTGATGGCGTCCGGTGTCAAGACGAAGAAGGGGAAGCAAGAAGATGAGAGTGCTGTCTGGGATATGCCGGAAGGGTCTGGTAGCCAAACGCTTACTGTAAGTGTTGACAATGTCCCCTGAATCACCATATTGAACGCGCAACAGTGGCAACAAAAGCTTGCTCGGACCGAGACGCCTCCCCGAAACAGCCGAAAAGGTTTCGCCACAGAGCGCAAACCCAAGTCCAAGTTGTCCACACTTTACAACCCTTCGACTGCCTCAAACTCTTCTTCGCGCCCCAGTCACGGCCGCAGACTCTCGTACGACTCGCTCGCTCAGCCATACCACCTCTCCCAGCCCTCTATTACCGCCCTTCCCCCTGCCTCGCAGAGAGAGAACCCGTCTCTTTCCGGGGTACCGATTTCGGCGTTCGACGGACATATTCCGTTCCACACGGGCTACAACGTACACCGTGCCCCCCAAACACCAGCCAAAACGGTTGCTACCGCGCACGGAAACCTGCTCAACGGAGATGGCTCTTTGCCTCTCATCCCTGGAGAATTCCCCAGGCTTCAGAGCGAGGGCTCTGGAAGTGGCAGTATTGGAAGTGGCAGTATTGGAAGTGCTGGAGGCAAGGGAATGGGCATGAAATATGCCGGTCCGACGTTCCACAACTCTCCTCATGCGACTACGCTCAGCAAGCCGGACATGGAGGACTTTTAAGGGTATTTCAAACTCTTGTTCAGCACCTGTCTGCATTTTGGGAGCCTCCCTCACTCTTTCACCCTCGACCACCCACTCATCCCTCTTCATCTCACCACCAACCATGTGTATAATTAACGCCAATTATGCCCAATCGTTTTCAACTCTACTGTGCTACCACGGCGTCTATCAGTGCCCCTGCTCCTTTTCTCATACACGAACGTTGTTTTGGGACCAACAACACACTGTATACATCAATCCAACATCGAATCTTTCTTTCTCTTAGCTTGGCCTTATATTGTTCTTGGTTTTTCCTCACGGACAATGGGCCTTTTCAAGTCTTTAGGACTTGGCAGTCATTACCTCGTCCTATGAGGTGTATTCGGAAACATACATATTGTGCTTGTACCCCTATCATGACTGTACACTCTAGCCATCATCTTTTTCTTTTGACTCTTTCTTTATTTCGCCTCTCTTTATTTTGATATACCCCCACTTGACCGTCATATCCATACCTTTTCCTATCATCCGACACTATTCCTTCATAAGTAGTACTTATTACCTTTTCTGTACCGACACCTCTCGAGGTCTTTGTCGTCACCCAAAGACCTCAGCACCATCAACATCACTATCAGGAGACGGGAAGGGTTGTAGGGAGGAGAGGAGGTTGGGAGTATGAGTAGAGGGAGGGTGTCGCTCAACCGGCAGTCCTCGGGATGGAGGCATATGCAACGTCGTATACCTCAACTTTGTCATCAGTCATAAATTGATCAATACATTCGCGCCCATTATTATTATACGGTACTCTATCATATAGCAAGCCCAACGTACTCCTAAGCTAAAAGTTCCAGACTGTAGAGAGTAATACGACCATAGTGGTCGGATGACTTTTCAAATTCGAGCTTGATTTCTCTGATTTGGGGGACGGGTTTGGATGACTTTACTGGGACGACACCGTCTTCTGTTGATGCTACGGTAGACGGGAATGGAATCCTACATGTACAATCAGTCTTCCATTGAGTAAAGAAAGAGAGGACATACTCAAAGATCTGTCTCCGGTTCTTATCCTCCGGGTAAATCCTACCTCCCAGCTCCAACCCCAGCTCAACCTCCCCCTCTCTCTCCGAATCAATCTCTTCTCCCACCCATACATTGACACTAGTCCCAACAAAACCCCCTTGGAACGTCAGGGCCAAATGGCTCGCTTGCGGCGCTTCTCCAGCCGGAAAGACGAGATGTACGAAGGGTGCCGTGAGCGGCGAGGGGGTGGACGTAGATGCCGAAGGAGCGGAAAGGGATAGGGGGAGGTTCTCGCCGGAAGACGAGTGGGGGGAGAGGATGTGTTTCTTGGTGGACCCTGGGAGGGGTGCGGAGGTTCTGTGGGCGGAAGAGGTCAGCGGTGGAGGTACGAGCGAGCGATGGGGTTACATGAGCTTTGTGCCCTTGGGGAGGACGCTTTGCAGGGACATAGCTGTGAGTTGGGGGATCCAAAAGTCAGAGGAGAATAGAAATGCAGCGTATCGAGAGAATGGAGAGGTTATAGCCGGCGGCGAGGCCCGCTTTCCATCCGCTCTTCTTCTTCGACATTTTCCACATCTGCCCTTGCCATAAAAACAGCCAACGGAAAAATGGCGCGCACTTCTCTCCTCAGACCCCTCTCAGCCCTCGCAGCTTCCCGCTCCGCCTTCGCCCCCTCCGTCACCCGCGCAGCGAGGTTCATCAACACTGGGCCCACACATGCGGCCGGCGAGGCTGGCATCGACTACCGTGTATTGGAGGGCATCGACGGCTTCCTGCCAAAGGAGAACTTTGACAGGATCACAGAGTGGCAGGGAGGTCTCTGGGAGAGGCTCCAGAGGGAGGTCAACAGTGCGTCTTTGCGGATCCTTGCTTTTGACGAGAGTTTTGGACGAGTCGCTCATTGGAGACATAGACAACCCTGCGCTCGCCGAGACCAAGCAGAAATGGGACACCAAGGGCCTCGATATTGTCGACCTCCTCGGCGTTTCAGCAAGAGATAAAAGCTTGAGCTTGACTTACAATTATGCTGCTCTTTTGGCCAACAACTCTTTCTTCTTGGACACTCTTGTAAGTGCACCCTCGTTGCCACAAGCAGGTATATGAGCTGACAAGAATACAGAATCCCGATGCGAAGAAGACCCCTGATGCCAAGTTTGCTTCTCTGCTGGAAAAGCTCGAGGGCTACGCTGAAGGTATCGTCGGTGGTGGCTGGTTATGGGTACGTCCCCTCCTCTATTCTCTTTGCCGTATCTCACACTTTCCCTCTAGATCGTCAAGACCGGCGACCGTGAAGAGGACATTGACATCATCCCCACCTTTGCTTCCGGCACCCTTCTCATCCCCGGTCGCGCCCAATCGTCCCGCGCAGCCCAACTCTTCCAACAACCTCTCCACTCTTCCACCTCCCTCCCTGAATCCTCCTTGCCCGCTTCCGACGCCGAGGCCGCCCCCGAAGCTCCCCCAAGCAAAGCCGAACAGACCAGGCTCGCTAAAAAGACCGTCGGCGCCTACCCCTCCCCTCTCGCCGTCGTCAACCTTTACGAGCTCGCATGGCTCGGTGACAAGTATGGTGTATGGGGAAAGAAGGAGTATGTGAGGGATTGGTTCAACAGTCTGGACTGGGAGAAGGTGAAGCAGAGGCATGCTCAAGTTTATGCTTGAGTAGAGGGGCTGTAGAGCATGCAGATCAGTTGAGTCGGTAGAACGGACCTGAATGATGCTCGACGACTCGGGTGCATAATATCTACAGGGAGAAACACTAACAGAAGCCACTACCAACTATCAAATGAGCCTGCTAACCAGAGTCCGTATTATAAAAAGGCTAAAACAAGATCGAAATACTGTCCAGGCGCCACTACCAATGTCCAAACAAAGTCCTTCAGTCAACTATACTATAAACACCTCATCAACTCTCGTCTCCCATCGCTTTCAAGCCATCACCATATCCACTGAGCTCCCAGACTCAATCTCCACAACCATATCCTCATCCTGCTCTTCCGCACTCGCAATCCCCATCTTGCTCATAAAAGCAGCGAGGAAAGCGTCGGCCGGGTCCTCACAGTCATCGCTGGGCGAGACATGCACAGGCACAGGGGTAGGGACAGAGGAGGGTGAAGGTGGAGGGAAGTAGAGGGAAGGCAAGGAAGGCACTCGGCGGGGCTTAGGCGACCGGCGCCTGGTGGGGGATGTACAGCCGGTGCTGGGCACACGGTTTATCTGTCGCTTGACGTATCGGCCACATGTCTGAGCGATGTATCGTTGGATGCACTGTTCCAGGTCAGCTTGGATACTGTGAGCTGAGAGGGATAAATAGACTTACAGGTCGTTTGGCACTGCAGCAAGAAGCTCCGCACCATGAACGCCCCAGACTCGCACCGCAGGTGGTGGAAGAAAGGGTGGGAGAAGGGGACGAGTGGGTGGTTGGGGTGGAGCACTTGTGACCCTCCTCGTCGACAGACTCTCGCTTACGCTTGGGACTTCCGGGGGCGCTGAGAGTGGGCGGGGTGGTAGGTGTGGTGGGAGTGCCGGGAGTGACGGAAGTAGTAGAGTTGGAGGCAGGCTGCTCGTAGAAAGCAGAACGGAAAGCGGCTTCAAACGCTTCATCGCCCATGGTGCTGACAGACGACATCAGGTCGGCCATACGGGTGGCTATCTCATCCACGCTTTGGGCCTGAGACAGAGGGGCGATGCACTGGGCTGGTGGCTATGTGAGTCGGGGGTGGAGGTGAGAAGGGGGAGGAAAGCATACTAGGGAAGAAAGCGGACACGGGAGAAGTCGTCACAGCAACAGGGGTAGTGGGGGCGATACCAGTAACAGGAATGGAGTTGAGAGCCTGCTGGTTGGCTAGAGAGAGTCATTCGGTCAGCGGGAACGATTCAAAAAAGGGCAAGGGCACGTACAGTTGGGAGTGGCGACGTCGTCGGTCATGTAATCAGCAGCGGTAGCTCTGGCGAGCTTCGGCAGAGATTTGGGACGAAGAGAGAGGCGGCCGGCCAAGGACATGATGGAAAGTTTTTTGTGGGTGGGAAAAATCCAAAAATGAACTGGGATGGGGATGGGAGGTGAAGGTTTTGAGCGTCTGAAGACAAGTGGTGTGGTTTCGGGGTTTGAACTAGCGTAGACGATGGTCTTTTGCTCGGGTTGTCAGAAGACGATGGGAAGATAAAAGAGAAATGAATCGGGATGGGAATGGCTGCTCTATAGTACCCCGAGGCTGAGGCTGTGCACTCGGCCATGGCGGATATGGGTCGATGCTGGGAAAAAATGCGTCGCGCGTCGCGCAGGGCAGAGCAGAGTCAACTTCAAATCTGGTTCTTGCCCACTATTGACCCTAGAGCATTCATTCGAGCTCTCATGCATAACCAGAAACTGAATTCACCCCTCTCACCAATACCGTAAAGATCCATTCAAGCACCAGAGGACTATCACCTTCAAAAGGTCATTCAACGCGCGGTGCGAAAGGTGGTCTGGCGGAGTGGAGGCGGTGGTTCCTGCGTGCCTGGAGCTATTTAGCCTGATTTCCCCTCTGGGCAAGTTTCGCCCGTCAGCATGATTGTGGCACTCGTGTGGCAGTTCTGCTTGGGGTTTGTTTTGGTGCAGACCCTTGGGTGGTATGCAATTTGACAATGCATGCATGAGGGTTGATGCATATATGACATCTGGTATTGTGAGTCTGGTACGTAGTCGTCGCGCTACGGTGGTCCGGGCAGTTGAACGATGCTCCCCACCTGTGAGGAATGAGACATCCTCAAGGACCAAGACATATACAGTGGGGCCAGTACAAAGGGTGTGGATTCGGCTGAGCGAAGAATGTTAGTTGACATGATTGCAGCTCAAAAACTAGACGTGCTTCAGAGGTGATTTGCTTCTATATGCGTACGTTATAATAGTATCCAACAAAGTCTCCTGTGCATATGTACATCAACTATGATACATACCACGCATACTGAGCAATCCTACTTGTAGGTGGAAAAAAGCGTCAGGTCTACTCCTCACATTCGGCCCCTTCCTCCACTTCAGAGCCAAATGGCTTCTCTGGTATGCACGGGTTGCGTGTAGGGGCAGGCAGAGAGTCTCAAGGCTACCGGACTGGCGCAGGAGAGGAAAGCATTGAGGCAAAAGTGTTCAAGCGAGTTGATCACTATTTGTTTCAGAGTGAGTTGACAACTTGGCCCAAAACGCGCGACCTATGGTCTCTGTACTGAATCGTTTCATCAGCTTGGCCGAATGTCTCAGGGGGATGTGTTTTAGTGGTAAAATTTATCTTTCGCACGCAGCGGACGAATCTAGATGAGCCCTGGGTTCGATTCCCAGCATCTCCATAAACCCTTCATTCTTTTTTTTACGCTTTTTGCCTCGTGAGATGTCTGGCTTGCCGAACGACATGGAAGCTCGCCCTTTTCACAGGGCACTGATTTCTTGAAATGTTTGGCATGAAGCGTAGATCGAAGAGCAGCCTATGCAAAAACAACACTGCTCTGAGTGTACTACGTACTACTCCTCCGTGAATGAAGACGTCACAGGGAGAAGCGGTCAATGCCGCCGCAGAAGTCTGCATGTAATCTCCCGAATTCATCTCACGAGTCACAACAATCCTCTTCTGCAGCGACAATGTTCATTAAAAGGGCAAAACCACGCCCCTCCCTCAGAGCACGCGAGTCAGACGCCCCTGACTCCCCCGCCACGTCCTCTCCACTGGCCAAGTCCTCCATCACCGCCGGCGACGCCCAGGATCCCGACAATTCCGCAGACATCGACCTCGAAGAGGGCAGTGGCAGTCTCCTCGGGCGGAAGAAAGCGGGCAGGAAGGACAAAACAAAAGACCGGCTGAAAAAGGGTGGTAGGCTGAGCTTTGGTGGGGAAGGCGAAGATGAAGAAGAGGCTTTCAAGCCAAAGAAGTCACTGTTATCACAGCAGATCAAACTTCCACCCACACCGGGGGGCGATAGCTACGCAGCACCTGCACCGTCAGCGAGCGGCAGCTCTTACTCTCAAGAGTATCTCTCTCAGCTGAAAGCTGCTACACCGACACGCGCTCCCCGGAGTGCTACCGACTCTGCTGGGGACGACGAAGATATCGATGCTTCTGGTCTTAGTCGGCTAGCCCGTCAGAAATACGGCTCTAGCATCGCTCAGGATACCACCGCTGGTATACCTGATGCTGCTACCATCGCCGCCGCAAAGATGAAGAGGCAAGCTGGGCTCGGCCAGAGCTCGTCGAATGGAGACGGCGGCGAGGATTACATCTCTTTGTCGGAAGGCGGTGGTGGTGGTAGGATCGCAATTTACGATGGACAACAGGGTCCCCATCCGGAAAGCCGATTGATGCGGGAAGAAGACGAGACTGGTGATGGCGATGAAGGTATGTACTTTGAGAGTTGTTGGGACTTGCTCTAACTTTTGCGCAGATATGGCAGAATTTACCGAGGCAAAAGACCGATTGTACTTGGGCAAAGACGCAAAGAAGGCTGCTGCGAGGCGGCTGCGAGGCGAAATAGGTGACCTTATCGCGGACAGGTGCGTCCCGTACATCGTGTTCTGGACGTAACTGACAATCTTGCAGAGAGGCCGACATTGAAGATGATGAAGAAGCATTGGAATGGGAGAAGGCTCAGGTCCAACGGTCGGGGATGTATGAAGATGAGAGATCAGAGAAGACCCTCCGAAAAGGTTACACTCCCGCCCCTATCCCTGTTGCCCGACCGCCCCCTACAATACTATCAGCTTCCTCTCGCCTCACAAAGGCTATGGGCGACATCCAAATATCAAAGACTGAGAGTGACCGCAATCTTGATATTGTTATCCAGGAACTTGCCGAGCTGGAAGGACAAGAGAAAGATCTGAGAGTCGCAGTTGAAAAGGCAGAGGACAAGAAGGAGTGGATGGAAGAATTTAGAGGCTGGGTGGAAATGCTTGGTGGTTTCTTGGAGGAGAAGGTTTGTGCACTTTCGCCATTGGTAGACATTTCACTGACTTGATTTCAGTTCCCAAAACTCGAATCCATCGAGAACGATGCTGCCCATCACATCAAAGAACGCTCCGATATCGTCCGCAAACGTCACGAGGAAGATGATGGCGACGACCTCTCGCTCTTCTTGGGTGTCCCCCGGCCTGCTGCTGGAGAAGAAGAAGTGGATCAACTTGGTCGCGTCAAGGATATCAACCGTGAAGCTGGACCAAGCTCTGGTGTTAGGCGCGGAAGAAGAGAGGAGAGAGGTGCTCGTCGACTACGACGTCAGCGCCAAAATCGCGGACCCGCCAGTGTCGACGATGACGGTTTCTCAACCGACTCTACCCTGGCGGACGCGGATATCCAGGACTATACCGCTGCCCAAAACAAGCTTGATCACCGTGTTCACGCTTTGATGCACGATGTCAAGGCGGAAGATTTCAAAGACCCGAATAAGGGGTTGGCGGTCAAGTTTGGTGGCTGGAGACAGCGCGATGAGGAAGAGTACTCGAGCGCGTTTGGTGGTCTGGCTTTGGTACAAGCCTGGGAGTTTTGGGCTAGAGCAGAAATGGTCGGATGGGAGCCTCTAAGGGTACGCAACTCTTACTCCCTGGGTGAATATCGCTGATAGAGGCTTAGGGATCAGCATCAATAGAGTCCTTCGGGTGGTTCGGATCGCTATACCGCTACTGCCATCCGCCAGTGCAGCATGCCGACGAGGACGACGACATGGACGATGCCCCTCTCAGCTGCGATGGTGATCTCGTTGCGTCTATGGTCTCATCTGCTGTCGTCCCTCTTCTCACAAAGACCTTCGAGGCAGGAGCATACGACCCGTACTCTGCTCCACAAACAAGAAGAGCGGTAGATCTAGCAGATGTGGTGGCTGAGCTGACTGGCAAGGATAGCCGAAAGTTCACTGTGCGTAACCCTACCCTTTATCTCTATGTCACTGACGCACGGGACAGGCTCTGCTCAAGGCTGTTCTGACAGTCTTCCACGAGCATCTGATATCCCTCTCCACAAGTATTGCGCAAGCCACCTCCTTCGATGCCATACAACCTCCTGCATTCGATCCAGCGACCAGAACAGCGATGGTGAGATACGTCCGCCGCAGGATAAAGCTGCTCAAAAATATTTTGCTTTGGAAGAGAGAGGCGCCGCAGGAGGTGAGGGAGCTTGTTGTGAGGCTTGTGGGTGAAGTTTTGAGGCCTATCCTGTCTCGGCATTGGGACGGGGGCGGAAAGGAGATGGGATTGAAAGTAGGTTCTGCGAGTGGGCAGCAGAGGACCACGCTCATCTTTCTTGCAGGTATTGTCAATCGCAGAAGCTTCACTACCGCCGGATCTTGTGCAGTTCTTGCAGCAGGGCCCGAATGTCCGGTGGCAATGATCGGCATGCATTGAATGACAAGTAGCTGACCGCAGACCAAATGCCTCGTTCTCTCTCAAGTCATTCCCGAGATCATCAGAGTTCCCTTCCCCGCACCGACGAGGCGACTTGTCCAGGTCTTCCGACCGTCATCCACGACAAGTCTGCCAGATCATATGCTAGCGGGAGATCGAATCACACGGTTCTCTGGCGCTTTCGTTTTCCTGGGGCGCCCGTTGAGTGAGGTCCGATGCCTCAGACCAACGTGAGTGTCCTCCGTACTGGGTCAATGCCCAGTTTGGGCGAGGAACAAGATACGTTTGAGTTTGTTCCAAACCGTTGACAGTCATATAAATCAAGAACGATTTCCGGCCATTATAAACATTGTATATGCATACAGGCTCCTACTCCTCACTACAGGGTCAAGCAAGTGTTGATTGGGCTAGTGTCGTCCATCCACGACTCTAGTCATGTAGGCGGCAATGGCGAGCCGGGCATACCAAGCAGATCGACATTGCCCTTGAGTTCTTTCGTCTGCTCATTCTGCTCAGCTAGTCCAATCAAGTGCTCGTACTCCTCTGGCCCCGCGGCTTTACAAAGATCTTGGAAACGACCTTCTTGTCCGATCAACTCGAAGGGAGAACCTTGTTGAATGAGATTACCTTTGTCCATAACTAGGATTTTTGAGCAAGGCATGATAGTCTGCACGAGGATCAGCTTGTCATGGATGTGGACATGGGGTGACTTACCCGGAGACGATGAGCAATAATAAGAACAGTGGCATTTGTGAATTCCTCGTGGACGACTCGGCTAATTTCAGCATCGGTAGCAGAGTCGATAGAGGCAGTAGCCTCGTCCAAGATCAAGACCCGATGCTTCTTCAACAGGGCTCGAGCGAGGACGACCAGTTGCTTTTGACCAGTCGACAAATTCTCGCCGCCGCCTTTGATCTCGGATTCCAGGTTGGAAAAGATATTGTCTTGCTGGTCGCGCGAGTAGCGTTTTTTGCTATCGGAAGATGGCCCAACTTCTGTTGTGTCGTCCACAAGTAGGTCAGGATATGACGGAGACGATTTGAGAAGTTGCACTTGGCGAAGCGCGTGGTAAAGCTCCTCGTCCGAGTATTTCCCTTCGATGTCAAGGTTGAGTCGCAATGTTCCCGAAAGAAGAATGGGGTCTTGAGCGATGATACCGAGCTTGGATCGAACTGCCCCCAGCGGCATCTGTGCAATGTCTACGACACACGGTGAGCACATGTCTCGACATTAGTGGTGTCAGACAACTTACCCTTCCCGTCGATTTCAATCTTTCCTTTTGTGACATCACAGAAGGAGAAGAAGGCTTTTGCCAGAGTGGACTTCCCGCCACCAGTGGCACCGACGATCCCAACTCTCTCGCCGCCGTCAACGCTGAACGTCACATTATGCAGGATCTCAGGCATGTCAGGTCCATATCTGGCACATAGACCGTCAACGTTCAGCTGACCGTGCTCAGGCCAACTTTCCGCACTCAATTCAGATTCGTCGACAGAATTGTCTCCATCAGCAGCATACTTCGCGTCATCCGCTCGAAGCTCAGTACCGTCCTCTCGTGGAAGAGTGCGGTATTCGGAGGTTCGTTCAAGACTGACCCCCTTCAGCTCGAAGTTGCGGACGTGGAGCAAAACCCAGTTCATGTTGGAGGAGATGGTACCGGCGAATGTAAGGACAAAGCCAGCCACGGCCCCCGTAGTAGACGCTTGAGAGAGGAGCAATACGAGAGCCGTGGCCTCTATCACGAGAGATACCATCCTCAAGCTCACTGCAAGTTCGGTGATGAGCGCATCCATGGACTGTAGGTAATTTTGGGCTTACAAAAGAGCCAACGGGCGATAGCAATGGTCCAGATGGTGGCCGTGATCTTCATGTTGGTCCATCTCATCAAGTCTGACCATCTGTCAGTATATCCGCAGCTTTCAAGCTGACAAATGACTCACCATCAAGGAAAACGGATTGGGCACCGAAAGCTCGGATGACGGTCGTTCCAGCCACAGTCTCGCCATAGAGAGCATTGATGGGACCCCCAAGAACAGCCTGCAATCGCCGGACCTGTCGCGACGAGGCACGATACCATTTGGCCGGTGTATAAGTGGCTGCTATCAGGATGAGTGTAACCAGCGCGAACGACCAGCCCCCGAAATAAGACACGGAAACAAGACTGATCACGACTAAGAGAGGTATCAGCCTAGACCCTTCCGCTGCAGCAGACAGACTCACTGTTGAATCCACCTGAGGTTATCTCAGTGAGCAGGTTTGAACAATCAAGGATATCGTTCTACAAATGATGGTCAGCTGTAGTCTCTATGATGGAGCGAAATTGCGAATATAGCTTACAAGATCTTTTCCGAAGCGCTGGATGATCGATCCCGCTCTAGTCTTAGTGAAGAAGAGCATCTTGGCGTGAAGTATGGATTCCAGCATTTGGCCGTGTACCTAAGCACCAATATCGTAAGCGACGATGTGTTTACTCTACTGGCGCCACGACTCACAATCCTCATCGCACGCATATTACCCCAGAAACTGTAGATGCTGTAGGTGGTGTCAAGAAGTACTCGGGCGAGTGACGCCTAGAAAGCTCGAGGTTAGTATCGGGCAAAGGATCATGCGGGTTAAGGAAGACTTACGGTAGCGTAAAGGATAATCCAGAACCCGACAGAATGCCTGATCGATGATTCGCCATCTTCTCCGGTCCATCCCCTGCATCATGAGTCAGCAAATAAGCACCAGTTCTGAACAGACAATACAGACGAAAGTATGGTTCTCTCAGCAACGGGCATTGAGACTGATACCAGCATCAGGATCACAGCCCCAAACCAGTAGACTTTGTTTCCATTGAACTTGAGAAGGTTCTTCCAGTGGACAAGATCGACAGCTCCAGAAGCTCTTTCTTCTTCCAGCACAAGCTGCTTGGGGGTTTTCGGTATGGCTTCGCGGATTTCGAAGCTGTCCTTCTGAGCAGCAATATCCATATTGTCAGATTTTTTAAGGTCAGCCTTGCTTTCAGGGCTCACGGACGTGGTCCCTTCGGCCTTCAGATCATCGGTGCTGGGCAGCCGACTCGGCAACCTGCTAGGCATCCTAGACTCTGTTTTAAGATGCGTCATATGCTGGCTATCGAGCAACTCCCTTCCAGTTCCCTGCCAAAGGCATTTCCCGTCATCGAGATAGATGGCGTGTTTGGCCAGGGGAGCCAGCGACTCAACAGCATGTGATGCCAGAATAACGGTTCGGCCTTCCATGAGCTGTGAGTTGAAACAGTGCTTGATGATATGCTGGCTCGTCTGGGCATCCACAGCAGAGATAACGTCGTCCAAGAGCAAGACAGAGGCTCGGGAGTAGACAGCACGGGCGAGCGAAACACGAGCCTTTTGACCTCCTGAAAGAAGTTTTCCCCGTTCTCCGATTTCCGTGAGGTCGGCGTCTTCGAGAAGCTCGAGATCAGGCATAAGACCTGTAGCAAAGCAAACAGATTTGTAGCGTTCAATGTCAAAGGGAAGGCCGAAGGTGATGTTGTCTCTGATACTTTGGCTCAACAACCATGGTGCCTATTTATTGTTAGCGATGCTGCTGATTATCGAGCGTATGATACTCACCTGGGGAACGTAAGCTACACCCTTTCGTATCAGACTCCAGTCAGTTCCGCTGCCGATCGAGGAGTCCATGACGGGAGAGACAGTGTACGATATCTTTCCCTCGATCAGTCGTGCCTCGCCTAGAAGAGCAAGTAGCAAAAGTGATTTTCCTGAACCAAACTTGCCGGCCACAAGTGTCAATTGTCCACGAGGGAACTCGACGTTGAGATCCAAAAGTTTGAACCCAGACTTGTCTTCGTCTGCTGTCTCGACCACTGTTGCGCTACCGTCGGCCGGAGATGAGGAGGAAGATGAAGGCATGTAGAGCTTGGGTACGTCCCATCCGATAGTACCGACCACATACAGGGGTCCGTCATCGACGGTAGAGTCATGCTCTGGGGAGGAGGCCGTGTCGTTGTCGAAGTATTCGACGTCAGGAGCCGAGAGGAAAGTGGCGATTCTTCGAGCGCCCAGGATTTCCTGCAGAAGCTCTGCGATACTCGAGGGAAGATCCAAAAGCGCAGGTCGAAGTTCGTTGAAGACAGCAATCGAGGTCTGATCAAATCGTCAGTCAAAACGTGATGTGGATCTGAAACAAAGCTCACAAAAGCGATGGTTGCGGTGAGCTCCTTCTTTGCAACGAGAGTGTAATGAGCGAAGGAAACGAGGATAATCACTGTGGGAGCAGCAGAACTGAGGAGTCATCAGCTGCAGTCCTTCTTCAAGACGTGAGGCAATACTCACTAGAGGAGACCAGATAGGTAGCCGAGGAGTTGGGCCTGAACCAACTTTTTGAACTCTCTCTCTCGCACACGGTTGATTCTCTTGTACCAAAACCTCTCGGTCGCCATCATTTTGATCATCGAGATTGCTTGAACAGCTTCTTGCATGAGGGAAACCCTCTCATCCCGGACCGCGAGCCTCTCTTCAAAGATGGCATACTCCCACTTGGTCAGAAGGTAGGCTGGGGGACAGGTGATGATCAATGTCGCAAGACCCCAAAGACCCGAGGGACCGAGGAGAAGCCAGACGTAAGAGCACCCCAAGCACATCTCCACGAGAGAGCGGAAAAGACCTGTGAATGTCCATCCGATGCGCTGGACGGAAGAGGCATCAGAGGAGATGAGATTCAAGATATCGGCCTTGGTATGCACCGATTTCTCTCCCTCCTTCTTCTCATGCGAGGCGAAGAGATTCCGGGTTAACAGTTTTCTGTGATCGGATGATGAGCTTCCAGCCTTCGTATGGTGCTCCATGCTTACTGGTACAGTAAGAATGATGTGTGCGCGTTGATTCGAGGTCCAACGTATGCGGAAGAGCTTCTCGACGTTAGCCATAATGCCTCTCAGATGTAGTAAGACCTTACATGTTGAATTGCTGCACAAGGATGAGCGCGGTTCCGAATTTTCCGACCACCATCAGAGCTGCAAACGCCACAGCACTCCATCGGACAGCGTTCGGGTCGTCGAGGACACTCAAGATCTGCTGTAGACAGATATGAGGAAGGTACCACAGGGGACACAGAGCAATCATCAGGCAGAGCGCTGAGATATACGAGTCAGCATCAATCAGCATATGTGACAACGATCCACTCACCATTAACAACAGCCCGTCTTTGAGGGTACCAAACAGTCCATAGGAGCGAAAGAGTAGGGTGATTTTTCCATTTGACTTGATCTGAAGCTCGGGGACCCATGAAATCGTGGTACATGTTCTGAGTTCTCAGCTCGGCACATGGAGCAGGAAGGTCTTGAATATCAACCTGCTCCATGTGTGCGGTTTTGATGATCATGGGGTAGATGTAAGTGTATAGGAGCCATCCGAGAATAGAGCTTGAAATCTCCTCGATTGTGTTGGCGCCATGCTCCATATATTGATTCTCTTCCAGCTTGGTCCGGACAGCTTTGGTGTAAAGACTCGTCATGTCTACCCATAGCATAGGCTGGAGAGGGATGTTTCCAACCAAGAGCAGCTGCAGGAAGACGAGGCACAAGGATGTGTACCCTGTCCAAGGGATGCGAACGGTAACACCGAGCCAGAGATACTGACCCAAAGTCTGGAAGAACCAATGAAGAAGAAGAATGGATGTCACGGTGCAGACATGCACTGTCAGCCTGTAGTGCTTGGTGATACTGCGGGTGAAGGTATAGTGAACTGCAAGTATGACCATGTAGAGGTCAGCCACAGCGACTGTGACGTGTGTCGCGAGGAAAAGCCAGTGCTCTCGGGAATGCGATGGAGTTTCCACAACTTGGACAACCAAGATGGTTACATTGGCGAGGGTTAGTACGAGGACAAGGATCCTGGGAACAAGGACCTGAGGATCACGTCAGTTTGACCCATTTTCAGCAAGATATGACTCACCCGTCTCCAAAAAGCGGCAACGTCTATCGGCTCTCCGTCTTCAATTGCCTCTCTCCGTACATGTTCCTTGAGCGTCTTCTCGAAAGATTCCTTCTTTGTCTGGGGATTATACTCGTTTGACAATCTGATATACCCCCCTCGTTTGTTTTTGATCCAAGGGGTAGCGAAGCTCAGAAAGGAAGTGAAAAGTCCGAGTAGTACGAGGGCCACACATGTCGTATCGGCCAAGACTGACCAGGGTGGGAACGTCACGCCCCCCATTTTGAGTTTGGTGTTGATGTTTTTGGGAGGGTGAGGGTAGCGAGGGTCAAGGGTTCAGGGGTTATCGGTCCAGAGAGACTGGGATGAGGGTATTAGACTCTTCAGAACACCTTCGATAGTCATATATGAAGACCCGATTGCACCAGAACGAAGGAAGATCATATCAAAAGAAGCTGCTCTTGTTCCAGGTTGACAAAGGATAGCGAAGCCATTGTATGCGTCGATACTGGTGAAAGGATCATTTCGATTGTTCATGGGAGGCCGACCGGTTCAGAAGTTGGGGGTGGCATTGAGACAGACTGGCGCTACCGAAGTAGAAAGGAGGCACTTGCTGTTCCCGCAAGGCTGCCTCCATAGAGAGAAACTGTTGGCTTCTTGAGACACTGCTGACGGTGACTCGGTCTTGTGTCGACGAAAGTGAGAGCAAGGACAGGTCATTGGTGCGGCTAAGAGTCGGTAGGATTGCAGTGCCCGAGGGATGGAGAGGAAATCGGGTTGACGGAGGGCGACATTTGGATGATGATGATGAAATAGATATATCGCGTTGTTGTTGTTTAATTGAATTCAAATTGAATTGCCTGTGAATTGTTGTTGCCGACACTCGACGATGAACCATTTACGTAATTGCTACCTCATTTAGTAGCCGACGGTTATTTTCTACGTTGCGTTTCGACTTATCTTGCATTATCTTATTCTACTTCATTCTGTGTCTGTCCTCTCGTCGAGTATCCCCGCCCGGCTCCGCCTTCATCATTCTCCGTACAGCCCGGTCGCTTGTTCATATACCCAGAATGCGGTTTGCCGGTGGGTCAAAACACTTGGCCTGCTTCGGCCTTCCGTCGTGGTCTGCGCTGATCTTATCCAGACATCGCTGTCAACCTGACAGATCCCATGTTCAAAGGGAATTATCACGGCCGCCAAAAACATGCCCCGGACATGGATGGCGTTGTGCAAAGAGCGAGAGAGAAGGGTGTAGAAAAGATACTGATCACCGGGACGAGCCTTCAAGAGACAAGAGACGCTTTGGTTTTGGCCAAGCAATACGGTAATTGCACGGATGTAGTAGACTGCATCAGAGCTGACGACGAGCTGTAGACCTCCAGTGCACGGCTGGAGTACATCCTACGTCTACCAGTGAGATGGCCAAGCATGCGTCAGGTCCTGAAGGCTATATCAAAGAGCTTTGTGATGTTATCGACCAAGATCTGGGCGAAGGCGGTTCTAATCGAATAATATCGATTGGGGAGATCGGACTCGGTAAGACCACAGGCATTGAAACTTCCAAAGGTGCTAATATACCAGATTATGATCGACTCCACCACTCTCCTCGCGAGACCCAGCTCGCCCATCTCGCCGAACTCCTTCTCCTCTCCAAACGCTACCGCCTGCCCCTCTTCCTCCACTGTCGAACATCCGAGTCTCAGGTAGATCTTATCCATATTCTCAAAGAGATCGAGTGGTCGACTGAATGGGGAGGAGCTGTAGTGCACAGTTTTACCGGGAGTGCAGAAGAAGCGAAAGAGTTTGTGGAAATGGGGCTGTACATCGGCATCAACGGCTGTTCTCTAAAGACACCCGAGTCTCTCGAGATGGTCAAGACCACTCCCATATCCCATATCCTTTTGGAAACAGATGCGCCTTGGTGTGGGTGCACATCCACGTCGGCCGGATTCCCTTTCCTCCCTCCTGCTGATTCACCGCTCAACATCCAGAAGATGGGTCGACCGGATCGACAGAAGGATGGCTTGGGCGTCAAGGGGAGAATGGAGCCTGCCGAGCTGGGCGTCATCGCGCATATCGTCGCACAGGTGCAGGGCCTAGACGTCGAGGAGCTTGCAGAGCAGGTGTGGGACAACACCATGAGGTTGTTCTACCCTAACGAAGTACAGAAATAGAAGATAGATCGTAGATGACGAGGTCTGCATGTGACAACTAGACATGCATGTGTATGAAAACTATGACATCTTTTTCTCTAGTAGTCTGCGCCGCAAGCGCCAGGTGATAAGGTAAGATGACTGGAAAATTAAGATCGGTACAGATTTATTGCACATAGAATACGGAAAGCGGCACGACGCTTGACTTTTCAAGATACATGGAGCCCTACCATTCACAAGTCGGCTTAAACTGCCATTCCAAGTCCTTTCTTCCCCCTCGGCGGGTCTTCCAACACGAAGCTCGCCACACTCCCCAAGCTCATGCTGCTCTTCACACTCTTTTCTTGGCCCCTTGAGCTTATCCCCACGCCAACACTGTCACTACTTGCGCTTTGTTGGCCATTTTTCATACTCGGCACTGGCTTACGCCTGACACTCCTCGTGGGAGATGCGGGAGATGCAGGAGTGGTGGGCGTTTGGGACACGAAAGGCTGGACAGGACTTTGCATGTCCTTGGAATCGGTGCGGGCGTGCTGTGGAAGGGAAGTGCTTTCAGGCATGTTACTTGCCAGAGAGCCGCTCCTGGTATGCCGGAAAGAAGACATGATGGGCCCACTGATTTCCGATATGTTGATCGGGCCATCTTGGGAAGGGTTTCTCCGATGTGGTAAAGACGCAGGGCGTGATTCGTCGTTCTTACGGAACCCGAAAGAGGCTGGGAAGATACGGCTTGAGAGCTTGGCAGGGTTGACCCTGCCCGGCAAGCTGTTATGCCTTCCGTCGTCCTCTTCATGCTCTGCCAGAGCACCAAACTCGTTGGGCGAGGATGCCAGCCCTGACGTGGAGACCTGGCCGGGAGACCCATCTTTGCCATCCTGTTTCCATTTGATACCAAGGTTGACACCGCTCATCTGATGTCTCAACCCTTTGAGAGGGCCTCCCTTCTTCCGTCTCCCATCCTCATACAACCCACTAGTAGACGCCTCCGGCGAAGTCAAGCCCAGCCCAAATTTTGGAGAGCCAATGAATGTCTTTCCAGTAGGACTGGCACTCGGAGGAGGTGATCTCAGAATATCAACATAACCCGAAGACAATGTATGATTCAGTGTCGATTGGTCGGGCAGCTGGGGGCTAGGTGGTCTCGCCGGTCTTCTGGGAATCCAATCTGGTGTGGCCGCCTTTTTGGGCTCGTCCGCTTGCATCCGCGACATGGTTTCAGACGAAGCTGCCACAGGTGAAGTGGCATCAAGTTGTCGACTCGGGCCGGCACCAGGAGATGAAGCCTGTTCGGGAGTAGGGAAACTGGGGCGATGAAAGTGCTGCACAGCGGTAGGAGAGTTGGGGAGCGTAGGAGTGCGATAGGATTGGGCTGGCCAAGCCTGCTGTTGGTCCATATCGATAGGATCCTCGACGACATAGGAGTTTTCTTCATTTGTGGGAGCTGTCGAGTGCCGCTGGGCAGATTCCTTCATCGACTCGCCTTCTCCATAGTCTGACCCCGAATATTCGTTATCGGAAATGTCAAAGTTTGGTGTTTGCAACCGCTCATTGAGCGGCGATAGCGGTACTCTTTCTGGTACAGATGGCAGAGGAGTGAGCGTGCTGCTGTTGGCTATGCGTGCAGCGGTTCCGGGAGTCATATATCGGGGCGAAGTCACGCGAATTTCTTTGGGGGATAGGCCCCTCATGACTTAGACATGTCAGCAGCGCTCGCACGATCCGAAGAATGTCACCTACTTCGCTCCAAGTCGTCCAGCTGATCCGACATCACCAGGCCACTCCATCTCTTCTCCAACACCTCTTGCACTCTCTTGACCGCCTGACTGGCGCCTCCTTCGCCCCCGTCTCTCCAGCCCAATTGTATAGGACTTTTCAACAGATCTTCCCTACTCACACCCTGATCGCCCAGCAGCTTGACTACTTCTGACACTTGTTCATCTTTTGCACGCTCCTCAGCTTCATGAGCTTCCTGGGCAAGGCGCTCAGCCTCGATATCTCGCAGAAACCGCGGCTTGACCCCGCCCGATTCCTCCATCTTGCGCACCAATCCAAGCTCGCGGACTCCCTCTCCCTCGTTGTCCCCGTTGACAGCCTTCATCCACCTTCGCTTTCCGCCTCTCAATTTCCAATCCTCAAACCAAGCTGCTTCGTCTGAATCCACATCGAATTCTATCGTTCCCACAATGGGGTGCTGAGTCGAGGCAGCAGATAGGGAGGACATGGGAGTTGGGGGCACTCTGGACGACAAAGAGCTATCCTTGGAGTGGGAATTCGCTGAAAGGTGGGAGGCAGATGTGGAAGTAGACAGTGTTGACTGATGTTTGGAGCCCAAAGGCAAAGCACTAACCGCATGTCTAGCTAGAGGACTTGACGGACGATTATCGCTGCCCTCGCTCTCACTGGCGCTTTTGATGGGAGTCTGAAAAGGAGTCGACGCTCGAGATATAGACCCAGCAGCGCTCGACTGGAGAAGATACGAGGAGAAGAGGGTGGTCCACGTCTGAGACGAGACCCTTGGTCCATCAGGCTCCTCATCACTGTCATCCCCTCCAGTACTTCTCTGACTGAAAGGTGCTGATTGTGGAAGAACAAGGTAGACATTGAGCCCGATTGTGGACGGTAATCCGTACTCTCTTGCAATGCAGAGAAGCATGCCTCCCAGAGTTGGCTGCAAAGGCATCAAAGTCCCTCTCCGCCATTTCTTTTCCCTCTTGCGCGCTTGCTCCGGGGTCAAGGCCGACGTGGGAGGTAGCAAAGTGACGGGTGGGATGACCGATAGCAGATAAGGCGATGGTCTAGTGGAGGTGTACCCATGGGGTGAATATGGCGAGAGTAGAGGGGAATGTCCACCTGTTCGTGATGGACCAGGCGTAGACATTGGATTGGAGGAGGACGCCGATGTGGGGGAAGGAGGCGGCAAGTCGAGACTGGGTATGGCAATGCCAAATGTACCTGCTATGCGCCGCAACTGGTACGGGGATAGAGGCTTTCTCGGTGGAGCATATTTCGGCTTTGCTAATGCTTCTTCAGAAGCAGCTTCAGGTCTCGAATCGTCCACCTGGCTTGATTTGCCTTGGTTCCCCATTGTTGGGGTTTGATCCGGTGATGGCCCAAGGCTGATCTCTGTCCCTTCTCCAGTTGTTGTCTCTGCTTCACTTTGTGTTGAATATGCCGACACTGAGGGATGAGAGCTGCTGCTCAGGGTGCCGTGGAGTCCCGTTACTGACGAGACTGTTCGGTCGTCGACTGCCCCGGACATTATGGACGAGATGACAGATTATAGAGCACCAAAATCGACCCCAGATGATCGTCGCTACGGGGTATACCGAGCGCTATTGTAGATTCTGGGGCCAGATTGGTTGGCGAGGAGGGGGAAGATTGGCGAGGAGTGGGGACGGCGGCGAGCGGTATGGTTATATAGGTCTAGATGGAGATGGCGGTCAGTGATGAACGCGTGGGGGTATGACTGGGGTATGCAAACTTACGGGCGACGCGTGTATGTTCGTGGGGAGAGACTGGGGGGATCCGAGGACAAAAGAGGGGCAGTGGAAATAACAGTGGATGATGTTCAGGTATTATAGTCAACAAATGAACGCGAGACTGAGTTGATCAAGTTTGCGTGTGCCCGTGTTCAAACTGCCCGACGCGCTTCAGGGAGGTGAGTGCCTGTGCCGTCCAAAGCTATTAATGCTGAAACCATGCATTAGATCCCAGATCCACCCTTCCATGTATCACTTATGCATCCCAGCGACATTGGACCTCCCGAATCGCCTGTTCGTCTTCGTCTGCTGATCCTGCTGACTTGCTCATCATTCAACGCTCAAACGGAAAATCGTCAGACCGCCAGCCACAGGCACCGCATGTTTTTGTTGTTGTCTTTTGCCATTGTCCACACTTCCACAGTGCACCATGTGATGCTTGACAACAATCGCTGTTCTCGGCGCGGCAGCCGACTCGATGGAACATATATCAGATTCATAGAGAGCAGATATGCTTCATTTCGCCTCAGTCGGCCTCAACTAGCTCGACCATCTACTGCAGGTCAATCACCGTCCTGTGCAAATTCGGGAAGTTCCAGCCGCACGAAGCGGAGGTCTATCAAGGCAGCAAAGCCTGTCTATCTGCAGCACGCTTACTCGTCCACCCGTATACCCCTCCTCTTCCGCCATTGCGCCAGTCCCTGCCTGAACAGCTTCTTGTCCGTTCCGCTAGAGGGTACAAGCTGCATCGTCACCCCCAGAGACTCCACCTCAAAGTTGCGATGCTCGTCATCAAAGAACAGCTGGGACTGGAGTTAGCTATAAAACGCAACGAGCAAAGGCAGAAGCGATCAACTGACCATTTGGTCGTAGGGGATTCCGGTTTTGCGGTGAAGTTCTCTAAAGTGCCGCAGCTTTGATCCTGGGTAGATTTCGAGCTAGGTAGGTGTCAACTTCATTCGGAGAGGTATGTAGAGTGGTCGCGCTTACAGTGTTAAAGTACGAAAGAGCCTTGACATGAGAGTTTCCCTCAGGGGCTGGCACAAGAAGCAGACTCAAAGCTTCCCTCGCTCTGATATTCAAGGTCAGTGGCATTTCCGACTGCCAGCCTTGTCACTCACAGCTCAGGAGCACTCGTCCGCGAAGCAGCAGCAACATGTATCCGTCGGTGCTTGAGGTCGGCCAGGATGGAAGGGACTTCACGATAGAAGGAGAGGTCTTGCCCACGCCTGTACCGGGATACGATCAACATTGAGCTCCATACTTCAGAAGACATTTCATACCTATCAACAAGCTGATTGATCACATCCCCTTTGCGTTTGAGTGGAGGGACCACATGTGTCTGCGATACGGGTCAGAGTGGCAAAGAAGCGCCTTGGGCGATACGCACGTCTATCCAAAGATCCCACAGGGTATAGCTTGAGAGTCTGGTTAGTGACATGTACTGGTGGTTTGTTCGAACAGCAAACATACTCTAGATCAAAAGCTACCAGCAATGGGTATGCGTCAGGGTCATCGGGCGCTACTGACCTGTAACCTCCTGGAGGCGATTCTGGCTCTTGCCTGGTTGTCCTGCGACCCATGTTTGGTAGTAGAGATGCTAAGGTATATAATAGAAGTGCCAAAGTGAAAAGGATGAAGAGGCGAAAGTGCATGGAAGTGTAACAAGATGCCGACTGAATAATCGCGACGAATCTTTCGGAAACGCGAGCTCTGATGTCACTCCTACTTCTGACAGACAATCAGACAATTGATCGACAAGTCAAATTCAACATCCTTGGACACGATACCAGCGCAGCCTGTTTGCGGGGCAGAGATTTTGCATGCAGAAATGGCTTGCATGGCCAGCACTGCAGCGCGCAAACGAATGCAGGGCTCGAACCAACAACCAAGCAAAAAGATAACCAAAAAGCAACTTCCCAACAGGGAATCGAACCCTGGTCTCCCGCGCAATACTATTCCGTAATGACAAGCGAGCATACTGACCGTTATACGATTGAGAATTGGTTGCAATTGGGCCGTTCAGATGTAACGGATCACAAGCCGTGCCCTGCTATGAAGGCGTACCTTTGGAATTGTTGTTGTTGTTGACTCTGTTGCCTTCCTCTTCTTCTCGTACTCCTACCCCCCTATACCCACCTCAACCATGTCCGACGCTTCGCACAGATATACGACTGAGTACTGATGTTCCTTGTGTTGAGGTGGGTTTCGAGGTGCGAACGAGCAAAGAAGACTGCTTGTTTAGGTGCTTTGACTTGACTTGGACGTCAACCCATGTGGATTCCAGCCATATACCACATGCCAGTACAACATATACTTTACAACAGATCACCAACGATTGTTCAGTCACTTCCATAGCCTGACAGCAATCCGCCTCCAATGCTAGACTCTTTCGACGGCGCCACATTTCCCAACGACCGCCGCACTTTCGGCAGGACACGATCACCCGGCTTGCCCTTCAAGGATGACGATCTGCTCAAGGATGCAGAACTGGGGCTAGCGCGGCTCTGATTATGGGTGTCGAAGGGGTCATACTTTTTGGAGGTAGAGCGCCGCAGAGTTGCTGCTAGATCTGGAAGGGGGTCGCTGGCTCTCGCTTTCCTTTTGGGCACTCCCAAGCGTCTTTCAGACCCTCTGAGAGAAGCCACTGATCCCCCGGATCTGATCAGATCGCGACCTTTGTCGACTAATGCAGCCTTCCACTCCTCTTGCCCTCCTTCTACCTGCTCCTCTCCAAGATCCACATCTTCCCCTAGCCCGTATCTTTCCTTCACGTCATCGTCCCTATCCTGCTTTTCCAGCATCAACTTTTTCTCCGATCGAAACTTTTTTCTCAGAGCGACGGAAACGGCGTAAGGGTCGGCATTGAGACGAGCAGATTGACGGGTGAGCTCAGTCAGGCGAGAAGTGCCTTTCTTTGCCCATTCTTGTTGGTCTATAGTCTTCTCGAGGTGGGCGATGGGATCCGTAGGACCTTCAGATGCCAAGGGTGCTTCGGTGTCTACTCAAAGTCAGCCATGTCATGCTTACGGCGAGATGCAACTCACCAAAAACTTTGAACCCTCCGTTCTCTTCTGGATTCCAATCCTCGTTCTTCCTCTGCGCTCCTTCGTGTACCACATACGCAGAGTTCTGAGGATCTGTTCTTATTTCAAACCATCCCTGACAGAGGTGACATTTGCACCGGAAGGCGTAGATCGGTGTCGAATAGTAGTTGCCGACTTTACGCTTCTGCGCATTGTATCGGACACCCGCACCGATGTGGGCATTGCACGATCCACACCATATGTTGTAGGGTAGCTCGAAACTACCAACAGTCAGCACACACCCAACCTCTTATGTGAGAACATACCGAACGACGAGGATCCCTTTGTCGATATCTTTGGCACGCTTGCCCAGAGCGTGCGCTTTTCCTTGGTGGGAATTTAGCGTCGAGTTGGCTTTGGGATCATAGTCCGGAGGGATGTATCTGCGACTGACATGAGCTGACACTCCTGCACAGATAGACTTGGGACGTACCTGTTGAACCCCTGCATGCTGTACTGTGACTGTCCAGAAGCAGAATAGAAAGATGAAAGATGGACGGGGCTCGAAGTTATCTCCGCGGTGGCAAATTCAACGAAGGCGCGTCTGGCCGACGGGGATGCCTCTCCTCTTTCTTCTTGCACGACCACGACTGCACTGGACATGCGGGAACAGCTACACCCCCCCTCGCCGCCGCCTGCGAAACGGGCCAGGCATGACCACCATGGCATCGCAGACCTCTTTCCCTTCCAGGAGCTCTTCCTCAGGATCCTGTCTTTCCTCAGCCCGGGCGAGCTGGCAGCGGTGCAGGGGGTCAGCAAGTACTGGCAGATGATGAGTCTGGATCCACAGGTGAGTTTGACTCAATAATCGGTGATCCAATGCTAAAAGGTGTGCGTAGCTATGGAAGCGCCTGTATCTGGGTATGTTCAAATGCCATCCGAGTCAAGTCGCAATCGGGCTGATCCCTCGTAGCCAGATACCCTCATCCACACCAAACCCATCAAGACCAAGACCCGGGTCCTTCAAGAGACCAAGGTCCAATGACACCCCAATCAGTCAGACATATTGCGAGATTGCCCTCCAGAGCGTTCCCGCCACCATCACCCTCGAGGACTTCCAGCGCGACGCCTAGTACTAATATCTCCCTATCTGGCATGCCAGGTCCCCCAGATATCAAAGGCAAAAGGAAGGCTTCTTCTATGGAGGATGTTCCAGAAGAAACTTTCGTGAGACATGAAGGCATGGATTGGAAGATGATGTTGAGGCTGGGAACTAATTGGTAAATGTTAGCTGTGATACATCTTTTCTTGACTGACATCACCCAGGTCTAACGGGAACGCTCTCTCGGAAGCGACGATACCCTTGCCCCCTTCACCCTCGCCGTCAGTCACCTCAGCATCACCACTGCCCTCGCGTCTCAACCAACTTTCGGACCCCGAGCCCGGCCATCCACGAACCCAACATCTAGCGCTCTTTCCTTCCTTCATCTTTACTTCATCGCCAGAATCGCCCCTGGTCCACTGCTACCCAGCATCTTCTTCATTGTCCCAGAGCAGCGTTCTGGGTATCATTCCCCCTCCGCCAGGCTGGAGTAACCCCAGCAGACCTGATTGTGTAACCGCTATATGCGCCGACCAGGCGGTCGTCCTCCCCGAGCCTACTGGGAGTGGAGAAGAGCAAGCCTTTCCCGCCCAGCTGGGAGTCTTCTATCAATCTGGAGGCTTTGTGGTCCTCACTATACGGCTTGACAGCACACCGTCAGCCGAAAAACGCACCATCACTTGGTCACGGTCTGTCATTCGCCCCGCACAGACACGCCCACAATCCCTACGCCGGCGGGCGCAAAGCTACTATCCAGACAGAGGCGACCCCATCGTGTATGCTGCTATGCACGGCAAAGTGCTGGTAGTGTGCACACGAGGGTTTTCTATGAGTGTGTACGACTTGAAGGAGAAGGATGGTGATGGGCCTCGGTGTTTGAGGACCATGAAGTCGGACGTTGCTTTCCACCCTGCTTCTCTTTCGCTACTTCCGAATTCCCAAAACAAGTCTGCGCAACATGATGTGACGTCAAAGACGGAACAGTGGACAGCGTCTTTGACGTATACGGCCCCAGTGTATCCTTCTTCATGGACAGCCACCGTCCAAGAGCTACACATTTCTCTCTCGTCGCCCACCCAATCGCCCGTATACCCTGTCACCATCGATGTCGAACGTGGCTGTACCTATCAAGTACTTTCCCCTTCGAATGACCCGGACGAATGGCCCCGTAAGGTTCGACCTGTCCCCGGCGTCAAAGGCTCCGCCACAAACATCGACTCTGACGGTCGCTGGTGCGTCCTCTCGGGACAAGACAATAGAGTTGAAGTGTTTTCTTTCGCTCCGGGATCAAGAGGAGGGATCGAACATCGACAGACCTTGTTGGCGCATTCATCTAGCGTTACTGCATTGTCGCTTGATGCGGGAAGGTGCGTAACGGGCGGAAGAGATGGGAGGGTGTTGGTCTGGGAGTTGGATGATGCCGTCGAGAACGCAGCAGGGCATGGGCAAGGTAGGCTAGGAAGGACAGTGGGCTATGTGGAAGTGCGAAAAGGAGGGAGAAAAAGCATCTGGAAGGGACCCTCGGGGCCCAGGGGTGAAGAGGATCGGGAAGTGTTGCCACATCCTCAGGCGATTTCTTCTGCTGCTCGGTCACTCTTTCTGCCCCAGCCCCCTCTTTCAAGGCCTCAAGACAATGTAGAGGATCGGATAGAGATCAAACACTTGGCGTTTGACGAGGAAAAGATAGTGGGAGTCATCAGGGGAGCTGGCGAGGATGCCATCAGAGTCTGGAACTTTGGATAGGCTTTTTACTATCAATGTTGTGTCCGCAGTTGTACCAAAGCTACATAGTACTCGTACAGTGTATACATAATCAGAGCTCTTCTCCAACGTCGATATCCGTCAGCCGTTTCTTGAAAGCTTCCGGCTCCGTCGCCAGCTTTTCCTCGAGATCTAGCGTCTCCTGTTCAAGACTGACGACCTTTTCTTGTAAAGCCTCTCCGTCAAGCCCGGACCAAAGATCAAAGTCTTTCGTGGCCTCCGCAATCTCCTTGACCGTCTCCGGACCAAAGATCTCTCCAATAACCTCGTGTCTCTTTCTGAACCTCGCCATGGCCAACTCTCGAGGATCAAGCTCGTCCAGCGAATCTGCCCAAGGTTCGATAGGCTCGCCTTGCGGCACTGCTGGAGATGTCATGGCGTTTTTGATATACTGATCCGAGCTCATAGGTGGTTGGAAGCCTCCACCTTGACGGGGAAGCATTTGCTGGGCGGGGGTACCCTTGAGTTGCTTCATCATCGATCAGCAAAAGTCGTGCGAGCGTCAATGTAACCCACTCTGGACTTTTTCTTCGCCGCATCCTTGGCCACGGTATCTCTCAGCACGGCCTCGCGCATTGCCATCTCCCTAGCATGCTTCTCTCTCATCTCCTGCGTGATCCCCATATTATACCCTTGGGGCTGACTCGCTCCCGGCACGCCCCCTCGATTTGGCATCATACCCGGCACACCCATTTGGCCCATCTGTGCCAGCTTTTGCTGCTGCTGCAGGTAGCCCTGTCTTGCGATTGCGGCGAGGTCGGGCGGGGCGCCATGGTGTAGACCGCCGGGGGACATGTTCGGGGGTGCGGCGTAGTTGTAGGATTGGGGGTATTGGGCCTGGTGTTGCGCGGCCTGGCGGTAGGGGTCGCCGTAGGGGGCGCCTGGATGGTTTATCGGGTTCATTGTGGATTGTGGTGTAGATGAGGGTGAGAAGTGAGAGTTGGATTGATATATTGACGCGAAGTGAACGGGATCAATCTGATCTCTGCATCTGGCTATTGTTGGGTTCGCGATTTCATGGCATTGCTTTTCTGCATCGCTACCTAAATCTATGCCGCCCATGACTTTGAGAAAGTATATATTACCACGCGCTCTACGTATGATACGTATGTGACTGCTCCAGGGAATCTCCGATGTCCAACGGTGTCACTACTATGTCGGATACCACGGCCAACATCCCCCTTTCTATGCTCAGAAGCCGTCCCTGGTCCATGGCTTGAGAACGAGGCCATACTTTCACAGCTTTCATGTGTTGTAGCGTATCGGAGTATGTACAGAGTATTCCAGTCAGGTCACCTCATACCCGAATCCCTGTCTGTTGGTCAATGCGCCGTCGATAAGGAACGTCCATGCACGACCCTGGCAGATTGCGTCTATCATTTGCCACTCATCTCAATCCTTCACATATCGATATGACCTCCTCTGATAATCCTATACTCAAGATGTCCGATCCACCACCACCACATCGCTCCCCCATCTCTACCATCCACATACCAAGCGACGCAGGACCACCGAGTAGGAGAAGCGAGCCCGACCGCCAATCGCTCTCTGATCTCTCCCTTCACACCCTTCGACGTACGACCCTGACCAAAGCAGAACAGCAGAGAGTTCAAGAACTGATTAAGTCGGGCGGTCATGGGAGGATGATTGCGGGTGAGGGATTACCTGGGAGGGCGAGCGAAGTGGAGGATGATGCAAAGTACTGGACGGCGAGGGGTACGTTGAGGAGCGTTTTACCAGGGTCGGATGAAGGGGTCCAGGGGAGTGCGAGTGAGGAGACAAGTAGGGCGGCGATAGAGGAGAGGGAGGTTCTCGTTCTCGTCCATGAGCCCAATGTGAGTTCCACTCCATGGAGCGACATTATCTCATACTTTCCAGAGCATCACAGGACCGGACGGACGATCAGGCCAGACACCTTCCGAAGCTGGAACCTTGCCCTCTCGCTTCTTGTACATTTTCCACCCCCCAGACCCACCTTCGACGTCTGGGTCTGCAAACGGTTCGAGTTTTCCCCTGGGACTGCAATGGGACGAGGTCAACCCTTGGGAGTGGATTGAGACTGCCAAGAACGAGCTTGAAAAGGCCTTTTGGGGTGTCTTGATGCCTGGCGTGAAGGGTTTAGTGGATATGGGCGAGGCTGTTGCGAGTATACCCGCGTGAGTGCGCTGATGACTAGTGGTCATGCGAGACTGATCATATACAGTCTGCTATCTCCGGGCACCGAGCAAGCTCTTGAACTCCAAAGCGACAGACACTCTGCTGACGCGACGGCTGGGTCCCACAATCCCCATCGTTATTCGCAAGAGACGGTTTATACCCTGCGTATCCCTAAGCAGAATGCTCGCGACAGCCCGAATTTGGGACCGACTCTGCGCCCAGTGTTGATAAAGAAACGCTCGAGTATACCCACTTGGGAAGATGGACGAGATAGTGATCATCGTGGGTGGGGGCGAGACCCGATGGCCATGGGAGCGTGGTATTAAAAGCTGTTTTAGAGTTGGCATGGGCGTATTCTTGCGTATGTGGCTCGAGATGACGAGATGACACGGTTGACGACTTGCTTTGCTGCTTGCTTGCTGGCCATTGAGAAATAGAATAGCCAAGAGGAGGGACGCGTCTTTCTCCCTGAATTTGGACGCGTTTGGTGCCTCGGCGGTTCGACGCGTACAACTTAACGCGTAGAGAACAATGGGCAAAAGACGTCCTGCGCCATGAGACATGACGCACGGACCAGCATGCACAGAGATACCTCGCAGCTGACACAGGGACACAGGGGACACAGGGAGGACACGCCTGCCACGCCGAGTCACACTGGACACCTCATGACGATTCCGGGATATAACTCAGTTCCCGGGATGCGCTTTCTTTCTCTTTCACATCTCAACTTGGTCTTTCCTTCTGCCCCTTCCTCCCCATCTCCTGCCCCCCCTCCCCTCCTCCCATCTCCATCCCCAGCAGGCTGAGGTTGTCCCGTCTGTGCTCTACACCACTGTTATTCACATCAGCCAACTCGCCCGCCCATCCCATCACGCCCCAATCGGCCACTGCATATTCACGACAAAAACCGCATCGCATTAATCACCAGCATGTACTACTCCACTGCCATCCTCTCCCTCCTCGCTCTCGTCGAAGCGGCCGGTCCGCACCACGGGAGCAACAGGCTTCACCGACGACACCACGCCCGCGCCGCTCTTTCGGGCGGCTCAGTCGCCCCTCCCCCTCTCCCCGTCAACCTGCACGTTGAGGCGCCTGCCAAGCGGGACGACGACAGCTGCACGCATGGTGACTGGAATTGTGTTGGCAGCGACCTGCAAAGTGAGTTCCATCCCCTTCCCTCGTGTGTTTCAAGAACAATGCCCCGCACGGGCACTTTCGCGTCCCATTGTATTCCTCCGGCAAAGGTTGCTGGTTACTGACTTGTCTGCAGGATGTGTCTGGGGCGACTGGACTTCCATCCGCAACTGTACCGGCGACAACATCGTATGCTCGTGAGTCCGCTTCCTCTACCCCGTCAGCGTCCAACGCCCTTCCTCGCCCATGAGCGCATGTGCATGCTGGGCGAAAGAATGCTATTGCCCCGGGGTACTACCGTGTTTATGCCCGCCAATCCCTCCCTTGTTGAACAATGCTGACCATTGTGCAGCACCCAGGACAATGCCATCGGCTGCGTCTGGACATGGAACGTCGACAGCTCAGCCACACCCACTTCCGGCGCCGAGTCTGCCACTGCGTCTCTTGCCACTGTCACTGGTTCCCTCGAATACAACGCCACCAGCGCCCTGAGCGCCTCAGAAGCATCTGCGACTGCTTCTCAGGTGGCCAACTCTACATTGACCGGGGCTATTGCGGCTGCTAGCCCTACTACGACCGGATATGCCTCCAACGTTACTTCTACGAACTCTACGACCACTGATGAGGATGATGAGGATTGTGATGAAGACGAGGACGAGGGTGAGGATGAGGAGGACGAGAATAAAGATTGTGACGATGATGACGAAGAGTGAGTATCGCCAATACATAACCACTCAAGCTAACTGTGACCAGCTATACTTCTACCTCTTCCGTTGTCGCTGCTAGCTCTTCTGTCGCGTCCCAATCGTCCGCCTCGTCTGATATCGGCAACGCTGCTGCATACGCCACAGCCGAAGTGAGCTCTAGCCCCACTGCTTCAAGCTCGAGTGCTTCGGCTTCTGCTAGCGGGTCGTCCGAAGACGATGATGACGAGGACAGTGATTATGATGAGGACGAGGACGATGAAGATGACAGTGATGATGATGATGAAGACGACGATGAAGAGGAGGACGATGAAAACTGCGACGATGAAGACGACGAGGTCTCTTCATCCAGTGCCTCCGTATCCGCTTCCGCCCCCGTCTCCTCCTCCTTCAACTCTTCCGTACCCCCTATCACCGCCTCCGCCACCAGCTCCGCCTCATTTGCCAACGAAACTGACTCTGCCTCGACTGCCAACGCCACCGAAACCCCTGCGATTGGTGACGGGCTTTACGCTCCTGGACAGGATTCTACCTCAAGCAGTGCGTCCGAGACCGCTTGGGACACTGCCTCCTCTTCCAGTAGTGAGACTCACTGGTGGAACTCTTGGAACACCAAGTCTTCTTCGGCTTCTGAAGCTTCAGGTGAGTATCCCTTTCGGTTGACCACTATCAAGCTGACACTACATAGCGACTGCCTCTGGCTCAGAGTCTACTTCTTCCACCGACTCTTGGAGCTCGGACCCTACCGCCTCATCCTCGAGCAGCGACGCTGACTCTTGGAACTGGTGGGGTTCTTCCTCCAGCAACACCAAGCATCACAAGAGTTCCACCACTGACTCTGCGTCTACCGCGAGCGCGTCTCAGTCAAGTTCTGCCGCTACAGCCTCCGCCTCCAGCTCGGCCAGCAGCAACACCAGCTCTAACAACACTTCTAGCACCACCTGGTCTGCTCCCCACTACGTCATCTACGCCGACGAGTATCTGTCCGAAATGCCCAGCGCGTCCGAGTTGAGCTCGTACAACCGTTTCATTCTTGCTTTCTGGCAATACGATGGTGGTGCTGTCGATGATGTGCAGACTTGGGCCGACTTTGACGAGTCTTATCGAAACGAGGTCATTACAGAGTATCACAACGCTGGTATTGCTCTTATGATTTCTGCATTCGGTTCCGAGGATACACCTACTACCTCTGGCGCGGATGCCAAGACGGTCGCTCAGGATCTCGCAGCCTTTGTTCAGGAGTACAATCTCGATGGTGTGGACATTGACTACGAAGGTGAGTGTTTTTGTACATTGGTTCCAATTTCGACTGACATTTTCTAGACATGTCTGCCATGAACAGCGCCAAGGCTGCCGCCTGGATCATTACCCTTCAAACCGAGCTGCGAAGCCTTCTGCCGTCTCCATACATCATTTCGCACGCCCCAGTGGCTCCTTGGTTCACCTCTGCCAGCGATTACTCTGACGGATCATATGTCACGGTCCACCAAAGCGTCGGAGACACCATCGACTTTTACAGCGTCCAATACTACAACCAAGGCGATGACCAATACGTCTCTTGTGACGTGAGTGCTGCAATCTATCCATCGCCACCAGTGCTGACTAGATTGCAGACTTTGATCACCAACTCTGGCAGTGAATGGCCTTCTACCTCTGTGTTTGAGCTCAACTCTTACAGTGGCATTCCCCTCGAAAAGATTGTCATCGGCAAGCCTCTCGATTCAAGTGCTGCCGACAATGGCTTCATGAGCGCTGCCGATCTCGCGGTATGTGTTGCCGAGGCCATAGCGAAGGGGTGGAACGGCGGTGTCATGTTCTGGGAGTGGACATCGCAGGCGCCATCCGTGATGGCGACAGTCAGGGGCTAGACCGCTTTGATCGACGACAGCCACGAATCCACGACCACGACATGACCTTGACGAACCACACGCCCCTTTCCTTTGTGTTGTATGGAGTACTTTGCCTTACTGTCTTGAACCTTTTCGACGCAGTCTTCTTCTTATATTTGTTTCTCATCTTCAGAGGTCTTTCGGTGTTTATCATTACGTATATACCTTCCATCATCTAGTACGTCGAGGTCGCCTGTGGTCGTATCTTGGGTTACTCTTGCCGCGAGTCGGGAAATGCTGGAAGTGCTGTGTCTGTCTCCTGGCGGGACATACTCGGTGCGAGCGAGCTGGAATCGTATGCATAGAGCTTGACGCTCCCCCGATGCATGCTGCTGCCCCACGTACACGATCCTCATGCAAGCAGCAAGTCAACTGCGTGCCCTGAATATTCCGCTCTTCCCGAACCGGCGCGCTAACGACATGGCAATTGTTATTGTCCATATTTCCATCTCTCCCATACAAATACATCCATTTTCTTTCTTGCTTTTCCTTTCCACCCACCCCCAGCGACAGCCCAGGTCACCCCCGCCGTAGAACAGTGTCCGCTAGCTATCCAACGACATCGCCCACCCCCATCGCCAGCCATAGCCTCCACCACGACTTCCCAGGATGACCCGTCTCCTACTACCAACGGAGGTCTCCCGGCGGTATCCTCGCCGTATACGAGACCGCCCCCCTTGGTAGTAGGCGACCTCAAGCCCCCATCCAGCCCCCACTCGACGTACTCCATCTCCCCCACATCCCTCCACCCACCCACCATGTCGCCCAGACCCGAATCGCCGTCAAAGCCGTCCAGTGTGCGGTTCAATGACGGACTCGAAAGACGGCCCTCGATGGGGTCGCTCAAGTCTGGAAGCGGGCTGACCATCAGCGGGCTCCCGAACAATGCTGCCCCTCGCCCATATCAACCAGTACAACCATCGTTGCTCCATACGTCGGTCGTCCCGTCCCCCTCGCCCACCAGAACCCCTCCGCACCTGTTTATCCCTCATTCTGCCTTGAAACCATTTCCCAAAGCACCCGCCTCTCCACCCGCGTTACACTCGTTCAACTCGGGATCCACCACGACGTCCGAGGTGGCCCATCACAGGGTCCGCCGCCCGTCCCTGCAAAGGGGTTCATCTTCGCAAGGCCGGAGGGTCTGGTCAGAAGTGCTTCCCAAGCAGGAGACATTCAAGCTGGCCCATGGCCAGAAAGCCTCAAAGGTCACTGGAGGTTTTGAGACTTCGAGCGAGGAGTCTTCATCGGAAGATGGAAGAGGCGGCAACGGTACAGCGAATGGCGCTGGTATTCTTAACGGGCACACAGGTAATGGCACGTCCTCCCAAACCGACTCCAACTGGGTTCCAGAGCCGAGAAGACGTTCAAAGAGTCTTGTAGTACCGTCAGGAAGAGGCGCCGCCGAGCTACTGCCGCCCACTAGCGTTCCACCGAAGCGGTATTCCGGCCCGCGACCCAAACGCAAAACGTCGAGAGACATGCTTCGCGAGAGGTCTTCGTCTAGAGCTTCAAGAGACGGCGGAAGGTCACCTTCCTTGAGTTCACATCTCTCTGCTGGCAGGTCTGAAGGAGTTGCTGAATCCAGCAACGATCGCGCAAACTCGTTTCGCTCGACCAACGGAGGTGTCTATGGGCCCCATCGACAGATGTCTTCCTCTTCCAGAACCAATGGTGTTAAACGTGTCCGACACGAAGGAGGGAGGACCAGCAGCCCTGATGGCAGTTTGAGAGGCGACGGAAAGGTCATGGCGCAGGACGTCTTGGAGGACGGGTTCTCACCCAAGTCCAAGCATGAAAGCAGGAGCGATCTCTTTGCAGAAAGTCTTGGATTGGGTGGATCCCATACAAAAGACTTGGCTTTGAACACAGGTGAGTTGTCTACCTCGAACTACCGGTCACAAGCTCACACTCCCAGACCAAATACATAGTCTATTTGGCGACACTGATCTTGCTTCCGCAATACGCATCATGAACAGTGGCCAGCTCGCATCCCCCCGCCCGTCTCTCGCCAATGCTATCAAAGACCCCACTATAACCCACAAAGCAGTGACGGCAGAGTACCCTCATGCCTCTCCGTTCCTCGTCTCTGCCCCGCCCCCTCTGATCCAAGACCACGGTATCAACGGGCGAGATCGTTCAGTCTCAATCGCAAGTACTATCACCACGACTCCTCATATGCGATCTACTTGGTCTCCGCACCAAGTCGCCTTTGATCCTTCAGATGTCTCGCGGCGCAGGTCTAATTCTCGGTCAAGTGTGGCGGAGCCTATGGGCGGACACACGCCGTTCACACACCACGTGCAAGCGATGCCTCAAATGGAGGAAGAACCCTCTGACGATGAGAATGGTCTTACTTTGCCGCGACAGGGCCCGTCTGAACTGGAAGCAGTGACCCCTGCCCTCAGTGACGAAGGAGGTATGGGTCAGAAGGATAAAGACAAGAAAAAGTCCAAGAAGGGATTGGGGAATTTCTTCAGTATGGGAAGACGGCGGAGTGGCGAAGCTGCTACTCCAGCTCCGGTGGAGAGGAAATGGTCGGAAAGCCACCATGTCAATCTGCACCGGAGCGATACGCAAAGAGCTGCCGAGCATGCCAGGGATAAGGAAGCAAAGGAGCGAGAGGCCGAGATGCGGAGAATCGAGCTGGAAAAGCGACAGGAGGAAATCATGCAAGGTAAGTTTCTGGTCATCTATATCGCGAGTCATTCTGACGCCATTGCAGAACGAAGATATCGAGCTCTCACTCAAGTGGCGGCACATCCCAACTCGGAAAGGCTGGCCTACAAGGCTGGTGCCCATCTTCGGGCCTACTATCACCACGTCTATGATTGCGTTGACAATCCTCCTCGTCTCAATTTCACCAAGATGCTGCGCTGGCTGAGCGAGACCGACAAGCAGAATGCTGCAAGATCCCAGTATCACGAATCTCTGCAGCGTGAGCAGCACGAAGATGGAGGCACTGTTGGGAGAGACTCTGTTCATTCGTCAAAAGTCAATCTTGCCGGCTCAGTCGGCAGCAGTCTCTCGCCGTCTCACTCGTCGAAACGAAAGTCCAACGAGGTCTCACCTCATAAAAAGACTAAACCTCGAAGGTGGAACTATACCGTCGAAGACATTCAAGTTTTCCGCGAGTCTGGCGGCATCGTCAACTACTTTGTACCGCCTAGACAGATGCGTCCCAGCGTGGATATTCTGCCCGAAGAAGGTCTTTCTTCCTTTTCCAATGGGCATGGGTTTGGCAGAGTCTCAAGCAAAGACCACGACTTTGGACCCCAATCTCCTCAAAGCCAAGACCGTCACGGCGATGACAGTTCCATGGCAGAAAGTAGCAACAGAGGCTATTCGCAAGATATGCGTTTCAAAAGCGCCACTGCTTCTAATCAGTCTCTGGCGGAGGTTAACGAGTCTCTGGAACCGGAGAGCCTAAAGTACATTTCTAGATCTACCTTTATGGACACTGGCGGAGACAGATCGTTATCGGGGCGCCGAGACGGACGCGTAAGTGATGCCTTTTACCGATTTGGCACATTCTGATACCCTTGTAGATATCCCATCGAAGCCACCATAGCTTGAGTGCTGTTGGCAACAACTCTCTAACTCATGCTCTCAAACAGCCATTCGAAAAGCTAAGCAACGCCGCTCGCAAACAGCGGACTATGCCCTATCTGCATATGAGCGGCGACCGCGACTCAAATCAGCCAGACGACTTTGAGCGATCCACAGATCACCCCGATATCGGTTTGCCTCAGGTGCCTGTCTCGCAGAGGGCTGCCGGCCATACTAGCCGGGATTCATTCGGCTCGGTCGGGAACAAGTCCAGCTGGGGACAATCTCAGAAAGGCACGCCTTCGCGTGGTAGGGAGGCAGGATCGTCTCTCTTTCGACGTCACGGGCCTGTCAGCCAAGACTCGCTGGATGAAGAAGAGGGTGGGAAGCGCAGACTTTTCATTAAAGGGCACCATCGTCGGGGTGTACTTGACGAGGTGAGAAAGCGGCAAGAACGGGGAGGTGGCGAGTCTGTTGGGGCCCGAAACGAGGCCCTCAAAGAGGCCGAGATGGTCTATGCCAAAGAACAGCAGTTCAAAGCTCTTCAGCTCCAGGCCGAGGAAGAGGAGAAAGTGAGAATGACGAGAGATGAAGAATCTGCTCTGCTGAAGATCATGGACCTTGAAAATGAGATCTACGAAGAGCGACAAGTGTAAGTGGTTCCACTATTGACCATCTGCAACACTAACAGTGTTCTGAAGATTACTCCGGCAAGCTAAAGATCGTCTCAACACTGCCAAGCACGATATCGACATTGTCGACGAATCCATCCGACAATACCTTGATCAGGTCGATCTGCTCCAAGACGAAGCCAAAATCAGCGACGACATCTTCATCGATTTCTCACTGGCCGATCCCATCAAGGCGAGGTATCAGAAAAAGAAGTCTATGGAGTTTATGGAAGATCAAGGCGAGCACCGGGACACCCTGCCTCCATTGAGGTCTTTCGGAAGTGCGGAAAGCACGTCTGAAGGCGGTTCTCGAATATCTGTTACACGCCGCAATCGATCTCAAAATGGCGGTCCGCAGCCCTCTTCTGTTACAGCAGCCCCTAGAAAGAAGAACCCCCTGGCTTCTTCTCTTCATCTCCAGCCTCTCAGGGCCGTGCAGCCTCGAGCCCGTCCTCGGCGGACGTACTTGGCCCCGAATGGATTTGATCGAGTCGACCCAGTCACTCAGGCTAAGCTCATGATCGAGTTTGGTCAAGACCGCCAGAGCGCGATGTCTAAAGAGAGGCAGGAGCTAGCGGATGAGCTATCAATGATGATACAACAAGTTGAGGGGATGATAGAACAAAAGGACGAAGTCAGATATTGGGTCAGTGAAGTCTTGGAACGAGTAAGTCTACTTTCGGATTCGTCTGAGTTTTCAGCTCATTGACTTGACTCATAGGCCAGCACGTCGAGGACACAGCTTGATCGGTTGAGAGCTCGGGAGCATTCCTCTCTGGATCTGACGCAACTATCCAGCCAGCGAGATATCCTTGTTGACAAAGGCTCGAGGATTCTCGGAGCCCTCTTTCGTCTTGGTTATGCTCTTTTTCAATACGCCAAGCTCCCGTGTCGAGTTCTTGCTCTCATCCTTCGGCCGGCCTTCTTCATCCTTGGCATCGTTTGGTCCATCATTTGGCTACCTTGGGCTCTGTTCAAGAAGACGAGGCGCGGAGCACCCCAGCGGGTCACGATTGTGGATAGCAGCAATGCCAACATTGTAGTGAAAGAAGAAAGAACGGGCGTTTCGGATGTGGTCTACACGACCACTGTTTTGGCTTGTGGTGCCGCTTTATTCTTTTGGTATTACGGCACCGATTCATAGATTTCTCTTCATCCTGCTTCGTAGATGAAGGTTCAAGTAGTGCTGCCCGGTTCAAAGTGTGTTGCTCTGTTATACATATATCTTCACGACCTTTCACGATACAGTGCATGCATAGCCATCCGCTTGCCCTGCGCATCTATACATACTTCATGACTATGAGAACGAGGTATCGTTCGACTTCACCGCAACAGTGGCTCAGATTCGTACTGGTCTGTACGCTGCTATCGGTTGTCATTGGTCAAGCTTCGTAGCCTTCCATACTAGGACGATGTGAGTCCATCGTCACCCTCTTCATCAGAGTACTCACAGGAGGCATAAAAGTTCACCCTATCAATGGCCTTCCGTCCTCTCGAACGTCAATAGCCTCACATTTGAACCCGTGCACTTCTCCATACCGCCATTCCTCCAACTTTTAGTGCCCTTTTCATCTCCAAGATTTCGTAATCCAGCTCTGATTGCAGGTGTTCGAGCGACTTTTCGGGCCAGTCGCCGAGGGTGTCTGGAGCAATGGACGATTCGGAAGGAAGCGGGGTAGACGCGGGGATGGGGGAGAACCAATCCCCAGAGTCCATAAGGATAATCTTCGTCAGCGATTCGTCGGGTAGACCACGTAGAACGCTGAAAATGGTCAGCTCCTCTCTTGTGCCGTACAAACGGCTTACTTGAGAATGGTATCTGTATGCAGCTTGAAGGCATCGGTACGCCTACCGGCCTTCAGAGCGTGGAATCCCTCAGGTTTGAGATACGAAGGACTGTAAGGATCAAGAGTGACCCTCCACTAGGATAGTGATGATGTAACGACTGGCACTGGACGTTTCTCGCGACGTATAAAAGTCTACCACACCCATAAGGCCTCGCTGGGGATCGAGGACCTGGTCACAGCGATCCAAGATTTGGTAGAATGGTGGAATCTACCGCGTGTCAATATACCGCCAAAGAGAGACTCGTGTGGCTCACCATGGAGAGCGAGTAGCTCATGGTGATAGCAGTCAAGCTTCCCCTTGGATCAAGAAGCCCCTTCTCCCACTCTGGCAAGACAAACTTGCTCGCGTCCTGACACAAGACGTGTACGTTCTTCCACCCTCTGGCTTTGATCCTGACTTCGGCGACTTTGAGGAGAGGATCGCAGAGGTCAACAATGTAGATGGCATCGAAATACGTGAGGGGCAGATACTCGTCCCTATTGCAACGCATATGAGCATGTGACTACAGACACGTGGGGAGACTTACATCTTTTCAATGTCCCACCCTGTCCCACCTCCGAGATCGACCCAGATTTTTGGTTTGTAAGGAGCATTATGAGGCAATCGCACAGATGGTTGAGCTATCAGATGGGCAGCCAAAAGCTGGAGCATAGTTTCCCGTCCCTTCAAGAGATGAGACCTGGTAGCATCATACAGGTCTGCCTGGTCAGCGTAGAACGCTTCCAGATGATCTTTCTGCTGATGTCCAGTCGACCTCCGAAGAAAAGGTTTGATGAAGCAATTGTAAATGAAGCGGAGGGGCGTTTTGAGGGCTGGCTGGAGGCCGAAGGACAGGCAAAGAGAGCCGAGGAAGGCAAGCAAGTAGCCTAGGATGGGGGCAGAGATGGGAATGATGGAATGGAGGAGGTGCTTGACAGGTCTGCACCATATCAGATTTGCACGATACCCATTGTCAGGGGCTTACTAGAGATAGATGGAGATGGTCATTGCCGAGAGGATGAGGAGCATGTGGGGAAACGAGATGGGCCATACATGGACCGGCTTCAGGAGGAGTCCAGCCATGATGATTCGCGTATATGAATGTCAGTAAGGACCCACCAGAGAGAAACGATGTTGAGATCGTATAGTTGATGTTGATCAAGAGGCAGGTGACAGCGGACCGAATATATATATGGCCAGGTGCATCTTCTTACTGTCGCACGTACCCCGCCCAAATAGGCTAGTCTTTCAGCTTGACCCTGGGCATCAGAATCATCCAGTGAGCACCCCTCGTGCATTGCAGTGAGCGAGAGATGGCAGGAGTCGGGCAATGGGCCATGAACGTGCTTGTTGACTGGTGAAACGTGGGTGATAGGTTGAAGCGACAAAGCAAGCGCGTCCGGGTGGGGCAAGAGCGGTTATCCGAGTTCCAATAGTATACAAAGCTGAATGCACCAGGTAGGACAGCGATGGGTATCTTGCATGATGTAGTTGATATAGAAACAGTTCCAAGATACCCAAGAACGATATACATTGAGGAGCGGCGAGCCCCGCCGACCACGTGTTTTTTACAGTTCGAAAGTCTTGAACGCTGCCCCTATGAACTCTTGCATCTCGCTCACAAAGACACAAAGAGCTGCCCCCATGCCTCCTCTCCCTCGCCCAGCAGTGGCTGCTGCAAGGGCTGCCTCAAGCCGCCTCCTCGCAGCATCCCGCCTCCCCCACTTCGCCCTCACCCCCCGCTTTTACTCGACAGAAATCGAATCAGTAAAGGAGAAGGCCGCCCCCCAGCAGATGTTTGGTGGTCCTCCCCCGGCAAAGAAGGACGAAGGCGCCATTCTCAAAAGATATACTGGTCCCGGTTTCCCCTTCATTCCTGTAAGTTTGCTCTTTTCCCGAAGATCCACAAGGCCATTACTGAAATTACTCGTGAATAGTCATTGCGACACGTCGTTTACCCCTACCACCCTCATCTCCATAAGGGAGCCCCTGTGAAGGAGCTTACAATCCCCCTGCGCCGAAAAGGTGGTCGTAACAACACCGGTACTATCGTCAATCGTCACGTCGGTGGTGGACACAAACGTCGTCTGCGTATCGTCGACTTTCACCGTCGCATCCCCGGAGAGCACGATGTCGTCCGAATCGAATACGACCCTGGACGATCGGCTCACATTGCTTTACTAAAGCGACGCGGAGTGGAGTCTAGTCTGAGCGTGGAAGAGGCGGAGGACAGTTTGCAAGAGGAGCACAGGGGTGGGCGCGCGGATGAGGCTGTCAAGGGTGGATGGAGTTATATCGTTGCGCCCCAAGGCTTGCGAGCGGGAGACGTTGTCGTCTCTTTCCGCCAGGGTGTCCCCGAGAAACTCATCAAAGAGTTTGACATGACTTCTTCCATCTACGGCCAAAATGAAGACCCCGACGCTCCCCCTGCCCCTCCCAATCTCGCTACCGACACCCCCGAAATGCGCCGTGCCCTCGGTATGCTCCGAACGGTCACTCTCAAACCCGGAAATGTCCTTCCCCTGTACCTCATCCCCCCTGGTATGCAAGTACACAACATCTCCATGTCCCTCGACGGGCGTATGCAGCTCTGCCGTTCGGCGGGCACTTTTGCCCAGGTGGTTTCGCATCAGGGGAGCGACGGGCGATCTATCGGAGGGTCGGATGTGTTGACGATGGGTGGTGGATTTGATGCGGAGGGGAAGAGGGTGCCTAAGAACGGTTATGTGTTGATCAAGTTGCAAAGTGGAGAAGTGAGAAAGCTGGACCCAGGATGTGTTGCCACTATCGGTATCGTCTCCAAGTACGCCCCTCACACTCTCACTCTATCCCTGTCTAACTTTCTTACAGCAAAGAGCACCAATCGCGAAAGCTTGGTAAAGCCGGTCGTTCCAGATGGCTCGGTCGTCGACCCCACGTCCGTGGTGTTGCCATGAACGCCGTCGACCACGCGCACGGTGGTGGTCGTGGTAAGAGTAAGGGTAACAAGCACCCCAGAAGTATCTACGACAGACTGCAACACACCAGGACGAGGAGGCCGAAGGACAAGGATGGTAACAAAGCGTACGTCACAATGGGGTTGAACGATTGGATGCTGACAATCTTTGTACAGGGTGGTTACGGAGAGACCAAGAGGAAAGCAGACAGCGGCGAAGCACTAGGCTATGGATGCAACCTCTCACTGACTCGTTTTGGGTTGCTTCCACGCTGCTTGAATGACACATTCGACCATACATGCTGAATCTACTGTACATCTATTTCCCGAGTATCCTATTTCGTTCCCTCCAACGGACCAGGCCGATGCCTCATACCCGCAGACGCTAGTGGATCTGCACCGACATCTGTCCCAGTGCTAGCTGCAGGGCCGAGGTCATCCAATTCGACAGCTTCCGGCTCGAGCTCGATAGGTGTCGGTTGAGAAGATGATTTGGCTTTGTCTTGGACCGAGACAGATGGGAGACCTTTAGGGCTCGGGGCTACCGAGTACAGGATCGTGCCCACTAGTATTGTCAGCAGGGATACTCCATAAGTCAGACAAACTCACACAAGACCATGCCCCCTCCGATGATCAGCCCGCTCGTAGCCCCACTTCCATAGTACCAAACACTGATACCCAAGCTCACTGCCTTTCTCACGGTCAAGATCAAGTTGACTGTCACGGCATTGACCTGCGTCGTCAGCCTGTTGACGCCTCTGACACAAAGGCCCTGGGTAAAGAGGTTGAGCGCGAGGGCAAAGAGGGCGCTGGGGATGAGGAGGTCTTGCCATGATATGAGCTTGTTTAGCGTCGGGGAGGAGGTGGGAGGGGCGGGGGAGGATGTGAGGGAGGTGAAATGGGATTGAGAGGGGAGGGGAAGGGATATGAGGGTCATGGGTGCCGAAGAAGCGTAGTTGCGATAGGTTGATACGAGCTCAGAGTAGAAGGGAGAGAAGAGCGGGATGGAGAGGAAATGCTACGATATGGGATTAGAACCATTACCATGATCATGGGATTGGACGCACCCCATAGAACAGAGCTTCTTTCCATTGCCTCCCGTATACCTTATACGTCTGCTCCTGATACAGCCCGAGCAAGGCCGATAGCACCAGAGCACCCGCAAGAATGGCAATACCCAAAAAGTACTCGTGGTCTGGGGAGATCCACGACCGGCCAGTGGTATCATCGACTTTGGGAATGGGAGCAGACGAAGAGGTAGAGAATCCGTCGTCCTGGATTCGCATGATGGGAGGAGGCTTTGGCTTTGATAGAGTTGCGAGGATGATGCCAGCTGTGATAAGTATGCCTGCAAACTACATTTCATTGTTGAGTAATTGATCTGGTCATTGAGGTGTGTGCAAGCTTACGACCTGACCAGCAGAATACCGCCGTTTGCCCACGAGATACCCTGTCATCATGGAAACACAGAGCCCGCCGCTTCGAAAGATGATGTGCACCGTTACGGGGATCTTCAACCCGAACGCGTAATTGTTCACTGATCCAAGCAGTCAGCTTTCGAGTCTACCCGCATCATGAGGGCGTCCACTCACTCAAGCTAACAAGAAAGAACAAGACGACCTGCACCGACCATCTCTTGAGTGGCACTTTTCTGTTCTTAAGTTGGGGTATCCGCCACCCGGACCTCGTGCGGACGATGCGAAGCTGGGAGGAGAAGTTCTGGATTGCGACGAATGTGAATTGAGCAAATGTCAGGAATGTGCCTTCAAGGATGTATCAGTATAGTTCGATTACGGTGACAATAAGAGGGTTAATCACCAGAGTTGGGATGATCTCTCAGTACACCTTCAAGTGCCCAGACATTGCTATAGTTGTCAGCAGCAGTCAGAAAAAGGCTAGAGTAGGAATGTACACACGAACAGCATCCCCCGAAGACGAGGGATAATACCATGATCCATTCTCCAGCATTTGCCTGGGCGAGGGCTGTGAGCAAGCCCTTGTCCAGCACCATCTCAAAAGTCTTGACGCGCTGAAGTCGAGAGGTAGTTGCGAGGTGAAGTGGATTACTTGGGAAGCTTCGACAACCCTCTTGCAAACAGAACCTGACAGATACACTAGAAGCGCCGTGGGAGGCGTGGAGGCCATCGAGGAGCCCTCTGCCGCCACTGCCCTGGACCCGCTCGGCGACACGCCGCACCGTCACAACACCGCAGGCAGCGAGGCACGCACCATTTCCTCCAACTCGCTCCTCAAAAGCCCTCGTCGCCCTCAAACGCCAAAAGTTCCACAAAAGGGCAACAGCCTTCCAGGAGTGACCCATCATGTCTACCCCTGCATTCCTACTCCACGAGTACTTTGGCCTCCTTATCTACCTCGCCATCCTCCTCCCAGCGACCTTCATCTCTCTCCCGCATTCCACCTCCTACTTTATCCCTACCTCTTCTCCTCTCACCCAGACCTCCTCTACGGATAGACCAGAACATGCCTTTTTGACGCCGATAACAGCCAGGCCGGCGGTGACCATGCTCTGGGATGTAGTTGGTATGGGGGTCGTCATGGTCTGGTGGGGTGGACGGATGAAGGGGTGGTTTGAGGGGAAGGGAGACAAGAAGGCTGGGGGAGATAGGGTAGTCGGAGAGAGCGAGCTAGAGGAGAGGCAGGGGAGGACGAAAAAGATGCTGGGGAGACTTTACGAAGCCGGTGTAAGCACGCTGGCGGGGTCCCTCGTCTTCTACGTGATTTTGTCTCTCATGGGTGCACCCCTCAACAGGTAGGATACATTTCTTTCGCAAGGATTGTATGTATACTGACAGCAGACCAGTCATTGGGACAAGACAGCTCTCCTCGCCCTCCACCTCTCTATCCTTACCGTGTTGCCGGTCGTCTACACCCTGGGGATGCCTTCATTGTACGACAAGGGTACTTACGCCCGTTTCCGCATGACCCGTCTCTTCTGTGAATTCAAGTACGTTCTCTTGTCCTTGCTCTCGTGTTGAATGCTGATACATAGTTCAGACCCGAGACGCCCCTTGAAAGAGCCCTCGTCTACCCCGCTGTCGGTACCCTTACAGGCGCATGGCTCGGTGCGCTTCCCATCCCTCTCGATTGGGACCGTCCCTGGCAATCTTTCCCCTTGACGATTGCCTTTGCTTCTATCCTCGGCTTTGTGGCTGGAGGCTTCGTGTCGTGGGGATACACTGTGGCGGAGGGCATGTACAACGAGGTGACCGAAAAGGCCAAGCCTGTGGCCGTAGAGGAGGAGAGGGCGGGCAAGAAGAGCAAGAAGAAGAAGGCTGTCAAGGCATAGATACATGCACTACTAGTAGTCGTTCAACACCATGGGCGCAGTACGTAAGCAGCGGCGACGATGGGTGGCGGGTCATTCTCTCTTGCATCCAGTTTGCATCCAGTTCTATCAGAGCCAGGTTTACAGGCTGCAGTATACCTCCCTACTCGCCGCAAACAGCGTACCCAGGGACGACACCGCCATGGCCAGCAACCCGGACTCCCGGCCCCTCCCAGATGGATGGGTCCAGCAGTACGCCCCTGTCTTGTCGTCGCCGTCATCCACTGATATCATACAGGTTCAACGACCAGCACAAGGCGTGGTTCTATGTAAACACCAAGAGCACCACCGGGCCCCAGAGCCAGTGGACACAGTATGCCGACATTCCGCCCCCGTCTCGGTCAGAGATCGCTGACACAATCCAGTCCCGCCGACGATGCCCCCAACTACGCCCCTCCCCCAGGGCTTCCCCCTCCGGCCAAATCATCCACCCCCTCCTACGGGGATGAACAGAACCGAGGTGCTGCCAACTCGTTCTACCAGTCCAGCACGCCCCAGCCCCAGCAGCAAGGCCAGTATCAGCAGACGGAGTACCAGTCCACCTCTTCGCCTGGCGCTTACCAGCAGCAAGAACAGAAGAAGAAGGGTTTGGGAGGACTGCTTTCCAAGCTTGGGGGTGGTAACAGGCCTATGGGCGGGGGTGCATATCAGCAGCAGCAGTACGCACCGCAGCAACAATACGGCGGGTACCCTCAGCAACAGCAATATGGCTACCAGCAACAGCCAATGTATGCTCAGCAGCCCATGTATCAGCAAAGACCCCAGAGGCAGGGTATGGGCGCTGGTGCGGGAGTAAGTTGTCATTCCAATCGGCCTTTGAACTCGAGCTGACGAAGAAAAGGCTGCCATGGGTCTAGGTGGTGGACTGCTGGGTGGTATGCTTATTGGAGATATGATGAGTGATCATAACGATTACGGAGGAGGTGGTTACGGAGACGGGGGCGGAGATTACGGAGGAGGGGGTGATGATTTCGGTGGAGGAGATATGGGTGGTGGTGACTTCTAGGCTTGGTTGTCCGACCTCGACTCGGTCTGTGTGTAGTAGATATGTGTTTAAAAGACTTGCTATATGCTCATGAAGTACACGAATCAACAATGACCTCAGAACCTCATTCTGATGCAGGCAACATATGTCATGGCATAGTCTCGATATTAAATATGGTGGGTGATACCTTTACTCAACTCTTTAGTAAAGGGGAGGGAAGAGCTTGTATCGCTTTCCAGGGAATACCTTGTTGTCAAACTCTCTCTTGTACCTCGCGTACTTGCCGTCCGCCCAGGTCTTCATAAAGTAAGTTCCGATGCACAGATAGATGACAGCTAGTCGACCCGTCAGTAAACTTCCTTCCAACGATCTACAATATGACCCACTGCCAATGTCGAACCCAGTCATAGCGACCAAAGCAATCACACCAAGGATCTCAAACCAATAGTTGGCACAAACGGCGGTGCCAAAGCCGAGACCAGTGGGGAAGAGACGCGGTTGACCGGCGGGCTGGCGGAGGGAACGGAGGTGAATGTGGGCGTTGAGGTTCAACAGCTCTGCACTCTATTCACTGTCATCAGTTTAGAATCCTGGCAACGACAGTAGGACTTGCGAGTTCAAAGATGGTCCAGAACGTGATCCAACGCGAGTCACCCAAGAGAGTGCCTTCCAGAGCTTGTTGAGCGTAAGCGGGTCGGTAAAGGGTGAGGCCGATCAGACCACCGCAGATACCCCAGTAGTATGCGCAGCTGCATCCTTGTCAGCTTGATGCAAGCAGGCGTAGAAGAGGGGCATACTTTCGGAACACGAAAGACAGAGGAACCGTGGCACGAGAGAAGTCGTGGACAAAAGCAGACTCGAGGAAACGCTTGATAAAGTGTATCACAATCAAGTTTCTGACGGTACTGTACGGGGTGAGCTCAAGCAAGCGGCATGGGACAAGGCGAACGTACAGTTGAAGGGGAGAAGCGTCGTACTGTCCCCAGATAGCATGAGAATAGTACAACAGGAGGGGGTTCAGTACGATTGGTCCAGCCTGATCACAATGTCAGCTGCTGCCCTCCATGGTATCACGTATCACTCACGTATTCCCAGAGATACAGCGTTCGATAACCAACCTGCTGCCCCAGATCCTTCAACCTCAACTTGGCCCCTTCTCCAACACCATAATCGGCCAGCGTCTTGTCTTCATCCGTCAAAGCTATAGCCTTGCTGGCAACGCCTGGGAGTGTGATCCTCTGCCTGTTGGAAACCAGCTGTCGCCGCTGTCAGCTCGATGTATCGGTGCAGTTGGGATGACGAGTACTTTGGGGAACTTTGCCTGTACGGCGATTTTGAGCTGCTTGACGGTGACGTCCTTGGGGTGTGCGGCGGTGAAGTCGAGGTTGACGGTGGGCTTCCCTGGGGATGCGATGGTGAGGGCGACCATGGCGGCGTGGTGGGCGTTGTGGGAGAGAAAGAGAAAATGAACGGGGTCGTCAAGTGAATTACGTAAATGGCGCATCGTCTGTCACTTTTGGAGGGGTGTTGTGCATGCATGGCGAGGGATGGAGCAGCGCCGGAGGGGGCACGGCGCAGGGCATGGCGCAGGGACAGGGCTATGCATGGGATGCATCGAGACGACCCCTCGTTCACGTCGAGTGCCGAGTTGTCAACGTCAACAACGAATCCCGGCGCGTCGCTGGAGCCACAATGGACGGCGCTCATCTTCCACCATAACACCCGCCATGCCACCACCGCCACAGCTCACCTCCCATCTCAGACACAACCCCCCAGCACCGTCCACCTCGGGCGACTCGGAGTCTACAGCGCTGCCGGGGGCTCCTGTCGAGAAGGGCGTCGAGGTCGGCATCCTCAGAGAGCTAGCCAAGACCGCACTGGTGGAGAGTCTGAATGATGTGCGTTTTCGTCTATGTGAACGAGTAGACTGCTGATCAGTGGGGCAGATACAAGGAGCCAAGTCGCTCGTCCTGGATCCAGCGCTTGCTGGACCACTGGGTTTAGTCACGGAAGTGGCCTTGCTGAAGGTATGCCCCTCTGTGATCGCAATCGACGATACTGACAGCTGTACAGAACCAGGCAGTAGACAAGATGTTCTGGCTCGAACCTGGGCCTCTGAGCGTCAATACACGGAATGTGGTCTGGCTGTGCCGGCCAAAGACGGGGTTCATGAGGGTCATTGCTGGTGCGTCTTTTGACGCTCTCACTGGACCATTCGCTGACATTGAGCTCAGACCAGATTAGGGCGCATCAGAGGACCCCGCCTCCGGGTGGCCCGCTACACTATACCATCTTGCTGGTGCCAAGAGTGACAGAGCTGTGCAGAAAGGTGCTTGAGGATCAAGGCGTGGCGGGCGATGTAACCTTGTCTGAAGTGAGCAGCTTCCACCTCCCCTGAGTCTACTGACATCTGCATAGTTCAAGCTCGGACTCATTCCCATGGAGGACGATCTCCTCTCTCTGGAGATGGAAGACGTCTCTAGGGACATATATATGAATGGAGACGACACGCCGATATATCACTCCTCGCTCGCTCTCATGACGTTCCAGCGAGCGTTCGGCTTGTTCCCTCGCATAATCGGCAAGGGCGATGCTGCCAAGGTAAACATATCGACCCTATTAGGATCTCAGCTTACACGACACTGCAGAAACTTGCAGACCTCTTGCGACGCCATCACTCCTCCGGTCCCTCACAATACACCGAGATTGAACCCTCTTCCAAGATTGACAGCTTGATCATCGCGGACCGGTCGGTCGACTGGGTAACACCGATGTGTACACAATTGACCTACGAGGGTATGCTGGATGAGTTTGTGGGGATCAAGAATGGTGAGCCACTCCCATCGCAGGTATATACAAGTGCTGATGCTGCGCAGGGCATATCGAGGTCGACCCTTCCCTCCTAGAAAGCAACCCAGCCCCTCCACAGCCCTCCTCCTCTTCTCTACCATCTACGCCACTGGCAAAGAAACGCAAACATCATCTCGCCTCTGATAAAGATGCCCTCTTTTCCGACATTCGTGACCGCAACTTTGCCGTGGTCGGCTCGCGTCTGTCCAAATTGGCGAAGAGGTTGAAGGACGAGAAGGGGAATGCAAAAAATCTGAAGAGTGTACAGGAAATGAGGAGCTTTGTGGGAAAGATGGGTGGTTTCCAAAGCGAGCAACAGAGTTTGAAACTTCGTGAGCCGTTCTTCTAGTTGAATGATCCCAGATTGACGTGGGTCAGATACCGAGCTCGCAGAGACCCTCATGAATGTTACCAAAACCGAGGAATTCAACAAGAACCTTGAAGTACAGCAAAACCTCGTCGCAGGTTACGATGTCGCGGCCCAATACGCCACCATCGAAGACCTCATGTATCAGCAAGCCCCTTGGCAGACCGTCCTGCGCTTGGTGATCCTTGCAAGTTTGACGACTGGCGGTCTCAAGCCAAAGGTCCTGGAGGGTTTCAAGAGGGACTTTTTGCAGATCTATGGGTACCACCATCTGCCTTTACTCGTCAACTTGCAATCTCTTGGCCTTCTCCGTGCCCCGCCCCCGACGCCACAGACGTTCTCGGCCCTTCGAAAGTCCCTGCGGCTCATTGTAGATGATATCAATGACGCGGCACCCAACGACATATCATACGTCTATTCGGGCTATGCCCCTATATCCATCCGCCTCATACAGTGTATCACACAGAAGAACGTTATTCTATCTGGGCCGTCCGAAGAAGATGTGCAAGGTAGAAGGGCATTGCCAAGGGCGCACGGCATATCAGGGTGGAAGGGTTTCGAAGATTTAGTCGAGGGGTTACCCGGTGCGGTCGTCGATGTAAAACAGGAGACAGACGTGGCGAGAGACGTACCCAGTAGGCCTTGCCATTGCTGTATGGTCTGACGCTCATTGGCATATAGGAATCACCGAAGATAGCACCACCACGACTGTAGTATTCTTCCTGGGTGGATGTACCTATACAGAGATTGCGGCTCTGCGGTGGATGGCCAAGCAAGCGAAGGGGAGAAAATTCCTGATAGCCACTACCGGAATCATTACCGGAAATTCTGTAAGTGTTTGATCAACTGCAGATCAACATAGCTGACTCGGGTGCAGCTAATTGAAGGTTTCGGGGACAAGACCCCTGTACCTCTTACAGAATAGATAGTAGACACATGTATTATATAACATCTACAACCCTCCTTCGACTAGAACGCTCCCCATATATTCCCCATCAGTCCCTTTGAGCCTCCACGCTGTCAACACTTCGTTGAAATCGAGTCGCAGCAACACTGAAGGGTTGTTTAGTTAGCAGATGTCATAGCTCGCAAGACGTGGACTTACACTGATCGATATGCCTCGCCATGGCAGCTTCTGCCTCCAGCCCTTTCTCCTCCTTCTCCAACTGGACTTTGCTTTTTGCGCCCTTGTTCACATTGTTCATCGCCGCAGCCGTCAAGCTCGTCTGTCGAGACATCATGCGTGATATCTGGGCAACCCTCATGGTGCGGGAGAGTGACCCGCCGCCGGTAGTAGAGCGATCGGGATCAGACGCCCCCGGCTGCTGGGTTTCCAACAGGGCACCAAAGAAGTCGGTCAAGTGTTCGTGCAACGCCTTGTCTTTCATCAGCACTTCCCGCGTAAGGCCCGCTTGACTTACCTCGTTGATCTCTTCCACGGCCTGCGCCCTCTCTTGCACCATCTTTCCTACCTCCTCCCCTTCTATCCCCTCCATCAACAGCTCTGGCAAAACATCCCCGCCCCACCTCTCGACGAGGCCGGTGAAGCGGCGACAAGTGTCGAGAATATCGCGGGTAAGCGTAGCAATACCGACGTCGGATATGAGGAGTGCTTCTCGAAGGAAAGCGAGGTGCCGGGTATGGATTTGCCTGACAAGGGTTAGCGGTGCCATTCTGAATCATAGCTTGCTTACCGGAGGGTGAGGAAGTCCAGAAAAGACGGCCCCTGCTTTCTGCTAGGTGTCGGTGGTGCGCGATTGGGACGTATGGATTGACTGTCATGCAGCCCCTGGGTTTCCGTGTTGTATGGAGATGCAGGCCGCCTGCCTTCGACGGTCGATGCGGCAGCACTCTTAACAGGCGTTGGCGCTGTTCGCGAAACAGACCCTCTCACTGAACCCCTCATAGAACCTCTCAACGAGCCATCCAGAGTTGACGATGACACGTTGTCTATCTCAAGCTGTTCCAATAATCTCCTATGCTGTACGTCGATTATGTCGGTCATGAAATGACTCTGAAGCTGGTCGATAAAGAAGAGCATCAATCGGACTGTACCCCAGGCTGTCCTGGCCAGCCACTTCCTCGCATCGGCTTCTTCCGGTGTGCCACCTTCAGTCACGCCTGTCCATTTCCTCCTCTGGCGCTGAGCCGCGCTAAGTGAAGTCCAGCAATTGAGAACAGCAAGATGAGTGTGCCGGATTGCGGTGAGGTACGATTGAATGTCAGAGTAGGTTGATATGGCGAGCGGGGTCATGAAGAGGTCGAGGGGCCAGGTGATGGTGGTAGTGAGGGTAAGGGGCGTACCGAGCAGTGAAGAGGAGAATAGCTGGCGTATATTGCTCCTCTCGTCCGGCAGTCCATCCCCTGACCGATCAGCCCCTCCCTTCCTCGGCACCTTGGGCGGTAAAGAAGGCAATATCGCCCTCAGTGGCCCCTTCTCCATCTTATACCTCAACTTGTCCAGTCCAGCATCCTGGCCTGCTGACGTTCCTACACTAGCTCGCCGCAGGGCCAAATCAAGGTCTTGCTCGCGGATGACAGAAGAAGAGGAATGAGGATTGGAGGTGATGAGTTTGTCGAGGCGTAGCTGAGAGATCTCGCGTATGGTCGAGATGGCGTAGTCTGCCTTGCGGAGGAGGAAAAAGTTGCCTCTGTGGAGGGTCAGCGGTGTAAAGGGCTGTATATGACATACAATGTCTCTATTGAATCTGCCACTTGCGCTCCAGTCAGGATATGTTTCCATAACCATCTGATAGATGTCAGCAAATTGTCGATTGTAGTCGTATCTACTCACTCTCCCACCTCAGCCCTAGCTTTTTCAATCGCCTCACCCAAACCTTCCCCCTCTTCAAGCCATTTGACCGACATTATATGCTCTCTCAGCCCGCTGACCAATTGCGTGGGGAGGGATCGTCCCTCCCTCTTCAATGTGGCTGCCACCCGACCAACATACAAGATGCTCTCTTTCGTTTTGCCCTGCATAGAAGACGGGAGCAACTCTTCATTCAGAGCAAACGCTCTATGCTGGGGCGAAAGCGGATCGGCACCAATATCTAGACCTATAGCTGGAGAAGTGGGGGTGGATAGTGTTGGGGCGATGCCGTAGAGGATGAACGAGACGAGGTGGGTGAGGAAGACGTGGCGGAGGGAGTTGGAAAGGGATGTGAAGATGACTTTCAAGAACGGATTGCCGGTCTGCGTCTTTTCGTGGACGAGATCAATGATTTTACCAGGTGTCCAATCCCCATGTTCGGTTGACGATAATTGATCCACCATGCGCTTGAGGGAAGCAATAGGCGCTATCCACTTGTCGAAGGTCGCGACAATAATAGTCAACGGCACATAACCCTGTTGATCTTGGACCAAGCTGGCATCGAATGACAATATACGAGCCTCGGTATCGATAATTAGAAGATCATACTCGCTGAGAACTTCGAGAGTATTAGCAGCCAGAGTCGAAAGATACTGATCGGGAGCTGCCAGACCACTGTCTTCGGGCTGCCGTTGTCTTCCTTTTCTGGACGAGTAAAGGCTCTCTGCCAGCACAGCCTCTCTGCCCAGCTTGAGAGTGCTAGCCGCCCATTTCTTAACTTGGGTATACTGGAAAGCGAGCGATGCGAGCGAGTTGAGGGAGCTGATCTCTCCAGGATGGAGGTATTCGCAGAGAGCGGGCGAGACTTGGTAGGTCTTGGGCACCGCTGCCTGAGATGGATGGGGGACGAAGAGGGATGAAGGATGGCCTCCAAGTACCAAAAGGACTTCTGCGAGCATCGCTTGTCGAGTTCACAGGGCAACCCTTGACGAAATTTGAGAATGTTTGCGTCGACGCGTCCACATGGACGACGCGACTGGCGACCGGCGGCGAAGATGAGAGAGAGGCTATGTTATGTAATCAGGCACAGGCACGTATCTCGCTTACGAGAACAAAGCTTGTTGATACTCTGTGTGCACAGATGGTAGGCTGCAGATGAGGCAGCAGATGGGGCGGTATAGAGAATCGACGAGCATGCCAGGCTGAGGCAGCTCTGCTTCGGCCTCGAAAAAAAATGGCATCATCACCGCCTACCAACGAGAACAATCCAAGATTCAAAAAGTTGCTGGGGCCCGAGAAGAGCCATAGCTGTATCATAAAGCATTGGAGATGCTGGGAATCGAACCCAGGTCGAGTCTATGCGAAAGACTCATACTACCACTGTAATACATCCCCTTTACGAGAGAGGGACAATGAACGAGGTCATGAGCACAGGTAGTCTGTTGACAAACGTCAAACGAACGACCGGAGTTGTCTGTCCCTCAGCTATTCAGCTGTTTTGTCTATTCTTGCTTGACTGCGCTACGCCATACATGCAACATATCGCTACGCCCATCGATGTACAGCCATTGTTCCCTCTAAAGCTGTTATATTGCCGCGACACCACTCCGATCTATCGAATATACCGCCCCTCTCCAACTTCCCACCAACGACGCATCGGCTTCTAAACTAGTGCTTGCGCCCCCTCCTCAACTGTGCTTTTCATTATCGTATTGATGGGCAGTCCACCATGTGGGAATCGGAGTACCAATATGCCGAACCTATGAGCCACACTATGCCGGATCTCAACACACTGCACCAGCCGATACGTATATGGTCCTTCATCTTTCTTTCGCTCGCAAACATCAGTGGACAACCGTCTCTCTTGCATTTTACATTCTTGGGTCCATGCGTGTCCTTCAACTGTGCTTTCTATTAGCGTTTCCGCGAGCAATCCGCCGGCCGATACGTACATGTCGTTTCATTTTAGTTTCGCTCCTAAATGTTTTTAGACACCCCTCATGTGTACATCGCACCTTTGCGTCTTCATGACGTTCTTTTACCTGTGCTTTCCATTAGCGTTCTGACGAGCAATCCACCGGCCGATGCGTACGTGACTCTTCAACCTGAATTCGCTCCCGTACGTACCTCTTCACATATCACCGTCTTTGGTCCGTGGATCTCAACTTCCTATGATTTTCCTTTAGCGTTTTGATGAGCAGTTCACCAACCCGTACGTACGTGACGATCCCGGCCATCCTTCCTCACAAAGACCTTGCCGCAAAAAGAACACTCCCTTCTCGCCTTGTTCTCGCCCCTTCTTTGCCCACTTCTCTCCCCTCCGTGCTCGTGGGCCAGGATCGTTAGCGGTTGTCCCATCTCCGACCGCTCAGTCTGTTCGAACGCTCTCAGAAACGCCCCCCACCCTCTTCAGCCTCCTGTCCGAGGCCGCACTCATCGCAACGAGTATTTCAACTCGGTGGACGCTGACAGGCAGGGCCATGTTCACACTAACGAGCCTCTTCTACCCGTGGGCACGAACCCGCAACATTCTTATGTCCGAGTCCTTCAAGGTGTGGGACTGGGGGGTGTCTCCAGAGACCGGCCTTTCGATGGGCTCGACAGCAGAGACACGACATGACAGGTATCTTCGATCCCACAGGGCGACGAGAAGTCATTCGTCTGCGGGCTGTAGGATGAGGGGTACCCGGTATAAGACGTCATGATCTAGCTGTTATCATACTGTTATGTTCGCTCTGTCTACATTGCCAGCGCTTGGCTCTCTTTCTTTGAATCACGCTCTCTATGTATCTGGAGTACCATTTCTCTTCCTTTAGTATGACTACGCATCATCATGCGACATCCCGATACCGTTTACTGTGACCCTTACCAGTACACGCGATCCTCTGTCGACACGGCTTTGCAACACTGCTCGAGAAGCTTTCCCTATACATGAGATTGAGTCTCACGATCTGAAAAGTGATTGAAGCATTGCAGAGTCCCTGCAGTGCTTTTGCGTAACGATGTCTGTCAAAACTACAGCGTACATATACTACAACAATCTAGATCTGAAACACATATTCTCCTCCTTGGAAGGGCACACTGACCAAGCCAGTGAACCGCTCCAAAGCCTGCGCGTCCTTGGTCGCCCCATTATCCCTCCAGATCCTCTGCTCATTGTCCATTGCCATGTCGGCACTCTCCTTCGGCGGCTCGCTCATCCTCTGCTTCAGCGACCCCGCCATCCCGCCTAGCAGCTTGTCTACATCGCCGCCTTCACCCACTTTGGCCATTGACCTGTACAAGGTCATGTCTTGGTCTTCCACTATCATGTCCAAGCCCTCGCTCTCGGCGTAGTGTGCGTAAAAGTCATAGTTGGCTACGCGGACGTCCATGTCGGGCGGATCGTAGAGAGCTTGGATGAACAGCGCCAGTGCGGACGGGGGTTCGTCGGAGACGATCTTGGCTGTGGTGGGTTTGGGGAGGCGCGGGGATAAGTCGTCGTGCGGCGACCCGGGAGTTTCGGCAGGTGTAGCCCAGCGACGAGCCGTTCGGCGAGGCCTCGTAGCTATCAGCATGGGGCGTATATCGTCAAAACGTACTCACGGAGGTACGTTGTGGTGGGCTGCATGTTCTCGCGGCTCGAAGGGACTTGCAAATTGCTCGTGTCGTGGTTTGCTGCAATTTGTCAGAAGTTGCTACGCAGGGTATTATAGAACTTACGCGTGGAATCTCATAGTAGAGTTCATATTACTACTCTTTGCGTCAGCCTCTCCTACACCAGACTGACTGTTCATCGACGACATGACTCACAAAGCGTACATGTCGTTAAAGTCGGACAGCTTATTCGTCTTGTAGTACTCGGTGTACACTTGATTTATAGGAGCAAGCTTGTCCGCTTTGGGCTCTTCCAAGCTATTGGGATTGAACCACTTCTGATAATTAGGCCTTGTCGGGTTATATTTCGGTACCGAGGGATGTACACCGAGCTGACAAAGACGTCAGCTTGCTTCTTCTGTACGCCGCAGATATGACGGACGAAAAGGTTGATGGCAGCCTGTTTATCTCCGTCCAGCATAGAGTTGTTGTAGAAACGCCGAATGTTTTCGAGAAGATCGCGCGAATGACTACTCCATTGTGTAGCTTTGATCCTTCGGTAGGTGTCTACTCTGTTGACCAGGGCACTTCCAGTATACTGCCAAGCCAGGGCTGACTTGGATCAGCTACGTTCAGCAAATTGTACTAGAAGAGACTCACTATCCCCGTGATCATGATACATCTCTGTCAAGACGTCGACAGCATCACAGGAGAATTCCAGATATGGCGTACTGAGGAAACCGAGTGCGTAAAGTTGTTGTCCGAAAGCGCGCTTGGCGATGGCGAACTGGGCAGCGTTGGTGCGATCCAGGCAGTCTACGCAGTTCACTCTCAAGATACCGTGTTGGAGAAGGGGACGTGTACGATGAGCGGCAGCGCTAGAGAAAAGTATGAGCTCTGTTAGGGAGATCTTGGTGGGTAACGCACCCTGCAGCATTACGGGCCGGCCCGCCGTGGAAGAACTTTGTAGCCTGGAGGCTTTCCTCACAAATGTCTTCCAAAACACCGATTACATCTTGCTGACCACTGTAGACTGTCAGTCAAGACCATCATTAGTATGATATACCGCTCACCTCTTTGCAGCTTGCGACATGTCCCAAGCAATATACTCCATCTTCTTCCCTTCAGGCAGAAACTGGTTGAGGTAGCGTATACACTCTCCATACTCTTTCAGCAGCTTGCTCTCCCTCGGAACGGATTCGCGGGCCTTGATGAGGTTGAGGATGTAGATAGGAGCGCCATACCGTCCTAGCAGATCGTCAAAGTGCTTTGCAGCCGGGGTATAGAAGGGATCCTTGACGGTGACTGTCCATTGTAAGCCACATATCACCATGGGGTGGGATGACTCACTTTCTATCGGTGGTCGAGGGGTCATCTGGTTCGATTCTTGATGCCACATCACGGGTATACTCCCTCTGTACTGCACAAAGCTCGTGTACCCGCCATAGCCCGAGCTGAACTCTGATACCGGGACGGTCGGGGATTCTGGATCTGTCTGACCGAAGGCAGTGGAGAGCGGCTCTGATACTCTGCGCCGATGTCAGCAATAATCCTCGGGGACAAGGTGCAACTTACATCTGCTCAGTCTCGACTTCGTTGGCTACATGGCCCTGTTGCATGTGTCAGGTCTGTTTGCCTCCCCTGCATAGGGTACTCACTTCTTCATTCGCGCCTCGTGTCAGGAAGCGAGCACCCGCATAGTGTCGGGAACGCCTCGCTATCAGGGTGAGATATAAGGTGCGCGAAAAGACATTGATTTCTACAGGGTATCAGCACAAATCTAGCGGTGGGGAGCATACCCACTAGCCTGGTCCACGAATCCATGTATCAGCGGTATGATCCACCGACTCTTCCCTCTGGGCTCTTCCAAATCAAAAGCAGGCGAGAGCAGATGGTGATTCCACATAAAGCGAGTGTTCCACCGCCGATTCGCGGCGGCGACAGTGAGGTTGGTTTGTAGGGTGTTGGTGAGGTCGTAAGAGTAGCTAAAGTAGAAGTTCTTGGAGAGGTCGACCATGTTAAAGGTGCTTATGAGTCTTCTGGATTGTCAGTATGGTTCTATATGATTGAAGAAGCACTTGCTTGGTCTCTTGAGCAGACTTTTCGATGCGTGGGCCAACAGGCCAGAGCTATGACAGTATCAACTACTAAGTCTTTTTCTATCAGTGATGTAGTCATACCATAGTTTCATCGCAATGGTATACTGCAGCAAGTCAGTTGAACGCTACCAGGAGCCTGGCATGACTCACTATAATGCCCTCCTAGAAGACCCACTTCTGATCTCTCGGTCATCAGAATCAGATACCACCCAGCCGTAAACTTTACAAAGCCAACCAGACCACTACTCCTGGGTGAACATTGCTCGCGGAAACAGATATCGTACTTACTGGAAATCCATCACAAGATCCATGCCGCCTTGACTCTTGTTCCCGTCTTTGACCATCCTGAGTAGCGTCTGCAGCTCATTGCTGTCGTACACGGTCGTATCTTCGACCACATTAAGCAAGGTCGGGTCAGTACGGTCTATCTTGAGTACGCGGTGGATATCTCCAGTAGAGGCAGTGATGTACAAGCGACTGCTCTCGGATCAGCTGCTGTTACACGCCCCGAGCACTCACGTCTTTGTCCTGAAGAGGGTGAATTTGGACAGGGAGTTGAGGGCGTTGGGGTCCTCGATGGGGACCGCATGCTTGGGCTCCTCCGCGTCCGCTGACATGGCATGCCCCGTGGATATGGATACTTGACTGTTGGTCGCGTCGTTGTGACGGGATATTCGGCGGCCGGGGCACGTCGCGGGATCAATTGGTTGGCGGGATCAATGGTTGGCGGGATCAATTCATTCGCGGGATCAATTGTGTTCCCAAAGCGGCGGTCGCCTCTCCCATTTTGCGTTCCCATCCCAATCCTCCCAGTCCCCCACTTTACGCGCCTGCCTTTGCGCCCTGCCCATCCTGTACTCCCCCCTCGCTGCCATCAACCCGGCGGGCATCGCCATGATGCGGCCCACCCCGCCCGCCGACCACCCGGCCCCCGGCCCCCAGTTCACCCTCCCAGACGCCACCCCCAACCGCAGGCGAGGACGCCCCTCCACCCGCGGAGAAGCAGGCATCACCCCCCCGCCAGAGAGCGGCTGGTGGGAGGACCGCGCGCCCAGCTGGCACAAGGATGCCATCCTCGGCGGCAAGTCGTCCATGGACTTTCTCATGGAGTGGTCCGAGGAGATGAAGAACCAGGGCCACTACTACTGGATGGGCGTGAGAGACGGCGGAAACTTGCATCAAGGCGCCGCGAGGTTCAGAGACTACTTGTACTCCCAGCATGGTCCTATCAGGAGGTCTAGCAAGGCTATCAGAAACAAGGTGCGTGATCTGCTCTTAGTGGGTGGCGACGCGTGCTAATCAGCGCTCTAGGTTGAGAACGTCAAGACCAAGTTCTTTGAAGCGCAAGAGTGGCTCAAGGATCCTGGGGCTGACCACATCACCATGTCCATCCCGGATGTAGAGAGTAAGTCTGCAAGCAGGCATTGCGGAAAGCCGCTAACCCCTGGACAGAAAAGCTCAACAAGATCTGCCGCAACTATCGATTCTGGGAGACAATCTTTGTCGAAAACGCACCTATGCTTGATCCCTCTTCGCAAGTTGAAGGCCCGTCTAGCCAAGGTCCCCATACTCTCAACCAAGCTCAGGCTGTCCCTCAGAATCCCATGCCGCTCATTCGAGGGATTCCAGGGTCTGAAAATGCAGAGATGGAGCAACCCGCTCCTCCTGTTCGCAGTGAGTCATCTCTGCTCCCCTGCAATGTTTCTTTTCTAATCCCATACAGACGTTCGACGCAGACTCAATGATGGCACCGCCGCTGCCGCTCCCGAAACCCCCACCTCGGTCGGCCGCATTCCTCCTGCCGGCTATCTCGAGCGAACTAGGGAAGAGCGCGAGCGCGAAAAGCACGACCTCGCCAAGAGACAGCACACCATCGCCGCTGAGCAGCTCGAACTTGAAAAGAAGAAGGAGGCGAGAGAGGCGAGAAGATTCCAGTGGGAGCAGCACAAGCACCTTGTCGATACCGCGGTCAGGCTCCGGGAATTGGACCTCATTCCTGTGGAGGCCGGGTTGATCAAGGCCAAGGCTTTGTATGCTCAGGCTGCCGATGAGGATCAGGCCAACGCCAATGTGTAGCCACTTTTTATCGTTATTTTTTGATAGTTTTGGAATATAGTCTCGTGGTTTGTATACTCGTCGTTGGAATCATGTAAAACAGTGTCTCATGGAGGAGCGGTCGCTCGTGATCGCTAGCCATAGATCCGTCGTCGCAAGTCTTTGAAGTGGGTGCAGAGTCGTGTTGCAACACCCCATTGCCTAAAAAGTCAGAATTATCTTGATCAACGAACGCAATCAGTCTCATTCTTGTAGAAACCCCTGTGCGAAATGTAATGCGCTGCATTGTTTTACAGATGTTGATACAGCCTCTGAAGGAGGAAATGATCTATCAAGCCTTTGCAGTTGGTCAGCTCGCATCCAGAAAGCTTCTGGCACTGGACTCACCGATATCCTTCCCATCAACTTCTTCCCTTCTTATCCTGCTCGTTCTCCGAAACCAGGTTCCGCTTTCGATCTGACTCCATTATATTATTTTTTGTGCGTTTAAAAGACGGGAACAAGGGCGGCACTGAGGTCGGATCGAACAAAGGCGATACCAAGGACGAAAATGGTGGTAGCCTTGAGGATGCTGCAAAGTAGTCAGTATTCCAATTCTTATCCTGCCTTCTTCTCCTCCATGACACTTCCGATGCTCTTCCAAGCCTCTTCACTCCATGTGACCCCCTCTGTCTCACATCGAGCATCTTCGATTTTCGAAGCGTAGTGGAAGGATGACGCACTTCAAGTTGCCCTCCCTGTGTTGGGGGTTGGTGACCTGGTCCTTGAGGTAGGAGATGAGGGTGGCGGGCTCTTGGGTGGTAGCGGGTCCGAGGTACTGGGGGGCGGCCATTTTGTATAGGTGGTGGTTTGTATTCGACAATGTTGCTTTTTGCGCGAAAAGGTGTTAAAGTGGAAGAGAACGACAGACGCGGCGTTTAAACGAGGGCGGCTTTGTGGCACTATCTACGTTGTTCCATCTATCTCTTTCATCTTGCATCTCATCACTGCCCATCATCTTGCTATACATTGTAATCACAAGGTATGGACCATACATCACTTACATCACTTACATCGCGGCCGTGGCTACGCAAATCTGCGACGATGGTGCCGGTACTAACTGGCAGTCGACGTCATCGGGGAGCCTGGCTAAACATGACAAGATTCGGTCACAAATAATAACTCGATTCATATCCAGATCATCCCTTCACCTCGCCACCAAATGGGATCCCAGGCCAGAACGCAACTTTGACATCGCCGTCGTCGGCGGCGGTATCGCTGGCCTCACTCTCATCATCAGACTCCTCCGCTCACGCCTTTGGCGAGATAGGTGCTGGCGTATCATTCGGGGCCAATGCTGTTCGAGCTATGCGCCTTATTGATCCTCGGACCGAAGAGGGCTTCAACAGACGAGTCACTGACAATCAATGGGAGTCAAAGGAGCGCACTTGGTTCGACTTTCGGGAAGGGCAATACAAGTCTAGAAAGGACAAGGGTGACGACAGCGAAAGCTTTGCGACCATCCATGCGGATGTAGGCCAGACGAGCGTGCATCGCGCGCACTTTTTGGACGAAATGGTTCGATCTCGTGCTCGAAGGTGTAGCCAAGTTTCACAAACGACTTGTGGGTGCTGTAGAGCACCAGGAGAGCGGGGTGACTCTCAAGTTCCAAGATGGGACCGAGGCTCAGCACTCGTCATCGGATGCGATGGGATCAAGAGCGAGCTGCGAAATGTAATTTTGGGCGATGATGCTTCAACGGCTCACGCAGTATTCTCGGGAAAGTATGCGTACCGTGGGTTGATCGCAATGGAGAAAGCGAGAGAGCTACTGGGAGACGAGCTAGCGCAAAATGCGCAGATGTATACTGGATATCACGGACACGTCTTGACGTTCCCGATTGAGAAAGGCGATATAATTGAATGGTGAGCCTCCTCATGTCCATGGGTAAAGCAGGTCTGATCACTTGTAGTTGTCGCCTTTAGCAGCAAAGAGAAGTGGGATGGCGATCGCTGGGTCGTGCACACCACCAAAGAGGACATGTACGCCGACTCAGAAGGGTGGAGCGACCACGTCAAAAGCATCCTCACCCTCATGGAAAATCCCGATATCTGGGCTCTCTTCAACCATCTTCCTGCTCCCACCTACTACAAGGGTCTCATGTGTATCATCGGCGATGCTGCGCATGCCACTACCCCGCACCAAGGGTCTGGGCGGGCATGGCAATTGAAGACTCTTATATCATGGGTGGTCTGCTGGCAGAGGTATTTGACAAGAAAGACCTCCCTGCCGCGTTCCAGGCTTTCGACGTGGTGCGCAGACCTCGTACGCAAAAGGTCGTAAGTACCAGCTATGAGGCTGGCCGGCTATATGAGTATGAGCTGCCGGGGGTCGAGAATGATTTGGCCAAGATCAAGGACAATCTCGAGGCGCGTCTGACGTGGATATGGAGCGAGGATTTGCCGCAAGAGCTGGAGATTGCGAGACAACATCTGCGCAGGTCCCAGTGAAGATATTGATCATACAATAATTGATACAATGCATAGTGATGCTCACCCTCTACTCGTCCTTCTCCACCTCTTTCCCATCTTGCCAGACTATGACCCTCTTCCCGTCCACCTTTCTCACAGCCTTCGCCCAGAACTCCTTCCCTACAATACCTCCTTCACCACCAGGCGTCAACACGACACCGTTCGCACTGGTGTATATCGGTATACCAGCTTGGACGAGCTTTGTAAGATCAAGGTAGATGTACAGGGTAGATGTGGGACGAGGGGTGATGCGGCCTGTGAGGGAGGGCGCGAAATGGATATGCTGACGGGTCATCTTGGAAAGACCTTGTTCCTCTGGAGCAAAGTCAGCAGCAGATTCGACATACAAATATACCGCACGCACTCAAGACATCCCAAAGCTCCCATCTTGTCCCATGGACCAGCTCTCCAACTCTCGCCCGCCCATCTTCATCATCCTTCACTTCCTCGAGATGTGCCGTAGACTCCAGTTGTATGGAGTGTCCCTGACTTGCTCGAATAAAGTACTCTCCCTGAGGGCCATCTGATGGAGGTTGAGGCGAACACTCGGTAGGCAAGGGAAGGGAGACGAGGGGGAGGTCTGGAGGTGGAGCAGGCTCAGAAGGTGGCGAGGAGATTGCGGCTGATACAAGAGATGCCTGGAGATTGTCGACAGCAGCAGCGTCGGGCTGTTTCCCTTTGTCCTCTCCTGAAACATCTCCAGCTCCTCCTTGAGCCTGAGCTTGAGCTTCCCTGTCCCGCTGGAGTTGCTTCTTGGTCTTCCCTTGAGTTGGCTTCTTCTTCGGTCTGGGCGGTGACGGGTCGTATCCCCAAAAGAGCTCAAAGCGCTGTTTAGCATTGTCCCTGACAAGCTGGATGACCATGTCTTTGTCGACGCCCTTCATTTTTGGTCTGGCGAGCTTGAATTGAAGACAATCAGGTAAAGTCAAGAGCAGAGTGATGAACGCACGACGTCAACGAGCTTGATATAGCCATCCTGCCTGATATAAAGTCCCTCCTTCTCGGCACCGTGTCTGAGGATGTATGCCAGTGTCTTGCTATTTCGCACTTCTGGTGTCTCTGGTGGGCGGGGCATAGTTGTTGGAGACGAGCAAGAAGAGATAATTTCAGATTTCAGTGATCCTACGCGTTGGTGGAGGCATCCCATTTACGTAATCCTGTCGCCTCCACTTGCCGCATACTTTTTTGAATGTTTTGACGACCGTCCATAAATCACCTGTCAACAACCCGCTCGCCATGTCTTCCGCCGAAGCGTCCACCTCAGCCCCAGTCATACTATCTGTTGCCCCCTCGAGGAACGGCAGAACACCAGGCAAGGCCCACAAGTCTGACAAGAGCGCCGTCCGACGATCCTACATCAGCCCCTCCATCAAGACACCTTTCGACAAGCGCAAGGAGAAGGAGGCTGCTATCAACGCCAACAAGACGCTCGAGAAGGAGTTGAAGGACGAGAAGGAAGCTGAGCGCCAAAGGTGTGTGATTGATCTCGAGTCCGGGCGACACAAGTGCTGATTGTGGTGTGCAGGAAAGTGAACATCATCAAGGAGCGCAGAGTAAAGAAGGAGGAGCGAGAAAGGGAAGCGGAGATGAGGGCGAGGATGTCGGCCAAGAAGCTCCAGAGGATGAAGAAGGTGCGTTTATTGTTTGGGAAGGAGAGACTGTCGCTAACATGGAGCTCAGAGACAAGGCAGATCAGCGAAAATCAACGGATAATGATCTTTTCGCCGTTTTCTCTGTCTGTTGCTCGGCACTTCTTTCGCATTGTTCTTGTACATTATGCATACATAGGATACCCTCACCACCAACTCTATCATCGACTGGCCTTCCTGCCCCGACCTCAAAACTGTTCACCTGCTCCCTGCGACTTTCCTCACTACACCCCGGGGCTTGTCAATGCAGAACATTTGCCATGCGTCAAACACATGCTGCCTCAAAGCCTCTTTGATGGCATCTTTAGGCAAAATTGGCGGTATCAGGTTTCGACAAGGAGCAAGAATATGTAATCCACTGACGATCAGCTCAATTTTGATGACAATTCAAACCCAAAAGGTAACGACATACCTGGAGCGACAATGACGAATACAGTGATGATAAATACAACAGAGGCCAAGACAGCCAGCACAATTCCTGGCGGCCTCCTCATCATACTTCTGCCTACGCGCAAGTCGGTCGCACTGGTAGGCATCCTCTCCGGGTCTTCGCATCGCATCTTGCTTTGTTGATTGCTCTTCTTTCTGCTATCCCATTCGTCTACGTGGGCTCGCGATCTCGGACTGACAGATCGTGTAGTCCCCCTCAGTACGAAAGGGGACCTCAAGCAGCCGGAGGAAGAAGCCTGGGAAGAGTACGTTTGGACGGGAACGACCAAAGACTGGAGCGTGCGTGACGGTGGGGGGACAGTGATGCTGAGCTGCCTGCGGGGATGGGGGCGTTTACGAGGGGAACCCATCAAGGGTTCGCGAGAGGAAGAAGGGGAAGGTGTCTCAGGCTGGCTAGCAGCGGGAGCGGGGAGAGTTGTGGAAGATGCGATAGCAGGGGTAAGAGGGACGACGGTGAGGGGATAAGTCTCTTGACGGTTCTTGAAAAAGTTGCTGCGAGTAGACATGTTGGGTGGTGTATTGTTGAACAGCAGCTGGGAATGATCGCTTTTCCTTGGCAGCTGCGATACTTTATACATAGCCCTGCGCCGGTCCAGGACAACAGCCGTGACAATACACTTTGAGTCGTTGTCAGTGCTCCTTTCCCCGGGAGACGCTCCAGAAGTAGAGAGTCCAGGCTTAACGTATCAGCCACTCATGATAGCGTGTCAAACACCAAGGGGGCAGTGACCTGGATCCTCTGGAAGGGGAACATCAAGACGTCGTCAAGTATCGAAGACGACAGTGACATCCAGCACGCGTTCACCTGGCGACGATGATCTGCACTACGCGACTGCTTTTTGCTATGCCCTGTGTGCAGACTTCCTGTGTACCTCTTCTAGCCCGTTGCCGGGTAATGCATGACATGAGATATAACAAGATTCTTAATGATAGCCGCTCGCCATGTGACGCGTCAACAACGTGTCCAAAAGCGCGACATCGCGTCAACAGAACGTGTCGACCCCGTCCCCAACAACCACCTCTATGACCGGACTCATCATCCAGTCAATATCATCGCCTACACCAGTGACTCTCAGCCTCTCGATCTTGTGCACACCTTCTCTCAAGGGCAAGAATCGTATTCTTGCCGCTAGACTCGCCCCTGGAAGCAACGGTCCACAACGGACATCGTCTTCAAGAGGTATGAGCGCGGGAGCAGAGGCCGTATATGATGAGAGAGCTGTATTTAACACTACGATCCATTCAGCGCCGTTCTACATGATAGAAATTCACGTACGAGTTTCATCACTGCCCCAGTACCCATCCACTCGCTTCTTTCTCCTCTCCCAGATATCTCTCACTCGCCCTTCCCATCTACTGCCATCTTCCCTGGGCGGTACACTAAGCTTAAATCGTCGCACTTGATCGGTCCTGTTATGCACGAATACCTCCAAGGAGAATGGCTTCAGCGGTTGTATTGTCTCGAGCGGCGAAGTAGCCGGCCAAGTCGGCGATGCGGGGCCTGTCTGAGGAAGGACTCTTAGAGACAGCAATAGGCCATAGTCACTCGACCCGCTTGCAGATACTATCCGTGCTTGCGATGCTACCCGTCGATTCTGCATGACTTGGCTAGGCATCATCGCCCTATTCTTTTGCTGTGCCTGCAGCTCCTTCTCCCTTTCTTTCGAGCTGGAAAGCAGGCTGGAGAGACTATACCGCTTATCCCCGACGATGGCACCCGAAGATATGGGCACGAGTTGTAGATTGGGTGGACGTCTCTTTGGGGCACTTGGCTGGGGAAGGGACGAGGGGTGAGATGGGCGGGGAAGAGTGTATGGCTGGGAAGCGTAGAACTGAGTGAGGTCGAGCGTACAGTTCCACCGTGAATGGAAAGTCCCTGTCGGGTAATTGTACTCTCCCTCTTCCTCTTGCCGTCGGAACGGACGACCGATCACAGTTATGGAAACTGGTCTTGTCTCATCCCCTCGACCAAGACCTCTGGCCACGGCTTCTTCCACAGCGTCGTCGCGTGTTCTTTCACCCGTGATCTCGACAGCATAGAGGAGATTGTACTGCTCGATAGACCCCATCCGGAGGGGAAACACATCTGCTTCATTAGGCCCCTCGGGCTGGCAAATAAGCTTTGTGAGGGCTTTTGAGCCCTTACCGCCGACTTCTACAGCAACATTTGCTATCTCAAAGCCGTGCTCATTACTGGGTTCGGGGTTATTCTCGACTTCGACCAAGAGCACAACCCGTCGCTCGCTCTGTAGATCCTGTTCTCCAGAGTTCGTAGCCAGAGGCAAGAGCTGCGGCAAGAATATCGTGCGCATCCTGACTCGTAAGCCTGGAGCGAGAGTGAGGATACGGCGGAATGATTTGCGGATGGTGGTCGAGAGTGTAGGGATATTATGGGCTGCTGGGAGGTGCGCACGCTCGCGATGAGGGGCCGACGAAGCTGTAGAGGGTATGTTGACAGAAGGCGCCGAGTTGGGGGTTATGGCCGATAGAGGCATGAGCGAAGGTAAAGGTCCTGACGGTATTGAGCTGTCTTGCCTAAGCGAAGGTGGTAGACGCGAAGCAGGCATGACCTCTTCGTCTCCTGCCAACCCGCCAAGAAGGTCAATCTCCTCCATCCTGGCAATATCATCATCCTCGTCGGACCCATATTCGTCTGTGCCGTCTGTACGGATGGTCTCTGTACCACTGCGTATAGAAACGGCGTCGAGGCTGAGACCTGTGCGGTGGTGCGCCCTGGCTTGACTGCTGTGTTCGCGCAGGGTAACGGAGGCTGTCAGAGCAAGCACGGGATTCTCCACAGGTGTGCGAACGTATGCTGTTTCCAGAGGATCAGGATCTAGAGTCATACTGTTAATGGACAACATACCAACTGGTACTTCTCCCTTCCAGATGACCTCCCATCCACCATCGGTCTTGAACACTCGCCTGCCCCACCCATGCCCTTTGTAAAGCTCCCCCCCACTCCCACCAGCCTTCTTTTCTTCCCAAGGCCCCATCTGATCCTCTACAGCTCCTTCCCAGACCACAACACCCTCCACATTCGCATATTGCTCCTCCGCCGAAGACATCGCGGGGAAAGGATTGGGCGTGACCGGCGGAAGGTTCGGGTCGTTGGGATTGGCACGAGGAGTTGACAGGCTGTTGCCGTGTGATAAAGGGGCAAGGGTGGCAGATGTAGGTGGGGCTGAGAGGGTTGTGGGAGTCTTGGAAGGAACGGGCGGCCGGCGAGAGTCGATTTGAGGGACGAAGGAAGCGGTCATTGTCAGCTATTCATGGTCAGTATGGGCTTCAATTCAGTAACGGAGACCGACCTGGAATCTTCCGAGAAATCTTAGCATCTCTGAAGTAGGCTCTTTGGCATCTATCGCTGGCGAGCCTGGGAGATAGAAGAGGGCGTCATCCGGAAGTGTCATGGCCACAAAGTACACCAGCTTCTCGTCTACATAAAGTGTCAGTAGCTACCTCTTCATGTATCATAGGGCATACCGAAGTAGGCGGTGTCCCTCGGCACCCCTCTCTCGACACCGGTCCACCAGCTGGACAGATCGTCATCATCAGGAGAAGGGTCGAACGAAGACGTCTCAGGAACAATGAGGTCGATGGATGAAGCCTGAAAAAGAGACTCATAAACCGACGACGAGGTAGGTCCAGACATGCTTTGAGTCCTCCCAGTTTCGCAGGTCGTCTATAGAGCGGATTGTGACCGGAGGAGATGCAAGAGGACATGAGCGCATATGAAGGACACGTCGCACGAAATGTAAACAATCGGCGATGTCCGCTGGCTGTGACGTTCTCTCTGCCCAATCTCTGCCAGCATCTCGTTCTCAGTTGGCCTGCTTATCTTCCCGGGTCTTGTGCATCTCCATCTCATCGTTCCCTTCGCAGGGATCACCAGGGGGCTACCAGAGATTCCCATGAACAGTCACAGGAAGAGCAGTCGGGGCAACCCCCCTGCCTCAACATCGTCACCGACTGCCGGACTGCCGCCGCTGCCGTACCCTCCTGCATCCTACCCTTCCTATAATTTCAATCCTATACCGCTCGGCCATGTAATGCAGATCCAACAGCCATTCGATCACATACCTCAGCATGCTCCTCCCGCGAACACAGCACTTTCGGCCTACCCTACGGGTCCAACGTCTTTCACTCCTATCGGCCCAGGTTCCAGGCCGGTATTCAGTTCGGCACACAACAGTGAAATGAGTACTATCACATGGGGAAGTAGCCCGGATGTGGCTCTTGAGGAGCGAACGACGGCCTTCTCTACGTCCAGCAACATGTCTGTGTCATTGTCGATAGGCCCGTCTGCTGTCGAGATGGCCCCTACCACCGAGATTCGGCCTACCGGTGGGCAAGAACTGGACTCGCAATCCATGGCCAAATGTGAACTCGCGATTCAGAGTGGTCATGGCAGCCTCTCAAAGCCACTTTGGGTCACGCTCGCTCGAGAGTCTCGTCAAGTTCCTATCCCGTCTAACGGCATCGAAGCGGCCATCCCTAGTCATCAATATGTAGGACAGGGTCGCGAAGAGAATGATGAGCAGAGGCTGTCGCGGCTTACAAGCCTGCGATCGTTCTCTAGAAACTTAATGACAAGAAGAGCGCCATGAGTTGCATATATACCTTGAGGAACAAGATCATTTTGTGCGGCCCACATAGGTCTTTTTGCCACGCATGCACGCTCAAAAATACGCAGACTACACGATGTCTCAAATGCAAACTCTTTGCAACGCAGCTGACAGCGCAATAGACGTAAATATCTGCATCGCGTCTACATGCACTATCTACACCATCTCCATGTATCCAACAAGTAGCACCGACTTCACTCTTCTAAGGAGTAGCACGTCCCATAAATCGGGGGTACAATGAGCAGTCACGGACGGTGTATCGCTTGAGGATCCAGGCAAGGAGTCGCTCAACGCCCTGTGACTTGTCAGCAGACGCTCGTGCACCATAGGAATCAGACTCACCAAGCCGTAACCACCGTGCTCGGTGGTACCGTACTTCCTCTGGTCGGTGAACCAGTAGTAAGGCTCGTGGGGAATACCCTCCCTCTTGTAACCGGCCATCAACTCCTCCAGATCGGCAATTCTCATACTACCACCAACAACCTCTCCAACACCGGGCACAAGGACATCCACACTCTCCGTAAAGTCGGGCGCGCCTTCAAGAGTCTTCATGTAGAACGACTTGAGGGCCTTGGGGAAGTGGATAAGCATGATGGGCTTGTTGATCTGGTCCGTCATCTTTCGCTCGGCAGCTTCGGCAATGTCATCGCCAATGACGTGATCTTCACCGTCCTCGTTCTTGATGCCGTGCTCGTTGAGGTACTTGATGGCATCTCGGTAGTCGAGACGGACGAAGGGGCGCTGAGGGGCGACGAAATCGGGGTTGAGGGATTTGATGATCTCGGAAGCGACAGGGTCGGCGAGCAAGGCATCCACGACACCACAAATCAAATCTTCAAGGTGGTCAAGGAGGTCCTTGAATTTGATAAAGACGAGTTCGGCTTCGAGGTGGGTGTATTCGGACAAATGTCTGGCCTTTTATCAGCCATGACTCTTCGAGGAATGTGAGTGCTTACCTTCTGGTCAAACTCTTCTCAGCTCTGAAACTCTCCTGGATACAGTAGACGTCACCCAAAGAAGGCAAGACAGTCTCAAGATAGAGCTGACTACTCTGAGTAAGGTACGCAGGCGCGCCATAATAGTCGAAGGCGAAGAGAGTGGAACCACCCTCAACAGAGGTTTGGACCATACAGGGAGGGGTGACCTCGGTGATTCGTCGCTTGTTGAAGCTCTCTCGGAAAGCACGGAGGAGGAGGGCTCGGAAGCGCATGACGGCAGAAGCGGTCTCGCCACGAAGCTCAAGGTGTCGGAGGTCGGCTCGAATGGAGGCGTCAGTGTCCTACAAGCGTCAGTCTGGGTATTGGCACAATCAAGCACACTTACAGGCTGGAGTCGGCTTTCGAGGGCATCACGGCCGGCCGGAGCTCGGCCAAGAATCTTCCAGTACTCCACAGAGAGCTCGACACCACCAGGGGCGGTTTGGCCCTCCTTGACCTTTTCCAGCTGACCGACAACCTCGATAGTAGACTCGGAAGTCAAGTCGATAGCGTCGACAGTCTTGATGCAGTCACCAGTGAGGATACACTGAAGGTAACCTGATCCGTCACGAAGGACGACAAAGTAGTTGGTTTTTTGAGGTCGGAATCGGTGAACCCATCCTTGAAGACGGACACGTTGACCAACAGACTCGGGGGCTGCCCAAACTTTGATCTGTATTCATGTCAGCTGTGTGATTTGTCTTCAAGGGAGTCGCATACAGTTTTGGACTCCTTCGAGGGGTCGTCAAGAAGCACAATCTTCTGGGCCTCCTCTCGCCTGAGCCTGTCCTTCTCGGCCTGCTCCTGCTTCTGCTTTTCAATCCTAGCACCCTCCAAAGCCTGCTTGGCCTCTTTTTTTCTCCAGCCCTCGATACCCTTGACGAATCTCTTCTTGGCAGAGGGGGTGATCTCTACCCATTCGGAGAGCTCAGCAGAGTCGACCTTGCGGACCAAAAAGTTGGCGACAGAGGTGGGGTTGGCGTCGGAGGTAGGAGCGGGTTTGAGCGACTGGTAGGCGGCGAGGGGAGTAGCGAAGGGGGAAAGCTCAGCGCCAGTCCCGTCGGTATCCGAGCCAGCCTTCTCGTCGATATAGAGGGTGGGAAGGGCTAAAGGAGGGTGAGTTGAATTCGAGTCGAATGCCGGCCTTGTGTAGAGGTAGACGTACTGGAAGACTGGCCGCCCAAGCTGAGGGAGCTGGTGACGGTGTCTGCGAGCTTGGCGGCGGCGTCCTGGGCCTGCTGTGTGATGGACATGTTGGGTGATGAAGAAGAAGAGAAAGAGAAAGATGCGAGAAGCGACCGGACTGCAGCTGGACTCGAAGTTGTAAACTCTGATAACGATAACAAGTTATTCACACGTCACGGCCCAGTCAGTCAACTATGCTCATCATCAGATCGCCGAGGGGGCTGCATGCATGGTATGCTCTGCTCCAGGTGCATGGCAAGTGAGAGGGATAATCTACCATGCGTACAGTCTTATTTGAAGCCACTCAAGGTCCACCCCGAGGCGGTCACAGACCTCTAATGATATGGTCATCACTCATCCCTGCTCCAAAGACGACGCGAAGGATGGACGATGCCTACTAGAGCATCACGCCGCCATAGCCCATACCTGTCCCCTTGCCCAGCAGTACCCTCTGCCTCGTTCCAGACCGCTTCGGGATTGTGCGAGTGCCGGCGACGGACCTGGGCCGGATAGATCCGACCCCGCAAGTGGATTCTTTCTCCTCCTCTGCAAGAACAAAGTTTGATCCAGGGAATCCACACTCCCGCTTGATCGACCGACGACGTCTTCCTCGTGGGTTCTTTTTGCAAAGGCGACCGGCGGTATATAATGCAGAGCATCTCGGAGCGCTTTTATCTCTCGCATCTGCCCCCCGAGAATTACTAAAAAGCACCAACGGGTGACTGGTTCGAGTGTGCTAAAGCTGCCAACCCTCCCGGCGAGACAACGGCACAAGATGGCCATCCAGTAAGCCAGGCCCATGTCGTGCCCCATACCCACTGACATTCCCCAGATTCCTGAAGCGGACTCGCTCACGCCCTGCCCTCCCTTACGACCTCCTCCACATCATCCTCACCGAGCTTAAGCGCACCGACTCGCTCGGCTCTCTGGCCCTGCTGCAGCGCTGCAACTCGGACTATTACGACATTGTCACTCCCATCCTCTACACCCACGTCAGGATTCACACCGATGACCAGCTCCAGCGCTTCCTCACTCTTCCTATTGAACCCAGAGCTCGCAAGAGGAGCAAGGGTCTCAGCTTGCTGAGCTCCAAGGGATCAAAGTCTCCTAAATCCGGCTTGCGCTCCAGGTCGGGCAGTCTTATCGCATATGAGAAGAAGCTCCGTGCTTTCCAAAAAGTCAAGACAATTACCCTAGATATTTATCCCTCTAGGACGAGCATGAAGATCGCCGGCAAATTGCCCTTCCCCCTCTTTGCCGAGACGCTCACATTCACTCCCTCGGCGCTCCTTTCCCTGCACAGCAAGCTCTTACGTTCGGGGGCTCCCCGTATCCTGGCCACCTTTTGGGCGGGACATCTCTCTTCCATTGTTCAGCCCCAGAGGGTGGTAGTCGACTACTCCACTATTGATATCCGCTCACACCTGGCAGGCGAGAAGAAGGCGAGCTGGTGGGACACCATCGCCGGCCTGAGCTCTGCTTTGCAGCAGTGGGAAAGGCTGGACCAAGTCACTCTCGTAGGCGAGTACTGGGCTCTTCTTGTACCCAGCCCTGGGGTGGAGATGAAGGTGATTCACACCGTCTTTGAGCCGAAAGAAGACGCCGAGGAGGATGAAGGCGCTTTGACCGAAGGCGAGGATAGCGATGGCAACCCCGAAGTGCCCCTTCAGCAGACAATCCCCGGCGGCCCTGCGCCTCCTCCCCACATGGTCAACCTCCCTCTCAATGCCATGCCTGTCCCTATCCCTGCTCCGGCTGCCAACGCTGATGAGGACGGCCAGCCCCCGCTTTCCTTCCGCGCCAAGCTCCTCATGGATAGACGAGATGCCCTCTTGCTCGGTTTGCGTACCAGCTACCAGATCGTACAGCACGCACAGTACCAAGCCCGTACACAACCTCATCACCTCACGTCCTATGTTCCCGAGCACTTTATCCATAAAGGCTCGAGGAATGTCCGGGAGGTGCGATGGGTGGTGGAAGGCTTCTTCCCACCTGTAGGCGAGGAAGACGAAAATGACGAGGGGGACGAAGAGACCGAGGTCGTAGAGAAGAGTGAGAGAGAGAGACGGGAGGTGGTCAAGTGGCTGGTGACTGAGCTCGACCAACAGTGTCCCCAATTGGTCCACGAGTGTGGCAGGATGGTCGATGAGAGAGTAGAGCTGTCGTGTATCAGCTGGGCTTGAAATCTGACCAAAGGTGAGTTTCTCTATACTCGTCTCAGGGTATGCTGACACGAGGCATGACAGAGTCCGACTTTGTATGCTGTTGCTTGTGACTGAAAATCAAGAAAATGATTGGAAAAGAAGAGACGAAACGGGTTGTATAGACGCGAATAGAACAGGATACACGTACTCAGCTGTGCTGCCGGTAAAATAAATCGTTGTAGAGTGCCTGCCAATGTAGATTTTACTTTGACCATCGGACCCCCTTCACGATAGGTCTTCGCACGGGAGAGTATGACGAAGGCTTTGATGTCGGTTTTAACAGCGCTCATGTCGAACAGGGCGAGGCATGCTGATTTTCGGCCTGTACTTTAACGCCAAGGTCAAGATGCCTTACCGACATACCTGCCCATGGGTCAATTGACAACATGCATGGAAGGGGACGTGAGAATGCTAGATCGTGATCAGATTATGGGAAATCGTAAGATTGGCGCAAAAGAAGACAGGGCGGGGGGGTCTAGTCAAACAAGTTATACGGCGTGCGGCCGACATACAAGACCGTTGTATAAATGGATGGTCGACTGGGAATCGAATCTCCTTCGGGTGGTTTAAGCCCTCACGTGAAGATGTTCGATGAAGGCTTTGAGGTCATTCTTTGACACTTCGACAGCACTAGTGTCGAACAAATCGAGACTCGTGGAAGCATTGGATTCTTGCGCCGCCTCTTGGAACGCCAGACCGAATTTGCTACAGGCTGGTCAGCATTATGTTCCAGCTATACAGTACCGACTCACTTTTTTCTGACATCTCCGTACTCTGGCGCTCCCGTGACACCAACCACTGTGAACGTCCCCTTCTCCTCATTCAAACAGGCTACCACAAACGGCAGATCCTTCACCCTTGCGCCTCCATGTGCACTCCGCTTGGCGAGCTTCTCCACCCATCTGTCTCTTGTCGCGTCCACCAGCCAGAGAGCCAGGCGGGAGAGAGGTGAGGGGTGAGAGAATATGCGCAGGTCGGGACCTTCCTTGAGTATGACGAGTCGGAGGTTGTGAAGATGGCGAACTTCGGTCTTCTCCAGGATGCCAGAGCCTGCGCGGATGATTGCTTGGTGAAGAGCCATTGCGAGAGGGAGGGAACGCCGTATCAGGCCGATGCTATTCGCATGTCAGGGCTGTGCCGGTTTTCGTTTGTTGACTTACTCGTCACATGCATCATATGCGATCCAGAAATTGGTCACATGCCAGTCCCTGTCCTTGGCCTCTCCCTCCTCGCCATCTTCCTCATTCTTGTCATCGTCGTCGTTGCGGACACCGGCCACTTCCGCCTCTCTTGTTCCAACACTCCACCTCGTGGTACCACCAAACCATTCACCTCCTCCCTTACCACCGGCCCTATCCACCTCTAGTCTAACACCCACAGCAACGTCCAACAGTGATGAGATAACTTCAACAGCATCGGCTGCTGAGAGTGAGGAGAGTGAAAATCCGTAAGCACGGGTAAAGGAAGGGTAAGAGAGCTCGACGAGGCCATATTCCGGACCAACGCTCTCGAGAACCTCTGGGAGTTGGCGTTTAAGCTCCATGTCCATGTGTGTCCATGTTTGGTTGCACTGCTGGATCGAGTAACTTTTGGGGGATGAGCAGTGCCAAGGTAGAGGAATGAGATACGCACCCCATCTTGGCCAATAGACCCTTCAATTTACTCCTTCCCTTCTCCTTCCAAATACCCAGTCGCCCAGCAACATAACCACTATGAAGCATCGAATTGTACAGATCCCAATGCCTGAACAGCATGAATCTGAGCTCCTCGCTCCTGGTGATATTCTTGTTGTCGGGGTTTGGCGTCTTGGTCGCGCCCGGGTCGGGTTCGTGATTCAGACGTACCACCTCGTCGAGAAAGATGGAATGGTACATTTCGTATCTGTCGCGGTCGATACGAGCAGTGATGTATTGATGAGTGACTGCGAGGATCGCATACCACAGGATATCGTTGTCGGCGCGCTCGAGGACAGTGGCCAGCAGGTAGATACTGACTGCGACCGATTGGCCGTAATAGGTACCGTGGGAGTAGTAGTTGGCGATTCGATTCTGGTGTGCTTCCTTGGCTGCTCTTGGTAGCTTGCGAGGCTAATCAAAGTCAGATGTTGTCTGGGTGATCATTGATCGCTTACGCGGTCATCTTCTCTTTGCCGTTTTCTACTAGGGCCATCTTCTGCGTTCTTTCGCTTGCGCCCGATCCCTTCTTCGTCCTCATCATCATCATCCTCCTCCGTGTCTTCCTCTTTGTCCTCGTCCTCACTTTCACTATCGTCAGAGTCGGAATCTGGCGTGAATATCAACGCGTCGAAACTCTTTTTAAGCAGATTCATCGGGTCGCTGAACTCTCCTCCATCGCCCCAGATCCAGACTTTTCCATGGGCGTCTTCTTCGTCCTCATCTTCGTCAATGTTGTACAGATTACCCAAGTTCCAGGGGCGGTGACTGTCGATTACGTGCAAGTGGACGTGTCTTGGGATATCAAAGTATTCCGTGACTGTCAATAGCGAGCCGAGGGAAATCATTAAGAGGGTATGAATCTGTTCAATGTCAACTTTCGTTCGATTGATTTAGCGCCGAGCCTTACCTCATCCGAGGCCAGCGCGTCGACCACCTTGTCCGTGAGCTCTTCTGTCCCACCGACTGGTATCAATCGGTAAGGAACATCGTCGTTCTTGAGCAAAGAGCACAGTATTCGAGATCCTAGCAATCCTTCCTACGATATGGGGTCAGAGATGGCGTCTATCGCGCGCGACTGTCACTCACCACGTCCACACCGGCAAATATCACCACGCCGCTCGTGGCCGACCCCGGGTTTCTCCTCACGCGGGACACGATCGAATTGTACCCGTGCGTGTAGCTGAAGTCGGACGGTCTCAGGTCGTTTGAGGGAGGTCGTAGGACAGGCATGGTCGAGGCTCTGATTGCTGGAGAGTGAAAGGCAAAACGCGAAAAGACGCGCAGGAAATGTCTGGACGCGTCTGAGTGCTTATGTAATTGGTCCAGTATGGGAGGTGGAGGAGGTCGCTCGGTATGCTCGGTATGTAGATGTAGATGCCGCTCACAAATAAATCACAGTGCAGGGGCTTCTGACCTATGCATTTTTCATCTGCCTCTTCATCTCTGTATGACACCCCATGTCCTTCAACAGCCCCCAGAAGATCCTGCTCATCGGCGCCGGCGAGCTTGGCCAGTCCTTCCTCAAAACCCTCGCCGCCTATCCCAGCTCCCGTGTAGACCTCTCCGTCCTCCTCCGTCCCTCCTCCTCCACCGACCTTTCTCAATATAGCGCCACTGTGGTCAGAGGGGACACCACAGCACCTATCTCTGAGCTTGCCGCCCTGTTCAAGCCTTACGATATCATCATCTGCGCCGCTGGATTTGCCTCTGGTCCTGGTACCCAGCTCAGGCTCGCCAAGGCCGCTTTGGAAGCTGGTGTGCCTCACTATCTTCCATGGCAGTTTGGTGTTGACTATGATATTATCGGCAGAGGTTCGTCGCAGCCGGTATTTGACGAGCAGCTTGATGTCCGCGAGCTTCTCCGGGCGCAGAGTAAAGTCAAGTGGACTATCGTCTCCACCGGGCTCTTTACCTCGTTCCTCTTTGAGCCTGGATTTGGAGTAGTGGACTTGAAAGAGGGTGTCGTCCGCGCACTCGGAAAGTGGGAAAACTCTGTGACTGTTACCAGCTCTGACCAAATCGCCAAGTTTACCGCTGCCATGCTCTTGGACACCCCCAGCCCGCCGGAGGGCGTAGTCTTTGTAGCAGACGGCACTGTCACTTTCCGAGACGTGGCAGAGTTGGTCAAAAAGGCAGGGTGGAAGGTGCAAACAGAGGTTTTGACCGTCGAAGCGCTGGAGGAGCAGCTGAGAAAGAGCCCGGATGATGTGTGGACCAAGTATCAGTTGATTTGGGCGAGGAATGCGGGAGTCTCTTGGCCCAAGGAGAGCACTTGGAACGTGAAGGAGGGGCTGGGAGGAGAAGCATTGGCGGTGCCAAAGCCTTAGGTGAGCATGATCTTTGTCAGCTCCTTGCCTCGACTGATAATCTGCAAGGGATTTTATGGAATCACGAGTCGCAGCAAGATGCATCCAGTCGGGTCATTGTCCATATGGGGATAAAGGTCATAAGAATGTACAATTGATTTCAAAACAGAGCCGTTCCACAAGCAGAATCGCAAAGCATCAAGCCCACCCCTCCCATGATCTCCACCGCTCATTCTAGTTGAGGACGGAATGTCATGATTTCCTCAAACAGCAGCTTCTTCAGCTCTTCCCTACTTATGTTGTCTTTGATCATGTCAAAGTCGAAGAATCCGGGTTCGAGCGGTTTGGCAGAAGGCTCGTCTTCGGGGTCGTGATAGGCGTCGAGGTATGGGTGGGAGAGGCATTGTTCGACTGTATATCTCTTTCGAGGATCGACTGCAAAGGATGTCAGCTGTACATCTAGGAGCCGCATGGGATAACGTACATGTCAAGGTCTTTGAGAGGAAGTCGATAGCGAGAGGGCTCGCGTTAGGGTAAAGGCTCTCGAATGTGCGCTTCTTTCGGAACCTGTCTGCAAGTCAGCTCGACCCCAGACCAGGTAGAAGAAAAGACGCACGGTAGAGACCTAATGTAGTCTTTTGATCTCTTTGAAGTAATGGCGTGGAACTCGTCAATGGTCGGCGTACCGAGGACATCAAGGATGAGGGCGAGCTGGTGGTGGTAGTCTTTACCGGGGAAGAGTGGTTTGCCGCTAAGCATCTCGGCGAGGATACAGCCGATGGACCAGACATCGATAGACTTTAAAGGACGTCAGGGACATGCAATCGGCTGTTAAAGGATACTGACTTTGGTATACATCCGGAACGAGAGCATGACTTCGGGAGCCCGGTACCATCTTGTAGCAACGTCTGGGAAACGTCAGCATATGCTTTGTGAGCTGACCGGCACACGCACACTCGGTCATGAATCCCTGATTGTTACCCTCGGCAGGGAGGGCGGTCTGTGTACTTCTAGCAAGACCAAAGTCGCAGACTTTCAGGTCACAGTTGGCATTGAGCAGCAGATTCGACGGTTTGAGGTCTCGGTGGATGACTGAGGGTATTGTTAGCAAAGTAAGGGCCTTCAGTCTGCACGCTCACTTTCAGCAGAGTGCAGCGCCTTCAAGGCACGGCATGTCTGATACAGAAAGTATTGACAGTGGTCGTCGCTGAGATCCTGTGTACGGATGACACGATGGAGATCCGTTTCAAGCAGCTCCTGAACCAAGTACACTGCACTACGTTAGTCTTGTCGGCATATAGCCCAGTCTGCGCACCTTCTTTGAAGTTGTCGTACGAGGTAGGCTGGATAATGTCCAGAACCGTGATAATCTGCCAGACCATCAGCTCTGTCTCACGACCGATCTACAAGCTTACATTCTCGCTCACGCCCTCCTCTGCAAAGTATTTCAGAAGCTTGAGTTCTCTCAAAGTCCTCAAAGCAAACATCGAGTGGTCAAAGGGCGCGATCTTTTTGATGGCAACCTTGGAGTTACTCGGTCTGTGTACGGCGGACGCTACTACACCGTAGGCTCCTTCTCCGATTACATCAACGACGTGATAGTTGTTGCCTTCAGACGGTTGTCAGTCGAGCTTCTGCGGCATCGGAGTAAGTGTGCCACCCACCGACGTTGAAGCGGACCTTGCGGGGAGCAGATGATGAGGACCCTTTTGTGGTGCGCTCCTGCACCTGGGTGGTGGCCTTCTCAGCCGGGGCGGCGTTGGTGCCAGGTCGTCGGGTGGAGGTGGACATGGCCGCGAGCGTCTAGACTACAAGTAAGGAGTGGAGTGGGTTCTGAGGCAGGGATGAGAAGGAGAGGTAGACCAAGGAAAGTATCCTCGCGGGTCTTATAAGGGGCGGGGTGAGAAAGGAGAGGATACAAAGGAGAAAAGGATCGAGTGACTGAAGGAAAGGCTGCATCCGGACGTTTCAAGGCGACGGCAGCGCTACGGGGGTCCGAGCTGGGATGCTTACGTACGCGTGGCTGAAACAACAACACACTCCTATTGTTGTCACACGAAAGAGGACAGAGCGCACAAGGCACACACAACATGAAACACAGGAAAGTGGCGTTACGTAACCCAGTAGGCGTATGTTGAGCGACTGTAGCTAGCGGATGCGGCGACTGCGATGCATGTAGAGTGTGTACCGACTGGTATGCATTCACAGGAGCTAGCCAGAGAGCTTCGCCTTCTTGGCCAGCGGGGGGTGGTCGTGATGGTGGCCCGCGTGCGCGTCGTGGGTGTCTTCTTCCATCATTCCAGGGTCCAGCCAGGCCTCCCAACCATCTACTCTCAAGTCAGTTCTGTTTCCCACTCGGCATTGTGACTGACCATCAAACTCGTCGACCAGTCGCCCAGTCTTCTTGTCGTCTGAGCATCGCGACTTCATAATCTGGCACCGACTATCAGCAACTCAAAAGCGACACTGCCAGGGGGCTCACCTTTTCCCACTTGGCCCACTCTTTGTCGTCGAGTAGAGCCTCATCCAGAGTCTTGCTTATGATCTCCTGGTCCAAGTTTTGACCGATGAATACCACTAGAAATCTATCAGCGGGCCTCATCTGGCATGCATGTTGACTCACGTTCTTGACGGCGATCGCCCCAGGGTCCCATAAAGTCCAGCTTGATAGCATCAATCACTTCCTGGTCGTCACTTCCAGGCCACTCGCTCTCTGGCACACGGCACATCCAAGGTCCACCACCGTTGAGCGTAAACATAATCTGCGTGTCTCGTCATCATCTGCCTATACCCCAGAATATCCACTTACGCCGGCCTGCGACCACTCTCCATGTACGCCGGGCCTCGTTGCCAACCAGACAAATCCTTTACTCCTCAGCAATCCCTTCCACACCGGAGAAGCCCTCTTTGCCCTGGCTCTGCCCGGCAAGTCCAGCTCGGCCTTTTCTTTCTGCATGGCGTCGAAATTGGCTTGTTTCGCTTCTTCTTCGGAAAGCTCTTCGGGCGTAGACTCGTCATCGTCATCAGAGTCGTCCGAGTCATCATCTTCGACAGTGGTCTGGAGGACGCAAAAGGGTTCAGAGACGAGGTCCCAGAGACGGTGTGGGTGGAACGGCCGGCGGGCAGTGTAGACGAAGGAGCCGATGCCGTACCTAATGACCGTCAGCATTGTAGTACGGTGATCCAACGCAGTCCGACTTACTCCAGAGTCTCGGGCTTTGGCACCATCTTGGTATTCCCCTGCTGGTCGGTAATCTCCATAAGGGTATTCTCTCTCAAAGACTGCAGCCACCCAGCGCCCATTGCTGCTTTGCCAAAGTCAAACAGGCGGGTGTTGAGGATTTCATGCAAGTCGACTTTGGAGTAGGAGGTAGGAATGATTTTGGCGCCGCTGCACAACGTCAGCAATGGTCGTTGGGAGACAGGGGAGGGCATACGGGTTGAGAGTCTTGACGATCTGTTCGATTTGCGCGACTTGGGATTTGTGGATGATATCAGTCTTGTTGAGGAGGATGACGTTGGCAAACTCGATCTGGTCGGTCAACCTTTCTCTCTATCAGCACGAGTCCCGTCACAATAATCCACGCAGTACTCACAAATCTGTGATATTCTTCTCGTCCTCCGGATCAACCTCCTTCCCATGTCGGTCCGTCAAAAAGTCGGTCGTATCAAAGTCGTCCAGAAACGTCGTACAGTCCACCATACTGACACAGCAGTCCAGTCGCGCCACCTTGCTCAGCCCGCCCTGGTGTATGAGCTCAGCAAGCTTCTTGCGTGACTCTGGGGTGGCAGAAGCGTCTTCGGGGAGAGACTGGATGATCTCGTCGAGTGTACCGCCGCCCATGGTGTTGGCAAACTCGGAGGTGAAGGTTTCGGCCACTTGGATGGGTTCCGAGATACCAGAGCTTTCGATGATGAGGTAGCTGGTCATTGTCAGCTACAGGACCTGGGAGAGGAGGTGAGGGCTTACTCGTAGTGGCCGGCGTCCGCGAGTGTCGCAATTTCTTCCAACAGATCGGCTCGGAGGGTACAGCAGATACAGCCTTCAGACATCATGTCAACAAAGTACACTTGGTATATAAGTCAAGGAAGCTTACCGTTCTGCATCTGTACAACCTTTTCTTCCTTCTGAGTGAGGTTGTGGTTGCTGATCAGGGCCGCATCGATCTATGGCGGGTGAGCGCAGGGCTATGGAAGTAGTAGTCGACGTACGTTCAACGAACCCATGTCGTTGACGACAACGGCGCATCGCAGACCGTGGTCCTTTGATTTGAGGATGTAGGAGAGCAAAGTAGTTTTGCCGCTCCCCAAGAAGCCGCTGAGGAGAGTGACAGGAAGGCGGGTGTCAGCGTCGGTAGCAACGGGCATATTGACGACTGGTTCCGGGCGAGGTTGAATGAGGCAAGAGATACAGATGAGGAAGGATACCCCCCTCATGCATCTTACTTATAAGGTCTCTGGTGACCTTCCAGTACTCACTATGCAGGAGTAACAGGGCGAGACAGAAGTCACAGAGTACGGTGCAAGGGAGGTGTCACAGAAACGCAGACGCACGAAGGGGACCTCAGCGGTGTTCAATGCCCCATCACTCATTGGCCGTTATATTTGAGGGATGGGCCATGCTTTCCAGTATAACCCGCTCTTGCGTCCAGAGCCCCATACCGACCTCTTGACAGCAAGTCGACGTTGCGGACAGGCCACGTCTGGCGGTTGAACAACGGAGAAGACTGAGTAGAGACCGAAGCTGAACTTGGAAGTGCCTACTCTTATCCCAGAAGAGGCGAGCAAATCATACTCCCCTCTACTAGCAAGGTGAAGCAGAACAGACCAGGATATTTCCAATGCATAGGATGGATGCCCGCTGCTGACGTTACTTGGACGTTACTCTAATTCCACGCGTGCCGCATTTTCGGTCCACCGGCGTCCACTTGCTCTTCTTTCATCGCCGCTCTCCCTCTTTTCCCACCGTCTCTGCCATTCCCACATCTCGTCGCCGCCCACCATGGCCCCCCTCCCCCGCCCCATCGCCAACCCCCTCCGCATCACCGCCCGCTCAGCCCGATGCAGGGCTCAAAACTCTGCCGCCCCCGCTGCCTCGTCCTCCCGGCACATCCTCCCCTCCGCGGTCCCCTCATCCACCACTCAGGCGCGCTCATTCTTCTCTCTCCCGGATCTGACAAAGATCGCCAACCTAGTCCCCGGTGCTGCGCCAGCGGCAGATGGAAGCGGGCCCTCCCAGGGCGTCGGGATGGACGGTGAAGTGCAAAAGTTTCATGCGCGAAAGATCATGCCGTATGTCCCGCTCGTGTGACCTCTGGTATATGTCTGATCCATCCTAGGTATTCTCAAAAGCAGCTCTATTCCCTAGTATCCGACGTCCCCTCATACTCCCAGTTCATCCCATTTTGCCAATCGTCCACCGTGCTTGCCCCCTCATCACCAGGATCACCATCCAACAGAGAATGGGTCGGCTGGAAGCCTGAAGACAAGCCGTTCGAGGTCCTTGCAGAGCTTGCTGTTGGATTCGGTGGTCTCGAAGAGCGATATGTGAGCAAGGTCGTTGGTACACCGTATGAGAGCGTCATTGTGAGTCTCTGGCGCATTGACATGGCCAAGGCTGACGGGGTGTCCAGGCGACCGCTTCAAACCAAACGCCCATGTTCAAGACCCTCACTACCTCATGGTCATTCTCCCCCGCTTCTACCCTCTCTCCTCACCCTAGATCCCCCCTCTCTTCCTCCTCTGCCAACTCTCCCCGAGTGCCCAACTCGACAGACCCCGCCGATCCCTCAGAGGGCCCGACATTATTGACAATCGACCTGGCATTCTGCTTTATCAACCCTCTACACAGAATAGCCAGCCAGGCTGTGCTGCCAAAGGTAGCGGAGAAGATGGTGGAGGCCTTTGAGGAGCGGTGTGTAAGGCAGTACGGCAAGGGTACACAATGAGGCGAGCAACGTCCCTCATGGGAAGCAGTGGTGATCTCTTGGCATGTGATAGCACAGTGTATAATGGGTATTGTTGGATATTCTCTCACCTCACGATGTAGTGCTTTTATGCAAGACAAAGAGATACATGTGATCGACAATTACAATGATGCGGGCATAGCCATGCCCATTTTAGAATCTATCTAACGGATGGCTTCCCTCTTGAGAAGTATGACAACTGGTGGCCATAGCCCATCTCTTACACTCCATACGCTGTAAGTCACGATATCGGACAGGTCCTACTTTTCCTGTATCCCATCTTTCTCCTTTTTGCCCAGCATCTTGCCGAATGCCATACTCCCGCTCCTCCCCAGCTTTCCGCCCATACCAGACAATCGCCTGCTGAGCGACCCGCTTCCACCGTTCGCGGGAATACCTGCGTTTGAGGAAGCCCCCGAGGTCGCGCGAGGCTGGGGAGCTTTGGGAACGGAAGGAGTGGCTTTGTGCCCGAGAGAAGACATGGCAGATACCTGAGACGGCGCAATGCTCGGTGTGGAGCTTGGGACTGGCTTGGGCGTTGGCGCATGGGAAGGCGGGGATGATGCGGTTGTAGAGGGAGGGAGTGGGGTGGGGTGCTGGATGGGGTTGCTCGGCAGACTCTGCGCTGGCCCAGAGGACGTCCCAGTAGAAGTCGACAATCCGGAAAAGGACGACATCACCGAGCTGCTCATCTGGTTGGGCGAAGTGGCTGTAGATGGGCTTTGAATTGCCACACCTCCATGGGAACCCGAGTCGCCGTTGGGATGCGGGTATGCGCTTGTTGCCGACTGCGCCGTAGATGGCCTTGAAGAGACCATCGATCCCCCGGTCCCAGGTCTCCCAGTCCCATTCAGTCCCTTGTCCTTGTCCTTTCCCGTCATCGACATTCTATTCCTATACCACTTTTTACCGCCCTCGCTCGGCTCCTTCCTCATCAGAGGCCTTCCGGCAGAGGACGATTCAAGCGAGGAGGGGGTAGGTGCGAGACTTGTCAAGGGCGTAGGGGATGCGACGGGGACAGTGTTGAAGCCGAGTTGGCGGTCTACACCGTCAGCCATGGGCGAAGGTGCACTGGGCGGAATCGAAGCAAGCGCTGGCCCCGGCGACGGGACAGAGCCCACAACCGACTCTTCGTCCCTCTCTTGCACTAGCGCTCCAGCGGCAGACCCCAAGCTCCCAAACCTCCATTCATCATCCCCTTTCCTGTCCAAGATCTTGACCCCCTCTCCCACCGGCTTGAAGACGCCGTCCGGCTTTCTCTTCTCCACCTTGAGTCCCAAGTCTTGAGCAGAGACATCGACAGCTTGGTAAAAGAGGACATAATTTTGACCTTGAGTGCGGTCACCGAGCCAGTGAAAGAGGTCAGAGGCAGGGACAGGCTCAATGTTGTCGTCGTCGCACATGACCCACAATCCCGAGGGGATCCGTTTCAAGGTCACATAATGTCCTTGTGTAGGGGTGCTGGGAGCCTGTCAGCCGAGCGTGATGAGAGAATGGGGCCGACTTACATTCCAATGTGAACGACGATAGCTACCAGTTCATAGAGCTGATCTGGGTTGGGATTGTCATCCGTAGCCGCTGTAGGCACCCGCAGAGTATCAGGACATTGGACACGGTAAAACAGTTTCTGAGTGTGAGTCCAGTCAATGTTTTCGAATCGTTGGAGATGCAATACTAGGATGGGTGGCAAGCGCCTGATCTTGATACTGAACGGGTTATCAGTCATCGCTCGTGTCATGGGTTGAAAGACGTACCCCACTTCAGCTTCTTGATGACCGCCGCAGCTATCACAGAGAAACTTGTTGGTGCCACAGAGGTGCTCGGTATCGGTAAACTGGCGCAAAGAGTGGGAGACAGAGGAGTGTTGCTCTATAGGGATACCCAAGTCCAGATAGATCTCCTCTTGTGCTTTCGTCTGCGGATCATCAGCTAGATGTCACGCCAAGATGGACACTTACACTCTCACAGCTCAGACACTTGACCTGCTTGTCCCCAAGCGCCTCAAACAAGACCTGCACAAAGTTCTGTGCCCAAGGGTTCTTGCTCATATCCACCACACCTTTGCCCTCCCTTTCCAATACCGCATCCACAGCCGTCATGGAGTCCTTGAGATTATTGACCACCAGATTGAAGAATTCGTGCGCATCGTGCTGGTCGTCATTGTTGAAATCGGGACTGGAACGCTTGACAGCGTCAATAACGTCGGATGGCTGGACGACGCCCCAGCCGACTTGACCCGCGCGCCAGGGGCCAGATTCACGAAGGGTGGAGGGAGGGGGCATAGAGGCGAGTTTGGAGGGGCCTTGGGGGACGGGAGGATTAGCGCCGTTGGGGCCTGGTGATTGAGGCTCGGCGGGTTGAGGTTGGGGCGGGGGCGGAGGAGAGCCAGGTGCTTCTGGATCATCTGAGCCGTTTACCCCTTCACGCTTCTTTTCTTCGGTATACGATACCAAAGCAGAGTTTGCTTCCCGCGTCTGGCCCTTCTCCTTGATAGGCATGTGAGGTGGAGAATGGGAGAAATGGTAGAAGAGCGTTTGGAGTGTCTGGAATATGGTAGGCACGTATTCTGCTGGGGGCCTTCCTGATAGAAGCGGGTCCGAGTATTCGGGGTATGGGTGTGGGAGGGGAGGGGGAGCGTTGATCTGCAAAGACGCCAGTGTGGGGGTAGCCTGCCCGATAGTCGACTGCTTCTTCCCCATCCAGTTTCGCTTCTCCTTTCCGGCAGGGCTCATGGGCGTCGCTACTTCCTGGGTAGCCGCAAACGCCTTGTGCTGGGTGTTGAGCCTGACTGATGCATCCCACCCTGGCACTGCTGCGTCCCAATCATGAGTTGGGTAGAGCTTGTTCGACTGCGATGGGCCGAGCGGCCGCCTGGGCGGGAGGACATCGGGATAGGCTTCGACAAACTCGCGGAACGTCGTGCACGCGTAGAGGGCCTGGAGGATCGAGTTGCAGTAGCAAGAGTTGGAAAAGTTCTCGATGCCCCAGAGACGTTCTTCGCCGAAAGCGGGAGGAGGGAGGTCGCCGGCATCGGGCTGGCCGATGGCACCCTGGGCGCCGGAGGGGGGTTTGCTGCTGCCGACAAACTTGCGGAATGCAGACATGGTGTGGTATAGAGTATAGACAGGGCTGCTGGCGGTGAGCAGGTGGAGATGCGAAGGAGCAGTGGGTGGCACGTGCGCGGATGTATCACGAGCAGAGTCACGATGGCGAGATGGGGATATTCACTTCGGGCTCTCGCTCTTCGGCCTTGCTTCGGCCCGGAGTTTTCTAAGACTCCATGGCATTTTGTCCAAGTCGTATATACATCAAGATCATGCACATTAAAGGGGTCATTAGGGGCCATTATCGAAGGCCATCAGATCGTAGAATCGTATGATTATCGTAAAAGTGGGCAAGCGAATGCTAGAACTGTGAAAACAACCCCCCCGTCTATCCAGTCTACAGATTAAACCCCCACTGTACCGGCTCACTCTTCTCTAGCTCCAACCTCGGCGCCACCCCCTTGCGCTCCACTATGCTCACCCTCTGCCTCGTCCCATTTGTGTTCTCGATACCAAACTTGGTAGGCGACTGAGGGACAGAATAGGCTTGCTTTTGCGCATGCCTGGCGGCAGCGGACGGTTTTGAACGTTTCAGATGTCGGTCAAACCAGCCTGATTCGGTATGACTCCGCCTGTTCCCAGGACGCGATGGATCACGGACTCGGGGGCCGCTCTTTTCCTTGACGGGAGAAGAGCAAGATGCGTCACTCATGGGTGCGTGAAAAGACGACGGGGGGCTGGTCATAGGCGTCCCCATACCCAATCCCTTGAGACGGGGAAAGATCTTGGACCCCTTGAATGCCCTCTTTGTACTTTCCATGCCGCTTTTTCCGCTAAATAACCCTCGACTGCCTTCCGACTTGGTCGGGCTCGCAGACGACCCACGCGACGAGACATCAGACTCGCCCCTGCCATACTGTATTCTCAAAGAGGACGAAACAAGGGACGGTTTCCGGCGCAGGGCGGACGCTCTGATGGTCTTGAAGAAGGATGAAGGCAGGGCGCCTGTCACACCAGCACCGTTGGGAGCGGTGGGGATCATCATCATGCCTTCCCTGTCGACATCCATGCCAAGCTCTTCCCAGTCTTCCTCTTCCAACTGCGTTACTGTCCCGTGCAACTCCACACTCAGCCTCGCCAGAGGGATAGTCTCTTCGCTGTCCCGCCTCAGACGCCTTCTCAACAGCCTCGGCGAGGCATGCTGGCCACCAACACGGGTGTGGGAGTGTACGGATATGACGTCTGATGTGGAAAGCCCCGAGTAGGGCAAGTCGGTGGGTAGGTTCAGGATACGCTCATAAGTGGGCGAGGGCAGCTGGACGGAAGCAGGGGACGGGATCCTCACCGCCTTGCTGTGCGGACTCTGAGGTAACAGTATAGACGATGGCGCCTTCTTCGGGATAGGTGCAGGGATGGGCGGTATATGCTCTTCGAGTTCCTGCAGCGGAGGAGGGGTGGTGGATAGAGGTACGGCAGGGGAAGAGGGAGTCTCGAGGATGGTAGCAGCTGCCGAACTCTCGTCGGCCGGTTGGGCATCGGGAGTGGGCATCTCGGGTGTAAGAGTTTCCGAGGGCGTCTCCAGGGTGTCTTCGGCAACGAGGTCTTTGTCGGGAGCGGCATTCTGAATGGGATGCTCTGAAATCTCTTCCTCGACAGCATCCGGTGGTCCGGGGACTACTTTGTCCAAGACCTCTTCGTCTGACACATCGGGCGGCGGGGGTATATTGATAGAGACTTCCGCGACCGGCGTTGGCAGTGGCAACGCTTCTCCCCGGGCCGGATCCTCCTTCAACTCTAGAGGTGTCTCGGGTGTAAGAGGCAAAGGAAGCGCGGGTGGCAAGGGCGTGGTATCAGGCGAGATGGTCGCAGGGACGGGTAGCGTCTCGGGCAACGCATCCGGCACCTCTTCCTGCACCGACCCCTCGTCTCCATACGCCACTGAGCTGCCCTCCCCTGCACTGGCTCCTTCGAGGATACTGTCGTCCTCATACCCCGTCACCTCACTCTCCACCCCGTCCCACTCCCACTCTCTCGACCAAATAAAGCCTTCAAGCTCTCTCCTGTACTTTGCCTGCTCCAACTTGAACAGCACCTCATCATTCATCGGCGTCCTCTTTCCACCGCCGGCTTCATAGTCTCGTAAGTCATGCGTAGACATGTCCACCGTGGGGTCTTCTTGCAGGCAGAGTTTGGGAAAGTAGCGGGTGTTGTACTCTGCGGTGGGGTGGATGTGGAGCCCGTGGGGGTCTTGATACTCGCCGCGCTCGACAGTGCCCCAGTCGATCATGGAAAAGTAGTCGTGTTCTTTGATGTAGGGCTCGGTGAGGCGGCGCATGGGATCTTTTTGTAGCAGCTACAGATCTGATTAGTATGAGATGAAGTAGGAGGGCGTGTACTTACAGCATCGACAAAGTTGAAAGTGACCTGGTCGGGAGCATGCCGAGCTAGCTTGGGGTCTCTAAAGCAGTCCTCCCAAGGCTCATATAGGATCTTGTTCCACAAGACCATCTGCTTTTCGTTAGCCAAGTTTGCAAAATACCCGGTGGACGCACTGGAGGATCATCTTCGGCTTTCCTAAACGGCACCCGCCCAATGAGACCTTCGAGGACTATACACCCCAAAGCCCACCAGTCGACCGCATACGAATAGTCGCCTCGTTTGACCACTTCGGGAGACTACGGCAGTCAGCACCAAGCCAGAAGACAGATGAAGGACTCACAAGATATTCTGACGTGCCCACAAAACTGTACGCCTTGTCGACGACCAACTTGGTCCCACCACTTGACAGCTCTCTCAAACTCCCGGCACCCTTGCCCGCCCAGATCGGCAGCGCCGGCTGGCCAGGGTAAGTCACCACGTGTACCGCTTTTGGTTCGCCGCGGTAGGGAAATTCTTTCGACAGACCAAAGTCGGCGAGGACGGCGTGGCCTTTGGCGTTGAGAAGGATGTTTTCAGGTTTCAAGTCGCGCACTATGATGCCGTGGCGGTGGCTACAAGAGTCAACGTGGGATACAGGAAGCGAAGAAGGACTTACAGATCTTCAAGACCTTGCGTGATATCCGCCGCGTAGAACCTCGTTCGATGATCTCCAAGAATCCCATAGATCTCCATCTGCGTAGCCATATCCCCTCCCGGATAGAATTCCATGACAAAGTAAAAGTTTTCTCTATCCGTAAAGGAATAGTGCAGCCTCGAAACGAACCGGTTATGCGGTTCTTCTGTAGTCATACGACGGAGGATGGAGACTTCAGTAAGAGTATGGCCGAGCTCGTCGTGCGTGAGGACAGAGCGTTTAGAGATGGCCTTCATGGCGTGGATGTGATTGGTAGCGGTATGCTTTACAAGGAGGACCTGCAGAATGGTCAGTGCGAGCTCTTGTGTCTATCAAAGTCTCACTCGTCCAGCACACCCCTTGCCCAGGACGCGGATGAGCTGAAAGTCTTCCAACGTAGCGACATATCGATTACTTTTGGACGACGCTTCAGAGGTATTGGCAAGACGCTTGGATGAGGACGAGACGTTTCTGCTCTGCGTCCGGCTCGATGTCCTCTCGACTCCATTCGTGCCCGGGTCTTCCGAAAAGCTCGGCGCACTCGAGCTGTGAGTACCCTGGCTTGTGAATGTCATTGAACGACCAGGTATCTGTAGAGAGAGGGGCGGCTGGCTGTTTTGATGGTCAAAGACTGCAGTAGGCTGCGTAGGATCGACTAATGGGTGAAAGGTGGAGGCAAATACAGGGGATCGGGGGCTGTGGTGAAGCGTTGCAGCCATGCCCTTTTCGGACAAGGTTTTGGTATGGGGGTGATCCTCGGGAGATCGGTGCGTGGAAACAATGCGTGTGAGCAGTCTTTGGCGGGTATGTTGGCTCTGCAAAGGGCTGTTCTCGGACGCCAACCAGACTTCTGGTACGTATCCCAGTGTAAAGTGACCAGACAAAGGCGATGGCACAGCGGAAGACGCTTCGTCGACGGCAATGGTAGTAGAGAGGCAAAGGTATAGCCAGCGATGTTCTCGGATACGAGTAAACGAAGAGTGCACGGGCGGTGTCGTATGCGTGCGCCAACGGTGTTATCGATATTCAGTAGTCGCAAAGGCTGTCGACGAACGCATGTCAGTGGTCGCTCCAAGATGAAAGAGTTGGGGATTTTTCCCAGCTGTATGGCGCTGCAGCGACCAAGACAATCGAAGGCTCACCTATATGGCCACGGATACGGCTGGAGGTGCTGGAAGCCAGCGTACCTTTCCGTTATCCGCCTTCCGGAGCTGGAGGGCGGGTATGTATGGGAGCAGGCCGGGAGAAGGGTGCGTGTTCGGGAATTAGAAGTGCACCTTTGATGGAGGAGCGCTGGAATTGGGCCTTCTGGGAGCGGTGCAGGGCGGGGCGGGAAGGGGCGGCGGGGTATAAGTCGGGTATAAGTAAGCAGGCAGCCAGCGCAAGGATTCAGCGTGGCAGTCGCAGAGTGCAGCACCTGCATGTCCGGATGACGGCGCGTGGACGGACAGCCTCATGCACTCCATACAAAGCAGCAAGCACAGCGCAAAGCCCGGACAGCGCGGACATGCGGCGGGTGACAGGGGGTCTGTGCGGATGTGCCCTGTTGCTAGGAGACGCTATTGGGACCACGCCGCGCGCGACATGCCTCGACGCGTCCCTGCTTATGTAACATCCCGCAAACATACTATAATATATATATGCGACCGTGCGCATCCACCTCATTCACGAGCACAGCCGGACACCGTGTCCCGACGCGTCTCTCACGCCCCCACGCCCTCACGCCTGCACGTCCTTCCGCGACGAGCCACGATCCGCGCCATGGCCCACCACGCCCAGCAGGGCATAGACCCCTACCAAAACGACGCAGGCATGTACGACGCCCCGGCCTCGCCCACCTCCTCTTCCTCTTCTTTCGAAGGCGACGTCAGCATGAACGGGGAACACGCCAGATTCTACTACGAACAGCAACAGCAGACCATTCTCTACCAGCAACATCACCTGCAGAATGGACTCGAGCCTGGCGCTGCGAGACAGGCTGCAAAACAGGCGCGAATGCATATGGACGACGACAGTGACGACGGGTTCAGTGACGAGGAGAGCGATACGGATAGTATGCCGGATGACAGTATCGACTTTAGTCTGACCTACGCCCTGTGAGTCGCAAACACCTCCTGTCGGACGGCGTCTGACAACAACAGGCATACCTTTCTGGCTACAGTGGAGGGGCAAGCCTCAGTAATCAAAGGCGACTCCCTTGTGTTACTGGACGACGCCAACTCTTACTGGTGGCTGGTCCGCGTCCTCAAGACTGAAGACGTCGGGTACATTCCCGCTGAAAACATTGAAACGCCCTACGAACGCTTGGCTAGGTTAAACAAGCACCGAAATATTGACCTTGCGGCTGCCACCAAGAATGAAAAGCAGCTCGGGCAGGTGCAATCCAGGGAGAAATTGAAGGGGGCCATAGCAGCCAAGAGAAGCAACGCGAGGCAGGGGTCAAACGAGGGGTCTGAAGAGAGCTCTGGCCGACGCGTCATCTTTGCGCCCCCGACCTATGTCGACCACCCCGGTGTTACGTGGAGCTCGGATGAGGAGGATACCGACCACGAGCCGGAAGAGGTCGAGATGCAGGAGGATGAGCATCCTCAGGAGGGCCATGACGCGAGACATGCCCAAGAGGCAATGGATGTCGACGACAGCATGGACGACATGGAGCCCGATGATGGCGTCGAGTGGGCAGACGAGGCTGCTGAAAAGGAGCGTCAAAAAGTGCTGGAGCAGCGGCAAGCTGCCGTCACGCCGAAATCCAACAATCCCTTTGCGCCTCGGTCTAATCTCCCCACGGAGACCGTATCGAATGGTCTGGACCAAAGCGGCTCCACCTCTTCTCTCAATTCGTCCAGTGGTCCCATCCTTGACCCTGCTTCGGCGTCCGAGACGAGGAGAATCACAGCCACTCCGGCCGTAGCTGGCGGTCCCTTGCTCCCATCCGCCCTCGTCAACGGTTCTCAAAACCGCAACGTCAGTGGCCAATCGACATCTTCAGTCTACTCTACCGTCTCTGCCACTTCCTCTGTTCGCAGCAGCACTCCCACCGGCAACAGTCCCGAAGATGCCAAGAACAAGATGAAAAAGCCCCGCAAGAGCTCGGGCGATGACAATGGGGAAAAGAAGAAGAAGGGCTTGCTTGGGGGACTGTTTTCGCGAAACAAGGCAGACAAGAAGGGCAAAGGAATATCAAGTGCGGACCAACGGAGCTCGGAAGACAGTGCTCTGGAAGACCGTGGGTCCGAGGATGATCCGTCTACCAGGGGCGCTCTCTCTGCTTCCGGCTCACACGAATCGTCACCCCAGAATGCCTCCGATGTCTCGTCCCACAGCCTCAAACTTCAGCAAGCCGACCAGGCTCGCATGCAGTCCTACACCAACAAGTATCTCAAATCCCACAACGACGAGTATAGCGCTTCCAACGCCGAGGCTGCTGCTGCCGTTGCGCAGAGCGCCGCGGCGATGCGTCTGTCGGCCAGTGTGATGGGTACACCCAATGGGCAGAACGCGAGACCGAGCAGTATCATTGTCTCGCCAAATCCAGATGGTCCACCATTGCTCAATGTCATCCGAATCTTTGCAGGAACACAGGTGGATAGTGAAGCCTCGTTCAAGACGGCGCTCATCAACGAGACGACCTCTGCTGGCGATCTCATCCGCCAAGCTATCCAGAGGTTCCACTTGCAGACCCCTCAGCCGCAAGACCCTCTTGCCGGTTATTATGTCACGGTGAAGGACTTTGACGGAACAGAGCTTGAGCTAGGCCCGCAAGATAAGCCATTGGGCAAGTTCCAGGCTGCTGTGGCCAGGTGGAGCGAGTCGGAGATTGACGAGCATGGAAAGCTGCAAGAACGTTTGGGCACCATCACACCGACAGTCAAGCGCGATAGCTTGAGCAGTATCTCCAGTATGGCCAGTCTGTCCAACCACCCTGCCATCAAAAAGCTTGGCATGGATTGGGAAGACGACTCGCAAGTCAAGCTGTATCTCAACCGTCGATTGCTTTTGGCCGAGCCAGAAGGGATGCCGGATCCCCAAAGTGGTTTTTCAAGCTACAGCACCGGTCTTTCCACCGTGCACGAAAGCCCCAAATCCGACGAGGACATGCTCACGCCGGGCCCCTCCTCGCCCGTCACGGCCAAGAACCCCAACCTCACCATCTCTACCGGCGCCCACGCTGCACCAGAGAGGTACATGTCTCCTTCCGCGCGCTTCACCCTCCAGCTTTTGCTCCACCCTGCCGACTTACCTCCTGGTATCATGTTTGATCCTTCGTCCGAGTCGCTTGTTGCCAGACCAAGACTGCAACAGGGTGTGGAAGAAGGCGAAGCGAGAAAGAGACTATTCACGTTGCCGAGGAATGCCAATGTGGTGGATGTCATCGAACAGGGTCTTGAGAGGTTTGGAGTGCAGGAAGGTGTGGTGGATGGAGGCGACGAAGTGGAGGACAAGGTGGGGAAGAGAAGAAGCATGACGAGGGTGAGATATAGCTTGGGTGTCATTGTGAACGGTCAAGGTCAGTCCATTTAGCATTAAAAAGATATCATGCTGACAAGACCAGAACGTCAATTGTCGTCTTCGTCCAAGATTCTCGAATCCTACCCCTCGGCGCCAATCCTCAAGCCGATGGAGAAAAGCACGCCCGAATCAAGAAGACGCTCGCGGGATCTCAGCTACAATGTTGGTTCGACTGGCGACATTCGTGAGAGCGACCCTGTCTTTGTCTTGCGCAAAGTCGGTGCCCGAGGGCTGGCAGGGGCCAAGATGGATGGGATCAAGCAAACGCCTACTAGTCCTATAGTATCTCCAACGACTTCGGACCCTCGATCCCCGCAAGAGATCATCGCTGCCCAACGCGCTGCTTCGCGCTCGCATCAGATGTCGGTCCTGTCATCGACAAATAAGGGGCAAGGTGTAGATGTTCGACTTCCAGAGACTCAGGGTACATTCCGCTCTACCAAACAAGTCGGTCAGGACGGCGGCGCCGTCATGCGCTACAGCTTCATTGACGAGGCCGGAGAAACGTATGACATATCCGAGCTGTTGGAGGCTGAGGTGGGCAAAGACGGCAAGTCCAAGGTCGACGAGGTCGGAGACGACTTTAAGACTGGCTCTGTTGACGTCCCACCCGAGCTTCAAAGGCAGGGCACCGATATGTCTGTTTCCGATTACCATACTGCCCCCAGCACTCCTGAATCAGGCATGAGAACTCTGTCGGGCGACTCTATCGAGATCATTGACGAGCCCCGTCCGAGGTCGCGATCCGCACAAGATCGAGACATTCTGCAGCGCGCTGTACAGAGAGCCAGCCAAGATGGCGAAGCGGCGGGGTTGCACGAGGCGTTGCAGAGGGTGGCAGATAAGGCTAGGGAGGGGTCAACGAAAGGGAGTACGGGACCAGAAGAAGTCGCGAGGGAGCGCAATGCGACGCCAAATGGGAGGATCACTCCAGAACAGGTGAGTCAATCTTGATTACATGGGCGATCGTCGGGCTGATAAACACAGGACTCGAGCGAGGATCTCCATGCTACACCGCGTGCTTCTAACGCTTATCAGTACTCTGAACATGATCATTCTCAGGATCACTCTACGCGGACAAGTTCGCGTCAGGCGACTCGCGAGACTGCTGCCAGCGTCAACCGCATCATCTCGCGCCACCGCCAGCAGCCGTCTATCGCGTCCATCATGTCTGACTTTGATGGCGACAAGTCTGGTTCATCGCTCTCCCGGGACCTCCGGGATCGCTCTATCGACCCCCCGAGTAGTGTTAGTGAAGGGGACGAGAACGATCGGTTGACAGAGCCCGATGGGTCCTACAATTCCTCATCGACAGGTTACGAGGCCAATTTCAACGACCGGAGCTCGACTCCTGCGACTGCCTCTTCCTCCACACACACCACTCCGCCCTTTAACGGAAATGGCGGCATGTTTACCTACACCAGGGCTGTCAATGTCGTTTCGCCCACTCCCCGAGCTCCAGTGAGGTACAGGGATGACTTTGGAATGAAGGATATGATGGCGGTGATTAGGGTGCGAGCGCGAGAATATCGCTCCGCGACCAAGCCCAAGGCAAACTCCCGAAAGAACGTGAGAGGTAGTGTCATCAGCGACGTCGATTCTACGCGCTCTTTAACGCATGCGGTGCCGGGGACCGAAGTGGATAGGCAGCTGATTGGAGAAAAGATTGATTGGGAAGAGGTGCACCCAGAGATCCGGGACTGTTTGCACGGAGTCCAGGAGAGGCTGGACAGCTTTGACAGAGAAGTGGATGATTTGCTGGCCACTGTAGGAGCTTTGGGTATTTGAAGGGGTGTATCACGTATATTGCTCTTGTTACGATCTGTACAGTAGGACTGTCTATGGTATCTCTTTCTCCTTCTTGTCTCAGCACTGAATCAAGTTGCAATAAAGCTCAGGACACAGGCGCTCCTCAGTCTTCTTATTATTGACACGACTACTTGGTCTTTTGTTACGTAACCGAATGTAAGCTGCGCTCGCTCGTCGGACCCCCCGCCGGGCCGGGCCCCCGCGCTGAGAGACTGCTTGGCGAAACACCTCTCTTTCTTTTTCATCTCTATTCAATCTTTCTCTCGACGGTCACACTAGTCGTGCCCTAAATTGGAAGAGTCGCCTGTCCAGGAGTCTCTATCACTGCTCCTCGCCTCATCATCCAGGATACCAGCTCTGCTCATCACTTCTCCTATCATTCCATTCCCACAGCCAACGGCCAATCATCTTTCTTCTCTCTCGCCCCTTTGCGCACGCATGAACATTTCTTGGTTGCTTCCCGATTCAATCGCGACTCTCAACCCTCGAGTGACGGTCTGCGTGGTGCAAGTGCGACGCCATTTTACCCCACCCAACCTTCTCTGGTTCTGTGTACCGTCACACGTTGACTCATCACGGCGATTGCTGGAAGCCTAGGCCGTGTATCCCACCGACGCGGCGCATCAGCCCATTGAGAGCATGGGAAGAGCTGTGGGTCTTTCTTTGTACCGCCTGGGTATGGCACTGTAAGGGATTGGTACAGACTGGCTACATAGTAGGAGGAGATGTTGTGACGTGTACTATGGAACGCAGGGTTTGGTGACTAGGGTTGCCGCTATGGTCTCAGGTATGCGTAGGCGGGATTGCGAGATGAGGGTGCAGTGTCCCTGGTGCCAATGAGACCCATGGTATGGACCTGGTAAAGGTCCTGAAGAAGCTCAACTCTAACGTTATCGCTGATGTAGGGTTCTCGTTCGGGCTCAAGGAGGACACTTCCGCATCAGCCAGGAGATCTAAGAAGTATACCTTTAGGTGTACTTTGGCGTTCGCCTATGTGACTGATGTTACAGCCATCTCCACTCCTCCTATTCAGACGGGAGTCAGCGCTACAGTCACGTACTTTATCTGTCGGCTTCAATTATCTCCTTTTAGGACCAGATGGTGCACAAGTATCGTAGCATGTTTGCGCATAGTATTGTGGGCCTGGCTAGGCGTTGTGGCAGGTATGTGAGGGGTTTGCTGGGGCACTCGTTGGTGATAAAATCTACTTTACTGTATCACGACTGCTTCATGTACTCGAGTACAGTACATACCAGGCAACACCTTCATTCACCTAGCATACAAGTATGTCACCTTTGACATGATCCGTGCGTTGTTGCAAAGACAAGTGATGTGCAGCGCCGGTTGGTTGGATATGGACCCAGCTGGGTAGAGCTTGACTGGAGGGGCACTCCCCTGTGCAGGCTTGAGCCATGGGACTCATACTGCATGCTCCGGAGCGGAAAAGCATCGAAGAAGAAAGAGCGAGCCAAAAGACGAAATAATTATTACCCTTTCGGCCCGCCATAGTATCCTATACATGCATTTGCGGTGTTTGAGCCAGAGGTTCGGTATGACTGCTTCTGATTAATGCGATGACGCAAGCGGGGAATATCGTGACGACTGTCGATCTGCTGTGCCTCATTTTTTGCTGCCGTTCGTCTTTTTCCTCGTCACTCCACGGCGTTTCTGCATCTCCCACAAAAATCGCCATTCCAGTCGAGCCCCCCCCTCTGAACCCCTCCGAAGCTCCCGAAGTCCCCGCCATCCCCACACCCCGTCTCGAGCATAGCGTCAACAACCCTCTAGCATGAGCTCCGCCACGGGCGGCAGCTTGAAGTGGACAGGCAGGCCGTGAGTGATGCCGCCGATGGGTGTGACAGGCAAGCTCACGGGAATGTATAGATTGTATGAGCTGGTCGTCAAGCAGCAGCCGGAAAGAGCGAGGCTGTGCTCGTACAAGGAAGAAAATGATACGAGTGCGTGCCGCGGTACCGCATTGCAGAGGGCGCCTTTGCTTACTCCATGCAGTCGACCGCAGGCCTGTAGATCCACCGCCTGTGGTAGAATTGAACTGCCACGGAGACCAAAAGCTCGCAGAGTGAGCAACTCTCTGCATTCTGCACAGTATCACTTGCCTGACTTTCGCCTCTTGCAGGCAACTCTTGCAATCCTCGGCCTTCTTTGTCCGCGCGGCTATAGTGACGGCAGAGACTGTGCCCCTTACCTCTGATCAAGCCTCAGTATCCTCACAATCAGCTTCGCCATTCTCCTCGCGCCCTCTCTCCCATCCTCAAACTCATTACGCTCCAGTACGGCTGAACTTGGGCGCGGATGCAGCAACAGGCGAAGTCGTCCAGACGCCTGAAAGACTACGATTACTCGATGGTCGCGCGGCTGCTCTTTGCATCTTTGCCAAACTTGGTGTCCGACTTCCTGGCACGTTTCGGCTCAAATTCACCCTTTTCCGTACGACCGAGTACGTACATGTTCGCAAATGGTTGCCAGCGCTGACCAGCTTAGGGATGGGCTGATGGACATGGCTCACACCATCTCTGAGCCTTTCGAGGTTTTTTCACCGAAACTGTTCAAGGGGATGCACGAGAGCACAGATCTGACAAGGCATTTGGCAGCACAAGGGGTCAAGGTCAAGCTGCGGACAGATACGACCGTGGGCAGACAGTAAGCTTTACTCGGATCCTTGCGGAATACACTAACACCTTTCGACAGAAGCGTGAGAAGGCGTCGCGCATCTGCCATTTCAACAACCCAATCCCCTTCATTTTCCGGTCAACCACCAGCCCTGATTGCGCCTCAACCGCATTATCAGCCTCCCCATCCTCCACCGCTGCGACAGCCTCAGTCGAATCAGACCCATCCATCGAATCGTCCTCATCCGCCATCAATCGCCACGCACCATAACCCTCACACAATGACTTCCCATGCCATGCTTCCTGAAGCATCGCCAACGTCGTTCAGTAGCGGATCACGGAGAGGGGCTGGTGACCTTGTATGGAGAAACTCATCTGAAGAGTCCGCCCGCTACGAACCAAATCCGTCGAGAATAGTGTCATCTGGTAGCAAGAGGCGTTATGTCGATGACGGTCTGGTGTGGCCACCAATCATCGGCATGGGACATGGTAGGGTTTATCGTTTGGCGTCCGTTCTAAACTGACGGTCGCCTCAGCATCCGGCTCCTACGATTTGTCCGCATTCTCCTTGTCTCGGCGAAGCAGCCGGGAGAATAGTCGTGACAGCCGTGCCACACACCTCTCGAACGAGAGCACCCCACGATCGGCCTCCAACCAAAGCAATTCCTACCCATTCTCATCACTATCCTCTACTGCGTTTTCGCCCACCGCCAGCACCAGTAGGTCATCGTCCTCCATGTCCACCCCAGCATCATCTCAAATCCTTTCTGCTACCCAATCTCCTCCTATCTGGTTTCCTCCCGCAAGGCTGAACGTGAGAGCAGGAGATGACGGCATTCCCATCCTCCCAGCACCCAATTCGCACCGATCCCCAGGGGGTTTCGTGCCTGCTAGTCTCGACGAGGTTTTAGGAGAATCATCGTCGTCGGCCGGTGGCCCCCGTGGCCGACCGATCACGGCGGGCTCGGGGCAGGGGTCTGGTCCGCGTTTCTCTGTGGGTGGGGGTAGCTCTTTGGCAGAGGCGGAGGGGACGGAAGAGTCTATGAGCGAGGGGGTACATCCCGAGAGGCAGGCCTTGGGTGCAATAGTACCAGACGCCTCGTCCTTGAAGCTGCCCCCTCTGCGGCCGACGTTTTCGGAGAGCGGGCGTAGTGGCAGTGGCAGTGGCAGTGGCAAATGACCTGGCCATTGGCATAAAGTGGTTTTCAATTCGTTGTTACTTCTTCTACTTTGGATCTATCCTTATATGTTGTCGTTGTCTGCATGTTCTATTCTTCATTTCTTTTGGGTTCCCGGTACCACTTATGTCAACAATATTACGCTGTACACGTTTATTTTTGTGGGTTATTAGAAGACTCCTTTGCTTATGGGAGCATCTGGTGTGAGGGTTTGTGAAGGATTCTACTGGAGATTTCCGGTGTTGGTTGTAATATGCAATACATGAGCCATTATAGAAATCTGCTAGTGGGGTCTACTGTATCTATCGGTTCTTCGCCAAGATCTCGGTCCGATTTTCCAACCATCTATCACGGCTTACACTCATCCATCTCCCCTTCCAGCCAAACAGCCCTATCTTCTCGCTGTCCTCCCAGTCGGCCCCCGCTTCCCCCTCTGTCACAGGGACAAAGCCGCACTTGATGAGCAATTTGTCGCCGTCCACCGACATAGGGTTCGTGTACACGTAAACCTTCTCGATACGACAAGGAGATTGAACAGAGACGTCGAACGTGTGATCCAGCGCTGTGAGCAACAGTTCACTCCCAACGCCACTTTTGCGGTATGGCTGGTCGACGTCTAGATGTCTTATCCGGGCAATGACGGAGCGGGTCTCGTTGTTGGCACCTGAGACAGTAGGTCGCTTTCGAAGACCAGAGTTGCTCTCTGCCTTTTTGGGTACTAACTGTAGCTCACCCACTACGCCCTTTTCCCCTGTCACCTGCCCGTCTTCCTCTCCCAAGACACTACTGAGCTTCTCCAAGGCCTGTTCCCCCGCATCCAGGCATACAGCGCCCACAACACTCCCCTCATGTTCAAATACCCACACACCGCTCTGTGCGGGAGCATAGTAGACGGAAGGCTTGATCATATCGAGCGACCCGATCGTCTTGCGCAAACGGGCGGTGAAAGCAGGTCGTTGGAGGTACTCGATAGATGCCAGAAGAGGGAGGAGGGCGAGGGCAGGGCCGACGAGCGGGTAGATGTAGCTCAAGGGATTGCTGTTGATGGCGAATCCGGCATAGTGGCTGATCACCAGTCCTATGAGAATGATGGGGAGCAGGACGAAGGGGCTGGTGATGACTGTCAACTTGTTAGCCCTGTTTCTAGACGGATGAAAGGGTTATTACTTTTGTTATTGGCCCGAGCAAGGCCTTCCATGATGCCCTGGCCGACGAGCATCTTGAGGGCATGCTCGTCGCGAGAGTGGTCGTACTTGCGGACGACGTCCACGCCCTCCACTGGAGCTGGGGCTTCCTGAGGTGCAGACATTTGAAGAGATGTGGGAGATGCAATGTACAGAACGCGGTCGTGTGAGCACCCGTTTTATACATTATCCTGGTCCTGACTTTCCTGAGACGACGAAAAATCCAAAATCATGATGGTCAAGCAAGAACGTGCGTCGGCGTCGATTGAAGGTCCAGGCACGGATTGATGGGACATTGGTTACGTAACGGAAGAACGCGTCGAGTTCGCGTTCCGTCCCTTTTCGTGTTTTGCTCATGTTCTTTCTCGATCCGCTTTATACTTGGCAGGAGGTCCGGCTATACAGAGACACAGATAACGTCAGCGCACAATGGCCATCACTACAGAGGAAGGATCGTGAGTGACACGCGTCGGAGCAGGGTCCACGCTAACCAGTCGCGTGCAGGATGAATGTCGACTTCAAGTGAGTACGCGTTGCATGGTGCAGGGATAAGATCTGACGCCGGCCTCAATAGGCTTGGAGACCCGGCACTGATGCCATTCTTCTACAAACATATGCTACCTTACAAGCCATTGTTCCTCTGGCTCAATCAGGACCAAAGTGAGTCGCCACACGCGTACAAGTGAAAGAGGCTAACGCGCATATACAGTCCCTAGCAAACTCTTCACTCATCGTGAACTGGCCTTGACGCTTCAGAATGATGTCTATCTGCGATACCAGTCGTTCAACACTTCGGAGGAGTTCAAGAAATCCATACGGGACTACTGCCCATCTCGTTTCGAAATTGGTCCTCAGTACACTGCCCGAGTATGTCTAGCAACGTCTACGGTATACTGGTGCTGACTCCCTCTAGCCTCGAGATAGAAAGACACTTGCTGCTGGTGCTCTCCAGCCCCAAAGGCGAGAGCTTGTGTTCGATATCGATATGACCGACTACGATGAGATCCGAACTTGTTGCTCCGACAAGAAGATTTGCAAAAAGTGCTGGGGCTTCATTGCAGCCGCTGTCAAGGTGCTGGACCATACACTGCGAGGTTGGTCCCATTATACCCCTGTCGTCATCCAGCTGACGTGTCTGCAGAGACGTTTGGCTTCAAGCACCTCATGTGGGTGTACTCTGGTCGACGAGGTATCCATTGCTGGATCTCGGATCAGAAAGCCCTCGACCTCAACGATGACCAAAGACGAAATCTGGTCAACTTTTTAGAAGTCATCAAGGGTGGTAGTCAACAGAGCAAAAAGGTCAGCGTACGGGGCAAGGACGGCAATGATGCGCCCCATCCGTACTTGCAAGAGACCATCACCACGCTCTCCCAGCTGTTCCCTCGACTCATCCTCTACGAACAAGACTGCTTCCGCGAAGAAAAGGGATGGGAGCTTTTGTTGGAGCTGCTTCCCGGAGACAGAGGCAAGTCGTTCCTGGCATATGTTCTGTGGTTGGTTCTGATGCGTGCCATAGCTGTGAACTCTGTGCTGCGTACAAAGTGGGGGACCGACCCCGGCCGCTCGAGCCACGATAAATGGAACGACCTCACCGCCATTCTTCATAAGAACATCGATACGCCTCTGGGGGTGAGTTGGCCGAACCTCTATTCAATCCAATTCTGACGCCTAGCCATGCAGAACAAGATCAAACACGCAATTGAAGACATCATCCTCCAGTATACCTATCCTCGTATCGATTCTGAAGTCTCCAAACATCGAAACCACTTGCTCAAATCGCCCTTTGTTGTGCACCCCGGTACCGGCCGAATTTGTGTACCTATCAACCCGTCTATGATTGATGAGTTTGATCCAGAAACTGTACCCACTGTCAATCTTCTCCACAGCGAGTTCAATCAATATCAGGCTAGAAAGAAGGAGGAGGGTGCTGAAAGTGCTGGGAGACGGATGGAAGGTGGGCAGAGTACCGCTCGATTAGGTTCATCTGCTAACATCCGGGAAGATTATGAGCATACATCTCTGGCTCCATACGTCGACATGTTTGAAAAGCACATCTCGGCCATCATGCGAGACAACAGGAATGCGAAAAAGGGTATGTTTGTGACCACTTCACCTGGCTGAGGATATTGACGTTCTGCGTAGCGGTGAGAAAGAACAACTTGGATTTCTAGAGCGCCTTGTTTCGAATTTTAGTAGAGCTTGTTGTATTCTATGCATATGTCTATATAGCCGTTAAAATCCCTGCTTGACACATCTTGGCTTCCAGTCTTGGGAACAACCTCCACCTTCGCGTCGCGTACGCGTCTGTGCGCAATAATGTTCTCCACAATTCCCCTGGTACTCAACAATCTACAATACCATCACTCTCGCCCGGAACCTTAAGTATTTCGCAAAATGACTGTGGTCTCTCCACTCATCCGCCGCACTACTATACAAGTCGGCACCGCCTTCGAAAAACACGCTCTCGCCTTCCTCACCGCTTCCATGTCCATGTCTTTACGCCGGGTGGGAGGCGCTGGGGACGGAGGTGTGGATCTGAAAGGATGGTGGTGGGTTCCGGCAGATGCCTCATCTGATACTGTGGCAAGAAGAGAAATGGCGAGGAGATTGAGGGTGATAGCGCAATGCAAGGCCGAAAAGAAGAGCGTCGGCCCTCGCGCTGTACGTGAATTAGAAGGGGTCATGTCGCAGCTCGACTACCGTAAGCATGCTCTTCGATCATCCCGACATCCGTATCTCATAATACGCATCCAGGTGGAGAGCAGTCTTCCAGCGAAGCGACTGTAGCCTTATTTATCTCGCAAAACGGGTTTACAAAGAATGCCATGATCCACGCCAGTCAGTCGCGGACACCCATGATGCTCTTACATCTCCCCGGTGGACAATATGTCGATGCTCCTCTACTATCTTCATCGCCCGGGAGCAATTCAAATGTAGAAACTTCGATCAAAGTTGAGAGCGCCTGGTGGAATCGCGCCCTGTCGCATGGGGTCTTGGGCGGGAGGTTGGAGCTGCGGCGAGAGATGGTGACAAATGGACGGGGAGTGGTGGGAACCAATGTGGGTCTGTGGATGGACGGTGCTAGGGTCGATAGACTTGTGCCAGAGACTGGAGTGGATGATTTGTGAAGGCAAGAAGTTGCATCATCATACTGTACATAAATGTAGACTTGTTACACGGGGCTCGAGAAACTATATCAGAGCTGATAATACAATAAAATTTATGTGCAGATCCAGAGAGGATAGCATCTACTCATCCGAAATGAGGCCCCCAAAATAGAAAGTCAGAGCCTTGACTTTACCCCTGACTGTCTCCTCTTCCGCCTCCACATACTCCTTCTCCTTGCCCAGCCCAGGTAATGTTACCTCTCGAGCAAGGTCCGCTAGCTCCTGCAAATCGGTATTTCGCGGGAGATAGTACGCGATATTGGGAGTCAGGCGTGAGGTGAGGTGGAAGAGTTCGCGGCCATGGATTGGGAGAAGAGCGGAGAGAGGGTAGGAGGAATTTGGACCGGAGCGATAGTCAATTCCACCTGTGTCCTTGGTCAGCAACGATTCGTTGAGGACAATATATGCACTCACCCCATGGAGGAGATAGAAACACGACATCTATAGCGTCGGATTCGCGAGCGGAAAGAGAACGAGCCCATTCCGTATAATCACCCAAGATGAATTCGATTCTTTCGGCTACACCATGATGCAGAGCATTATGGCGTGCGAGGCGGAGACGGGTGAGGTCGTTGTCTATAGCTATGACTGCATCCATTGTCAGATTTGATTTCTCGCTCTTGCAATGAACACTCACCCCGTTCGCAGGTTTTGGCAAACTCGATAGCGTTGCCTCCTACGCCGCAGAAGGCGTCCACTATGACATCGCATTGGCACCTCTGAGCAACGTGGGCTGCAATGGGCTGAGGAGTCACAGAGAACCATCCCGTTTGATCCATGAGCAGTGGTAGTCTGTCATAATCTGGAAACAGAAATCCTCTTTGATGATAATCTAATCCGCGTCAGCTCATACATATGCCACTGAGGGGCAACGCACATTTTCGCAATTCATATGGCACCTCCTGCTCTTTCACATACCTCGGCACCAGCCCCGTACAGTCCCATGGGTGGCCGAGATGCGGGTTGAGCACGGCCTTGGCATTCTTCATCCGCTTCACAAAATTCTTGCGTTGCTTGGCCGTCATGGGATGCGCGTATTCAGAGCGTATCCCAAGCCAGCGATCTTCGAAATTGGCAGATTTGCGGCGAGGAGGGGGAGACTTCGCCGAGGGAAGAGGAACGGATAGAGATGAGGGATCTGTTGTAGGTTCAACTACCACGGGGTGGGGTACAGGCTCCGAGTTCATGACATCGTCTTGAGAGAGCAGAGTGATGTCCATGTCCACTACCTCATCCTCCTCGTCCTCGCTTTCTGAGTCTGGCTGTGTCTTGAGTAATGTATTTCCCTCGATCTCCTGAAGGAGGCTGATACCAGATTTGCTGGTCTCCGGGACGATCTCAAGTGCGGAGGCGGGCTCTACGCTGAATCTGGCGCTCGAAGAGGACCTCCCTCTTGAGCCGGACCTGATGGCATGGCGGAGGTCTGTCGGGAGGGAGGCGAACAGCGACAAGCTCTGGCGTGACCTGCCTCGCTTGGGCATGGCAGATATAAATTATAGTCCTGAGATGGCCAAAATACGAGAATTGTCGACCTGTGAACGCATTCCGTCAACTTCAAGCGCACCAAATAGTGGTTACGTAACTCCTCAAAGATTTCGGAACACTTCTTCTTCAATTCTTCTCGACCTTTGCGCTAAAACTTCAGATTCAACGCTTTCCTCTATACATCTATCCAATCACTCAAAATGTCCAAAGCTGTGCTCTCCGCCGCTGAAAAGAACAAGTTCAAGGACAAGGTCGCCCCCGCCGAGGGCCCCAAACCCAGGAAGGACAAGGTCCTGCTGCTCTCTTCTAGGGGTGTCACCCAGAGGATGAGGCATCTCATGCGAGACCTCGAAACCATCTTGCCTCATACCAAGAAGGGTGAGTACACTTTCTGACATATGGAGTAGTATTCTGACGTTCTCTAGACGCCAAGCTTGACGCCAAATCCTCCCTTCACCTCATCAACGAGCTCGCCGACCTCCACTCCTGCACGAACACCCTCTATTTTGAAGCCCGTCGTCACGAGGACCTCTACATGTGGATGTCGCGTACCCCCAATGGACCCTCTCTTAAAGCGCACGTGCAAAATCTGCACACCATGGACGAGTTGAAGATGACTGGAAACTGTCTGAAGGGAAGCAGAGGGTTGGTCTGCTTTGACGGAGCGTGGGAAGGGGAGCACTGGGAGTTGATGAAGGAGATGTTCACGCATGTAGGTGCGAGTGTGATCAAACAAAGTGCAGCGGCTGATATCCGAATAGACCTTCAGTGTGCCGAGGACCTCCAGAAAGTTGAAGCCTTTCGTTGACCACATTCTCCTCTTCTCTCTTTTGGACAACAAGGTCTGGTTCCGAAACTACCAAGTACGCTCCATCCACCTCGTCTTGTACCACATGCTGATGTGCAATTCAGATAATTGAGAAAGACCCCCTCACCCCCACTGGCCCTCCCCAATCCTCCCTCGTCGAAATTGGTCCCCGATTCGTCCTCACCCCTATCAAAATCTTTGAAGGTTCCTTCGGCGGCCCCACCCTCTTCTCCAACTCTGAATTTGTTACGCCCGCTGCTATGCGTGCTAGCATCAAGAGAGATGCTGGTGAAAAGTACAGGATCAGGAAGAACAACGAGAACGAGAGGGAGGAGAGGAAGAAAAAGCTGAAGGAGGATGCTGGCGAGGACGAGTTGGCGAGGGACATTGTGTTTGCTTAGAGGGCTGGATTATATTGTATGTATATCGATACTCACATTGACCTGGTGATATACAATAGAATACATCAGGGGTGTACTACAACGCCTGGTAACAACAGGTCACTGTGTGGGGTTTCCTCCATTCCTACCTATCGCCGTCCTTCTTACTCTTCGCCTTCGTCTCTGCTTGTCGTTCCCTTCGAAGCGTCTCAATCTCATTAAGCCATTCGTGGGCATTTCCACGATCTCCCGTCTCCAGATAGTAGGCCGACTACCACTCAATCAGGCCTAGCCACGCCAAGAAAGAGGCGTTACTCACAGTCCCAGCGCAAACTCTCAAACATGTCTTGTTGTACCCACACAGTTTCATGTTATCCTTGACCTCTGTCATCCTCAACACTGCAAACGTCTTGAAATCCCCCAGCCCCTCATCTTTTTCCTCCTTCTCCTCTGTATCTGCCAATAACACCAACCGATCCGCAAGGAGGACACCGAGCAGCCGCTTGCCCTGGAGGTGATCATGCCCGAATTGGTAGTAGACGGTATCGATAGTCTCTGAGCGGTTATTGGGATAGACGAGCTCTTCATTGTCAATGACAATGTTGTCGACTGTAAACGTCAACGCCTCTCTCGTCAGATAACGGGCAATGATGAATGGTCCTTCCATCACGAGATCTGGGGCATCCGACGTCAGTATCTGCCAATTCAATGGAGGAGTAATCCCGTTGTTGGCAGAGGGGTGAAGATGCGAGCGTATCTGTGCGATGCGTTTGGACTGTTCGACGCGCTTTGAGAGAATGGAAGCAAAGTGGTAGGTGATGTCGAGAGGGTCGTGTTCGATCTCTTTGGGTGGGGTGTGGCGGCAGAGATGTCGGAGCTGTGTTGGATCAGAATGGATTTGGGCTGGAAGGATAAGGCTCACGAAGAGCTCATAATGAGCTAAACGCTGCAAAGGAACCTCCAGGTATTGACCCAACCCTCTCATATGATGCTCCTTGTGTGCCCGACATTTCATCAGAAACTCTTCTATCCTCCTCTCCCTGTCCGTCGGCTCCCCCTGCGGGCTCTCCCACATCTCGGCCATCAGTAGCGACTGGCAAAGCCTTTCCCCATAGGCCTTGTAGAACTTTCCCATCTGGGCAGCGCGAGAGTTGAACAGCTCAGCGACTTCGTACGCTGCGCGCAGCGACCATTTGCCGTCCAGGTCATGTCCCATGGCCGTCATCTGGCGCACTATACCCTTCAGTGTTGGGAGAATGTCCACGGCGTGATAGTTGACAATTTCCTGAATGCCGCCAAACACCATATCCCACTGGTCTCTGGGAATCTCGAAATAGTCTCCCGTCTTCCCGGGAAGAGGGATAGGTCTGGAAGTGGGAGAGATGTAGATGCGCTTGAGCTGGAGAAGTTGGGTGACGTAGGCTTGTTCGGTCTGGAGAAAGTCTTTGAGGACATTCTTGCGATCCTCGGGCGAGTCGTCAAAAAATCGCTGGTCAGGGGCCTTGTTTCCAGAGGGGGTGGTAGGTTTCGGAGGCACAAGAGTCAGAGGTGTAGGACGGTAGGATTGCCAGGTGGCGTCTGCGACCGAGGTGGTTCTCAGGCGGTGGACCATCCGTGACGCTGTTGGTGGGGGGCGTCTGAGCACTGTGGGGTGTCAGGGGCGGCGGCGGCGGGAGGTAGTACGTACTGTGAGCGAGGGGATGGCATGGGCCGGGTGCGAGAGATGCCTCCGAGGCCATGTTGAGTGATGTCTGGAGTGGCGATGCAGATGCAGGAGAGAGATGCAGGATAGAAGAGAATTGTAATGCATTAGGAGAGTATTGTAATGAACTGTAATGGCTATACCAAATTGTAATGGAAAGGATGGGATTCTGCACAAACACACAGGACAAGAGTCACCCAACCTAGGCACGAGATAACACCTCCCAATCCTCCCCCCACTTTATTTTGACCGTCGTTTGTTCCCGCGCCCTTGCCATCCCAAACATTGATTCCTCATCATCCTCTTCTCCAGCATCCCCCCCGCCAACAGTATAGCAAACGCAGCCGGCATCCCCTGAACGAGGGCTTTCCAACGATACCACTCGCGCCCCAAACGGACATCCTGTCGGACTTAACATTATGAGCGACAGTCACGATCCGCCGCAAAACATCGACCACCCAGCGCCCCCGGACCAGGCGCAACCAGCGCCCCCATCCCACGGCCCTTCGCCCTCCGAGCCACCACCCGAGCCACAATCTCATGAAGGGGGACAGCATGTCCAGACGCCCGGCGAGGTGCATGCAGCGGCCCAAGCTGCCCTTGCAATGGAGGCAGACATGGACGCGTCTGTAATGATCGACGTCTCAATGGGGGACGAGGACGGCTTCGACCCTGCTACGCTGGCCAACCTCGCTGCTCTTTCAAGTATCATCAACGATGATGACGAGCCCCTGTCAGGAGAGCAGACACAGGAAGAAGCGAGGGGGGAAACGGAGGAACCCCTGGATACGGGAGGGTCGAGGGAGCCGTTGACGCGAGAGCAGGTGCAGGACCTCATGAACCAGCTCGCCCAGCGAGACAAGGGCAAAGACAAAGAAGATGATGCTCGACGGAGAGGCGCAGAGAGCCAAGCGACAAGTGAACGAGGTCAAAGCAGAGCAGATGACGGAGATGAAGGGGAAGAGGGGCCGGATACGATGGATGACGAGGAGTATGGAGAGTATGGTGAAGAAGATAGGAATGAGAAGGGGAAGAGAAAGAGGAATAGAACAGTGCTGAGCTGCACAGAGTGTCATCGGAGAAAGCAGCACTGTGATAGAAATATCCCTTGCAGCCGGTGTGTCAAGAGGGGCATCCCTTCCATGTGCCAGATGGAACATCCTGTTTTGCCTCAACGCAAGCGCAAGAGGTGAGTATATTGTATTAATCTTCACGGGCAGTTACTGAATCTAGTCCAGACCAGCAGCCGAAGATGAAGCCCTCTCCCACGAACTCGTCATCTGCGCCCAATCCCTGGAAACTCTTCTTCGCGGCACCGACTCTTACCTTGACACCAACTCTACCCATGCTGCCGTTGAAGTCACCATTCGTGATGCCTCCAGGGCTGCCAAAGCCGGGTCGACTGAAGCTACCAATGCTCTGCAGCAATTGGCACAGCCGCTGGAAGGTATGAACAAGGAGGAGCAGTCAAAGATGTTGTTTGAGGTCCTCCAGTTGCTGGCGGCAGCCAGTACAGGAAAGGCGTTGAATGCGGGTGTGATGGGAGGGGACCAGAGGGGCTTGGAGCTGTGGGCCTCGGTGCCATCAGCAGCGCCAGAAACGTAAGTTCACTTGCCTTTTACTGAGCATTGCTGACGTGAGTCCAGGACGGTGGCGGTGGCGTCAGCTTTCGCAGCCAATGAAGCTCCTACAAAGGTCAACATATCTCTCTTTGGCTACCGCGATGTCGGTGGCAAACTGTTTATACCTCCCACGGTTCGGTATGCCGCCAAGCAAATCCAGAACGAACAGTTGCTGTTGGTCGAACCGCTATCTATTGACGGATATGCGCCTTTCCTGGATGCTGGTGTCAAATTTGCCTACGGCGCTGATAGTTATCCCTATCGTCACAAGCGGGTGAGTGTTCGCTTTTCTTATCAGTGTCTTGCTGACACCGCCAAAGATTGCTGCGGTCCAAGCGGTATCCTTGACAGGCGCCCTTCGCCTGGCCGCTTCATTTATTGCTTCTCTCCCCAACCCTACCCCCGCTTCCTCGCCCCGTCCCATTTTCATTCCCACCCCGACCTCGCACGAAGACTATAATACTCTCAAATCATCCGGACTCGATATACGGAGTTTCAGATTCTTAGATCCAAGGACTGGAGGTGTGGATTGGGAATCGTTGAGAGAAGATTTATCGGCGGCGCCGGTCAGGAGCGCAGTCTTGCTATATGTGTCGGGGAGCATGCCGAGTGGAGCAGAGCTGAGTACGACTCAATGGAGACTGATTGCGTCTATCCTTGCTGCAAGTACATCACCATGATCCTATATTCGCGCTGACTTTTGTAGGAACGCCAAATGATACCCCTGGTAGTCATGGCCTTCCAGGGTTTGTCCTCTGGCGACACCACGCGCGATGCCCAGGCCCTCCGATTTATGGTTCACGAAGGTCTTCCCGTCGTCCTACTCCAAAATTTCGACACCACCATGGGTCTCTATGCCGACTCTCCCTCCATCGTCTCGATCGTCGTCCGGTCACCACAAGACAAGGCGAAGGTCGAGGGGCAATTGAGGAGTGTGGCCAGGGGCATGTGGGCACACGTGAGCCCGTGGGGGGCGAGGATTGCGGAACAAATCCTGACAGATGCGAAACTACACCCTGCTTGGTTGAATGAGATTGGAAAGATGAACAAGAGGCTGATCAGTGCGAGGGGCAAGATCTTTCAGATCTTGACAGACAAGCTCAAGACGCCGGGCGATTGGGAGCATATCAAGAAGGGCACTGGAATGTACTGGTGAGTGGCTTCCTCCGGCGGGGTAAAAAATAGCTAACAATTGACAGCACGGCACTGCTACCGCCAAAGCAAGCCCATGCCTTGACGGCGAAACACAACATCCATCTCCTCCCGAGGGCGTGCTTCAACCTCGCTTGTCTCGACATGCCTTCCATCGACCTCCTCACCCGCTCTATCGACTCGGTCGTCCGGGCAGGTATACGCGAAGCCGAAGAAGCCCACGCACAGAGGCTGGCCGCCGAGCTCGCTGCCCAAGCCGCGAAAGAGCAGGCTGCGAGGGAAGAAGCGGAGCGGGAGCAGCAGAGGGAAGAGGCGGAGAGGGAGAAGGCGAGACAGGAGGACACATTGTTGATGGAGAGGAGTATTGTGCAGGCCATGGAGAGGCAGAAACAGGAAGAAGAGGAAGAGAAGAGGAAGGAGGTGCAGAGGAGGAGGGACGAAGAGATGGCGAGGCAGAGGAGGGAGAGGGAAGAGATTGCGAGACAGGCCGAAGCGATTCTGGCGACGATCCAGCGGTAGAGAGATTAGATTTTTTAGATATGGTTGTATAATAATGCAATGTCTCCATTATATTGATTGCGCAACTATTCGTGACTCAGGAAGCAAAATAGATACATACACACCGTTGCAAAGCCTGTAAGCCTACAATGGTTTTCTAGGAATGCCAGCATGGCCATGCGACTGGTCCCCAAAACTCTCCATCCTCTTCACCATTCCACCTCATCGTGTCCATCAGATCTTTTAGATGGTGATGGCAGTCTCGAGCTTCTTGACCTCCTCCATGCACTCTTCCAGACTAGACTTGAGTTCGGCGAGGTCCTCGGCAGAGGCGGATTCCTTGCCAGCTGGTCGCTTGGCGGGGGCGGCACTAGACAAAGTCAGCATTGGGGGAAGACATATGAGAGATGGTCACCTACCCGATGAGGACACATGAAGTAGCTCGCTTGGTACCGGCAGCAGCACCCAATTCCTCCCTGCAAAGAATCAGTACTCACTTTGCAATTATTTCTAAGAACGACTCACTTGCTCAACACCCAGCAGTACTCGACACCGGCAGCCTCCTCCGCCAACAAGGGCAGATGGGAGATGACATCGATGGGAGTAATGTTGCTCGCGAGCAGCAGCAAACCCTTCTCACCCTTCCTGAGAGCCTTGACCACTTCCTTGACACCACGTTTGAGCTGACGAGCTTTGGAAGCACGCTTGACGGTCTTGTGGAGCTTCTTGGAGAGCTTCTTGCCGGCGAGGGGGGAGGCTATGGCGGAGATGGCTTCGAGGGGAACGGAGAACTCGGCCTGCACTCGTCAGCCTCTGCGCCATATCCACCACGCAGATAACGCACCTTCTTGTCGTCCTCCTCGATGCCCTCGGCGACCTCTCCAGCAGCGACGCTCTTCCTCTTTTCCTTCTTCTCCTTCTTTTGCTTCTTGAGGGCCTTTTCACCGTCGACCTCGATGGCGACGGCCTCGGCGCTGGCAGACCCGGCCTCGGGGGCGACGGGGGCGAGGTCGGCGGCCTCGGACTTGCGCTTCTTGTCCTTCTTTTCCTTCTTGGAGGGGGTGGCGGTGGATTCGGGGGCCATTTTGTGCGAGAATACAGGTTTACACTTTACAGCGACACAGCAGAAAGATGAAAGATCACGAGATGGAAATTTGGGACTAAGTGGGGGGCGCAGCGGCGGGTCCCTATCGCAGTTCTGCCTGATCCGGCTCATCTCGGGTTCATCCGCGCACTCAGATACTTTATGTCCGATGTCCCGAGATGCAATTCTCTTTTCCATCTGCATCTCTTCCTGCTTTATTACTACCATGGCCAACGTCAGCATCCAGACAACCATCTCCCCCTTCACACAGAAGCCCGTCTGCACGCGGCCCCTCCTTGCAGAGCAGGAGCTCGACGCCCTCATTGCCGAGAGCGTCAAGGCCCACAAGAGCTGGAAGAAGGTGCCCCAGGAGAAGCGTATCGAGGTTGCAAAGAAGTGGCTCGTGAGTGAGACCATAACGTATAGGGGCAATGCTGACAGATCGCAGGACGAGTTTGAAAAGATTGCTGATGTCGCCAAGGAGGACATCTCTTCCCAGATGGGCAGGTGCGTTATCTACCCAGTAACCGACTTTGCTCGAGCCCAAGCTGATGCGTAATCGAACAGGCCTATCGGTCAATGCCAGGGTGAAATCAACGGTACTCTCTGGCGAGCCCGACACATTGTCGACATTGCCGCCGAATGCCTCGCCCCTATCCCTCAGACTAAGCCTCCCGTAGAGGGCCTTGAGAAGTTCATCCTCAAGCAGCCCTTGGGTGTCATTGGGTATGTCTGTCATATCACTCTATTGCTTTGCTTACTGTAGTAGCGTCATCTCCCCCTGGAACTACCCCCACATGTGTCTTGTCAACACTGTTGTCGCTGCCATCATCTCTGGTAACGCTGTTATCCTCAAGCCTGCCCCTCAGACTCCTTCTCCCGCTGAGCGATGGGTCTCTACCTGGCAGGCTGCTGGTCTTCCCGCCAACGTTATCCAGGTCGCCCACCTCTCTCAAGAACGCACTCTTGGCCAGTTTGTGACCGACCCCAGAATCGACTTTGTGTCATTCACCGGGTCGGTGGCCGGTGGCCGAGCCGTGCAGGAGGCGGCGGCCAAGAGCAAGGGTTTCAAGGGAACGTGTCTCGAGCTCGGTGGAAACGACCCTGCGTACGTGAGGGAGGACGTCAACATCAAGTTTGCGGCCGAGCAGCTTGTCGACGGTGTCTTGTACAACTCTGGCCAATCTTGTGCTGCTGTGGAACGTATCTACGTCCACTCTTCCATCTATGACGAGTTTGTCAAGGAGTACGTTGAGGTCGCCAAGTCTTACACGCTCGGCGACCCCTCCAAGCCCGAGACCAACCTTGGTCCCGTGGTCAGCGTTGCCAGTGCCGCCAGGATCAGAAAGCAGGTCAAGGATGCCGGTAAGTGTAATGGGATTACCAGATATGCTGGAGGCTGACTTTTCGACAGTGTCCGCTGGTGCCCAGATTGCGCTTGATGAATCATTCTTCCCCGAAGCCAAGGAGGGCACCGCTCTTGTCGCCCCTGTTGTCTTGACCAACGTCGACCACTCTATGGAGATTATGACCGAGGAGACCTTTGGCCCTGTCGTTGGCATCATGAAGGTTGAGGGCGATGAGGAAGCCTTGACACTTATGAACGACTCTGTCTACGGTCTTGTACGTGCACTTTACTCTTTACGATCGCCACTGACATGCCACAGACCGCTTCCGTCTGGACCAACCCCACCGACCCCCAATCCATCACCGTCTTCAACCAGTTCCTTGAGGAGCTCGAGTGCGGTACCGTCTACCTCAACAAGTCTGACGCTCTCGACCCATCATTACCCTGGAGCGGATGGAAGAACTCTGGACGAGGTGTCTCTCTTTCTTCCTACATTTACGATGTTGTCAACCATACGAAGGCTGTCATGAAGAGGGTCGTTGTTCCCCAATAAATGAAGGAAAGACGTAACCCTGGAGAGAAGTTGTAGAAAAGATGGATTACATACAGACGTCACGCTGACTGAGATGGTGTGTGTTGGTCGTGTATCTCTTTGTTCATAATAGTATACCAAGCTATACAATTATATCATGGTTCAAGAGCAAGAAGCTACAAAAAGCCCAACAGCAAGCATTATACCTCGAGGTGTACCGACATATCCTAATTCTGCTCAATGATCGCCACCAACGCCTTTTCGTACTTGCCCGTCGTCTCGCCCTCCACAGCTCGTCGAAGAGACTTGTTATACGAGCCCTGGTACTGATTCTTGATAGAGTTGAATCGCGGGCGATTCCAGTGGGCACGAGCGAGTCGGTAGCACCTGTCAAGTGTCAGCTTAGTCTTGTTGCTCAGACCATGTCTACTCACAGCCTCTCATCCTTCGTGCCCATGCCCGCCATAGCAGCCTGCAAAAGCTCGACATCCCTCACAATCCCATCCCCGTCCATCTCCGCACCCCTAGCGATATAGTACAGGGCGTCCTGCATATGCCCGGAAAATTCAGACTTGATCATTTTAGAGAGCTCGGTGCGGTGGGCCATGGGGAAAGCTTGGGCTACAGCTCGGAGATGAGCAGGAGAGCGCGAGCAGAGGATACCGCATATGGCGATTTCATCCTGCAAGAGGTCAGCTTGAGAGCACCGCGGGAAGGCGGAAGGCGACTGACGGTTCCGATCTTGCCTGGTCCGGCTCGGTAGAGAGTTTGCACGTCTTGTTGGACGAGATTGTGGTCGAGGTGGGGCGATTCATCTCGTTGGCCAGAGAGAGCCATGTTGAAAAGCCTGCTCTGCTTGTCAGCGTACTCCTCTAATTCCCAAAATCACTCACCTCTCAGTCTTCATGGACAGCTCTCCCCTGACCACCTGTGCTAGGTCTTTGTGGTGTGTCCTCTGATACAACTCCTTGAGCAAAAACATCTCCTGATTGCTCCTTCCAAGGAGGATCTCATTCAAAAGGTCTTCGTGGGTTCCAGCACCTTTGCAGGCGCGGTGTAAAAGGTGCACATCACCTGCGAGGGGACCGAGAGATATGAGAACGAGCACATATTCGAGCCTAGCAGGAGTCAGCAAAGCCAACAGAGTGAGCAGAGACGACTCACCATCCTGAGAGCTCCTTGTTCAATGTAGTCTTCAGGGGACGCCCAACAGTCTGTTCATAGGTCCTGGAGAGGACTTCCATTTGGAAAGCGTCAAGAGGCGCCAAAGTGTCGATGATTGTCTTTTCGTCCGTTCCGAATCCCTGAAACAGCGTTAGCATCGATCATACACACCGCCAGGCTCTTGGACGCGACGCCAAGACAGGCATCCCCGAGTGTACACACCTTGGTGGCCTTTCTTATCCGCTCTGCGTCGAACTGGGCGTTGTAACCCGAGAGGGTGCTAGTTGGAACAGCAGGAGGAGGTGCGGGTATAGGTGCGCCGAGGTAGTAAATAGGTCCTTGGAGTTGGCCGGGGGTGAAACCTCCTTGCAGCTGAGGAGCACCCCCATAGGGCGAAGGGGCGCCAAACTGCTGAGGGGGCTGAGAGGGAGCGCCATACTGCCCTTGTGGGGGAGCGGAACCGTAGCCGCCACCCATTCCGGGAGCAGGAGAATTGAAACCTTGGTTCCCGCCATTCCACTGCTGCTGCTGGGGTGGTCCGCCGTAACCGCCTCCGTTAAATTGGCCTTGAGGGGGACCTCCATACTGTTGCTGTTGGGGAGGGGCGCCCCATTGGCCACCCTGACCGCCCTGGGATGGGTGCTGGCCATGGTTGACGGGAGGAGGGCCGTTCTGGTAGCCCGGCTGGTATCCCTGGTAGGGAGCCTGACCCCACTGCTGCTGTGGCTGGGCGTAGTTGTTGCCGTACATTGTAGAGATGCGGATGGAAGATGAGATAGAGATGGAGATGGATATTTGCTGTGATGACGAGATAAACGGATCACAACAAACGAACCCGGAATCTCAAAGGAGGCGGTGCCCGGAGATCCGGGCCACGGGCTGATTATGTAAGCAAACATCTTGGTCGTGGATTTTGTTTGGCTCCCACTTGCATTTCAGAGCTGCATTCAACTCATAAAATCCACCGCCATGCCACCAAAACAGCCAGAACCGCTTCCCATGGACAGTGGCCGCCCAGACAGGCGACAGCAAGGCCCCGCGCCCCCTCGTCGTGCCCCATTACCTCCTCGCCCTTCGTCTTCTGCTACTCGGCCGCTTGGTGCTGGGCCTATACCAGAGCATGTGAAAGCGAGAACACTATGGCAGTCGTACCAGTGTACGTCACCAAGTTCTGTTCCATCAAATCGAAGGCTGACAAGGATGGTAGCATTGACGCCCAAAGCCAGGATCGGATTCGGAGTTGTCGTGGGCTTTGTGGGGATCGGAGGGATGGTGTGGGATCAGCAGGTGCTCCAGGATGAGCCTGCGAAGGAACAAAAACCACTCATCAATATGAGAATGGTTGACAGACCTGCAAAGTAGAAGGTCGACGTCTTCAGCATTGACAATATTTGTACTTTTAATCAACTGGCATGGAGCATATCCTTAAGCAAGACGTATGCATATACAAGGTACTTTTGACGAGTCAAACATCGTATGGGCATAATCCGTCGTAACAAGGTCCGATCTCGACACAGTTGATCATGACCTATATTCGCTACGCATGGGACATCTTGCACTGATACCAACAAGACACAGCATCTATACTCAGTTGTCCAATTCGCGCCGTATTCTCTCTCTCACTTCTCTCAGCCCCCCTTGCCTTCTGATTTTTCCCGGACTAGCGGGACCTGCAAGTTCACCCTTCAGTCTGCCGGGTGTAGAGGGCGAGGCTGGAAGTTGACGAGCGGGTAGCGTAGAGGCAGAAGGGGAGGCCGAGAAGCCTGTGGCAGCAGTAGGCGACAGCGGGGCAGGAACAGCAACAGCAGCCGGCATCTCAATCCAGTCCTGCCTCCCTATTGTCTTGATATGCAAGAAGAAGGGGCAGAGTTCGGTAAGCATTTGGAGAGATGTCTGAGCTTCAGCAGTGGAGATGGGCGTTTTGGATGATTTGACGATGACTTCGGCTGCTTCGGCCATGGGGATCGCTTTTCTGCGGCCACGAGGAGGGGTGGGCAGAGAACTGGGCCCGAGAGCTGGTCCAGAGAACATCCTGAGCGATTGTCAGTTGAGGCAATGCGCATAATCAGAAATGACTTACATCCAAACACTCTCAGCAACGCCTTCCAGTCGACTAAGAATAGATCTTCGTTTGAGTCCTTCTTGCTGAGTAGACGTTGTTCCGGGGCGGCCGAAACCACCAACAGAAGACCCAAGGGTAGACAATGAACCTTTGCCGCCAGACTTGGCTTTAATCTATGTCAGAGGTCAGTCAACGTCAACCTGAAAAGCAGTGAGCGACTCACCCTCGCCATCATAGCCTTCCGCCTCTCCTCCACAGACCCAGGCCTGACGATCTTTCCCTTGACATCACCCTCCTTATCGCCAATCTCGAAGGGGTCAGACAGACCAGCTGTCTTGGGTGAATCAAACGATGGCGGCAGGTGGTTCTTTTTCGGTGTCAGAGTCGATGTGGGCCCAGAAGAAGGCGACGTAAACGCAGCCATGAGGTTGGCAGCCGGGAAAGTAGTGGTGGGGAGGGATGGTAGAGGGAGGATGGGAATGGGCGGAATGCTCGAGCGCGTAGAATCTTCAGAGGTGCTAGGCGTAGGCAACACGCTTGCCTCGCTCGGTTTATAGCCGCCATGAAGTTTGACCCACTTCTCCAGCTTGGCACGGAAATTATGTTCTCGCACTTCACCAGTGGCAGTCCATCTCCCGATAGCGGCGGTACCACCACCCTGACCTTGGTTCTTGAAACCGCCATCAGAGTTTGCCAAAAGCTGTCTCGTCTCTCCTTGCCGTAACCCAAGCTCGATACCGAGACCGTGGGTGTAGATCCGACGCCCAGTAGACTGCTCCAGTGCTCTGGTCGATGTTATGAGATAGGTGGATCCAGAAACCTCCCCCGCACCAAGTGCAGGTGAAGCCGGGACGACAAAGGGGTTATCCTCATCAAGCATCGCCTTCTTGTTCTTCTCCGACACGGCCTTCTCATCCATGATCTCCTCGCCGTCCCATCCCCAAACCCAAGCCAGCCTTCCGAGTTCTGCTGGCCCGAAACGCTTCCCACAAGTCCTCTCGACAGTCTCTTTGATTGCCAAGTAGTTTGTGAGATTCGGCAGTTTGACGCTCGTGGCGGTAGACGAATGAGGCGGCAGGACGGGATGGTGGGTTGCGATATGGAGGGAGAGGGCAAGGTTGAAGGCGCGGTGGAGGTTGAGGAGGGAAGAGAGGTGGGAAGGGAGAGGGGCAGCATCCGGGTGGGAGGGCAGGCCAAGAGGGACTGCAGACTGGCCGGGAAGGTTTGCGTTTCGGTGCCGGGTCGCAGGAGGGGTGGGGAAGGGTACAGGGTTACTAGAAGATCCTCTCGAAGCACCAGTTCTATTTCCGTGTGAGCATACACTTTCGCCCCGCCATAAAGCGGATACGCACGCTACTCGCTTGGACGTTCTGCCAGACCTGGGCGTAGGTACAGAGCTTTCAGCAGCCTTCTCTGCGCTGCTGTCCGCCTTTCTCTTTCTGGGAGTGATGCTAGACATGATACAGGAGTTTGTTGATCAAGAAACCAGTTCTTCAGAGTACTTGTTGATAGGGGGACAGGGGTGAGGAGGTTGGTGATGGAATAGGGAACGGGACCAGCCTGTTATACTCTCGCCTGGGTGTTTCCACAGAAAACAGAGGGGACCTTACACAGTAAGGGGCGGGTATAGCTGGTGAGGAGGAGAGGAGAGGAGAGTGGAGATTGTGGAAAGAGAAAAGAGACATTCATGATCAATGTTTGGCACAAAGCAAGCCTGGCGGACATCGCCGACTGTTTACAGAATCGTGGTCCTTTGTGGACCGTCGGCCTGCGCATAGGGTTGAGTGATATTGTATTGGACAATGTAGAGTGTTCGAATGAAAGCCTTGCGATACATTGATATAGCGGATACATCTTGCTATCTAGCTGACTACCGCTTAGCCGCCTCAGTCTCGTGCACTTCCTCTCCATCGGCATCCTCCAGGATTGCTTCCGGTTCCACAAAGAGCTGACCCCTACTCCCTTCCCTGGAGCCAAACTTACCATAAGACCCGACAGCAGGAGGTGTAATCAGTGTGGGAGTACTCGTAGAGGAGGAAGGAAGATCGTCCAGACTCTGGGTTCGGAGCTTGCTCTCTTCCTCTGCTCGCGATTTGATCTCGCGGAGCTCGTGCTTTTCGGCATGCTCCTTGTCGGCCTGCGAATTATTGTCAGCGCCTACCAGTATGAATACGATTCGTGGACCCACCTTGGAACCCCACTTTGTCCACCAACCCAATGCCGCACTCCTCGCATAAACCTCATCAACACTCCTAGCCACGTCGCCCGCAAGCTTTTCATCCCACAATCCCGCCACCGCACACATCGGCGGGTTCTCTCCTTGTAAGTCTCGTGTCAAGAAACCATCCTTCTCGGCTTTAGCTCGGTCTTCGCTACGCAGCTTGCGCCATTTGGCGAGGTCGCGAGAGTACTTTTTGTCCCAATCGGCTCTTTTGTTGAGCCATTTCTGGACGGCGCCTTCACCGTGTACCCGCCCTATGTGCTCTCGCAAGCCAGGCTGGAGAGCAGGGACAGCGGCGATATCCTCAAATGGCCGGATATTGCCGTGCGTAGAAACTCGCTCCGGCACGATGTTGACGTTTCCAAACAAGGGCTCTGTCCCATTGACCGTGACAACTCCAGTCCTTGGGCCCTTGTCCGCTCCACTCTCCTCATCCGTATCATCCCCATCATCAGAGGAAGAATCATCGTCCTCTTCCTCCGACTCTGCCTCTGACTGCGCTTCGTTGAAGGAAATGGGCTTGCCGTTGGCAGCAGATGCAGCAGAAGAGGTGATGATGGGCTGTGTAAGGTCGAGTGTATTCTGCTGGCTGGATGAGTTGGAGATGGCGGGCGAAGGAGGTGTAGGAGATGCAGAGTTGACGAGAGGTGAAGTGGTGTTGATAGGAGAGGGTGCGAGATTGGTCGGAGAGGTAGTAAAGTTGGTCGGAGAGCTCTTGGAGCTGTGTGCAGACTGAGGACCACCGTTGGAAGAGTCGGGGATGGTCAGGCTGGAAAGACCGTTGGCCAGAGCGGTCTTCTTCAACGAAGCTGACGACCTAGACTTTTTGATAGACTTGCTTGATTCCTTGTGCTGCAGCTTCTTTTCGAGAGCTTTGTGCGCAGCATTGAAAGCCCATATGTTGAAGCTACAGTGGCATCAGCATGCCACAATCGCATAGCGTGAAGGAACTCACTTGGCACAAGCCCGGTACATGTACTTGCTACTTTTCGTCCAGCTCATGGTAGGCACTACATGGCAGCAACCTTCATAGATCTGCAGATGAACCTTGGTAGGCTTATACTTTGTGATCTTCGGCACTTGATCAGGGTATTCTGCGAGGGTGGAGGAGGATGGTGGGTATCGTTCGGGGTCGGCGGCTTTGTGCGCCAAGTAGACGATTTCATCTCTGAGAAGCTCTGCTCCTCCTCCAAGCTACGTCCCGGATCAGTACAGTCGATGATGTATACAGAGCGACTCACGATCAGCAGCGGACACAGTCCGCCCAGTGACCCTTGATTGACAGGCGATACGAGAGGATGGGTCAACAAGTCGTTGGGGCTGCACGTACGTGAGTATGTTACTAGGCAGAGATGGTGCACGTACCAGTACATCTGTACCTGCTCATCCACTCTCTTGGTAGACCCATCCGCCATGGTAATGTCGATTCCGCTACCGGGGAGCGGAGGCCAAGCACAGCTGGGCTTGTAATGGAATCCCGAGGAAGGGATGAAATCACCTCCGTCCCATCCTCCAATGCTCGGCATACTATGTGTCAGGTCTACCCACGGGCTTATCAAGCTGGCACCCGCTGGCATGGGCAAACCCATCTCTCGGATCAAGACCAGCAGACTCACGCACATGCCGGCCCCAGCAGAGTCGCCCATGAAGATGATGTTGGTGGGGAGGATGGGTTTGTGCGGGGCGGACGGCGGTGGAGAGATGAGGTAGAGGTAGGAGGCCAAGCAATCCAGGAGGCCGCAAGGCTGGAAGCGTTAGCTAAGGCAGTCTTATGAAACGAGGGACATACGAAGGGGTACTGTGGGGAAAGACGGTAGGCTGGAGAGAAGGCTCTGGCACCGGCTTTGCGGGCGTGGCGCTGCACTTGGTATCTATGGGTCTCGAGAGATGAGAAGAAAAATGCGCCGCCTAAACATATCAAATCAGCGCACTCCTTGTCAGAGATCGACGACTTACCGTGGATATACAGAATGATCCGATCATCACCGACTTCTTGACCGGAATTGTCAACAACACTTGCGGTCGTAGACTTTCGGCTTGGGAGATACTTGTTTGTCCAAGTGACAGTGTTGGGGCTGACAGGCGAGGGTGGAACCGGTGACGACGCTTCAGCAGAAGCACTAGCTGTAGGCTCTGGCTGAGTCCTTTTGAGATAGTCTTTCTGCATCTAGGAAGGGTCAGGCTGCATCTTGTTTGAGATATTTCAAAGCCTTGCCTCGATCCATTCGCCTTCCAGAGGCTTGCGCCGGACCCTCCACCATTTATCACCACCAACCAACTGGATTCCCCCACCATTCTCACCTGCCTTGCCATATGTTGACAGATGTTTGGCAAGAATAACTTCAGCCTCGTGCATATTCTCCTCAGGTATAAGGACGACATCTCTCTTGACCCAATCTAGCACGCCTCATCAGCGGCCGCCTCCATTTTGATACTGACACACTTACGCGGCGTAGGCACCCACATAGCGGTGAAAGCTTGAACCTCCTCTACGCCATGATGGCTCGCAAAGTCCAAGAACCGCCTGACCACCTTGAGCCCCTCCTCATAGGTTAGCTGGTTCTCGGGGCCCCCGCCTGGGCCACCAGACTGGAGGGAGCGCTTGGTTTCGCTCTTGCGCTTGCGGCGGTGGAGGATGTGGGAAAAGAAGGTGGAGATGACTGTGGGAGTTGTAGCTAGCGCTACTGACGGGGTGCCGTAACCAGTCATAGCTGGACGTCGCTGCAATGACGTTGAGGAGTGTGGTGGGACAGTGGCCCGCTGAGACTGGGACTAGCTGGAGACGGGAGAGATACAAGTCGAGAATAAGAAGGCATAGGAAGGGAGTAGAAGGGATGAAGACGACTACTGTTGATAGAACAATGAATGGATACTATTGAATGGATAGATCTGTGCCACTTAGGGTTCATTGTTTGCGTTTCAATCACGGGACCAAATATTAGCGGCATGACGTAATACGGGCACTATGTACTAGCTATAGGGAATGCTGTTGACATTCTCATCTCCACGCACGATGGCCCTCCCCCAGGCAGACGCACACGGCACAGTGCCCCCCAAGTCCAAGAACCCCCTCCACAAGATTCGCAACAAGGTAGACAACCTCGCCTCAAACGTATCCCGCCTCGGCATCACAGTCTCCACCACATGGAACCCCAACCACCGCCACGACGAAGACTGGGAGAAAGAGGTCGACGCAAAGATGGAAGCCATCCGTGACTCGCACAGATTCAGAAGCTTTGCTGGTGAAAGGAGCGACAACCTCGTCAAGTGGCATGTCGACGGCCATGACTACTTCTGGGCGCTGTCCGAGGCCATTGACGGAGCAAAGGAGGTAAGCGCGGCAAAGTCATGGCGGTCTTTACTGACTGTCTACAGAGCATCATGATTCTTGACTGGTGGCTCTCTCCCGAGCTTCAGCTCCGTCGACCGGCTGCCAAGTTCCCCGAATGGCGACTCGACCGCCTGCTCAAGAAAAAGGCCGAGCAAGGCGTCCGGGTCTACGTCCAGGTCTACAAGGAGGTCGATGTCTCCATGACACTGTCTTCGAAGCACACCAAGCATGCGCTAGAGGACATGCACGAGAACATCACCGTGGTTAGACACCCGGATCATTCGTCTAATGAAATCGGTAAGTCGTTCCGCCTTTGCCCTGTTTGTGTCGAGGGCTCGAGAGAGACGACGGCGCCAGCGACGCGGGAGAGGTTGATGGAGTCGTGGCGTCGAATTGCCCATGTCTGACGCGGCCGGCAGTTCTGTACTTCTCCCACCACGAAAAGCTCTGCATCGTAGACAGCACGATTGCTCTGATGGGCGGTCTCGATGCGTGTTTTGGTAGATGGGATACCCACAACCATCCTTTGGCCGATGTCCACCCGACCGAGTTCTGGAGGACGCTGTTCCCCGGACAAGACTACAACAATAACCGAGTCATGGATTTCCAGACTGTGGACAAGTTTGTCTCCAATGCGCTTGCCGTACAAGAAACTCCCAGGATGCGTAAGTGAGATTCGTTCGGCGCTGTGGAGCATGCTGATGGGTCTGACAGCTTGGCACGACGTGTCGCTATCCATGATTGGCCCCTCGGTTGTCGACCTGGTCCAGCACTTTTGCGAGCGATGGAACTTTGTCAAAAAGTTCAAGTACATGCACAACCACAAGATAGAGTGGCTTTCTCTTCCTCACCGTACGTTCCGAGTAGCTACAGGGGCAGAGCTGACTTCTTGCAGCCTGGGAGAATATCTCCTCGAGAGAGAATCAGGAAACGACCGAGGCCGAAAACGAATTCCGTCTCAACCACCCTCATCTCGCAGAGTGGAAGGAAGCCGGTCGCCAATTCTTCCATCCTTACCATTTCCCGCCGTCCGACCTCCCCCGAGCGGACGAAGCTGTGCCCCACGGTACCTCGCGGGTGCAGGTACTGAGGTCTGCTGCTGACTGGAGTCACGGTATCTTGCGTGAAGACAGTATCCAGCAAGCCTATATTGGCTTGATTGCGGAAGCGAACCACTGTATCTACATCGAGAACCAGTTCTTTGTTACCACCTGCAAGGATGGGCAGCCGGTAGAGAACCTCATTGGATTGGCCCTTGCCCGGCGTATCATTTCGGCTGCGAAGGATGGCAAAAAGTTCAAGGCTCATATCCTGATCCCCGCCGTCCCGTGAGTTGATTTTGACTCTGCGCGTACACCATTCCTGACTCTATTGCAGCTGTTTCGTAAGGCTACATGACCTTCTTGCTGAGCTACAACTGACACGCCGCAGCCTGGAGATATCTCTACCGAATCTGGAATCAAGGCCATCATGGAGGCGCAGTATCGATCTATCAACAGAGGTGGCGCGTCCATCTTTGAGATGGTCCGCGAAGCTGGCTACGATCCGTGAGTCAACGTTCGCCCAGGAAAGCATTGCGCTGACCTTGGTGCCAGCGAGGAATACATCTCTGTACGTGCAGCCCCAATGCAATCGCGATCATGACTAACACACGCTCACAGTTCTGGAATCTGCGATCCTACGACCGCATCAATTACCCCTACGCCCGCATTAAGCGTATGGAAGAGCGCTCAGGCGTCACATTCCAGGAAGCCCAAGTTGCCCTTGCCAAGATCTACGTTGGCGGTGCGGACGTCAAGGGCGACGTGGACGAAGTCGTCAATATCGAGCAGCCGCACGACCAGACCACTGGGGCTGAAGATATCGGAAAGAAGGAAACGCAGAAGGCGGTCAAGCTGCCCAAGACGGTGGAGGAAGCAAGGGCGATCATCGAAAAGTTCCAGGCGGCTGCGGCGAATGACGATAAGCATGTGTCTGACAACGGTGAGCTATAGTGTGCGAGGTATGGGTGCGTTATTGACATGATCTATAGTCTGCCAGCATGCCCTACAGGACAAGACCACCTTGAACGACGAGCAGTGGGACGGTTCAGAAGAGGAAGAGCTTTCTTGCTTTGTCTCCGAGGTAGGTCCCGCTCTTCTTTCTCTCATGACTATCCTGACAGAAGCACTAGCTGCTGTACATCCACAGTAAACTCATGATCGTTGACGACCGCCGAGTCATCTGTGGTAGTGCCAACATCAACGACCGATCCATGAAGGGTGATCATGATTCAGAAATTGCCATCGTCATTGAAGACTCCACCATGGTGGAGTCGCTGATGGATGGCAAAAAGTATATGGCGTCTGCGTATGCTACTACCTTGCGACGAAGTCTCATGCGAGGTATGCGCCCAAAGTATAAATGGGAAAGAATGCTCACACGAGGTATACAGAACACCTCGGTCTCTTGCCCCATCAAGAAGCCTTCGACGACGAGACTCAGCCCACTGCGTCTATGCGTCCCGCCCCCACGCCTCACGTTTACGACTTTGGTTCTCAAGAGGACAAGATGGTCGAAGACGTCTTGTCGGACGAGTTCCTGCAGTTGTGGGTGGAGACTGGTAGGAACAATAGGGTCATCTTTGAAAACATTTTCAAGCCTGTAAGTGAAAATGGAGACTTGACTGTGGCAATCATGTGCTCATGGGTGAATAGGTTCCGGATGATAGCATCCACAACTGGGAGCAATACAAGGAGTACCTCAAGCCCCACACCGGCGTTTCTGTGCGTCACGGCGATACTGGTTGAGATGGAACACAGCTGATGGACATTCTAGATTGGCCACGTTGTCAACAAGGACTTGTCGCTCCGGGAGGTCAAGGACCAGCTCTCGCGCATTCGAGGTCATCTCGTTGACATGCCCATCAACTTCTGCCAAGTGAGTATAGCGTTACCTTACAACCGTGTCGCGCTTTGTGCTGATGGCTGTTGCAGGACCTGGAGTGGATGACCGAGGGAGACTGGATGACCGTCAACCCTTACACCAAGGCGCTGTATGTCTAGGCCATGATAGCAAACTTGATTGAATTCGTATTTTTCAGACACTTTTCGAGAAGGATATACCCGGGCCAGGGAAGACTGAAGCCGCCCTTGTAAGATCTCTTGAGATCGTCTTTCCGGCTCCGGGATGATGTGACTGTACACGATTGAATGGATTTTTGTCAGAAAAGATATGTATTTGTCGAAGCCAAGGAGTGCCGTCGTCTGTTGCTCGCTTGTGGTGTTTCCAAAGTTCCATCGATGCATATACCGTACACTCCTGTTCATACACATGCCTAGTGGGGGGCGTTGTAAGCCGCCAGAGCATCCGCCTTCTCTTGAGCGGTGAACATGCGAGGCTATGAACCATTGTCAGTTGATGTGCATAGACCAAGTCAGTCGGCTCAGATGACTCACGGGAATGTTTCGTTCCCTGTTGAGAGCAATAAATAGAGCACATGTCAGCAATGGACCTGGATGCAACGTCAGGGGACCGAGTCGTTACTGACCATTTCGTACCATCGGGGAACAAAGGTGCTTAAGATAAGTCAGCATGATCCCTTTCCTTCTGCTTGTTTCATTACTCACGTCTGTATGGGTCGGGGTGGATCTCCTTCTCAAGTCTGGCCTCTGCTTGTTCAAGGACGATGGCAAGGGCTCGAGGATCGGTGATGTTCCTATGCCAGTTGTCAATCGACGTCGACCGCGGTAGATGGATGGATAGATCAAGGTAGGACTGAGAGCGACATGACTTCTCCTGCTTTCCACTTGGCGACCTCAAGATGTCCTGAAGCCACCTGCCCCTCTCTGTTGCTCCGCAACAGATACCATTCGCCCTGCGCGTCCCAGCCAAGCCGCTCTCTACCAGCTCAAAGCCCAGCCTATTCACCCAAAGAACCGTCCAAGACCCACCTGTTCCTCTCAAACTCGGCCCTGATCTCAATGGCCCTTTCTCTCCATAGATCTCTCCTGATATACCAATTCAACGAGTTGACGAGGTATCGCTTGTAGAGCGACTTGACGTAAAGCCTGTAGTTGCGCCTTCTGTCAGCTTGATTTTCGAGCGGAAAACGGGTACTGAGGGGCGAGGGATGCTGACCTGTGGGTGTTTGAGAAGGCTGTGGGAGGGCCCGCCATGGTGGGATGTGGATGGGGAGAGGGGGATGTGAGTATCAGGCAGACGGTGATAGGTCGCCCTTTGCAAAGCGTCAAAGGCGCAGCGCCTAACCCCCCAAGGCGCGCACGTAAACCAACTTGGCTCTTCGGCTGCAATGTTCTTCTTATGCATCTTATATTGTGCCGTCTGCCGACCATGTCTGGGGATGGGGCACGGTAGACAAGACTGAGGTAATGGTGCATGGCGATGGAGATAGCGAGAAAATGTACGGTAATTGACGTCCTTGGCTTCCATTCCTGGCCGCCATCGACCTGTAGATTCCTTCTGCTGGCACGTCCTGATACATCCAGGCCCTGTATCTGCTGAGCATTCCTTGCAATGGAGCTACCCATGCAGCGGAAACACAATTACACAAGTCAAGATACGGATTTACACTTACAGCGGTGTCCGCCACGTCGCGCGTTCTTTCCCTCGCTCGCTCAGTCGCTGGAGCATTCTATTCTCCTCTTGCTTTCCTCTCCATCTCACTCAAAATCTGTATTCCAGCCACCCCCCGCCATGCCTCCTCCTACCGCCACCCAGAAGCCCACCGCTCCCGCCCCTGCCAAGAAGGACGGCGAAGACAAAAAGTCCACCCAGCTCACCAAGCCCGACCAGTCAAAGTACAATGCTGAGCAGGACACTATCAACAAGGAGATCGCAGAGGTCAAGACCAAGCTCGTGAGTACATGCAATCAGATTGCGCCTGATGCACGCGCTCATGGATCGTTTTCCGCCCCTGCCCCACCCATCCCGCCCTCGTCCACCATTGCAACTCAACACAGGACGCTATTCGCTCCCGGATCGCCCTCTCCCAAGCCCCCACCTCCAACGACAGACGTTCCGCCATCAAGAGCGAGCTTGACTCTCTCCGAGGCGAGCAGGCCAAGTTCAGGGGCGACAGGAACAAGCTCTTTGAGGACATGAAGCGCCTGCAGGAGAGTGTGCAAAAGAAGATCAAGGAGGTGCAGGGGTCTAGGGGCAAGCTTGTTTACAGGACTGTGTCCGAGGTCGACGCTAGGATCGAGTGAGCATCTATCAGTGTCACGGCCTCGTGTGAGCTGACAGCAAGCAGGGAGCTTGACGGACAAGTCGAGTCTGGTAACTTGAAGCTCGTTGACGAGAAGAAGGCCCTCCAGGAGATCTCCAACCTGAAGCGATCCCGAAGGACCCTCGAGGCCAATGGATCCATTGATGACAGCATTGCCGCCGACAAGGCCCGAATCGAAGATCTCAAAAAGCAGCTCGACGACCCCGAGGCCAAGAAGCTCAGTGAGAGATTCGATGAGCTGAAGAAAGAGATGGACGGCTTGAGAGAGGACAGTAGCAAAGCGTACGAAGAGCGGGGCAAGCTTTTCGATGAGAGGAACGCTCTCTCCGCCGAGATGGTAGGTCGGATCCCTTCTCTCGCCCATACTGGTTCTAATCTGGTAACAGGATGAGCTGTACAACAAGAAGCGTCAGTCTGCTCAAAAGTACAGGGAAAGTAACGACAAGTACTATGCCAAGGTCCAAGCCGACAGACAAGCCCGTCAAGAGCGTTTCAAGGCCGACAAGGCCCGTGAGGAGACCGAGCGACGCGAGGAGGAGATTGTCCGTCTCCGTGAGGAGGCCAAGATTCCCGCTTATGCTTCCGAGATCGACGACACTGGCGTTCTGATCAGCTGGTTCAAGGGAAAGTATGGCTCTGGCGAAGTCCCTTCTACCCACGCTGGCGGTAAAGGTGTCAGCAACGTCGTGGAAGGTGTCAAGCCTCTGGAGACCCGAAAGGTCGATGACGAGGCTTTCAAGGGGATGACTTTGAAGAAGAAGGGTGAAGACGACCTTGCGGGCTTCTTTGGTGGTAGCGGAAAGAGCAAGAAGAAGGGGGGCAAGAAGGGCAGCACAAACGGAAGCGGTACCGCTACCCCAGTTAGCCAGGACGGCGAGAAATCAGGCAAGGAGGCTGCCGTCAACCTCCCCATGTCGCTCTTGAGCGCTCTCTTGAGCTTGGGTATCCCCCCTCCCAGTGGAAAGGATGATGTACAGAGGACTGTCGATGACTTGGAGAAGAAGAAGGCTTGGTTCGAAGCCAACTCTGCTGCCAAGACAAAGGTGCGTTTTTTGCTCGTACAAGGTCGTGTAATGGACTGACTCTGTTCCCGCAGGCTGAGATCGAGCGAGTGGAGAAGGTCGTGGCCAAGCTCCAGAAAAAGAATGCTGTGGCTGTCGACGAGGCTTCTGCTGAGATTTCCGAGAAGGGTGGTCTCCACGAGCCTTTGCACAGTGAGCTGGAGTGAATGATCTTCCGAACACAAGCTCACCAAAGTTGCAGCTGTTGCCGTTGAGGGTTCTGCTTCTGGTCCCGAAAACGTTCTCGATGAGGGAGAACAGGTCAGTACTTCAATCCTCTGCAAGAAACATATTGACGCGACTCCGTAGCTTCCTACAAATGCCGGCGAAGCCAGCGAGGTCAAGAAGGTGGACTCTAAACTCGAAGAAGCCAAGGAGACTCTTGAGTCTGAGGAGTAAGGGAAGGATGGCACCTGTCATTCGGGGGGTATGTGGGGTGTGAGGATAATCTTGAACGAAACGGGACGTTCTGTGATGCTCAAAATATGGTCGGCGTTTTCTAAACGACGACGCTGAGATGAATATCGATGCCTCTCTGACCTCTATTTGACTTTGAGAGTGCCAATACCCACACTACCTACAGTTAATCCACAGAGGCTGACTAATCTGGATCGCGAGCAAGGTGCTGGCAGACTCAAACCCCTCGGTCATTCGCTATAGGGCTGTATGCATGATGGTCCTATAAAACGTCCGATACACGGCGATGAAATGGCGAGGACAAATTGCTAGAACCAGAATGGCTATTATCAAATTAGGGGTAGAGAGATAGTATTATACAAGCTACGTATGTTATTATAGCTGAGATTGTGGCAACAGATCGTTCGGACAGATGGCCGCTCTCATGATGACAGTCATAAAATCATTAATCATTAAACCCGTTCCAGAGAGACGAGGACTTTGAGCCGGGACCTATCGATACCGGCCTGACCTTCCTCCCGAGACTTTTAGTGCGGCTTCCTTGTCGCCTCAGAAGCTCAAGGTCCATGGCCTGACAAGTATCCAAGGTAGATGCAAGCTTGCGAGAAGACTCGATGGCCCCGAGAATTTTGTGATGTGTAGTGGATGCGGGAGGGATCTTGGTAGACAGCTCCTGAAATAACAACTTGTACCTTGAAGCTCGTTGAACGGGCATCATGATCTAGCACAATTGTCAGCTGCTTCAAAGACGGGTTAGATACAGAGCACCCACAATATCAAGGTAACCCAATCTTTCATCTCCTTCTTTCCCATCAATTTCTTCCTCAACACCCCTTCCCCTCCTCCGTTCTTCGTCCATCGCTCGGTTCAGGTCCTCCATGATGCCACTGATGACTACACCTCCCACCTCGCTCGCCCACAAGCCAATCTCTCGGCTGATGTCCTTCTCCATTTCGATGAATGCCTGGGAGACACCGTAGGGCGAAGCGTCGTTCGAGAAAGCATCCGATAGCTTGATAGACAAGTCTAAAAGGGCCGGCAGACGGGCGATCAGCGTGTTCAGCGCCATAGCCGCCGACCCCTGAGAAGATGAGGTGGTAGATGATGTAGAAATGGGCGTGGGCGACGGGGGAAAACCTGGATTTCTCAATGCTGAGGGCGAAGGTGTGAGAGCATGAAGGCTACCAGCCAAAAGCTGAGAATTGCGCTCGGTCAAAGAATTTCGACGTTTCTTCAAGATGGAAGGGACGCTGCCCGTACGATAGTGACTCTTTTGTCGAGGTACTGGGGACACAGCAGGAGATGGAGTCTCCAAAGCCGAGCGAGACCCGAAAGTAGCTGAACGGGCAGCCGGCGTGATAGGGGACGAAGGGGCAAAGTCCTTGTCTTTGAACTTGTTCGTAGCTGCCATTGCTTTGGCGACCTAGATAAACAGTCAGAATAATGTCTCCGCCAGAGGAAAGTTGATGCTCACCCTCAGACCCTTGGCCAGCAGCTTGGCATGTCTACTCTCACCCTGCACGATCTCTCTCGTCACAAACCAGGCGGCAATGCTAGCCTGCTTGGCCTTCTTCTCCATACTTTCCCTATCTCTGCCCTTGGACCGCATGAGCACATGCCCATCATCATCGCCTTCCTCGGCGCTCGTCGGATTGCTCGCCTCGGGCGATACCAAAGAGATTCCGCCGCCCAATGCTTTTCGAGCCCTCGGATCATTCTCAATCCTCGCAAACTCTTCCAACATGTGGGCAAATTCTCTGTCATCCTTGATGTGCACCAAGCTTTGCCTGTAGCGCCTTCGGACTTCGTGCGCGTGGCGTTCGTGATCATCAGGCCCCAAGAGACTTGTCCTGTTCCGAGGACTGGAAGGGGCAGAAGGCGAGTAAGATCGGTTGGGAGCTGCGGTATGAAAATATGAAGGTAGGGAGAGGAGCTCTGGTGGGATGTATGGACCGAGAAGCGCGGGCCAGCAAGATTGAGGCTGGTCAGAGAGGAAGGAGACTCTACACTTCGCTCCTGCGTTTTCGCCATACGGCTCCCCAGTCTCCGCACTGGAGCTAGAGTCCATCCGAGGTACAGCCAGCTCGGCGCGAGAAGCCCCAAAACTGGGCGTAGCCGTCGCCGGTACGAGATCGGTGGAGACGAGAGCGAAAGGCCTGGCAGTTGGCACCTCTTGTGCGGAAGGCGGTGACCTCTTCTGGCCAGGCAAAGACTTGCTTCGGCTGATCTTGGTAGAGGCAGTCTCCTTTTCGCTCGTGGCCTGTCTCGCTGGTACAATTGAAGGTCGAGCCGAGCCACCCTTGACCGGACTTTCGGCTCCTATCGACATCTGGAGCTCTGGAGCAGCAGTAAACATCCCACTCTTCCTCTTGAGCGCAGACCCAAAGCTCTGCCTTTTCATCTCCTTCATCTGCGGCACTCCGCCAAGCCCTAGTCCGACCCCCCACTCATTCGCTTCTCCAGGCCCACTAGCCTCGCCATCCGCCACTGCCCCATCACCTCCCCCATCTCCATCATCCGCCATGGACATTGACTTTTTGTGTCTTCTTCCCTTCTTCGGGCTCTTACCGATACTCATTCGGCGGAGCATGTTGCCGATACTGAGCGTGCGTTCCATCTCGACAACTTGGTCCTTGTGCTGCTCGCCGGGAGAGCTGGGGAGAGTAGCATCTTGGGAGGTTGCGACTCTGAGGGATTCACGGCCCGAGCTTGGGGAGAAAGATCCGTTTCGAGGTAGAGATGTGCGGCGGGGCGAACGCTGAGGCCGGTCTTGTTTGCTTGGCGAAAGATGAGGAGGGATAGGAGCGGGACGAGAATGATATTCTCGTACCGGATAGCCAAGCTGAGGCGATGAAGAATTGACATCTCCCAGAACTCTACGGCCTGAATGCCACCGGGGGCTACCTTCAGACTTTTCCACAAGCCCAGCAATGTGCTCTTCAGGGGCCGAACCACGTCTGACTCCAGTGGCCCCGGGGTGGCTAGGCGACAGCAACACCTGCTGCGCGCGAGTCACGACGGCGGGCGTGGCAGTGTCCACCTCACCGAGGCTGTATATCGAGTTGGTATCCAGGCTGTTGGCGAATGACGCTGCGCGGGGCCTACTGAGCCTACTGACGCGAGCGGGGGTAGGAAAGTCGTCCGAGAACGTATCACCGTTGAGAGGGGTCATCGTCACCAGGGGAGATGTTGGAGACAATGGAGAAGCAAGCCTGTCGAGTCGCCTTGGTGTAATCTTTGGACTCTCAGAGTCTGCATACGTCTGCAAGCCAAGGTCGGCTGCGCTCGTTTTGGTCCTGAGAGCTTTGATAGACCCGTTGGGAGTGGCAGTCTTGGACGAGCCGCCCTTGGACATGGGCGAATTGCTAGACACCCTAGCAATCTCCAAATCCCCGTCATGATCATGATATCGGTCAATTCCCTCTGAAGGGATCTTGGCCAGCTCAGTGCCTCGAAGAGAGTCCCACATCAGAGAGCTCATCGTATCCCGCTGCAATCTGTCGGAAGGGGTGACGATGAGAGCAGACTCTTCGGTAGAAGGGTATGCAGCCGAGGACGCTGAGCCGTGACTGGTAACAGAGGAAGGATTCCGGTTCAGCGACGAGACGTACTCTGGATCGGCTGGTGCTGCGCCCTCCGGAAGGGGGAGGCTGTTTATGATTGGAGATAGGGAAGGTAAAGGAGGTACGGGAGGGATAGGGCTACCCTCAGTGTTAACAGAAAGGGTAAGGTTCTGGGGAGGTGATCGGGGATAGTTGGAGGGGCTGGTAGAAGAGGAGCGAGCACGGCGAAGCTGTAGTTCTGTGGGATCGTTGGAAGAGGGGGAGAGAGCGTTGACCGGAGATAAGGTTTTGTCGATGACCATGGACATTGGTCTTCTCTTTGTCAACTTGGAAGAGCTACTTGCTTGGTGGGCAGATGCAAGAGGGGAAAATTGTCTACAAGACTGAGAGACATCTGGTGAAACGACTCTTGAATACGAGACAGCAGTAGGCAAATTGTCGGTGGACAGTGCCAGCCCCACCTGAGAATTCGAAACGTGCAAACCACTCTGACTGCTCGAGCTGAACGGGGCGTGAGCAGGCCAGGCAGCCATGGGCGAGGGCTCGCTGAGGGGTAGGGCAGGGCGTGGTACCGGCTGTAACGGCGGGATGGAACTGCGCGGGAGAGGCGAGCTGGCACGAGAAGGATCAGCGACACGAGCGCAACATTGCTGATAGCACGCACCTCGACGCCATGTTGGCCTCCGACTCTGCTTCACTTTCGCTCGTAGCGTCTCTGCTGGACTCTTGCCTTTTCCTGCCCTTGAAGCTTCTCATGCGTCCAAAGCTCCAGCCGTGTCCAGACCCAGAGGCAAAGGAGCTTGGTGGATATCTATTTTCTCCCATGGTGTCTCGCTTTCGAAAGCTCCTGGATCGTCCCTTGTCAACGGGCGAGGACGGGCGTGTGGAGGCAGGGGTGAGGGTGATGTCGGTGGAGGAGGCAGCCGCCGAGGGGAGGGAGGCAGTGGAGTGGTTCCTGCTCGGCGAGGGTTTCGAACCATCTTGCAAGTTGGAGCGCCTCTTGACTAGCCTCATGGGAAGGGTGTTGCAGTGGCCGCTGATCTCGAGGACGGTCCAGATCAGCGATCCTCTACAGCGAGTCTGGGATTGTCAGAGATGAGTGGGAAGACGGGTGTGATGACCCACTGTTGCGGCGAGGGATGACCAGTCGCGAGGGTGAGTAACCTGGGAGACTAGTGGGGATTCCAGGATAACGGTCCACGGGTCGGGCAGGAGGGGGGAGGGGGACAAGGGGGGGGCAGGGCAGCAAGGACTCAAGGAGAGATGTGGATGCAAGATGGGAACCGATGCATGATAGTGTCATCGATGCTGCTCGCTGCGTCTTTTAGCTCTTCATTCAAAGGCCCAAGCTTGTCTCCCCGACCCGAACAGAATTTGTTAAGCCCCTGCCCTTACCACTCTCTCGGGGGTTGGTAACTAGATAATCCCATCTGGACCCTGAGCCTCCCTGCAGAAACTGGATCCAGTCGGAGGATAAGCCCACCGACGTCATTCCGCCCACCGCGATGGCCTGCTCAACGCTGAGCGAGAACAGCATAGAACAAGAAGAAGGCGCCGCTAGCAGCCTTCTCCCTGGAAGTTTACTTGCAGAAGCGGCCCGCTCTGCATCTCCTCCTTCTGCCGCTGTGGGCCGTCAAGGGGGTGTTGAGTGGCGTTGCAGCAGCGTCCCTGCAGCGCCGTATCAATTCTTGCAACAAGTAATCAACCCTTGCCGTAACATCTCCTGGATCGTAGATGAAAGAACACGCGGGACCACACAGCTTTCATGCTCTCGTAAGTGGGATATACGGGGGGTTGGGGCAGATCACAGATGCCGGTGCAGCTGGCTGTTCGTTTGGGAACGCCAAGAACATGGTTGATGACGAAAATCGCACCGGAGTGCACTAGTCGTCCGTCTTATCGTCTCACCTTTCCGGCCTTTGCCACCACTCCATGAGTACATAGCCTAATCAGGTGCAAGCGTAGCAAAGCAATGTTGTACGGTCAGCCGGGTAGATTAGAAGCCAAGTACCCCGGGCCGTCGGTCACAGGTGGGCATCTGCCCATCTGGTATCCAACCGCAACATATGCTCTCGCGCCTGATCAATCATTGTCCGTATGACTCGACATTCTATCTCGTGGCCATCAGATGAAGCCGGGAAGGTGATGATGAGAGCACGACGAGCGAACCTTTGACGAAAGACACCTGAAAGGAGTTGGACCACCATCATGACTTTCAGATCACCAGCGCTCTCGCTCCCCTGATCACATTTTGAGATCTGACATTGAAACTGATCATGTTGAGAACATTCTTCGGCTCGTCAGAAGTGGTCAAAAAGAAGGAGAAGAAACCGGCCAAGGAGCATTTCCAGGCGACAACAGCCTCGACAGCACAGACGTTGACCAGCCCATCTATTGAAAGCAGCAGCGACAGCGAGAGCGACACTGATATATCTCCGACTGGTGAGCTCTTATCAGAGATGTGGGGGCTGTGAGCTAAGATATATATCTCAGGGACGACCCCTACCACCCCCCAAGTGTCAGATTCTTCAGTGTCAGATTCTTCAGATGCCAGCAGCTTCTTTAGCTCCAGTGGCCAGCCAAGCTTCATCGTCGGCAGTCACCTCATCTTGTAAGCGCCCCGATGCCTTGTGTCAAGAGTTGTCGCTGAGCCTTATTGAAGCGGATGGCGCCTCGCTCAGTACATGGTCAGAGTCAAGCACTCCAGCAAAGCCAAACATTGGTCAGTAAAGGTGTACCTCAAAACTTCTGGATCAACTAGCTGACAACCAACATACACAGTCCAAGGGTTCCTGACCCAACAGCTCAACAACGTCACGGGCGTCTTGAAAGGAAAGAAATAGGAAAACAACACACTGGTTACATACAGTACTCGTACTCGTACAGTACAACATCATGCTCGATGCATATCGTCTCCCCAGCTCACAACCTGCTCCTCACAAACCCAAGTGGTTTTTGCCCCAGTGTCTGCTTCCAGCTCATCCACCACTCTACGCCTGACCTTTTGTCTTCATCTCGCAGATCCCTGCTGATCATCTGGAATGCCTCGCCCATGAGCTCCATCCTCTCATACGAGCTCTCGTCCACGCCCCTCATCATCTCTCCCAGATTTTGCAGGTAAGCTGGCAATGAGGAGGATGGGATATGAGGCGCGAGGCGGATCTGAATCAGGCGGGTGGCGGGTGATGGCGGAAGTAAGGAGAGGGCTTGTAGGCACAGGGAGACCGAGGCGTGATCCCGTCGAGCGGCGTAGGAGGTGATGAGAGGGAGAGCTTGCTTGAGCTGGTCGGGCATAATGTCGCCGGATTTCGCTCGCTGTGGCTCGTTTCAGCATGCCATGCGACACTGTTCCGAGGTGCTTTACCTTTGTAAGGATCGAAAGATAACTAGGCAATAAGGCATCGAAAAAGTCGGTTTGGGGTGAAGCACTCTGCAAGGTTTCTGAAGACACCCGAAGAAGCGAGAGGAAGAACGCATGGGCAGCTTCAAAGCTTGGTCTGCTTTCGGATCTGTGAGCGTGCCTGCTCATCCCATCAGCGTCTGTCCCACCCTCTAATTATAGTCCACCTACCTCTCAGCCAGAGGAAGCAGCAAGTCGATGGACCGGCTGCCAAGCTGATGTAGGAGTTCGTCCCCTAGTATCAGGACGAAAGCCGCTTTTGCGTCCGATAGTCTTCCTTCACTCGAGATGTGTGAGAACAAGCTCTCGGTAGCCGCGACCCCTCCCCGCTGCGAGGTGATGTCGAGACAGCCGGCAAGTAGTCTGTGATAGTTCTCAAAGCCATCGCCGCTCGCGGTCAAACACGAGAAGGCAAACATTGTTCTGATGATTCGACCGGCCAAGTCCACAGATTCCTCCTGACCAGACATGTTTTGGAGGAGAACGTCAAGAATGGAAGAAGCGGGCAGGAGGAAGGCGCTGAAAGCAGTCTTGTGAAGGTCTTTATCTCCAGTACCTCGGCCTACAGATGGGGTCAGCAAATGCAATAATTCAGAAAGATGCCTTACTATCGGCTTGCCGTTCAGACGCACCCTTCTTTCCCAGTCCCAAACCTAAGCCCTCCATCCTCTGACAAAACAGAGACATAGCCTGGAGAGTGTGCCGCCGATTGGATGCAGCTTCCGAATACAGTGCCACATATGACCGACTAAGAGCAGAGGCGTATATAGGTATCTGGTCAAGGTCCTGCTGACCAGCAAGCAAAACAAAGATGTGATCGGCAATCTTGTCGCTCAGTGGCTACCAAAACTCAGCATCCCATGAGTGCAGCTGTACCTGACTCACCTGCAGATCCAACGCCAGTAGCCTGTATACACCCACATGCGGCATGGCAACGCACAAAGGCTCCAAGTCTCCCGTCTGCTCATCCCCAGACAATGCCAGAACCACCTTCTCTTCCAGCTTGACTCGCGCTTGTCCCCAGTCGACGGTCTGCGACTCTTCAACGCCTTGCAGTAGGCCTATCAATACTTGTGTCCGTGGCCCGACTGTATCCTTGGTAGTCCTCGTAGCATGGAGCACCCCGTCCAGCCATTGCCTAGCTGCTTTCGACCGCCTGTATGATCCAAAATACACTCCCTTCTTCTCATTCTCCATCCTCATCACGAGCCCCACGACACCCAGCTTAACTGCCGCCCTGATATCCTCACTGCTCACTCCATTGGTCTTCGGCAGAGATAGAGAACGGGCGAGGGAAGCGATGAAGCGGGCGAGCTGGGCGTCGTCGAGGGTCGAGATGAAATGGGTGATGGCGCCAAGGAGCGTCTGGGCTGGGACGTTTGAAGGAGCGGGATCGTCGAGGAGGGCGAGGAAGGGGTCGAGAAGAGAAGAAGTCTCGTCCAGGGAGGTCATAATGGATGATGCGTAGATGGCACAATGTAGCAATGCAGCAAGAACGGCAAGGCGGCGAGGATAATTGCCGAAAGCCGAGCGGTGCGGCGGCTTATTCCGCTAGTTAGAGCAACCAGACTGATGATGGTATCAAAGTATGCTCTACCATGGACTTGACGGCTGTGATTCAAGAATGTTTGCAAGTCGACTGGCTTGCTACCATTGATATACGGTCGCATCTGGCAAAACTGGTCGAGATACCACAGACACTGATTGACGTTTTTCCTTCATCAACTTCTAAGCTAGATCGCCATGTTCTCTATTACTATTTCCCTCCACAGTTCCACCTTTAACGGAGAGTGACAAGCTCCTCAGAGGAAGTGGGGTCTGGAGATATGTCAGCCCTAGCCGGATCACGGCAGCTTGAAAGACTTACGGATAGCAACACAAGAGTCAAAGTCGTCCTTTGTAGCTCCCATCTTGATGGCAACGCCGACTGCACCGAAACCATCAGCTTCCCATACTTGGCCCATCATCGAAATCAAACTTACAGCCCTGCAAGATCTCGTCACTTCCTTCACCAATGATATGCAAACCGACGACCTTCTCATCGGGCCCGGTGACGATCAGCTTGTAAGCAGTAGGCTGCTTATGGTCCTCGTCGAGCATGGCGAAAGACATGGCCCGGAAAGAAGTCTTGTAGATCTTGAGATCGTCGCCGTACTTTTCACGGGCCTCGGGCTCCGACAGACCGACAGAGCCAATGGTGGGATGACTGCGCGACGATTAGCTCAACAAAAGGGCGATAGCGGAAGCACTCACGAAAAGACGACACTGGGAATGTTGTCGTAGCTCAACTTGTCGTTCTTGTACTTTTCGGGGCCAAAGAGTCTGTTTGAGAGCCTTCTACCGGCAGCAATGGCAACAGGAGTCAAAAGAGCCTTGCCGCCAACGTCACCGACAGCATAGACACCAGGGACGTTGGCGTTCTGGTAGTCATCGACAGGAATGTCGCCCCTTTTGTCAGAGGTGATGCCGGCCTTGTCGAGACCGAGCTTGCTGGTGGAGGAGTGTCGGCCGATAGCCCAGACAAGAGTGTCGACCTCGAGGGGCTCGGCTCCAGTGTCAAAGTGGACAAGGAGAGAGCCGGAAGAGGTCTTCTCGACCTTCTTGACTTGGGTCTTCTTGTGAACTTTCATACCAGTCTTCTCCATGTAGGGCAACAGAACCTCAGAGAGTATTGGGTCGAAAGTCCTAAGGACTTGGTCATGTCGGATGACGAGGTGTGTCTCGGAGCCGAGAGTGTTGAAGACACCGGCAAGCTCGACGGAGATGTAGCCCGCACCGACGACGGCGACCCTCTTGGGCTGAGTCTCAAGCTCAAAGAAACCGTCCGAGGTGATGCCGTAAGAAGCACCAGGGACGTCCTTGTCTGAGGGAACAGTGGGCTCGCCACCAACAGCGATACCGATGTGCTTGGCCTTGACGTTGTAGGTCTCGCCGTTGGGGCCAGCGATTTGAAGGGTCTTAGCATCAATGAAAGAGGCGTAGCCGTGGTGGTAGTCGACCTTGTCCTTGATGAGGTTGGACTCGCTGAGTCACAAGTCAGTTTGCCATTATTCCACAGTCAAATCCACTCACTAAATGCCGTTCAGTCGATGAATGTAAGCGTCTCGCTTGTGCTTCAGCTCTGTCCAGTTAAAGTCGGCGGCGAGCTTGACGCCCTCGCCTTCTTTGCCGAAACCGTACTGAGCAGACTTGCGAAGATTGTCGGCGACGTCGGCAGTGTACCACATGACCTCTGAACAGCTAGTTAGTATACATTTGATAGTCTGGCTGAATGGCAAAAGATCGTACTCTTGGGCACACAACTAGAGCGGTGATCAGTCAGCACAATCGTGAGGAGACAGGAGATCATTTGACGCACCCGACGTTCACACAAGTACCTCCAAGTCGAGGGGAGGCTTCAACGAGACCGACTTTGGCGCCATAAGAGCTTGCACGTCTCTTGAGATAATTGTCAGCATTGACTGCGAGGGCCCGAGATTGAAACGCACGGCGGAAGCAAGACCACCAGAGCCACCACCGATGACAAAGTAGTCGCTGCAATTCTATGAGCTTAATCGGGGATGGTAAATGGTAAGCACATACTACTCTTCGACCTTGGCGGCCTCAGCTTTAGTGAGAGGGGGCATTCTGCTGGGGACGGAAGTGGTGAAAGACCTGGGGAGGAAAGTAAGAGCGGAGGTGGAGGTGCGGTGAGTGTTGCGGAGGAGGATGGATGCGCGTGTGAGTGACGGGCGAGCCGTTCTGAGCAGAGGGAGGGGGTTGAAGGGCGGTATCGTGGAGATGTTGCGGAGAGAGAGAGATGAAATTTATAGCAGAGCGTAAAGATGACTGACTGATGAGGTGATGCTGCTGCATCACCCTTAATTACAACGCAGTCGAACACCGAAGATTATTAATCCGGAATTGCTGGCTTCAACTTCATTCACCGTAAGGCTAACCGTCTCTCGCGGGTCCATTCGCCGTGGTGATCAGGCCGGCATAGGTCATCGCGATGTAGCATGGGTTTGTACAAGTTCATCGTCATGTAAGCAAGTAGCTGTATCCCTCAATCCTCGTCCATTCTATCGTCTTCTTTCTTCAGCCCAAGAAGACCGTCCAAGAAACCCTTGACGCTCTGTCCAGCACTCTCCGGCAAGCCGAGCTCTCTCATCATACCGCCAGGAAGCCCGCCGCTCCGAAGAGCATTGTCAAGACTGGCGATGGCATCGGTGAATTGGGGCGCAGAAAGCACGGGAATGATGTCTTCCGCCTTGGGGTTTTCGGGAAGACTGAGGCCAGGAGGAAAGAGAGGAGTGATGGTGGGAATCAAGCTTGGGTTGCTCGTGATGAGTGTGGCAATGTTGGACGAAGAGAGGACATCGGTGAGACGAGCAGCTAATATATCTATGTCAGGACAGATGTATGTCGAGATGACGCGAAACACTTACGGTCCTCGGCCTGGCCCAAAGCACCACCTCGAGCCCATTCAGCCAGCAATCTCGCCATGTTCTCCTGAGTAGCTTCGGGGGCAGTGGAAGAGCTGGCTTCAGCACTGGTGGAGGGAGCAGGCTCAGGGTTGGAAAGTCGAGGGGCACCGGGGGTAGGGGGCCAGTCTTGCTCTTGCTGAGGAGGCAGAGCAGCGGAGCCGGGTCTGGCATCCGAGTCAGTGATAGTCCGCAACCCAGTGTAGCACACGCACTGGTAAGAGGGGTCCTGCAAGAGGTTGTTGATGTCTACTTGGGCACGAAAGTCCCCGTCCTTGTTCTTGCGCTGGAACCAGAACTGCGGGTCGACGTTAACACTCTATGACGATCCGGCCAGATCCATTTAACGACGTACAAAGTACTTTTGGTTGGAGCTGCTGAACTTGAGGATGTGGGTTCGTCCAGTAGGGTCCTAAAGCCTCGTCAGTGTCGGAATATCATGACCAGATGTCGTCGCGTACTTGAGTGACCTTCTCGAATGTGGCTTCGCCGGGAAAGATGATGAGCTCCTACACACATGTCAGTGAATGTCACCCCAGAGTATAATCCCACTCAATGACATACCTCGTCAATCTGGTGGTTCTCCCTGGATCTCCAAGCTGAATGCAAGTCAGTCTTCGCCTTCACGCAGTCCACACCACAGTCCACTCACCAAAACGCAATAAGTCGTCTTCGAGCCTGAGCTGGATGGCGCCCTTCTCAGCCTGGGGGTCGACCCATTTGCTGTTCTCGTCGCGTCGGTGGCAGCGGCCTGCGGGGACAGATACGATATAGGACATGGCGGTTGAAGTAGTATGGCTACGAGAGTACGATATCAGATGTCAGCGGAGACGCGCGGCGCTGGAGGTTGTAATGCCATTCCTGATCGCGATTTGGTTCCGCTAATGCTGCAATCCGCTCATGGCTCCTTCGTTGCAAGTTGCATTATTGCTCTCTGTTCTCTACATCGAATCCCTGAACAATATGGCCTCCGTTCACCCATCCCGACTGGGTCTCGTCCCTGGCGGCAACCAACCCCCTCCGCCACCCCCAGCATCAACACGAGAAGATCAGCTCAAACAACAACTTTTAGAACGTAAAAGTCGAGACGACAGAAACGACCGACGCAACGGAAGCCACGACCGGGCAAGGACAGAAAACAGGCCTGACGTTCACGGTGGCTCTGAATCACGACATGGAAGGGATAGAGACAGGGGCGAGCGCCAGGACAGGGATCATCGAGAACGAGATGAAGCCCCTCATCGGTCGCGCCGAGCGTCCCCTTCTTACCAACCCTATGCCCGTGATGGTTATGGTAATGGCTCAGCCCCACCGAAACCACCTGTGGATACAGGCTATGGGTATGGTAGAAGGGACGATATACCTCGTGGACCACCGGGGCCGCCGGGGGGTGAAGGACCTGGACCGGGGCCGGGAGGATACAGGGGATGGCAAAACCCCCCGGCGAGGTTCAATGGGCCTATCGATTTCGAAAAGTCGGTATAATCCACTTCTACATGAGCACTATGCTGACAGTTCTTAGGCGAAGGCAAGAGCGGAATAACAGCGACCTCTCAATATGGCCTCCCTCTCCCAAAGAACCGTATATGGACGAAGAGTACGTCCTGTTTCGGACAAAAACATGCGCCGATACTGACAATGGTAATAGTGAGCTCGCAGCCGAACGCAAAAAGAGAAAGGCAAAATCAAAATCAAAATCAAAACACTCCAAATCCAAGAAACGTTCTAAACGTTCCAAGTACTCCTCTGATTCTGATTCTACCGATTCCGAGGAAGAGCGTAGAAGGAGACGGAGGAGACGTGAGCGGGAACGAGAGAGGGATGGTCGTCGGAACGGGGATAGGGAGAGAGATAGAGAAAGGAATAGAGATGACGAGGATGATGAGGATCGAGAGAGGAGACGAAAGAGGCGTAGGAGCAGAAGCGAGGCCGAGGGCGAGGATGACCTGTGGGTCGAGAAAAGTAGCAAGGGGAAAGAGCGGGAACGGCTGGCACCCATTGATCCGGCCACGAAGAGAATATTCCTGGGAGAGGAGGAAGAGGATCAAGATACCGAGGTCGGACCGCAGCTGCCAAGGGAGATCAACGATAAAGTCGATCGTTCTGCGTAAGTCTATCTAACACCCTGCGAGGCCGATAACTCATGACAAACAGTTATGCCAATATGCTCCGCGGAGAAGGCGAGGCCATGGCAGCCTATGCAGAGTCGGGCCAGCGTATTCCTCGGCGAGGTGAAATCGGTCTCGAAGCGGAGCAGATCACAACTTTCGAAAACTCTGGATATGTCATGTCCGGTTCTCGCCACCAGCGCATGAACGCTGTTCGTTTGAGGAAGGAGAACCAGGTAATCAATGAAGCCGAGAAGAGGGCAATCTTGAAGTTGCAGAGAGAGGACAGGCAGCAGAGGGAAGGTGCCATTGTCAGTCAGTTCAAGGAGATGATGGATGAGAATTTGAAGAAGCAAGGGGGACAGGGCAAGTAGGGCAGTGTCATATTGATGTGCTTATCGGCATGTAACAGTGTTGATATTTTGGCATCAGGTGTAGGAAGTACAAGGCAGGCTGCAATCTGAAGAATGCTTTGAGGCTATGTTCATATGTCCTTCGCGCCGTCAGATGACTTTCGATCCTAAGAGGGAATTATCTTCAGCCTAAGATGAAGGCAAGCTGACGCATGTTGAGTGATTTTCTAGATTTGATACTGACAGCCCTCAGACACCGACGGGTAGCGCTACGCAGTATGGTGTTTGCTCCAAGTATCCTCCTTTCGACCAAACTCAATTCCCTTCTCTTCTACACCCTTGCCGCGCCAACCTCATCCTTTCTAAGTAGAAACTTTCACGACTGCCAGTAATACCTTTCAGCAGCCTACGGCCATCGGCCGGGTGCTGTGGACGACAAAAAGGCGACAGTGTCGTCGAGGATATTGAAACACGCAGCCTTGTCGATCAAGACATTCGAAAACGTTTACCAGCCGCTGTGCGACTTCTCCCAACATCGAATATCTCTCAAAATGGACCTCTGGTCAGTCATTGTTGACGTCTCCTTCCTTCTCTTGACTCTCCTCCTCCTCCCTTCAATCTCGTGGTCGGCTCAACCCCAACTCAACATTGTTCCTCCTGAGGACGGCATGGCTTCCCCACCACCTCCCACCACCCCACTGTCGCCGGTGACCCCCATCAGCGCTGTCAGCTCCCACTTGAGCGTGCCGTCTTTTGGTGGCGTACCCAGTATTACTCTGACCCCTTCTGAGCTATCTTCCACCCACAAGCGGTCTCGACGAGGGTCATTCGGTAGCCTGAGTAGAAGATTCGGGCACAAGCGCAAGACTGTCAGCTTCTCCCTCTCATCCATCGATGATGTCCTGCCTCCACAAGCGTCCCCTATGAAGGGACGTCCCCCTACTCCCTTTGTCAAGGGCCCTAGAAGTCCCAGCCCCAGTCCGCACCCCAGAGAGAGTCAATCGACCTTCACACTTGGCGTGACTGGAGAGCTGCCGGACGCGGCTATGACTCACAGGAAAGATGTGGCGGACTCGATGGGGGTCAAGCAAGGGTGGCTCATGGCGTGAACCATACATATGCGTGTAGTAATACAGCGATGCTGCTACTGGGAGGAAAGTGTCGCGTTACATGCATACTACTGGTAGTCTGGCAGTTCCACAACGGGCCGGGTACTGTCCGACGGTCCGCCCCTTCCCTATACATTCATTTCGTTTCCGCAAGTTCTCATGACCGCATTGGAGTCGTTGACGCTCCAAGAAACTAGTGAGCTTCTGTTTCTAATCATACACGATTCTTTGTCGTGTGATGGGAATATTCTACCCCGTCTCGGATGTCCCACCTCCCACTCTTTCAACCATCGCCGTCCATCGAGCACCGAGTACATACTACATTCTCCGATACATTGTTTGGCGATTTGGGGCCATTTTTTGTACTCAACGATCATGGTGGTGACTAGGTCGTTCAGAAATGTCCTTTTCATATCAAGAAGTACAAGCAACGAAGCGTTGTTACTGGTCATGGCTGACTTGCAGTGATGATTATATTATTCGACTATATACAGACAATACTACAACTTGGATCCGATCTGCAATACTCATCTCCGAGCCCATGATGCTCACGCTCAAGGTACGACCTTGCCCCCCATGCTGAGCGCAGCAAAGGCCGCCGGTGCGCGCCCGGCCTTGCCTCCTTGTCCGAGCTGCCAGACCCTGGCAGAGACATTCCTGCTGATGCCATGAATGATGGGGTGGGCCGCTTCGTCGCCGTAGACGTAGTATGTCCAGCGGGTGGTAGCGTAGAGCAGCTGGACAGTGGCGTTGCCGAAGATGTAGTACATAATGGAAGTAGCGCAAAGGAGGAGAATGCTCCCTATGACAGACATTAGCCGTTTGCAAGACAGATGAGGAGGTAGACGTGGTCCTAATCCGAACGCGAAACGGGGACTTACAGATGATGAGCTGCTCAGTTGGCGACATGACGGAGAGGGCAAAGGTGACGTCGAACCTGGTCCTATCGAAGCTCGTCAGCAGATGTTCTTCGCCAAGCGTATCGGTGCAGACTCACTTGATGTCCCAGACCTTGCGCTTGAACCCAGGAGGTGGTCTCGGGGTGTAAAGTGGGCGCTTTGAGCACATGGGCTGAGCCTGAGCTTGGTAGGGACTGGTGATCATCGGGCGAGCGGTGGACATTGTGCTGCGAGTTTGGAGGGCGTTCAATTGTTGTCAAAGATGTGAAAGAGGATGAAGAAGAGCGAAAGGGAATGAGCATGGTATGTTGTTCTTATATACTGTTCGCGAAGGTCCTAACTATGTACGACGCAACCCTTCGCCAAAGGGTCAAGGGTAGATACGCTGATATTTTTCGAGGAACCCTGCCTGAGGCCTGAGGATTCGGGACATGCGACGTCAACAAGCCACAAGGGCCACAAGTGTCGTGGTAAGCGTCGTGCTCTGCGAGTGTTCCGAGGTCTAGCCCTTGCATCCGGCCCTCGAGACATCCTCTCGCAAGTCCATTGGACAGATGATCATATCTGCGCCGAATCGAGCATCGGGTACTTACCAGGGGAAGCCATTAGACTGTCCTCTCCCGGGTCGCAATACAAAAAAGGATGAGAAAAACATCGAAAGAATAAGCTAGTGTGCACTACGCGTCGTATGAGTCGGAGCCGGAACAGGCAATGTCAGTATCAACTTCCATGTTTGGTTATCTATTTCGGAACAAGAGAGTCCGTAGACCTTCCGCTAGGGGGTCTAAAATGAGTAGGAATTTGATCGCGGGACTCGGAAATCAGCCGCACGACGCAATAGGCAATGGACAAAAACATCACTCGCGAACGAAGGCAAGGGATGGTTGGTTGATTTAATTCGCTGTTGTGAGAACGTTGGGCGAACAGAAAGAAGGCTTCTCTGCGCCGTAAGCTCTGAATACAACTCCTTGTGGTCTGGCCCATCTGGAACAGCTGGACAGGAGGAGTGCGGGTCCCAGAAAGAGAAGAAGCGGACCAAACAACCGGAGTGCGGGAGGGCTATCGCGAAACAACCTCGGATGTCCGCTCCCGGACCTAATTTTTAGCGTGTTAATTAAGTGAGGTTACACCCTCTGAGCCTGGCCAATGATGAAGGCCACATATGAGCCAAATACTCCACTCCATACAATAATCACAACAACAATAAACATGGCCTCCATACTCAGACACGCTGCTCTTCCCCTCCGCTGCCCCTCGAGGGTCACCTCCCTGTCCGCGACTCGCCCCAATGCAGCCCAAGCTCGTCGCCACTTTCAAAATATCCTCGCCCCGCAGGATCCCGAAGCCGACACCCCTACTATCACAATCTCCAAACTCACAGACCGAGGCCTGATATGCTCTGATAATCTGGTCATACCTGGAGGCGCCATATTCCATTCCGGAAAGGTCATCATGTGGGATGTGGACGCTCCCTCGCCGAGAGAGCTGAAGCCTGGAGAGAGAAATACGATCGAGAAAGTCTGGGAGGGATGGGAGTCTGACAGATTTACTGCTTTCGAGATGCTTGTTCCTCGGCCAGGTAAGTCTAGCTCGATGATTAGCAGATGAGTGCCAGCTGACTGGCTGATCAGAAATTCTGCTCCTCGGGACGGGTACGAGAGCTTGGCCGGCACCGAAGAGGATTCGCGATTATATCAGCAGTCTGGGCATTCAACTCGATACAATGGATAGCGTGAGTCCGGTTTCGATCATCCATGTAGAAATGCTCATATCGCTCCAGAGAAATGCTGCCTCTACATACAATCTTTTGATTGAGGAAGGTCGTAGAGTCTCCGCTGCTCTCTGTCCCCAGACACCAATCGATCCTAGGACCGGCGCTGCCCGATGAACACCATCGTCGTGTCTGCTTTGGCTCCTCAGGAGCTTGAAGCTGCTTCTGTTAACCTCACTCATATCTCAAACAAGAGGAGGCCGAGATAGCTGTCCTACCGGTTACTTGTCGCATTTAAACGACACCTTGACCTACACTCTCAATTGCATCGCATGTCATGTATATCATTAGTCATTGGCGTCATGTCTACGCTCCGCATGGCCGTTTACGTCTTGTATGTACACATCCTGAACATCCTAGGACTTGTGAGGACTATATGAAAAAGAGATTCGGCATCACTGGATGTTTTCAGTCCGGACCGGTCAAATCCGGGCACGCCACAATCGACTCTGGAATGATGACTCAGTCATTGTACATGTACAGAGTATACAAGTGAGTGCATACATGTGCAGTTGGTGAAGTATGATTCTCGAAACCCAATGTCTATCATTGTCACCACTGTCTGGACACAGCGTCTAGTCGTACACTATAGGTCAAGCTCGTCAGACAGTGACAAGCAACAGGATCAGCGTCTGGACTCACCGTGTATCAGAGCATAGCTTCCAATCCAGAACAGTAGAAACCCCAGAAAGTTCTCCTGTCCGATGCCGGAGAGACTCCACCAACCCTTCAAACTCGCTCCTAACCCGCCGTCCTCTGTGCTCGGTCCTGTGTTTACCGCGCTGCTGACAGCCTTTTTGCCTTGGGGCTGAGCACCTGGCACAAACCTCTGCAGGTCTGCGCCACACTTGATGGTGCCTACGATCAGAGCTGTCACGAATGAGGATATCAAGTACAAGAGGAAGCCGTGGGAGTTGGTGAAGCCGAGGATGCCTGCTACGAGGCCTGAGAAGCACGCCGATAGCTGTAACAAGCATTGTTAGAGGTATAACACCAATGGTCTGCTACGACATACTGTGCTGATGGACCCCAGTATCCTAGTGTTGTGGATGACCGACTGAGGATGGAGGGGAGAGAAGTCGGGGGACAGCTGGGCGTTCAGGAAGGGACCCGCGCCGGGGTTCATGGTGGCCTGGGGCGTGTGCGTTGCGGCGTTGCGATACAAGAGTGTTTCAGAGTCCAGCTGAGGGTTGCGAGGAAATACTCGAGAGATGCCCACCTCTTGACGGCACCGGGATTTGCTTCCGTCGGGCTCACCAAGAGATGCCACGATGCGTGAATTGATGACGTTGATTTCTCCACTTCACGCATTCTGTACTCAAGAATATATATCTCACCATCCCCCCCCCCTTCGCCGACCCTCCCTCCACAGCATCATCCTCGGCACCCGCGGGCGCATCATGTTTACCAGCTCCTACCGATAACAATCGCCTCACCAGAACGCACCTTCTGTGCTCAGACATCATAAGCAAGAGCATCAAGACTCACCATGGCACCCCAAATCCTGCCATTCGTAATCTTGGGTGGCATAGTCATCGCATCGGCAGCGCAGACTGAACTCGCCCATCATGTCACGGCCTACCTACACTTCGATAAACCCTACTTTACTTTCTTCCTCACCCATTCGACCTTCTCTCTGATCTTTCCCCTACATTTGGGGCTTTTGTATTTCACCAGCCCCATACCTGTCTCGGCATACCTCGCTTCGATCCGGTTCGTTCTGACGGAACAGCTTGGTCTGGCGAGTCCTCATATGTCAATCTCCACCCGCGAGTACACTGCCTCCTGGCGAGATATCCTCCCCATATGGAGCCAGAAGGTCGCTCTCCTGACGGCACTGGTCACAGTTCCTGCCTTGTCATGGTTTGTTGCTATGCGGTACTCGATGCCCGTCGACATCACGAGCATCTACGCTACAAGCAGCTTTGCGGCATATGGGTTTAGCTTGCTATTGCTAGGGGAGACGCTGAGCAGGATGACACTTGGCTGCATACTGTTGGCGTTTGCGGGAGTTATTATCATCAGCCTTGATGGGATCGATAGCGGTGAAGGAGATTCGAGTAGAAGAGCTCTTGGTGATGGGGTCATGCTGTTCGGTGAGTGACGCGTTGTGTGATCGTGCTCTTTCTCACAAATGCGACTTATTATAGGCGCAATCGCTCTCGGGTTATACGAAGTGATCTACAAATTGACTTTGCCTGAAGGGCAAGGAGGCGTGACCGTCTCTCCTGACGAGGAAGAAGAATACGACCCCCTGCCTACGTCGCACACACCCCCTCATTCGCCAGAATCCAGCGCAATCAGCCATCGGTCACATTTCCACCCTCATCGCTCCGCATCGACCCCGGATATCCCCCTAGATACTGCCTCGCCTGTCCTTGAAGACGAGCATGAGCGGCCATATGCTCTTCGTCGATACACCTCGGCCTCGCAGCTCATCAAACCTGGAGCGCCCCACTATCCTGGACACCCAGTTCCTCTTCCACCCGCTCTGCATGCCAATTTCATTACGAGCTGTATTGGTGTGGCAACATTCTTATTGCTCTGGCCACCCATAATCTGGCTACATTGGATGGGTTTTGAGACTTTCCAATGGCCTGGGCAGGCGGGCGAGAGCGCTGTCATGATCTGGGGCGGACTAGCTGTCGTAGCTTGGGGTGGTGCTCTATACGTACGTGGATCGTTACATCAGACCGAGGCCACTGCTGATGTGCCTATAGAACGCTGGTCTCATGGTGCTCATTGGTGTATGGGGTCCCACAACCTCGTCAGTCGCAAACCTATTGGCAATCGGCTTGGTGGCTCTGGTAGATGCCCTGTGGGTAGGAATCATGCCGGATCTGCAGACGTTTGTGGGAGTGGCTTTCATATGTGCCGGTTTCGGTGGCGCGCTGTGGGAGGGCGATCCTTGATGATGACATGTGACACGAATGATTATTTACGCTCTCTCAGTATCTCATATCCATCCAAGTAAATGTATTGTATCCATAGACGACTGCTTCATGAATGAGCTTTCTGATGACCCCTGCTGGCCCTGCTAGTTTGAGTGTCTCGACTGTTTGGTCAAGGCACACATCTCATCGCCAAATAAGGACCACGTCTGCGTGGCGGGCATCCGTCGCTTCCATTGTCATCAAGAATCTCGATTTCGTATCATGCGTTGATTCTGCAGCAATTCCAAAGAACAGCTTTTTCGGTACATAGCATCGCCTGTTGCTGAGCTGCTCAAGACCGAGCCAGGAACCAGCGCCCACTCGTCGTCCACCGGCCACAGAACGCGTCACTCAGTCGCGTCTACTGCCCACTGCACTTCCGCTCAGGGACTTTTCCCAGTCTCTCTATCTTCTCATCCAGCATCGCCAGAATTCTTACTCAAGACTTTTTCCAGCCATGGTAGCAGATGCCGAGGTTGATATCCTCCTGCACGACATCAAACTCACTCAGCTCACGCCGCTACCCGACGAGGAGTATCCCCGCTTATGCGAGGAGCGGAAGCCTGACAGAGGCTTCTACATAGCTTTGGGACTGGTCATATCAGTGTGGATGATCACACCTCTATCATGGTAGGAGATCCCCTCTGGCGCACTGGCAAAGCTTATGCGTGAGACGCAGTGTCTACTTGATTTGGTATACTCTGCTCTCTTCACAACCCCACAGCCTCACCGCAACCATATTCGCAGCATACGCCTTGACAGAGGCGGCATTCGCTGTCTATCTTTCTCGGTTGTCAAACCTTGTTCAGCAGCCAGCACCGCCGTCGAACCTTTCCGATGAGACCCGAACCACGCTCATCCAGAAAGTGTTTCACTCTGGGCTGCGATATCCAACCCCTCCGCGAGGACTACTGGCCCATGAGAAGGATGATATCGAGGATAGGGACGCCATCGCCGAGCGAGCAGACGCCGACTATCAGAAGGGCTTTATCAGCGCCGCCGAGTTGTATCACATTCGGGATCGAGAATATGAGGAGACAGTTGGGATGAGGGAGCGGCGGCGGGTAGGCAAGATGACTCAGCCGGAGCAGGATGTCATCAGCGCTTTTGTCGAGGAGGAAGATGGCGACAGAGAGAGGCGATTGAAAGAGCAGATTGCCGGAGACGTGACCCGCCCGACAGAGGAATGGGGCTACGAAGGGATCGTCAAAGAAGGGGAGATCGTCAAGCTGCATCCTTGGGATCGCCGGGCTATCGAGTTCCGGGAGAGACTCCGCACGTGGTTCAACAACGCTCCTTGGGAAAAGATCAAAAAGACCAACATCCAGCTTTGGTTGGCTTGGTCATGCTATGGACTTCCACTAGAGGATGCGAGAGCGACCGACGAGCAGGCCAACTTTCTAGATGTCGCCACGAGATTGCTGGAAGCTCGTACGGGGACCGACTTTGAGGATGGGTTCTCCGAGGGGGTCGAAGTGATGAGGCTTACTCTGGACCCCGTTAATGTGAGTCATCCCGCCAGAATCACAGGTCGGTACTGATGCGCTTTCAGGCCAGGGGACGACCTTTAATTCTGTACGCTGTCACGAACTTGATCAATATGGCTCTCAGAGAGGTTGTGTATCCTTTCCAAGGTGTGGCCTTGGTAAGTCGCTCGAGTCTTTCTGTTTCAGATCATTGGCTGACATGCAAGAATAGTATCGCGAAGGTGACATTGAGTGCGCAGGTCTCCATCCCGAGAAAGAAGAAAGCTCACGTCTTATAACAGATACCTTATTCGGATCCCTCACGGCTGGACGCCAGAAAAGGGCAGAACAGTACCAAATGCCATGCCTGTGGTGTATCTACATGGTTTGGGCTTTGGTCTGGTGAGTCAGGAGCTGCAAAAACCGACTTCTGAATCTAATCAAGCTTCAGCTGCAATCCCATCTCCTCATCAAACATCTGATCGCATCTCTTCCCACCCACCCCATCATGATTCCCATCTCTCCCCACACCTCTCAGTCTATGTTCAACAAACGCCATCTGCGTCCTTGGACGAGAGCTGAACACGTCGGCTTCATGAAAACCATATGTCGTAAATGGGGCTTTTGGGACGGGAGTGATACTGACCGGAAGGAGGATGTGGAGGCGGGTGAGAGAAAACGGGATAGGATCGGGGGCGTGTCTCTGCTGAGTCATTCCAATGGCAGTGTTGGACATGCTTGGAGTGAGTTTCTCAAAGTATAGGCGACAGAGCTAATCGTCGCACAGTTTTGAAAGACTGCCCGAGTTTAGTCAGACGGAGCACATTTGTTGATCCTGTCGTATTCTGTCTTTGGGAAGGAGACGTCTGCCATTCCTTCTGTTATCGGAAGCCAACAAACGTCGGTTCTTGACGTCTCTTGCTCCTTCGGATACTGGCTGACGAACGATGCAGGCATTGGAATTGCTGTTGTACTATTTCATCGCTTCGGAGGTTGGCATCGCAAACTATATTCAGCGAGTAAGTTTGCCATTGCGGTGCCAACGATGAAGTCTGCTCACATCACATCACAGCATTTCGACTGGAGTGAAAACACCCTCTTCTTGGAAGAGATTCCGTTCGCCAAAGATCCACGCAAAACAGCTTTCTTCTTGGGTGGGCACGACATGATCATCGATGCTGCAGTAAGTGCCGATTCGCTGTCCATACATGGGACCTACTCTGACGTTGGTGTATCAGCGTGTGCGAAAGTATCTAGAACGCCGTGAGTCACCTGTTCACCCAGAAAGTGCTGTCAGCTGACCAAGCATCTCAGAGGGTGTGACGTCTGGACTTCATTGGGATGCGACAGCCGGTCATGGTGACGGTCTCGCAGGAGTCTCTAGAGATCGCGTCGTCATGTACGTCGGTACGGGGTCCACCAGTGGCTGGCAGACGTGGCTGGGTAAGGGGAGGAGGAGACATTCTCTAGGGACAAATGATCTTTTGAATCGAGGTGGCAGGAGAAGAGGTGAATGATAATCTGCTCAACACTAATGAAGCCTGCTCGACACCGCCGCGTGCTTGTATAGTAGGACCGAGATAGATAGCTAGACTAATGTCATAATGATACTGTACTCTAGTATTATACAAAAGCCTGCATGTAAGTTTTCTGTAGATGATGTAGGCGAATGACACTTTGAGCCGAGTTGAATGACGCAGCTAATAGGTGTTGAAGAGTTTGTCGCCCTTTGGTACGCCGAATCATTAGCATTGGCTTTTATATATGGCGCGTAACGTACAGCATCTCCCAGACCAGGCGAGATATAGCCCTTGTCCGTGAGTTCGTCGTCAACGGCGGCAATGTAGATCTACAACCCGTGTTAGCTTACAAGCCAAACGTTTATCAATCTCCCCAGCGCCTACCTCGACGTCGGGGAATTCATCCTGAACATTCTTCACACCCGCCTGAGATCCCAAGACAGAAATGATCTTGATTTGTGACGGCGCGAGACCCCATTCGGTCAGCATAGTGAGGGCGGCAATGGCGGTGCCTCCGGTGGCGATGAGGGCTATCAACATATCATCAGAGTCGATTCTGAGGAGCAGCGATGTTGCTTACGGTCAAGCAAGAAGACGAGATCGGCAGAAACTTGAGAGGGAAGTTTGGAGTAGTACCTTTAGGATGAGATGTTAGTCAGCGACGACATCCGACGAACATAGCAGCACCACGTACTCGATAGCTTGCAGAGTCGCCTTATCTCTGAACAAGCCCAAATGGAGGACGGTAGCTTCTGGGAACGACTCAAGCGCAGCTATACAGCACAACAGTCAGCGCTGCCTGGACTTAATGCTTATAATGGCGCTCACCATCACACAGGCCGAGACCGGCTCGAAGAATCGGCGATAGGCCGATACGGAGGGGGATGGTCTTGCCGGTGAAGGGCGCTACAGACGAGCGAAGCTACAAAACGATGAGCTGAAAGTTTCCACAGTAGCACAATGCTTACATCGGGCACATCAGACAAGGGAAGGGAGCTCGAGGCTTCATAGACAAGCATGGATCTACGGGTGGGATTACGCTTATCAGTAAAGTCCCATGGCGGTGAGCAAGCAAACTCACCCAATTGCTCGGATACCTTCGCGAAAGTCTTTGGATGAAAGGTCGTGGAGCCTCAGCTGTGTGAGCTTGGAGAGGATGAGAGGGTGGTTGGAGATGTGTACTCGGGACATTGTGCTATGGCGAATCAAGGTCGGAAGCGGCGAGCGGAAGGCGGTCAGTGGTAGGGGAGTTGATATGGAAGAGATGGAAAGGGAGAAGCAACAAGATAAGGATAAGAATGAGCGTCGCTGCTTTATATAGTGGTGGCCACGAAGTCGGCGGGTGAATGGAGGGACGCTATCTGCTTGATGCGATGATGTCGGACACGTTCGTGGTCGGCAGACGGCGTGGAGTGACTCGAGGAGGGGTGTTGAAAGGAAGATCGCACTGAGAAGACCTGGGATGTAAGTGGACGAGGAAAGAAAAGATGCTCGTCTGGGCGAGATGGACAACAGGTCACAACACATACACCGGAACTCGGAAGGCGTCCCTCCGTCATCTCGGCCAGCCGCGTCCATCGGATTTGACCGAAGGCTGCCTTCAAGTCGATCATCTTGAGGTTTCGGGAATCATATGCATGTTGGCATGCAGACAATCCTCATGAGAGAGTGGCTACATGCGGCAGTATACAACGTGGGTGAATGACCAGTCACATCGGCAGCTAGGAGACCGCACCGCCGGCGCAAGTGCTTGTTTGTATCAGAGATTATCAGAGTCCTTTATCTTCCAAACAAACAACGAAAGTCCGCTGCCGACACCCACAACCCACTTGGCCCCCCTCGGACTGATAGCCACATTGAGAAGCCCCACATATTCGTGATTTTGTCTCGACCACTTGTCAACATCTGCCGGCTCTGTCATGGTTGCGGGTTGCAGTAGCCACGTGGATAGGGACGGATTGTCGGTGAAACCGCTGTCGTAATCCAAATCGCCTTCGATATCTTCCTCGGGCACCATATACTTTCGCGAATGGCCGCTTCTGAAGAGCTCTGGTGTTCTTGGGCGAAGAGTGACGTAAGGTTCGGGCGGCTTGCCGTTTGCCTCTTTGGCAAGGCAAGGGTTGAACATATGGATCGACCCGGGGTTCCGTACCCTCTTCTCCTCGCCATTCTGAGACATTGCAACAAAGTCTTCTTCGACATGGGATGCACAAGCAATGAGGGTTTCGGTGACCATCTTGTCGGGAGGGAAACGGGAAAGGTCTTCCGGATGGGGATGGAATCCTCGATGATGTGCAATGTTGCGAAACCATTGCTCTTGGCCAATGTCGTAGCGAGCGATCGTCATGAATGACCCTGCAAAGGTCAAGGTCATTGCACTATGATGACGGAATCCGAAACTCACCAGACTCGCTGTAATCTCCATACGAAGGATCGGTCCCCAAGGCAGCAAATTCATCCTCTCTAAAGTACCGGGGGTACGACAGCCACTGCCAAGTCACTACGGCCTTTCCGCTCCGCACGACGAGGATATCGTCTGATATCCTGTAGACGGGTCAGCCTCCTCACACTCGTGATTACAAACACTCACCATCCAACCCAGTCCAAGAAACCTGCTACGAGGCGGCTTGTCGAAAAGATGGGGAAATGGAGGACCTTAGGACGATAACCTCGTGGCGTAGGGAGAGACATGGGGTATGGGTCGGGAAAAGGAGGCAGGGCCCATATCTTGACCTTGTAGTCCATGCCGCAGGTGGCGATTGCCCTTTTGGACGGGTGAAACTCCTAAAGTCCGATTAGCAACTCGGCAGATAATCGTAAACAAGACCCACGCAATGGACCACATAAGACTGATGTCCGCCCTTGCCTTCTCCCGCGATGACAGCGACCACACATGTGCCCTCATCAGCATCGGCCATTGGGTAGTTCTGACTCAGTTCTTCAATGGGAATGTTGTGCGGGGCGTCGGCGCCTAGGATATTCCATACCCGTGTTGTCCTGTCTGCTGAAGAAGACGCCAATATGTGAGGATGGTGAGGGGCGAACGTTAGATAGTTGACAGCCTGCACGATCATGAGCTGTCTTCCTATGCGAGCCTGATGGGTACTGACGTCGCCATGCCCTTTGAGGACCCGCAGCACTTCTTTGGTCAAGACGTCGATGATACAGATCAGCCCAGTTTTTCCACCTACAGCTACCAAGGGGTGGCAGGTGAATGGATGATATGTCCAGGCGACCGAATACAGCTCTTCCTGTGGAATAGTCAGTAGAGTCAAGGCATCAAATTGCAACTTGCCGTATCTTCCTTGCCTATTTGTATGTCCGACAGAACGGACCAAGCGTGTTCATTGGTACATTGCCCGATTATCAGCTAGACCGATGAGCACACACCAAATTTGATGACCTGTGCATCATACCTTGTTCATCCCACAAAGCGCCACAGTGCCCTCAAACTCATCCCAATCCCAGCCGACTTCGCCTTCCGGATCCCTCCAAGGCTTCAAAGCACCTACAAGAGGCCAAAACTGTGCACAATCCCATCTGTGGAGTTCGTCTGGATGATTATGCCCTTCCTGTTCATGTCATGTCAATGCAGACCGTAAAAGTTGCATGGACGTAGCTCACGTGGGTGATGGTTTCCAGTTGGTATGGCGGGGTACTGTGGACGGCATTGTACCATTTCCGACATGGCTCGCCGTTCGCATGCTCCGAGGGGCCATCCAGCGCCATGTATACTTGCCGTGCGCTGTGCATGCACCGACGACCAACCGACGACACAAACAAGTCAACAAGTCATCGAAGCGGTGCCTGGCGGCGGTCGCCGAGACCCGGTGCCACTGTAGCAAACTCCGAGAGGCCGCGAAATTCTGGTGGGTGGTGCAGGCAAGGAATTGAGTTTCGACACATTCACCGTCCTTCAACTATCCAACATGCCTCCCCAGGTTAAGACTAAGGGTGAGTCAGCCGTACTTCCAGAGAGAATAACACTGACAGGACACAGCCCAAAAGGCCGCCGCCGCTATGGCCGGTTCCAAGGCTGGGTAAGTTTCGACACTTTTACCCCTCCGCAACATGTCCTCCCCTTTCTCGATCTTCCTCCTCCTTCTCGACGTATCGGACCACGGTGCTTGGAATGGCAAGATGGAAACGAGCAAGGGAAAGGGCATGCGGTTGCGGACGGGGGAGATGTGAATTCAAAGGCGGCAAAACTGACATTGGCTTCAGTAAGAAGAAGAAGTGGTCCAAGGGCAAGGTGAAGGACAAGGCCAACAACGCCGTCATCCTCGACAAGCCTGTCTTGTAAGCTTTATCGACATAATTTCAGTCATCATCGGCTGACATTTTTGCCAGCGACCGAATCGTCAAGGAGGTCCCCACCTACAAGCTCATCTCTCAATCCGTCCTCATCGACCGAATGAAGATCAACGGCTCCCTCGCCCGAAGGGCCATCGCCTACCTCGAGAAGGAGGGTTTGATCAAGCGAGTCGTCCACCACAACGCCCAACTTATCTACACCCGGGCTACTGCTGGCAAGGAGTAGATGTAGGATATGGATATGATGACTTGAAAAACTATGCGGTCTTTGATCGGGCAAGACAATGTGCACATGGTTGCAACTCGTGACAAAAGAAGGTGCATTCAGCCTCTGGTACCAAGCGAGGCGGGTGTATGATCCAACAACCATCTCCACACTTTTTCGCCAACTTGGGACATGGTTCTACGGACTTCCTCGCCTGTCTCGCTGCTCTGCACCATGACCGGTCTGCCAGCATCTCCGCCGTCGCTCACAGAAGTCACCAGGGGGAGTTTGCCTAGGATCATCAGCACGAGGTCTGACGTCAAGCGAAAATTTCTAGCTCACCGAGTACTTCCAGTCGCAGGTCATTGGCGGCCTTTTCAAACTTGGCGGCGCTTCCAAAGAGTTCGTGAGGCGTGGAGCACGAGGAGCAGGTAAAGTGGGACATGTTGAGCAGTAATCCAATCATCTGGAATCTTTTAGTCAAGCGCTGGGATGGTCTTGATAGTACTTACCGGTATGGATACCTTGTTGAACATGCCTACTCCTTTCCTGGCGTCGATCAATGCCACATCCTGAGGCGTAGACACAATGACAGCACCTAGAGCACATTTCAGTATATTACAAGTCAACACGAGCACACATACCGTCGACGGAGACCAACTGTCCCAAGCTGAGTTGCACGTCTCCGGTGCCGGGCGGCATATCAATGACCAAGACGTCGAGGTCGTCTTTACCAATTGCTGACGCGGAAGTCCAATCGACATCAAAGAGTAGCTGTTGGACAGCTTTCATGACCATCATGCCTCTCCAGACGACTGGAGAGTCGTTCTCGGGATTGGGTGCTGATAAAGGTTGTCAGTGAACGTTGAGTGATCTCTCCTCACACGCACGTAATAGGTAACCTATTGACATGGTCTTGACACCATGATTCTGCAATGGAAGGAGCTTGTTCTCTGCATACCTGTCAGCGAGGCCACACCCCCATCAGAGCTTTACGTACCGTCACTCAACCGAGGATCACCAGCATTCTCGAGTCCCATGAGCTTTGGGACTGAAGGTCCAAATATGTCCAAGTCCAGCAGCCCTATACGGGGTGCTCTTCCAAGGGGCGAGCTGTTCAGTAGCGAAAGCGCGAGGTTGGCTAGATTCGTGTCAGTTGAACCAAACTTTCTCGCTCTACGTTGGTCATATACCTGCGACAGTACTCTTTCCAACACCTCCCTTGCCACTGGCCACTACGACTACTTGTTTGACACCCTTGATCCTCGACTTTTGAGGCGGCGCCCCTCTACGAGGGATAGTGGGCGCGGGGTTGGCCTCTCGTCGCGGAATGCCCTTATGACAGTATAAGCTCGGTACTGCATGATTGACGACGGACGCACAAGGGGATTCTCGTGAGAGCATGCACGGGCACTGACATGGAGCTGCCTGCATGCCGCGAGGGGGCGGAGGAGGACGGCTGCGCGGGGGCTGAACATGGCCGGCGTATGGGAGGAAGAGAAATGTGATGACGCTTGAGGAGATCTCTCGCTTCACCGGCCTCCATCTCACGCACAGACCACACCCCCCGACAACGCCGCAAACCTCGCCGCCGCCATCACAATCCTCTCCGCCACCACCGCCCATGCCCCGTTAATCCACCCCTCGCCATGGACAGAACCCCGACACCGCTCAAGGCAAAGCGCCCAGGCGGCGCTCGACCTATCCCTGGCTCGCGCCCCTCCAGCAGCGGCAATGGCCAGACCGGGTACAGCAGCGGCAGCATAACCTCTGGCGGTCTTCCAAAACTGAGTATACCATCAGGCAACGTCCGTAAGTCGACAATGCTGTATACACCCTGTCGCGGCCAGAGCTCACCGTCCCCCCAGCTGGCATGAACGTTGATCAGGCGGGCCAAGGAGGATGGCACCAATCGTCTCCTCTTCCCTCTCTTGCTCTGCGCCCCATGCGACCCTCCACCGCCCCTTCATCAATGTCTCGCCCCAAGCTGTCCCTTCCCACACTGTCACCGAACCCTCCGTCAAGCGTCACTCCCCCGCCGAAACCATCAAGACCTCCTCTCCTCAGTGCCCCGTCATCCGCACAGAGTTACGGCCAGAGAAGCGCCCCAAATCTGAAACTTGCCATACCTGGCATGAACACTGCCGGACCAGGCTTCTCAGCCGGCCACGACTATCCGGTGGAGCCGGCTGATGACCCTGATTCGCTCGCATCTGCACTAAGAACGCCCATAGCCCGCGATAGCCTCAGTCTGAACATGTCCTCGTTATCCCTGTCTTCAATCTCGGCGGAAGATACCAACCCTACTCTCCAAGCTCGGGGCAGAGACTATGATGGCGATGGAGAGTCCTCGTACGGCTACGGTCGGATGGGCAACGGGCTGGAAGGCCCTGGAGGCGATGTCCTGAGCGCCATGACGGAGGATATCCGCCAGGCGCTGAATAGGAGCAGATTCGACGAGCGCAGTAGTGGGAGAAGCAGAGCGGGCAGTATGAAGAGTGTCGCCAGTAATGACGACAACAAGAGTACGCCCGGGCGTTCATCTGTCAGTATGGGTGGACGCAATCGCTCTGATTCTGGAGCTGGATCCGTCTCAGGCCGAGCATCTAGGCCGCACTCGTCACAGGGAGATCATATCCCCCCAAACATCGATGTGGCTGCGCAACCTGTGGGCTGTGACGAGGAAGCCAAAAAGTCGCCCGTCTTCCAGCCCGAAGATCTACAGCTCATCAAGCGACTTGGAGAAGGAACCGGAGGATCTGTAGACTTGGTGCAAGATAGGCGGACTGGGAAAATCATGGCCAAAAAGGTGTGCAGTCTCGTGTTCATTTTGTGCCTCGAAGACTGACAATCGCAGGTGATCACACGCACAGCAAACCCTGCGATCCACAAACAGCTTCTCCGTGAACTTGAGATCCTGAACTCGTGCGATTCCCCATACATTGTCGACCACTACGGCTCCTTCTTGACCGACCTCAATTCGTCCATTGGTATTGTCATGGAGTATTGCGAAGCTGGAAGTCTTGATTCCTTGCTGCAAAACATGAAGAAGAAGAACATGAGGTGTTCTGAGCATGTTTTGGGAAGAGTCGCGTCTTCGGTGCGTGTCTCGTTGTAATATATGGACGGCTGCTCACCATGTGGTCAGGTGTTGAGAGGTCTGGACTATCTCCATCAACGACGGATTGTCCATCGAGACATCAAGCCGTCCAACATTGTCGTTACAAAAGGAGGTGCCATCAAGCTATGTGATTTCGGCGTCAGTGGCGAGCTGGTCGAGTCTCTTGCGGGCACCTTTACCGGCACCAGTTTCTACATGGCTGTGAGTGCCTACTTTGTGCCCGTCAACCAAGATGCTGATGAGACACAAGCCTGAGAGGATCCAAAACAAGCCTTACTCTATCAAAGCCGATATCTGGTCTCTGGGCATGACCCTACACGAGATCGCCCACCTCCGATTCCCTTTCCCCGCTGAGGGCGAAGACCAGAATGTCGCGCCGATCGAGCTGCTCTCCTACATTGTGACCGCTCCTGTGCCTGTCATGGTAGACGATCCGAGCGTGGGGAGGGTGTGGAGTGACGCTATCAAGGACTTCATGGCTCAATGGTGAGCTATCAAGGGCTGCGTCAACAAAACCGAGCTGACGACTATTGCAGTCTGATAAGGTCTGGCACGGACCGCCCATACCCCTGGCAACTTCTTCAGCACCCATTCATCATCGCAAGCGAGGCCAAAAAGGTCAACATGGCTAAATGGGTCGCTGCCCTCTGCGGCTGGCCTCTGCCTTGATATACCTGCTGCTTTCACCAACTCTCTTCTCACCACTTGAATTGTCTCATATCCTGGCCCGCATACCCACCTGTTTGATACGCCCGCATTTCACAAACCATATCACCATCGACCAGATATCCACTATCTATTTGATACACCCTATCGTTCTCTTGACCCCTTTGACTTTCGGGGACTCGACCTGAAAGGGGTCCGCCTTCACGAAGAATACCAAAATTACACTAGAAATCACGCACATGTCCTATGTGTCCCTTGTATATAGCATTGAAAGAAGCTCGTTTGGCCCGTGCATAGCATATGTTATGTTCATTCCATGATATCTACTCGAGTACAGATACAACTTGTTAGACCCGAAATGACCCGACACCCTCGTTGTTCTCAAATTCGTACACCCTCTACAGCAATCCCAGCTTCCTCATCCTTCCTCATCTTTGCGTCCGCCTCGCCTCCCACGCTTTCTCTGTCGTGATCGATTTCAGTCTCTGGAAGGTTGGGTGGCCATCGTTTAGAGCAGTAGACGATGGCCGCGGCAATCAATACGGACACAGCCCCACAGACCAGGGTGGCGATTTGGCCGTTCCGGAAACGGGGGGCTTCAACGACAGGCCAGGCTACAATCTGGTACCAGAGATTCCAAATGTTTGATCCGACTATCAAAGCTGTCAGCAAAGACTTGTGAACTTGCGCCTCGACACGTACGGTTCATGGTGAACAGGGTGATGGACCTCAGAACGTCATCATCCCGACAAAGCTCATTCGCCCAGGCGAAATTACTAGCTTGGCCTGCATAGCCAAATCCTCCGATGATGTATGCGAACCAATGCCCACCGGGGGTGAGATGGTCCCAGTTGAGGAGCATGACAGAGGAGATGAACACGGCGACAAACATGACGGGATTCACCATGAAACGGTTGCGGGTCGCGTCGGAGAGGACAGTGAGAAAGTAGGTAGAGACGATGGCTGTAGCTGTAAAGATGGATGGATAGTAGGAGACTGGAGAATGGTAAGCAACGGGTCAGATCTCGAATGTGAAGTCAACCTACTCTGTCGAGCATTGTATCCCGCCGATTCGAGCCAAAGGTTGAATTCAGTGTAAACTCCGACCTTTTCAAAGGCAGTAGCAGACACGGTGAACAAGGCGGTGAAAAGATACCACCGCCATGAAGTGAGCAGTCGTTTGAGTGACGTTCCGAGTATGCCGAAAGTCATCTTGTGCTGCTCGACATGGGGCAATCGACGGAGGCAGAGATCTCTTTCCTCTTGCGTCAGCCAGACTGTAAGCAGGTCAGCACTCGTTCAGTATCGTTTGCGAGATGACATACAAGCCTTGGTACCGTGTGGTGTTCCGGGGAACATGACGAAACCATAGGTGGCGATCGGGACGGTAATGGCAAAGTCAATGATGAAGAGGTATTGCCAGCCTTTGTAACCGCCTTTGCCATCAAGGTTGGTCATGATGCCCCCTTGCATGACGCCCGAGAAGAGGGTACCAATTTGAGCAGCTGTGGCAAACTGTACGGTATGTCAGCGGGGTACTATCAGCCCCTTTCGATGGCACTTACGACGGCGGATCGCTTGCCCAACTCGTGGTCTTTGTACCAGGATCCAAGAATGTAGTGCGTGCCGGAAAAGGTGGAGGCTTCGAACAGTGCTTGTACGAATCGTATCCCCCAGACTTGATGAGGAGTGGTCACCCCTACGATGTACAATCAGCATGCAACCGTGGCAGGAATTATACGATAGCAACTTACAGGCTAGACCAAGGGTGCATAACCCCCACGCAATCATACAGAACGGGAACCAGAACCTCGGCGAGATGCGACCGGAAGAGAGGATGAGAGCAGAGGGCCACTGGCCTACAACATAGCCGGCTGTGAACATTGAGTTGGCGTAGGTGTAGTCATTGCCTTGGACTGAGATCATGATTAGTCATCGAAACCACCGAGCCATAGTTGTACTTACATCCTACATCCTCCCGCATTCCAGTGGTATATGCATTCGCCAAATTGGCTCTGTCGAGGTCTATGCCGATGTCAGTCCAATGGTTCTCGTCCAGTAATCCCGAACAACCCACAGTTGCAGAAATCTAATAATGGTCAGCCAACGCTCGGCATATGCACACGGCTGACGTACAAGACAAGCAGACATAGGAAAGTATGACTAAGTCCAATTTCAAGAGAAGCTTTCTCTCCTTGGGATCCGAGGGCGGCTTTCCCCAGAAAAACGTCTCCAGCTTGGTACGTGTCTGACTTAGCGACATCGTACGACGAGATCTGGTAGATTCGTTTGGGGATATACAGATGATTGGGGGCGAATTATTTCCAGCGAAAGGGTGGATATTTGAAGAAAGCAGAGCTTCGCCCGGAGGGCAATGACTTATCACAGCAGGTGACTCGGCTGTCTGCTTATCTCTGGAATACCGTAATGATTGCTTGGTAGAGCGGTCTGCTAGTGTTTCTCGGCTTTATCGTACAGTTTTAGCCGAATAGATACCTGTGCTGAAATGGTCGCTCTCGGCAATGTCGGGATCCTGGGATATGCGCTCGGGGAGATAGTGGCGTGCGTGAAGAGAAAGTGGGAGAGATAATAGTAATTGTGAACCAACGAATCTGCGCGAGATCTCATCTACTTCCAGGCACAGGAACCGTGTCCAGTGGGCTTCTCGGACATGCCGGACACTCCTTGCTGCTGACTCTGAGCCACCGACTCTGACATGACTATGCTTCAACCTATGGACATCCCAGGTGGATCTGGTAGAACGGCGTGCCAGATATCTCCCTGAAGGCCTGAACAGTTTCCTGCTTCAGATCTGATTCGCCTATCGCACATGTGGGCTTATCTTCGGCCTTGTGCGAAGAAACTTCAATCCGGACTCCGTTGTCGGCTGTTTCTCACTCCTCTCGGCAAATTCTGCGTCGGATCGCTCACATACAGAGAGCCCTGTAAGCGCCAGCGGCATCCAGATACGCGCCCATTCAAAGCCCTTGTGCTGATGGAATGCATGGTCATTACAGGCGTGAATGTGGTAATGGACACCTCGTTGTCCTTCTTGTGATTTACTTATGTACTCTATGGCGAGCGAATTCGATTAGCCGATCCACGCCGCTGCCCACGCGAGACTGCCCTTGGGACAAACACCAACGAGTCTGTAGGTCCCTCGTCTCGGGGCTGCTCCTGGTACTCTTGATCTTCGTCATACCCCTCTTCGTCGTCCCAAATCTCTTCTGTATGATCTTTTGCGGCGGCCTTGGCGGCTTTTGCGGCACGATTCGCAGCATGTTCTTCTTCCACCAGCTTCTTCCTCTCTTCCTTTTCTGCCTTCTTTCCGTCGGCTTCTTCTTTCTGCCTCTTTGCCTCTTCTATGTTACGCTGCTTGTCCAGCTCCTTCTTCTGCACGGGGTCTTCCTGAGGTTTTTGAAATGACATCCAGTCCTCCCAGATCACTTTGCCGGATTCTCCCATCCAGGCATATCTTTTGCCGGAATGGGTGGGTTGGATCAGCCCATTTGCTTCAAAGATGACGTTCTTTTCGGATAGCTTGATCAGGATTCTAGCAATATTCGTTGCGTCCTGCGATTGTTAGATATGAAGGATGGTCATCCTGTGCGCAACTTACGTCCAGACCAGAGTGTTGCCTTCCTTCGAATTCACCCAGTCCCAGAGCTTCACACATGCCAGCAATGTTGAGATAGTAGTCAGTCCGGGGGCGGGGCGGAGTCTGTCCCGTTGGCGTGGACGGCGAACCAGGAGCATCAGGAGCACCAGATCTGGTGGGAGTGGATGGGGCAGTGACGGGTATCGCTCCATCAGAACGGAACGCTCGAGCAACAGCTGCTCCGTACCCTTCAGCCCCGGCTCCTGGCCTCCATTTGCCTCCTCGCCTGGAAGTAGTGATTGGCATGGTCGCTCGCTCGTTCGCTGCATTGTCGGGGTGAGCGTCGGCGTATACACGTCGACGATTGATCTCTGACATGACGGACTGGACACCATGTTTGATGTTAAGATATGGACCGTGGAAGAAGTTGGGATATGGGTCTGGAGGAGTGATATGAAGCTGTTTGGGTACCTGTGATCAGGTCAGCATTGGCAGCGAGTAATACAGACAGACGTACAAAGTCTCTGTAATCGGAAAAGTGTGATGATAGCGGTCAGTAAGTCATGCGTCAAAGTAATCCTCATTGAGCCTACCTTAAGTCCCAAGGCTATGTCACAGTCAGCACAGTGTCATGTTAGTCATGGACGGGACTCACCCCATCTGTCACCCAGATTGCATCCTTCAGCCCCTTCTCTCCACGCAGATCCCATTTATCCAGCCAAACCTCCAGCTCTTTCAGGACTTCTGGGAAGGTTGGAGAGGCATCCACGATCTCCTATGTTTTATGAGCTATGTTCTGTCATGCTCGGAAGGGGCGTACCTGAGTGATACCAGTAAGAGCTTTGCAAAAGTCGGTCAACACAGGCTGCCAAGTCGGGCGCACATATGACCTGAAGGTGTCCACTTTCTCCAGCACCCTCTTGCCTTCCTCATCTGGCTCTTCTCCCCATTTCACCAGAACTACTGGGAATTCCTGCAACTCGCTTCAGCACGTGTCCAGTATGACGACAGAAAGACTCACAATGATCTCGTTTGGCCAGTCAAACTCTTTGCCTCCCCGACAGGTCGCCTCTACATCGAAACACAAGAACGACCTGAACTTTTGCCCCGACTCTTTCATCTGCTGTCTCTCTGCCCTTCGTCTCTCCTTTTCGGCGAAATGAGCTGCGAGCACGCTGTCCGAGGGAAATGCGACCTCCCAAGGATTGTCGCTATCGGAAAGGGGTGTGGAAGGGTCTTCGGGAGGCGGGGCCATAGCCAGGGCGGCAGCCTGAACCGCTGTCTGCGCCCGTCTACTTGATTGTCAGAATGAAACACACAAAGAGAACGATACTCGCCGGTACAAAGTCTCCTTCTTCCCTTTGGGACTCAGCCCCATCTTCTGTAGCGCGTCTCTCAGTTCATCCACAGTGTTCTTCTTACTGATCTTTGGCAATCCTGGAACATCCACAGGCTCTGGAGAATCTCCAGCAGCCTCCGATTCCTCTTCGCCCTGCCCCTCTTTGTCACCACCGAGCTCCATATAGCCCAGTTTATCTGCCAGTATCTCTTGCGGGTCGGTTCCAGAGTCTGGCTTGAGGTTGTATTGTTGGATAGGGGCCTGACCCCATGCGCCGGGCTGATATGTCGGGGCGGACCAGGTCTCTTGAGGCGGATCGTACGACATCTCACGAGTTTTCGGACGGAGCTGTCTTGAGGATACTGTATACGAAGCTGAATGCCCGTCGTTGCGCACTCTTCGATGTTTCTATTCACGTCAACATCCAAGATGAGACAAAAACAAAGCCAGGCCGGGCGCGGGGGAAAAAAGTGGAGGCATCAACGCTTCTAATAGTCATCTCGTTCATGTTGTTGCTCCATATACGACTGTCACCTCTGGAGGGACCGAGCAGACGTGTGGGAGTGTTATATGCAAGGTCATGGGACGCGAATGTGTGACTGTGAAATCACCCTCTTGTTAACGTGACGGACGATCCTTGCCCAGACACAAGTCTATTGTAAGAGTTACATCTGTTTGCCATAGTCAAAAGAGTAGAAACGCGAGACGGAAAACTAGAATCGTGCTGGGAGAGAAAACAAGCCATCATGAACAGGCCCATACACAAAGAGCCACAAGCCCCTATCCGCTCCTGGTCCTCCCTTCTTGTCCTTCTCGCCCGCTCCACAGTCCGCCGTGTTACATACAACCTCCTAAACGCTCACACAGAACCCGTGCCGCTGAGAGCCTGCTAACAGCACTTACCGCCGGCCTTGGCACCGCCATCGTCGGCTGTGGGGGTGACCAGGATGGTTTCGCCACCCGAGGGCTTGATGACATCGCCAGAGGACTCGAGGGATTTGGAAGAGACGATCCGGTAGATCTCTGCGTAGGTGAATGGTGAGAATCGCATCGCGTGGACGAAAAGACAACATACCAGTGAGAATGTTTTGGAAAGCAGACTCGACATTTGACGCGTCCAAGGCAGATGTCTCGATGAATGAGAGTCCGTTCTCGGCTGCACCAGCTGATCAGCAACGATTCCCCACGCTCCAAACATTACTTACCAGCGAATTGCTTGGCCTCGTCTGTAGATACCGCTCTCAGGTGCTTCAAATCGCTCTTGTTTCCTACCAACATGATGACGATGTTTGCGTCGGCATGGTCCCTGAGCTCCTTGAGCCATCGCTGAACGTTCTCGTAGGTCTGGTGCTTGGCAATGTCGTACACCAAGAGGGCACCGACAGCTCCTCTGTAGTAGGCGGAAGTGATAGCTCTGTATCGTTCTTGTCCGGCTGTGAATTATTAAATTAGCTTCCCGCCGCGCTGGACACTGGCATTGGGGCGGTGCTAGGACCAAGACTTTACGCAGTGTCCGAGATGTTCAGTCCAGGCCCCGCACATGACCCATCCATGGCTCCAAAGACCCACCAGTATCCCAGATCTGGGCCTTGACTGTCTTGCTGTCCACATTGATACTCCTGGTAGCAAACTCGACGCCGATGGTGGACTTGGACTCGAGGTTGAATTCGTTTCGGGTGAATCGAGAGAGCACTGATCGAGGCATGAGCTTGGGTTGCACTGAGAACGCGGCACGCTTACAATTACTATAGAAAGAAGAGGCAAAGATGGCTAGAATGAGCAAGAGTTCACAAGGTACGGACGCGACGATACATACGATTTACCGACACCAGAGTCACCAATAAGGACGACCTATATGTAAGTCAGACCCGCTGGCACACCTGCAGGCGACAAGGGGCGATAAGGACGCACCTTGAATAGATAGTCGTAGTTGCTCTCTGTCATTGTTGTTTATGGGGTGTGGAGCGGCTGGTGGCGAGGGGCTGGCTGGAGATATTTGTCGGCGGGAGGGGCGGCCTCAGACTGGGAGAGGAGATACACGGCGGCTGGGGGAGATGGCGGGATGGATGGATGTGGCTCTTCTCTGCGATGAATGCAAGAGGCGCGTGCACGACACGTCTACGGAAATAACGGCGATACCCTCCATGCCCCGTGTGGCGCGTCACTGTCACTCTCCCTGCATCGTCAATTGCGATATGTGAGAACCCATGGGAGGCCTAGTCAGACGCACACAGCCCCATGCACAGCACAAGTGACTTTTATGCATCGGGCCGCTTTCTATCACATGCTGCGTACTCTACAAGTCTTTCAACACCCGCTGCACCGTCTCGGCCAGTATCTCGACGTGTTCCTCCCCAAACGTCAACATGGGCCTGAGCCTCACCGTCTGCTCTCCGCACCCTCCAATCTGAACACCCGCCTTCCTCATCTTTCCCACGAACGCGTCTCTCATCTCGGGCGAGGCCATATCCCAGGCGAGGTACGTCCCTTCACCTTGGCCCCTAAAGTTGGCAACCTTGCCTGTTGCGGCGCTGGAGGAGAATACTTGAGAAAGGGAGGCGGCGAGGACGGAACCGGTAGTGGCTGTGTGGGAGACGAGGTTGTTCTCCCCAATGAGTTGGATCATCTTGCGGGCTTGAAGAGCTCGGATGGGATCACCCTGCTAGTGGTCAGCGATTCATCCGTCCCAGTACCGTATCGCTCACCATCCAGGTGTTGTAGTTTCGGTAAGGGGCATTCGGCCTAGTCTCCTTCTTGTGGTACACACCCGCAGCCTGCATCTTTTTCGAAAAAGTGACAAAATCAGGCTCTTCGCCTTCCTTCAGCCCCCACTTTTCGTGCGCCCAGAAAGTGCCCGTGGCGCCCACGCCAGTTTGCACTTCATCCACAATGAAGAAGGCGCCGTGCTTCTTGGCGATCAGACGGAGGGAACGGAAGAATTCAGGGGAGGCGTGCTTGTCGCCGCCCTCGGACAGGATGGGTTCGATGATAACGGCAGCGACGGGGGAGTGGGTTTCACTGTGGATCGTCAGCTCTAAAGTGGTGTGCACCGTAAATGTATTCACCTGCTGGTCAAAATCTCCTCGTACTCTTCCAGACACCTCTTCTCTTCAGCCTCGTTTTCGGCTACGTGGTCTTCAAGGGGGTATTTGAGGGACGGGAATGAGGCGCTCGGCCAGTCAAAGGCAGGGATATCGATCTGAATTCTGTCAGTCCAATATCCTTGTGTCTGAACATACCTTGTGGATAGCTTTGCTTCGTGTGGCGCTGAGACTTCCAAACAATCGACCGTGGAAGCCAGACTTGAATGAGAGCACGGTGAGGTCAGGACTGCCGGGAGAGTGGTTGTGCATGCAAGATTCTGGAGGAAACGTTAGCTCTGATCGCAGTCTCGAAAAAAAGCATACCCATGTCTTCTTTGCTGAATGGGACATCACTACCACCTCGCTCCCTCTGCCGGTACGCCATGAAAGCGCATTTGAACGCCGTCTCTGTTTACAGGTCAGCTCGCCGTCTATATGGCTGTGTAGACGTACCATTCGCGCTACTACCACAGAGCGTCGTGACGAGCTGGTCCAATCCTTTGGGAGCGACAGTCAGCAGACCAGTCTTGATCCAGTCTGCCCATTGGACAGGAGGAAACGAGCCGATAGCAGGTCGGTTCAAGGCGGCCTTTACAAACTCGTCCTGCTCGGTGTCAGTTTCTCACCGCGTGAAGTGCATCCTACTTACAGATCGCCCAAGCTCAAGCAGGGCTGGTACATTGTACCCCAAGCCGATGGAGGAGATCTGCGCAAAGACATCGAGGAGGACGTTGCCGTCGGCGTCGACGAGATAGTTGCCCTTGGACAGCTCGTAGTTTGGTACAACGACATGTGTACGAGGATCTTGGAATGTGTTGATTGCCTTGGACTGTGGGGCTGTGAGTTTGTGAGCATGGCATCGGGTGGTGGCTTACAGCAGCAATGCCCTTGGGTCCCGGGACGGTGTCAGTGACGACGCGAGGACCGGCGGGCTCGTCTGGGATGAGGTCGCGGGAGGAGAAACAGCGAGCGGTGGGACGGGCAGATATGGGCACCCTGCGCAGGGAGCGGGCAGTACGGGAGAGCATTTTGATGTGGAAAGTGGGCGAAAACAAAGAGCAACGAATGCAGAAAGTGGCCCATAGCAGGCCCATAGACACCTCGGCTAAGACCTCGGCAAAATGGGGCGGGTTGCCGAGCATGGATATTTATTTGGCCGATGTAGCTTATCTCCTGCTCGGAGCTGCCCGTCTCACCAATCTACATATATAAACCCCTATACCATCTATCCCCCCTGGTCTCTATACACCACCATGGTCGCAGTCCCAGCCCAGTGGCAGGAAGTTTCCCGCGCAAAGATTGCAGCCCGCGATGCCCTCATCCCCAAGGAGTGGATCATCCCAGCCACAGACGCTCGCAGCGTCATCCACATCCCGAGGACGTGCGGTGTCCTCTCTGACAAGGAGATTGGTATCACAGAGACACCTGCGACGGCGCTCGTAGAGTCGATGCTGAGCCGAGAGCTTACGAGCTACGAGGTGACGTTGGCCTTTTGCAAGCGAGCTGCTATAGCCCAGCAATTGGTGAGTACTGCCATGAGATGGACTGTGCTGATTATCCTATAGACCAACTGTCTCACCGAAATCTTCTTTGAGACTGCCCTCAGAGCAGCTCGAGCTATCGATGACAACTACGCTCAGACCAACACCCCCCTTGGACCTCTCCACGGCCTCCCAGTCTCGATCAAGGACAACTTTTACGTCGAAGGGGTTGATACTACCGTGGGCTTCATTAGCTGGGCCAATGATCCCGCCAAGAAGGAGCAAGAAAGCGAAATTACCAAGGTCATGCGAGAGTGCGGCGCGGTGCTCTTCTGCAAGACGTAGGTTGCTCCCTTGACATCTTGCAAGGCGCTGATCCCTCGTAGTAACGTCCCAACGGCCATGATGATTGCCGAGTCATACAACAATGTATGGGGATATACCTCCAACCCTTACAACACTTCCTGCTCTTCTGGTGGATCTTCTGGGGGCGAGTCGGCCCTCCTTGCCCTCTTTGGATCTCCCCTTGGGATCGGCACAGATATCGGCGGGTCTATCCGTATCCCCGCTTCCATGTGCGGCCTCTACAGCATCAAAGCTTCTTTCGGTCGCTTCCCCACTTACGGCGCCCGGTCGGGATTGCCCGGACAGGAAGCGATAAGGTCTATCAATGGACCACTGTCGAGCACTCTGGAGGGAGTAGAGATCTGGGCGAAGAGTGTGGTAGGAAAGAAGCCTTGGGAGAGAGACCCCAACATGCTTCCGATCCCGTGGAGAGAGTACGAGGCTCCTAGCCAGCTTTGCTTTGGTGAGTATAGCGTCCCACGATAGGCGGTGGCTGATGATATGTAGCTATTATTTTGGACAACGGCATAGTCAAGCCTACACCTCCCGTTACCCGCGCCCTGCAGGAAACAAAGGCTGCTCTGGAGAAAGCAGGCCACAAAGTCATTGAATGGTCCCCGTAGGTACTCTGGACACTCAGCTGGTCTCTGGCTGACTCGTATCAGCTACAACGCCGAACAAGCCACCTCCCTCGTCAGCCGCTTCTTCCTCGGCGACGGCGGCGTCAAGATCAATCAGATCCTCGCTGCCGGTGAAGAGCCTTACCCTGAAGGTCTTGCGGCATACAAGGCTCGATTCGAGGCTTTGAAGAATGACCCCCCGCTTGTGGGAGATCTGTGGGATCTCCAAGCCGAGAGGACATCATACTGCAAGAAGGCACTCGACCACTGGCTGGCTAGTAAGGATGTCACCGGGACTGGGAGGCCCTTTGACGCTGTCATCTCTCCAGTGACTCAGCATTCTGCTTGTCCCAAGTAGGTCTCCTCTTTCCTTTATCACAGCTTCAACTGATGTCCTGTCAGGAAGGCCTACGGTGGTCATGTGACGTACACCTCCATGTGGAACATTACAGACTACAGTGCTACTACTTTCCCTGTTGGGTTTGTCGACTCTGCCGTTGACAAGAAGGAGGAGTGTGAGCCCAGGAATGATGTGGAGAAAAGCGTTTGGGACCGATGTGAGTATCAATTTTGGGTCATCTCATGTGGCAGTGTTGACATCAAATAGATGACCCCGAAGAAGTCTCGGGTGCGCCTATCTCTCTCCAACTGGTGTGCCAGAGGCTCGAAGAAGAGAAGGCGATCGCGTTGACTGGTGTCGTTGCGAAGGCATTGAAGAAGACAAAGGTTTGATACGGTATATACCCATGATCTGATATGATGGCCAGAAGGCTATGCAGAAGTAGAATCTAAAGGCGGTGGCCACGACCATATACATAATAATACAGGCCAACGTTTCGAAAGAGGCAGGAGCATCTGACCACCACGGAGCAAGGTTGAGTTCCATTCGTTCGACAGAGACGTCGACCTGGACAGTTCACTTGTGGAGTATGTAACGTGCCATCATATTATTGGAAGAAAAAGAAAACAAAAAAAAGACATCTTCCCAACAGGGAATCGAACCCTGATCTCCCGCGCAATACTACTACGTAATGACAAGCGAGCATACTGACCGTTATACGATTGAGAATTGGTTGAAAGTGAATTAATATCTCTATGAGATGAGCAAAAAAACGACATATCACTGCACCAACCACAAAAGTACACCCTACTCATACTTCTCGACTACCACTCACTCTCTTTCGCCCCCTGGGAACTCCACCTACAAGCATCTGCACAGACGCCCAGCACCCATCGCACCTCTCGGCAACGCTTCGACATGCTCGGCCCCATAGGCCATCTACCTCGCCTTGTACGACTCATCCTTCTGGCAACGGCACTGGTTGTCCTTCCCACTCTCTACTTTCTGTATCCATCCCCCGAACGGCTTCCCTCACCTGGAGAATGGCAAGCAGGAGGTATAGATAGTGATCACTGGAGAAGTCCTGTCAAGCCGGCTTTCGGCGAGTACGAGCTTGAAGAAGGACGAGGGTGGGATGACCAAAGTGGCGTCGGAGGCTCAAGAGGTTGGGTGAAAGGCAAGAAGAAGGCCCCAGAGATAGACCAGGACGTGATTCATGGAGGGGTCATCATGCCGAAACTGGGCAATGCCACTGCGAAGTGAGCTCCTTTGTCTCGGTATTTGGTTCGCGCTCACTCGAGACAGGGCTGAGCTAGGAAGATCTGCTTGGAGGGTGCTGCATCTCATGACCCTGAGATATCCTGAGGTGAGTCGAATCTTTCCTGATGGCATTTCACAGTCACCGCTGACTGACCTTGCATCAAGGAACCGACAGAAGATGACCGTCTAGCACTCAAGTCTTATTTCCACCTCTTCTCTAGACTGTACCCATGCGGAGAATGTGCTCAAGAATTCCAAAAGCTGTTAAAGGAGTTTCCCCCGCAGGTATGGTCTCGCCACTCCAACGTCCTGACAAGCACTGACAGCATTTGGCAGACATCCTCGAGAAAATCCGCCAGTCTTTGGTTATGTCACGTCCACAATCAAGTCAACGCTCGATTAGAAAAGCCCGAGTTTGACTGTCTGACTCTTGACGCCACCTACGACTGTGGCTGCGGGGACGAAGGTAACTCGACCTCCACATCTGGACTTGTCCCCGATAGTGACAGGAATGTGGTCAAGGCCATGACCGCAGCAGTCAATGACGCCGGAATTCTTGGCGACGGTGGCCAAGCTCTGCAAGGGGAATTTGAGCTTGCTGCGTCCGCCGAAGGGGTCGGCCTCTCAGCCGGTCAGGTGGATGAGTCAAATGTACTGGACAAGGAAGGCGGAGAGTTGGACCGCCAGGACCAAGTCGGAGAACTCGAGTGGAGGAAGAGTCAGAATCTCAAGCAGATGGAATGGGATCAGGAGAAAGCAGAGCATGGCGTCGATTAGATGGGAGCGCCGTACCCCAATTACTAGCACTGTCACATAGAGCGCCTCGACAGGACGGCTGTTGTATTTCCTTCAGGCATAGAGGCATGCATGCAATTCTTCTACAAAGGACTGCTTCACGAGGAAGCCTCGAGCGCAGGCAGCGTGCTCGCATCGTCCACCACAGCCTTCTCGTTGATGACCTTGCCAGTCTTGGCAATCTTTTCGGTCACAGTCTCAAAAGGAGGCAGCGAAGGACCCCAGACGAGGACGAGCTGCTTAGGGAGGGAGATGTGGTATGCGTTGGCTACGAACGATCCTTTGTCAGCATTCTTCCATACCATTGACACGCTTCCATGTTGGGAAGGCGGACATACGAGCAGTGATATTCTTTGCGAGGACCCTGTTGACGGCACCAGAGCATCCAGTGCAGGTCATCTTGACGTTGTACTGGTAGGCAGGGCCGCTGGGGGTGGATCCGGGGATGGAAGTGATGATGGTACCGGGCTGCAACACGATCAGCTGGGCGCCATAACGTATGGGGGTACTCACAGCTGCCATTGTGGATGATTTGTGGACGGATGAGATGGAAAGACAAGAAAGAAAGTTACGAATAGAACGAGAATAGAAATGGTCGTCAATCTCGAGTTCAAGTTTCACTCTCTTGCGTCGCCACCGCTGTCGTCAACACACAACGGCGGCGATGCCCGTCGGCCGAGGCGCAGCAGACAACGGAAAGCCAATAGTCTTTTTTCACTCTCGCTCCTGCCCTCTCCTACGTGTCTTTATCGGATGTATATACAGCCTCATTACATGGTATCGCCTGAACAAATGATTCTCGCTAATCTGCTGCCCAGCGACTGAACCCATGACCACTCAACGGCTCAAGAGATCATGTTCGTATCTCTATACATGATGGCGATGCAACAATGAGCCCAAATGATTAGTCTATATATACCTTTGAAGGCCTACTCTTCCTCTTCGTCGCTTCCACTCTCCTCGTCCCCACCGGTAACGGGCTTTGAATTGGCCTCGACCCATTCCTTCGCTCTCAGCTTGGCCTTCTCCTGTCCAGGAGCATCGCCTATTCTAGACTCGAGACTCAACCACTTCTTGAACAAGAACCTGATAGGTATCATCAGCTGCTGGTCATATTTGACCTGATGACAGACTCACTTGGCCTTCTTGCTCGTTAATTTCTGGTTCAGCGCTCGGTCAAACAACCCTCGCACACCCTGGATATCTCCACCCTTGCCGAGCTGGTCAATGTAGACACCCCAAAGGTCAAGTCGCTTAGGCAGCCGGTCGACAAGGCCCTCGAAAAGGGTCTTGGCACGCTCGGCGTCACCGTGCTTGAACTCGAGAAGAGCCATCTTTTCGATAGTTTCGACATCTAGCGATTTGTCAGTATGATACGAACGATCAATGGTTCATACTTACGTTTCGACTTGTCAAGAGACTTCAAACTTCTCGGCAGAAGGGCTCGGGCACCGTCGGCATCACCCTTAAGAAGATAGAATTCGGCAAATCGTGTCCAAGATTCAGGATAAGCTGAAAACTTCTTCACAATCTTCTTGAACACTTCTTCTACAGCCTTGGAACGAGGTTAGTCAAATCGTCGGGCACAGACTACCATACTCACATCTTCTTTGCCAGCAGCTTGGAGAGCATCCGCGTATCTCATGAAAACAGTCCTCTTGTCGTTGTACTGGCTGGCTTCCTCAAACAGCTTCTCGGCGCTGCTCATGGTTCCGAAACCAATCTCCAAATTGATCAAGGCCATCCAGACGTTCAACTTTTCCTCTTCTTCTCTGTAAGAGATCTTCTCCAACGCCTGTCGACCGATCTTCCTGGCCTTTTCTATTTCATGGAGTTGAAGGTAGAAAGACATGTACTGGATCCAGAGGAAGGAGGAGTTGGGAGAGGCGAGAAGAGCACGCTCATACTCGGCGGTAGATGATGGGCGATCAGAGGGGGCGGTGGCAGTGAGGTCAACATTCTTACCCTTGCCCTTTGTAGGAGCAGAGGTTTCGTCATCGGAATCCGACTCGGAGTCTGAGGGGCCAGCCTCGGGGGCATCACCGGTCCAGTCGAAAGACGCCACGTTGAGAGCAGTCTTGGGGGCAGAAGTGGACGCCTCGGGTTGCAGCTCTTCGTCGTCGTCGTCTTCTTCTTCGTCATCATCGTCCTCGGCATCATCCTGTGCCTCAGCCTCACTGTCTTCTTCCTCATCTTCGTCGTCCTCACCGGCCTCACTCTCATCTTGGTCGAGTTGCAGCTCATCTCCACTCTCCATCTCCACATCGTTATCGGCTTCCTCCTCTTCCTCGTCATCTTCACCACCCTCAAAGTCTTCGCCAAAGTAGCTGGCCTTGATACCAAAGCTGATCTTGTTCTTCTCAATGTCGATGCTGGTGATCTTTGCCTTGACCTGGTCGCCCTCTCTGAATCCCTTCAAAGCTTGCGCGACATCGGCCTTTTTGTTGTCGGTGATCTCGCTCTTGTGGCAAAGACCAGAGACATTGGATCCATCGATCTTGAGGAACATGCCGTAGGCCTCGACCTTCTTGACACTGGCGACAACCTTTTGGCCTTCGGTAAAGTCTGAGAGGGAGAGGAGGGCAGTCTTCTTGGCGGCACGCGTGGGGCTCTTTCGGAGAGACAATTCGATAGAATTGGTGTTGGAGTTGATGGAAACGATCTTTCCAGAGACGAGCTGGCCGACCTCGAATCGAGATTGCCAGTCCTTGACATACTAGAAAATGTTAGCAAAGTCCGATGGCGCAAGTCTGTAGCAGACTTACTTCGTCAAAGAGCTCCTTGATCATGATTCGGGCAGTGACGTTCCTGCCCAAAGACACAAAGACACCGGATCCGGCAATGTTCTTCACCAGACCCCTCACAGTGCTACCCTCCTTCAAGTCGCCGACGGTGCTGATCTCCTTGTCAACAACATCTTCCTTGCCTTCAACCCTAGAGGGTCTGGTGGAAAGGTCGATAGCACGCTTGGAGGCATCAACCTTGAGGACGTAGCACTTGACATGCTTGCCCACAGAGAGGGGCTTTTGAGCAGTCACAAGAGAAAGGTCATCCGCAGCGTCACAAGGGTGGACACGACCTCGAATAGAGTGAGAGATCTTGACCATCCAGCCGTTAGGAGTGTGGTCAGACACTGTGCCCTCCAGGATTTGTCCCAACTCGATAGAGTCGATAGCCTTGACGTTGGCAGAGATACCGGACGCGGCCTTCTCTTCCTTCGTCTTGGTCTTCTTTGCAGAGGGAGTCTTCTTGATGTTGACAATGATCAAACCAGACACCGGGTTCTTGGAAACGATGACGAGGTCCTCAATCTTGTCGCCAGCCTTCAAGCTCTCCCTCAATTCTTCGATGCCCATTCGCTTCTGGTTGGACAAGTTGCTCAAAGACAGCAAAGCGGTCAAGCCGCTTCCGTCAAGCTTGACAACGACCTGTTCAGCGTGCACCTGAGACACGACGCCGGTGACAGCCTCACCAACTTCAAGCTTCTCGGCAGCGGTGGCGGGGGCTGAAGCGGAGGCTTGCTTGGCGGAAACGACGAGTCGGGCAGTCTCAGGGTCGGCTTCGATCACACGGATGGAGAGGGGCTTGCCGACGTGGAAAGCCTCATTCAGATTCTTGACAAAGGTTTGGCTACACTCGGAGTGAGGCATGAAGGCCTTGAGGCCGCCAAAGAGCTCGACCACGATACCCTTGTCGACGATCTTGAGAACAGAACCCAGGGTCACAAGGCCGACCTTGAAGTCTTCAAAGGACTGGGGAATGGTAGCGTCGGATTCAATAAAGGTCTTCTTGAGCGTCAAGACTACCCTGTTGCGGATAGGGTCAACGGACCAGACACGAGCCTTGACAGAAGCATCAGGTCGGAATCGCTTTGCGGGATGCTTGAGCTTGATATCGGCATAGTGGTTGGGCTGCACGATACCATCGACGTTGCCGTGAATGTTGACAAACAACATGGTGTCGGTCAACTTTCGGATGACACCCTTCAGCTGCTGGCCAATCTTGAGCTCGGTGACCTGCATGAACGTCTGGGACAGCACAGATTGCTCGAAAGACAAGAGCAAAACACCGTCCAAGGGAGAGTGGCCGATGACTCGAGCGCGGTGAAGAGTACCAGGCTTGAATTGAGGAACAGCCTTGGACAAGACGGGGATACGCTCGTCGGCCAGATGACTGATGTGGACGAAACCTTCCAAGCCGTCTTGGGTCCTGACCATCACACCCCAGTCGTTCAACACTCGGGTGACCTTGGTGCTCTGGTAGATTTTGCCGATAGGGATGGCGAGTTCGAGAGGAGTCGAGTCACCTTCTTGGGTAGGGCTTGTGAGGTCGACGACGTGGGGAAGAGCAGAGAGAGAGAACGATCGAGGGTCGGCGGAGAGGTTGTCGTAGATAATTCGGGCTCGGATCTGCTAGCTGTCAGCAAATACGACCTATTTGTACAATGTACACACCTTTTTGCCAATCTTGTATTTCTCCTCTACATCGTCTTCACCGAGAGGAAGGTGGGCAAAGTCAAGGGTACCATCAAAGAAACCAGCGACCTTGACGTTCAAGCCACTGGGAACAACGGCGGTGATCAAGGCTGTAACGAGATGGCCGGGGACCAAGGATCCCACAGTAGAGACTTCGCTGACTTGCGAGCGGACAAGTTCTGTGGGGTTGAGAGTGAGTTGCACAAGACGACCGCCCGCGGCAATGGAAGAGATGGTGGAAGGGACAAGTTGCCCCGGGATCAACGTCTTGTTGGATTTCTTGGCATCGTCTTTAGAGACAAAGCCTTCGACAGATGACCCCCCGTCTTCAGTGTCGAGTCCAATAGCGACAGTCCATCCCTTGTCTTCCTCAGACTTGACTTCGCCAGTCAAGAGATAGCCCTTTTCAAGATCCTTCTTGGCCACTTCAGAGTTGACCTTTTCGGGTATGAGAGTGAGCTCCACTCGGGCAGCGAGCCGAGTAGTCTCTGTGACGGGATACTGTGAAACGAACGATTGACTGGCGGTGGGGTACAGAGTCAACACTTTGGCAGGGACATATTGACCGGGGACAAAGAGCTGAGCCAGGTCTGGGGCAGATGATTCGTCATCAGACTCGTCTTCCTCCTCGTCCTCCATAGCAGCATCTTCTTCGGCGCGCAACAGCTGGGTGAGGGTGTTGGAAACTTCAGTTATCGGGACGTGGGCGAGAAGGTTGTTGGGGAGGGACAAGATGAGATGGAGGGGGAGGATGGTGTGGACACGAGCAAGCACACGGGTGCCAGTCGCCAGTCGCTTGTAGTTGAGCAACTCGACACCTGTTGCGCATCAGCGACTGCACCTTTGCCATCTCTCGTTGACTCACGGATTCCTTCCTTGTCCCTCTCCTCACGCTTCTTGGCGTCCTCGTTCTTCTTCAGTCGCTTGGTCTGTCGCTCGCTGACCTGCCTCTTTCGCTTCTCGCCTTTGGAAGCCTGCGCCTTTGCCTCTTCTTCGGCTTCCTTCCTGCCCTCTTCTCTGACCTGCTTGAACTCGAAGGCGGTCAAGCTGGATCCCCCGCCTCGGGGAAAGTCGGCCTCTTCAGCCTGCAAGCTGGAGGTGAATGCTGGAGCCGGCCTGGCAGCGGCTGGCTCTTGGTGGTCGCCTTTTGTGGGGGCCATTTTGCGGTTTGGTGCTGAGCCGAGTTGCAGCGCACGCATCTCAAGGGTGGACTTGAAATTCTGCCAGGAACTGTCCTATATGGGGGGACATTTAGCAGACGCGTCGCGACGAACGCTTTCCTTGTGTCCAGTTGTTGACTCTATGCATTGGTTTTCTGTCCTGCACAGTCCCAGCTATACCTGCAAGCTATACCTGCAAGAGGCCCGCCGCTCTACATGGCATTCACGACTCCGACGAAAACCCCCACGAAGCGGCCGGCGTTCGCAGCTGAGGCTGGGGTGGGCAAGCCTCGGCCTACCGGTGCTTCCCCTGCATACGTTCGTTTCTGTCGTCTGGGAAGCGCATCGATGCTGACTTCATGGTAGAGCTCGAGGAGGCATTCACTCTATGGCATCGAAGACCGTGTAGTCCTCGAGTAAGTGCCAGGTTGCCATGTTGCACTCTACTGACGGCCCATGCGTTCCCAGCCTCGGCTCCCGTACATGGAAAGTCGGTTTTTCTGGAGAACCAGATCCACGAGCTGTGTTCTTTGCACGCGGATCATCTATAAGAGACCAGTCATCTGAGGCGTGGGACTTGGACCTCGACTCTGTGAATGCTATCAGAGGGAGCAGGTCTGAAGGGGATAGATTGATCGGGATCAGGATTGTAGAAAGGTTGAGAGAAATCTTTGCAAAGTAGGTTTGTGGCAATAGTATACAGGCGGCTGACATATTTTAGGCATCTTCTTGCGGACTCAAAACAACGCAAGGTGATTGTAGCAGAAAACACGTTCCTCCCGACATACCTCAAAGAACACATCGCCCGTACATTGTTTGACAACCTCCGAGTACCCTCTGTCGCTTTCACACCATCAAGTCTATTAGCTCTGGGATCTTGCGGTAGGATAACAGGCCTTGTCGTTGACGTTGGGTGGCTAGAGACCAGTATCACTTCAGTAGGTGATTCATGTGCTTCCGAATCAAGCTGACTTGCCCATAGGTGTACAACTCCCGACCCCTTTTCTCCCTTTCACGATCTACTCCTTTGGCTGGCAGAAAGCTACACACCAGGGTCAGGTCTCTACTCCACATTTATGGATCTTATATTGCGCCCCCAAAATCGCTGGGAGATTTGTCCAGGGATCGTAGCGAGGGAGTGCCCCTGGTTCTGTTGGATGATGCGTTTGTGGAGAAGGTTGTGACCGAGGGCCTGTTTGTCGGAGGCGTCTTTGTTGAGCCAGAAGATAACGATGACGCGGAAATGAAGGATCCGGGCGACATAGACGAAGCAAAGAGTGAGAATCTGGAAGATTTACATCTTGTCAGGTCTCTCAAAGGCAGGTATCAGCCGTCCTCTTCAGCCAAAGATATGACGTTTTCTGTGCGCCCCCCGACGGGCGTGACCACGATGGGATATGGTACCATTATGGTACCTGGGTGGGTGCGCGAGAGGGCTGCAGAGGTGTTGTTTGAAGATGACGAGTCTGATGAAGCGGAAGCCCTGCCGCATGCTATCCTCAGCTCGATCCTCAAGGTATGTCCCGAAGTTGGTGACTGTCATCAAGTGCTTACGTCGATAGCTCCCTGTGGACCTTCGGCCAGAGCTCATATCGACTATCCTTCTTGTCGGCGGCACATCTTCCCTTCCCAACTTTATTCCTCGTCTTCGCATAAGTCTTCTTCAAAACCTGTTACCAGCGCCTTCACTCTCGTCAGACGAGCCCCCGCCACCTCCATCGCCTATTGGCACATTGGCTCGTAAACTCGAGGACGCAAAGTTATGGCGCCACAGGAAATCCCAGCCTTACCAAGAGATCTATGGATTATTCGACAAGGTGGCCATCCTGAATGACCCCGCGCCCGTCGACGGGGCAGGGAATGGAAAGGGGGGTAGAGCACCGAGATGGGTTCCGAGCTTGATGACTTGGGTAGGCGGTAGTCTTGCAGGGTGAGCCATATGGTCGACCATTTTCAACTGTACCTAACTTGCCACAGCTCCTTGCGCACAGGCGGCCCCGAAATGACCCGCGAGACATACGATACTCTGCTTTCCACATCTCTCGCCAGAGGCGAAGTGTATAGAGAAGAGCTGGAAGAGGCTTATGCTAGCGTTGCAGCTAGTGTAGGGGCGAGCGTGGAAGACCTAAGGGTGGGCGAGGCGGTCAAGGACGCTAGGGGGCTAGGGAGAAGAAGAGGCTGGAGATATGGCAAAGGTGTCATCGAAGATTGGAGTCAGACGGTCAAGGTCTGATGGTGAGGGGAAATCAACATCATCAACACAGCGCATACATATGTCATGTAACATAATCACAGCATATCAACATCCCTGATCCCCGATGACCTTTACCGTTAATCAAAGCTTTGATTTCGCCAAGAGATATGACTCGACTGTCGTTGTTGAAAGACAAACTGCTGGCGGGGCGGGGCGGGGCCACCGGCGAACTTTGTCGCGACCAGTGGGGACTCCTTGTTTCGCGGGTTCTTCCCCAGACTCGAGCGAATCAATTGAAGAACACGAAGCTCGTCGCGTCGGCCACTGCCGTTTGCGCGCATTCTCCAGACGCCCAGACAATCCGATCTGCATCCAGCAGCAAGCGCTTTGAGCCTGTAACTCTCTTGCATCCCAATTACCATTATGGAGCCGTTGTTGGCTAGGGAAGAGCCGATAACTTTTCTCGAAAAGTCCCAAAAAATCTCTTCTCCATCGTCATTCTGCATTTGCCGCAATAAAGCGTGCCTGGATCGGCTACCAAAAGATACGTGCCTAGCTTGAAGCTTCATCAAGTGATCCCTTTCCCTGCTGTCAAGTGTCAATCGGTGATTCGGTGACGCGCCTGGCTGACGTGTTTGGCTGCTGGCGGTGGCAGCCGAGTTGTCTCATGTCTGTGGTATCCATGCAGGCTGCAGACTCTTGCGTCTTTACGGAACCCGGGACGGATTCCAGTCGGCATCTGTGTGTCTTCTGTCTTCGAGTCCCGTGTTGGCCCCCGCTGTGTGTAAAGTCGGGCCGAACCAGCATAGGTGTCGCGCCTAAAGAGTATGCACGTCTATCGTGAGAGGATATGGACCAAGAACTATGTGGTTGCCGTAGGTCTTGAATAACAGTCGGCTATCACGGATGATGGTCGTGGTCACGGGCTGTATGCAGACCAGACGGCAGGCGGGGCTGCCAGGCCATCAGAACCATTGCAAAGCGCAGCGACCGAGGGTGTGTGAACGTTGCGGCGGCAAAATGTGGCTTGCAAAAGTTTGAGCAGAGAGTCAGCCAGAGGCCAGAAGACAGGCGGCGAGGTCTCTTTGCAGGCTCGGTCCGACTGCGCTGTCCATGGGAATGAGAAGCAGCAGACAAATACTGCTGACGGCATGAATGGGGCATTCGTAGTTACAGTATGGGACTCCGTGATCACCCGTACGTTGGTGAGTGCCATGCGTATTGTGGCGGTATCGCGGCCGGCAGCTCGGCTCAGCCAAGCCAGATGCTGTTCTGAACTTGATAGCTGATGATAAGATGAGGAAGGCTTGGGAAGAACCAGGACAGGCCGACAGGGATGGCCTCAAACGTGGTGCCGGTTCTAGTCTATGCATGCTATGTAGCGTAGATGGGAGTCTGCCAGAGACCAAAGCAAATGCTTCCTCTCTATCTAGCATTGGCCCCGTCGGGCTTTGTCGATGACTGTGGGCACCAGCGGCCAGCGATCGCCTCTTTCAGCTTCCGTCTCTGACTTGATATCTCTCAACAGCTTGTACGTGTATCACACTGTGACTGTAGATATCAATCAATGCAGAGATGACAGAAGTCGTCTACGCCGCCCCCAATGATTCCCCAGCGCAGCCGTCCCCGCACCCCAGGGCCCCGAGTCCGGGATCTGGGGGGTCAAGCTTAGAAGCTCGGGAGAGACCCTGGAGGCTTCCGTCCCTGGCATTATTAACCCCGGTTTCACCCTTATGTACGTCTTGCCATTTTTCCCACGCCTACATACCGGCCGTTCTTGTCCTCTCTGAGATCATACGAGGAGAGTGGCAACGGCATCCGTGGGCTTGGGAAAACGGCGGCCTGTTCATTGTTCTTTCTTTCGTTCATTCTCCACAAACTACCCATTTTTCGTTCTGGCGCTTCTACGATCGTCACGACCAGGTCATCCGACGCGCTCTGGCACACTTGTGGGGAGATCGGCGAAACGGTCATCAAACAACAGATCCATCAGGAAAGGTCGAAAAAAAATTATCTGTCGGCCGGACAGCCACAGATAGACACTGTCCCCACTCCCTATCCGTGTTCTATCGTTTCTTGGGCGGGACAAGCCCCCTACGCGACGGCCTGCGGGACACGATCACGCAACAATACGAGCGGCCGAGAGGGACTGGATTCCCTTGACACGGTCTGGGAAAGAAGATCAGGAAACGCGAGTGAAAGTTGGGAACCGCGAGTGGAGGATCAAAGTCTTTCCCATCCACGCCCAGAGACGGGCATCCTTGGCAAACTTCTTGGGCTGCGTACGTACGCGGAAAGGAGGACAGATTCCGACGACGACGACGACGACGACGGGTAGTGTGCGAACGCGATTATTCATTGCATCTTGTGACGACAAATCAATACCTTTCCCCGCGAAGGCATTGACGGCGCCCCACCGTCCCACATAAGCCGCCTCTGCGATAAGCAGTGTCCTTTGGTCGATAGAGCAGAGTCAGCTGGCGAAAAAGATAGGAGATAGAAAAGGTTTCGGCGGAATACAAGGTGAGTGCAGATGGTTCTGGAAGCGGGTGGCTCGGTTTCTTGATAAGGGCCGGTTGTGAAGACTACCATCTCGCCTTCTTCATATGCTTCTGCATCTCGCCCGCGTTGAAGCTTGATTTTGTCGGGGTGGGCGAGGTGGGTTACTATCCCAACGGCCCCCCATGGGTTCCCTGCCCTGGCAAGGACCGCCCGCTCCTTGCCGCAGGATCTACGAGAAGGGATATTCTACGATCTCTACGAGGGTGGTTCCAGACCTCTGCTTCTGGGATATCTGTGTGGTGGCTGTCGCTGCGTCCTGTATGCCCACATGGCTGTACGAATGAACCTCAAGGGTCGCTGGTGTGTGTCGGTGTACTCAACGTGTCCATTTCCCGCGTGATCTATTCCGTCCTGCCCCTTGTCCCTGCACTGTTTCATGCGCTTCATGTGGTAGATGGAGCTGACTATATAATTCAAGAGTCATTCAACAAGACGCGACGCGCCCATCCACCTTTCCAGCTGCGATAAAAGAACCCCCCGTGAGTCATCCCCCACCTGGTTGTTTCCATCTTGTTATACTTCCATCACGGTCTCTGGGAGTCTCTTCCCACGCACGGACAGTCGCGTGGCACAACACGATTCCCGATTGATCCTGCAGTTGTGGCTGTTCCGATCAGCCAGCGCGTGTCGCTCCCCTCCGCCCCTGTTCTCCCCAAACATCCATCGTTCTTTCCTTTGTTTCTTTGTGTCCTCTCCATCTCTCACGATCTCATCCCGGTCGCGGCCACCCATCGGGGCCTATCCGTCCTGTCCTCTTCTCCTTCCACGAATTTGTGGCTAGAAGAAGCGGTTGTGCCTTTCGACCTTTCCTTTCTCTCCTCTCTTTGCCCCTGCCACCCAAGGAGTATCCTTGGGGGTGTTCCCGCCTGGGTGTGTCTCTGCGCTCGTAACCATCTCTTACCGCTCGCCCATAAAAAACCCCGTCTTCATTTCTTCGCCGGTCGCCCTCATACCTTGTTGACTATCCTTCTCATACGTCATCCTGCTCCGGACGCGTACGATTCCGATTGTTCTTGGATCTGCCTCATTTTTCAGTCCGTCTTATCGTCGCCTCTCCTTCTTTCCCCACCTTTCATTATACAATGCAAGGGCGTATGCTGACTCTCTCCAGATATTGCAGATGGTATACGCAGACCCAAAGACACAGTCACCGCTTCCTTCCCCCGCTTGGCGTAAAGCACACACTGCACCCACCCATATCGAAGACATCACCGTCAACATGGCCAGCAGTCCCCTCCCTACCATGCCTCGCCGGGCATCCTCCTCCAACTCTTCCACGTCTAGGAAGGGTCTCCCCAGCCTGTCCCGACAGTCGAGTGCCAACAGCTCACCCTCAAAGCCCTTGGAAGGCATTCCTCGGAGGGCGTCTTACCACTCGCCACGGCCCTCTATATCGGGGATGCCTTCAGAGAGTGGTTCCTTGGGCCTCAAGCTGCACGGCAGTCCGACACCGGGCAAGACGAGCCCGCCCAAGAGCAATGGCGAGTCGTCGGTCCCCACCATCAGCTTTGATCCCAACTTTACTCCTTCACCACGCTCTTCTCCAGCCCGCAGCCCTCTGTCCCCTCCTGCTGCGTCGTCTCGGCCCATGGCTAGACGAAACTCATCTGGGCACGTTCGGGGCTCTGCGTCCGCATCCATTCCCTTTCCTTCCTCTGCCTCAACTTCAGAGCTCCCGGCACCTCCAATAGCATCCCCATCCTGGCGCCCGAGTACAATTCGCAAAAAGTCGGGCGAGCTCGTCAAGCCGTCGCTCAAACTCCGGTCAATGTCTACACCCGACCTCACGCGGCAGGCCGAACCGGAAAGCCCTGGCCCTCATGGATTCGGGGAAGAGCGCTCAAAGAGTGTCAGGTTTGCCGACTCGAGCGAGGGAGATTCGAGCGCTTTGGAGAATGTCGTGTTGTTCTTGAGGGAACAAAAGGTGACTGCCGTCAGAAAGGCCATCGACCCCGACGCGCACATGACAGAGACCGAGACGGAGGGGGAGACGGATGCTTCGGATTTTGTCCAGTTCCGCACGCGCAAGAATGCGGCTGCAAAGGCAGCCGACGAGGCCAACCAGATCCAGCTCCATGGGGCGAGTCGAATACCGCGAAAGAGGACAGATTTCTCGCCGGATGCTAGAGGCAGTTTGACGGGTGAAAATGTCATCTTGGAGAGAATCGAACTGCAGACTGCGAATGGGCTGTCGTTGAGAGGATCAGTCATTGTGAGAAACTTGGCCTTTTCCAAGTGGGTCGCTGTGAGGTTCACTATGGACCACTGGCAGTAAGTTTTCTCACTTGCCAACACGTGCCCTCGCTGACATCTACCCAGGACCGTGTCAGAAGTGTCTGGAACACATGTCTGTCATATCCCTTCAGGAACTACGGGCGACGAAGGCTGGGACAGGTTCAGTTTTGCCATTCGTCTGGAAGACTACAAGCGCAAGATTGACGAGCGTCAGCTTGTCATGTGTGTGCACTATTCCGTCGAGGGCAAAGACTGGTGGGACTCGAATAATGGCATTAACTACAACTTTACGTTTAAGAAGTCTGCTTCCAGACGTGCAAGCCGTACGTCTGGTCCAGCCGCTTTGGGCGGTAGCTTCATGCGGCTCAACGAGCCTTCCACCTCTCTTCCGGGTCTTCGCAAGAACACCGCTACGCAGCCCTCCCTTGGCATCAAAAAGGTCTTTGGGAGCAGGCCTCCTTCTGGCCTCAACGACTGGGTCTTCCCCAAGTTGTCGCAGCGTGTGCAAGAACCCTCGACTCGCCCCGACTCTCCCCTCCAGAGCCCCCCTCCGAAAGCATACAAAGCCCCCGCTCCGCCTACCGTCCACACCCACCTCTCGCTCTCCAAATACTGCGCCCCTTCCCCACCTCTCTCGCCCCCGACTGAGACGTTCCCAGCACACTCGGCAGTGGTACAAGAGGTTTCCAGGCGTGGAAGTATGGGAGTCATGAGTGGTGGGTATGCCACGTTGGAGCCTCCTGTGCATGAGAGAAGGAGTAGTTGGAATGGGCAGGAGAGTAGCAAAACGTATGAGGAGCCGCGCGAGAGCGGGGATAAGACGCCGGTGGCCATGCAATCGCCCGCTGTTGAGGTGCAAAAGGAGTCGCCAGCGTCCCCCCACAAACCCTTGTCGGCCAAGCGGTCGGTGGGCGACCTTCGCTCGCTTGTACAAGAAGCAGAAAGCGATAACGGCCTTATGACGCCGCCTTCGTCCAACCTGTCTTCCCCGCCTACGCCGAGGTCGGACTTGCCGCCAGAGCTGACGTCTTCTTCAACGGGAGATTCGTCGCCGATGAATACTTCGACCGAATCTACACCGGACGTGGAAAGCATGGCCATTGATATTGGGCCTGGAGCGGAGCCAAGTCATCCCAAGGATCACAAGGTGTTCTCCACGGGCAGCTACCAGGAATTCGTGAGTCTACAAGACGCCCCAGTATACACCTCTGACCGAGACTATAGCTTGACAAGTTCTGCTTCTTCCAGTCCCCGCGCGCCACACCCAGTGAACTCGCTCCCAACAACCGTCCCTCCTACATTCCCCTCAGCGGAAATCAATCTCCCAACGGTTTCCCCTTCTTCCACCCGAACGCCTCTCAGTCGCCGCGTACCACGCCCACGCCCACGGCGCATTACGCTACGGCTCAGGAGGCGTTCGGCTTTAAGCCTGCGTCCCAGGACTCGACACCGACCAAGCGCGATGGCTTCAGACCCATGGCCCATCCCCAGCCGGTGGACGCTACATTGCTCACTGGCTACCATGCCAACCCTGCTGATACTATGGCTTGGGCGCAGATACACGGCAACAACTCGTCGCCTTCTTTGGCTGCTGCCATTTAGAGCTCAGCCTCTTTCCTTATTACCCCTGGACCCCTGATTTACAGGTGTCTTTGTCTTATAATTTTGTGTTTTCATGTTGACCTGTAACATCATTCTTCTCCTTTCCTTGCATGTTCTCTTTCTTTCTAACACTGCATCGCTTTACAACCCTGATTTCTCGTATAGCCTCGAGCTTTATTTGCTCAAACATTGCTCGATTTATCCATCGCAGTCCAGAACATGCTATCTATGTAGCTAACGCTTTTCTCTTACTCCTTTTACCTGTTCTTGTATATACATAACAATTCTCTAGATGGTTTTCTCAATTCTATATCTATGTTTCGATATCAAAGTATCATCAGATCAGACTCCAAAATTGGAATGCATCATTTCCCGTCCACAAAGTCTGGCAAAGCAAAGGTCGGCAAAGGCATACATATAGGTCAAGTGATACAGATACGTGTTTAGAAACTAAGAGTCTTGTATATAAGAAGCATAGTTATACAGTCCTATGGGACAGGAATCACTCTGACTTTCAGTTCGAAGGCGACCCAGCACCAGGCTGACCTCCGTTCCATCCAAACCAGCTACTCTTCCTCCCTTCCAAGCCAGGCCTGTTGGGATCCTCCATTCCTCGAACTTCATCCTTTCCAATCTGCTCATACCCTTCATACTTGGACCCGAGAGAGTCGGACGAGCTGTTGGCGGAAGGCCTGCTGGGGGTGGAGACGGAGCGACTGTTGGTGTTGGGCACTGCGAATCCCTTTGGCGGGGCTCGAGCAGAAGAGAGAGAACCGTACTGCTGCTGGACGTCATTCAAATTAGGGTTGCTTCCATCCCTACTGCTCCCAGGCCCAGCAGCATAGGCCATCGTCCTTGAGCGAAGACTGGGGTCAGACTGCTCCCGGTGAACAGCTCCGGTGGGGACAGGCGTGGGCATGGTCATGCTTTCGGTCACTTGGGAGGCACCGGAAGAGCTGGACATGGAGCGAGAGTGGACGGCGCCCTGGGTGCTTTGGCCAGGTTGGGTGGGTTGAGAGCGAGCGGCATTGAGAGCTGTGACAGCCACGGGCAGATAACTACAGACTTGATCAACACGACGAATAGGAGAGCAACGTGGAAAGACTTACTTGCCAGCGTACTTGCTAGCAAAGCGGAAGACCGACTGCAAAGCCCCTGAAGCGGGGTCATTCAGCGTCGGAGGCTGCTGCCCACCTTGGACAGGATGAGCATTGTCGCCCGCAGGTCGACCTTGGCCTTGCATCTGAGCGAGCATAGCAGCCGCTTGCATTTGCTCTTCCGGCGTGGACAGCTAATCGCAGAGTCGATGAGTTGACGGCGAGACGAAGCGGGTGGGAAGGCGCTTACGTTGAGCTGCACTTTGGCCTTGTTCCAAGCCCAGGTCAGAGCTTCTATCAGAGCTCCGCCAGCCCGGCCTCGGAGAGAAGCGAGGAAGTGATCAATATCACGTTCGTGCTCATTGAATAATGGCGCGAGGTGAGCTCGATAGACATAGGAGGACGCCTGGTACGATCATAGATTAGCGACAAAGAACCCGCCAATTTATTTAGAAGCGGAAGACCTACCTCTGACTGCGGAAGGGACAAGGCGAGAAAGACGAGCGTCTTGAAGAAGCTGTAGAGAGGAAGCCTGAGATTGTTGTAAGTACTTGTAATTCTGTATGAAGTCCATTTCATAAACACCTACCAAGTGAAAGTCCAGCCGATGACAGCCTCGACCGCGGTCCAAGTCCCGACGACTGCCCAGTACATCAACCACCTCTCGACCTGTGCCATGGCTTCTGGAGAAGACTCGGGATGTTGCGAGAGGGCCTTGTAAGAAGCATAGGCGGGGTAGAGATACGAGCAAACATTGCTACGGTCGCATCAGGTCAGCCTGTGACGGCGGGAGAGAGGAATATGGAGATGGATATTCCGCCACTCACCAGGACCACCTGCAGAGAAGTCCGAAGATCATGGGGAAGCGATGGGCGTTGCTGGAGGGGGTTGCTGTCGACAGCGATGGAAAGGAGAATGGAAGGGCCGAAATAACCATGCACTGCCGAGTGCGTCAACACCGGCCATCGCCGCCGCCGGGGCATGAGATGGGCAGGTGCATCGGGCATGCTACAGGCAGACACGGAATATATGCAATACATGCTCTCGGATAGATATATGCTCGTTCAGAAGGGTAGATAGTATGCAGCAGTAAGATGGTCACAATCGATCAACAGGCGGTCGTTTCAGGGCATGGTAAAGGGAGAGAAATGAGCAAGGCTGAGAACAAAGACGGTCAAGCCTAGTAATCGTCGTCGGCAGCCTCGCTAGAGTCATCACCAGTAGCAGCATCTAAATCGCACATGAGCATCTCCTAAAAGAGACAGTAAGGAACCTCAACTCACCTGGCAAGAATTCACTGTCGTCGTTCCTGACCCCCGGCAAGGTCTTCAACCCAGTCATTCCACCCCCTCCCCCTCCTCCCCCTCCACCAGTGGAAGAGCTCGCAACAGATATGACAGACTTTTCCGGGGAAGAAACAGGAGAGGAGTTGAATGTGGGTTGACGGTTTGTCGGGGGGCGCCCAAGTTTGGAAGGGGGCAGGGCTTGGCGAGGGAATTGGGGTGTAGAGGCAGGAGTGGCTAATTGCCATCAGTATGGCAATAAGGATAATGTGAGGTGACATACTAGGAGCAGAGGCGAGCTTGGCCTTTTTGGTTTTGGGCGCAGGCTTGGTCGGAGAGATGTTCCTTTTGCCTGTACCATTTGCGGTCTCTGCGCGCATCCAGTCAGTCTTGTCCATTGCACTCGAGTCATAGGTCTCACTCTTCTTCTTGCTAGAAGTACTGTCGGCATCAGAGGTCCACTCGCCGCCGTCGCTCCCCAGATAAGGCGATGGACTGGACCGATCGTGGCCTGTCCCCAATCGGGCCTTTACAGCCGCAGACCTTGCCGCCACTCGTCTCGTCGATCCACCCAAGTTCAAGCACTTTGCGAGGTGCGGAGCGTATCTGTTTGATGCAATCTGTATATCCGCATACCGTCAGTGACCGCGCTTATCGAGTAGAAGGCGGTGACTGACCGGCCTAGAACAGACGAGACAGTCGAAGAAGACATTGCCATTCGAATCCATCCTTCCACTGCCGCTCCCTATCCCTGTGGCTCCCCCTGTACCCTTCTCGGGTCCCACGGCGTATCCTCCGGTTCGTCCACCAGGTTCAGAAGCCAATTGCGGTGTCTGGGCTCGCGAGGAACTACCGGAGCCTTCTGCGCGGGACGCTTGGACCGAGCTCGAAGAGCTGGTAGGATTGGAGGGCAGAACAGGAACATGGCTTCTGCACCTATCGCGCATATATTCGTCAGCTACTCTGTTGCGCAGGGGCCAGAGAACCCAAGTACTTTGTACCACATGTTCCGCAGATGGCCCTGCCTCGCTTGATCTCGCGATGGGCCGATATGGCGGTGGTGAGGATGAGGTCGTCTAGCATTTCGTCAAACATCGAGCTGGCCTGGGGATGGTTGTGAGCTATTCTGTGCGTAACGAATCAGCCAGAATGGGGACGTACGACTGCCCGGATCTCGTCCTTGAGCGACATTGTTGCGTGGGTAGAGTGGGCAGGCGGACAAATGGCCGGTCATGTATGTCTCAAACGGTGCGCCTTGGGTCGAGATGTTCCTTGTCAAGACGAGATGGCTATAGAGTCAAAAGTATACTCTTAGAGATAGCTGATGAGATGGAGAAAGAATGAAAGGAAACATGATTTTGCGGGGTTGGCCCAATCTCCACTCCCGGCGCCCGACGGTCTTCCGCTCATCTCCTCTTTCATCTGCACCGTCTCCATACAAGCCCCATGTCCCTCGCCGTCCCCTTCCTCCTCGCCCCTTCTCTCCCCAGCCAGACGAACGACCATGCGCTGCCGGTCCAGCCGACGCATCTTGTCTCCTGGACGGACCCTTCCGGCGCTCAGCATACCGCGCTGACGGGGGAGGACAACACCCTCTGGGTAGTATCAGCAGAGATACGAAAGGGGCCAAAAATACCGCATCCTAGAGAGGAGAGTATTCTCCCAGATCTGCCTACGATTCGATCAATAGACTCCCCCACCTCGCCAAGACACTCCCGGTCTCACTCCAGGCCCAGGACCAGTCAGCGCACGCCTTCTTTCAGTCACCGCCCCCGCACCATCTCATCATCGTCTCTCTCTACTATAGGATCAAGTAAAAGGCTTGCAGGTGCATTCTCCCCGCCCCTCGCTGCACATCAGCTGCCGACGGCCACCTTGTCTTCGGCTACTGCTGCTGCTGCCCCGCATGATCATCTTGCACACACGCATTCCCCTTCGGATCTTTCCGGCAGCTCCGCAGAACGAAGAGCCAGTAAATCTGATCTTGTCGAGCATCTGAAGGAACATCAAGAGAAGGACCGCAATGGGCGCAATCCCTCGGGGCTCGTTGGCCTTGGGCTTAGGAGAGGGGTCGCAGGGGTATATGGACAAGCAGAGCATAGCGAACATTCGGGCTCGACGTCGCCGAAATCGTCTTTATCCCTGGCGCTCTCGACTTCAACGAATGAGACTGTCTCCGGGTCAAGCAAGATGTTTCGGTTTCTCCGTCGAGGCTCGGATGATGATGAGGCTGAAAGCAGAGACCTGGATGAAAGAATGCAGGAGATTCAGGTGGAAACAGAGATGGAGAAAGAGAGGAAGGATGCTCAGAGGGCAAAGGAGGATATGGGGAGGATTGAGCGGGCGATAGGCAAGAGCCCAAGGGTACCCGGTGTGGATGAAGGCAAGAGCCACGCAGAGGAGCATGGATGTGAGTGGGGCAACAGAAAGGTGTGGAGGATCGTACTCCGACAGGTTGGCCGAGGCAAGATTGTAAGCCTCAACGCTTATCTCGACCTGGGTGTACTGGCCGTGCTGAGGGACGAAGGGTGAATTGAATATCAACTTTACGGGAGACGGTGCTGACTCGTGTAGTCTTTTAGACCTGTTCTCTCTGGACGGCCTGCAGTCTGTGGCATCTGTTGACCTTGACGCCCCATTAAGCAGCCCATCGTCCGGTAAAATCCCAAAGCTGGACAATTACTGGTCCTGGCGCAGCCTACATCTCGCTAGGTCGGATGGTGTGAGTGCTCTGAGCCTATGCGGTGGTCATGCTCTGACCGAAATACTCAGAAATTCATGCTGTTGGCGCATGGCCTCCCATGGCCGTGTGGGGTACCCGGTCCTAATGGTGAACTTACCCGTGTCATTGCTCTCACAGTCGACTGTCAGGAAAAGGAAGTGAAAGCCGTAGCTAGACTGGAACTTCCTGGTGAAGGGGATGTTGGGGTGTGCCGTGGATCTGGTAAGGCTTTCAGGATTGTCACTGACTTCAATAACTGAACCCCTATCAGAGAACTATTTGCTGCACGCCACACCCACCTCTTTGATGTCTTACCCCGTCATATTTGCCCCTGATGATCACCCTTCCAAGAGCCCGCTAGGACAACAAGCTCGGCACGTCTCAGCAGCCTTGCCCTCTCGCTCGTCTACACCCAATATCGCGTCCTCTGCCGGCTCCGTGATAAAGTCTCGCTCGTCGTCAAATCTCACTTCAGACCCCTCCCACCATCCATCACCCGACACTTCTGAGAAAGAAAAGAGCATCCACAATTTCCTTTCTCTTCCCAACGGTCCTCACTGGCCTTCTCGAAAGAAAGAACCCGAGAAGGCTGAGGAAGCGCTCCCATCTGCAGGGCTGGGCGAGGGTAGGGAGGTGGAAAGGGATGGGTATGGACACTGGGAGAGAATGGTGTTGGGAGAAGGCGGAGAAGGGGAAGGGGTGGGGTGGAGTGAGTATGGTGTTGATGTGAGTGTCCCGAGAATCTTTGACGAGTAGGTGTTGACTACGAATCAGGTCTTCTCGTGCGATGGAAAGAGCATGCAAGTGAGGGGGTCGATCCCTGTCCAAGTCAAAGCAGGTGAGACTTTGGACATAAAGCGAGTCTTGTTTTCTCCGCGGTGGCAGCAGGTCGCTCTGCTTGATAAGGAGGGGAAACTTGAGATATGCGTGCCTTCAGCGGATACTTTACCGGGAAACAGGTTCAAGTATGTTCGAACATGACATATCTGAAAACTCCGCTGACTTTTGGTACCAGTTTTGCACGGGTTCTGTGCCAGCAAGATATCGCAACTATATATATATCTCCTTCATCCACCTTGTGGACTGCAGGCGCAAGCTCGGTACGAACCATCAACCTCTCGTCACTTCCGTGCGCCGGCGAGTCAGATATGATAGAAAGGAAGACATGCCTCAAACTTCTCGCCCCAGACCAAAACCTCAGAGTCGATAAGGGAGAGTTCAGTCATATCGTTCCGTATGGCTTGGAAGACGCTTTTCTCGCTGATTGTAAGTCGTTATCTCCCCTGTTCTAAGATGCCACTAACTCTCCAAAGTCCAAGGCAATATACTGCGACGGAAATTGACCTCTATTGTGTCTCCCAGCTACCACTCGGCTTCGATCAAGAGCAACAACGAAGAAGATGAGAATGATCCTTGCGTCGATCGCCTTGACGCGCCGGTCACGTGTATGAAGATCCTCCGGGCTTCTAGTCCGGGAGGAGAACGACAATTATTGGCAGTCGGGGATGAGGACGGTGTCGTCCGAATCTGGACCGTAGAGTAAGTCGGCCATGGAATATAGACATAGAGGCTTATGAGTTTACAACAGAGACTTTACATTCCAGGGGTCATGGACGCTTTTTGCTTGGCCTGTAGAGTCGTTTGCAGTCCTTGACAAAGCGCAAGCGGGCCCTCTTCAGAACTGCTTGCTGGCCGCTTCCCGAGCAGGGACTGTGGCAGTACTAGGACTGGATGAGATGGAGCCGTAAGTAACGAAGTTTCAGAGCCGTTACCCCAAAACTGAAACGAGTCGATAGCCGATTCACAATACCCGCTGCCCGATCACCTCTCCGTGCGATTCATGTCTCCAACCGTGACATCCTCTTGGCGTACGCAAATGGCAAAGCGAGAGTCTGGAACACAACTACTCACGAGTTCAGACGGTCGACAGGTTTGAGCGCGGTTGAGGATATGCTTGCAGCCGGTGACTGGTTAGAGATTGACCTTCATTGCTCAGGCAAGGAAGAACCTATCAGTTTAAGCAACGTGGGGGGTAACGTGTATAGCGGACTCGGCCGACTGCTTATCTTGGACCTGCGTCTGTTGTCCAAATGGTTGCACTCGGCCAAAAACAATCCTTCGCATAGTCCACTAAGGGCTTTGAGGATGTTGCTGTCTGTATTTTTGACGTGGGGTATCAATGACGGCATCGACAGAATCTGTGAGGAAGAGTTGGGGATCGGCAGGCTAGAGAATGGTGTCGTTGTTGGCTGTGGTGATGAGTAAGTTGGGTGTACTGTTGCCAGAACTTACTGATCGATCTATAGGTCATATAAACTCGCCTATGCTAGTGGCGCGGACGTTTGGCGGGCATCTGAAAGGGTTACGGGACTCAGACTACTCACCATAGTGGCTCTCCTGCGACCGTTCTTGAACTCTCCAGGTGAATCGTATTTCATTTTTGCAGTGTTCACGCAAAGCTGACATCGCGCAGATATGGAGCCCCGAGCAGCAGAAGTCATTGCGTTCTACACTTCGTCTCTACCAGCAACAATAGTGGAGCCGGACTTGCAGTTCTTTGCTGGGTACTACATGGACTTATCAGGTGAGCAATGCACACAGCTTGTCAAGATGGTTTGCTGATATACTGTCAGTCGACGTCCAACAAGCTGCGAGGATGTTGTTCGCTTCCAGAGTCAGCCGTTTGTCGGAGAGCGATGTAGAGGAGCTTGTCGAGTTGATTGAACATGATTGTGGGTACAGTCAAGATACTCTCAGAGCTGACTAGTATATAGTACCTGTCCATCAATCAGGCACGGCAAGGTTCAGCAGTCAAGCCGCCAATGCACTTACAGTCCTAGGAGGCATTGCACTGCAGAGGTATCAGAGTATGCAGATAAGGTAATCCCATTCAAATCACCAGATAAATGTCACTCATCAGTTTGCAGCGTGCTCAAGGCTCTTTCAGAGTCGGTGAATCTCTTCCTTCATGATCCAAAGGGTCTTCATCTATCGTTGGCTGTGGAAATCTGCTCGAAGGGTTTCACCACTTGGCAAACATACGTGGACCCTTCGAATCTTCTCCGTCGCCTATTCTTCCTCGCTACCAATAAAGAGCCCCCGTCCATGTCTCCTACGATCCTCGCATTGTCAACCACTGTTTCGGCTCAAGCGCGCCTTGCGGTGCTCCATGTGGCGTCCTCCAACCCCCCGCTGTTCATGTCAACGTTGTCAATGGACATTCTGGACGCAAAGACTGCAGAGAGCAGGAGCGCTATCATGAAGCTGTGTGTATTCATGGCGAGGAAGAAACCCGCGGTGCTGGAAAATGGACTGCCGAGAATTGCCGAAGCGGTCGTGAAGAGTCTCGATCCAAATCTGGGCAAGATGAGAGATGATGTCTGGCAAGCAGCCACGGTCATTTTGAACGAGCTTGTGCTCGCGTGAGTTTGTTATCTGTCGAATGAACTCTTTGACTGACTATCTTTAGCTTCTCGACGATAGACTTTCACAGCGGTACCCAGCGCCTGGCAGTTGGCACCCACGAGGGAGCTGTCATCATGTATGACCTCAAGACCGCTTCCCGTCTCTATGTCCTTGAACCACACAAGGCTCCGGTATCAGCTGTTTGCTTCTCCGCCGATGGTCGACGGCTTCTGACTGTATCGCTTGAGGAAGGACTGGTAACAGTATGGAAGGTTGGGAGCAGTTTGAGCGGATTCTTCAATGTCGGAGGACCCCCTAGACAGGGTGGAGAGAAAGGAGAGCCGTTCAAAAAGATAATGTTCAGGCGGGCCGATGATCGTAAGTCAGTAATCATGCTGAAAGAATTGGACTGACACGCCATGCAGAACCGCTCAACTCCACATCAGCTTTGAGCGATGTACAGATTACATGGCTGGGTGCGCGCCAGGCGAGGGTGACGATAAAAGAAACCGCTTTAACATTTGAAACGTAAATCGATGCGCATTTTGACTATTATGTCGCATCATGAAGTAGATACACATCTACATGAAGTCTGCTGCCCCCTTTCTCCCGGCAAGGCGAGGCACGATGGCAGGTTTCTCTATCCAGTCTCCTTCGTCATATACCTCAACATCGTCCTTCTTCTTCTTATGTGTATCTTCCACGGACCCATCTCCCTCTATCTTTTCTCTTAACTCTTCGTTTTTTCTATCCCTCTCCCTCTTTTCTTCTCTCAGAGGTTTCTTCTTCTTCTTCTCCATATCTCTTTCCCTTGGCTCGTCCTCCTCTCCGTCTTCCCCCACATCGAACGACAATGCACCCTGGCTCTTCCTTTTCTTATTCTTCCTGTCTTTCTTGTCCTTCTTTCTGTCTTCCTTGCTGCCCTCGTCGTCCCTATCTCTATCTCGTTTGCGACTGAAGACGGGTTTGAACGTAGCCAGGTCCACCGGCTTCTCTTCTCTCGGTGAAGGCGCTTTGGGCGGAGGGAAAGGATCTTGATAAAGCTCCCTCCCCGCCGGTACCTCCGCCTCCTTCGTGTCCACTTCCCCATTCTCGTCCTCGTCCTCGTCATCATCCTCATCATCGGCAAAAATGGCCTCGAAGATATCAATGCTCGGCTTCTCATACGTCAAGGTATCTCTGCCTTGATTGATATCATCCGCCATGCCCACTTCGGAGATGTTTGTCGGTTGGCGCTCGCCTCCCGCCTGAACCTGATCTTGAGGGGGTGCTTCCTGAGAGGAAGAGGGTGAAGTAGGTTTGTGGATGAATTTGGATTCCCAACTGGCATCGTTCGACGGCAGAGGCATTCCTTCCATTCCCGTACCCTTCCCCGACGAGGCGCCAGCAGATTGTTCGGCGGGCGGCCCTTCTGGATGTGGATCTGCCACGCCGAATCGCTTACAGACAACTTTGACGGGATACCAGACTTTTGACTCTCTCGTCGCTCTGCCCCAATTGCCATCTTTCGCCGCTTGCTCTCGAGGAGTCAGGATCTTTTGCTCCACCGCCGGTTCCTCGGCTTTGGCCGCTTCAATAGCCGCTTTCGCCTTTTCCGCGTCAAATATATGGAGGCCTGGTTTGGCCTGCTTTAGGTCGGACGCTGCCAGCGAAGAGGAACCAGCGGTGAATCGCGAAGACATGGCAAAAGGCATGGGCTTGAAGATCCTCGCACTTTCGGCAAAAGATTGCAGTTCGGCGTTGATATCGTCCATACTTCCCGAAGGCAGCAGCGTAGGATTCGGTTGTTTGGTGTTGTACGTCTGGGATAGGAGATAGCTCTTGTACCGCTCCTGTTTCTGCTCGTCGTCGCCATATGGCGCGTAGCCCTTGAGAGCGGCCGACGCTGTACGAGGCGATAACGGTGGGATCTCTACCGAGGTTGCTGGAGCACGAGGTGCAGAAGGGTCTTCGTCTTGCGGCTGAAGAGAAAGCGGGGGTGGTGGCGGGGCTTGGGAAGAGAGGGAGGCGAGACGTTCTTTGTCTTTTTGGGTGATCCATTCAAAGACGGACTGGGCTTGAGATATGCGTGTCTCTTCGCCAAGTGCAGCGCCTCGCTAGATGGTCGTCAGATATGAAAAATTTAGAAGCAAAGCGGGCAACTCACCTGATCATGCCTCAACGGTCTCCCGGGTTCACCGCGTATAGAAGGTCTCACCATCTTTTTCTCCCCCGGCTGTTCATCCCACTTTCTCGTCGTGCCCCACACTCTCGCAGGCCTTGGTCTCCAGTCCGCAGGTATTTCTGGCATCGGAAACCAAGTATCCTGTGACACGCCTTTGGGGTCGAGCACGAACCGAGGCAAGATGGGGCGGCCGTCGTGCCATGTGTCATGCGATACTGAGGTCGAAGAAGGGCGAGAGGTACTCGAACCCAAACCAGCTTTCGGGCCAAGAGTGATTATCTCGTCTTCTGGCTGTTCGTGATTGTCAAACGCATAGTGACTGCCGGAGGGCCCAGCAGAGTATGGGTCGTCGTCGTCTTCATTCAAGAATCTCGGCCCAGCCGCTGACGCTGTGAAAGTCAACTGGGGTTCATCGTGCATGAAATCCGACTTACGCAGTCTGTTCAAGCCCTTCCCTTTCTCATACCCAAGGCCCATCTTGTCGCCTTTGCCTTCATATACCAGCAGTCTCACATCTCTTGGCGCAAAAGTATGTTTCCCAGCGACCTCCTCGTCCATCGGCTCGTTCTCGTTTGTCGTACCCAAGCGAGACTTGCCAAGCTTGCCTTCTTGTATACGAAGCCTGCGAAGAGTGACCCGAGGGCCGATGCCTTGACCCGGTCTCCAGCCGAGTTTCTGGAGAAGCTGTTGGCCTATTGAGGATTGGGCGGGGGCGATGAGTGATTCAAGAGCTGATGGCAAGCTACATAGGGTCAAATGATATCAAGCAGGACACAGGACTACTCACTTTCTGTCCGCCAGTGGTTCTCTCTGGCCTGCAAATCCTTCATCCTTGAAAGTGTCGGTATTCTCTAAACGTCGATCATCTTTCATTTGTTGAATGTCTTCGTCGTCCATAAAGTCCTCGGGACGCTGGAATTTGTTGGCGCGATTAGATCGGCTGGATTTGAATGTCGACGGTGCCCATCCTGCCAGAATGGTCAGTCAAGAAAATCTCACGAAGCAATATGCCTACCTTCTTTCGACCCTACAGTGTTGTAGTAGCTAGAAAAAGGGTCAGTACGAGCTTGAAATCTGAATGGAAAGACATACCCGGCAGAGTAGCCTCCAGTAAACGCGCCATGAAACCTCCGCCTCCCTTGCTCATCGGTGACTTCCTGCTTCCACTCTGGGACATACTCAAGCTTGTCCTTCTTGGTATTCGCCAAAGCGGGCAGAGGCGTGCCGACCTAGGGCATGTCAGTGCCGATCAGAGAGTCTGTGGGATGCGCACCTGGACAAAGGACTCGTTGAGATATGCGCTGTTGAGGTTTACCTGGTCGAGCTCGAGCTTGTGCTTGAGCCTGGAGGTCATTGTGCCCTGCTCGCTCGAGAGTGAAGTGATCTACCTAGTGATACAATAATAGTGATATGATCAGCAAACCGAGCGGCGCTGTCCGCTGTCACGTGACGGCTTATTTGGTGACAACCCGCATCTCTCTCCATCTTTCTCATCTCCCTCATAGCCCCCATGTCCCTCCTCGCAGCCTCCCTCGCAGGCGCAAAGTACCAGGTCTCCACAAATGAGGAGCGCGAGTCCTCCACAAACGGCGCAGCAGAGGTCCGTCTATCCACATCCCATCCCCCAGCTGCTCACCCCATCGCAGTTCCAAAGGCGAAAGAAGTGGCCCGAAGTCCTTCTTAAAGAGCTCGTGGGATGTGCAGTCTTCTGTATCAAGCCCAGTCTTAGTCCAGACAGTCAACAGTTCCAGAACGGCGAAGCCTGGAGCTGGAGGGTAAGTCATATCAGTCTATGCCCCGCCGCCTATTGACGTCGATACAGACCGTCTATGCGTCCCCGTCCGTAACTGAAATGCTCGGCAAAAGGCCCAATGAACTTGAGGGCAAAGACTTTCTCGATCTCGTCTTGTGTATGTCCTGTCACTCTCGTTGGTTCAAAGCCTGACGCAATCCTAGCCCACGATCGTCCTCAGCTTGAATCATTCTTCAACACCCTCCTCGCCCCACCCCTTCTCAACATCAACCCCCAAACGATATCCCCTCTTACCTCAACCTACCTCGGCGAAAGCCACACCACGTACATACGCATGAGTTCCCGTGCCCCCCCGATCTCGCGCAGCAACTCGGGAACCAATAGTGGGTACAACTCTGGTTCTTCCTACTACGGGACGCCCTCGGGAAGCGGGAGGGTGGAGCCGGTCGTTTGGGAGATCAAAGGCCATGCGACTGGTATAGGAGAAGACCTGACAGAAGGGAGTGGAGGTGGGGATACGTTGAGAATGGGGGCGGACGGTACGGTCATTCCTGGCGCTGGAGCGGAGAGCAGCGGTAAACACAAAGCCATCTGGCTGATGGGTCGCCGCGTTGGTGAAGGAGCTACGGACGAACAACAGTCCCACGACGCGTTTATGGAGGTGAAGCTGGAGAATGAGCGTTTACAAGCCGAATTACGCGACCTCCAGATAGAGTACGGCGTCGACCCATCAGAAAGACTCTACAGGGGCGGGGACGCCGGCTCCGACGCTTCTTCTCCTAGATCCGATACGACAGAACCTGTTACAGACGTCAAACGGAAAGGCAAAGCTGGCCGGCCGCCCAAGTCTGGCATCAAACCCTCCGCTCTCGGGTCTGCCAAGAAGCAGAAAGCCGCGGGCAGGGATGGGGTCAAAGACGGGGAGACAATGTACGTTTGTGTCACGTGTGGGAGGACGGATAGTCCAGAGTGGAGAAAGGGCCCGCTGGGACCAAAGACGCTTTGTAATGTAAGTGGTGCTTCTATCGTGTTTGTGGTCACTGCTGATACATGTCAGGCTTGTGGGCTGAGATGGGCCAAGCGTAACGGGGCCAACAACAAGAAACCTCCAAAGCCCTAGTCCCTGCTCCATTTCCTGTTGAACGTGTACGAGACTGGCGAGCTCATTTTCATTGAACGTTGTGTTGATTGTATTATTTTGCATCTGGTTACACCTGCGCCTGGTTACGATGTTCTCTAGAGTAAACCCAAGTCCGACTCTAACAAGTGGTAATCTCCGACTCGGTATAAACACAGTTGTCTGAAACGCCCGACTGCAGCTTGGTAGGCTCCTCATCATTATCGCTCGTCCCCTCATACTCTGTACATATCTGCTTGACCGACGTCGCACAGGTATCGGTGATGGTAGCGACATCGCCATAGTTGGAGTTGATGCCAGCGATGACCTTGCCATTGTAGGCCTTGACGTTGGAGATGTTGACGTTGCGAGTATCGCCATTGTTCTTGCAGTCTGTGATATCGTCAGAAAGGCATCATGAGAGGGGTACGGGACGTACTGCCGCAAGAACGGTAGAGCTCGCCAAAAAAGTCGACTACAGTAAAGCCGTCGATGGTGACGTCTCCAATACCGTTGTGCTGGATGACCTTGTCTTCAGCTCCGGTGGCTCCACCGCCGATGACAGAGCCGTCGCCATCACCCTTGAAAGTGAGTGCGTCTGTATTCATTGTCAGTATCGCCAGTAGTATCATCAAAAGAAGGCACACCTTCGCAAACAGCAACCCACCAGACATTCTCGATGGTACAGCTCCCCAAACAATGAACACCCTCAATCTGATCCTCCCCAATGATGACATTCTTCAACGTAGCCCCGTCTTCCAACAAGAAGACGGCATTAGAGTTTCCGCCCTCGGCTTGGCCGGTACAGCTCACGCCACGGCCGTAGGTCTTGAGTTCGCCGTCGAACGTGCCCGAGATGGACTGGGCGGAGGAGTAGGTGACGTTGCCTTGGGAGGTGGGGACGGGGAGGGTGTAGGAGGAGGAGCGAGGAATGATCTGAGGAGTGGCAGAGCTCATGGCGAGGAAGGGGAGGAGGGAGAGGAGAGTACTAGCGAGCATTGTTGGTTGTGATTGTTGTGGTGATAATCAAGGGATATAGGAGTGTCTTGATAGACTCGTAGTTGAAGCAAGTTGAATGAATGGAATGTAGTAAGGAATGGAAGTGATTCAAGGCGAATCGATGACCAACTGTGGGGTTGTTGAAAGAGAGACTGGTCAGGAGCGGTTTTTATATGTGTGGTGAGCAGTCGAGGGGACAAGTCAAGTGATATCAGAAGTTCGCATTGTCTATCCAATCATCTCGGATCAGACATTATCTTGGAGACAGTCGACCGACCTGTGCAATCCGGGCCTCTCCAGGCAGTCGTCACAATCCAAGACATTCTCCAGAGGTCACTACAAAATCATGCAAACAGCCATAAATTCGCTTACAGTGTATGTTCCTTGTGCGATGATGGACATAGATTGAGCGGGATTGACAGGACGGATTGCAGGACAGGCACTGACCTGCTGCGGTGGTTGGATAGGCAGGCCAAGGGGTGTGTTGAAACGATGGTCGTTGATTGGACTCTGGCCATGTGAAACACAGGTGACTGCACTCGATGGTCTCCTTGTCGACAGCCGGCGAATAAATCTCCTCGCAAGACCCGCAAAACAGTGCCAGGATTGTCTTGGAATAGACAAGCATGCCAGATTCAGGCAGTTGCATACCTTGTCCCACTCGGCCATCCGAACTCGTACAAAACCCAGCATCAGATCAGATGAGCGTCCACAAGTACTCGTACAACAAGTCGATCCGTCTCACACTGGATCTATATTCTATCCACATACACCCCCTCCTTACTCCTCTTCTTCGCTTCCTTCTTCTCCTTCTTCTCCTTGTTCAGCTTGTCCACTTCCAGCCCCTGCTCCTGTAACAGCTTATCCAGCCTTTCCTCCGTATACGTCGGAACATCATCGATAAACTCTTCGTACGTGCCAACACCCATATCCTTCACGACAGGCGCAGGCTTTGCAGGCGCGGCGAGCTTGGCTTTGGCGGGGGGAGGTTCAACGGTAAAGTAGGTGACGGAGCCGATAGTGGCAACTACGATGAGGATGATGACCGCTGCAGAACGTTAGTTCTTGTGGCTCGGTAAGGTAAGTGATGCCTCACAGATAGCTCGCCTAGTGGCATCCCATTTGACACTTTCGATCTCTGTGCGCAAGTCTCCCAATGAAATGGTAAACTTGTTGTTGATTTCCTGGACCTAGAGTCAGACGCGATCGTAGCAGCTTACATAGTGACGCACCTCGATATAGATGTCAAACCCCTTCATCTCTGTCCTGGTCTCTGCTTTCCGGTTGTTCATATCCATCTCAATACTGTTGCCAGTAAGCCGTGGTCGAGACAGTAAAGGACAGTACTTACTCGTGTTTCAGCGTCTGGATATCCTCCTTGATCTTTTGCTCCAAGCCCTCCACGTCACGCCGGATGGTTGCAGCAACAGCTTTCAATGCCAGTCCATCATTTCGCGTCTGGACGCTGAGCTCCGTCCGTAGTTCTGACAATGCAGCGTTAAAGAGGTATGCAGCCTGCTCATTGTCAGCTCATGATGCCCAAAGACAAAGGGGGCACGCACATTCTCCTGCTCCTCCTTCCCGACCATCATCCCCCTCGTCTGCTTACCCCTCTTGATAATCATGTCCTTCACACTCTCCATCAAATCCCTCGCTGTCGGTCTATCGAGCCCATTCTTCTCGAGGTAGCTCACAAACGCATGGGTGTCAAAGGGGTGCTGCAGATGGCGGGGGGTGAATCTGGGGCTTTGCGGGGGTGCTGGGAGAGAGGTGGAAGCGACGAGGCCTGGGGTGTCTTGGTAGTGTGGGTGGTCTGACGAGTCCGAGGGGGGCTGGGTGATGATGGCCTGTCCTGAATAGTCTGGTGGTGCGTGGACGGTGATGGGGCGGCGGAGGGGGCGGAGGGGGCCGAGGGGGGCGAGGGGGCCGAGGGGGGCGAGGGGGCCGAGGGGGCCGAGGGGGCCGAGGGGGGCGAGGGGCAGGCGGGGCATGGCGTCGCTGGAGAGTGCAGACATTGAATGCGTGCGATGGAGAGGTCGTCGAGTAATTACAGTAGTTACATGTTAATATGACGTGTCATTGCTCATCTCTCCATGCATCTATGTCTCTCTTGATCTCTCTCTCCTTCTCTTCTCCCTCCCTACCCACAGATAATCACCCAACATGGTACGCACTCCCTGCTCTGACTGCACCTATGCTCACATTCCCCAGGCAGGTGCTATGCACAACGCAAAGCGCGATCTCCCCAAGGTATGACTGTAGATTCACTAGACATCAGAGACAGCCAGCCCGCCTGGTCACTCTCGATATATCTCCTGTTCACAATCCCAGCTGCAATACTGACCCACTCCTTTGTCCAGGTTCGAGATGAGGAGCGAGAGGAGATGTTCGGCTCCGTCTTCTCGTACGTCCCTACCCAGCTCCTTGTACTCTCAATGACTGACAACGCAACAGTGTCTCCGGTCCCGTCGTTATCGGTGAAAACATGCGAGGTTGTGCCATGTACGAATTGGTCCGTGTCGGCCACGACGAACTTGTCGGAGGTAAGCGATCCCAAGCTCGCCATTATGGCCGTGCAGTGCAACGGAGCTGATCATTGTGTACAGAGGTCATCCGAATCGAGGCCGACCGAGCAACTATTCAGGTCTATGAAGAGACATCCGGTGTGACTGTTGGTGACCCTGTTTTGAGGACTGGCAAGCCCTTGTCCGTTGAGCTCGGTCCGGGTTTGATGACCAACATCTTCGAGTGAGTGCCCTGCCATGGCCTGGTCAAGCAAGCTGACACTGGTGTAGCGGTATCCAGCGTCCCCTAAAGTCGATTCAAGAAAAGTCCCAAAGCATCTACATTCCCCGTACGTCCTTTCGGCTCCTTTCAGCCGGGCCCCTATTAACGCGTCTTCAGGTGGTATCAACACCGACGCCCTCAGCCGAGAGATCAAATGGGACTTTAACCCCGCCAGTCTCCGGGTCGGAGACCACATTGCCGGTGGTGACATCTTTGGAAGCGTCTACGAAAACTCTTTGGTCGACAACCACAAGATCATGTTGCCTCCTAGGGCTATGGGTACCATTACCAGGATCGCTGAGAAGGGTAGCTACACTGTCGATGTGAATACAAGTCTGCTATTCTAGATTTGCGTACTGATGTGCTGTGTAGGACATTGTGCTTGAGACCGAGTTCCAGGGCAAGACCACCGGCCACACCATGATGCAGCTCTGGCCCGTCCGAGCTCCCCGACCAGTCGCCCAGAAGGAGACTGCCACCTACCCTCTCTACACTGGTCAGCGTGTATTGGACGCTCTCTTCCCCAGTGTTCAGGGTGGTACCACTGCTATTCCTGGTGCTTTCGGTTGTGGAAAGACCGTTATTGTGAGTTGTAGGGAGGCGAAAGGAAGTACTGCTGACAAGGGTACAGAGTCAAGCGTTGTCCAAGTTTTCCAACTCTGACATCATCATCTACGTTGGATGTGGTGAACGTGGTAACGGTGCGCATTCTCCTATAACCTCAATATAAAGCTGACAGGCTATGCAGAAATGGCTGAAGTCTTGGCCGATTTCCCCGAACTCACTCTTGAACGCGACGGACGTGAAGAGCCCATCATGAAGCGTACCGCCCTTGTCGCCAACACCTCCAACATGCCCGTCGCCGCCCGAGAAGCTTCCATCTACACCGGTATCACCCTCTCTGAATACTTCCGAGACCAAGGCCAGAACGTCGCCATGATGGCCGACTCCACTTCCCGATGGGCCGAAGCTCTGCGTGAAATCTCTGGTCGTCTTGCCGAAATGCCCGCCGACTCTGGTTACCCCGCTTATCTTGGTGCCAAGCTCGCCGGTTTCTACGAACGTGCCGGTAAAGTCTCTTGTTTGGGATCCCCGTCACGAAACGGTACCGTCTCTATCGTCGGCGCCGTCTCCCCGCCCGGTGGTGATTTCTCCGACCCCGTCACCAGTGCCACCCTCGGTATCGTGCAAGTCTTCTGGGGTCTCTCCAAAACCCTCGCCCAGCGAAAGCATTTCCCCTCGGTCGACTGGAACGTGTCCTACTCCAAGTACCTCAAGGTTCTGGACCCGCATTACGAGCAGCACAACCCTGGTTTCATTGATCTGAGGACGAGGGCAAAGGAGATCTTGCAAAAGGAGCAGGATCTGGCGGAGATCGTGCAGTTGGTCGGTAAGAGTGCTTTGGGAGAAGGTGATAAGATCACCTTGGAGGTTGCTAGGATGTTGAAGGTGCGCCCCTCACATGTGACAACTTGGCCTCGACTGACGCTTTGAATAGGACGACTTCCTCCAGCAGAACGGTATCTCGGAATACGACCGATACTGCCCCTTCTACAAGACTTCTGGTATGCTCAAGAACTTTGTCGCCTTCAACGACTACTCTCAGCGTGCTGTCGAGACTGGCGACTTTACTTTCGCCCAGGTGCGTCCTTCCTTCTCTCTATCATGTCGGCACGAGCTGATCAAATGAACAGATCCGAGACGCCGCGTCCGACGTCACCTACAAGCTCTCTCAAATGAAGTTTGAATCGCCCAACACGCAGAGCGAGGAGGACATTGTCAACAAGTACGAGGCGTTGTACAATGAGATCGGAGAGACATTCAGGACTTTGCAAGAGTAAAGATCACGCATGGAGTGAGAGGCAGAGAAGGGGGGTTGTAACTAGCTCTTTATTTTTGAAATAAAAAAAAATGTATGGATCCGTTATTAGATTGCATGGCGCATTCGCGCAATTGGTCTACAGGCAAAAGAGAGTCGATATCGAACAATTTATGGGCTCTGTGAACCAGCAAGCTCTCGCCAGGATGGCTCGCCCCCAGGATCAGAATTCTTTTTGTCCTGTGCATGCACCTAACCATCGAGCATATTAATGTGGCAAAAATCCTGCATATGTCCATCAGAGGAGGACACTCGAATGTTGCTTCATCTCACAAAAGGGATATCGTCTTCACCATACTCGCCACCTGGCAGCTGGAAGGGGACTACGTTCTGTGCTTGATACGCGGCTACTTTCGGGTTTGAAGCTGACTCGAGTATATCAGCGAGTCATGTCACGCTTCGGGATCATCTTGCTGCTACTTACAAAGAGGAAACACTATGCCCATATCAAAGTTGAATATCTTGGCGCGCGTCTCCTTGATGCCTCCGCCCATCGCTTTTTGCCAGTATATACCCTAGTAACAGTCCCATGAGCTTCTGATACCGTCTTCAGAGGCCGACTTGGCTACGCACCCAAGCAGACGCATAGAGCGAGTGGGTTCCGACATACATCCACCCTGACGCAGATCCGGGTGGTCTGGTTGGAGCGGACGACCCTGATGGGAGAACATCGACCGGAGTGATATCTTCAAATACGGCTGAGATGGTCTTTGGGTTGTCAGCGTCGAAAGGTAGATGAGTGAGTATCCCCAGCTTACCTTTGCATTGATGAGATTGGGTCTCTTGGGCTTGACATCCCGGAACAAGGGGCGCGTGACATGGTTGAACCCGAAACAGCTACACATGCAGCAGAGTTCTGCATTGGTATGACCGTCTGGGATACTTTTCACAGTTGGGTATAGGATCCGAAGGTGGAAGTCGGGGGGCACATCGTCTTTGCTCAGACCTGCACACTTGCCGTAAAAGTTCTTGAGCCAAGCGAGTCGATACTTGCCCAAGGTCGAGCTCTTAGAGGACATCAGCACCATGTGCGTCGCTTCCACATCTCCTCACTTTATAGGCCATGGTCATTCGACTCTCCTCTCGAGGCATCCAGCCTTCCTCTTCGAGCACCCTCTGCAACCTTCCCGAACCCACTCGTTCACTACTCGCACCATGGTGAACCCCTGGGATGCTCACGATCACTTTAAACTTGACTCGGCTGAGATCATACAGCTTCATGGTAGCTTTGAAGGAGGATTCGCTGGCATAATTGAAGTCATCCCAGTCTTCGAGGTATTCTGATAGAGGGGTTTTGTTGATGGTCTTGTAGAAAGAAGTAGTCTCGAAAACCATGTTGAATTGCGTCACCAGATCTTTCCCGAAGGCCGACGACCCCTCCGCTCCGGGAATGTTTGGCAGAAAATCTTGTACAAAGGTCAACTGTGAGAGGTATTAGCAATGCTATTTCTTCTACAGTTGTCATTTCTTTCATTTTCCCACCAGTGCCAGTCCGGCCTGCCCCATGATCCGGTGGTCAACACTAATCGCAACCTTCCAGTACTGTATCTTATCTGAACTTTTATCAGGACTTGACGGAATGCTCCACAAGTAAAGAATACTTACCCACATGAAGGCCATATTCATTGAACCGCCTACCGCCTTTTTGTTTCGCTTCCGACTGCCAGTCACGCTCTCGACCCCATTCGCGATGATTGTGGTATCCAGAAAAGAAGGTTGACAGATGACGGTCAAAACCTCGTGCGGCGGAGGCATGATCCCTGCCTCGAAAGCCCAGTCTAGATCTTCTTTGTCTTCGGCAAAGACCAGTATGTTGTCGACATTGGAATGCTAGTACGATATCAGCGTAAGTGCAGCGCCGGACAAGTCTTCCGTATCTCACCTTCCCGATGATACTGCCCAACGTCCACGTCGAGCGTTGGGACGCCGACTCCCCTCCCAGAACATTGCGCCTCATCTCGCCGTCAAGGTAATACTCGCCAGCATCATCCTCAGGGAATGGCCCGCCAGTCTGGAAAGGATGCCGTTCATCGTTCAAATCGGCGTCTTTCGGCCAAACAAGCCTCGTAATGGGTTCACGCGGGGCAGGCTCCTGTCGAGCCCAAGTCTGCGAGGCGATGCGAAGCTCCTTCTGCTCTGCCCCGACCTGTTTGCCTCGCTTCTTGTTGTCGTGTGTGGGACGGGCAGGAAGCTCCCAATCGAGGTCGCACTCCTGGATCGCCTTGTCTGTAATTTTGGCAGTGCGCCGGTCTTTGACAAGCCGGTTGAGGTCGAGCATATCTGAGGGAGGGTAACGTAGACAAGAGAGGTGATGGAAGATGAATGGCAGGACGTGAAAGATGTTGTGCTCGGGTCTGGGAGCGGTTGTCAAGCTCGGAGACGGATCAGTCCGAGAAGTGCGCTATCGTCAGCGCCTCAATGAAGACTGCTTCTGGTCTTCTCGAGTGGTATCGACTATACATCCTCATCAGTTCAACATTCGGCATCAGACCTCAATGGCTCACCGACATCCATGCATGAAGTATCTCCCGCAACATTATATACAATATGATATACAAGATGGGGCCTCGAGGGGCGCCGACTAGAATTATGGATGATCACTAATGACCAGCAATTAATGATCCAAACGTGCGTACTCTCACAGATGCAGACAAAGAAAACCACGACCACTGCCACTATGGCACACCTGTATAAACAACAATACTCTGTATCACTTCGCATCCATCTCCACCTTGCTCGGCGGTTGCGGCGGATTGCAAGAGTACCCAAACATCTCCGACAGCAGCATATCCAAAGGCGTCACCTGCTGCACGTTGGGTACATTGGGGGTCCCCACCACAGTCGGCGGTGTAGGCCTCGAGCCCTGAGCCGATTGACTTCTCGAGGTCGAGCTCAGCTCCTGCTCACTTGACGCCATCCACCTATCGGACGTATCCATATACCCCTGCTGCGGCACTGAGACACCATTACCGTGCCCCTGGCGCTGGCGAGCAAGGGCATGCACAGAGTCGAGCGTCATCTCGGTAGGGAAACCCATGGGCTCCAGGGGGCGCGCCGCTTCCTGTTCGAGTGATTTGGTCCAGTCTTCTGCTGTGCGCACCATCGAGCCAATCAGATTGCTCGCACCACTCGCTACAGTCTCACCTCCAAGCCCGTCATCGTGGATGATGACACTCACAGCTCGAAGAGCCTGTGCGAAATCTCGCATAGCGTCGAGCCATGAGCGGGGACGGAAAGCCTTGTAGAGCTGGTTGTTTGACCGTAAGATGTGAATCGTGCCGGCCTCCATCTCCATTAGGACTTTGGCAGACTCCACCGCGATACAGATGGTCTCATGCAGTGGCACGACACACGTGGAAGCAACACCATGCAGCTCCGAGTTGATAGATACGGCCAGCTCGGAGCACGCTGTAAGATTGCGTTCCATATTGACTCCGCGCTTGCGACCCCATTCCCAGACGGCCTGGACGGCAGGAGTGGCACCACCGTTGTGGTTTGTGTCACTGATGAAACGCACAATGTCGGGTGGATTACACGCGCGGGAGATGGCATACGAGACAGCACTGTGCGAGGCCGAAGGTGCAGGCAAGTCGGGGTAGGCATAAAGGGATCCAGGAAGGTAGTGGGTAGCGATGAGAGCGCGAAGACCGGTGACGTGTATCTTGCTGAACTCGTACCGGCGGCGAATCGCGCGGTAGGACATGGAACCGACTTCGATATTCCCAGAGTATTCGCGCAGCATTGCTGGCCAATGTCAGCGGATGATTACGTGGGCTAAAGAATGACCTACACATCATGCTGTCGTGACGTTGATCGATTGCGTCTGTCCGCCTCGTGTACTCGTCAAACTCTGTCAAGATACCTCTGACAGGGTCGACATTCGAGTCCGTCGTGCTATGCTCTAGAACCCCCTTGATCCTTGCCATACCATCCAAAACTTCCTCCAGCCTCGCCACCTTGTCACACAGTGCCAACTTGCCAACAAGGACCGACATGTCTTCTTTGCCGATGCCATCCTGCCAAAGGCAGCTACCCAAGTCAGTCATGCCCAGAAAACTGTCGGTGATGGTACGAGCTTCGGCGAGCTGCTTGGGCTTATGCGGGTTTGATTCTTCCAACATGGCGGCAGCTTCTGACGCTATAAGAGACAGCCAAAGCCAGATATCGCCACAGTAAAAGTTGTGTGCGATGCCGGGGCCATTGAGCAATTGCTGCACGAGCTGCTCAAAAAAGAGCTGAGCGCTGATGGCTCGAGCAGCGGCGGTGAGACCTTTTGCGACACCGAGGTTTTGCAGATTGGTCGGCTGGAGGGGCAAGACGCCAAACGGGCAGTGGGTGATAAAGAGCTCCAGCGCCTGCAGGGCAAAAAAGGTATGGGGGTGGTGTAATAGCAAAGAGTCGCGTCGCTGGTAGATGTAGGCGTCGAGGGCGTTTCGGAGGTTGTGCACTGTAACGTCTGGTGGAAGGACGGCACTGGCAAGATATACAACGGTAGCAATCAGGAGAGCGATAGTGGGCTCAGGGTTGCGTCTATACTCGACCATCATTGAGTCGAGGTCGTCGAGATGGGGGTGATAGGTCCGCAGTTGAGCCACACTTGTACGCCGTCAGCGTACGCCCACAAGAGGGAGGAGGCTGAACGTACCCTTTTCTCACCCTTATTCTCATGTCGTCGTCAACGAGGTCTTCCAGTTCGACCTCATCATCCTCTAGCCGTACCCTCCTGCCCCTCTTGTCGTTCCTTCCATACGCCACGCGAAGCATAGCACACGCCAGCTCTAGCGGTCTTCCATGCAACTTGATACTCTTCGCCTTGCCTGACTCTCCGTCCAGACCTCGTGCGCCAAGCTCCCTTTTCAGCCGTTCATAGTTCTCTACCAAGTCCTCCGCAGAAGTCGGAGTCGGTCCGCCAGGTACGGAGGACAGGCTGTTGACAATGTCCAAGCTGTTGTCTGATTGATGCACCGTGCTCTGCGAGAGCGTACTCGTCTGGGGCTTTGCGGTCCGTCGCTTGGCCGTGCTAGGGCCGGCCTGACTGGCCGAGTCGCTGGCGAAGGCATCTGGGGTGGATGCAGAAGCCTCCTTGCGTTTGCGTTTGCGATTGCCATCGTCGACGATACAGGGGATGGAGAGGACCTTGCAGCGGTGGCAGGCCTTGTCGATAGGGAGGGGCTCTGGCCCCGCTGGGACGTCGAGGTCGGGGACTGTATGTCGGCGTGAGAGATGCGGTGGGAAGAAGAGGGGAGGACTCACGCTCGCACCTGCTCTTTCGCAGCCTGCAGGTGGCACAGGAGCGCCTGGCATGTGTGCGCTTTGGGCGGGCGGGGGGAGGCGGCGGGGGGGCGGGGGCGTTCATGGATCCGGCGGAGAGAGCGATAGATGACAGATGATAGATGAGATGCGACAGATGTGGTCATGGGTAAATATGCTTGCTTTATCAGTTGGCGTAATAAAAGCCCACATTCACATCCCCTCTAATGTCCCAATTCAGCGCGGGAATGGGCGCGAAATGCTCGACGCGACTGGTCTGTAGCCAGCATATCCACGCTGTATCTTGCCATCGACGCCCTGTGTGTAATCCTCAGACACGAGTGTATACGCCTACAGCGACCCGCCGCGTCTCGGGTCTCATGGTGAACGCGATGGGCGCGACATCCGCAAAAGATATTCCTTTTGAAGAGTCAGTCCTGTCTCAAAATCTACTTCAGTCCACTGATCTCTCAAAGATTCTGTAGATTGATCAGGATACTCGCCAGCGACAAACCACTATGCGCCCCTGAAATCGCCTTCAAATCATGGCTGCAAAGCCTTCCAAGACCCTTCCCACCTCACACGGGCAAACACCTCTTTCGCCTTCTCTTCCCCAACAAAGGCTCTAGACGACGGTATGGCACAAAAGAAATGAAATTATCGCGTACCCTCGAAGACGTGCTCGGACTACGCGGTCTCCTAGCGCAGTGGGACAGCGTCAATTGGGACCCCAGAGCAGAGGCCGGCACGGGCTGCCTTGGGCGGGAGGTAGAGATCCAGATGGAATTGAGAGTGATTCGACCCATTACTTGATATGGATGTCACTGACTACAACTCTGATAGCTCGCGTACAAGCACGAATCACGATTCTCACTCCGTGAACTCGACTCGCTGCTAGACGAACTCGCCTCGGACAATCACTTTTCCCAACTCTCCCAAGTCCGGTCCCAAACCCGCTCGCCTACTGATATCCTCATTGAGCTCTACCGTCACGTAAAATTGAGCCCCTATGCGCTTTCTGTGCTCACACAAATCATCCTGCAAGACCTCCGACCCTTGTTGGACCCGATACCAAGGCTGGAGGGTGGTCGGTGTCCAGGTAGCTATCTGAGGATCAAAAGCAATACGAGACCCAAGCAACTCACCATGCGAGGGGCGATGATGGGATGGGATCCGAGGATGTGGACGTATTATAAGGGCGGGAGAGGAAACATGGACACTTGTGCGGATCTGGCAGAGAAGCTTGCAGCTACCAACGCATCAGTTGCGGCAGAGCCTAAAGTCGGCGTCAATGTGGAAGTGAGTTCTCTGCGTCTTTTTCATGTACGCGTACTGATCTTGGCAGATTACCAAATGCAGGCAAGGTCGCTCCATCTCTGATGCTCTCAAACCATTTCAATCAGGTGCGGGAAGACAGGCTTCAGGTGCTATATGGGCCGAGACCAAATACGATGGTTATCGGTAAGATCTTCCTACCTCTACCTTCAACCTTGGGTATCACTCACACATATGTAGAATGCAGATCCACGTTGAGCTGGTGGGAGACAAGCCAAAGATTACAATCTTTAGCAAATCCATGCGTAACAGCACCGACGACAGAATCAACTCACACGCGCATGTCCAATTTGATTCAGACTGGATTCCAAGCTGACTGAAAGCAACACAGTATCATATGCTACGCCCTCAATCTCCCTTGCGACCCCAAACTTCCCAAACACTCCTCTTTCGCCCCCAAACTCGCCTCCCTTCAGCAATCCGGTCAATCTCGTCCCCACAGCCAGATGAAGACATCGGTCATTCTGGAAGCTGAAATCGTGCCTTACAATGAGGAAGATCGCGAAGGGGGAAGAGGTCCGGGTATAGAGGAATTCTGGCAGATAAAGAAAGCCGGTGTTGGTGCCCCTTCCGCTACATCCTCCGCGTAAGCTCTCTTCCATTGTCTCTTGTGATATAGAGATGACAAGGCTATCGTGCCCCGGGAACAGGTCAGGGCGTTGGGATAACCAAAGCAGACACGTTTGCTTGGTCTTCTTTGACTGTCTCCACGTGGACGGAAGGAATCTGCTGCATACGCGGTATGACGAGAGGAGGCGCATATTGGAAAATGCCATTGTACCTATCCCAGGTTTTAGCATGTTGGCCGAAAGGACCAAGATCAGGGTCGCTCTCAGGCCAGATCATCTCGTTCAGCGGGTGAGCTCGACCCAGCCAACTTGAAGGAACAACTCATAGAAATGTAGGACCTGGATGATCTGTTCAATGCTAGCAACCTCGCTCGGGAGGAAGGACTCGTCCTCAAGGCTGCGGAGTCGACCTACGCGGCCATGCAATGGCCATGGGTCAAGTTGAAGAAGGATTATATCGAGGGCATGGGTGATTGTGTTGATTTGGTGATGGTTGGGGCAGGATGGGATGTTGATCGAGCGCGCGAGTTGAGGGGTACTTTCTCTCGAGTTTCCTCTTTGAGAAGGTTGCTGATCACAGCGCTACAGTGGACACGTCTGTCTTTACGACCTTCTACTTGGGCGTGAACGACAGTCACCCAGCCCACGGACCGCCCAAATCCACCACGCTAATCGAGTCTGCCACCTCCGCCGGGGAACACGGGAAAGACCTACCACATATCAAGATCCTCTTTGCGGTCTCGTACGGTCTCACCAGAGATATGCTAGAGTACTACAATGCGCTGATCCGTATGGAGCGGTGGAAGAGTAGACCATTTGACAAGGATGATCCGCTGAAGAAGGTGCGTCACCTGGCTTGGCTGTTTCCGTATTCAAGTGACTGACAAGTGAGTAGCGATGTATGGGGTTGTCCTACAACTACACCTTCGAGAAATCCCTGTCATCACTGCCGTCAGTGCTGTTCAACGAACCGCTCTGTGTAGAGGTCATGGGCGCTGGGTTTCAAAAGATTCCCGGTTCTGAGGTGAGCGCCCAACCCTCTTCTAATGCGGATTTTCGTGAGCTAATAGATGTATAGCTGTTTGAGCTCAGGTGGCCTAGGCTGCAAAAGATTCATGAGAAGAAGGATAGAGAGTGGACTGAAGCTCCCAAATCCAGCGAGTATGTCGCCATCGCTCATGCTTCTTTGGGATGGCAAGCTGCGCATCCCGACTCACACCCCCGACCTTCCTACCCGCAAGTCTCCCCCTCCCGTCAACTCCGCCGCCGCCGCCATTCCCCTGCTCCCGCGTCCTCCTCCTCTACCGAATGGTTAGACAATCATTGGCACTCCTGCTCGACCCTCCAGTTGATCGATAAGCCTAATTTCTCCTTCACGCCAAGCCCGGCAAAGAGGTCGAACTCGGCCCCGGAGCTCGGGCAAGGGTATGAGGCAGGGAAGGAGACGAGTCAGGAGGGTTCAGCGAGGTTCAAGAGGGAAGCGACACCTTTTGACAAGATGGGATCGCCGAGAGAATCACCTCTTGAACAGGGGCATTCGCCAACAAAGTCGCCTCTACATCTAAGAGGCACGACTTTGAATGCCTCTGGAAAGACCAACCATGGCCCCGCTCATAAATTCTGGGATGCCATCTCTCGCGGCTCAAAGAACAACCGCGCGGCGAACTCACAGATGGACGGGAGGGGTCTGAGTTCTGCTATCGTCATTGACGATAATGAACCACCTGCTCTCAGGAGCGGGATGAGCCCTAAGAAGAGGCGAAGGCTTGAACCGCCTGTCCCTATCAAAGCTCATAAGGAGGTGCTCCAGCCAGCACAGCCGCCGGTGTGGGATGGTGGAGGGGCGGAATCATGGTCCTCGGTGGTGACTTCGCCTTCGCAGCCCGCGCGATCGCTTCCGGCTATCGAGAGACAGCCACTCTCCCAGGTCCAGCAAAGGGATCACTCCGCCATGAGCAATATGGCTACCACTTTCATGAAGGACCCAGCTAGAGAGAGTATCAAGGCGGTGAAGAAACAGGCGACAGATAAGGACGCAAACCAGGAGACGAAGAAGACGTGGGACAAACCGCAGACGTTATTGTCCAGATGGCGGGAGAGAAAGAAAAGGGAAAAGGCGGCTCTCGCAGAGAAGGCTCAGGTACAGAAAGAGCTCAAGAGAGGAGGAGACTTACCACAAGAGCAGGAGATGGTCCAACCGCCGCTAGCGGTACTCTCTTGACCTCTCTCTGTGTGAGTCACATAATATAATTTCATGCTCAGGTGCCACCACGGACATGATATACCAGGATGCATTCTATAATGACACAGATGAGGTGGCCCGATCTAAAGCATCTGACCATTTGGCCAACAGGAAGTCTGCTCCTTGTCCTCCGGTCACCTCTGCGATCGTAGCCTCGTCCAACCCCTTGACATACTCTTCCACTTTGTTCAACTGACGCCTGGTATTGCTCAACCAGCGGGTTACAATGTCCTTGTACACACTGCGAATCCCAGTGGCGTTCTCTTTGTCGCGGGTAGAGAGGAACCAGACGTATTGAGCGACTTCAGTCCACCAAGAGGCGTAAAAGGTATTCCGCAGGAGATCTTCGGGTTGAAGGGAGAAGGGGCAGGTCTTGTCGTTAGGGACAGGGGCCGGGAACAAGATGGGGTTCAGTTGGGCAAGGAAGTCGGTGTTGAGGATCTCCTGAAGGAAATTTGATCAGCAGACGCATTAACATACAACAGAGTCACACACAGGACTATTTGAGGTCTCTTGACGCAGGATGGAGAGAGACTCCACTCTGACCGACTCGAAGGGGTTCTCTGGTTCCAAAAGCTACTCCATATCAGCACATGCAAATCGTCTTCAGCGCACTGACCTGTCGCAAAGCAAGCACTTTATCACGTCCTTCCTGCAAAGACACGAGAGTGCCCACAAGCTTGAAGAGCGCCAGGCGCACGGTCGGGCTTGCATGTTGAGCAGTCAGAGGGACGAGCAGCTCTAGCAACATTGTTACTTCTTCGTATCCGACATTCAGAGCACCCTTCTTCCCATTCTGGGATTCATTGACAATCCACCAAAGCCACACAATTCCAGCATCGACGCTGGTACCACTCAGAGCAGCACACAGGACTGGCATCAAATCCTCAAGAGTCGTTGAGGGTAACGGGTCCGGCAAGAGGCCATTGAGTTTGCCGTCTGGAATGGTTGATGCAAGCAAATTGAAAGCTGCAAATGTGCCATATGTTGAGCGACTAGAAGAGAAGAACACCCGATCAGACAAAGGTTTATTGGGATTGAGGATTTCGACCACGCGCTGCCACTCGTCTCAGCATCAATCAAGATACAGCGGATAGCGTCTTACCAATGCCTGATTGAATACCATAGCCGCTTGTTGCCACCCCTGAGGAGTCTCTCGGTCCATTGCAGGATCTTGTGATACCGTGGATACCTGAGGGCCTTGACTGTATTTTGGAAACGTCTTCAAGAACCAGCGTTCTGTCAACTCTGCATCCGCCTTGGGGCCGAGAATGGCGAGGGCTTCAAACAGAATGTTAGAAAGGATCGACTGCAGAATAGTCAGTGTTTATGATTTTAATACGGTCACCATGGCAGGATGTCTCACAGCCTGTTCACCGTTCTTGTCAGTCGTGGTTTGCACCCATCGCCAGAGGGTGTCGGTCAGACGACATAGGACAAGGATGGCCGTGCGGGGCCAAATGGAAGGAGCATGCGCTCCCAACGAGAAAATGGACGAGGAGAGTAACTCTTGAAGGGATAAGAGGGTCGGGGTACTCCTCGTATTGGGCAATCGAGGGATAGCTACTGTGCGTCAGTGCAAGTCGTCAAGAGCGGAGAGAAAAGAGCGCACCGATAGTAAGGCCCATGATCAGCATCTGCCACTCCACCCAGAGCTCGTCATAGTTGACATTGCTCTCCTCTTCGTCCGTCTCTTCGCCGTCGCTGACTTCAAATCCCTCGGCCCGGTCGACCACGTATTGAAGCGCCTCAGAGAATGCCATGAGCACTTCGCGCGGCTTGCCGTAGATGGCTATGAGCTGGATGAGGGGCATGACAATTTCCGGAGAGGAGTGTGTCACTTGTAATATCGATGCAGTGTAATCCAGAGCATGATCTTCCAGCAATAATGTCTAAGGTGGGCGGGTCAGTCCAAAGCCAAGATCTACTACGGCATGCTCACTCGTCGCTGTTTTTGGGTCTGGGCGTTTCCTTCGTGCAAGACCTCAAGTATGACTTCGCATACCACTTGTTGGACATTGGTATCATCCGTGTCAAGGTATTTCTTGAGAACCTTGCCGAGACTTTCCTGGTCCTGGGCTGGTTGTTCCTGTCAGTCCCAAGAAGACGAGTGAGGGGAGTGCTCACCAGGGGCGGAAAGTATCTCTCTGAGAGAGTTGGACAAGGAGCTGAGATCTTCCATAGTCTGAATGGTTTTGTATCGGGTTCTTGTAATGTCTTGTGGTAAGTGCATTCTCGATGTCAAAGCCGGCGGGGACCCGAGCGTCGAGTACGTAATGACGGACGCGTCGTTGACGCGTCTGAAAATCAAGATGGAAATTGTTGTCAATGAATGTGACCTGGGATTGGAGAAGGGCCATGTCGGACATATCTCTGGCATCGACTCTGAAGGACAGCGAGTCGCCCCAACCCGTATCGCTACCCCAGCCAGAGCTTCCCCCGACCTTCCAACACAAGACCCTCTCCGCCGTCTTTCCCTGCCTCTTCTCCCTCGCATCCCTGTTTACCGCGCTCAGCGGGCAACAGTTTCCAAAACCCGATCATCCGCCACAGTTCCAGCAGTTTGCGCATACAACATTATGCGCATTCTCCAGTGAGGAGTCAGCTCGCAAAGTCCGTTGGGACGATGGGAAAGTGCTCGTGCATCAGAGGACCCATGATGCCGTCAGTGGAATCTTGCGTGAGATCCATGATAGGAAGAAGGGCAGTAGTGTTCTTCTGCAAGTAACTGACAAGGTATGTGTCGTTGCTTACCACACGCTATATACTCACGTCTGTTCAGGTGAAGCAATATAATTCTGGCGTCAACCTCCAACGTCCGTTCGTGATGAACCAGCATATTCACAGCCCAGCTACGGTTTTTGAACAGCCTATGTGGATGTCTTTGCGCTCCAAGTACCTTCAATGCTCGCTCCTGTCCCGAGAGATGCTGACAATCGAACAGTATAGGTGACATTGCATTTCGCCAGCTCATAGTCCATTCCTCCTTGTTCATCCTGATAGACAATAACTGCTTCCTCCAACTCAGTGGAGAGCCCCTGAACGATATCAATCTCTCAAAGATGCCCCTTTTTGCTGAAACGGCTGCTCCTAAAGTGCGACAAAGTAAATTGTCGAAGCGAGCAATACAGGCACTCAAGAGAAAGCGGGAGGAAGAGGTGGCTACGAGTGAAGAAGGGGTGATGGAGGGCAGGGAGTCAAAAGATGCCAAGGCGCCATCACCCAAGAAACACAAGCTTCAGTAAGTGGGCATCTCTGAAGGAGTATCGTCATTCACACCAAGCCATCAGGTTATCATCCACGGGTATTCAACGTAGTCGCATGTTTTACGGTAAACCCTATCAAGTCGCTGGCAAACACCCGTCTCGTGGTCTGCCTCCAAACCGTACGCAACCACAGGTCAGATTCAAGGGGATTGTGACTAACGGTTAAACAGACATCCTGAACACTTGCAAGCCTCCCTCCGACGAAATGCCCAAAGACCTAGATTGTCTAAAGCTTCTAGCTGTCATATTCCCCAGCATGCTTACGCTCGAAGAAGGCCGAGCGCCCAAAGTCAAGGGGTCAAACGAGAGGCTGAAAAGAATGGCAGGTATCGCGAGGGAGATGTTGGTGAGGCACAGCCGGGCGAACTATCAGCGGATATTGAAGGACTGCATGGTAAAGCTCGAGAAGGAGGTGAGAGCAGATTCAAAGGTGTCTACCGAGTCCTGACCTGATTGACAACAGACTCCTTACCCGTGTTTACCACCCGACTCTGCCAACGAAGACTCGTCTATACCCGTGTCCCAGAACATCCCCAGTAGTGGCAGCGAGCTTCCGAAACCTCCCACATCATCCCGACCAGCCTCGGGGAGGAATGGACCCGAGCCTCCGCCGCCTTTAGAGCCTAAGACGCAGCGACAGGTTAGAACCAACGTCCATCCAATCTTCAGCACTTGCTGATTGCTTTTAGGTGTGCTGGTTTGTGAGAAGAGTAATCAAGGCGCTCTTCTCGACAGTCATACTTGGATCCCAACACAATCAAGATGTCATCCTCGCCAGCACTCGACGGTTCGTCACCATCTCTCAGCACGAGACCATATCTATACATTCCATCCTCCAAGATATCCGTATCAATGACTTTGAATGGTTGGCGTTGGGGGAGAAGGGCAAGAGGGTCAATCAGGCGGAGATGGAGAAACGGCGGATGTTGGTTGTTGATCTGCTCAAGTGGATCTTTGAGGGCTTTTTGATTCCTCTTCTCAAGGTAGGCAAAATCTATGCTTTCAGAGTTCCAATACCACACTGACTCTGTTGCAGAACACTTTCTACATTACTGAGAGTGCAAATACCAAATACGAGACTGTCTATTTCACGCACGACGATTGGTCTCACGCCGCCAAGCCCCACTTTGAAGGCCTCAAGGAGAAGCTTCTGGAATCTCTAACACAAGTATGTGCTCTAACCATCGGATATGAAGCGGCGCAAGCTGACTTTGACCTCAGGCCGAGAGAATAGTGGCTGAATCACGCAAAATCGGCGTTTCTGTCGTTAGGCTGATACCAAAGCCTACTGGTTTCAGGCCTATCGTCAATCTCGGGCGCCCCGTGGTCAGTCATTCCCAAATGGCAATAGGCAACAGCTGACAATCCATTGTCGTGTAGAATATCAGAGGCGACAGAGCCGGCGACAATACAAGACCAGTCAGCAAGTGGGATATGAAGAGTACCAATGATTTCCTCCGTGATCCTCTTTTAATTCTCAACTATGAAAAGGTTAGTCGGTGTAGCCCCTGAGAATATGTGGCTGACGGGCTTGGGCAGACGCGAAAGAGAAGCCTCTTGGGGGGCGCGTTGTTTGGGACGAACGATTTCGTCCCGCACATCCAGCAACTGAAGAGCGATCTCTACAAGAGACATGGGAGCAATCTGTAAGTTTGTACAGCAGGCGTGACATCGTGATTGACCACATACCAGGCCCAAGCTATATTTTGTCAAGATGGACATCAAAGCAGCGTTCGACACGATCAAGCAGGATCGTGTGCTTGAAATCGTCGAGCAAATACTCGATCAGGTATGTCCCTGCGAACCAAGAAATCAGACGTTGACGGCGAGGTAGGATCATGACTACTGCATCATGATGTATGGCGCCCTTTTGCCCCCGGGTAACGCGAACCGATCGAAAGCACCTAGGAAGCTATACAGATCCAAAGCTGTTGCTGATAGTGCGTCCACTCCCCTGGTTTTGGCGTGAGCTGATGAGGGGGAAGACATGGTCCACCCCACATTTGCAGACCACGCCCAGGAGATCGTCCAGTCTATGCGAAATGCTGCGATGGTCGATCTCGCTCGCAGGAGAACAGTCAAGACGGCAGATGTCATGCGACTTTTGAGGGAGCATATCAAGGAGAACACTTGGCAGGTGAGGAGCGGCTCGTTGTGCTGAGCTAAAGCTGATACAATAGTAGATGGGCAGAAACCTGTACCGTCAAAAGACAGGAATCCCCCAAGGATCCAAAGTCAGCAGCGTCCTCTGTGCAATGTTTTACTCCAACCTCGAGAACAAACACCTAGACTGGGCTCAACAAAAGTATTCGGTAAGACCTTTTCGACTCATGATCACTACCAGGACTGACTGTAGTAGCTCCTGCTGCGATACACCGACGACTTTCTCTACATCACCGACAACCCCCAGCTCGCCGCACGCTTCGTCAAGGAAATGTTTCGCGGCTTTCCCGACTATGGCGCGCATATATCACCAGCCAAGACCCTGCTCTCGTTTGAGTGTGTGGTGAATGACCTGAAGCTGCCGGTCGCGGATGTGAACCAGGAGGGGGAAGTCGGTAAGTGCTCGAGGCTTGATGACACGGCATTATTGATGAAAAGACAGAATTCCCGTATTGTGGTTTCTTGATCAACGTCAAGACGCTAGAGTTGAAGCAGGACTATACCAGGATGATCGGTCATCGTAAGTCGATGTCACTGGTATGGCACGTGCTGACTGTATGAGCTAGCCATCAAACATTCATTCGCATTGAGATCCATGAGCAAAAAGCACTCCAACTTGGTCACATGGCTGTGTCGTCAATTGCAGAACCGAAATCAAATTGCTCACGTGCGGCGTCACTCTCTACGCCTGGAACCAGACTGATGTTTGGATGGTAGCTCAATACAGCCTTGAACAGCCTCGACACAGTCCTGTTCAATGTCGGGACCAATTTTGCGTTTGCCGCAATGAAGGTGGTAGTGTATCACAAAGGCCACGGTATCGACGAAAGACTCCACAAGCATATATTCAGTAGGTCCTTGTACTCCCGACAATGCTGATGCGAGCAGAATCTTTGGTGGTGGCAGCCGACTACACATACTTTGCTGGACGAGCTCGTGTCAAACACTACGCCCAAGTGCAAACAGTAGACAAGCCTCGAGAAGAAGTGCCGGTGCGCAAGAGTGATTTTGACTAGTCAGTATGGTTTCCCGCACATCTCCCCAGCGCTCAGAGTGTTTCCAGTGTCGCCTTCAAGTGTATGTCGAGGGTGCTGCGCCGTAAAGCATCCAAGTATAAGACGGTCGTCGACTTGATTGAGGGATTGTTGAGAAAACGAATATATCGCAATGCGCCCAGTCGATGGGATCGTGTGGTAGACCAGTGCTGGGAAGCCGTGAGAGACGCTGTATATTAGTTCACCCCTTGTTGTCATAGTGTGCACATGTATCGCCCTATTCCAATCTGCAGATCCAAGTATCCGATATGCAATCCATCTCGTCGTACAAGCCTCCCAAAAACAACTGCCAACCCAACGAAAAACTTAGATGTAAGTCTCGTCTGCGATGCCAGTCAGTTTGCGCCTTGAAGGAAAACAGATCCCACTCACAAGGCCTGGCGGCAAGAGTCTGGGGGACGTTGTTCTTGATAGAAACAACACGGGCCTCTCGGGGCTGGGCAGGAAGACGCTTGAGGTCGACGTGCTCACCCTTAGCCTTGGCCTCCTTCTTGAGGGCGGCGTTGGAGACGACTCGGTCAAGGAACTCCTGTCGGCACTTGGAGTGCTTGATGTGCTCAACACGGATGTTGACTCGCTTCTCCATGTATCGGCCGTTGACGACCTTGTAGATGATCACACCAACAGCTCGGGGGGTAACGTTGTAGACGATACCGGTCTTGCCGTGGTAGACTGGGAAGTGTCAGATGGGCGTATTGTATCGAGGTGAATCGACGTACACTTGTGGGGCATACCCTTCTGTTGGGAGGAGTTGGCCTTGATGTCAACAATGTCACCGACTCGGTAGTTGATGAGGAAGGTGGAGACGTTGGGGGCACCGTGCTCTGTTGGTCGTATGTCGAATTGACGAAAATTACACAAAGTCCACCATTTTCAAATTCAACGCATCCAGCGATTCCCATCCGACACGGTTTCCAAGCAGACAGAGAGGGGCGAGCAGGGAGGAGAACGGATAGGGAGGGGAGGGGCATCAACAATCAAAGCGAGACATCGATGAGCAGTGTCCTTTTTCGCATGGACACGGTACGCACCCTTGAAGTTCCTCCTGAACATGTGGCGCGTTCGCGCTCGCATACCGAAAGAGTGGGGCATGTTGAGTGATCTGGGTGGGTGAGCGGGGACGGGATGGCTGTGGGATGCTCACTTTTTTGTGGATGGTTGAGGACGAGCGAGCAGAGATGCAGCAGAGAAGGGCAAACTGAGCGGAAGCAAATTCCCGCAAATTTCTTACTCCCGACACCCGCGGCGGGGAGGGCGGGCGGAAGCAAATTCGGCACTCTGCGGCGTTTCCATCACTCGCGCGTGGACTTGTCATTTTCGCCCTCGCAGACAAATCGTCCATCCACCAAGAAAAGTGAGTGCTATTGCCCCGCCCCTGGCCCGTCCACTGACCACAGAACCCCTCTCCCCCCCTGGTCTCCCCACCACAGATGACCGCGTGAGTAGAAGAATAGAATCAAAGGATACAGGGCGGAGGCTGACGTTTTGTGCAGCGCCCCCAGGAAGCAGTCCAAGACCTACAAGGTCCCCAAGCGACCCTACGAGGCCGCCCGACTCGACGCCGAGCTTAAGGTGGGTCAATACATGAGATGGACAGCAAAGAGCAGGAAAGAGGCACACGGGAATCAAGGATTGAAGATTTTGGAGAATTGGTGGATTCATCGTGGAGGAGCTCTTTGCTGTCCGGGGGAATGGTTCGATCATGTCTGACGTTGCTGTAGCTTGCTGGAGAGTACGGTCTCCGAAACAAGCGAGAGATCTGGCGAATTCAGCTCACCCTCTCCAAGGTATGTTTCCTCGTGCACTTTTTGAAAACTATCTCTTACTCTCTTCTATAGATCCGACGAGCCGCCCGAGAGCTCCTCAAGCTCGACGACAAGGACCCCAAGCGACTCTTCGAGGGTAACGCTTTGATCCGACGACTCGTTCGAATCGGTGTGCTCGACGACGACCGTATGCGTCTCGATTACGTCTTGGCCCTCAAGACCGAGGACTTCCTCGAGAGGCGTCTCCAGACCCAGGTCTTCAAGCTTGGTCTCGCCAAGTCTGTCCACCACGCCCGTGTCCTCATCAGGCAAAGGCACATTCGAGTTGGCAAGCAGATCGTCAACGTTCCTTCTTTCGTTGTCCGACTTGACTCTCAGAAGTGAGTCTGCTATGTTTTCGTACCCTAGCTTTGCTGATATTTTGCAGGCACATCGACTACGCTCTCAACTCTCCTTACGGTGGTGGCCGAGCTGGTCGTGTGAAGAGGAAGAGGGCTGCTGCCGCTGAGGGTGGTGCCGCCGGTGAGGAGGACGAGGACGAGGAGTAAACCTGATGTCGACACGACTGAAGGTTCTACTCGGGCATTTGTAGGAGGGCGATTCTGGGATGCATCGTCTTCATTGACTCCAATCAATACACTGCTTGCAGGTTTGAAGAGTCATTGGACTGGGGGGCCATTTTGGCACGGTGGCATTCATGTCTCCAAGGCAATACTATGGTTTTACCATCATCCGAATCTCTGCTTCGCCATTTGCTTGAACCTATTTCGGCCTGTCAGCTGGATTCCGTCTGAGTGTCGAGACAACTAACATTTCCATGGTGGCATCCTCCTTCGTCTTGCGCTCACTCAACCTCTCACTCACTGCCGCCCTCTGATCTTGATCCCTGTATTCTTTCTTCTCCCGTCGCCTCGCTTCTGCTTCATCCCTTCTCCTCAGCCTACGCATTCGTTAGCTCACAACCCAAATATCGTTCCGTGGATGCTCACGCAGCGGTAAAACTATTAGAGTCTCCCATCAATGTCTTGTCATCAACCTCCAATCCTGCCGTAGTATCCTTCTCCCTATGCAACCGGTTCTCTGCGTTCACCGCCCTCCTCTCTTCAATCCTGCCTTCACGACCACCGCTCTTGGGCACTTCATCATCTGCCCGACGAGCTTGATCCTTGTACATGGCTTTTCTCTCCAGTGTGCGAGCGTCTCGAGATGCTTCCTGGGCGAATTGTCTGTCGGCGGCGGACGGTATAGAGGGGCCCAGCGGGCGCAGCGAGGAAGGAAGGGAGGGGCCGACGGGAACAGCATCTCGCCTTTCTGGTCTCCCGCTGGTCACCCGGTGATCAGGGCGTACTGATGGGAAAGCAGTGCCCTCGGTGCCCTCGCGAGAGTGGACACTGCTATGGTCGCCAAAACCATCCGTCCTATATCTCGAAGAGGAGGTCTTGTAGTATCGTTTGTCGAGAGCACCGTCATTCCATCGCTACGTTACGTTAGTTGAGTCATGAATAGTCCACTCAGGCCTTCACCTACTCTTACAAATCGCCGAAAGTACTTTTGTCCAGACTCAGTAGGCAGCTCGTCAAGATACTAGAATCACCGGGTCAACACCAGAGTATTCTTGAGACGAAAAGGCTCATCTACCTTTCCTCTGTCGTCTCTCAGCCAGCGTTTGAATTCCGGGTATCTCAAGCTATGCTACATTAGCACATCCTTAGCCTATTGGGTGCATACGTACTAGTCATCGCTCTCTGATATCTCTGCCACTCCCATCTCCTTCAAATCTAGTGTCTCTTCCTCAGAAGATGAGGTCGCTTCTCTCCGTCTCTCCCTCCTGCTCGACCTTCGATCCGAGTCCCGACGACTGTGACTGTCTCTCCTGTGACTCTTTTCATCCTCTCTGCTACCACTTCTACGCTTGTCTCCACGGCCATGTTCCCTACGAGGAGAGATGGATCGTGTGCGGTGCCCATGTCGGTCAGACGAGTCGCGGTCGCGCGATTTTGGCCTATCTCTGCTGCCCATCGAGTCTTGTATGTTTTTGTTTGCTTGGGGCTGATCCTTCCTGTTGTTCGGGGCAATCTTCAGCTATGGGTGCTTGTATGCATGACGTTGGGCTCGAAATCTGCGTCTGTGCTTCCCAGCGGAAAAGTATCGACATCATGACTTTATTTCCAAAAATCAAAATCCAGTCGTCAACAACAAACAAGTTTGGCGTATCCTTGAGCCATCGAGCTAGCATTCCTTCCAGGATTAGCGCCTGCAGAGGTTCCAGCACCCTGTATACCATGGCGAGCGACGAACGGTCACACTCGAAATGGTACCTCCACCACCTCGACACCCATATCCAAGCATCCCTCAAAGCCACTCTCGGCAACTATCCCAATCCCTCTCTCCAAGTCCCCCCATCGGACATTCCACCTTCTAATGCCGTCTGGACATCACCCGAAAAGAATGCCTTTTTTGCCGCTCTCTCGAGGTACTCCAGGTATCGCCCCGACCTGATAGCGAGCGAGGTGGGCAAGAGCGAGATAGAGGTCGTATGGTACCTCGAATTCCTCGAGAAGGAGAAGGTGAATATGGTCAACAAGGAGAAGCGAGAGTCAAGAATGAAGGAACTGAAGGGGTCATCCAAGTGGAGAGAAGGGCTGGCGCCTGCTGCGAGAGAAGTCTCGGACAAGTGGGTTGAAAAGGAGGAGGAGCTTGCGAGCGGCTTGCACGAGATGCTCGAAGAGATGGCACAGGAGCATGAGCTCGGACTTTCCAGAAAGCGCAAGAGGGAAGCCAAGCGTTCTATCATCCAAGCAGCCGTTATCCCTCCCGATACCAAATCTGGTGACAAGACCAAGTTCATCGACGACCTCCCCGAGATGCAAAAGCTCAATCAGCAGTGGGACGCCGAAGATTGGCTTGCAGTGATGGACCCGGAGAAGCTATTCGAGTTAGATGACTGCATACAGCAAGTATGGCTGGCAGAATCTCAGGAGGAACTCGTCCGAAATGCGGAGCCAGATGGCGCCGAGGATGTTCCTTCGCCTTCCGCCCCTTCTACTGTCAGCAAAACGGCCATCAAAGTCGCAAGCGACCTCCGGACAATGTCTCTCATCTCTTCCATCCCCCCAAAAAAGAGGACACCCGAACAACAGCGCCTCTTTACAGCCGCCAGAAACAGGCAACGTGGTCGCGAACAATACAGGACCAAGAAGCTCTTGGTAGAGGGTATGACGGAGGAAGACATCCGCAAAGCTGGAGGGGCAGATGCTGTATTTGCACAAAAGGAGGGACAGGAATTGCCTATGGATGTGGGTCGTGGCGCGAGGCAAAGACCGGAAATCAGAGGGGTCCATGATCATGTCAATGAGGCCGGCTTGGAGATATTTGCTTTTACAAACATGGCTCGCTTTCTCAAGTACGTTCTCACTCGGTGAAACAACACTTGTATCCGCTGACAGTTTCGGCAGTTCACATGAAGTACCATCAGATACATCCAACGTATCCCTCCCCGTCCTGCAAGATCTCCGCGAAGAGCTCGTCGTCCACCTCAAGTTGCTCTTATACGACGTGATCACCGTCGCTGAGAAGGAGCGATTACAAGATCAATCTCTAGATGACGTCCGCAACGAAATCGCCTCCAATCATGTCCAACAAGCTCTCGCTCTCCGCGGAGATCTGCCGCCTTCGTTCATCGTTGACCCTGCTCTTTCGAAGATCCAGCCCGTCAAGACGGGTCCCACGACGAGTACTGTAATAATCAGCACAGACTCGGCGCCAGATACAGACGTAGACATGTCGGGAAACGATACCGAGGGCACTATCAGCGAGGCTTCAGAAGAATTCTTGGAAGGCTACCCCGAAAACGTCGTACCCCCCACTGGTCTGTCCTGGTCCCTTCTGCCCCATCTCCGCCTCATCAGTGAGACACGATCGAACGGTCATGAAAGCAGCGCTGCTACAGACTCGGACGATGATGAGGATGAGAGTCTTTACGAGGAAGATGCCATGTTGGATCAAGCTCTAGAGGAGGTGGACTTGGATCACGACAAGCTATATGAGAAGGATCTTTGGGGCGTCAACCAAGAGGAAGAAGACAAGGACGACGAGCTGGATGACCATGCGGATGTCTGGGCTAAGGACCCCATCGAGAGATCTACACATGAACAAGGCAAGTCTCGCCGTCAAAGCTCGATCTTGAACTGATTCCAATATAGAATACACCAAAATCTATCTTGAAGTCTATGAGCGGCGGAGAAAACGTCGTCTGGTTGCGCACCGTGATTCTAGACACACTCGAGGCTCTGGGGGTAGGAAGGGCAGGATACGCTCCAAGGCCTTCATCACGGACAGTAGCGAGGAAGAAAGTGAGGATGATGTCTGGGACGAAGGTCGAGAAGATGCACCCCAGGAGAGCAGAGAAGATGATGAGAGCGCTGATGAAGGGCAAGAGAGCGGCCAAAGTGCAGATAAATGACGATAATCCTCGAACCACACCAGAAGGGGTCTGAAGTCTATTGCATTATCTCTTTTGTATGTCTACTTTTCTTTGGTGTGCTCTATGCTACAATCCACTACTGGAAACTCGTATGTTTGGCTCAATGATTCGTCGGTCCTTGATTTTTCTTGAATACGCTTGCTCATACAAAGGATTTCTCATTCCCAGATCGACGACTCGCACTCGATCACCTTCCCCTTTCAAGCTTCAGAAGCTGTAGGGCCCTCCTGCGGGCATACCAAATGCCTGTGGTGGCTAGTCGCAAGACGTCAGCTGAGCAGCTCGCGTGCATCAAGCAGCACTCACATGAGCCCCCGGCATAACGACCCCTCCGAAAGGTACCTGTCCTGGAGCTGGAGGGAACATTCTTCTAAAGCTAAGCCATTGGTCAACCCCTGTACGCCGATCCGCGAGATCAAGACCAAAAAAAAAAACACTTACTAGGCTGTTGAGATAGGATCTCTTACGCCGGCGACTCTCGGCAACTCTGCTTTTGGAGCGGTCATGGGTTTCGAGGCGGCCATAGGATTCGACTGTGGCGCTACCCATTGTGTCGGTGCACCCGCTCCGCTGCCCATCCCCATTCCCAAGCCGTATGCCGAGGGCGCCTGACCCTGACTCTCAACGAACTGGTTATATCCTGGCGACTTTAATTTTGGCGGTCTACTCCCCGCTGGGGGCGTCTTGGGTCGGACAGTCATCATGGCCGGCAGGGTCGGAGTCATATTCGAAGATTCTGGGGCGGTGCGGTTGGAGTAGTAACTCTTGGGGCCCTTCTTCTTCCTTAATTTATGACTCGTCCTTGATTGTACCGAGTGGAATGTACAGCTACACGATGTGACCGGGGCACTGACACTTGCGGCGGCTTGACACTCTGCACAAGAGTAGGCGCAGGAACCCGCCAGACTACCTTCGCCTTTGCTGGACCGTCGTCCGACCGAGGGGGGCGCTGATTTCGTCTTTTGCGAGGGGGCGACTGTCGAAGCGCCTTCACGCCAGTTGAGGATTCGCCGTTCTTGGACGGGGCTGAGAAAGACGCTGGAATGCCCGGCACCGGTGACGACGCCTCGGAAAGCGCCTGGGACTTTGGCGGGCTTGGCTTGTTCGGCTGTGATGGGATAAGTACTCGGCATACTGTTAAGGTTCGAGTTGATGATGAGTCGAAGAGCATCACACGGAGGTCAGGTTAAAGAGACGATATTGGATGCGCTGGATGTCAATGTAGGCGGTGGGAGATGAGAAATTTCCAGAAAAGGCTTGGAGCATGCACTCCCTTCGTTCTCGAGCGCTTGTCGACTTCTATACTTATGTTAGGAGATGTAAAAGACGAGTGGGAAGACAACAGTTTAGCAAAAGAAGGCCAGAGTGCTCACCACACGAAGCTATACGTCACCGCCGGATTGTGAGTCTATCGTTTTCCCGCTGCTTGAAAGCCAGTCCGCACGAGTATAGGCCTAGAGGCGAAAGACCCAAGGGAGGAGCTCGCGGGACCACAAAGTGCGAGACCGTGAGATGCAAGGATGTAAGCTATTTCTTCTACCGCGGAGGTGGATCCTCTTTCGCTCCTTTTGATCGGGAATTCTTCGCGTCTTCGAGTAGGTCAGTAGACAAAATGCAGTCAACAAAAGAGAGGGACTCTTATTGTGTCAGTGGAGCATGCATACTACCTTTGGGGAGTGCTAGAGGCGAAGGCGGAGCTGAATGGAGGTTGTGGCATTCCAGCAAGAAGGGGCGATCTAGAAGAAAGGAAACATGGTAAAGGGTGTGATGGGCAAGAGATGGAAGAAATCAGCACCACGCGTCGGCGCGATGCGACGATGTTGTAGGCTGGAGATGAGATCACCTCCATCAGAATATATACAGTAGTCGACTGTGAAAGACGCTTTTGACCAAAGATATGATACCCCGGAGCCAGCAGAGCAGTCCCCACTCCGTTGTCGTCGGCCCCATCATGTCGGATTCGGGTACAGGCGAGGCAGTCAGGTGAGCGGAGTAATCAGTGCGGATCGATGTACTTGTATGTACGTATGTTCACCAAATACATGAAGCTGGAGCAGTATGGGTTTCAATGGAGAGAGGGGAATCCATGGACGGTATGGTCTGTACAGATCGAGATCAGTATAGATAAGCTCATCTATCCCCCCAAATCACAGGATCATATATAATATGAGCGATGTCGGCCAGACCAGGGTCCAAAACACGTTGTGCTCTCATACACCTGCCGCATCGCAGAGAACAATGTAAACATGTGCGTCCACTTGATCGCCCACAAGGGACACACTACTGTTACCGTCTTGCATTGTCCCCTAGCTTCTTCCCCGCGGAGGCACACGTCGGTCAAACCAACCGGAACGCCGGAAGGACCGATCAGATTCCCTTTGTTATATATACAGTGGACTACATAAGAGACCTCGCCACTCGCCATCTTCATCTTCACATTCGACCTTGAGCACCGGCTTGCTTAGAGGACTGACCGCTTTGAGCCCCCACTGGTGAGTGACTCATCCCCTCTCAGATGCTGGACTCGGTTGCTATGATAGAGGAGGCAAACGTGTTGTCTAGAGTTCGCCCTTGTCAGAGCTAGAGGAGCGTAGTCAGGCCTGAGGCTGTCCGGTCTTGCAGTCGGCGCTGTGACGTTCTGTCCCTCCTCCTACCCCGCTTGCTGCTCGCTTGCTGTATGCTGCTGCGCGGAATGCCGGCGAACGTGCCCGGGTCGCCTTCGCCCACCGCAAGTCTTATGGATTGTGCAATACGCCCATACTCTGTGGGCCGTTGTGCGATCTTCTCACATATTCCTTTGTCGCTACCCGGTTAATCGGCGTTCCTGATGAGTGCCGCTGCCATCCTTTTGGGCCTTTTGTCGGCACACCGAGTCTCTATGCTCCTCATGTCACATACATTTGCTGGCGGGGAGCTCTGGGCCGCCACTGCTGCTGCTTCTTCCTGCGACACTCTCTTCTGTGCTTCTCTGTGGTATACCGTCAATAGACAATAAGAGAGCGTGGAGCGCCAAAAAGTCCAGTTCGGGATCTGGGGCCGCGGCAAAGTACGTAGTAACCGCTGACGTTGTTCCTCCGCTGCCCTCCACCACTGAGATCATATCGCCCTATTCCGGCACATTCCGGCACATTCCGCCCTCCCACCTCTCTCAAATTTCTATGGCTTTCCATAAAGCTACTCTATCTTTCGCAAGAGCATTCGAATCAACACAAACCACTGCTAGATATCGATCACACCATGAGTGCCGTCGACAAGTCCCATCCCAGCGCCAAGGCGCCCCAGAAGACCATGCTGAATCTGGGAAACCTCCCCCCCAAGCTGAAGGCTTCTGAACTCAAGGCTAATGCCAACGTGAGTAGTTATGAGCTGATGGAGGCGATTCTGGCTGACTTGCCGAAGCAATACCCCCGTACTCCTTCTCGTGTCAACCCTAGTATGTCAGATCTTGTCCCGAGCCTGCTCAAAAGCTGACATCTATACAGACCAGCCTCCTTGGCCTGCCTGTACGTCCTGACGATCAAACAACTCTTCCCAGATCCGCATTGACCATTCCGCAGACCGTGGCTACCACGAATACTCTTTCGCTCATGTAAGTACACTGCGTTCAGTATACATCACTATTCCATCCTGACATGTGGCCAGGCTACTATGGGCGTACGACTGCCCACTATTTTGGGCAAGGCTATCGACGATGTCTGGAAGACTATCAACCAAGAGTACGACGAGGACCGTATCGTCGATCTTATCAACTGCATCAAGCGATTGGAAAACCTCATGGACGATCTCCAAGGCAACAGCAAGCTGCGCCCCATCATTGACGACGGAGCGGGAGACATTGCTCTCTGGAATAAGGTATTTTTGACAACATTGCTTGATGGGTAGCGCTGATCTTGAACGTATCAGGAAATTGCCAAGTTTTTCCGAGGCAAGGACTTTATGAATGCCCCCTGGCTCTTCGCCGAGGCCTACAAGTACAGAAGGTTAAGGGAGTGCTTCTCTCTTTCCAAGTACTGGGTCGATTATGGTACGCTCTCACCTCGCAAAACTACGTTCATTGCTGACTGGTCTTCTAGATGTCTTCTTCCGCCAGAAGTGCGACACCTTCTCTCGATCCAACACTGCAGTCTTTGAACTGTCTCAGCGATTCCAGGAGCCTCGAACTCATGCTGCGGATATCTCTGCGGAGGAAAAGATCGAAAAGGACAAACTTTTGTTCCTCGAACTCACCCAAGGTGAGTCCGGAAATACTCATTCGTACACATGCTGACAAACCGCTAGTCTGCTTGTGGGGCAACTCCACCGACTTGTCTCTTTTGATCGACATGACCGAGGATGACATCAAGAAGCTGCAGTCTACCGGTGGTGACCATCTTGCCGCCACGGAAAAGAACATTTTGGGTAATGACCTCCACAAGCTCGCCGACTATGTCACCAAGCTCAAGGGCGGCCGAATCGACTTTGTCTTGGACAACGCCGGTTTCGAACTCTACTGTGACATGGTCTACGCCGACTGGTTAATTCAGAGTGGTATTTGCAACCAAGTCATCTTCCACGGAAAGAAGATTCCCTGGTTCGTTAGTGATGTGACCAAGAAGGACTGGGATTGGTACGGTTTGCATCCTCTCCTCACCACGCGTGCTGACAAGTCATTAGGATTCTCAACTCTTGTGTCTACGGTCACCTCTTTGAGGAGGCTTCGGATGCCGAAGTCGAGTCTCTGAGGACTCTTGGTCACAGATGGAAGCAGTACGAGAAGGAGGGCAAGTGGAAGTACGAGGCCCACCCCTTCTGGTGCACTGGTTACACTTTTGTAAGTGCACTTTTGATTGGGGTAATTTGGCGATATTGACTCTTCGTCTAGTGGGATCTTCATTCCGAAGCCCCTGATCTCTTCCAGCACCTCTCCGATTCCGACCTCGTCATCTACAAGGGTGATCTCAACCACCGAAAGCTCACCTATGACTGTCACGCTCCTCTCGATACTGCCTTTGCCACCGCCATCGGTCCCCTCGCTTCCGAAGCTGGCGCGCCCCCCGTCTGTTCCTTGCGAACCATCAAGTCTGACGTCGTCGTTGGACTTCCTTCTGGTGTCGGCGAGAAGCTTGATGAGGAGGAGCCCGGATGGAAGATCTCGGGCAAGTACGCCGTTGTATTGCTCTCTGAAGGTAGAAAGGGCGAGGCTCCTGTCTTTGTGAAGGATTAGGGCCCAAGTGAGAATAAGATGTACAAAGAGAGAATTGATTTGAAAGAAGTTCAGCGATAGAGTATTTCCACTCGCGTCTGCATGCAAGATCTTGTCTGCTGTCAATGGATTATATTGTCCGTAATAATATGTTACAGTCATCGCCCGACTTGTCTTGAAGAACCCCGTGATGGAAACATCTTATTTCTCTAGTTTTGTCAACGATCGGGTAGCAAGCCCTGGGCTACTCGTCACCTTGTCCCCTTGCGCTTCTACATCCACATCTGCAGGAAGAGCAGTTTCATCGCCCGCAATCGGTACGACCTGCGTGACTTGGCCTCTCCTAGTACTGTACGACCTCGTCCACAGTGTCAACTGTACCCGGTCAGTCAGCTCTGCCTGCAGTGACTATGGGAGATGTACTTACTGCAAGCGCGACCAAGAAGAACGCGCATCCGATGATCCAGCACAGTCTAAATGAATCTGCAAATGCAGCCATCACTTGTTCCTTCATGCTTCCATCAGGCAGCTCCTGGAGGGCAGAGTAACCAGATGCCGATTCGGGGACGGTGAATTCGGTACCATAGCCATCAATCTTTTTGAATTTGGAGCGCATCTCGGTATTCAGGATAGCCGTAAAGACGGCAAGGCCTGAGACTCATCAGCTTGGCACGCCCTTGAAGGATACAAAACTCACCGATACTTCCACCCATCATTCTTGTCAAAGACCAAGCACTCGTAGCAGCCGCCATTTCCTTCAACGGCATCGCCGCTTGCAGAATCAACATGGGCGACTGCAGACTAGATCCAATGCCCACAGCGGCAAGGACAAGTAAGCCTTCTTGCGTGGCGTAAGAGGCAGTAGATGTGTAGAATTTGTAAAATAGACCATATCCGAGCGCAGCGAAAGCATAGCCCACCCAGGCAGTGGGGCGAATGATTCGGAGGCGAGAGTTGATTTGTCCGGCTGACAGAGCGTCAGTTGCTTCCCCTGCTGCAGATGTGCTGTACTCACTGACGACGGTCATCCACGCTACCACAATCGAATAAGGCAGGATGTGTACACCGGATTGGATAGGCGAGTCTCCTCTCAGCTGAGGCAAGTCAGATTTGCCCCATCCCCAAATTGTGTACTTACTCCCTGGAACATTTGCGGCAAAAGATAGTTGCTGGGAAGAAAAGCCGAGGCATGGAGCAACGACCCAATCAAGAAGAACAGTGTTGTTCTGTTCTTGAACATCCTTGCAGGTATGATGGCATTGCGTTGAGTAAAGAGAAAGTTGAGGACAGCCAAGATCAAGATCACACCGCCAGCAATGATGATGGCGTAAGACGATGGCGCGTCAAAGCCGAAGTCGGCTGCTCGGGAGAAACCGACAATGAGGAGGGCGGACGACATCATCAAGAGCAACCTATGCGGCATGTCAGTAGAGTTTTGGTGGAGGACCGGCTTGCTTACAGTCCCAAAAAGTCAAACGAAGCTCGGAATTCGGCAAGCGTCAATTTGCGAGTGGGGTTTAATTTCAAAGTGAAAACCAAAAAGAGCAAGGCGACGCCACAGGTAGGAAGGTTGATGTCTTGATAAAGTCAGTACACCGTCACCTTGCATCTATAGCACACTCACAGAAACACCATCGCCTGTAAGATATTGTTAGCAAACGATCACCACACATAATGCAATGTTACTCACCATGAGGCTTTACTGGTCAAGACTCCTCCCAAGATCGGTCCCAACACGCTCGCAACACCCCAAGACGCTCCCAGAAACCCCTGATAGGCACCTCTCTTCTCCAAGGGCACAATATCAGACGCAATAATGGATCTATCGGCCAGTCATTAGTCGCGGTGTGTCATCAAAACTATCGAGACTTACGTTAATCCAATGATACAACCTCCTCCCAAACCCTGGAATGCTCGAGCAACAATGAGCCAAGTGCTCGTCTTGGCCGCCCCGCAAAGCGCACTGAACACTGTAAAGATCAAGATTGCAGCGTAGAGCAAAGGTTTTCGTCCGACGATGTCGGAAACGCGGCCGTTGATGGGCGTCTGGAGGGTTGAGGCCAGCATGTACGACTAGTTTCGGGTCAGCGTGAGATTTTCAGCTTGTGTAAAGTCACGTACCGTTCCTACCCATGAATACTCGGACGGCGACGCGTTGAGCTGCTCTGCTATTGTAGGAAGGGCTGTCGCCACGATCTGCATCAAAAGATGATTAGTCACTATAAAGCAGCCTTCTGGTGTTGAACGACTGACTGTTTGATCCAGTGCAGCCAGAAACATCACTAGGGCTAGTCTGATCATGCATCAGCGATTGGACAGGACAGGGGCGCTCTAAAACCTACGAGGGCATGACCAATTTCAGATTATTTTCTGGCAGGTCCGGCATATCTGATGATTCTGTGTTAGGGCACAGCTCGCCATGGATGCAAGTTCACACACCATTATCCCCTTCTGTCAGCCCCTTGCCTCGGACCTTGTCCTGCTTCCCCTTGCCCTTGTCTTGTGTCGACTTTTCGATAGTATCCATGCCGGCATCTTGGGAGTCGTTCTCCGGAATTTGCTTTTCTGAGCGCGACAACTCGGAAGGCGTGGCAAAAGGGTCTTTTGATTCTCCCCTGAAGGGCTGGGGTATTGAGGGGGACATGTGTGACTACTTGGGATAGCGAGATGGGTTACCGAAATATTTGCTGAGCTCCACCCGGCGTATCTGCTTGAGTATTGAATCGATGACGTGACCTTTCAAGAGGTCGGAAAACAAAGCGAAAGAGTCTGATGAATTACAGGAAGTAAAGCGTAAGATTGGACAGACATGTACGATGTGAACACATTCTCAAAATACCCCTTGGGCACCAGCTGCAAGCCCCGGTGCAAGCGTCGGAGATGCGCGATACCTCTGCCAACGAAAAAACGAAATTTGAAGACCGTCGGACTGGGCCGCGGGTGATTGATCTTGCCACACGTGGTCTGCACGTGGCATTTGTTATGCTCCGAAACGAAAATGAACGGTAAGCTATGGCCGACGAGATCGCACTTTGCATCTGCCAACTTACAAGGTAGCATTCAACAGCTAGCATTCAACAGCTAGCAAGGCCACCCATCTCCACCCGTTCACTTCCCTGGATCCAAGTATCACTCCCAGCCATGTCCTGCTCGCGCATCACCACCTGCCTCCCCGCTTCAGGCAGCAACATCCACAAGGCAGAACTCCCAGACAATGCCTTGGTCCTTCCCCCCACTTCCCAGCTCCAGTCTCTTCTCACAATCATTCGTGATGAACAAACTCAGAGGTGAATTGCACATTGGCCTCGTGTTGGTGGAATCGTTAGCTGACTCTTATCAATGTTTAGGGGTGACTTTGTCTTGTAAGGCTTACCTGGGACAAAGTTGGTGTGCAATACTGATAGGAAGGCGGCAGTACTTCTGACAGGATCATTAGATTGCTTGTTGAGGAAGGTGAGTCTTGTGGCTGGAGGCTTGTATTTGTGGACGGCCAGAGTACTGGCTTGAACATGTGTCTGGCCGGCCTACCCTGCCTTGGTATCGTAGACATGCAAGACATTATACTTATAAGATCCAGGCTTGAACCACCTCCCCGTCATTCCCAAGAAGGTTGTTACCCCCGTCGGCAAAGAGTTTGAAGGTGTCGCTTTCCAGGGCAGAATCTGTGGTGTTTCTATCATGCGAGGTATGCTATCCTCAGATTGATACTTTCTTTAATGTACATGGAGCTGACCTCTATTCCTACAGCTGGAGAGGTACGAAACATTGCGACTTGCAAACGACGCCGAAGTGGAATGCTGACTCTGGAGGGTAGGCTATGGAGGCTGGTCTTCGTGATTGCTGTCGTTCTGGTACGTGTGCTTCTTGACCCGATTTACCATGCACGCCCTGACCCGTATTCCTATGCTCCAGTCCGAATCGGCAAGGTAAGTTGTAACTGGAACGACCGGAACGGTTCACTGTGATGTCACGCGATGCTGACCGCGGGGGTACACTCAACTAGATTCTGATTCAGCGGGTATGTCATTTCTTTTTTCTCTTCTGTCATTCCTTCCACTTTACATGATGCTCATACTCACTCACAGGACGAAGAGACCACTCTTCCCAAGCTCTTCGTAAGTCCCCTTGCTGCACCCTATGGCCCAAGCTGACCAGCAGCCAGTACGCTAAATTGCCCGATGACATTGCCCAACGATACGTTCTCCTCCTAGACCCCATGCTTGGTGGGTCCATTTCTCGTTATGAAGGCGACTGTCTGACCCGTATCGCAGCCACAGGTGGATCTTGCATCAAGGCGATCGAAGTCCTTTTGGACCACGGCGTGCAAGAGGAAAAGATTCTATTCCTCAACTTGGTGAGTTCTTTTCAGCGCTATTTTACGAGCCCCACTTTCCCGAAGGGGAGTGGAATGGCGCTGCCCTTCGGCAATGGTGCTGATGTGGAAACAGATTGCTTCCCCCGAGGGTATCAAGAAGGTCTGCACTCGATTCCCCAAACTCACCATCGTACGTCAAACAACCTACGTTGGATTACCGCTCACCCTTTACAGATCACCGCCTGGGTCGATGAGGGACTCGACAGCAACTCTTACATTGTCCCTGGCCTCGGAGACTTTGGAGACAGGTGAGTCCGACCCTTCGTGGCCATCGCTGACCGCTTTCCAGGTACTTTCTGTAATGTAATCCTTTACATATATCTTGGCCCTGGCTGCATGTCATTCTTCTTGCAATCATGGAAGCATGCATGTGGTTCTCTATGCTTCAACCTGGGAATGTGGGCAATGTGGCGGGTCGGTGGGCAAGGGTTCGGGATCAATTATTTTGCCACACGAAATACCTCCGTATCCCCGCGTCCCTTACGAGGCCCACTGAAAAACAGTCAGCTGTCAGATTTTTTCTTCTCTCCAACCCATCTTTTTGTGAGTAGCCTCTGCCTATTTTTACTCTTCTGGCATCTCATCTAACCTTGTTTTCAGTTTTGAAACAACCCCCACCCCCAAAAAATACTCTTATCAACAATGTTCGGTCGAGGAAGCTCCTGTTTCAAGTGCGGTCAGCGTGGGTAGCGGGTTTCTCTTGGTGGTGTTGTGTGTGCGTGCGTTGTTGTCAGACATCGCTGTCACGAGGCAGGCTCTTGTGGCCTGGGCATCTGCTCGGCTGGAATGTCGAGTCGGCTCATGGTGGTGGCGGTCAGAGCGTCAGCTGTCGTGGTTGTGTGCGGGGGAGTGGCGAGTGTCGAGTCTTTGTGACGAGATGACGAGCAGCAAGATCTATTCCCTCGTACATAGCTAGCCCATGACGGGTTCTGTATGCCACCTTCATGCCTTTTCCCTCTCTCCTTGTTTGTTGCAACCCGACATACGTCGCCTTTTCTATTTCAACAACGCTCGCGCACCACACTGCGTATTTTTCTGATCAGTCCCATGCTCATAATGTACAGCCGGTCACGTCGCTGCCGCTTGCCCCGCTGCGGACCCCACCTGCTACAACTGTGGCCGTAAGTCTCTTGCACGTTGATGCACTCGCGTCAGCCGCTGATTACTCTCGCAGAGCCTGGTCACCTTTCTTCCGGCTGTGCCCAGCCCAAGAACAAGGCCTGCTACACCTGTGGCGCTGAGGACCACCTCTCCTCTGCCTGCCCCCAGAACCCCAACGCCGGTGGCGGTTTCGGCGGTGCTGGCGGTGCCGGCGGTGAGTGCTACCGATGTGGCAAGCCCGGCCACATTGCCCGTATGTGCCCCGAGTCTGGTGACGCTGCTGGCGGTGCCGGTGGCTTTGGCGGTTACGGTGGTGGTTACGGCGGTGGTGCCGGCTTCGGTAACAAGTCTTGCTACGTGAGTATCTCGCTTCTCGTCTTGGACATGTGCTGATGTGATACAGACCTGTGGTGGTGTCGGCCACATCGCCAGGGAGTGCCCCAGCGGTGCCGCTCGAGGCTTCGGCGGTCAGGGCAACTTTGCCGCTGGTCCCCGAAAGTGCTACAACTGTGTACGTCTCTTTACTTTCTAATGTGATCGCCCACTGACTCTCTTTGCAGGGCCAGCCCGGTCACATCTCTTCCCAGTGCTCCCAGGAGCAGGGCCGAACCTGCTACTCTTGTGGCCAGCCCGGCCACATCGCCTCTGCCTGCCCCGCTGCCGGTGGTGCCGCCCCCGCCGATGCTCCCTCCGCCTAAATGCCTTGAGAGTGTGATGTGGGCGACGATGTGTAGATAGGAGTGGTGTTGTGGCGTAGTAGGCGGAATGAGCGAAAGCGAAACAGCTGGTTGCGTAGTCATCTCGAGAATATTCTTTTTACCACTCCCTCATGCCCATTGGCGTTTGTTTATATATCATCATAACTTTCCTGGGTTCTTTAGCAAACAAAAAAAAAAAAAAACAGATCGTGGCTCCTGCGATGTATCTCGTGGATCGTGACTTGATGCTTGGCATGTTTGGAAAAGCTCTCGACATTCATGCGCTGATCTACTGATAGTTTCCAGAAGTTTTAAGCTCGAGACGTCTAGCATTTTTGGCGTGACTTTGGATGATGCTTCAGCTTCATCATGGTTGCATCCAAGGAAGTCGCCGGGGATCGGCGTGTTGATATCGGCAGTGGGCCGAGTGCGTGACGTACCAGTGCGTCGCCAAGATGCAAGCAAGATGCGATGTGGGCCTGAGCAAAAAGTCAAGAAAGGATACCCAGTCTTCCCTGGCCCGGGATGTCGATGCGTGCTAGACGGGCAGAAGGCAGTGACGGGGTCTCCAGTTCGTCGTTCTCCACTTTCCTTACATGCATCACACATATGAACGATGATGCAGAAGCAGGCTAGCACTACCAAGACTTCTTGTCGTCGAGCCGCGGTTGGCCGCTGATAGGAGCTGGCGACTATTTTCCCGCTAGGAACTATTTATCAATGTCGCCTGATATCATCCAAGAGCTATACACATCCGTGGTGGAGAAGACGAGGCTAGCGGGCCGAAGAATGAATCAAGGGAAGATGTTCTACATATGCAGAAGCTACAGTTAGCCCCGTATCTGCTTCCGCCTGCAAGCGTCTCTTGGCAGCTTCTCGTTCTCACTCTGGGGATCGTCTCGCAGTTGTCTCGCAGCATGGAGCAGAGTCACAAACGTGCACTGCAATCATCTCCGCCCAAGAAACCAAGACTGGAATTCGACACCTCTTTTGTATTGATCTTGGCATGGCGCTAGCACGACCGTATTCCAGAATCATGGGCATCGGAAGGACGCACTGTTGAACAACCGGGGCGGGGGGGCGGTGAAGCGCAAGAGTACTTATATCCCAGCGTCGTGTAATCCCCCCTGCAAACCAAAAGTCTATAGACTCCATAGAGGCACATACTCGATACTCTCAGACACTTGCCATCCGACACCTGCCCATACGAGGACTCTGATCTACCCCACTCCATACAACTCACCACTCACCATGCACGGCCGCGCCAGCTCTATATGCAGGCCCCTCTTCAACATTGAGGCTGGCTCACCCCGCTCGCCCATGAGCCCCAACGACCCCGACAGCCCCCGTTCGCCTTCTCCTACCCTCAATCATCGTATTCCTGCGCACCGGCGGTTCATCAACTGCCTCTACAGCGATATTGACGGCCCCAACCTCCACTGGGCTGCGGTCTACATGGCATTCTTGACGGGTATGACGGCTGCCCCTTCGTTTGCCGCTTGCTTTGTTTGGTGTGGATTTCAAACTGGTAAGTGGTATCGAGTAAGGCTGGAGACGTGTTGACAGGCGTCAGGTAACGCTGCCCAGCTCGGACTGGCCATCGCTCGGCATATGGTGCCCGACCACCAGCTCTCCGAGGAACAGCGCTTTGGGTTTCAAAAGATGGATCAACAGGCTCTGGTCAGTCTCTTGAGCTTTTGCCTCGCAACCATGCTCGGTCAGATAGGGAACAGGGTGGGAGGCAAGAAGCGGGTTTGGCTTGTCGGGGCGACACTCGGGCAGATGTTGTTGGTGGGCATGGCTTCATTGTTGGCACACTTGTCTGGCGAGACGGGTTTGGCTACGTGAGTCGGCTTTAAAGGGAGACAACAGGGCTGATACTATCGCAGAGCACGAGGTGATCCTTCCTGGGCGACTCCCACCGGCATGTCTGCTTTGGCCTTTTTGTCTGCCGCCATAGGTCTGCAGGGCGCTGTCGGCACTGTGAGCCGATTCCTGGTCTACCGAGACACCCCTGATCGATTTGTAGAAACTCGGTACACCTATGGGAACCACAGTCCCTCTCACGAGCACCGTGAGCACTCACCCTTCCCTTTGATTTCAACTGTTGACATATTCACAGTGGATCGACCTCTTCAACGACCCCTTTCTCTTTGCATTCCGCCACGTTCGCACGCGCGATGTCCGTGCTTTCGGCTGCCTGGCCCTCATCAGTGGCGCCATGATCTCCAGGATCATCTTGGGCTACATTGGTCCGGCAGAGACGATCGCAGTCTGCCTGGCCTTTCGAGCGTTGCTTCTCGTGTTTTGGTTTGCTATTCCTGACACAGAGTCGAGACTCGGCGGAGGAGGCGATGGCGAGCAGGTGGAACAGGGGCTCGAAAAGCCTTGAGCGATGATATGGTTAGTCTTTTATAAGCGAGACGAGCTCGGCTCACAGTGCTTGGAACGACTTTTATCGAGAGGATCAGTCGAGTTGTGAGGCTAGATGCCCGCCAGTTGTAGTATATCATCATTCGCGTTGTAAAGTAGACGTCCTGCCAGTGATCATAGGCAGCATGAACATATGTACACACCACGCATCAATGTTGAAATGTTGCGACCTTGGAGCGCACTGATGATGGAGAGAAGAGGCTAAACGAGATGTGTTAGAAAAGCGTAATAACGCGGGGAAACACGCTCCAGCTCTATCTCTGGGAACAAAATGTCTCCATCCCCATCTCCCGGGACCGCCACGATACGTAACCCTCTACCCTCCCCCCGCCATGGTCAAGAACAACCAGCCCCTCCAGATCCGCCTCACAGAGCCCGTCATCTTCCTCAAGGGGCCCTCCACCGGCCTCGACTTTCGCGGCAGGCCACAGGCAGTAAGGCAGGATGGCCAGCCCGCCATGGTCAGGGGCCTCCTCACCCTCCGCCTCTCAAAGCCCACCAGAATACGCAGCATCGCCATCAAACTCGAGGGCAAGGCCCGCACAGAGTGGCCAGAAGGTAGGTCCATGCCGTACTCAAGCACGCAATTGGAGGCTCACTCTTGCGGCAGGCATTGGTGCTAAGCGGATGGAGACGTCCGAGGAGCATGTCATTCTCATAGACCAGGCCACATTCTTCAATGCCTACCAGCACGACTCGTCCCGCTCGCGGTCGACCAGGCGGGCGCTGTCCCTCGGCCCAGGGGTCAATGTGGGGCGCGACGAAGACGATATCGACGACGATGTGGACCTTCAAGAGGTGCCACGCGACGACGACGCAGATGATTGGGTCAATATTGGCAGAGGAAGGCAGGGGCGGGGACGGAATACTATTCGCAGCTCCAGTGCGATGCCCGGGACCCATGACTCGAGCTCCTGGCACCGAGACGGTTTTTTCCGTCGACCAAGTTTTGACAACTCGGCGAGGAGCAGCATGCTCGACATGCCGGGTCTCAGTATGCAGGATCGTGGACCGTCCCCAGCGTATACACCGACGGCCTCACCCACGCGCATCGCATCGGCTCTGCCGGGCCATGTCGCGAGACCCTCGTCGCTCCGCCAATCCGTGTCGCCCCACCTTGCGCCATCCCGTGGGCCTGCATTGTCCCCGATAGCATCCGCCGCGCCTTCTCAAAATAACTCTGATCGAGGCGATAGCGCAGAGGCAGAGCACAGAAGACCAGTCTACACGAGCACGTTGACGTCGGAAGATGTACGAGAAGAGACGGATGGGGAGCCTCGTACGCCGACAGCGCCTCCCCAGGACGATTCCGCCTTGGATGAAGGTGTCGATGAGTCGTTAGACCTTCCCAGGCCTATACTGGAGTCGAGGGCCAACTCTTCTTCCTATGCTCATGGCGAAGTGCGGTTCTCTGTGCCCGCGGGAGAAGCCGCCGGGGGTGAAGGGTTGCCAATGACCGACGAGACTGCTGCTTTAAACACGCCAGCCGGAACTCCACCAGTCTCGGGCGGTGGTCGCGCTGCCTCTGTCCGTACCTTCAACTCGACTCATTCGGCCTCTTCCACCTCCCTTTCCTCTGGCCAAGATCACAGCGGGGGCGAAAACCACCCAGTCAGCTCTGCCATCCAGCCTACATCGGGCCCCAACACCCCCGCACCGTCTGCGCCCCCTTCTATCAGGCAGGTATCTACGGATGGTGCCGGACGCCCACGATCTGCGGCGTCCCATCCTGGGAGCATCCTCTCCTCTCGACAGCCTTCCGACCAGAATCTCCACAATCTTGGGCACAGAGCTTCGGGAGAGAGCTTGCGGGGAGGCGAGCGCACGCGTACTGCCCGAGCTGGGAGCACCTCGACCATTGTCGAAAATACTGCCTCTACATTCAGTTCAGCGGGATCTTCTCGTCCACCTAGTCGTAATCGTACAACAAGAGCAGCAAGTGGTACACCTGCCATCACCACTGCTTCAAACCTCGCCCATCTTGCCCCCAGTGCTGCCAGCACCGAGGGTGTCGAATTGAGCGACGACGGCCGTGGGCGAAAGAATCACAAATTTAGCTTGGCTGCTACCCTGCGCGGACTGAGTCGGGATGTCAAGGAGCGTGTATCACATGGCGGCAGACATCCGTCCAAATCGCGTAGCAGGATGGACAATTCGTCTCGCGCCGAATTGCACGAGACTTCAGACTCGCCTAACAGCTCGACCTTCTCCAACATTGCCATGCCTATGAGCAGGGCGAATAGCAGTACTGGACCAGGACCGATAGACCATGCCCATGGGAGTCGACATGGCTCGTTGGTCAACGACGACTTTGTGCCGACCTACCGCCGTGGCGGGGCTGGGTCGACGAGGAGGAGCAGGTCTAGGGAGAGGGACTCGAGTAAGGTACGAGGTCGGGATGATGAACGAAGCAGGAGCCGAGCGAGGGGCAGGCATATGGGGATGAAGGTGTTGACGGACAAATTGGGTCTGGGAGAGACTGAGGATCAGGGGGATGATGTGCATAATTGGAAAGAGTTTAGAAAGGGCAAGTCGCATTGTTTTTGACTGGTTCTTGCTGACAGTGAGCAGGTACTTACAATTATCCCATCTCCTTCCCCATCCCCGTCAACGCCCCGCCCACTATCCACGCCGAATTCGGCTCCGTCATGTATCGCCTCAAAGCCAGCGTCGTCCGTGTGGGTGCTCTGACGCCCAACTTGACGGAGGATACAGAGATCATGATGATTGCCACGCCGCAGGAGGATGATCTGGAGGAGACGGAGAACGTGATTGTGGAGAGGCAGTGGGAGGAGCAGATGAGATATCAGATCACGCTCGGTGGCAAGGCGTTCCCTATCGCAGGGACCATGTAAGTCGAAAGATCTCGAGGTGATCGTAGCTGACCTCTCGGCAGCCCCATCAGTATTCGGTTAATGCCCTTGCTTAAATGCAAGATTCATCGTCTAACGGTTGCTCTGGAAGGTGCGCTTGGTGATATCTATTCTGGACCAAGCTCACGTGTTTTGCAGAAAAAACAGACTATCACGCCCAAGAGCGTAAAGTTGCTCGACACGAAACGCCCAAACGCTTCGTGCTCCTCTTCATCAAGCAAGCCGATGCGAAAGAACGCACCGAGCCTCTCCTTCCCATCATCTCTGATGATCCTACCGCCGCCGAACGTTCGCCTCTTGCCGAGATGGCTCGACAAGCAGCCATGAGCGATCCTCCCGCCGACCTGTTTGACCTCGAGAGGGATCCGGAAGATGCAATGTACGCGAGCTTGATGGAGCCTACAGGTCCTTGGCATTTGGAGAAGGATCTCCAGCTGCCGGATTGTGTGTCCAAGATCAAGTTTACCACAAAGCATGATCAGACAAACATTACTGTGGCACATTGGTTCAAGGTCACGATCCGGGTCGAGAGAGGGGATGACGAGGCGCTGGATTCCAAGGGTCGTAGGAAGCAATTCGATATCATCATGTGAGTCCCTAAAGCTACTAGCTTGATTGGCGCTGACATGCACTCAGCGAAACTCCCATCAAGATTCTCGACTGCCGAGTCAACCCATCGTACAACTCTCTCCCCACATACTCTGTCACTCAACGCAACTTTGTCTCCACCCCTGGTATCTGCTCGGTGCACAATACCAAGAGCGCCCCTCCTGTCCCCATCGGCATGTCTCGTCACTCCAGCACCAACAATGCCGGAGAGGCCACTGTCGCTGGCACCCCGCCTACGACCTTGTCCAGTCTCCCCGAAGAGCAGCCGCACGGGCATCTACTTCCGCATATTTCAAGCCATAGGCGGACAGAAGTGGAGCCTGTGGGAAATGCTCCTACAGTGCCAGGGGTGGATGAGGAGGATACATTGTTGGAAAGGAACATTGTTTATGATCGATTGATGTCGGGGCAAGTGACAGAGACTGGGGAAGTGCCGCCCACATACGGGGAAGCGATGGCGGAGGCTGTCGGTGACCGGAGCGTCTCTCGAGTCAGAGAGTCTGAGGTCTCGGCCAATGGGCGCGGAGTCTCGTCCAGCAGGGGAAGTAGGAGCAGGAGTAGACTAAGAGACTGATTTAATAGAGAGATCTTGTGTTTGAAAGTGCGTTGGTATAGAATACAAGCCGTATAGATGTGTTGGTACCCCTGAGCTTGTCAGAAGTAGATTATCCGGGAATCATGGGCTGCTTGCTGGAATGGCCATTGTTTGTCTTGTATAGTCTGAAGAACATGCACTGAAGAACATGCATATTGTTCCAGGCCCCTGGTGATACAGATAGTCTCATTCTTTCGACCCCGCGACCGGTTCCAGCGGTAACAACTCTTCTCCCTCAAAAGCATCTGCGGGTACCCGTCCTTGCCTAGTTGTGGTGGGTCAGTAATGTGCGAATGCAGTCTATGTGGACGGCACGTACAATTCTGTGACCGCTCCCTTGATCACATACAGGAAAGGCGCTTCTCCTACAGGTGGTGGCAAAGATTGGTAGGCGACTGGTAGATGATGAGCAGCTACATGTGATTGGCGGACGGTACTCACCAGGAGTCTTGCATCTTGAGCAGCACAAAGGTTGTCTGAGTTCCAGATCCGAGGTATCTCTCCTATCAAGCGGGTCAACTCGAGGTGCACAAGGGTGCCTTTTGACGAACCGTTTGAGCAGACATCTTTGACCAGGCTGAGCGTTCAGCTTGAACTTTCTCGCTGGCTGTTTTGAGGGGTCCGCTCCAGCTTTTGAGCGTATAATATAGGCTCCATCGGTCCTGAGGCAAGTCAGCGGGCGTTTACGATACCAGAACAGAAGATACTGACTTTCTTCTCGGCAACCGGTCAAGCTTTCCCTGGAGGACCAAGACAAAATCTCCGCATAGACAGTAGTACGAGCGTAGTACGGCTTTGGACGATGCGGTAGCAGTTGCCTGTTCCGAAGACGACACTGTTGCTCTCGAGACGGCTTTGGGCATGGCAATTGGGACTGGCGAGGCTGGGAGTTATGGCGAGTGTGGGCGTTTTTGGGTGGGCAGAGGGTGTATTGTTGAGCTGATGTAGGGTGTTTTGGGCGGGCTGGTCTGAGTTGGTGGTTTATTGTACGAGTATATGATGTAGCAAAGCGGAAGTGACAGCGGGGTCCACTGAATTTCAGTTGGTTCCGTTCTCTTGTTCGTTGTTTGTCCCACTGAGATGGTCTCTGCAAACGACTTCCGGAGATCCCAATGGCTCGCCTGCTTATGCTCATCCCTGCTCATCCCCTCTCCCGTCTACACCATTGCACACTCGCCAGACGCAACAAGGACCGCCCGCTGCCCTCGACATAGCCCTGCTCACGACAACTAAACCCAACCCGACCTTCTCAATCAGACCACCTGCAGCCTTGACCAGAGCAATCTCGATATCTAGGATCAGAATGAGGGAGTATGTGGATGTTGCAATGTGGTCGTAGTCTCCAACATTGTCAAAGTGAGCATATCTCCTCCTCTACTTCCTCCACTCTGTCGTATGCGACAGCTTGCTGGCATACAGCCTTGGATCACTCTGCATGGTGATGATCGGCTCGCTCTTCGGTCTAGGAATACCTTCCCAGCTCTCTTATCCGCGCCTGCTGCTGTGGCTGACTATTCCCAGTACACACCGCATGAGTTGTACACCTTCCGACCCATATCATCTATACTTCGTCATCCCGACCCCCATGCAGCCTTTGCCCCCCCCGCACACCACTGTATGAATATCAGTCCAGCAATAGTAACAGCAGCATACGCGACAGATAGTGGACTGGGGTGTTGAACAGGCGGGCTGCCAACCAGTGGATGGTCGTTCAACCTGCACCCTGTGAGCCCGAGGTCCGTTGGCTTTGCGAGCTGTTCTCTCATTGTCTCACACTTGGCATGCCCCCACTCCCTTCCCCCTGTTACTTCCGAGTCGCTCCCATTCTCGTGCCGCCGGCCTGGACCATCTCTTGCGGTGACGAACGATTCGACACCACACGCAGCTCTGGACCAGGGCGAAACAACATCATCCTGCCATTCTGACACTCCTATCGAAAGTCTCCTTTGCATTGTCACTCTCTTTAGCCCCAACCTTCTTGTATCGTGTATATATCTCATAGTCTCGCCATGGCTCCGATCCCAGCCCCATCTCGCCCCTCCCCGGACAATTTAGCCTTCCCCTTCCTCACCTTCTTCTCTAACGTCTTCGGCCTTGCCACTCCCTCCGTCCCTGCCATTAAATCCGACACTTCTCCCAGTGAGTATCTTTCAGCCATGTGTCTGCTCGGGCTTACCCAGCTATCTAGCTCCCTCCGCCGACCCTGCTGCTCCTACCACCTCGCATGACAGATCTCCCGCACCCTCAGCCGCCAAGTATGTTGATACCAATGCTTCCAATTAGTAGGCTCCATCGTGTACCCTCCAACTGACCATCATGATCAGGTACGCTGCTGCTCATCGTACCCTCCCCGAGTGAGTGCTTTGCTTTGAACATCTGATCTTCTAGCTGAGCCTCTCTGAGGTCTTCCGCGTTGGCTGTTTCTCACAGCCTCAACGGCGCCAACACCAATGACAAGTCCTCCGGAGACATTCCCGCTGCGTTAGTGATTGTGTGAGTGGACTAGTCTTCCACCTGACATGAGCTGACGTACATCAGCGGGCGAGACCTTGACACCACCTTTCCAACTCAAAGCCCTTTCACCTCCCCTGCCCCCACCGGCTCCACCGGCTCCAACGGCTTGACTCACACCGGCACCATCGCTCTAGCCTGCGTCCTCGCTATCGCTTCCATCATCTCTCTCACGTTTGTCGTATGGTGGTTCCTCCGACGAAAAACTCGCAAGGGCAGTATGTCTGAGGAAGATGTTGAGTCTCTGTCCCCCATCTACGCGCCCATTGTGCCTGAGGTCACTCTGTTTCTGGTGCCCCCACAAATGCCAGAGTCACGGGTGGGGCGAGACTCTCCCGGGCAAGACTCTGAGGGGCCTGGGCAACTCTCGCCAGCGGCGTGCGGTCGGCGTGGGGTTTCTCCCGGCCTGCCAACACCTCCCAAAGCCGTCACTCCCGGCTCCGCCATCACCGTCACTCGACGCTCTTACGGCCGTGCTCAAGCACATCTTGAGCCTGTCACAGAGCCACCAGAGACCGTCAGAGCAACCGAAATGCCCTTCCAACCCGAGTCAATCACCAAGCCCGACTTCCTTCCCTCTTCGGTGACTTCTAGGCTCAGCACTATCGGCATGCCCCATTCTCCCGTGCACAAAGTGCCTTTTGCCCGCGGGTTCGGACGCATCATCTCGTTCGACTTTGATTCTCCACCTGTACCGGAGAGGGTGGCTATACGAAGGGCGCCCATTCCTTCCCGAGCTTCCAGTACTTCTCGGGTGATACGACAAAGCTCTGAGAGCTCTTCCCACTCTGTTGAGCCTATCCGTCAGATCTCTAGTGGGAAAAAGCCTTATCGACCGACCGCAAAGAGGACCAGGCGCGCAGCCCGGAATGTTGCCAAAAGCAGGCCGACGTCGAGGGCGAGTCCGCATCGCGGCAAATCCGAGAGTGTCGTTGGTGGCGCTGTCCAGCTCGACCTACTGGGAGCCAGTCTTCCCAACGTTGCTACCCCAGAATGCCTTGATCGTCCACCCGCTGCTGTCAGACCACTGTCTGCCCCTCAGACTGTCGATCATGCAGTTGAATCTAGCGCTCCCGAAGACAGCGGCAGTAACACCGACACCGATCTCAACTATACTATCAGCTCTGCCACGTCGGTTGACATGCCTGTACCCTCTATCCCACGCTACCCTTATGATTCTCAAAAGCGTGAGCGTGGCGAAGACGTGGTCGAATTGGTGGAGGTGGTCCTCACGGATGACGAGAGTGCTACGCTCGAGGCTGCTACACCTCTGCTCGAGCAGGAAGACCTCTCAGCCCCGCCTCCTAGCACGGATGACCACGATGACGGTGAAGGGGTCGTTACTCCTGTCATACAGGACCTCTTCATGGAAGACGACGCCCTCGGGCTTCAGATGCTTCTCTCTCCAGACCACATCCAAAGTGCCCATGCCGATGCCTTGTTCGGGCCGGAGACTTGCGTTCAGCTGCAGTCAACCTTTCGCCCCGTAGATGCCGTGGGTGGACTCGACTTCTCCTTTCAGCAGGCGGAGGGTGACTTGCTCGACCTTCTCAACGATATGGCCAACAAATCCTCTAGTCGCATCTTCACCCGTGGCTCTGTGGCCTCTACATCCTTCAGCAGCTGTCAAGAGCCACTCTCGCGTATGTCTGGAGACTCGTCGCTCTACGTCGCACAGGAGAAGGCGGAGAACGACCTCATCAATCTTCTTGAAACCATAGGTCAGCCTCGGCTGCCTTCCACGCGGTCTAACATGTCAGCCGCTATCGTCAGCCACCGAGCTCAGTCGTCGTTCGATGCTGCTGAGGAGAGTCTGCTTTATTGTTTGGAAGACATGTGCGATAAGGTGGTCAAGTCCAAGGACAATGATGCGACCGAGTTTCTCCCGGCCACGTTCGCAGAGGCGGAAGCCGACTTGCTGTCCATGTTGGTGGCAATGGACCCGAGTTCTTTTGCGCTTGTCACACAAGATATCATGCAGATACCCCGCTCAGGCAGTACGGGCTCTGTTCCTATCGGAGTACACACTCCCATGAGAGGGCAAGAGTCGCTTCCCATCGAGCAGCATCGGTCTTCTGTCAATGGCAAGATTTCAACGGCGTCGCTCTCTAGAGTGTCCGATATCGCTTCGGCACCAGAGCAGCCCAACATTGTTCTTGGTGGAAAGCAGGTCGTTGGTAACGACACGTCGTTGACCGAAGACTTTCTCGACATTGGTATGGAGCTCCTAGAGGACCAGAGCGAGCCCATCCCAGAACCTTCAGCATTGACTTCCGTAGCTTCCCCCTCCATCGCTGCAGAACGACGCCTGGAGCAGCCAGATTTGCTTGCTTCTGCAAGAGCCTTCCTCGAGAGCAAGCGCACCCATCATGTGCATGTGCACAGCAAGAGTGTCGGCAATCTGTCTCGGGAGACTAGTGCTGAAGACGCCGCCAACGTCCGAGGGGACATCTGGCAGACCACTCCAAAGTCGTCTAATGTCCTGCGAAGTCCTGCCAGCTGTTATCTTACCATCACCAGGCCGTCCCCTGCTAGCCTACTCGACAAAACTATCCGCTCCAGTCAGAGCACCCCTGAGAAACAAGCAGGAGAGAAGGAGGTGTTCTTTGCAAGTGAGATTGGCGAACTTTTTGGGGCGCATGGCGGTGGTCAAGGAAATCTGAGGTATAGACAGCTCCATGGAGATGTATTCGACGAGCTGAATGGCGGAATGGGTAATTTGTTTGGGGACCATGAGTGTGAGTTTGTTGCTTGAGCCGGATCCTACCGAAAGCTGATGTGAGATGTGCAGCCTGGATGGGCCACGACCAACTTGATTACGATAGCGATAGCGAAATATTCTAGGCTGTCCTATGATCTGCGAGCGGCTACACGTACAGACAAAGAACTTTGGAAGTGGTATCGATCTTACAAGCCATTATGCTACTTGACCCCTTTGTTCCTCATGTCGAACCTGTGAGAGCATTTCGTCATGTGTCTGTAATCGCATAGCCGCGGATAGATACGTTACAAGTATGTATAAGCATATATGATAGTACATACCTTTTATTGTGAGTACGAGTACGAGTACGAGTACTGTACGATGAATGCATTATGTGTCATGGTTAAAGGAGTCATCTGTGTAATTAGTTCATCCAATAGATTAGTTGTGTGTTTGTGGACCGTGCTCTCCGTTGTTACACGTATCAGAGTCTTTTTCATAGTTTCTTCTTCTTCATATGCGACAATAACGAAAAGGTTTTTGCCCCTTACTACAAAACTCTCTTCAGCACGTCAAGGGCACTCAGGGACTTGAGACAGCGACGAGATACATAGTGCGGGGGGGCAGCTACTCTCTGCAGGTCGGTGATCAGTGGCCACACATGAAGAAAGAGAGGACGTCCCGGGTTGCGCACACTTCTTGTTCTTCAGCTTTTCACAAGTGTCCTGCTGGTGGTCGGGATCTCTGCAGTAGGGGCACAAGGCCCACGCTTCCCGGACGAAGCGCTCCAGGTCGGACAGGTGCCGAGGACGAGGAGCGTCGCCCCACTCGGGGGCAGGGATTGGCTCGGGGCGGCGAGTGGAGGGTGCCGCCCGGGTACCTTGCTTGGACCAGGCGGGGAGACGCAATGCCTGGGCCAGGAGAACCTCGGCAGGGGGCGGAAGAGAATGTTGGGCGGTGGGGGCCTCGTAAGCGGCGCTGAGATGGAGGTGGGGCTGGAGAGGCGGAGGGTGGCGGGGAGGGGCAGCGGAGATGTAGGCCATTGACCTCTCAATCTCTTCCGCCAAGGCGCACGTGTCGTCGAAGACCGTAATCTGGTGGTGCCCTTGGGTGCGCATCTCCGCGAGCAGGCGCTCCCGGAGCTCCGGCTTGAGGCCTGCCTCCCAAACGCGGAGACAAGCCGGGTTGTCGACCTCGAGCTCCAAAGGCTCCAAGGCTTGACGGAAACGCTGACTGAAGTCACGGACCGCCCCCGTCTGTCGCAAGCCCACCCATTCCTGTACCAGGACGGGAACACTCTTCTTCGGCACGTACTGGTGACGCAAGGCGTCACGGAACTCAGGCCAGCTGAGGTGCTCCTTTGTCGTCGACCAGTCCAACGCAGGCCCGCTGAGGTGCATCTGCGCCCACCACCTGGCGTAGTCCGGGAACTGTCGGAAGTAGGGGTGGCCGCGAATATGCTGGTCCAACGTTTTGATGACCTCCTTCGCATCCTCTTTCCCTTCACCCCTCAACTGGACGCTTAAGGTCGGGGGCAGGTGGAAGGCGGGGGACGGGTAGCCGGGGAACTGGGACGGAATTGGCGGCGTAGGGTAGGCCTGTGCGCCGACAAAGGGGTTCGGGGACGCCTGATAGCGAGGGGAAGAGGAGTTGGGGTCCTGAGGTATAGGACGGTGAAAAGTCGGGCGAAGGGGTGCGTCCGGGGCATGAAGTGGAACGTTGCCCAGCCCAAGTGGGGTGTTGGGCAGGCTCAAGTTGCGGGAGAGTGGAGCCTGGGAGGGGGGAAATTGTGGTGCCGGAAGAGGCGGAAAAGCGGTGGAGCTGGGGGGAGGAAATTGAGGTGCCAAAGGTGGCGGAAGAGTGATAGAGTCGAATGGAGAGTCAAGTGGGTGGGCCATTGTTCTGATGATACGACAACTTGTCACGCCTGGGGAGTGCCCTTGACGTGCTGAAGAGAGTTTTGTAGTAAGGGGCAAAAACCTTTTCGTTATTGTCGCATATGAAGAAGAAGAAACTATGAAAAAGACTCTGATACGTGTAACAACGGAGAGCACGGTCCACAAACACACAACTAATCTATTGGATGAACTAATTACACAGATGACTCCTTTAACCATGACATTATGCGCCTATGATGAAGTCCCTACTCTCTGATCTTTCGTTATCGATCAGCCAACATTGACTTGTCAAGAAGAAGACAATGCAGTGGCTACTACTGCATGCTCTTCTTCGCTTCAATAATGACAGCATGCACTTAACTCATTGGAAGTAGACCACGAGGAGTCTACACTCGAGTACGAGTAGTACAGTACAATGCGTATCTGACCCCCCAATTGTATTCTCTTTGCAGTGAGGGGACGCAGTACGAAAGGCAATACGGGGAGCGTCGAGATTGTTCTGGGTATGTCATACTCCAATGATGACGAGCAGAGGCGCGTACTGTCGATGGTGAACACAAAGTACACCAACATCAGCAAGGCATACGTGATTCCCTTGATCCTCTTGATAGGGTTCTTCTTCCAGCTATTCACCCCTGCCTCGAAACACCTGACTACTCGCGACCTAGCAGCAGCTACCCTCGTCTCTTCCGTTGGCTGCGTTTGAGTAATGGCCAGCGACTATATCCTCGAGAGCGTCGATAGCTTCCATGGCCACAACAGATAGGATTGAGCTGTCGGAGTCGAGATAGATGGCGCCCCTGACACCCCAGTTATGAAGGGACGGGCAAGCCTGAAAGATGGGGTGGCTGATGAGCTCGAGACTGAAACCTTCGAGGGGTATTTCGCTGGCCATCGTGATACTGGTGGTTGAGGCTTGCGAAAAATGGAATCCAATTTACATCAGTCCTCATCAGTACTAGCGCAATCATTCATGGTGGGAACCAAATGTGGCTTCGGCCGCCGTAGCCCCCTCTTGAACGTACATACAACCTCCAAGCTACACGGTGTTTTGCGTGCGAGGCTCGAGGAAGTATAATGCAGTTGTCATCCAGATGAAGCATACTAGCAATTTCCACGGGTAGCTTTTCAGTTGCATGGTAGGTACGACTGCTGGTTCATTGCAGGGTCTACTGTCACACGCGGATGACCGAAGGTCGGCCTGCGGCACGATCTTCCTGCTGCAGAACGACTGAAGCAGCTGGAAGAGGAGGATATGGAGCTGAGGGTCGTTATGTAGTCCGAAATCGTCTAGAATCCACTGAGGGGTCTGCGAGTGTTCTGCGCAGTGTGTAGACAGACTCTTCACTGGCGATTGAGCATCTACATGTCTCGAGGGCCCACCAGCCTTTTTGGATGTCTTTTGCGTAAGCCGTTACCTTCTCTTCTTTGCTACTGTCGGGCAAGTCTCCCCCAGAATCCATCGAAGATGACAGCCTAACCACTGTAAGATACATTTTGTAGATCTATGCTGACATGCTGACATGTATACCGAATTATATCATTAGACGTTACAACCACACAAGAACTCCATCTCACATCTCCTTCTCCGAGGCGTCTGGTGCCACAACTCATGGGCTATCTCCATCATTCCCCCCTGCCAATCTTGAATATTCTCTTCCTCTTTGCCTTCACATCTAGCTCCCCCAATCCTCCCATGCCTACCGCACTCCCCGCTGCACTTCCAGAGCCACTCGCCCCTGCACCATTCCACGCTCCACTACCGGACCCTGATCTCGTTCGTGCCAGATGGTACGGGAACGACCGTACAGCGATATGCTCGTGTCCTCTAGCATATGGGGAAAGCGTGTGCGCCGAGTGGGAAAGTGTGGCTAGCTGAGAAACGGAGTTGTTCAGAGGGAGGGTGATGCCGTTCGGCCCCGTATGGCGGGGAGGGAAAGAGCCGTTGTGGGCATTTCCTGGTGATGTGCCGGTGACTGAGACAGAAGGTACGCGCTCATGTTTCAGGCGAGACCCAGGCACGGGGAGAGGTACCGACATCGGCCGCGCCTTTGATGAAGCTGATTGTTTGGACGGTGGTCGTTGGGACGAAGCCATTGTTGAGAGCGTGGCCGACCGACTGGGGCCGTCCGTCTCTCCCCAGCTAGATCCTGACGTTCTGGCCGCGGAGGATGAACCTGTGGCAACTGAATGCCTTGGTCGATGGTGCGATGGAGCGCCGTACGATAACGGGCGGGAAGGCGTCGCTTTATAGGATGATGGTGGTAGGGCGGCAAAAGACTCGGCGCGAGGTAGTTGACTTTTGCCATATGTAGGAGAAGCCAAGAATACGTCGGAGCGGGAAGTGACCATGCGCCGTAGGTTGGATGAGCCCGGCGTGAATACTCCTGGGGATGCTATGCCCGGGGAGATCGAGTTCAGAGGCCGCATTCTGAGGCTCTGTGACAATGGTTAATAGTGATGTTATACCAGATGCGAATGTACATACCCCTATTGTCGACGACGCGGCGCCAACAGAGCTGGCTCTGGCCGTAACACTTCCACCTGTACCAGTCGCTGAAGGACTAGGCATAGCACCCCCAGCCTCTGACGGTGCCCGGATTTGACTCTGCACATGGAATACCCGGGGCCTCGAGACGACCCCACCACCGACGGCAGGGAACGTTTCCCATTCGACTTCCTCCCCATCTCGTCCATTTTCGGTCGTAGCAGAGGAAAAATTGCCAGACATGACACTCTGCCGCCGCCGCCGAGCCTTGACTGGTGATCTGTTGCGCGAGGGGGTCGGTATAGCCCTCAGAGCGTGGTCCATCTCGACCATGTCCAAGCTCTTGCGTCCGTCGTCTTGGTCCCAATCGCCATCGCTAACATCTCCCGGATCCCCAAAGTCTTGTTCCGGCCCCTCTTCGAGATCTTCTTCGCCCATCCCTATCAAACTCCCCAGACCTCGGCCTTGGCCCTGTCTAGCCTTTTCCCACAGTCTTCCGAAAGCCTCGTATCCGCTGTGCGTTGGCAGGCCTTCCGGACGAAGACCGTATGTAGGATCATAATCTTCAATATCGGGAAATGATGTGAATGACGTTGGCGATTCGGAAACTGTGGTGGCGTTGGACCGTCTGCTTTGAGCTCGGGCGAGTGAAGCCCGCCGAGGAGTCGAGTCGACGGTCTTTTCAGGACTACCAAAATTGACAGGAGGTGGGAAGATGTCTTGCTCTTCGGATGCCTCGGCATCCTCAGGTTCGTCGCTAGGCCCATAGGCAGGTGGAGGAGCATCGCGGTAGGGCATCTCGACCCGTCCACCAACGCCGCCTCCAGAGAACCACTTTTGACTGAGTCGATGAATGATACCCGGGAGGTCCTCTCTAAACATCTCTCGCAGCTGGCCCTCGATTTCTTGCTGGAGGTAGCCCCTGATGACCTCGACCGAGTCAAAAGTCGAACTGACTTCAACATTTTGCAGGGGGTCATTCTTGAACACAAGTGTGATACCTTTTGAGGCAGAGACGACCAGGATGAGAATAGCGCGGAGGTTGAGTTTTGAAAGTCGCAAAGTCATTGGCACCAATAACGGTTGGGAGGCGATCAATGGTGTGGATAGGGGCAGAGTGGACGATGTGAGGTGGGGGTTGTGGGATAGCGGGTTCGCTTGCACGCGACATCTAACTTCCAGCCATGCGTCTCCTTGATATCCTAGCCTCAGGATACCACGGAAGCGGTCAAGGGACAGGTCACCGATCTCTAGAAGGGTGAGAGTGGGAGGTTGTTCGCCCATATGGAGCTCGACCACTTCTATGCGTCCTTGAATGACGGGGGGTTTGTTCCCCTATATGATCCAGTCAGCAGTGACCGAAGCATGCCGAGTCTTCTCACCTTGTTGAGGGCACCCTCGAGCATGGCCTTTGCATCTTGGTGGAAGGCGGGGGAGAAGGCGGTAGCCCAGGAGGGGAATACGAAAGACATGGTGGAGATGTGCGTGCCTATATGCTAGGCATGGCGCTGGGAAAGAGATGCCCTTTGGTTTGCTTTTGGTGGCAATTTGGTGGATGATGCATGGTCCAGTATTATATATCTTCAGCTTATGAGATTTACCCTTACGTAACAGTGCCTGGTCTGTAAATTTCCAGCAGCCGGTGCGCCGAGCTCGACAACTTCTGAGCGACAGTAGTGGTGGACCGCATCTGCATCTGCCATGTCCTACAAAGTATCCGCCAACGCCCCCCTCTCCATCTCCTCCTCTTCCTCCGTCTCGGACGATGACGACGATAGGGTCTCCGACTGGGCTTCCTCTTTCGGCGAGGCTCAGCAGACAAAGTCTCTCTTCGACGACTCTCTCTTGCCCAATCCTCCCCTCGCTCTCTGGCACGACCTCGAAAAACACGGCTTTGACCTCAAAGATGCCGTCGAAAAGCTCAACCTGGACATGTTTGGGAGAATCAGGCTGATCAACTTGATCAGAAATGCTGTGAGTGACTCGATGATCATGGTGTATCGGCTGACATCGATACAGGGCTTGAGCAAGGAGCAGATCTATGCTCTCAAGTCTGATGACACCGTCTTCCAGGACGACAACCTCTTGATTCCCGTCATTCCTGACGATCCTTATCTTCGTAAGCATGCTGCGTTTGAGGGAAACAAGGGAGCTTATACCTGCTGCAGAATACGACTTTGACGACTCTTGGTCCGATGATGAGGACGAGTCTTCCGCCGCTCCTGCTCCTACTACCGGACCTTCTTCTTCCGCCACCGACAACAAGGGCCCTGAAGACGACCGATCTACGGCTCTGGAGAAGGAACTCGAGAAGGCTAGACGGGACTTGGCGGCCATGCAATTGTTGGTCACCAAGACTCTTGGTGCCGAAGACGACGATGAGAAGACCGAATTGAAAGACGAAAAGGCCGATGGAAAGGGCAAGGGCAAGGCTGCTGTCAGGGATGATGACTCGCACTACTTCCAATCGTACGAGGAGAATGGCGAGTCCTTCTCATATCGAATATCCGTCATCTGACCTCTATGTGCAGAGATTCACGAAATCATGCTGAAGGACACTGTCCGAACCGTTTCCTACGCTCGATTCCTGCTTTCCAACCCTCAGATATTCAAGGGCGCTACAGTCATGGACGTCGGTTGCGGTACCGGAATTCTGTCCATGCTCGCCGCCAGAGGTGGTGCCAAGCACGTCTACGCTATCGAGGCTTCCAACCTGGCGGTCAAGGCTCGCGAGAACATAAAAAAAAATGGATTCGCAGATGTTATCACTGTCATCCAGGGCAAGGTTGAGGACATCCAGTTGCCAGTGAAGGAGGTGGATGTCATCGTCAGCGAGTGGATGGGATACATGCTGTTGTACGAATCCATGTTGGACTCTGTATTGGTGTAAGTCCGGCTTTTCTTGTATAAATGCTGTTGCTGACCAGTCTACAGCGCGCGAGACCGATTCCTCTCCCCCACCGGTCTCATGGCTCCCTCTCAAACTCGTCTCGCCATCTCTGCCATCACTGGCGAGCGCGTCTTCCGAGAGCGTGTTCACTTCTGGTCCTCTGTCTATGGCTTCGACCTGACTACCATGGGCGGCATCTCCTTCGACGAGGGCCTGATAGAAGTTGTCGACGCTGAAGAGATTGTCACTACCGAATCCATCGTCCGAGACATCAACTCCCACGACGCCACCATCAAATCCCTCGACTTCCACTCTCCCTTCACGCTCAAGGCCACGAGTGACAAGACCGAGACTGTCCGAGCATTCTTGACGCACTTTGACACATTCTTCTCTCCTCGCTCTGGGGCTGATTCCCACTACCCCACTTCGCACCCTGTGTCCATCGGTCAGTTCGGGGACGACGAGTACCTCAAGCCCGTTGAGCCTGTTGTGCCCTCTTCTGCCGAGGCCGGCGTCACGGTTAGCTTCACGACAGGACCCAGGGGCAAGTACACCCACTGGAAGCAAGTTGCCTTCCTTCTGCGCGACCCTATCCAGCTTGCTCAGGGAGAGGAGATCACTGGTCAATTCAGATGTAAAAAGTCGTCGACAAACTCGAGAGAGCTGGATGTGGAGATCTACTGGAAGAAGGGCGTGGAAGGTCAGACAGGTGACGGAGAGTACACTTGCCAGGCTTTCAAGGTTCGATAAAAGAGTCTCTGTTCAAGCGTAGATGTAGATCTTGCCGATCTGGAATGCATTTGTATGTTACAGTATGTTTTGTAGAAATTAACTAGGCGTTCATGGCCGCCATCTCATCTTCACCATCATCGGCAGCGGCATCCTCCTCTCCACCTTCCTCTCCCTCCACCTTCTTGCTCCCTTTGAACTCTTGGTCCTCGCCCTTCATCGTCCTTCCCCTCTGGAACCAACTACTAGTCTCCTCCCTCGTGATTTCCCTTAACACCATCGTCGCGTACGTACTCGATCCCAAGCTCAAGTCCACCTTGACAGCGCGGAACTTGCCAGCAGGGTCGTGTGTGGCTGGCACATTGAGATCGAGAATGGCGTCTTCGTCAGATTGCACGAGGGGGACGTCGGGGTCAGTGTACTGGATGTGAGACCAGGTGAGAGCGAGAGGTCGGAGAAGAATAACTCGGTAAGATCCAGAGAGAGAGTACTCTCTGCAGTACATCATCAGTGGCTGAACAAGTATGATTCAGTCAGACTTGCCTCTGCTCACGCCTCATGCGATCCTTGTCAAGTCCATCAGCCTTGAGCATCTTATCATACAGCTCTCCAATATCGCCTCCGGGATAGTCCACATCGAAACCAGGCAGGGGCATCACTACATCAAAGATGGTGTGTGTCTTGTTCTTGATGTCTTCTTCTGTCAATCGCTTGACCACAGGCGACGAGGAGGTCTTCCAAGTGCGAGCACGACCCCATCGGTCCTTGCGATGAGCAGGGACATTCTCGGGGTCGTCCTCCTCTTCGGTCTTCTCGATGACGAGGTCTCCGACGAGGGGCTCTGTAGCAGAGAGCTTGATTCGCTCGGAGACGATCAAGTTCCAGACGTAGCTCTGGTACGCGTGAACATACATTGTCCTCAGGTTTCGCGGAATCTGATCGCGGTCAGTTTTGTACAGGTGTAGCTGCCGACTACTCACAGATCCCAGAGCTCCGGTCTTGTCTTCCATCCTGTTGCCCTTTTTCCAGAACTCCCAGATAGACCTCTCGGCGACGGCCCTCCTCGGCATCTTTTCCAGAGCCTTCACATAGTCGCCATCTTCCAGCCACAAAAGCCTAGCTTCTACACAGTCGGGATGCTCGCCTTCACGAAGAGACAAGAGGGACTCGATAGCGGATGACCATTCGCCTTTGAGGATGAAAAGTCCGGTAATATGGGTGGGAACGGAGGATGTACCGAATCGCTGCATTCCTATGTCAAGTCAGCAACGTGCCTTGGTCTTTTGGCGAGGGACACACCGTAAAAGTTGATGAAACCCATGTCTCTCACACTCGCCATAGTGCGGTCAATCTCCTCGACACTTTCCGCCTCTACATTCCTCAAGGTGATCATAAATCTGTTGCCCTTCAACATACCCAGCTCGAGATACTTGTCCGAGTATTCAAAATCGCCCACTCGTACACCCCTGTCACCCCTCTCTTCCAAAGCTTGTTTCTCGGTCCTCCACCCTTGCCTGATCCCATTCAGGGAGCGCCAGGCGGTAACAAGAGATCGGCCAGTGCGCTTAAAGCAGACCCGCTGCACAGTGACGGCTCGCTTGTCCTTGGTACCGCATACGGTGAGGTCCTTGGGTTGGCAGCCAAGAAGACGCTGGATGTGGTTGAGAGCGTCCATGGTTTCTCGGTTGGATTTGTGGAGGGTGAAATGAATGTAAGGACCCAGCTTGGGTTGGTCTGGCCCGATATCAGCATGAGGCGTAGGCAGGTTCATGGCAACTTACCGGCGCCACGTCGCTGGCCCTTACCATAACCAGTCTTCTGCTGTCCACTGGACCATTTGATGGCAAGTCTCTGGGAATCTTCCCCCTTGACTTCTTTGGTGCTGCTCTCAAACATGTTGGGGAAAACCTCTCGAAGGATTTTGTGGCAAGCTGTACGCTCTTCTTTGGAGTTTATGGGCTACTGGGGATCAGCTACCGCAGTATAACTGGCGATGCAAACTCACCTGAGAGACAATTTCACGCTCATCCTCGTACGCCAGCCACCAGCTTCCAGAGTCGGCATTCCTGTCCCCGGCGCGGCCACCTCTTCCGCCCCTCCCACCTCTGCCACCGTCTCGTCCGCGTCCACGATCCCTCCCCTGCCCTCTGCCTCTACCGGACCCAGATGCCTGGTTCATGGCAGCCTCTTCCGGCGTCTCCTGCTCCTTCAACTCATCAGCACTGGCCTCTCCTTCTTTGGGCTTTCGAGCACCCCATCCAGAGTCGCCCTTGGGAGGCGCATTTCGCCCTTGAAGAACGAGCGCGTGGAGGGCGATGATGGTCTCGTCGGAGAAGTGAGCACGAAGAGTGGTGGTGGTCCCTTTGGGCCAAGAGGGGTGTTCTGAAAGACGGAGATTCTCTGGAAGATCCTCTTCCTTATCTTCTTCAGCCTCTCCTGCCTCGGCGTTCAGAGCATCCTCTTCGGATGCTACTTTCTTTCCCTTGTTTTCTTTGCTCGGCACGGAAGGATCCTCAGGCTTGATAATGTTCTTGAGCCTCACCACCTCCCCGTCAAGACCAATTTCGTTGACCAGGAAATCCGTAAACCTGTAAAGTTGCATTAGCCCAGCTGTCCAGTTCAATTGCGCTCTTCAGCACATGTAGCTACTCACGCACCGCTGTTTGATAACACCCCTGACACCTTTTCCCTTCCCAACAAAGCCTCTGATACCGCACTCTTCCTCGCCGACAAAGCCTTTACGGGCGACCATATCGGGGTCCAAGCCAGTGATGAGTTTAAGAGAAGGCGGGAGGTCCCAGTGTGTGGGTTTCAGACCAAGCTTCGACACTGGGTCAGGGAGGCGGCGGTGGGAAGCATGGAGGTGGTCTGTATAGGACGGTTGGTTGCTTGGTATGGGTTCGCCAGCGGGTGCTTCTGCTTGGGCTGGAGCAGAAGTTGAGGCAAGCGCGACGCTTTCGGGCGTTTCTACGCCTGCGGTGTCGTCCATTTTGGATCGCTTGGCCTCATCGTGGGCCGCAGGGTCCTCAGCTGGACGCTTGTGGGCGTTTTCTGGTGCAGACATGGCGGGAGGGTGATGGAGAGGCAAGATCAACTTTTCGCGATCAACTTTTGCGGTGGTTACGATAGTTACAGATAGTTACTGTTGTTTCTAACAACGGTGTTCCGACCATGATCTGAAATTATTGCACTCCATTCATCTCATCCTGGCCACGATGAGCTCGTCTGATACGTGGGTATACGACGCAGCCTCAGGAGTATACTACCACGCACCATCAAACACCTACGCCGTCCCCGACCCCACCACAGGCCAGTGGTCTTACATTCCCGCACCCCACTTTCACCATGCCTCATCTTCCACCGGTCGCTCGAACCCCGCCCCAGCACAAACAGCCAGCAGCGAAAGGAATAACGCTGGTGGACTTCGGGGTAAAGAAGAAGGGGAGGTTGAAGACGACGTCGGATGGGGCGGTTTGATGGAGCCTGAACAGCTAGCCGAAATACAACGGACAGGAGAGCTCAAGAAGAAAGGTGTGGCGGAGAAGGCTGCACCAGCCGCTGCTGAACAAGAGATGGCGCCATATGGGGACACGCCATCTTACGATGATCCCGCACTGTACGCCTATCAGCCGGGCGCAGACGAAATTCTCGAGCTACCCAAAGAACGCCCTGACCATCTTCTCCGGCTTGTTGTGCAGACCACCGCAAGCCCCAAGGTTGCCGTAGGGCAGGTGGCCGTCATAGATACGAGGGAAGGTGGCGTTCAGCTAGGAAGAGATCGATGCGAGAGGGGTGCACAGGCGCGAGTGCGGTTACGGGAGCTGGAAGTGAGCAAGACTCACGCGGTTGTATATTGGACAGAGGGGAGTGAAGATGAGCATGATCAGGAAGGGTGGCGGGTGGTAGATCTTGGTAGGTGGCCATATGTACCGAGCCATATCATGCTGAGCTGACACGCCCCAGGATCCACCCACGGGACATTCATATGCACGCCTCTCCGGGGTAAAGAAATGACCGTCCTATACCGTCTGTCGGAACCTAAACACTCTTCGAAACCAGTCGCCATCTCCCATCTATCCACCCTCACCATTGGCTCCACAACTTTTGAAGTCCACATCCACTCATCCTGGCCCTGCGACACCTGTAAGCTCTGTGGCACCAATGAGCTGCCTCTCGAGACCGGTGAAGTGCACGTAGAAGGCAAGTCACTCAAAGACAAGGACGCCGAGGAGCAAACCTGGGACGTTGCGATGAGCTCGAGAGAGAAATGGGGTCATCGAGATGCTCGGAGGAAAGTCGAGATGGCAAACCTCAAGGAGAATCTTATGAAACGAAATGGAGATGGAAGCGGTTCAGGTTCACCGGCGGCAGAACCTGCTCGCGAATACATCGACCGCTCAGCTATGCGTCGTCAGCTTCGTCCCAAATCACCGCCTCGCAAAGCTTCCATCCCCGCTACATCTGCTGCTGTAGTGTCAGCGGCGCCTGCTTCAGTGCAGAGTAAATTTGCTCAGGGGATCTTGACCAAGCAAGGCTGGCAAGAAGGGAGCGGGCTGGGCAAGGATGGGACTGGGAGGGCTGTGCCGCTCGATACCCAGGTGAGAACCAAGAAACGGGGTCTGGGCGCGGAAGGAAGTGTTGATGATGGGGATGGCGATTGGAGAACAAAGGCAAAGATGAGACGGTGGGGGGAAGTCCGCAAAGGATAGTGTACGACATGTTGGACTACAGCTAATGCATCGTTTTGATGCCTTTTTATTTCTTCTTCCATTCCTGCAATCACTCGTTGTACTCTTCGCCCAAAGCTGTGCCTTTGGCATAATCGATAACCTTCTTCATACGCTCATACACCTGCAATTCCTCGTCAGTATAGCTCAGCAGCACAAGAGCGATGACCTACAGTGAACACAATAGCCTGACCAGGAGCAACACGAAGAACACGGGGGGTGATACCCTTGTAGAACGCCTTTGCGCCTTCATTCTTGAACATTTCTGATGTGACCGTGACCATTCGTGAAAGAGCAGTCTCGCCTTCGGCCTTGGAAGCTTTTTGGATACGACTATGACCACCTGGGTCAGCTGCGTCGCGTGTACTCGGCTCGGTCACTACTCACGTTTTGATAGTATCGATCGGCGCATTGGAGAACGGTCCCATAGCACCACTGACCAGCCCCAAAACCATAATTTGCCAGCTTGGTAGCTGTCCGCTCTCGGCATATTGCGGCTGGTAATCCGTCGCCCACTTCTTGAACTGCTGGTAAGCGGTAAAGTTGACACCCTGGTTGGTAGCTTGGCGGAGGGCGGTGAGGGAAACTCCACGGTAGAGGGTAGAGAGACCTTCTTCGCGGACAATTGTGAAGGCGGCGTGGGCGGCATTGCGGTATCGGGGAATATCGAGAGGGTCGGCAAGCGAGTCTAGAGGACAGCATGAGCAGGGCACGAGAAGGGTGGGAAAAGACGTACGTTGTTGAGCTTGCAGTCTGATTTTGACGACTTCCATGGGTGTCACAACGGCAACAGCTTCTGTGGCACCAGCACCAAGACCAGCCAAAAAGGTGCCTTTGGCAGTGATTGTGCCGTCAGGTGAGGAAAGCCAAGACTTGTACACTGGATATTCGTGTCAGTGCAGCCCTCGAGCAGAGCTCTCTTCTGACTCACTTTCGAATGACGCAAACCGGATAGCCATCTTGGGCACAATACCACTGACAACAGCCCCAAGACCCTTATACAGACCGAGAGGTGTTTCTCGAGCAGCAATCTGTCGACCTGTAGCAAAGAATCCCAGAGGTTTCAGCTACATGCGAGCCTGTGAGCAAGAGTACGAGGGTCAACGCGGGAGACATGGACTTACGCCCCTAGCTTTTCTTGACTTTGAAAGCTGCATTCGGACTTTGATGGTGTCTAAGGGATGACTTCACATGATATCAGCAATGTTACAGAGCGAAGAGGCTCGGCACTCACCAGACAAGGGCTTCCGCCAGACCAGCTGTACCACCCGCAATCAGATGTGTGCTCAGTGGCACTTTGTCCTTGACCATCTTGGTCGTCTTTGGGGGAGGAGGGTCAACGCGGTCTCCTGTGAGACCTCCTCCGAAGGGTTTCGAAGTCGAGGTAGACATAGTGGTGGACTTGTAGATGTGTTAACGTAAGAGAGTAGAGCCGGAAGACGCTGATTGCTGTGGTTCGAGAGCTGACTTGATGTGTACGGGAAGAGCTGAGTGATGAGTGTAGATATTGTGATATGATTGTAGACTTGGAATACATCCTCGAACTTGTCTTATATAAGAGCTTCCCGTAACAAAATGACAGAAGAAGTCAATTTTCGCGAGTGGACGATAACCGGTCACTCAACAACCGGCTTTATGTCATCACGTCGCGTCGGTTTTACTCGGAAGCCGCCACCCTTTATGCTCCTGTTCACCTATTTCTTGCATGGGATAGAGCATGCTAACAAACGAGACAGGAAAGTACAGCCAGCGTTCCGATCCGATGCACAAAGTATTTTGCATGGAGAGTTACAGTCCATATCTTCGGCATTAAGTGGAGGCAGGCCGAACACCGATTATGAAAGAGGACACTAAGTATTATTTCGAGTAAAGATCATGAAAGGGGAGCAACGCACCGCCCTTCTCACCTCTATATGTACATACCCTCCGGAAGACCCATACTGTATACAACAAGTCACGTCCTATCTATATCCCTAGCCCTAGCAATTACTACAGCGCCCTTCGCCAACCATCTCTCGCAGACTAACGCTGTCCCCCCGTCTCTTTCTCCTCGTCGACCCAAATGCCCCGCCAAGCCTTGAAACGCTTCCCACAGCACGTAGTTGGCGCTCGCCATAGCTGACGCCTGTACCAGCAAGATCTGGGTCGAGGGTGCCAGCATCGATGGAAGAGAGGATTGTGCGGCTGGCGAGGAGGAAGGGGGTTTGAACGTTTTCACCAGTGTAGGATGATACTTCCACAAATATGAGATCTTGAGAGAAACCGTCAGCGTCGACATCTAAAGAGCCAGAGGTACGTACTGTTCTCCTGTGCCCATCTGGAACCCTCCGAGTATTCCACTTCTCTCTCTTCTTCCCTGTCCAGCTTGTTTCCTACCAAGACTACCACCAGATGAGGTGAAGCCAATGCTCTACAGTCTGCTAGCCATCTGCCGAGGTTCATGAACGATTGCCGTCTGATATCAAAGTCAGTACAGATAGCGATTCCGGTGTGGAATCCAGCTCACGATGTGATATCATACACCAGCACAACGCCTGCGGCACCCCCTGTTCACTGATTAGCCTTGAATCCGTACGCAGCGACATAATGCTTACTATAATACGATCTAGTGACGGACCTGAACCTCTCTTGTCCAGCTGTGTCCCACAGCTAGGTGGGCCTATCAGTGACCGTCTAGCCGCAATGACCTCGCGCCTGGACTCACCTGTAGTTTGATATTTCTGTCTCCTATACGTAAAGTCCTACTAGAAAACTCGACGCCAATGGTATGTGGAGAATTTGTCTTGACTATATATACTCGTGTCAGTGACGGACAAGGGGCGTCTGCGGGACTGACAATGCTCGTGAATGCAGTGGTACAGTAGACATGATTTGCCTGTTCCCGCTTCTCCTGTTTGACCTCGTTAGATCCTCACACTACGCATACTGTAGAGGACACACCTATGACTATGAATTTGAAGAGGTAGTCTGGGAGCTCCATCATCAGCGTGCACACCAGCGGCGGCGGGTGCAAACGGAAAGCGCACCATAGGCCTCTACGAGTTCTGTTCCTTCGCCGTCCATAGCGCTGTTGGTGAGCTCCTGAGCCTCTCCTTGACTTGTCTAATTGCGCTGACTTCTGTACTGAAACTTGTGATGCATGGGCCGACACCATGAAATGCATCTTGTCAACAGAGGGCGGGCATGTCCGCGCATTACGTAGGCATTCGGGCGGCCGGCTGTGCATATATCTCGCTACAGCTATTGTATCTTTTCTCTTTTCTCTTCTCCCATCTGCTCGTACACTGCCCCCCTTCTCCCGCGATGAGCTATCAGCGCCCCGTCGGCCGCGTGAGTGTCTCCAGCCCTCGTGGCTCCTTTCGTGCCCTGATGTTCTACTGACCATCCCCTTTCGCCGCTATCCAGCAACAACCCAGGCGCTATCGCCTGGATCCCATGATGACAAACTTCAGTGTCATCATGGCCCTCAGCAACCGTCAGTATACCAACGACCCAGAGTAAGCTTGTGCCGTCCCATTCCGCATCAAAGCTCAAGGCTGATGTCGACTCTGCTTAGATACGTGAAGGAGGTCGTAAGAAACTACATAAACGTCAAGCAGAGCCATGGAAGACAGTCATGGGAGATCAGTCAGAAATTGGAGCTCATTGAACGGGATGTAAGAGAACTTGCTGGACGAGTCGATGGGGCGCTAATGTGTTTGCAGTTCTCACAACACGGCATGTCGTTCGTACAGGCTAGGCGAGAGATGGGTCTGCCACCATCTCGAGTCATCCGAGTCCTCGGTACAAACAACAGTACTTCCAATAACTCCCTGTACCGTGCTCAAACCACCTCAGGTGCCAGCACCGTATCTCATCGCCCCAGTACTGCCAGCACTAGCAGTCGGCCGGCGGCTCCGAATCACAATCGCCGCACGTCTGCCCCCGTGGTGCAAAGACCTCAGGAAAGAGACGCAGAAGCAGGAGAAGATGCGCCGCCCCCTCCTTACGCGAGCCAAGATCCCGATCCGGAGGCTACGCGGCTCTTGCAGGTACGTCTGGCAGCAGAATCGGTCAACAACCCAGCGGTCACTGCTGCCGTAGCCACCCCTCATACCCCTCAGAATTCTACACCTGCAGCTTCTTCCCCAGCTCCTTCGACACCCATGAGCCCACCCGCACAGCCGATTGCGTCTACACAAAACGCAGAATCTTCTCAGGCTCAGGCTTCCCAGTTGCCTAGGCCGCCATCAGACCCAGAAATGGCCAGAATCTGGGAAGAATCGCAGTTTGAAGAAGCCAAGAGAATGAGTCTACAAGCTCAGAGTGAGCAAGAGCAGCTGGATGAAGCTATGAGATTGAGCGTGGCGGAAGCCGAATCAAGAGCCTACAATGGCTCTTCGGAAGCAGGACCAAGTCACTTGCCTGTGGTGACCGAATATGAGCCATATCAGCCTCCGGTACAGCATAACGGTGGGTATGAGACAGGGCTCAATTCCGATCTTGAGGGTCTCAACATCGGGGGATCTGAGGGGTCATATGCGCCCCCCGCTGGCGCACCAGCAGGAAACAACCGGTTCAGCTCAATCATGGATCACGATGACAACCCTAGCGGTTTCTCGCAACAGCCTCTCACCCCATCAAAGACTGGGCCTACCATGCAGAGCAAAAATCCTTTCCTGGCTCCGTCTGAACAAGAGACCCATGAGGCCGGTAGCCCGCAATCATCTCCATATGGCTATACACAACAGCAACCGGAGGAGCCTGCGGGGTCTAGCCACACGACTTATACACCACCTGCGTACGCCCCACCTCCGGGGGCCCCTCCACCCCATCTCGTCATTCTCAGCTCTACTCCTTCTCGGCAAGTGTCGAATCAGAATATCTATCAGTCGCCCATCCAGAACTCCCCTTCATCTCGTCCCCTCCCACCAACACCCGACGTCGCGCCCCCGTGCTATCCTTCCCCTCGAACGGCTGCCGCCGCACCACCCTCCGAACACCCATCCCTGACTTCATCCCTCTATGGCGCTCGGGCCACCGACTTTGATGCGGCAGGTAGCAGCTTGAGCGGCGGTGTACCTCGACCTGGAGGTATCTCTACTGGAGCTGGACAGACGCCCGACAGGAGACGTACATCCTATGTCCCTCCCAGGAACGGAGAAGATCCTCTAGAGATGTTGAGAGAATTCGACACTGTCTTCCTTGTGGATGACAGCTCGTCAATGGCTGGGCCATTGTGGAGAGAGGCGAGAGCTGCCATCATGGAGGTTGCAGAGATTGCGTCTCGTTACGATGAGGACGGTATCGATATCCACTTCTTGAACAGCAAGCGAGTCGGTAGAGAGCTCAAAGGGAGGGACGATGTTGAGGAGTTGTTTGAGGGGCTCAAGCCCCGTGGTGTGACCCCGTGAGCAACGAACGATCAATTGTAGAATCCCATCTGATATACTATCAGTACTGGTATGAGGCTTGAAGCCATCCTGAGGGACTACATGACTCGACTGGAGCGCGCTTCGACCTTGTCTCCCTCCATTGGATCATCATCGGAAGAACATGTGAAACCTCTGAACGTGGTCGTTGTCACGGACGGCGGTGAGTGGTTCATTCTCTGCGACGTATGCTGACAGTCCACCCTAATAGCCCCGACCGATGATCCCGAGTCAGTCATCGTCGCAGTGGCTCGCCGTCTTGATCGAGGTGAATACCCCTTGTCACAAGTCGGCATTCAATTTCTCCAGATTGGCGACGATGTGGGCGCTACCATGGCTCTTCAGCAGCTTGATGATGAGCTCAGTGAGACACATCAAATCAGGGATATCGTCGATACTGTGCCAGACTCTGGGCAAGAGATGACTGCGCAGTTTATCATCAAGACGTTGCTGGGTGGTATCAATAGGAGGCTGGACAGAAGGGGGTGATAGGTGTCTCGGGATTGGCGTTGTAGAAGACATGACGAGGCTCGTTAGCTCTGCTGGCTGCCTAGCGATCGTTTGTAGCGAATACCGTACATACTTTATACTGTGACTTGGTATTATAATCTCTCATGTGGAGTTGATCTTGGGGACGTAGCTGGCTGCATGTATAGAGGCTGCCATAATGAGATGAAATAAGTCTATGCAATGGTCATGAATCCATGATTATTCTGTACTCTCCCTGTGTCGGTGGAGGCCGCTTCTGTCGAAGGCGACGCGCTGGTTGCGCGCTGGTCAAGATCCGTACGAACGACTTCTTTCTCTCAAGAGTTCCTCTCTCTTGATATCAACCCCATCCGCGTCACCGAGATGTACCACCCCAAAGCCCTCATCCTCGCCCTCCTCTTCTCTCTTTCGCTGATTCTTGCCGCCAAGTCTAGCGAGCAGCTCCAGATCGGCGTCAAGTATGTCCCGGAGGAATGCCCTTTGAAGACCAGAAAGGGCGACAAGTTGTCTATGCAGTGAGTCGGCAGGGGTCATACAGATACCCTGGTATAGAGCAAGGATTTGAGCTAATGCTTTGCACAGCTACACTGGTACTTTGGCCAAGGACGGGAGCAAGTTTGACAGCTCTTTGGATCGAAACCAGCCTTTCGAGTTTACTCGTGCGTCCTCTTCCTGATACGTCTCGCGAGTGTGTAAGCTGATGCAGATAATCGAAAAGTCGGTGCTGGACAGGTCATCAAGGGATGGGACCAAGGTCTTCTCGGCATGTGTATCTCTGAGAGGCGTAAGCTCACCATCCCCCACACCCTCGCTTATGGTACGTCACAATGGTCATATAATCACGAGGCATGGCTGATCTGCTGGATGTCACAGGCGAGCGAGGGCACCCCCCTGTGATTCCTCCCAAAAGCACTCTTGTCTTTGAAGTTGAACTTCTGGGCATCAAGAACCGACACGTTGACGAACTTTAAACTATGTATCACCTGAAGCAAACAAGTCCACAATGTTCTCGGGGCAACACAAACATGCATCGTATCTCGGCATTTTATGGATATGATCCGGACAACAAGATGGCAGACAACAAGATAACACTGTCCTGATCACTTTGAAGATCTGTCGGTAATGAAACAGGATCATAACGCAACGGGCTGTGAAGCCACTTCGCCTCCCTCTGGGAATCGCTCGACCATCCAAGAGAGGAAACTGGGGACATCCTCCGAGATGCTATTGGGTAGAGATCCATTTGTGACGAACCGGGGGATGTTGCCTTGCAAAATATGTATCAGAGCAGCCTCAGTCAAGATGTACACCGACGACTCACCTCCGGCATCGCTGCTCGTCGCCATTCTCCACTCCACCGTCCTTCCACCGTCCGTTTCTCGGACCCTCTCTACACTGACGTATTTGCCCCTCACTCGGCCCTTCTCCCCGCCCTTCTTCTCAGGACAGTCGGGGTGTACAAAGGGGATGGAGATGTTCATGAACGTGCGCTCGCCCTTGGGAGAGGTGACGAGTTCACGGGAGAGAAGGAGGACGACAAATGTGCGCGGGTTTGTCGGGGGCGGCGTCTTATAAGTAAGGCGCCAAACTTCAGCGACGTGCTTCTTATAGACATGAAGACACTCTGTCTCACGGCAAGACTCGATATACTCTCGCTCGTTCTGTGAAATTCGTCAGCTTCTCACAGTGTGAAGTCTATAGCCACCACTAACTTCGCTGTGATACTCCAATAGTCCTCTTCTGAACCTCTCGTAGAGCCCCTCGGGGGATGTGTTCATCACTTTCGCAGCCCTGACCTCTTCAAGCAGCTCCCCGTCCTCCACAGCACTCCCGTTCGAAACGGACGCTTTGCCGCTCGGCAAGTCCTTGTGTTGGCGAGTGAGTTTGCCGCTCAAGCTCCGCACCATACCGCCGGGGCTGAATGTGCCAGAGTCGCGCTTCTTGGGAGCAGTGGAGGAATGAGGTTGTTGATGAGATGAACGACGGAGTGATTCGGCGGTATGAAGGGATTCACGGCCGCACCAATAGTCCTTCACCCCCAGCTCTTGCCTTATCTGCAGACGATTAGCAAAGATGCCATTCCACACTGATCGCCCGACGCACCTCATTGTGGGAGGAGGAGGATGGAAGGTTGAGGACTTGGACGGTGGAGTTGTGCTTCAGAGAGTGCTTGTTCCATTGACTGGGTTCACATCAGCTCAATATGACTCTGCAGTGGTTATTTACTCACGCCATGCTCTCTGTGAGCTTGCCTCCCAATGCGAAATGGTCATCGAGGAAGGCCTGGAATGCTGGAGATTCTGGATCGGGTACATCCTGAGAGTCGTCAGTCGTGGGCCCCATGCTGAAGGGAGATGGCTTGCCTCTGGCTTGAGGGGGTGAAGGTCGAGATGGATGCCCATGGTGCGGCGGATGGACGGACACACGATGGAAAGACAAATCCAGGATAGACGATCTCTGCTGCAAGGGCGAAGTGATTCCTCTACAACTACATACGCGTCGGCCGCCGGTCAAAGCTCGAACCATCGAACGCAGTAGTCCTTTGTGCTTTCCTCTTTTCCTTTCTTCTGTAAAGCACCAACAAAAACTGATGACAATGGTGCAAATGGTACATTGCAACCATACCTCCTGGCGGCTGTAACTACCGCTTCTTCAGAGATCCGGTATCTGCTCAAAGAATGGTTGAAGTACACGCTGCCCCGAGGGTAGCAATTCGAAGCTCCGCCAAATCCGCCCAGTCCATCGTAGTCGTCTGTTTTCTGATCCTTCTTCTCTACATATTTTTCTCAGGGGGAAGGGCAAGCGAAAAACTGGAGAAGGCAAGCAAGAATTTGGGGAAAGTCGGTAAGAACATCGGTGACGCATTCTCAAGCCGTGAGAAGCCATCGACCTCCTCAAGCAACCGAGGAGACCGTAGAGAAGCTACTGCGCCGGACTCGGATGTGATTAGTGATGGCGGGCACGATGCCCCTCGCTCAAGAAAGAGAGGCCAAGAGGTTGAAGGGGGAAAGCGAGACAATAAACAAACCTCCCAGGAGGAGGACCACCAACAAGCAGTCCGTAAGAATCATCATAGCAGATCTTCTGTTCAATCACCCTCAAGGAGTGATACAACTCCCATCTTTACGTCAGACACGTCTGCTTCAACTGCAGAGCAGGATAGGCAGAGACAAGAGAGAAGGAAAAAGCGTAAAGATAAAGAAGAGGAAAAACGAGAAAAGGAAAAGAGAGATTCAGAGAGAAGAGACAAGGGAAGGAGGGATAGAGAGAAGAGAGCAGGCGAGAATGTGACCGAATCGGACACAAATGAGACGACAGAGAGAAGTGACCAGGAGAAGATAGAGAAAGATAGAGAAGCCAAGAAGAAGAAGGAGCAGGAGAAGCAGAAGAAGAAGAAGAAGGAGAAGAAGGCAAAAAAACAGGAACAGGTTGAGTACGAGAAACCAGACTCTTCTCCAAATCTCACTCCCCTACCTGACCATCGATCTGCCAGGCCCACGCGAAGTATCCACCGCAGAAGAGGGTCAGACGATAGTCTCACCCCTTCACGCAATTCATCGTCGGGAAGTCACGTATCATGGAGTGATGAAGAAGGCAAGTCTCCTCATCCAGTGACGAAGCACTTTCGAAAATGGGGCGATTACGTCGGTCTCACTGAAGACAAAGCGCCGTTCGAAAACGTACCAGAGAAGATTGAGCCAAAGTGGCAGACACATAGGAAGTTACCAGTCGATCCTGCAGAGCGATGTGCCAAGGCTCTTCGTGGGAAGGGTATTTTAGAGGACGGGGTATTGAAGCTGATGGAGGAGGCCGAGGTAGTAGCAATGGCGAAACCTCGAGAAAAGCATTGGATCCAAGCACTGAACGATCAGTGGGATAATCATCATGGTTCAATACCTGCTGTCGCTGTCATGATGAGTCAAGAACTGAGCAAGCTTATCAGTATCAAGGATATAGAGCTCCTAGAGACTGCCCTCGAAGCCCGCAAATCCGCAAAGAAAGCCACGAAGCCAAAGTTTGATGCCAAAATCGACAAAAAGAGAGACTATGGAAAGTTCAAAGACAGAGTGGGAGTCAGACCCGACGACCCTCTCTTTGTTTACAAATTCATCCTCGCATGGTACTGCGAGCACTACAGATGTCGATACTATGACGAGAGAATGGGCATCAGTGAAGAGCCGGTACCTATGATGTCTGACTCCAAGCTGGGTAAGACGGCGCAGATCTTGGGCTGGATGGAATACCTCGGAAGACTGAATATGGGGCAACGACTGTTCATTGGTCTAGACCTCTATGGCTTGTCGATGCGTGCGCAGGCGATGCGGGAGGGAGACGGCTATCGACTGGATCTTACTGTATTCATGCCTGGTGGACCTCCTGAAAAGCCAGAGAATGATCCCATGAAAGAGTGGGCCATCAAACTAGAAGACTCCGGAAAAGCTTTCCGAACAATCCACTTTGAGCTTGCCACCATGCTCTACAAGACAGAAGATGACACAATGTTGAAGGACCCTTTCGTAAGGCGCAGGCTGATATTCCGTCCAGGCTGGTCTCTGCGGGGTGTGAGATCGGACAAGCTGGGGAAGCCAGAACCCGAGAGAAGTGTCGCTCAGCGAACACTCATTGAACGACCTTCAGAAGTGCTTGCCATACCAAACAACATCAACGAGCGTATCACTAGGGCCCTCCGAAAGCCCAGCAAAAACACGCGAAATGCTCTTTCACGACTGTCTCCAGGAGAAGTATGCTTTCAATCCATACGCCAGTATGCCTGGGACAAAAACTCTGTCACTCCCGAAAACTCCAAGCTGACCCCCCTGACTTTCTGGATCGCCTGGTCCTTCAGCGGGGAGAAGATGCAGGAAAGCAAAGGACCCGGCGATGTCCATCAAGACCAACGAAGCCATGACTTTGTGAGATCCATTGATCTTGGGGGTTATATACCCCTGTTCAAGCTTCAGCCCCCGCGCTTTGTCCCTATCAATGGGTTTCCGGCGCTCGAGGTGCTTGTGCTGTCGTATGTCCCGCTTGGAAAAGCTGGAGCGACGGCTGAGCTGTTACTCAACAAAGACTATGGTCTCTTTGATGAGCTCAAGAAGATCAAGGAGCCCACTCGCCATTTGAGTAAACAAGTTACCAAGCTTCGATTGTTCATCTCTATCGCCGACGCGCGCTCTTCAAGATCTATCATAGAGGACTTGGACAAACAGCTAGCAGAAGATGGGCGGAGGCAATTGGTGGGTGGGAAATCACCAGATCAAGCTGTCATCAACATGCGAGGCTTGGCCCGTGATGCGCTGGGAGAGGCGTTTCTCGTGGATGAGGCTCAGGCTGGGAATGCAGAGGAAGGCCTGCTGCCCAAAGGAATACCTCTGAGGTATGATTCAGCTGGAGCGGAGAAGTTACTGGGTATCGGCAAGAACCACCAGCCTCCTGCTGATAGAGAGTCCGGTCAAGCGCCACCATCCGAGTCCAATGATACTTCAGCAATCCCAGCCGATCCACCAGCGCCGCCCGCCCAGGAAGGAAAGACGAACCAGCCTCCAGGGCCAGCTCCCCCTGTCCCAGTACACCTGCCATCCCCTACAAGTGAGTTGAGTGGTGCCAATCTCGGCGGTCATCCAAAGAGAGTCCCTCCCGCACCAGTGGATCCTATACCATCAGGAAGATCAGCCGGAGCCGCTGCGGAAGCCCGACGTCGAGCGCTGGAGAATGAGAGAGAAGCGCAACCTTCGCCAGTCGATCGGAGAGTCAATGGAGAGAGTTTGAATCAAGACGGTCAGTCTGGTTATAGATCTCCCACAGTTGAGGATGATCCGGAAGGCGACGAAAGCGATGTGCCAAAGGATAAGAAAAGTAGATTTGGGAGCTTGAGAGATATTGAAAGTAAATTCAGAGGTGGTGGCGGAGGAAAATAGTGGCAGGATAGAGAATGGGAGCGGATTCATGTGACAATGGTAGGCTGTAAGTGTGGCAAAAAGTCAAATGTGAGTGAACCTTTTCTAGTACAGCTGCCGCGACAAGACTGACACCATATGGTAGTCAATGAGACCGTCCGCTATCACGAGTGTTTTCCCCATGTAGGCATAACACAGGAAAGAGAGGAGGATACGGAAAGAGTGGATCGGGGAGAGAGAAAGAGCAAGGGTGATGTCCGATTGTCGACGGCGGGCGCCGGTCATGTACATATAGCGGTTGGGTTGTTGGGTGGCAGGGATGGATCATACAACCATGCCGGCCTCAATCCCCTGTCTCCGAGCATGAACAACTACATCAGTAGGAACGAAAGGGAAGATCAACAAGTCCTTCGTTCACATCCGTCGTCGTAGCCGGAACCAAATAAGGCATACGTAAAGAATCTTCCGCCCCTATCGTTGCTGCCCTCTCCCTGCTCCCTCGCCACCCTATACCATGGCCGCGAGCTCAAAGTATCCTGCCAGAGCCCATGCTCTCAAGCTCATCCGCGAGCTCGTCCCCCTCATCCCTTCGTCTCAGAAGGGCAAGGTATGTAGATCTACCCTCCAGCCGCATGCTCCTCGCCTGACACTCAAAGCTCCACGGTATATTCCTCCAAGGTGCTCCTACGCTCTACCGGGACGATACCGATCATGAGGAACCCTTCCGTAAGTCTAGTCACGCACACCTCGTTCGGGTGACTGACATGATGGCTAGACCAAGAAGCCAACTTCAACTATCTTTCCGGCACTATTCACCCTTCTTGCTCCCTTATCGTCTTATTCTCTCTAGCCAACACCTCTTCCAAGTCCGTCATCGAGCACCACTTGTTCATCCCGGCGGCCGACCCAGCCGAGACTATGTGGTCTGTGGCTCCTCCAACTCTTGAGGAGGCCAAAAAGACGTATGATAGCGACGACATCACTTATACTAGCTCATTGCCTTCAGTTCTGAAAAGTGCAGTATCACACGGGGGTGGGGAGGTCATCCTTCATGTCCTTCCTAGGACCACTGCCTACCCCGCACTACCAGAAACCATCGACCAAACCTCAGGCCTTGTTTTAGAGCAAGAGTTCCTCTTTCCTGCTCTCCATGCTGTTCGCCTTACCAAAGACGAATGCGAAATTTCTCTCATCCGCAAGGCCAACCAAATATCAAGTGGCGCTCATGAGGTTGTCATGAGGGAATTGGGACGATTTGCGCAGAGCAGGATTGCTGGCGATAAGGAAGTAGCAGTGAGGAGCGGTAAAGAGAGTATCCGAGAATGGGAAATTGAGAGTGAGCGAGACGCGGAAGCAGTCTTTGTGGCCTCTTGCAAGCGTATGGGGTATGTTGACAAGGTCTTTCTGGGAACATACTAATCCCTGTCTAGCGCCACTGACCAAGCCTATCTCCCCATCGTCGCGAGCGGCAGCAGATCTAGTACTCTTCATTACGTGTGCGTATTTCACCTCTGTACCTTGTGATTCGGGATTTGACAGCCTTCAGTTGTAATGATCGCCTCTTCCCAGCTCTCCCCCGAAAGCAAGGCGATGTCTCCTTCTCCCATAGCGTCTCTCGAGGCTGCTGTGGCGACAATCTCAACTCCCTCGAGTCTGCTTTGCATGGCGACTCCTTCTTCCCTCAACTTTTGTTGATCGACGCTGGTTGTGAATGGAAGGGTTACGCCTCAGACATCACTCGAGTGATGCCTGTTGGCAATGGCGGTAAATTCACCAAAGAGGGCGGAGCCATCTACGACCTTGTTTTGAGAATGCAAAAGGTTCGTCCGTCCCGGTGCTCTCCCTCATCCCTCTGAGTCTGACTGATATCGTATATAGGAATGCGAAGCCCTTGTCAAGCCTGGTGTGCATTGGGACTCTATCCATCTTCACGCCCACAAGGTTCTCATTGACGGCCTCCTCGCCCTCGGTATCCTCACTGGTTCCCCTGAAGCCATCCTCCAAAGCGGTATCACCGCTGCCTTCTTTCCCCACGGCCTGGGACACTCTATAGGTCTCGACACACACGATTCCCTGCAGTATCTCCGCTCGGCGCGTGTCGCTTTACCCCCCACGACCACGACTACGCCCGACAAATTATACAAGTATCTCCGGCTCAGGCTGCCCCTTGTGGAGAACATGGTCGTCACTGTGGAGCCGGGATGTTACTTTGCGGCTCAGCTCATGAAAGAGCATGGTGTCTGGGAGAGCGAATTTGTGAATCAAAGCAAGCTGGAGAATTACGTGGACATTGGAGGGGTCAGGATTGAAGATGTGGTGGTGGTCAGACAGGACGGCGTAGAGAACCTGACTACGGTGGGCAAAGAGAGAGTGTGGATCGAGAGTGTTTGCTCTGGCGCTTTGTGAAGAGGTTGCTCATAGACCATGAAGATCCATAAATGCATTAGTCAATGATCTACAATACAGTCAGCTTCTACTTGATAGCGAGGTTCGTCTCCCGTGACCAGAGAAGATCAGGGAGCTGTTGACTATAGTTATAGAGAGCACCCATGAAGATGCGAAGTAGGTGATTATGAAGCTGCGCTGCTGAATGAGCTAAAAATACAAGAGTCCCGTGTAGATAACCCAAAACAAAGAAATACCGAACAGATAGACTACTTTGCACTGTAAACAAAGAGAGAGTGTACGGCCGTATGCAGAACGTCCTGGGAGAAAGTGTTGAAACAGTCAATGGTGCCACTGACTGCGTGGCCCTTGAGCTGTGACTGCAGGATATCGTGTGTGATTAGAATGAGAGTGTTGCAGGATGTGAGAAGTGGTGAGGGATGAGCAGTGGGATATTACTCAAGGCCAGTGTGGCTCTTGATATCTCGACACCAGGGCCTGTTACGCATCAGTTGATTTTCTATTGATGCCTTCGAAGACTTACGGTCTGTAGCTGTCATCGTTGCTCCAATAAGCTCTGCACCTCATGGAGAAGCCATACGGGACTAGAAGCCGAGTCAGCACCCTCTCTCAAGAAACGATCCACACGTACATTCGTATCCCCTTGAGCCCCCTCGATAATGATCTACCATCTCCAGAATATGGTCCACCTTTGTACTTGTGGTCAGGTGTTGCCTGGCATACACCAAGGCATGGACTGCCATCTGCTGCAACACCTCAGGCCTGTCGAGGTAGTATTGGATGGCCGAATTGATCTGTTCTATGTTCCACGAGGATTTGAGGGGGATGATAAATTTGGAAAGGGCCGCTTCTTGTTCTGTAGGAAGGTCGGACGCTACAACACAGCCAGAGAGGAAGGCTTGAGCGTACTGCAACAGATCAGCAAAGGCAGATTGAGCGACGAGAATGAGCTCACTTTACGAATCAATTTCCTTTCCAGACTCGCATCAAAGACACAGACCCTCGACTCCCTCATCCCCCTGGCGAAATCCCGTCTCAGCTTGAGATGTGTGGTGTAATACTGGTGATCCTTTTCATAAGTCTCCAAGGGGTCATCCCGGGCTTGTTGGGGGACAGAAACGGTGTAACCAGGATGAGGGTGGCGGCCAACAAGGGGCTTCTGATCCGAGCCCTCAAGGTCACGAATGTTGTCTGTGACAGTGGTTCGAATAGGGTAGACTTGATTCCACGGTCAACATACACCTGCGAAAAGACCAAAAAGACTCACAGCTCCCATCATACCCAAATATGTTTGCATCTGCCTTCTTCTCGTTCCACTTGACAGGCCAGAAATCCCACTCATTGGCCGTATCCGGACTATGCCCGAATAGCCCCATCTCCCAATCCGGATACTTTGCCTTGACTTTGCTATATTCGAACAATTCGGGGAGTTCAAAGGCGTACTTGGAGAGGGTGATATTATTGGCCTGATACCATTCGTAAGAGCAACGAAGTTCATGGCAGTCGCCAAGCTGCTGAACAAGGAGAGCGCCGCAATCAAGAAAGTCGAGATGGGGGTCATTCTCTTTGTAGATGTTTCTACGTTCTTGTCAGGATCAGGTCACAGATATGTCATGCTACTCACGAGATGGTCAAAACAACGTCGAACCGCACATCACTGCACTCGTCCGGCACCGTTGACGGCCACTCCGGCTTGACCCAAATCTCACCCTCCTCTGCCACTTGTTTACCTTTGCTCCTTATATTTCTCCTCTTCTTCTCAAACGCCTCCTTGCTCTTCTCCAACTGTGATATTCGGTGGGATCTTTTGCGGATATTGGCTGATAGTGGTATTGAGCGATCGTAGCCTGCCCAGCCGGGACCCCAGACATCGACGATGAGACCCGGATGTCGAAGGGCTGCGTCGACAATTTCGTAGGTGTGGGTATTCATGCGCTCCAAATAGTCCTTGTAGTCTGTAGTACTGTTAGCTTGTCCAATGCGAGACAAGCTCGACCTACCAGTGAGCACCATGAAGCGCCGCTTCTCCTTGCCCGGGCGCAGCGCCGCAGGTCTGTGGTCAAACGGGCTCTGCCCCACCAGATCTGGATTCCCCCACCAGCTCGGCCAGGCATCTTCTGACTCCTGCCGTATCCTCACATCATCCCATTCCGTCCACGCCCGGTCTTCTTTGGGTCCCCTGAGTTTGCTCTCCAATTCTTCCGTCCGGCGCTTGGCTTCGAGCTCTGATCTCAAAGTGACGAGACTCACTTCTCGAGCATTGTTGTGCCGAACGTCCCATTCTTGCAGCGCGAGCTCTTGATTCCATAAAGACTCTCGCAGATTGTGCTCCCTATATTCACCAAGCAGCAACCCACCAAGGAAGAGCAGGCCGGCGGCCAGTGCTAATTGTGTTGTTTTGCGCCTTGCCAAGCCCAGTAGCGGCACACTGGACCGCCTCCGGGACGATCCGATGGTCTGTAGAAGCCTGGAGGAGGTTCGTTGGGTGAGAGAGGGTTTGCGTTTCTTCTCGTCGGTGTAGAGAGGGAGGAAGGAGGCATTGGAGGATGAGCTCGAGTCTGAGCGAGGGGGGCTTGAGGAGGTGTCGTCGGCATGGGAGTGGTAGGAGCGGGGGGATATGCCAGGCATGGTGTGGGGAAGGAGATATGCGGATGAGAGATGGGATGCAAAGCGAAGTGAGAGATGGGCTGACTGCCATGACTTTCTGCTGACCCGGGCCTATTGTCTTATCGCCGAGTGACCATTGTTTTCATCTGCGATTCTGCACAATGCACAAAACCCTGCGCAGTCCAATCGTCCCCATGTATCGTCCGCAGCTGCAGCCCCCTTCTGGCTTCTCCAGCCCCCCTCTCCCGCTACTGCCTCTCGCCATGCAGTCAACGATGCGTTCGATACGAAAATGCTCGTTTGGTAGAGACCAGGAACAGACACCTCAGGAGCCAGGAGTCAGTATGCCCGTCCGCCTCCGTCGCCGTCTCAGCGTCTCTTGGCCTCTCGTCATGCTCCGCGCTCCTCTCCTGCCTATATCCTGCCTATATCTATGCCGTACGTACTGCCGTCCTACCCTCAATCCTTAGCCGGACAGCAATGTTTACGTGGTCTGCTGCCATGTATGCCGGCGGCTGAACGATTGTCATCTAGCCCACGTTCGTTCTTTCTCGCTGCCCCGAGATGCGTCCCCTCGCGCCTCCAATGGGCACATATCTCTCTGTGAACCCATGGGCCATGGGCATTTGCTGAGAGCAGCGTTGCAGCGTATTGATCACATCTTATCTCTTCTTGTCGTCGGCTATTCCGTGTCCCACACGGAGAGTCCGTATTCTTGAGCAGGAGGAGAGCAAGCTTCTTGATCGCAACTGACAACTGACAATACTACTTGAGCGCCCAAAGGAGCAGGATGTTGGAAGCACATTTGTAGGCCGAAAAGTGGGCAGAAGACAGAGTTTAGAGAGTTACAGAAGATCGGCCTTTTTACGTTTTTGCCTTTCTGTTATCTTGCCCTGGTGGGGTACCTGGTGTGATGGTTCTCTCACTATATCGACTGAAGCTTACAATGCAGTTATGTATACCGTCACTCTCCCCTCCCCACTGCCATGGAAAGATTTCTTGAGTCTATGGATCAGCCAATCAATCATGCGCGGAGCAGTTGACGCCCGAACGAAGCTGCTGCAACTGAAGTCAGTCTCACGTCAGATCAAGGCAGCGCGCTTCGAAATTTGTTTATGTACAAGGATCTACAGCCTCCCAGACCGACAATGCAAGACAGAACACCATTTAGAGACATCTGACCACGCACACTAAGAGACCATCAGCTCGTTGAGCGTGATGGTGGACCCGACCCGATCATAGCCCTGATCAGTCAGTCCGCCCACTCATACGCTTGCTGCTCTGCCTCGACCTTGATTTGTGGGTGGTTGAGAGGAGACGTCATCTCAGTGTCTTTGGAGGTCATTGTCAGGCATTATCATCTACTTAGCTCTGGGGAAGGCCGTTCATTGGCAGCCTGAACTTGGCCATCTGGGCGCTGTGACGCATGGAGTACAAGTAGTCATACAGGACTCCGGAGTGTTCGAAGATGAACAAGACTCGACTACATGGTACACATCTCGCGTGAGTGACATAATGTACAACAGACCACACCCCTATGGTCGAATCTCAATCATCTCTCCATGCGATCTCCCCCCGGGACCACCTCTCGGCCCAGATGGCCCGTTTGTGATACGTCTTCCTAGACGCCTTAAACTCTTGGATGAAGTCGTCTATGGCCCTATTCTGTGATTGCTGTATGGTTCATTCAGCTTTACTTTCAATGGCGCAAGTCCAGATAGACTTACCCTGTCCGCAGGACCATCTCCAATGGGCACGGGTGAGTCTATCCTTGACCCAGGGCGACTATTACCAGCAGACCTCCCTTCAATAAACGCGCTTGCGATCTTTTCGGATGCTTCGTCTTGGGCTGACAAGGAATGTTTAAGCCGTAGATGCAGGAAGGATGGTCGGACGCGCTGGTGACAGTCAGCTTGGCGCATGATTATCCATGACCTACGCACCTGATACAGATCTTTCTGGTTCTTTTCAATATCAGTCCAATGCCTCTTCAGGCCCTCAGCATGGGCATAAGACTGCGCTGTAGCATCTCTCAATGCCAGCAGCTCATCTCTTAACTCCAGATTTTTGCCTACGATACCTCATGAGTCATGCGATATGGAGAGTATACACACGCGTACCGGCGATTTCATCATTCTCCCTTCCTACACGCTCGACCTCTGCTGCAAGTTGTTGGACTTCGGGGAGCGAGAAAAGGAATGCTTCGGTAAGCTCGGGAGAGGACAAGAGGTCTTTGAGGAATGACGGGGGGTATGCCGCGAGGGAAGGGAATTGCTGGATGAGAGGAGTCGACATGTCTGCGGTAATTGTCCCCCAGGAGCTTCTGGAGGTTTCAAGGATGAGAGACAAGTCAAGATGCATAGCCACGGCCACGGTGATGATGACGCCCAGTGCGGTGGTGGCCGCCGCCGGCTCATCGGTTCGCCGCTCCCCACCACAACGATCTCCACAAGTTGCCATTCGAACACAAACAGCCAAGCCAGCAATGAGTGCGCCGGACTGGGACACTGCCTATGTCAACGAAGAGTACGTCTCTTCTGTCCACCCCCATCACGCTGACCGCCTTCAGGCATGTTGATGCCTTCACCCAGGCACTCTCCTACAATGATCTTACTCCAGCAGAGGGCGAGTTTACTCCTGGGTCGCCCAGATCACCTGGTGTACCGATTGACTCGCCTAGTCTGGGCAGTGCTACACAAAAGAACAACCAAGTAGGCGGAGCCCAAACGTGGCAATACGGCCCCGATAATGGCGCTCTTGGAAGTGGCCTGGACAAAGATGCTCGTGTGGAAAAGTTGACGGCCACGAGCGACTTTGCAGTGAGTGAATCAATAGCCTCCAATCCAGCCATCACTGACATGTGAAAGCCCATACACCAACGCGTATCCCGCAGACGGCAAGCCCGCGCCACCTCACAAGGCCTCACCTACCACCTGATACGGTGGCCTCTCCTCTTCTTCTTCTTCTTCATCATCTATCTCGAATTTTCAGCCTACGTTGTCACTCGCCAAGTAGTGAACGTATTCGAATGGCTTGTAGCATGGAGGGGACACAAGGCGAAACTAAGAAGAGAGCTACGCAAGGCAAAGACGTACGAAGAATGGACGGCCGCAGCTCTTAAGCTTGATGAGCACATGGGGTTTGAGGACTGGAAGGAGATAGAAGAAGATTCGTATTTCGATTGGACTCTGGTTAGGCGCGTAAAGAGGACTCTCACGCGTTTGCGTTCCGCCAACGATACAAGAGGATTGATGGACGCACTCGCTGTCTGCGTCAGGGCAAATTTCGCCGGTACGGAGAGCGTCAAGATGTACAGCGAGGTGAGTGATCGGGAATGCTTGCCGCGCAAAGATGCTGACGCCATGATACAGACGTTCATCGGTACCAAAAAGGTTGTTGAAGCGCACGTCAAAGAGGTTGCCGCCTCATTGGACTATGTGCGCACCGCCTCGGATGTATCGCTCGAGGAGAAACGAGCATTCTTCAGAGCTATCAACAAGCATTATGGCTCAAGTGCTCTATGTCTTTCGGGGGGCGCATCGTTTGGCTACTATCAGTGAGTCCAATCATCCAATCAGATATGGGCAATTAGCTGCTAAATCATTCATTTAGCTTTGGTGTGATCAGAGCGTTCCTCGAAGCCGACCTCTTACCTCGTGTCGTTACCGGTACATCAGCAGGAGGCCTCGCAGCGGCCCTCGTCTGTACGCGAACCAATGATGAGCTCAAGGAGCTTTTGGTCCCCGAGCTGGCAGACAAGATCACAGCTTGCGAGGATTCTTTCAGGGTTTGGATTCCGAGATGGAGGGCAACCGGTGCGCGATTCGACACCATCAAATGGGCCAAAAAGGTCAGCAAAGCAATATGAACCATGTAGAACGAGCTAATTTTGATACAGGCTATGTGGTTCACCAGAGGTTCTTTGACATTCAAGGAAGCATATGCTAGGACAGGACGAGCATTGAACATTTCTGTAGTGCCATCAGATCGTCACTCGTAAGCCAGTCATCTCAATTCCGCAATCACAGCTGACCGTTAGCAGCCCGACCATTCTTCTGAACCATTTAACAGCCCCGAATTGTCTCATCTGGTCTGCAATCATCGCCAGCGCGGCCGTTCCTGGTATCCTCAACCCAGTTGTTTTGATGGCCAAGGATAGGAATGGGAATGTGAAGCCTCACAATCTTGGTGGCTCGCGATTCAAGGATGGCAGTCTGAGGTAAGTTGCGTTCTCAACACATGTTGGCCACGCTGATTGTATTACCATCATGTAGAGAAGACATCCCGTTGGGAAGCCTCCACACACAGTTCAACTGCAACTTTTCCATCGTATCCCAAACCAACCCTCACATTCATCTGTTCTTTTTTGCTCCACGAGGTTCTGTTGGCCGCCCTGTCGCACACCGCAAAGGAAAAGGCTGGCGAGGAGGTTTCCTACTGTCGGCTTTGGAAAGCTACATCAAGCTTGACCTGAGCAAACATTTCAAAGTCATTCGCGACTTGGATCTGATGCCTCAAATACTGCAGAGTGATTGGAGCGGTGTCTTTCTCCAGAGGTTTAGCGGCGATCTGACTTTGACGCCAAGGAGCACTATCCAAGATTGGTTCCATATCTTGTCCGATCCGACTAGGCAGCAGCTGGAGCGCATGTTGACGGTCGGAGAGAAGGTGACTTGGCCTGCTTTGAGGATGGTCCGAAACAGGATGACCATTGAGGTAAGTGCGATCCATAGCATCTCTAACGCTAAGCGCTGATTCTATCGCAGCGAGCCATCCTTCGAGGCCGCACAGAGGTCCGCTCCGCTCTGAACCGTAATCGTACATCCAACGATCACCCACACTCTCTACCGGCTGCAGTGGCCACCGATGCCGACCCCAACTCTGTCTTTGACCACATCCCCATCGAATCCGATGTTGACGCGGGATTCACCAGCCGGTCAAAGCGCGTCAAGGCTAGAAACGGTCGGGGCGTCGCCGACCCGGAAGCTTTAAGTCTAGCAGGAGTGTTTCAATCGGAAAGCGAGACGAGAGGTGCGAGGAAGCGTCGAGGCCAGACACCAAGCAAAAAAGACAATGGCAAGGTCGAAACATTGAAGGACATTCCAGAATCTTCAAGTGTGCCATTCCCTGCCAGCGGAAGCCCACAGAAGGGCTACTTTGGGGAAACCCTTCGTCATGTCCGAGCACCATCTCTCTCCTCTCTCAGCTCGCCTTTTCGGTCGATCCGCTCTTCCCTTCCCTCCAAGTCTGCATCGGCCGACTCTGCTCCATCTTCTTCTGTCCCTCAAAGTCCGGCCACTATCAGTCAGAGACCGAGGTCACAATTGAGCATCACGAGGTGGTTTGGGGGTGCGTCGGAAAGCTCCTCCGAAGAGGATGAGGAAGAAGAGGAGTTGTTGAGGATCAGAAGCAGGAGGGGGACGGCTACTTCGAGCGAGGATGGAATATCGGGGTTCCAGCTAGACACTGCCGTCGACTCGCACTCAGAATCAGATAGTGAAGGCGCGGGTGGCGTTCATACACCTGCTCAGGTCTTCTCCGAGCCTCATTCAATCACAGACGCGCTAGAGTCTGAAGGCGTCACCCCGATACCTGGTGGCGAGAGAGTCAGTCAAGAGACGATCGATGCTGGGGCTGCTGCAGGTCAGCGGCTGAGGAGGAACACAGGAGAGAGGAAAGGGAAGAAGAGTCACACGGGCGAAGGGAAGGCGAGCACAGAGACACCACCAGGTCAGGACGGGTGAAATGTTGTATAGCGAGTGCGGCAGAGACTTTGATGACAACAGTTTGTATCACTTATGCATGGAACGAACTCCGTTGGAACACGGATAATCGGTCGGCGAACCCAGAAGGCATCAACCTACCCTGACGATCACAGCCCCTACAGCATCTGTTCTCTCTCCTTCACGGTTCATAGTGGCGATGGGCCGTGTGATGGGTCTGCATACATAGCCGTTGCTGCTCTTTCTTGCCGAAAGCCTCCCTGCATACTACGGAGACGGCGGTGCGCCGACGCGTCGCTGCGGTGCCTGTTTCGTCACCCAGAACTCCGTCAGAAGGCCGGCCGTGCCGAGGATGTGTTGTTGTCTCCAACAATTTCCATCTCCTTCTTTCTTTCTTACAACTACAACGTATAGTCACCCCGCCCTTAGCCGCCAGAGCGGTCCCCCATAATGTCCGTCTCCCTCACCCACATATTCTCCTATCTCCCACCGCCGCGGCCTGTCGTGCCCTTGGACTACAACCTCGGTTTCTTCAACATTCTCCTGACCGCCCTGGTACTGGTAGCTCCACATACCGGAGGATGGAAGCTGTTCCGGGTTGGAGTCGCTGCCCCCTTCATCAGCGCTCTCTGGGTATACTTGGCGTTTGTGCCAGTCACAATATGTAATTACGATCACTGGGGCATTCCCATCTTGCTCGGTGAGTGCGCGCTCGTGTGCCAATGACGTTACTGACTCTTGCATGTGACAGCAAGCTTTGTAGCTAGGACATTTGAGCTCCTCGTGTTCTTCCCGGCTGAAACACATACACATCGGCTCGCGGTCGACTCCACCAAGCTCTCCCCCGTCGCAATCACATCCGAAAACACTCCACTTGTCCCAGAACAAGTACCGCCCCCCTTCACTCTCGCCAAGTTATATTGGGCTGCATCGCTATGGTGGTCTTTCCGTGGGCTCGGCTGGAACTACTGTTGCCCTCTTCCTGCTTCATCCAGGAAGGCTCCATTCATCAAAGGGTCATCACGCAAAGAATTCTTCCTCTCTCAGGCCAAATTCTTTGCACTCGCATGGATATGGCACGACCTGATGCGCACTATCATGGTGTTCACCGAGGCCGCCGATTTCTTTCTTCCGGGCGCTACAATGTCATACGACGATCTGAGTTTTGGGCAGAAGGCGCTGTACAGCATCATCGTGGTCTCGAGAACGTGGTATGGGTTAAATCTCTCGCATATGACCGTTTCGTGCTTCATTGTGGCTCTAGGGGGGTTACTGGGCTGGGAGGGAGAGATTTTGAGTCCCTGGGGATGGCCGCCATTGTTTGGCAACTTTGCTGAGCTCTGGAAGTACCCTGGCCTCTCAACCATGTGGTCAAGAGTAAGTGCGACTGCTTGGTAAATACTAGATGGGCTGACAAGACCCAGACATGGCAAGGGTACAACCGCCGATGGCTCTACGTCTTTGGCTGGATCGGTATCTCTGAAAACATCCTCCACCTCACCCACACCGGCATATCAGCTCACCCCCAAGCCCCTCCAGACTCTTCTTCCTCTGCCAACACCCCTTCTCCCTCTGGCCGCGTCTCTCCAAGTCACCCTATTCCCACAACGGGACCATCGGTGCAACTGCCCGTCAAAAAGATGACTACGCGCTTGATGTTTCAAAACCTGGTCAAGAGCACGATTGTTTTTGCCCTTTCGGGACTACAGCATGATCTAGGCACTTATGCGCTTCTCAGCAAGACACGCGCCGGTCAGAACATCACACTACAAGACGCGTTGATTTTGACGCCGTTCTTTGTCATTCAACCCCTCGCTTTGGCGGGAGAAGCAGCGGTCAAGACGGTCTGGCGCGGGTGGAAGTTTAAGGCTCACCCTACTTGGAAGAAGGGCTCGGTCGGGTATACTGGTCAGCCTGGGTGGCTCGTCTTGTCTGAGCGACTCTTGGGCTTTATCTGGACATGGTTCTGGCTGGGGACGTCGGCAAAGTACTATGTTTCAGAAAGCTTTGGACAAAGGCCAGACAGGTAGAGGTGGAAGTGTATAGCCGAGTGGGGGTGCGTGTTCCCTCTGAATCACGGAAGCCACCGCAAGCTCCATAGGCGACATCTTGCCGGGCTCGGGCGCAGTTTCGGGTGCCGCCCTATAGATTGGGTCACCCACACGAAGCAGGTTCTTGATTTCGGGATCGCGCTCGAAAGGGATCCAAACTTCGTAGGAGGTGAGTATGATGAAATCGAGGTTGTAGCGGTCAAGTTGTTCCCAGAGCTGAGCAAACTCGTCAGAACAGCCATCATAGCAAGTCGTAGTAGTTCTCTGAGCTTACCTGGGATATTTCCTTTGCCCAGTACGTCATTTCCGGCACGATAGTCCCGTCTTGGTCCACAATGCGCAAGGCGGGCCGGACTTTACCATCTTTTCCTGTCCCACTGGCCAGAATGAGCTTCAAGCCCCCGTCCTGCCTGCACGCCATCAACAGTCGCTCCAACTTTAGCGGCCGATGCACAGAGATTTCCTCATCCAGCTCGTTCTCATTGTCCGGCACATGATGACTGTCCGAATGCTCCTTCTTATCGGCCTGGGACTGGTCGCTGTGACTTGCGTCGCTTTGGGCCCCTCCCCTCTCAGCTGTATCACCTTGCGGCCTCGAACAAAGTTCAACCTTTTCTGTTGGTGGGTGGTCACGGTCGTCGGTCTGAGACACTGCACCTTCGCCAGATGTCGTTAGATCGGTGCACATCTTCACCTCGATGATAGCAATGGCTATACCGTTGCGCATGAAGACCCAATAAAGGCGGTCGCTCTCCTCGCCTGAGAACGGCTTCCACTTGCCATGGAGGTGACTGGGAAGCCGGGAATTGATGGCGTCGGTAGAGCAATCGAAGAAGTTTGACCTCATGACACCACGTAGATGAATCTCAGCCTCAACAGTGGTTCTTCGAGCACTACGCCGTGCCACTCTCAGATCTTCCTCCATGAAGGGAGTGACTCCCTTGCTCAACGACGACTGCTGAGATCTGAGAGATGCAGAGATTCTCCCGTTCAGGGTTTGGTCATGGACGACTCTGATACCTTTCTCGTCAAGGTCTCCCCATATGCGGTAGGTTTTGGAGGCGGACTTTCGTGTGCTCTTGCCGGTCGTGTCGATCTCGTATTCGAGAGGGTCCAAGGGAAATGACCTGATCCAGGAAGCGACTGACTCGGGTGTGTGTGGAGAGGCGTCGCCGATGCCTTGCATGCTGGCGTAGGACGTGAGTTGGCGTGGGCGTGCCACAGGGATGGGTGATGGGTGGTAGTGAAAGATAGATGTATAACCTCTACCAACAATCAGGTAGTTTGGCAGTTTCCGGCAGAGCGGGATGAAATGAACAGACATATGATACGTGACCGTAAGGGAGCAAACGACGATAACAGTGGTGTACTTGCACTTATTGGGTCACCCCTATAACAGACCCTACCCTGGAAAACGCCTATGGAGTGAGGAGCTGGAGGAAGTGCATGGAGAAGGGGGTATGGCACAGGATGCAGAGTAGAGTGGGAGTGGAGTTGGTGAAGGCGCGAGCGAGGACATTGTGGACGTGAGGAGCACGGAGTAGTTAGAGGACACGGCAGTTAGAGGCGAGAACGGAGTTTTTTTCTCGACTTGTCCGCGGTCTTTGACAGCGCTGGATCAGTTTCAACTCACGAAGGTTCGAGATCAAGCCAGCACCCTCCCTGCACCTCTCGATCTCTCCAAGTACGAAGCGCCCAAGCCTCTCCAGAGGGCGAGATACCGCCCTCATCCTCCAGCCATCCGCTACGCATGTACAGAGCCACCCTCCTCACGAACGATCGCGAACAATTGCAAATCACAAGAGTAGCATAGCCCAAAAAGAAGTGAATCCAATATATCAACAATGCATCTCCAATCTGAGCCTGCTTGTACAACTCCCATCTCCACCCAGCCTTCGTACCATCTTTCCAACTTGATCAACAACAACCCGATTAAAGCTTGTCGTAGTAGTAGTCGAGAGGAGGCACGTCGGGCTTGAGACCCTTTCGGGTTCGGATCTGGACGGCGAGCAAGTTGGTCTTGGATCCGACCTCGGTGGGGTCGGCGCTGAGCTCTGTGGGGATTGTTAGCATGCATTTTTTGGCGGCAGTTTCCGGCAGAGCGGGACGAAATGAAAAGGCATATATGATACGTGACCATACATAGCAGCAAACGAAGCACAGTAGCAAGTATCGCTCGGCTTCAAGAATGGAGAAGAACTATAGATAAAGCAGGTCCTCTTTTCCTAATCACAAACGTGAAAGCGCTGGTCTTGGAGATCCTAGTGGTTTTTGGTCGTATCAGCTTTTGCCCCCTCGCATGGGCATATACTTGCTAATGAATAACGTCTCCTATCTGCGGACACTCCAGCGACTGACATCAGCCTACCCACGCCGTCGGTCCTCTTTTCCTAATCACAAACGTGAAAGCGCTGGTCTTGGAGATCCTAGTGGTTTTTGGACGTATCAGCTTTTGCCCCCTCGCATGAGCATATGCTTACTAATAAATAACGTCTCCTATCTGCGGACACTCCAGCGACTGACATCAGCCTACCAACGGACGCCCCCTCACTCTGCTTTCTCCTTGCCTTTTCGGCTTTTCTTCGGCCTGGAATCATCGTCAGCGTCAAGGAAAACAATGACCCAACTCACTTGGTTGTCTCGGTCGAGAATTCCGGAGTAGCTTTTCGCTTGCTCTTCTCAGGCTTCCCTTGCCTCCTCAACTCACTCCCCGGCACAAGACTAGACACTTGGTGGTCCTTCGACGAGCCTTCCACAACCACCCTTTCCTCGAGATCGTCCATCGACCGCCTTCCCCGACCTTCCGCTTCCCAGTATTCGTCCTCATCATCCTCAGCAGCGCCCGGCCTCAGCACCTGATCCTCGTCTTCGTCATCCACCAACTCGACCTTTCTGTCTTGGGATTCAGACGCCGATGTCATGTTGATGTTGAATCTGAGAGACGACCTGGCCAAGACACCATCATGACCCTTTCCTCCGGCCTTTCGCTGTGTCGTGTGGATGATCTGAACATACCGTGAGACACAGATTGTTACAGACTGGCTGTAGGGAGAGCAGCCAATAACCCAAGCACAATCGAAGGATGGGAAGGAGGGCATGCCATCACCAAGGTCGACGTTGCCGCGTGGGACGTGCTGCTGAACCGAGACGAACGACTTGCGCGAGGGGTTGCTACGACAGGTCAGCTTCATGTTGAATGGGGAGCAAGACCTACCTCTGGCCTTTGATAAAGATCCGCTGACGAGGGTCATACGTCAGCAGCTCGTAGCAGTGACCAATGCCGCAGATTCGATCCTGGTCCTGAATCAGATGGTGGATGAACTTGGCATGTATGGCCGGAAGGTTCTTCGCATCGTCACCCAGAACAGATCTCCAGCTCAAACGAACAGTCGCATTCGTCTTACTACCAGGAGAGCGCCAATGTCTTGAACAAAGCACAGACAGATTGATATCGACTGCAACGAGGTCGACAACGAGACGGGCGACAACGGCGGGCAGCTCTCGGACTCCCTTAACATCCCACGCTTTCTCGCCAATCTTGGCGATGCGCAGATCAAGCCACGCGCCTCCAAAGACCGGAGTCTGCATGTGGATGCCGAGGAAGAGCACGTCGAAGGCCAGCTCGAGAAAGTCCATCGCTATTTCCTCGTTGGCTCGCGAGGAAAAGTGGTGCGCGACTCGCATGAAGAGCCGGCAGACGACTGATGAGACCTGGCTCAGGCTGTACGATGCTCGAGGCTGGGGGGCTTGCAGAGAGGGGTGGACGTAGAGGTCGTCGAGGAAGGTGAGGACAAGTTCGGCATCGTCTTTGACCAGACCACTTCCAGCTGTCCAGTCTCTCTCGAATAGCTTGCCAACAGCCTCAAAGCCCGCTTCGAGGTCGACTGGGGCAAGGTCTTGTCTGTTCCGCTCAAAAGCGTCGACATCCGTTGTAAACGTAGCTTTTTGGCGCTTGAACGTCGCCTCACCTCTTCAACCTCGCGGATCTCTGTTGCTACCTGCAGCACCATAGCATCCTTCTGGGACTCGGTCGGCACCAAGTAAACGAACCCGGAGGTGATGCCTTCGAGACCAGAGCGAGCAGCTCCTCCACGCGGGGCCGAGAGCGCCTTGGTGGGGAGGTCGGAGGGGGACAGGGATGTGGCAATTGAGAGGAGACGTCGGCGAAGGTTGGGGATGGTGAGCCGCGCTTCCTGAAGCTTTGGGAGCATCAGGCCGCAAAAGGCGTCGTCGACGGTGTTGATGAGGTTGGGGAGCTCAACCACAAGACCAGCGGTCACCATCTTCGCGTCATGGACGTGGTCCCAATCTTTGCCTCGGAACTGGCTGGAGCCCTTAGCAACAGGTGGGAGACGACTCTCAAAGAAAGAGTTGCCTTCACTTCGGGCGTGGCGGCGGAGGTTGCGGTCAAACTTGAAGAAGTCTGCCGCGGCGGGGTCGACCTCGTTGCTCTGGCGGTTGAATCGGCCGTACACAGGGGCGAAGGGATGCTGTGGAACGTCAGCATAAACCACAAGGATGTGGTTTCACTTACGAGGACGCGACCCCCTCGAGCATGAATCTTCTGCCCCGGAGAGACTTTCTCGATCGAGATTTCCTCGCCCACATCCCGAGCTTCCTTGTAACGCTCGACAATCGCCCTCGCCAGTTCTTGCGCCAAAGAAGGATCCTTCCTGTTGGTGTCAAGGAGGAGCGGCCTGAGCCTATGATCCTTTTGCTCAGGAACCATCCACTGTCGCTCAAAGTCGTTGACCCTTGCTTGCTCCCAGACCCCTTCCTCCAGAAAAGCGTCTCGCAGGTAGTCGTGGACGGCCTTGTGGCCGAATCGCACAGCACCCTCTTCGAGACAGTCTCTGTGAGACCATCCGGAGTAGAACAAAAGGCAAGCCCCTTGGTGGATGATCTTTTCGAGTAACTTCTTTAGCTTCTCGTTCGACAAGAGGTTGGCAAGGCAGCGATCCTTAAAGGCGTCCTTCGGCTGGCCAATGGAGAAGTCCCATCCCAGATCATGGGTTTGCAGCTTGAGGATGGTCCAGTGCATCTTGGGAAAGCTGTGTACTGGTCAGCGACTTGCTCGAGACTGTACTATGATTCTCACATGTACTCCATGTCCGTTCGGTAGGTGCTGATTGTCGCCAAGTACTTGTGGAGCTGCTTGCCCCTGTTGCCCCATATCTCTTCAGCCAATAAGCCATTGAAGCCGATATCACCGGCCTCCATCGTGCCGTGGTTGCCGCCTGATAGAACAGTCCAAAGCGGTCGACAGACACTGATCAGCCATCGGTGAAGTCGAGCGCGATGAGCTTTGAAGGCGTCCAGCTCTTCGACCGCACCATCCTTCTTCTGCTCGACGTTTTTAAGAAGCCTCCTATGCTTAGTGCTGCTCACAGTCCTGAAGCTACGGTCACTCCAGACATCCTCATCCCAGAGTGAGTCCCATGCTTCCCTGCACTCCTCCAAATTGGAAGGGAGTCCAAATTGGAAGACGCCGCGGTGCTTGGCAATCGGGTAGATAGGCTTTGGGCAGGTCGGTAGGTCGTCCAACGTGAAGGGAAGAGTATCCCGGGGGGATATCACCAGGCCCTGGATATCAAAGACCGTGTGCCCTTTGTCGGGAGACGAGGAGGGGAGAGGCAAGTGGATGGGCGCCCGTCGAGGAGTGGGTGAAGAAGGTGCATCATGCGATGGGGGTGTGCCAATTTCGGTGGCCTCGTCGAAGGTCTGGCGGGTCAAGGGGGAGGGTGGGAGCGGAGCGGGAATGGAGCTGGAGAAAAGACCTTGCGAAGGCTTTCGAGAGATGACCGCGATCGTCGAGGAAGAGGATCTGTCAATTAGCACAGAGGAACCGTTGACCGTCTTTTCAGACGTCTGGCCTGCTGGGAACGATTTGTCGTCGATTGCCACCTCCGCTACATGCCGTGAGTGGGTATTCATGCTGGGTATTTTGTACTTACAATCGCCTCCTCCGGGGCTGGGTTGAAGAACTTGAGAGCTGAATACGAGCGTCGCTTTTTTTGAGAGGCTCCTCTCTCCCTTCTCCTCCTTCGTCTGGCTGTTGCTTGTGCCTTTGTAAGACTCCGCAGTCAGCGAAGGGGGCGTGTCTACTTCGGTAGCCTCCTCATACGAGTCCTCCGGGTCTCGCTTGGGGGTTGGCGGCGGAGAGGAAGGGGGAGGAGGGGAGAGCTCGGAACTGCTAGACGAAAGGATTCGTTGTCGGTTTCTGGCCATGCTGCGGAATTAGTCGTCTGAGATTTGAGGCTGCAATGAGTAAAGCTAAGCTTTGAGGTGAGAGAAGGATGGAGATGAATAGCTGGATGAAAACCTGCGCCTCGCTGCAAATGATGGTCGTGAGGGCGCTGCTGTCTGCGTGAAGGGCGCGTGGAAACACCTGCCGTGTGCGGCGCTGGGTAAGACTCAGACTGTCATTCGAGGCGAAAGAAAGAGAGGGGCAGGACACTTAATTGCATACCATATGGGCGAGGCGACGACACGGCTGGAAAGCTTTGAGAGGCCCCCAGAGACGATGGTAGGTGCATGTACCGGCTGTATTCAGAGTACTGTTCTCGGGATACGCCAGCTTCCTGCAGCGGAATTGTGCATACTCCTTCTTCCAACTAGAGAGAGCTGGAGGTACCAGGTGTCAGTGTCAGTGTCGTGTCTGTTAGAGATGACGAGACTTGTCAGCATGTATCCAGGACCATCTCAAGTCAAGCCCATGTCGCTACCGTTGGCCTGGAGGTAAGCATTGAGGATCTCGAAAAAGTATTCGGCCAGATGTATTCGGCCTTCATTGGATAATACGTGTCAAAGGTTGAAGAAGGAAGCGGAAATGGAAAAGAACGCGCGTGGCTGACGTATGGCGGTTGACTGGACCACTTTGCGCACAGACTCTTCACTTTTAGTATATATATGACATCTCCCGTCTTTCTTCTTTCTTCTTTCTACTTGTTCTTCTCTTCTCATAATCCCAATACTCACAAACACATAGTAAGATCGTCTTGAACCCTACTCGTACAGTGCTGACCTCCATGAGATAGCCATCAAAATGCCCGTCGCAACGTACACTACGGCAGAATGGTCTCAGGCGTTCGTCGACTTCGAAGCAAACGACGAGTTCAAAGACATCATCAAAACGGAAGACAAGGCCCAGGCGATGGTTGATCGATACGTACGTACCACCTCTCCCTTCACCCAACACATACTTTCTGTCCTTCACCCTATCACTCTTTTGTGAACTGCGATGTCCCAGACATCCTCTGGCCACACCAATTGGCCCCCCTCAACACCCAAAATCACCCAACACCATTCTCTCCTCGCTCGATCCATTGTCACATTCTCGGCTGACGCTAGTGCCCCTCCCGCTACTCGTCGTGGAAGCTGACCAAGTACTGTTAGCTGCCCAAGGCCAGCTGGCTTACTGTACGAAAACGATACATCAAATGGAGGAGCGAGAACGGAAGGCCGCTGCCGAGAGAGGAGTACACTAAAGCAGACATGGTTCAGGCGTTCGTCGACTTCGAAGCAAACGACGAGTTCAAAGACATCATCAAAACGGAAGACAAGGCCAGGGCGATGGTTGATCGATACGTACGTACCACCTCTCCCTTCACCCAACACATACTTTCTGTCCTTCACCCTATCACTCTTTTGTGAACTGCGATGTCCCAGACATCCTCTGGCCACACCAATTGGCCCCCCTCAACACCCAAAATCACCCAACACCATTCTCTCCTCGCTCGATCCATTGTCACATTCTCGGCTGACGCTAGTGCCCCTCCCGCTACTCGTCGTGGAAGCTGACCAAGTACTGTTAGCTACCCAAGTACACTTGGAAGACTGCACGAAGAGGGTACATTATATGGAGGCAGAAGATTGGAAGGCGGCTGCCGAGGACGGGGCGAGCGAAGGGGTATGTTGCATTTTCCGAATCTGTTCGCGAGCTAATGCTTCCACAGAGACGCGCCGAACCGAAATTACCCTCGGCGTCGAATACTGGTTGCCACGGCCTAGCTGGGACGTGTTGAGGTCTGGAGACCGATGGCGCAGTGTGGCTTATAGATTCGGCATATTGGTAGCATAAAGAACATGACTACGGGCAAATGCATGCATGGGATATGCATGGAAGGTACTACGACAAGCTTTAATCGGGTTGTTGTGTATCGGGTTGAAAAGATGGTACGAAGGCTGGGTGAGATGGGAGTAGGCTCCCCGCGGCGGCGACCGAAGCCCGCGGCGGAGGGGCTTGACAGAATAATACAAGTAGATTCGTAAGGGGGTCTTTTGGATTTTGACGCGTTTGAGCGATTTTGGGCGATTTTGTTTCTGCAATATCTAATGCATGTGATCGTTTGGTGGAACAAGACTTAGCAAGTAGCTTGATACATGGGCTGTCTATGGCTCATGAGAAGGGCTTAGCTCTCAGTGCTTTGTGCGAGAAGCTATTCACGTTTGAACGCTCTGGAGGGGGTAGGTAGATCTTCATAGGGGGTCTTTTGAAAAACAGTCAAAACTCGTCGGGTTTGGCGTGTTCTCCGTCGTCTTCAACTGCGTGCACATACAATTAAATTACACAGTTCTGTAGAGCCGAGATGGAACTTTAGAACTGTAGCTTGAAAATCCTGTGTGCATAAGGCCGCTCGTCCCCAAACAAGTGTTGAAGGTGAACGTTTTTCGCGATTTCAACGCTGTTACGTAATATTTTGACTGCATCAACGTATGCATGCATGAGCTTCTCGAGCTGCACTATGCTTATTGGTCTCAGGAAGGAGAGGTGTATCCCAGTCTGATCGGTGGGCTGTGGAAGGGGGCGTGGTTTCATTGAGTCCATCATAGAACAGATAGATAATGTCTCTTATGTGCATATATGAATAGATGGTGTTGAAGATTTCGTACATGCGGATTCCGATCCGCTCTTGTTTCGTCTTCTATCTATAGCCTCTTCTGCTCTCTTTCATTTCACAGTCTAGCTCCCGTATACCCATGGTATATCTGGTTTCCTCACCATGCACCGTCTTTATATCCTGGGCCCGAGCGCAAGTCGCCTTGTCTTGATTGACACTGGTGCCTCGTGTCGACTCAGGAGAACAAGGGGGTGGAGAGGGATAGGGGCCGCTCCTCGATGTGTAAGGGTGGGGTAGACCGCACGAGGGTCTCCCTCCTAGTTCCCTCTGATCTACGAGACCCGAATTTCTACCTGCAGTGGGTAGTGATGTACAATGATTCGAGCACCGAAGCTGCAAGCCACCCATTTCATCACAGAATGACGAGTAGACAGCTTTCCCAGATTGTAAATGATGTGAATCCTTTACGTGGATCTCGGGACTGCGAAGGAGTCTGGTGGGTTGGTGGTGGGCGGCGGCAGGAGATAAGGGAGCGAGGGTTGCATGGTGGAGGCGCTTGGAGAGGCGGGAAATGGTCTCGAATGCCACGATACGAGGACGCTGTGTAGCGTAGCGTGTGTACTGAGAGGGGTCGCAAAAGGGAGGTCATGATAGCGAGGACGTCGTCGTCCTGTCGGGGCGTCACAAGGAATACCCTGTAGAAGGTCAGTCGGGAATGGCTGACAAGATTGTCACCAACACGTACCCTGCCCTCAACACGAGGCGGACTCGTCCGATCGAGAATGTCTACAGCATCTGCCAGTATGTCCAGGGGATTCCTGATCCATGCGACTCTTCTTGCAGGCTTCAATTCTCGACTGTGCTTGGAGGCGGGGGTTCGAGGAGCAGAGGGGCGCTGAGGGGGCATGTCTACTGTGGGCGGTCAGGCGTTCGCGTGTCAATGCCAATTGGCGGCTTACATGCAGTTGAGAGAGCCGTTTATCAATCCAGGAGGCGAAAAGCGTGCGGCGAGGCAGATGTGAGTCTGGTTATCGGATTTGAGGTAGCAGGGTATATAAGTGCGGAGCAAGCAGCGAAATGAGCACAGATGATGTCAAGGGGTGGAGATACGGGTGAGTAGAGTTCCAAGGATCAGGGTTCAAGGCAGTCATTGTGCTTGAGGTTCATTGTTCTTATGAATGCCCTAAGGCGCACAGACCTCATGGCTGAGGGCAGTCGGGAAACGTCGTGAGCAGCCTGTCGGCCCTGTAGGATCCAGAAGGCGAGCTGTATACTTCCGAAGAGCCGAACACCTGTACGTTCCGGTTGCAGGGCACGCATGTGATCGCTGCGTGACCGTTTCAGACCTTGTTCTGGTTCTTATTGTTCTCTGAGAAGAAGCACACCTGACGAGAACGACAACAATGCCCAGCGGTCACTGCCGCCGCCTCGTTGTGGTAACGCCGTAAATCCCCGTTTGCGCTTTATGATCTCTTTCATCGGCTCAAAATAATTCACGGCCCTATAAATCCCACCCCGCCGACGCAGTCCGCCCACAAAACAGCTCGACCGTAGAGTGCAGTTGAACCACTCACCGCTTATACGAATCTTACCGAAAACGAAACAATATGGCTCTCGCTTCCTCGTCTTCCAGCGTGCTCAAATCAGCACAGGCTGCCCCTCTCAAACGTTTAACGTCCCAGGGTATGTATTGGTCGGATGAGTTTCATTCAATGCTCACCTTACATTTGCAGCTCGCACTTACGCTACCCCTGCTGCCGCCACATCCACCTTCTCTCCCCCTCCCCAATCCTATCCATCGTCCAGCACAAGCACAACGCCCTCAGCTGCCCAGTCCTACCTCACAAACCTCCTCTCGCTGCCTCCCTCTCGCCAGTTCTCTCCTTCCCTCGCTCTTCAAATCCTCACCCACAAATCCTACCGGTTCTCCCACCCCGTCCGCTCCATCTCGCCCGAAGACCCATCCGCAATCCTCGAAACATCTGCTCCCCACAACAGCCGGCTTGCCTTTCTCGGACGTCGGGCGTTGACCACGTATCTGGCGTTATTCGTGCATGAACAATATGCGGGCTCTAGTGGAAAACTGCAGGAGCAAGGAGGAGACTTTTTGAGAGGTAAAGAGCTGGATGAAAGACTGGCGAATTTGAGGCATCCCAGTAATCTGGGGAGGGTTCTCGGAGGTGCATGGGGTTTGGAGGAGGTGATGAGGTGGGATAGAAATATTGTGAGTGGGCGTGGTGCTCGAAATTGAGGTCTTACTGATGGATCCCAGACTGGCCATGCGACAGGTCACGCCTCGGTCAAGGGCCAAGCTGTTGAGGCCGTTATGGGTGGTATCTTTACCCAATTCGGGTCACCAGCTGCCCACCGGGCTTTCCACCTCCACATTCTTCCCAAAGTTGCCAGCCAACTGAGAGATCCATTCCTGGTAGAAAAAGTGCAAAGTGTGAGAGAAGAACTGGAAAAAGAGTTTGGAAGGGGCATTCTGCCAAAGCAATAGATTGCATTCTACATTTTTATATAGCATGGATCAGCATTTGCATATTGCCAAAAGTTGACGTGCGTCTTCACACCGGCAGTCGTGCAACTTGGGATTGGCGGACTTGAACCATCATGATTGTACTGTTCACATATTTCGCCAGTCAGGACATTCAAGTTGATGACGTGGTCATTTGTTTCCCATTAGCAGTCACTTTACCTCAACTTGCGCCGAAGAACGCAGGAGGCCAATCCCAACTTCCATGATCGGTCGGGGGACAGAACTACCGGACGTCATGCAAAGTGAGCATCGAGAACCACTCTAATACGATCAAGATCCGCCCATACTTATTCCAACTCTCCGATTGGTGGAAAGATACCCCTGGGGCGGGTTTTGGCAGACGCCGCGCGCACCTGATTGGAGCTAAAAAAAATGTTCATGCAAGCGCAATAAACCCAACAGAACCGATCGTCCACATGCACCTCATCTCTCTACCACCTCCTCTACCCTCTATGATCTCATCTTAACCAATGAGGATCTTCTCGTCGTCGTCGTTGAAAGAGTACTCGGGGATTTCGAGGTTGAGAGGAGCAGGACCTCGTCGAATTCGGCCGGAAATGTCGTAGTGGGAACCGTGACAAGGGCAGAACCATCCTCCGTAGTCACCAGCCTCACCTGTGAGGAGTCAGCATGTAGAAGATTGAAAGACGGACGGCACACACCAATAGGGACACAACCCAAATGTGTGCAGACACCAAGCATGACAAGCCTACGTCACCATCAGCAATCGCCCCATGCAAATCTTTGTCGTAACTCACCATTCCTGTCGTTGCGTCCTCTGCTCATCGGTCTCGGGATCACGCAAAGTCTTGACGTCGATACCGTTGGCCTCTTCGATCTCGTCAGGAGTTCGGTGTCGGATGAAAACTGGCTTTCCTCGCCACTTGACGATGAGGTTCTTGCCTGAGATCGAGAGTCAGTTCTGTACGTCTGAAGACACCGTAAGACCGTAAGGAGCCCTCACCAGGCATGTGTTGACGCGGCACCCCCGCCGCCAATTACAAGACCTCGTGAAGAAAAAAAAAGTCGCGACCTACCTTCAGGAATAGAACCCATCTCAACCTCGATCTTGGCCAAAGCCAACACATCCGCAGAAGCCGCCATGTTACTCAGAACATCCACAACAGTGCTCTTGGCACCAGAGGCAGACAAAGCACCGAGGGCACCGACCATAAAGTAGGAGACATTCCTGGTGGTGTTGGGGTTCTTGGCACGGTATTCGCTGAAATCGGGGACACCGGTAGCAGAGGAGGCGCCGGCGGCAGCAGGGACGGAGCGGGTGGTGGAGATGAATCGTTGTTGGAAAGAGGATGTTGTGGGGAGGGCTAGAGTTTTCGCGCGTCGAATGTCAGCATTATTCCGTGATTTGCTGCCCCCCCGATCTCCCCGCCTCTCTTTTTTCTCTGCCCTACATGCTCTGCATGCTACACTCACCGTTGGTCCTGCCGAGGTGGCCTCGGGCGCCAGACTTGAAGGCCCAGGCGGCGGGGACGTCGGGCCTAGGGCCGGCTGCGTGGGCGTGGTGGGGATCGGCGGGGGCTGCGACGTTGAGGGCGATGGAGCGGGCGAGGGGGACGCCGGTGGGGAGGGACCTGGCGGTGGGGAGGAGGTTGATCCTGCCGATGTGGGCTGCCATTTTGGTGTTGAGAGGAGGATACAGAGCCGTTCAATCGCTCCGTGCTTGATTGGCCCTCGGAACAAATCCAATAACGCCGCCCTCCGCTTCCTGTGGCGCGTGTTTTCACCCATCTCTCGTTGGGCAGCGCTCCGTCGACTTCTGCCGCCCTCTGCTTCCTAGCAGGCTCTGCAGCCTCGGAGAATCATCTGCAGAAGATTCTGTGCATGCGTAGTAGCCCATAGACACCGGCCATGCATGGGTCCTCGCTCGTGCATTGTGGTTGGCCCTTCCCTCTGCCGCTCCTCGCTCTTGTCGCTGCACACCACACTGCACTCTGCTCCTCTACCACCTCGCCAGCTGAGTCCCTCTACAGCACCCATCCATATACCACTCGCTGTTTCTATGCATGCATCTCCATCTGTGTATTACGTCAGCCTCCACTGTGCTGCCGGCGGCCTCCTCCGTGTACGCGTCATAAGGCGAGACTCGTTCCTCCGTCCATCCGTCAACTTGCCACAGGATGCTTGCGAGAACGATACACCCCCCTGCGCCCAGTACCGGCCTCCTCCGCCCGGCCCTCGCCGCCACTAGACCCCTCACCACCAGCTTCCCAGCCCGCAGGCAGCGAGATCCTCGTAAGTCTGTACTTTACTTTGACTTTACTCGTACGGTCACTCTGCAGCGATGTACTCACTCCGTATCAGCACCCAGAGGTCATGTACGCCCCGCGCCCCCCCGACGTCCTATACGTCCCTCCAGTTTTCCAGCGGCCAGCCCAAACACCACCGCCCAGTATGCTCCTTTCTCCGTAGAGGGCATCGACGTCCATACGCCAGTATACCAATCAGGCCACGTCAATATCCCGCCAGATCCAGAAGGCGTCCTGGGAGACAGTCATGCCGCGAGAGAAGTCTTGGGGCATGAAAGTCTGGTAGTCGTAAGACAGCTGGAGATGCTCAATGTGTTTATGGGCGTGAGTGGTTCGCGCGGCGAATACGAGCTTGGCTGATCCATAGACAGTTTGAACAAGCAAACCGATACGCCCTACACTCTCCCGATGGACAGCTAGTTGGATTGTAAGCATCACTCATACGATAGAAGTGGCAGTACTGACGGACTGCCCAGTTTGGCGGAAGAGGAGCAAGGCTACCTCTCGGCCATTAGCAGGCAGATGCTGCGAACCCACCGCCCTTTCAGATCCGTCATCATGGACCGCACCGGAAAGCCTGTCCTATGGGTAAGTGTCCGGCCTCGAATATGACCCATCAATCTTACACATGACAGATTCGCCGACCATTCGCTTTCATAAACTCGCGCATCTTTGTGCACTCGTCCGAAGCCGCCGACTCCACCCTCGTCGGCGAAGCGCAACAATCATGGCACCCCTGGCGTCGCCGCTACAACCTTTTCCAGACTCGCGAACACGGAGAAACGTTTAGGCAGTTTGCAAAGATCGATTCGGGGTTCCTAGCGTGGGACTTTTGGTTGAAAGATAGAGGTGGACGATTGGTGGCTAGTATCAACAGAAACTTTAGAGGTCTGGGTAGGGAGCTGTTTACAGACACTGGTAAGCGGGACGAGTCTTGCTGTGACGAAAGCTGATTGAAATCAGGACAATATGTTATCCGATTCGACTCGGCGGGGACAGAACTCGATCTCGCCCCAGGATCCAATGTCAACCTTCAAGGACAGTCTCTGATCCTGCCCCAATCGTCCGAGGGTGGATTGACATTGGACCAAAGGGCCATGGCTCTAGCCACTGCTGTTTCGAGTGAGTCGCTCGAACGTTTGTCAGGTAATCAGTGCTGATGAGATCACAGTCGACTTTGACTTTTTCTCGAGACACTCGGGCAGCGGGTAAGCAATATACTCGGCATTCTGGTCCAAAACTGACTCTTCCGCAGCGGCATGGGCTTCCCACTGTTCTTCTGGGGAGGCGGTGACGGCGGTGCCGACGCCCAAGCCGGCTCTCGACCGAGCGATGTCCAGGGCTCGGACGTGGCCGGTGGAGCTGCAGCGCGCGCCATGGGCAGTGCAGCGGGTGGTCTCTCTGAAGACGAGCAGATCTACGGCCGCCAGCCACCTTCTGCCGAATCCGGATCTGCCCCACCTCCCGCACCCGAACAAGGTCAATACGGATGGCCCGAAACATGGCCGGAAGATATGGGAGGAGTAGAAGGCTTGGAAGGGTATCAGGAACAAGCTGGGTGGAGTGAGGATGAGGTCATGCAAGATCCGTGGGGGCAGCAGCAAGGTGGAGGTGATGATGGGGGATGGTTTGGAGGTGGTGATGGCGGTTGGGGAGAATAAGCACAGTATAATCAAGTACAGCCAGTTGCATAGTTTTAACAATGTCACTTATCAAGCCTTTGCCTTTGGCTACGGGACTGTCAGCGCCTTGGTCGTTTTCCAACGATGTACATACCTTGCAGTCTTCCATGACCGTATTCTTTACCAGCAACATGATAGTATTTTGCTCATCTGCCTTGGTCAACGAGTTGTCGTGCTCGTAGCTCGCGCCGATAGCGAGCTTGGTGCCATCGGGGCTGAATGAGAGAGCAGAAATCGGGGCAGGGTACTTGGGGAAGAGCTTCATCCTCTTCTTGGCATTGTGGTCCCAGATGGAGATGAAGCCGTCGGAACCGCCGGATGCAAAGGTGTTGTGTCTACATCGATCAGCACTGTTTTATCGATAGCCCTGTGGACTTACATCGGGTGATAAGCAATAGCATTGATGGGATAGACGCAGTCCACATTGTCAATGTTTTGACGATGCGCTCGGAAAGCGTATTTAGAGCCCTGGTCGGCAGGGTCGAGGTACTCGACCGCGATTCTTCCCTCCAAAGATCCAGACGCCCATCCTACCAAGGTCAGCCGTCTGCAAGTACTTCCACATGAAACCACTCACCCTTGCCATCCGCCATGGTCGCAAGACTCCTGGTCATAAACTTCAACGCACTCTCCCTCTCCTGGCTCGCCGCAATCTGCTCTGTCGCAGCCGCAAGCTTGACCACATCGTACACCCAGACGTGACGTTTAGACATGGAGACGAGGAGGCGGTTGGAAAGAGGGGCGTAGGCGAGGTTGTATGCGCGAGCGGGGAGGGTTTGAGTCGATTTGAGGGGGTTGGGGAGAGTACTGTCCCAGACTTTGATGGTAGAGTCCCAGGAAGAAGAGACCAGGACGTCTGCGAGGGGTCAGCGGGCTACGAATACCGTCGAGGCGACTCACGGTGTTCAGCACACCAGACTATGCTTTGAACAGCATCGTCGTGCTTTCCCAAGACCTGGACGAGGCCAGTATCGAAATCCCATCGCCTGATCCTCCTGTCAAGACCGGCAGAGTATCCGATATTCGAGGTGGAACCAAAGCAAGCGGTCAGGACGGCAGACGTTTCAGAAAAGCTGCTACGAGTCAGCAGACTACATACAGACATACACAGCGTGCTCACATTCTGGGCGGTTGGGGAGGCCCTGAGAGGTCATGTAGTTGTATTGACTTGAGAACGTCAGCTGTATACGCGCCAGTTGCAGAGCTTCCACTCACGCCGTCCCAGGAAGATACGAGCAGCCGCTGGGAGTCGAGAGACCAGCTGACTGAGGAGATGCCGTCGATGGGGGGTTGGAGGGAGAGGTCGCCGGCCGACATGGCTGTGGATGAGATGGGGTGGAATGAAAGAGGAGATGGAGAACGCGCCAAAAGCAAGGCAAAATAAATAATTCCACCTGCTTTATTTTGATTTTGCACTCTCTTGATGTTCAAACATTCTGCCCATATATCTCCTTCACAAGGCATATACACCATGGACGTGGACAGCTACGAACCCAGAGATAGGTCGGGTCCCATGGACATCGACCCCCCCGTCTACAACACCGCACGCCTCGACCACTTTGTCTACTCTCAGGACGATGGGCCGTCACGAAAGCGCAAGTGGCAAGCCCTATCCAGACTCTGCTGAGCTAACAGAACTGTATAGGCCACCATAATGAGCTCGAACAAGCGCCATTCCACCCCCAGCCATCCTCGGGCTTTGCCAATTTCAACTCTACAGCTCTAAACGCTGCCCCTCTCCTGCTCTCAGCTCTCAATACTCCCAAGAAAGCTCCTACGTATGACCCATCGCAATGGTACTCTCAGGGATCTTCCAATCGCACGCCGGTACATCATTTGGCCACTCAGGAAGTCGACATGGACAGCCCTGCAAGACCGGTGCCGTCTGCGCCTGGGCCTGATGAAGATGATGGCGAAGGGAAGCAGTATGAAGAGGAGCACGAGGAGAAGAAGCCGAGAAAGTTTGCCAAGGGTGCTGTCTCGAGGACCAACAAGAAGAGGCAGCAAGCCAAGAAGGAGCGGGGCGGCGTCAATGAAGTGAGTCTGCGCCCATTGACTCGTCCAGCCTATGCTAACCCGACTATCTTAGGAGAAGGGGCTCCTGCGGCATAGTGACTCGGCCGCGCCAGCGTTCTCGAAATCAGAACACCACTACAACGTGCATATGCAGCCTTCCGCCTTGAGGCATAGTGAGATCCCAGCGCTCTTGTTAGGGTAAGTCCGCGACGCAGTCGAGGCATGCAACTGACATATGCCTCAGATACCTTCAGTTCTTTGTGAATGCGTGTATTGTGCTGTTTTGCATCTACCTCGCGGTGCTCTTTGTGCTGGCCGTGAGGAGCGACGTCAAGAACAAGATGAACGAGTATTCTGTCGGTGCGTGGCCTGTGATTGTCGCGTCGCCATTGCTGACTTGGTGTCTCAGAGATATTACAGGAGATTGCCGAGTGTACCAACATGTACTTGACCAACATGTGTGGCTCGGCTCATCGTGTGCCTCATATGTGAGTTCTTGTACATGCAGATTCGCGGAAATTGACCGCGTCACTAGGGATGCGCCTTGTCGCGCTTGGGATGCCTGTATGAACCGCGACCCCACAGTCATGGGCCGAATCAACATCATCGCCGAAGTGTTTGCAGGCGTCATCAACAGCTTTGTCGAACCCATCAGCTGGAAAACAATGGTTGGTCATCTTGCCTCTTTCTGCCTCAGTGAACTGACACCGGAGGACAGAGCTTTACCGTTGTGACCCTCACCTTCCTCGTCATCCTTACCAACTCTGCATTGTTCAACCTCCGGGCTCGCGCATCGCACAACGACACGCCCCCGCCCGTTGCGCCGTTCTGGCCGCCGCACGGGCAGTTTATGCCGCAACTTCCGTCCAACATGCCTCAAGGGCCAGGATACCAGCATGATATAAGCGGCATGGATGCACGGATTGGGGGAGTCGGAGGTCCACACGGAGCGCAGGAGGAGGCAAAGCAGATCGGGTGGACGGAGAAGAAGAAAGGGTGGTGGTGATGATTCTTCATGCACTCTGTAGGCTTCTCGGCGTACGCAGGATCAAGGGTAATATCCAGGATATACATTCTTGCCATACAGCCCTTACGCTTCTTGTACCTATATATAGTCTTCAACTAGATGGCTGTCATCTTAGGCGCCGTTACCGGAATCTTCACTACCCAACAGACTGGCAGAAACATCAGCAGTCGTCCTGAAACAAGAGATGAACTCACGAAAACTCCTTCATCAACGAACATTCGCCGCCGTTCTCGAGGTCAATATTATATGCCTGGAATAATCCTTCTGAGCTGATGACCATCACCTGCGGTACCGTACTGGGCGCCAATTTAGCACAACCCTTTCAAGGAAACAAGAAACGTACCCGCTCATAGCCACAACGGTCCTCCCATGGTTCCCTCTCAACTTGATGAACGCAAAATCCCTCTGCGGCTCCCACATCTCCGACATGCTCTTTGGCAGATAACCTCCAACGCCACCCACAAACGACTTGCCGATATGATACGACCGTCGCCTAAGACTGGATGTGGCGGATGAGCCGGAAGCGGGGTTGTGAGGGTCTAGAGGCGGGGAAGAGGTGGACGGTGTTTCGGATGGGGTAGGGCTGCGAGCGCCGTCTGTCACCGACTCTTCTGCCGAGTGGGCCTTTTCGCCGTTTTTCCGCGAGTTGGCGAGACGGTAGATGTGTATCGTGCTCGAATCGGACGACACGGCAAGCAGTGTGCTCATGAGATTCAAGTTGATACTGAATATCTTTGCGCTCTGCGTCCCTCGCCTGAATTGCCACAACTTTTTCGCGTCCGGCACGCTAAACACCCGTACTACGGTACCCTTGTCTGAGGCAGTCGCCAGCATGGTGCCGGAAGAGTTGAGAGCGAGAGAGGCGATGGGTGTCTTGTGGGCTTGAATGACGTTGAGGGCGGTGAGAGAGATGGTGTCGAACAGGAGGACGTCGCCTGTTGTAGGTGCTGGCGGCGCCGGGGGTACGGCCGTGGAAGAGAGTGGGGTAGAAGAAGCAGATGGGGCGGGGGACGGGTAGGCGAGGTATGACCGTTCAGAAGAGGATGAGAGGGCGCAGACGGCTACGTCTCTATGAGCTCTGGTCCACATGCAGGGCAAATGCACGTACCATTAGGATTCGGCCCCGTTTCGATGGTATGCAAGAGCTTCATGGTAGAGATGTCGTAGATATAGATCTCATTCTCCAACACGACTACAAGCCTCTTTCGGTTCATCTTGACTGCCAAGACAGAGGTCGGGAATATGAGCTCGCAGATGGTGGATTGGCGCTGTGACCTTGGTCAGTCGTGACCTAGTGGTAGAGGGAGACGACAAGTACCTTTGTATTGACAATCTGTAGCTTGCGGGGGCTGTTGTTGGGGAGTGTATCGGCAGCACCTACAAGCGCGACGAGAGACGTGCAGAAGAGCATCTCCACGATGCCGGTTGCCCCCTGGTCATCTACGCGCGTCGAGCGGTTGATCAGTGGCGCCTTTGGGATACTTCTGGGAACGACGCACTCTTTGAATGGACCTTGCCAAAAGGGTCGCAGTTGAGGATGGTGTAGCCCTTCTTGTGGCCGACAGCGACGCAGGAGAAGTCCTGGTTGAAGTTGCAGCACTGTAGGTGGTCAGCGCGGGGGATGGCAGGGGAGGGCCGTACGAGGAGGTCTGGGTGGCGCTTGTTGAGGCGGGACATGGGAGGACAGGATCAAAATGGGATCAAGATGGGATCAAGATGGGGTGTAAGCAGTGACAGTCGTTGCGTTCATTGCCGGCGGACATCCCCGCACACGGTGGCAAACACATTTCTTCCTTTCATCTTTCTGTAGCAGCAACACAAAACAATCATGCAGTCGACGATGCACCATAGCATGCTCGAGTAGAGACCCTTATGACCAGCTGTGGACGAACGGACCACCCCACTGCGCCGTCTGAGAAGAATCTTTCTTCCTCCGCCGTCCCTCGCGTCTATCTCCACTCTCCAGTGGGCAGTCATGTGCCTTCCAGATACAGATGCTCTCTCCGCTTTCCCTTTCACCCCTTATCCTTAGCACAGCATGCTCGAATACCCTGTACCCCACTACACCCAGCGGACCCCATGCCCCAGTGACATCATATTCAGGGTGATGTAGCAACAACAACAGAGAGCGTCATCATCGCGAATAGATGTATCGCGAACGGTATAAAAAACAAGACATCAAAGCTGGATCCTTCAACTCTATTCCTACAACTATTCAGAATGGCTACCACCCAGACCACCCAGACCCAAAAGACCACCCAATCCAAGCAAGAGATCCTCGTTGTTGCCAAGAGCCTTCGGGAGGAGATTGTAAGTCGTCGGCTTGCCGATTCCCTTTCAAACCTGACATGTCACAGGCCGAGCCCCTTGCCACGCTCAAGTCTGAAAACCCATCAGCCGAGGACGTGGAGAAGGCTCTCACCTCCATCCGTGACTCTGTCAAGCACGCCAACGAGGCCGTCCCCACCACGTCCCAAGTCTCCACCTCCTCTACAACGACCTCTACTGGCAATCCTCTTGCCTTTGCCCAGAATGGTATCCAAAGCGGTGTCGATGGCGTCAGCAACTTGATCGGACAAGGACAGACTGCTGAGCAGTCTGGTTCCATCGAGGAGATTGACTCTGCTGAGCAGAAGAATGACGAGAAGGCGGTCGTGAAAGCGGACGAGAAAGCGGACGAGAAAGAGGGCGCGAAGGAAGATGAGAAAGAGGAGCCCGCCAGCAACGAAGAGCTGAACAAGGTGGGCGAGGTTTTGGCTGGTGTCGTGGAGGACGTGAACAAGGCTGTGGATGGCCTGACGGATGACCTCAAGAAGCTTCCTATCGTCGTGAGTCTGCCCCAAGCTCGTACGTGATGAAGCTGATCGAAATCGTAGGGCGCTCTTATTGGGGAGATTGACGATGGACTCAAGACGCTTCTTTTCGGTGTAGAGATAGTACTGAAAGGTGTTTTGCAAGTTGTCCAAGGACTCCTTTCTGGCCTCACTGGGGTTCTGGGAGGCGTGGGCGGTAGTCTTCTGGGAGGTAAGTGCGATCCAGTCGGAATCGCAAGGATGATGCAGCTGACAATACACAGGCCTTCTCTAATTCAAGGCAGTTTGATACTTGGCCAGCTGTCCTGGACGGACCGCGTGTAGAGTAATGTAGAATCTTGTACCGTACACCTGTCAACTAGAGTCGAAAGAACAAAGATGCAGCGCGATATGATGAATACCACTCAAGGCGATTACCCACCGGGGTGTCCTGATCGCGGGTAGTCACCTGGATGGCGTGATTGTAATTTTGGATGTTGGTTATGAAGGGAGGGATTGTATATAACTTATAACGAGCCAACCCATTTCTTGTCCCACCCACCATGCCCCCCCGCCCCCCGCGCCACCTGCCCCTCAACTGGAAGGCCCCCAAGCCCCACCTCGCCGCCTACCACCCCCCGTCTCCCGCCATCAACTCGGCCGCACCCCAGTTCAACCCCCCCGTCTCTCCCCAGCTCCCCCCCAGGCGCCAGCCAGCATTCAGCCCAGGAGGATTCGGCCTACAATCAAAGCCTGCTGCCGCCCCCTCGCCGCAATCATGGGGCAAGGGCAAAGAAAGAGAAGCCGAAATTGACGAAATCCAGAGGAAAGATGATGCTATTCGAAGAGAAGAGGAGATGCTGGAAGGCAAGCAGCCAAAAGAAGGTAGAGAAGAGGCAGAAGCTTGCTATGTTGTGAGTATATCATTATAGCATGTAGACGCGCCAGCTTACATCCCGCAGCCCCCACCAGCGACCATCGCCTACACCTCGTCTGAACCCCTGCCCCTTCTCTACTCCCCCACTCCCCTTCCTCCCTTCACAGTGGCCTACGAAACGTGGGGTACTTTGAACGCCGACGCCTCTAATGCCATTCTGTTGCATACCGGTCTCTCTGCCTCCTCCCATGTCGCTTCAAACGGCAATGACGTCGCTCCTTCCACCTCGTCCAAACCCGGATGGTGGCAGGACTTTGTCGGACCGGGCAAGAGTATCGATACCGACAAGTTTTTTGTCATCTGTACCAATGTCCTTGGCGGGTGTTTCGGATCTACTGGTCCCAGCTCGCCTTACCCACCAGGAGACGGCGTCACGCGCTGGGCGACTCGGTTCCCGTTGTTGAGTGTGCACGACATGGTGCGCGCGCAGCTCTCGTTGCTGGACCATTTGGGGATCCAAAAGCTGTATGCTAGTATAGGGAGCAGTATGGGAGGAATGCAGAGTTTGAGTTTGGGGTATCTGGCGCCGGAGAGGGTGGGCAGGATTGCGAGCATCTCGGCGTGTGGCAGGAGTGGGCTGAATGGAGTCGGCATGAGGTATGCTCAGAGAAGTGGTATGTGGCTCTTTACCTGGACCAGAATCCATGCTGACTTGTGTAGTCCTTATGGCCGACCCAAACTGGAACAGAGGGTTCTACTATGATGCTATTCCTCCGCACAATGGCATGAAGCTTGCTCGACGTAAGTCTGTTCGTTGACATTATATGCCCATTGACTAACGATCCTATAGAGATTGCCACAATCACATACCGCTCTGGGCCCGAATGGGAACAACGCTTCGGCCGTCAGATGCTTTCCGAGCAGGAGAAGAATCTGGATGAGAATGGAAACCCTGGCGTCCCAAGGCTGAGCCCGGATTTCTTGATTGAAACCTATCTCGATCACCAAGTAAGCCACTATCTTCTCCCCTCCGACCATATCTAACAACGTGACAGGGCGAGCGATTCTGTCTCACATACGACGCCAACTCTATGATCTACATCTCGAAAGCCATGGACTTGTTCGACCTTACCGGCCCTGCCCTCACCTCTCTCGCGCAACGCTTCAACGACGCTTACCCCGATCAGCCTCCGTTCCCCTTCCCTAACGACCCGACCAGCGTATCTGCTTCGGCACCTAGAGGGGTGACAGAGGTGAAAAAGGTCAGCGAAGCAGAGCTGGAAGAGTTGAAGAAGGAGCAAAAGAAAAAGCTCGCCAAATTCATCCCCACTTCAAAATCACCCCACCTCTTTGACCTCGCCGCAGGTCTCCAGAGGCTCAAGGACATCCCCACCCTTGTTCTCGGTGTACAATCCGACGTCTTGTTCCCTGTAGAGCAGCAGCGTGAGCTGTCGGACGCGCTCAAGCTCGCGGGCAATGCGAATGTGACCTACTACGAGTTGGGCGGGGTTTGGGGGCATGATACGTTCTTGTTGGATGTGCAGAATGTCGGCAGTGCTATCAGGGGGTTCTTGCATTGAGGTGAAAGAGACGTGGAAGATCTTGAGTGTCTTTATAAGTTGAACTTGTTTGGGGTGTCAAAAAGCATATGCATATTGTCCGACTCATGGACGTGTGAGTGTAAGAGAGTCCAAGGAGAGCCGAAAGTCAACGTGAATGTATAACACGGGTTTATCGCAGGGTGTGAAGTGATTTGAACGAGCAAGCAAGAAAAGGCGATGTGAACGTTTGGGGACGTCAGGTTAGCTCAACCTAGAGGCTGCTCACAGTCGGACAAGACGCGGTATTAGTTGTTGGTAAATATCCTGGTATTACATGTAAGGCGTCTCGACCGTGGTCTACGAAATACAGTTTGCTCTGATGGGACGGCACCCTTCGGCATACATTGGGTGCTCTCTCCTCGAGGGGCAGTAGTCCCAATGGCAAAATTTGATCTATATCAAAAGTCAGCACTCCCCCATAATGTCTTCAGCACCTGGAAAAGGACTCACAGGCAAGGACTCTCATGACCAGTTTTGCAGCACCTACGCGACTCCAAACAACCGACAAATCTCATTCTTCCCGTCCATCTTCAGACCCGCCAAAGTGCTCTTGACCGTGGGATCGCCCCGGAAGGGGATTACAGGAGCAGACGGTTGAGGTCTTTGCGGCGTTTCCATGTCGGTCACGGATTGACCTCGTACAGTGAGAGAGGAGGTGGTGGTTGGACTGTGAGGTGAAACAGGGATCTCTCTGCGCTATTAGGGACATACGTTAGCTTCTTAATTGAGAGGGATTGAGCAACCCTCACACTGCCTATAGAAGGGGATCCTCGACCATGTCTCGGAGACTCGATGCCAGTAATCACACCCTTGACCGCTGGTAGGGGCAGTCCTCCTGGGAAGAATACGCTGCTCGTTGCAGAGGCACCACTTGCTCCCGACACAGCGGTTGACGGCAGGTCATTCCCTGAAGATTGGGTCGGTTCAATGTCTCGGTTTCCATATGGCTCATCTCCGGCGACCGTTGACTGGGAAAGAGGTGGACCGGAGTAGCGACGCTCTGCTTCGAGAGGAGCAGGACGACGGGAGCGGAAGCTAGAAGGAACAGATGGCGAGGGTGTAGAGGACATTCCGGGCGATTGAAGCGCTTTTGTTTATGCGAGGTGAGCTATTGACCGAGATAAAAGATATCTCTTGATCTTTGTCGTGATTTTTATGTTCTTCTCGCGACTTGATTACGTCATCGGTCAGGCGCGTGTTCTTCGTTCGATTCCGTCGTTCTTCGTGCCATTCCGTCAAGAAGGCAGTTGCTGATCACGGAGACGGTGGCAAATCGGTCAACAACACACTCATATACATCTATAACCCCTACCACCCACCCTGTTCACAGACTTCCACCAGCCTTCCATCATGTCCGCTCACGACACTGGCCACGATAGGCTGGACCCGGGTCCGCTGCAAGAGAAACGATCAACTGACTCGGCTCGGCTGCCCTCTGCGTCCTACAGAAGTCACAAGAAGACTTTGAGTGGTCAAAATGGGCTACCAGCACCATTACCTGACTCGATGTCGACTTCCAAAGTCGCGATCATATTCGCGACAGCACTATTGGGAGCCGCATGGCTGTATATCGACCCTCTGGCCAGGTGGCGCTCGTCTACGAGGTTTGCCACCCACGTAACCGATGATTGGGTCAATGATGTGCAGCTGGAACGCCTCTTGGGAAAGAGGATACTCGAGAACATTGGGCCAGTGGTGGGCGCTGGAAGCGGCCTTGTGATAGCTAGCCCCAGCGTTGGACAGGGGGGCGAGCCCAACTACTATGTACGCGTCTGACACTGTAAAGATGGTTTCCATCTGATCACCACTCTTAGTACACCTGGACCAGGGACTCGGCCCTCACGTTTTCAACGCTCATCCCCGATTTCTATTCATCAAACAACACCGATTCACCGACTGATGGCCCCGATATACTCTTGCGGGAGCCCCTCTTCCGGGCATACGTCGAGAGCCAGTCCAAGTTACAAGCTGTTCCCAACCCTTCGGGTGATCTCAAAACAGGAGGTCTGACCGAACCAAAGTTCAACGTCAACGGGAGCGCATTCAATGGCAACTGGGGGCGACCACAGAGGTGAGGGAATATCACTCTGAAAATTCTCGGCTCACTTGAAAGTGTAGAGATGGCCCAGCGCTTCGAGCAATTACAGTCCTCAAATACGCAAATTTCCTTCTCGATAGGGGATACCCAGCCGATATCCTGTACCTGCGGCAGTGGATATACAACCCGAAGCGCCTGAAGTCGGTCGGACCGGTGTTGAAGAATGATCTTGAGGAGGTGGCGCACGGGTGGTTCAAACGAGGATTCGATCTCTGGGAAGAAGTGTGAGTACGTTGTGTATACAAAATCCCATGCTGAAGGGTCGAAAGTGACGGATTCCACCTCTTCAACCTCCTCGTCTCGCGCAGAGCGCTCTGGGAAGGACAAGCGCTAGCATCCCGACTGGGAGACAAGGAGGCCGCGTCCTACTACGGCCTCCAAGCACAGCGCATTGGTGATAATCTCTCTCAATTCTGGGAAGGCGAGAAGCTGTATTGGAAGTCCAGTCTGGCATCACTCAACCCCGGAGACACGGTCGGGCTAAACTTTCCACAAAGAGGATGGCACGATTGTTCCCTCCCCTTATCCATTATCCATGCGCGATCCGAAACGCAATTGCCTGGCAATCTGACATCCCCGTCATTCGCACCCTCGGATGCCGACGTGCTCGCTTCCTTGCGCGCCTTTGCCCTCTCATTCGAAGGGCTTTACCGAGTCAATGGTAAAAAAAAATGGACTGAAAGCTGGAACTTGGGGAGATATCGTGAAGACGTTTACGATGGCAAAGGGACGAGCAAGGCGAATCCTTGGTACCTTTGCACCTACTCCTTCGCCCACAGCCTGCATCTCGCATACAAAGACCTCAGTGAAAGTGGATCTATCACGGTGACCAAAAGTAGTCGAGATTTCTGGGGCGATGTGATCCAGTCGAGCGACGTGAAGGCTGGTGATGAATGGAAGCAAGGAGATGGGGCATATGATAGGGCAATGCGGGAGTTGCTGGATTTGGGAGATCGATATCTCTCCCGTGGGAGGTACGTTATGAGAGCAAACGGGGATCGCATGAGCGAACAATATGGGAGGTACGTCTAGTTGTATTCTCCTGACCTTTTGGTGGCTCATGCGACATGGTGACAGGGACAACTTCCGAGCCACCGGTGCGCGTGACCTGACGTGGTCGTATGCGAGTCTACTTGAAGCGATCAGACTGAGGCGCACCTTGGTGTGATGGAAGTGGTCAACCATCAGCTAGCAAATGATGTAAAGTAGATGTGGAGCAGCTGGCGTTCTCTGGGGTTGTATTCAAGAGTGGTGATTGTTGTGGGAGTCATGTATATCGCTGTTGTCTTCATGACGTTTGTGGACTTTGGTTTCTACGTTGCATTGCTAATCCTCGTCAACGATAGTGATCTTTGTTTCTTCGACAGCTCTCTGCGGCTCCGGCTCTTCGACTTTCTCCTCTACATGAGGCGGCGCGGGTCCTACTTCTTCCTCTTCCTCTCCATCCTCGTCCTCCCCATCCTCGTCCTCTCCCGGCCGTCTGAACGCGATCTTTGGTCCCGAGGCTTCGATCTTCCGTTTCAAGCCACCACCTCCTGTTGGTGTGTTCTCTATAGCAGCAGGCTTGCTTCCATTTCTGCCCTGTTTCCTCCTTTGCCGCTTCGCTCTGTTCTTGGCTGTCTTTGATTCTGCTTCAGCATCGCGGTCTGCTTGACGTTTTGCAAATGCAGCCTGTTCTTCTTCCTACAAAGGTATCAGCCGTGATCTGCACTTTTGCTCTGTACCCACTCACAGCTTTAGACTCTTCCTCCATCATTCGTAACCGCTCATACTCTCTCCGTCTACTTTGCTTGTACACGTGAAACTCGCCGGAACCAGCACCAGCCGATGAACCTTGGACGTTCTTCATCATATCAAGAGGAGCCCGCAGCTCCTTCTTGACGATACCTGTTGGAAGCACGACTTCCTTTTCTGGGTTGGCAAGGAGTTTGTCGAGCTGTGAGACGCGTCAGGTAAGTTGCAGCAGCAGACAATAGACATACCTGACGGCGTTGGAGATCGGCAACGGTGGTCCGTGGCTTTTTGGCGGGACGGGAACCGGCGGCATGGGAGTCTGGGGAGAGGTCTCGAGGGGTGCGGTCCGGAGAAGCCATGTTGTGGGATGAACCAGTTGGAAGAAGACAGACAGACTGATCACGAGAAGTTGAGGAGAAGAGAGGCGGAGTGGAGGCGAGTGCCACTTTCGTCCAGAGTCATAATTCCGCTCTGAGTATACGATTTATACAAAGGCATCATGGCCAGTCCCATCCCCAACTGTCTCCCTCTATTCACTCTTCCCATCCCCCCCTTGCCCCAGGAGCAACTGCAACCTACATCCTCGAACGCGACACGTGTCCTCTTCTCCCGACGACCTTCCTTGCTAATTGGATCCTCGCTCTCGACCGCCTCACAATTACATCGCCCGTTCCCCTGTCCACGTACGTATCTATATCCCAAAGGCTGGTAGGGCCATGTCGCTTCGATCCCGCTTGACTGACTTGGGTTCTCAAGGCCGTGCTTGCTTCTCGAGTTGCGTCCAAGCCATTCTATCTTGACTCAAGCTTGCTGTTTCTTGAACTCGCCGCCACCGAGACACTGCGCAAGAACATCCACACGTTTCATACATATACCCGCACGGTGATACACGGCTGCCAACATGGCCCAATCCGCGGCCCTTGCGTCTTCAGAGGTTGCCCATCACTCTCAAGCTCAACCGTCGTCACAACCCGCTCCGCCGCTCGAGCAGTCGAAGGGTAGCCCCAGTGGCCTGCATCAGCCGACGATGCCCGGCGACATGCAAACACAACAGATGCCAACCCCCGTGGGAGCTTACCGGCAACCAGACCAAAGAGCACTTCACCCCCACGCCCAGCCACAAGATGGCAAGGCAGGTTACAACCAGTCTCCCCGCGAGTCATGGCGCCCGTCCCCCCAGCCTGCCAATCCGAACATCGCAAGTGGATCTGCGCATACACCGGGTGATCACGACGGCGAGAGCCAGGTTACCGCCAGTCGTCTGGTCCCAGGAGACCGCCATGATAGGGCAGAGAGCGAGGCTGTCACTGCCAAGCAAGACTTGTCTCCTGGTATCTCCCCTTCTCAGAGCCCAGCGCACCAGGAGCCCAGCCTCGACTCACTCGCCAAACTGCGTCAATTCAAGCGCGAAGTTGAAGCCTCTCGCCAAACCAAATTATCCTCCGCTGAACTGGATCCCTCAAGACTGGCAAAGATGGCCGAGTCGTTCCTCTTGTCCCAAAATCAGCCGACGTCACAACGAAAGTCACCTCTCTCCCATTCTTCCACCACATCGCCATTTATACCCTTGGCACAAAATGGGTCGGCAACCGCGACGGAAGACGATGAGAAGGAGAAGTTTATCAAGGAACAGCAGCTGAAAGAACAACTCAGGGCAAGAGCCGACCGAGCCGGAGTGGCAGGTAAACCCAAGGAGCAATCCCCTTCTACCAATCAACAACAATTGCCTAGTAGGCGGCCTCGCGCTGAAGATCTGATTGATCCGGGAACTGAATTTGCTGCAACTGCACCGATCCCGACCCGTCCAGCTGCTTTGTCGCACGATCCGGTCGACCCACGTCTCCGTGGTCCGCCACCAGGGGGTCCCGCGCTTAGCCATCCACTTCCACCCCATCCAATCCCTAATGGCCCTCCAGCCCTCCACAATCTTCCGCCCACAACCTCAGCGCCAGCTCCAGGTAACAATTATGAGCCCAGCGCGAGGAATTTCGTCCCGGCAAGGTTCAGGGATGGAAAGGGAGGTGTACCGGTCTTTGGAGCATTCAAAAAGTATGGCTCGGACAATGATTCGCCTGTCTACCCTAGGGTTGATAGTGTTCCACCTCCTATCAGAGAAGAACGTCACCGGCCTAGGGACATTGAGCTGTCCCCGCCGCCAAGATCGGAGGGAAGAAGTCTCGCAGAGTAAGTGGCAATGTACATTTTTGCCCTTTTACTAACGGCATGTACAGCAGAATATCTGCCCCTCGATCAGCTGCCGCTTCCTCTAGGCCTCGATCACCTTCGCCCGTACGTGGTCCTGCCCCTTACCGCCCCCCTCGAAATACATATTTGGGGCCACCCGCCGCTCGAGATGCGCGAGACAACCGGGAATACCACCGACTGTCGTCCCCTCGACGTTACGCTGACCGAAGCCCGCCTCCACCGATCGACGCTCCACACCGGCCGCCTTACGATACGAGGTACGGAGACCCCAGGAACTATCCAGACCCGCGAGATTCTCGAGACCCCAGGAATGCGCCCGAGAGGTTCCGAGACAGAGAGTACGCTAGACCGTTGTCTAGAGACTTTGACCGGCCGCCCTCTCCACCTGGACGTGGCAGGGAATTCAGCAGATATCCCGAGCGTGACCCGTGAGACCCATTCTGCATCTTTGGAAAGGATACTCATGCCAGTGTAGTTACACAGGACCCCCTCTAGACTACCGTCCCGCGCCACCTGTTCCTGCAGTGAATGAAAATGTTTTGGAGACTATTGAAAACCTCAAGGCTCAACTCTCTCACCTTCAACAGGCAGCGTTAAAGCCAGCACCATCCCCCTACCCGCCTAGAGATCACGATCGCGAGCGTGAGCGGGACATTGAGCGTGAGCGAGAAAGGGAAAGGTTTGCCCGATACGGTCCTCCTCCACGGGACTACCCTCCCCCGCTGCGGGACTATTCTCCACCACCACCCCGAGGTCCTTATCGCGATTCCTCCCCTCCCTACCGTCGAGGGCCTTCGCCGCCACCCCTGCGAAGGGGCGCGTCTCCTCCTCCTATCCGACGAGGTCCGTCTCCTCCGTTTTCCAGTCGAAGAGACCTTTCTCCACCGCCAAGCTCCCGACTGCGACGACCAGGTTCGCCCCCACCTCCCCCCCGCGGGGGCTACCTCCCTCCGAGGGAATACGGGTACGATAGACCTGAGCCCACGCCAAAGAGGAGGCGGCTGAGTATGGAGCCGGATGAATTGAGGGGCGGACCCGTGGTGTACAGATGAAAGGGCACATGTTGATGCGCTTAATTAGTAATCTTGCAATGTTGATAGAGAGGCGTTCAGAAGATGGGATCCGTCATTGTGGCAGATACGAGGTATATATGAAGACGGAATGAAATCATGAATTTTGTCCAACTACCGTGCATGCCATCGCCAGGGTCTCGCACGCTGGCTACTGCGAGCATCCAGCTGGCTCAGACACACAATATGCGCGACCTTGGCCCATCTGCAGTCTGTCATAACTACTCATAAGACTCATAGCGCGAACGGGAGCAAATCTGACGGGAGCAGCGACCTGGCAGCGACGGATACCCGAGAATGATCATGCCATTCGTCTCGAACGTGTCCATTTTCTCGCAGGTATCAGCTGTGCTCCGGAATCCAGCAGCATGCCCAAGCCACGACCATACAGCATATCCCTACTCCTCGCCCTCCTCCCCCTCCTTGCCCTCGCGGCAGCCCATGAACCGCTGACCCCACTTCCACCCACCGATGGGCAACGGCCGCTGTCTGTCCCACCGTTACCTGCGCAAAGCAGCTCTGGATCTGGCAAATGGAGATTGTCCGAGAGATATGATGGAGAGCAAGTATGGCGGATCCGTCTCGGCGGCGGCGACCTCACGAGGATGAGGGATATCCTCGAATCTGTCGATGTAGGTACCACCCAGGGCTCACACGACCATACTGATACTTGTCTCAGGATTTCGATTTGGATATATGGGGAACAACCGCTACAACCATTGACGTTCGCCTGACGGACAGGCAGAAGGACATGCTGGAAAGCGCTTTGAAGCTCGCGTCAGAGTCTGCGCTCGAATCATTCATCCCCGATCTCCAAGCTCTCATAGAAGCTACAGCTCCTACTCATCACGACATCTCCGACTCTGGTATCCAAGATCCTCTACATCAGGATCTTGAAGAGTCTTCTGGCGGGCCAGAAATCAGCAAGAAGAAATCAAAGCCCCCCAAACCCGACCCCTTCAATCTCACTACTCTTCTTACGCCTTTCCACGATTCTTATCATTCGCTCGCCGATATCGCCAAGTTTGGCGATTGTCTAGTCGAAACATTCAATGGTGAACAAGGCCTCGAAGTGTGGGACTTCACAGTGGGAACAAGCTGGGAGGGGAGGGAGATTAAGGGGTGGAGTGCCAAATTCGGCAATGAGCTAGAGAACGGCGAAGATGGGGATGAAGAACCCCGCCGAGAGATTGTCATTATGAGCGGTCAACATGGTCGAGAGGTACGTGTCTCGTATACTTGACCGCAGAAGTTCACCAAATGGTCGTGTGACATATTCTGCAGTGGGTCGGCCCTTCTTCGGCTCTCTACTTTCTCCACTCGACTATCCTCTCTGCTCTATACCCCTCCATCAACCCTGATCCATCTCTCCTACTCCGGCACTTTACAGTGACGATCATTCCCTTGATCAATCCCGACGGCTTTGAATACTCTCAGCACCACCGAATGTGGCGCAAGAACCGTCAGGAAGTGGGCCACAAATCGTGCTTGGGCATCGACCTTAATTCAAACTGGGGATTCAAGTGGAAGGGGCAAAAGAAAGTGAGGCCATGCACGGAAGGCTTCCCAGGGAGAGAGGCGTTCGAAGCCGAGGAGACGAAGGCTGTGGCGGATTGGCTGGAGTCAAAGAAGGCGGAGGGTGTCACTATCAAGAGTTTTGTTGACCTGCACAGCTACGGCCAACTTTGTGTGTCTATTTCCAGTGTGTCTTTGGCGATACTAATGTCTTGAAAGTCATGTTCCCTTACGCCCATTCTTGTGACGATTTCCCCGTCGACGCAGAGATGCTCATGGAGGCTGGTATGGGTGTCGCAAAGGCCATCCGTACTACGCATGGACAAGCGTATGAAACAGGTCAGGCCTGTGACTTGACTTATAGGCAGCCTGGAGACAGTGTGGACTATTCATACGGGGTGGCGGACATCAGATGGTCATACTCTGCCGAGCTCAGAGACACGGGAACGGTTCGTCATTATGGCATGTCGCCCATGTGAGGTTTGCTGATGCGTCGCGCATAGTACGGATTTATGCTGCCCAAGGATCTAATCAGGCCTACTGCAGAGGAGATCTCGGCTGGTATACTACATTTGGCCAAGTTTATCTACTTGATGGAGGTAGCCGATTGAAGGTTTGGTGTATTGTATTGGGAAGCTCGAAGTATCAGGTAATTTGCTTGTAGGCAGGTCCTCCATATGAAGGCCGACATGTAACGATCGTAACTGGGTATAAGTCTCTACATTCGCCTCTCGCCTCTAAGGGCCTCCCCAATCAAGAGACCATATTGTGTCGAGTAGGCAGGCGTGAGAAAAGTGCCGTCCATCGCTTCTGTTTGACTCATTTTCGTGATAGCGAGACCATCAGAGCGGGTTAAGGATATATGCTCGACGCAGGTGTGGTGGAAAGACATTCGATATCTTAGACTCAGAACTACTACTGGTGGCAGTACGATGATACTCGTGGGTGGGGTCATGGGCCATGGCCGAGCCATGGCTGATGGGTTGAGTGAACGCGGCGACCGCCGCCGAATTTCACTCTTTCTCCATTTTCGTGTTCTCTGCCTGTACTATCACTGTCATCTCCACCCCACCATGCGTCTCCCCCAGCTCACCCTCCCAAAGAACCTCGTCAGGTCACTCGCCACCGCCGCCGAACAAGCATCCTCCTCCACCGCCCCCCCTGCCCCCTCACCGCCCAACAAATGGTCCCCGCATACCCTCAGAACAGGCCTGATCGCCCGTAAGCGCGGTATGACTGCCATCTGGGACGCCGACGGCCGCAGACACCCTGTCACTATCCTCCAAGTAGACTCCAACCACGTCCTTCGCCACAACCCACCCCTCCCCCAAGCTTCCTCCCAATTCCACTCGCTGCAAATCGGCGCCGGCGACAAGCGCGCGAAAAATACTACAAAGCAGCAGCTGGGCCACTTTAGGAAGGCGGGAGTGGAGGGGGGTAAATATATAGTCAAGGAGTTTCAGGTGTCCGAAGATGCGGTGATCAATGTGGGAGAAGAGCTGAGTGCAGGGCATTTCGTGCCGGGGCAGTATGTGGATGTGCAGGGTGCGACGTGAGTGCTTCGAGTGCTTTACGACTATTCAACTGACCCCTATACAGAATCGGAAAGGGCTTCCAGGGTGTCATGAAGCGTTTCGGTTTCCGAGGTTTGAAGGCTACCCACGGTACCTCCGTCAAGCACCGAGCTGGTGGTTCTTACGGTCAGAACCAGGTATGTCTTTTCGATATCCTTTGGAATGTGACTGACGCCTTGGTAGGACCCTGGACACATTATCAAAGGCAAAAAGATGCCTGGGCACATGGGCAACGTCAACCGAACGACCCAAAATCTCCTTATCCACCGAGTCGACCATCTCTTAAACCTTCTCTACGTCCGAGGCAGCGTCCCCGGTCACGACGATGCGTTCATTACCATTCGAGATTCTAAAAAGCTCGTCAAGGCCAAGGCGCAGCTGGCGTTGAAGAAGGGTAAAGAAGAGGGCGAGTGGCTGGGTCAGGGTGTGGTTGGACTTCCTACACCGGGTGCTACCAAGGCGCAGGTGGAGAGTGAGGGTTGGCCAGAAGTCGTCGAGTGGAAGGGAGAGGGTTACGCTGAAAAGTAGAGCATTTGCATCGTATTCGCATGTATTTTGGGTAGTAGCACATGTCCAAGAGTGTCGTTGAGAAATGCTAATCGAGCTTGTGTCCGTGATGATACGTCAAGAGATAGAAACGATGAAACGTCGGAGGATAAACGATGAAACGTCAAAAGCTAAAATCTAGATCAAAACCATGCCCATGCCCATCACCAACCCTGCCACAGCCACAAGCCCACTCAGGGTACCATGCCTCATCTTCATCTCGGCCCCACTTATGCTCTGGCTGGAGACTGCGGCATCAGTGCTCGTGCTGGAAGCAGTCGCAGCACTGGCAGCCACAGACCCAGCCGCCACTGTGCTTGTTGGCGCACTGACGCCATTCAAGCTAGCCGCCACATTGAAGGGGGCGTTTTCGTTAGAGTTGTAAAAGTCGAGCAAGATGTGGTTGGGTTTCCTGCCCCAGATCTGGTTACAGTTGTCGACGTGGTAGCCGATGGAGCCGTCGCCAGTCTCCGAGTTGGTAGTGTTGAGCGAGGACTGGTCGGGGACGTAGAACTGGGTACCGGCGAAAGAGTAGGTAGAGTCGAGGAAGTGGTTGATCATGTAGAGTTGGGAGCCAGAGTCGCCGGATGTTCGGTTGACAGAACAACCGAAAGACGCATCGGTAACGTCTGCAGCAATTGTCAGCAGCGACCTTCTGGCTTTTGAATGTACGCACCATAGGCATCCTCCCACATCGCTGTGAATTCGTCCAAGATGTACCCCACGCTCGATACGTCGGCCTCGTAGTCCATAAATGTCACGACAGTCTTGCCAGAGTCAATGATATCGCTCAGGCTGGGCCAGTCGCTCAGGGAAGAGGGTTGCGAGTCGGGTGTATAGGCCTTGTCGGTCAGTCCCGCAGTAGAGTAAGCAGACTCAAAGGCCGCGGGAGCGAGGTTGTCAGAGTTTACAATGACGATAGTGATGACTGCATGGTGTTAGAGGTACACTGATGATAGCTCGTAGGACTCACCATCGTTGGGGTTGTCAGTCACCCATGAAGCCACAGAAGACAGGTAGTCGGACAAGAGCCCTCCGTCCAGCAGAGACTATTCGGCGCGTCAGTTTCGAGATACATCGTCCCAAATTTCAGCAGCTCACGCATGAAGAGTGACAGAGGTGAATACCGTCAGTGGCATTGTGGCTGTATATGGGTCAGCATGTCACTCCAATAGCTCTCACAATACTGACGCTTGAACTTGGAGGGTCCTGATCCCGTCGTTCTGCAAACGAGTAAGCCTCGTTTCCGTGTCTCGGCCTGTGCGCACTCACCAGCTGACTGGTCACGTCCTTGTCCTGGTTCGAGGCGACACTGCTCCCAACAGCATATCTGTTCTCTCACATCAGCCAGGGTCATTGGGTGTGCTGGGACTGGCCGTACGAGTCGTGGGCACCAATGAAGGTGACGTTGCTGTAGAGCTGGGAACACAGCTCCGAGTGGCCATTACAAGTGTCGGCGGCAGTAACGATGGCGGGGAGGGCGGCGAGGAGGGGCAAGGCGAGGAGGGAGGGGAGAGACGGCATGGTGGTAGTTTGACAGCGAAAGACAAGGGTTGGACAGGGAAGCAGTGAAGGGAAGCAGTGCGATCTACTGCGTCAAGCGGTGGCGTTGAACTTTGACTGCAGCTGGCAAAAGGTTCATCGCGGACATCGCCGCGTGCATCGTCCTATGCATCTCTTTCCTGCCATGCATCCCCCCTCAGAGTGTGCCCCCATGCATGCACTCTACTCTACTCTACTCTACTCTACTCGCGAGTTGCGATGCATACCGCCCACTGCCCCAAGCGATGCTCTCCCACAAATATACTCCCGCTGCGGCCATCCGACGGGATCAAAATGCCCCATCGTCATCATCATCGCTGTTTTCTTCGTTTCCAATTTGTTTCCCGGCGCCTGCATCTCCCCTCCATCCCCCGCCATGGGCACAACCCTCTCCCCCTTCAGATACCTCCAGCTCGCACGCTACTGCGCCATCCGCTGGGCAGACAACTTCCCCGCCTACCGCAAGTCCAAGACCGCACTCGCAAGGGCACACGCAAAGAGATACCTCAAGCGTGCAGGAGAGGAGCGCAAGCGATGGGAAGGCCTCGTAAAGGCAGGGGTAGTCGAGCCGTCAGATACAGAGTCCAAAACGTCGTTTGACGGCTCTGCAGCGCACGATCGTGCCAGTGCCAATCATGGCCAGGCGCAAGATCCCCACGGCCACAACCGCGACCCAAAGAAGGGCCACCCTCACCAGAACCACCACAAGCATCAGTTCCCACATTCACATCGATTCCCCAAACTCGCTCCCGATCCGAAATGGCCCGCAGGGCCAAAAGAGATATTCAACTTGATGAACGACGAGCGGCTGTTTGTCAAGGGGGCCGCAAAGCCTCCTCGCGAAGTCATCGTTCTCTGCCATGGTGAGTGCCGTAGAGATCTACACGCGATACGCAACTAACGCATCGTGTAGGGCTGTATGGGTTTTCCACTGCCACGCCTATTCCACTCTTTCCTTCCCTCAAACTGCATTACTGGGCGAGCGTATTAGAAGTTCTAAGAGACAAGATGGGCTGTGAAGTCGTTGTGGTCGGTGTCAAGGGGTGAGTCTTGCATCCTGATGATCCCTTGAAGCGTTGAAGGCGTTTTCAGTGACTCCAGATGTAACGTAAACTGACGTCTTTGGGGCGCAGCACTGGTTCCGTCCAAGAACGTGCCGACCAAATGCACGAGTTTCTCAAGACAACCCTTCCCAAGGGCACTGGTGTCAACTTTGTCGCCCATTCCATGGGCGGTCTTGACTGCAGACACCTCATCTCCAACATCAAACCCCATTCCTACACCCCCTTGTCCCTCACCACTATCGGCACGCCCCATAGAGGCTCCCCATTCATGGACTGGTGTGCTGCCAATATCGGCGTTGGTTCGGCCGCGGCGGTAGCTACTGCAGCCTTGACTTCTGAAAAGGTCAAGAACCTACCATATTCCCTGAAATCGCCTCTGCTATCGCGGCCCCCGCCTATGGGCAGCGGCCAAAAGCCAGACGCCATATCCTCATTTGCTGCCGGCCTCACATCCTACCTCTTGTCCATATTCGACTCTCCAGCCTACGCCAACCTGACCACCTCCTACCTCCGTGACCATTTCAACCCCGCGACGCCCGACTCGCCTTCTGTAAAGTACACCTCTGTAGCTGGACGGTGCAGCAAAATGTCGGTGCTCCACCCGCTGTGGTTCCCCAAGCTCGTCTTGGACGCGGCGGCAGAGAATGGCTATGCGGAGGATACGTCCAATTTCATCTTTGGACCGGATGGAAAGCCGCTGTATGAAGGGAATGACGGGCTTGTCAGTGTGTCCAGCGCGAAATGGGGAGAATTCCTTGGCGCTGTGGACGAATGCCATCACTGGGATCTCCGGGGTGAAGGTGGTCTCTTTCCCGGCAACTCTGCCATCACGCTAGGCGACGCGGTCAAGAAGGGTGAAGCCAAAAAGGCTGCGGGGTGGGACCTTGAAGGCGATCAGGACGGGTTCGACGAGCACCTGGGTCTGGCGGCGAGGGAAAAGAAGATGATGGAGATTGAGCGCACAGAGATGAAGAAGGCTGGAAAGGCTGGAGAGCATGTCAAACCTTCGAAACATGGCGAGTCTTCCATCTTGTCGCCTTCCACTTGGGACCTTGCCCAGGTCGGCCAAGTCGTCGACTGGGCGACAGATTACCTGCCCGGGTCGGGCGACAAGGAAAAGACCGAAGTCGGCAAGAGACAAATGGCAGCTGCCAAGCAGGAGAAGGAGGACGCAGAGAGGGAGCTGGAAGAAGGAGAGCCTGTGGAAAATGGCAAGGCGAGAAAGGACCAATTTGACCTGGAACGGTTCTATGGGGGGCTGATGTTGAAGTTGAGGGATGACGGGTTTTAATGGGGAGTGTGCATTGCATGGGCGTTTTGTGGGAAAAAAGAAACATATATCCTAGTAAAACTCATTGTCTATTTGGCATGTGTTTGTTCATTTGTTTGTACTTGTAATGAATATGACTCTTATGTCACCGAAACGTGTCATGACCCCGGCCCACCGCAGTCCATGACATCCTCGCCTTGTTCCACAAACTTGCTCAACTCCTTCTTCCAGGGCTCCCACACTTGGCCATACTTTTTCAATAGTCTTCCCAGCTCCGCCTTTTGTTCCGTCTACCGTTTTGTCAATGCTATATCCAAAGCTGGCAAGAGACTGACGATGATGGCCGGCACTTGTTCGCCTTCGGGCATACCCCAGACGTCGGAAAACATTTCACCCAGCTTTGGCTTTGGCAGCTTTTCTGCTCGGCTGAACGATTTCAGCACATCAGTCTTGTGGGCTTTGAGGAGAGCTGCCTCTTCTGCTTCGGTCCACCAGTTCTGTGAGACGAGGTATGCCCGCATCCGATGGATCGGGTTGTCTTGATTCTCACATCAGCATTTCCTTTCAACCCGAATGCGCCCCACTCACCAACCACGTTCCACTCCCGAACCTCATCCTTTTCCCTATACATGCTCGAATCATCACTCGTGCTGTGGTGTCCGACCCTGTACGTCATTGCCTCTACCAGAACACCCTTTTTACCTTCAACAGCGCGTTTGCGAGCTTCTTTGACGGCGGTGAGGACGGCGAGGGCATCGTTGCCATCAACGCGGATGGTGTCGAGTCCGTAAGCAGGGCCGCGGGAGGCTATACCGTCACCTGCGTACTGGTCCACTATAGGGGTGGATATCGCAAAGCTAAGAGTAGGTAAGCTTGTGTGACATTGGAGAAATGGTAACAAGTACCCGTTGTTTCGGCAGAACCAAATACAAGGTCCGCCGAGGACGCTGTTCATCCCCAGAGCAGCGTGAAAGTCGCCCTCACTTGCAGCGCCTATACATCGTCTTAGTCGTGCTGCCTCAGGTGATCGACGTACTTACCATCGCCAAAGTAGCAAATAGCACAATCACCCTGTCGCTCGTCGTCCGACTTGAGCATATATGCTGCGCCGGCTGCTTGTGGCATTCTATTGCTCGGTCAACCCTGTAGGTTCTATTTTACACTCACTGGGTGGCGAGAGGACTGGTGATGGTATGGAATCCTAGCTCAGGGGCAGAGTAATGAACAGGCATCATCTTGCCTTTAACCCTTGTCTTCGACGTTGCCGAAACATTGTGCCATGAGCGAGTTGAGGGTAAAGCCTCGGTGCAAGAGTGCTGCCGACTCTCTCTACTTGTTTCAACATCTGCCATGATATCATCCACTTACGTATTGCCCAAAGATCTCATCCCCAGCCCGCAGTGCAGCGGCGCTACCTACGATGGCCGCCTCCTCCCCAGCACACTGCATGTAGAACGAGATCCGCCCCTGCCTTTGCGACTGATAGAGCACATTGTCGACGATAGGAATGAGGGTCATGGTGCGGTACATGGAGAGAGCTTCTACTTTGGTGATCTGGGACCCGGCACCGTTCTTGACAATGTGGCCTTCTTCGTCCAACACTCGAAAGGTCGGGATGGTCTATTCACGTTAGCTGGCATGGCGATTACATGATGGAACAAGTCACCTTGGCAACAGCATTGAACCAGCCTTGTTCAGCTGACCACCAGCTCTCGTGCGTACCCCTGCGCAAAGGCCTGCTCATTCTACCGGCCTTGGCCTGCCGCTCTGCCTGAGTACCAGGGACGTACAGAGGCCTGCCTTCAGCACCCTCTGAGGGTGGGGTGAAAGAGGGAAGAGGTGTCGGGAGCGGGAGTGGTGCAGAGGTAGAGGTGGTGCTGTGTACCGGCGGGAGATTTGGCGGCGGGCCTGTGATCTATGCTGGTGTCAGAGGGGAGATGGACATTGGGCGAGATACTTGCAAGGCTTCGACGCCAGAGGTCGCTCCTGAGCAAACAACGTCTGGGTATGCGTGCAGCCATGTCTAGTGTCTCTTATTAGAGATGCATAGCGGCAACGTCCCTCTCTCCATCTCATCTCCCTTGTCGATGTGATCAGCTGCTCAGATGGGTCTCGCTCCTCGGCCCGCCGGTGCAGAGTCGGCGATGGCCGCCGCATTGCGTGATTTGGCGAGCAGCAGGCTGCAGAGAAACGATTATAGGGATACATTCGTCAAGTCGTCAGTCCAGTCCAGCTGGCAGCACAGTACACTACGGCTACAGACATCCAAATACACCCAGACACCCCCACGCTACACTCGCGAACTCCCAGGCCAGTCCCCCCCCTCGCCCCGTCTCCATCCCCCAAAGATCACAAATCCTATGCCCACCACGACCAGAATCCCAACAAGCACCGGGTACGCGACCCGCCTCCTTCCCAGCCCACGCGGCTGGATGAGGGGCTGTCGCTCCGGATCATAGACATCGGCCGGTGCTCGCCCGGCACTCGCGCCCTCGACACTTTCTTCTCCAGCACGCCTGGAGGGGACTTGGCGCTGGTCAAATGACATTGGTGTGTCCGACATTGAGGTGGGCGTGAGCTGCGCGGGGGGCACTGGGGTAGGAGGCAGGCGGGGCTTGGGGAAGGCTGAGCGGGTGGGGGTGCGTGGCGGGGGCGAGGCCGCAAAGGTGACAGAGGACATGGCAGGGGCGGTGGGCTGTCTCCTCTGTGCGGCGTAGGGGCGACGCGATGTTCTGAACGAATTGTGAACGAAGAGAGTTCGTCAAGAGCGGGCATCGCCACCAAGCGGGCATCGCCACCACACAAACGCCGACTGACTTTTTCCCTCGCGCTGCCACGTCTTTGCGCCTATCTTCTCTTGCTCTTTCTTCTCACAGAACACATATAGCAAAAATGTCCACCACCGAGCAGACCTACATCATGATCAAGTGCGTATCGTCCCTCTGCGGCTGTGGCGGCAGTCCTACTCGGTAGACGCTGTCGTCAAGGCGGGAAAAGCTCTAGAAGTCTGTAGAAGCTGACCTTGGTCTTTCTCTCCTGCTGTTCTCCAATTCCTCTCTATCTTGCTACTACCCACACCGTACTGCAATGACCACTGCATCGCCATGCTCTCCGTCCGTTCTCGCTTGCACCTCCGCTCGGACCTTCTCCCCACAGGCCTGACGGCGTCCAGCGTGGCCTCGTCGGTGAGATCATCGCCCGATTCGAGAAGCGTGGTTTCAAGCTCGCGGCCCTCAAGCTCGCCACCCCCTCCAAGGAGCACCTCGAGCAGCACTACTCTGACCTCTCCTCCAAGGGCTTCTTCCCCCGACTCATCGAGTACAGTGAGTCTCTGGAGCCCTACACCGATAGACCTCTGCTGATATGGGTACAGTGATGTCCGGCCCCGTTGTCTGCATGGTCTGGGAGGGTCTCGACGCCGTCAAGACCGGCCGTGTCATGCTCGGTGCCACCAACCCCCTCGCCTCTGTCCCCGGTACCATCCGAGGTGACTACGCTCTCCAGGTGGGAATGAACGTCTGCCACGGTTCCGACTCTGTCGAGAACGGCCAGAAGGAGATTGCTCTCTGGTTCCCGTAAGTATTTCGAGTGTGTTCCAGTTGACGGTGGCTGATCACCATTTCGCAGCGAGGGTATCAACCAGTACAAGCTCTCCGCTCAGGCTTGGCTCTACGAGGCCTAAGCGACCATGTCCTTGGTTTCTCGTTTTACCTCCTTGTGATGTCGATTATGCATAGTCATGACGGAACTACAGGGGGCCTATGTTACATATATCCATCTACATGTCTTATCGTAATCTAAAAGATCAATGGCTCGACGTTTCGGCTCGTAATCGTTAAAAGTCTACACATCAAATTAAGCGTATCAAATCGTGGCCAGTTCGTTCACCGTTACGATACAAGTCTACAACACCCACCAGTGTGTCTAGCAATATATACGAGTCGTCTCCCCCTGCATTAAATTCCATTTGTCCATCAGACATACGAGGCAGATCACGATCACACAGAAGACCCCTCACCGCTCCGCACCTGTATGCGATACCCAAACTCCCCAGCCGTGGGCGAAACCACTGATGGTGCGATCCCCGGCATCACTCTTGAGCTCCCCACATCACCAGGGAACATTGGGTGCGTTTGACGCCGACTCATCCCTGGCGACACATATCCGCCAGGCGAGATATGTGGTACAGGCTGGGCATATATGCTGGAACCGATACCGTTTTGGGTATGCGTGGGCGTGCGCGTGGCAGTGGAAGAAGAGGAAGAATTGTGCCGACGATGCACGCCCTTGGGTGTTTGCGGTGAACCCAGGTAAACAGACGATGGTCTGGCAAAGGCCGGTACAGGTGTTGAGGGACTCCTGCGCTGAGGGTCCAACAGGGGAGATCCAGTCGATGGGTAGGGACTGGGCATGATCACCGGGGCCAGGGTCGGGCTTTGGCGCGGCCAAGCTGGAGGCAATTCTCGATTGGCTGCTTTTGTTGACTTTGGGCTCTGCACATCGCGGAAACTCTTCTGCTTGACTCTCCGACTGTAATGTGTCGATGTTTCTATGCCGGTATCAGCCATGGGAGCCTCGTTCTGATTCACTCGACATACGTCGCAGCCCCAGCTCTACCGCCTTGATCAACACCTGGTGTCTATTCCTCGACGGTCCAAAGTTGGACACCACCCATGTCCAGTCAACGTGCTCCTTGGGTGCCCCGTCCTCCGCCCTCTTTGAGATTTGCACCAAGCCCTGCAGCCGATCCACCTCGGCCGTCTTCCATGGGCCGTGGATTACCTTGCCCGGCTGCGGCAGGGAAGATGGGTCGGGAAGAGTAGCCAATACGGCGTTGGGGTCGGTGAAGAGGCAGGACCTGGCAGGTGAAGAGGGCGTAGCGGGGATAGAAGGGGGAAGAGGTGTCTGTGGGGTAGATGGAGAGCCGGGGGTTTTGCGCTTCTTGCCCGGCGACATTGCCCGGGGGATCGGGGGCGGTCGCATCGCTGCATTGGCTGCATTGGCTGCATTAGCTGGTTCTGAAGCAGGGGGTGTATTGTCTGGTGGAAAAAAATCGTTGGATGACTCGATTGAGTCTGCAATCGCATTCTCTTTGACCATCTGTGAAGCGCTCAGTAGTCATTCAACCTTTCAGCCGATTTTGCTCACCAAGCGTCCACAAAGCTCCTTCATTTCATTCACAATATCTTGCAGTGACATATCCTGGCTCATGCTAGCTCGAGTCATGCCAAGCTTGATCACATCTCTGTCCGTTTCATCCTTCAGCCAGTCAGAGATCTCGTTCCGGAGGAGAAAAAAAAAGGGGGGGCTCACAAACAACGCTGCGAGCCCTATGTAAAAGTCTGTGGCAATGGACAAAACATTCTTCTGGAAACGCAACACCTCGCGATCTTTGGGGGTTGCCCAAACTTTGACATGACTGAGCGCGGGATAGTCTTCCATTGCAGCTGAGTGATCTCGTGCTTGAGTAGAGGGAGAGGCCTGGTGGGGCGAGTCTGGATGGGCGGTAACGGGCATGATCGGGCTGTCAAGACGCTTGTCGTTCGAGGGCGTATGCTTCTTCCCTGACTTAACAGCATTTCCCTCGACGCATGCACCCCCATCCTCATCGTCCTTCGGTGCACCCGCGTTAAGCTTTGCGCTGAGAATGCCTGTCTGATGGCCATCACTGTTGGACGACGTGCCTGCCACTTGATGGGGGAGAGGATGCACGCGGCACACACGAAGGAGATCCATAAACACGCGGCGGGTGGACCATCGGCATATACGAGACGAACAATCGAGCGAGAAAGCAGGGGCATGACACGATCAGCGATCTGACCGAATGTCAAGCAGCAGACCCCATAGGCCAAACGCGGACACTCACCTTGCACCACACCATCATGTTCGTAATTGCCTGATCTGTGGGAATCTGAGATACAGTCCGGCCCGGGCATAACCGACGACAATTCGTTTGAAGATGACGTGAGGGGGGAGGAGGATGAACGATCTGCAGACGAGAAGGGTCAGCATGGTGGAGTGGCAAGCCGGGTGACTTTGAGCGACTCACGGCCGGTGGAAGCTCCGCTTGTTTGAAGAGTTGCCCCGGGCAATGGCTCTGGGACGATAAAGTCGGGCAGCCAGTCAAGTTTGGAAAAGTCGATATCGGCCAAGTCTGGTAGCATGGACGCATCATGGCTGGTCGCACTGGGGGGAATGTCGAGGAACTCGGCGCATGGAAAAGAGCCGTCGGTGGCAGAGACGGGTTGGCAGACCGGAGCTTCTGGCTCTGGGGCGGTGAAGAAGGAGAAGGAGCTAAACATCTCATCGCAGGAGTGTGGCGTGGCCTGGGGCTCGGACGAAGTGGGGGTTGAACGGCTCTCAGCTCCGTCCTCGTCCACATGCACCCCCTTGAACTCGTTGTAAAAGTCTTCCCATATATGAGCAGACGGCGCAAGGCAGGTATCGACCTCTCTATGAGCGCCACCCCAGCCAAAGGCCCGACCGTGGAGTGAAAGGGGGGCGATCACTGTTGACGAAGAGGCCACCGACGGCGAATAGGAGCTGGTCGAGGCGAAGGACGGTGGTGCGGCACGGTCATAGCTCTGGGATTTGAGAAAGGCAGACGGATGTTCGTAGGGATTGAAGCGGTGGTCCGTCTGCTGGGCATGTGAGGCAGCAGGTGATGGGATAACAATGGGCGATGAGGAAGAAGCCTGGCCTGGCTCGAGGGCGCGGCTCTCACGAGCTCGGGCAGCCATAGTTGGTGATGAGCGCACAACACCGGGAGGTCGAGTTTTGGGGGGTGCAGAATGGGCTACGGTGCACCATAGAAGATGAAAGCGGTATTGTCTGAGATGGTGGAGGGAGAAGTAATAGACTAGATAGGATATCAGTGAACGGTTCAGCGTATTTTGTATATCATTATATTCTGGACCCCGCCTGTTACAGGGTACCTCCCTCGCTCGGATCAGTACGTACCCTCCTTCAGATACCAGCTGCGGCTTAGGCGATCGCAGAGTGCTTCTTTCCTCGCCCCTCAGCAGCTTCGAGTGGCCCCGGCCCGGCGGGCTGACAGCAGATGTATAGGAGGGGGCTGCCTCGCGGGTGAGGGATTGTCGGCTGGTGGCTGTTGTTGTGCCAGTGGGAGGGAGGTGCCGGGGGTACAGCCTGGGTACGCTGCCACAGATTCCTAATGGCGATCCTAATTGTTTTGGCGGGTAAGGTTTTCCTTTGTAGCGCCGCTGATCACTTGGTGATGGAAAGTGGAGGTCCGCGCTCGTTGTCAACAAACCGAATAGGACCGGAATCATAATCAGACTGGGCTCTTTCACCCAACCTGCCGCCGTCGTTCCCATTTGCGCAATATGCCTCGAGCAATGCATGCTAGAAAGTCCGTGAATGCCGTCCATCTCCATCTCTCCAGGACTGCAGAAACTGGTACAAAAACAAAAACAAAACAAAAAACAAGATACGCCACCCATTAAGAGCGCGACACCATCACGAGCATGTGTCTCGCCCCTCTCGGACTACGCGCCGCCAAACACCGGCAAACTTTCTTCAGGCGATGTTCACAGCCGCTCAACCCTCCCTTCTGCTCTGTGTCTGCCCGCGCCGCATCGCACTTTTGCGAGCTTCCCATGCATCATCGATAGGGCTCAGACTTGTGACTGTCTTTTCCGGCGCCAAGCTAAGCGCTGTGTAAAGGTCATGCCCGTCGGATCGCCGAGCAATGCCGATGGCATTGAGCAGCCTGGAGGCATATGCCACATCCACTAGGGGATCTCGGAAGATGTTAGGAGGCTCGACTCCAAACAGGATATCGTTGTTGACGATCCCCGCAAGCACAGCCGAGTCATGCGCTGTAGCAAGATTAGCGAACGATCCACACGGCAGATTCACCTTAGCCTGGGCACTCACAAGCTCCCTGTCGATCTGTTGATACCTCGTGCAACCATGACACCCACTCTCCGGTTTGCGCCGAATCGCCATCGAATTTCAGCAGGTGCTGCTCCGCCCAGGCGTACCAGATCTCCACCGCTTTCTGTTGCACCACGCCTTCTTCGCGGCCCGCCAGCCCGACGATGACGGCGGCAGCTCCTTGCCGGATCTCTTCATCATCGTCCTGGACTAGACGGAGTAGCGCTTGGTGGAGTTTGGGGCTGGGCCACGAGGCAAGATGTGGCCCGAGATACGAGAGAGCTTTGTACGCTGCGTATCTTGCTGGTTGAGACTGTATGTGAGGGTCAGCTGGTGTCGTCAGAGACACAGGGCGCGACTTGCCTCGTCTTCCTGCGATGAACAGAGGATTCTGGACGCTAGCTTGTCATAGACTGGCAAATGTTGGGGGTCATTTCCGAGAGCCTGCAACATGTCAGCAACCGCTGCTTGCTTATGTACACCACTCACCATATGCACAACCCACCCGAGCGCCGCCAGGGCCGCCTCCTTCACCGGTATACATTTTGATCTCACGAGCAGTGTCTCTAGCGATTGACAGATGCTCTCAAGCCTTCCGCCTTCCTCTCTCCAGCTTTCCAAAAGCGACTTCCAATCAGTCTCGGCCAAAGCATCCAATGCCTTTTCTGATACAGCATCACCGGCTTGTCCCGTGATGGCCAATGTGAGCACGCAGTTCAACAGCTTCGTTGAATAAGCATTCTCGAGTTGGGGTAGGCGTTCAAGCACGATAAGGTTGACCGTTTCAGCCGAGTGGGGACCGAGGAGAGAGAGGACATCGAGAGCCGAAGGGGAGTGGGACAAGATGGCATTGGCGCATGCGGCGAGACGGAACTCTTCGCCCGGGACAAGGCTCCGTGTCGGGGATTCGAGATATTCGGATGCTTCTCGGACAAGCAAATCTTGCAAAGCGCTTGTATCGGGTTTGGCCTGAGAGAGATACGACTCTACACAGGCGATCGACTCTGCTGTAATGATCGGATACAGACCCGGCAGATGCTCTTTTACCAATCCTAGAAGCACAGCCCCCACGGCTTCCTTATCGGTCCCCGTAACACTGTCCCATTGTATCTGGTTCTCCACAAGCTGATGGATGAGACATGTTTGCCCGTGGGCAGCGTTTGGGGGACCCATTGAGTCAGCAGACGTCTCGAGCACGCGCTGCAATGCCTCTTCTGGAGAAAGGACAGATGACAATGCCTGAGCAGCTGCCCGCCGTACTTGATGCTCTCGGCTATGCAGGTACGGACTCAGTACACGCATCGACCGCTGGGGTAAATCTGTATTCTTTTCAGACCACCGCAAACTTCGGATAATGATCAAGATGGGGAACAGCGGTGTGTGTTTATTGTCCGCTTCGGCTGTATTGCCGCTCGACAGATGGTCGATGAGGCAAGGAAGGATGAGGGGGAACTTGGAGTGAAAGGTGGAAAACGTTGTTCGGGAAGCGAGGGTGGCACGGGAGCGGTAGTAGTCTTGGCCGCCTCGGGGAGGAGAGAGACATCGGTGGACCAAAGTTGAAAAGAGTATCAAGCCGACGTTTCGGACGTTCCAGCTGGAAAGGTGTAAGCTGGAACAACAATCTAGAAGACGCACTCACTCTGGAGATTCAAATGCTCGCAAAGATGTGATGACACCCCGCTCAAACCAGACATCAAACCACTTGGTCTGCTTGGCGTCCAGTAGCACGATTTTCAACACGTTGAACGCGTGCACCTTGGTAACGTTCGACGTCTTGTTATTATCAACCCGAGCAAAGTCAAGCAAAGCAAGCAAGGCCCGCTCAAGCAACAATTCAGAGCCAGACACGATAGCCAAGATGCTGTATGGCAGGGCTGCGGATCGTCTGGTAGTGGAGAGTCCGTCCGACGAGATGGTCTCCAGCTCTCGACCCAACCATCCTTGACAAAGATCAGCGAGGGCGTCGATCGGCCTGACAGCTTCCACAAGAAGAGCGAAAGCGCTTGCAAGCTTGGAGAATGTCCCGCGATGTCGGATCTCATGCATCCAGACGAGAAACGTTTGACCGGCCGAGTCGACCTCAGAGCGTGACCAGATCATCTGAGTAACGCCGTCTTGAGATATGGGAATGACGATGAGGCTGGACAGGAGCTCACTGGAAATTAATTAGAGCACGCATCTTGAGATGTGAAAAAGGGCTTACCCAGCGCTCATTGTAGCTCGCCAGCATCCCGACAGTAATCCCGTGTGGTCGATCCCCTCTTCATCTTCGCCATCTTCACCCCCGCCCAAAACTTCATAAGCTCGGGCAATTTCATGATGTGCGTCTTTGCCCGCGCCCTCCTCGTCGATAGAGGTGAGCTTTGTGGGGGAGAGGGAGATGACGGCTCTGGTGACATTCCAGACGCGAGAAGTCAGCCTGAAGAGTTGGTGAAAGATGGGAGTCCATAGAGACTGTGATTCGAGGGTATTGATGTTGAGGCAATGGAGGACATCCCTAACGGACATCAGTGTTCCATTGACAAAGAAAATGTATTGCCCACCGTATTCCACCCAAAAGACCATGTAATGGGTGAGTCTCAATCATGGTCAAATCCCGCTGGACAATCTCCACCGTGGCTTCCAGCTTGTCGATCAGCTCTTGTACAAATCCGAGAGCTTCTTTCTCAGTGCTATGCTTCAAGACCACACCGAACAGGATACAGAGGGCTGCTTTACCAGTTTCGGCTTGCGTTTTCCGAGGGTGACAGATGGACTCGAGGGCTGTATGTAAGAGGGCTCGAGAAGAGGGTGTTGCAGGGGTGTCGTAGGCTGGCAGAGGGATCTTTGCATTATCGAGACTTTAAAGTGCATCAGGATTGGTCCTGTTTGTCCTGAGACGACCTACATTTTTCGAGAACGGGACCGGACTTCAGTGAATTCGCTTGCCTGACAAGCAAGCAATTGTTCCACCCTGCTCTGGGTAAACACCCTTTCTTGTTTCCCTTCATCGCTCCCAAAGACATCCAGATACCGACTCAGCAAGTTTAGCGCCAGCAGTACCCGAAACACTGGATACCTCCTCGCATGCCACAGATTTTCGTCGATCCAGGCCAGGAACCACGAATGAAAGTTATCGGTATGGACAAGAGCACCTCGAATTTGATCACTGTCCTTGAGGGCTTCGGGAGTCGAAGGCTGCTTGGACAGTCTGCGCAGATTGCGATGGAGAAGGGTGATATACTGGTGCAGACGGACAAAGAAGGCATACGTCGCAGATGAGAATGCAGAACGGGAACTGGGCTAGCATTAACGACTGGAGACACGCACGCCAGGAAAAACTTACCCGGCCGATGGAAGCGCTTCATTCCACACAAAACTCTCCTTGATCAACTGCAGCACACCCTCCGTGTAGGCTTTCTTCCCGGTCACAAGGTCGAATGCTCGAAGCCTAGTATCGGCATCATCACTTTCCAGCGCCAGCCGAATTTCATCACGCGGGAGATGTTCTACCTCAACCAAGCCGTTGGATACTCCCAAGAAAGCTATAGCCACCCAGGTATTGATTACCGGTTCCGGTGGGCCGACAAGGGACAGCAAGGGCTGAAATAGACTGGGGTATGTGGTGAATAGGCGGGGTAACAGGTATCGGGTTACGTTTGCCAATGTGCCATGCGGCTGAAACTTGCTGAGCAGCGTTGAGAGACGCAACAGCAGGGCATCCTGTTGTTCGGGCGAGAGTGATTGCTTTGGTAATGGCAAGAGGGAGACCCCAGCAAATACCAGAAGGAGATCCGAGACGAGGGCACAGCGGGCGCCGGCATTGTGTGTTATTGAAACCTCGCCTTCTAAATCTTCCAAAAGTTTGGAGGGAATTGCGCGGGTTGGCATGTACGGCAAAAGGGCGTGCAGTGCTGACATATTGGCCCGACTGGACAGATCACTACGAGTGAAGCCCTGGAATAGGTGAACCATGAAGTTGGAAGAGGCTGATACCGCTTGACTGCGCGCAGCCAGTTGCCCGGCAGCAGATAGGACCTCTGTCGAGCGGGTTTGTTGCACTTTTAGGGGATGATCGAGATGGTTGGCTACGATAGTCGCGAATAGGCCACCTGGCTGAAACTCAGGAGCTATGTCGGATGAGACAATGGATTGAAATTTGGTATCCACCTCAAGGCATGATGATATCCGGCGAAGTATAGCCAAGAGCAGTTCCAAATGCTTTAGTTGGTGAGTTTCCTGGCCGTAGTTGAGAGCAGTCTTCAATGCTTGGTCAAGTATGGTCGGACTGAGGGGACAAACAGGTCAGTCGTAGACCCACGACTCTCTGTCTATGCACGTACTCTTCGATAAGATCTTGTGGCGTGGCTCTTGCGAGCAACTTCCGTTGTCCTTCTACTTGCTCGAGATGCGAGTCGCGGGGGGGCAGGGTCGGCATGCTGGTCCAGGGTCAGTGTCGTGGGGAGGTATGGGGGTATTGGCCGTTTAGTTCGCCTGGGCTGGCGGGGCTGAGGTGCGGCGGAACGAGTGCTGTCCGAGATGTACTGGGCATGCCATCATACTTGTCCCGGATCAACAAAAAAAAACAAGACGGCGGTCACCGGCGGTCTCGAGCTGTTAATAACGGTTAAGAACTAGGCAAAAAAGGGCTCCTCATTGCATTATTAATTGCATTATTATGGCATCAGCGGCGCATGAACACCAGGAATTCGTCGCATCTCCCTGACATTTACATTTTATCTCCCACTCGCCCTCCCGCCCGCCATGGCCGCCACCGCCACCAACGCCCAGCTCTACCAGCAGTCCCACATGGACCAGCAGATACAGATGCCCGTCCCCAACCTCAACCACAGCCTGCCCCCCGTACCGCCTCAGCAACAACAGTCCCCCGTACAGCAGACCCACTACCAGCAACCCCCACAGCCGGCGAGCTTGTACGAAGAGGGCGTCAGCTCAGACCTCGCAGATGACAGGCAAAGCCGGTATGCTAGCCAGCCAGCACCTTTATTAGACCAGTGTACGTCCTTCATCTCAGCGGGACCCCCGTTTTGCACTACGTAAACTAAGACTCTCACCAGCCCATCTCCGCCCCGGCAACCAAGCCAACCTGCTATCACACGACCGCACTCTAGAACTCTACCGTTCCAATGCCAAAAAAACGAATGACCCCGAGCTCATATTCGAGTTCGCCGTATTCATGATCGATGCCGCCAAAGGCATGGTTTCCCCGGCGCAAGAGGCCGACCCTGCACCTTCGCCCCAAGTCACCAAGCAGCTCGAAAAGAGAGAAGAGATTCTGAAAGAAGCGACACAGCTATTGAAGAAGCTGGCGGACAGAGGGTTTTCGGACGCCCAGTACTTTTTGGCGGATTGCTTTGCCAACGGGGTCGGCACAGTGCGAGGGAGGCAAGATTTCGACCGGGCATTCCCGCTGTTCATTCTCGCTGCCAAGCATGGGCACCCTGATGCATGCTACAGGGCAGGTACCTGCTGTGAGCACGGATGGGGATGCAGAAGAGAGAGTGCGAAAGCAGTGACATTCTATAAGCGAGTCTACGTCTCACGTATGAGGCTGAGCTGACAACATTTTAGGAAAGCGGCTGTTGGCCTCCATCCGGGAGCAATGTACAGGCTGGGGACCGCCGAGCTTAATGGATCTCTTGGCCTTGCTCGCCGACCCAAAGAAGGCGTCAAGTGGCTCAAACGATCTGCCGAACACGCGAACGAAGAGTTCCCTCACGCTCTCCACGAGTTGGCTCTCCTGCACGAACGCGGTATCGAGAATGTCGTCTTTGTGGATAATGACTATGCCGCCGAGCTCTTGTCAAAAGCTGCTGAACTCGGGTATGCCCCAAGTGCGTTCAAGCTGGGAGAATGTTACGAGTATGGCAAGATGGGATGTCCCACGGATCCAGCTTTGTCCATCCACTACTACGTGAGTCATCGAGATCTGCCCGTCTTGTTTGCTCACTTTTCAAAGAACATTGCCGCCCAGCAAGATCACAAGGACGCCTGTTTCGCCCTCACTTCCTGGTACCTGATGGGATCTCCTGGTGTCTTGCCTCAATCTGACACTGAGGCTTACCTATGGGCAAAGAAGGCTGCCGAGTTGGGTCTGGCCAAGGCCCAGTACGCTTTTGGCTACTTTACCGAGGTACGATATCACATAACATAGGAGTGCCCTCGCTCATTTCCTTTTTCAGACTGGTTTGGGAACAGACGCCAACCCCGCCGCTGCTCAAACGTGGTACAAACAAGCTGCCGAAGGCGGTGACAAGCGTGCTGCAAAGCGGTTAGCAGCGGGCGGAGGATCGAGAAGTGCGGCACTGGACAGAAGACTCGAGATGGAAGCGCTCAAGGAGGAGAGAAGCTTACTGAGTCATTCGGCGAATAGCGGAAGTAAAAGTGGAGGTGGAAAGGACAAGGACAAGGACGGATGTCTGATCATGTGAAGGGATGATCATGACCTGGAAGAAACGAAACATCTCTTTTCAAAACGCACGAACATTTTACCCACGTACGAGCCTCTCTGGTCCTGCCTTTTTTCTCCAGTATCACTACCTTTCACATCCCATTATCAGTCAGATCATTGTGGAAGGATTGTAAGAGCATAATATGACTTTCTGTGACGATTAAGCGTATAGCTGTTTGTGGCGATGTTTTCAACTTTTGAGAGCGTAACGATATATACGATAGATACGTTTTTATTTGACTTGTGGCCTGTAGAGTCAATTCCATGCATGTCTTTCGGACATTCGGTACACCGTTTGAGCCAGATGGAATCATAGACATGACCGATGAAGTGACATATTTGCTTCCGTCCCGCCGCCGAAAACAACCAAGTCAAGTGTACGAAGATGCGTTACAACTCTCCCACAGAACGCTCAGCCGTACAGCTCACAATGTCTGGCCCAGCGACTCAGGCTCCAGCTATGGAGGAGACGGAGTTCTCCCACCAGATCGCCATCGAGGTCAGTTTCTCTTCCTGCTCTCGCCCCATCCATCCTGCTTACATTTGCGTTCAGATGTCACGTCTCATGAACATGGTAAACCCCAATGACCTCCTGGGCAAGCGCGTAATCGATATAGCCAGAGGCAATCGTACCGGGGAAGACTTTGTCAAGGGTGAGCTTGCGACTTTCCTCGAGTAGAGCCGCGCTGACTTGAGGGCTCAGCGGTGTCGGCATTCGGCAAATTCCCTCGTGACGCTATACTTTCCCTACATACCCGGATTGCCACGTATCTTTCGATGACTCACAGCTTATCCAACGGAAATAGGGGAGCATCGGAACGCTCCCCAACTAGGGCTTCAGGCCGAAGGTCGGCAAGCGAGCAGGAGATCGAAGGGATGGATCATGATGATAGCGACAGACTGGCGCCTGAGCCGGTTCGACAGGGAGGGCTGCGAAGGGCAGGAGATGCTCCTGTGACCTTCAAAGCGCCCCAAGCTGCTCGACCATCATTGCTGGGCCTTGACAGACTAGCTGCAGAAAAGCGGGCTGCTGCTGCAGGTGGGTCAGGCAAGATGGAGCCTCCCAACAAGAAGGCTAGACGGCTGGAGGAGAATGATGATGAGAAAGATCAAGCATCTGGTGGTGTTTTTAAAGGTTGGTCAACTCGGCTCACTCTCCCTGTTGGAGCTGACCAAGAAATAGTGCCCGTGGTGCCCGTACGTCGAGACCATACTCGTATCAAACCCGAAGAGACGCCCAGCCGTGGACCCGGCCTTTCTGACGAAGCTCGTGCTCGGGTTGAAGCTCGCAGAAGAGAACGCAATCAACCTCAAACTGGAATCACTGCCAGTTCTGCCGACAAAGAGCCTTCCAGGCAAGGGCTTGGCGATTTCCAGAACAGACTGAACAGAGAGGGATACGAGGACCGAAGGCGGGGAGGCCATGGAGATAGAAGAGATGATAGGGGAGGGTACGGGTACAGAGAAGACAGACGAGACGGCAGTGGAGGATATCGAGACGACAGGGGAGGGTTCAGGGATGGTGATAGACGGGAAGGCAAATCGTGGAACGCTGCTCCCACCCCTCGAACGTCGCGAAATGATAGAGACTTTGGGGGTGGCAGTGCACGAATCCCCAACAAAGGATGGGATGAGACTCCTCGGGGATCCCGTGGGTTTGAGAGCCGGGGTAATGGATCAGGCGAGTCTAGGGGTTGGGATCAGACGCCGAAGACCCCCAGAGGTGGATCCCCAGAGGGAAACGGACTCGAGCTAGATGCGAAAGAGTGGGAGGAAGAGCAAGTGAAGCTGGACAGAGATTGGTATAGCTACGACGACGAGGGAGCAGTGGTGAGCACGATCCCGAGGTCGTTGCTGGCATTTTCATTGATCAAAATTATAGGCCGCGGACGATGACCATAATCCCTTCTCTCAATGGGAGAACCTCGAGAAGGCAAAAGAAGAGGAGCTTCAAGTGAAGGCTCAGAAACGTCAAACAGCTCGACAGGCCCAATTCGTAAGTCTAGTCGCCATCGCGTACCAGCCAAGCTAACTTGTATCACAGAACGCCGACAACGACCTGTGGGAGACCAACCGAATGCAAACTTCAGGGGTACTTTCCAAGGGCGGGGTGGACGAAGATTTCGAAGACGATTCCGACTCCAAAGTCCATGTTCTTGTGCATGATCTCAAACCACCCTTCTTGGACGGTACCGTGGCCTACACCAAACAGCTCGACCCTATCAATCCCGTCAAGGACGGCACGAGCGACATGGCAGTCTTCTCGAAAAAGGGGAGTGCCTTGGTCAGAGAGCGAAGGGAAAGACAGGAGAGAGAGAAGGCTGCTGCCAAAGCTGCGTCCATTGCAGGTACCACCTTGGGTAATCTGATGGGTGTGAAGGACGAACCGAACCTGGGGGAGGAGGGGCAGAAAGATGGTATTGATGAAAATTACAAAGCCGACTCACAATTCTCTAGTCACCTTAAAAAGACGGAAGGCGTCTCCAACTTTGCCAAATCACGGACGTTGAAAGAGCAGCGAGAATATCTCCCGGCCTTTGCTGTTCGCGAAGAGCTGATGGGAATGATCAGAGACCACCAGGGTGAGCTAGTTTTGCAAGTTAGGACATCATCTGAACAGTCACAGTCCTTGTCGTTATTGGTGAAACAGGTTCCGGTAAAACAACACAGCTCGGCCAATTCTTGTACGAAGAGGGCTATTGCTCTACTGGAATGATTGGGTGCACGCAGCCCCGTCGTGTCGCTGCCATGTCTGTTGCCAAGCGTGTCAGTGAAGAGATGGAGGTACGCTCTCGCAATCCTTTTTCCAAGCATTTCTGACCTTTTCCCAGTGTACATTAGGTGACACTGTCGGTTATGCCATCCGTTTTGAGGACTGTACATCGAAAGATACCAAGATCAAGTGTATGTCAACTGTGTCACCCCTACTTTTGCAACTGCTGAATTTTGGCAGTCATGACTGATGGTGTCCTCCTCCGAGAATCACTGAATGAGGGTGATCTCGATAGATATAATGTTATCATTTTGGATGAAGCGCACGAGCGCTCTTTGAGTACAGATATTCTGATGGGTCTTCTGAGAAAGAGTAAGTCTTATCTATGGAGGTCTTACGGCGATGGTGAATGCTGACAGGAAAACAGTATTGACTCGCCGACGTGATCTCAAACTCATCGTGACTTCTGCCACCATGAACGCCGACAAATTCTCCAAGTTCTTCGGTAACGCCGCGACGTACACCATCCCTGGTCGTACTTTCCCCGTGGAGATCTACCACTCGAAATCGCCTTGCGAAGACTATGTCGATAGTACTGTCAAGCAGGTGCTCCAAATCCACTTGACAAATCCTCAAGGTGATATTCTCGTGTTCATGACGGGCCAAGAAGACATTGAGTGCTGCTGTCAGGTTATTGAAGGTATGTTTGGCAATGTGTCTGTAACAGGCAAGCTTACGCAATCATTACAGAACGGCTATCACAATTGGACGATCCCCTACCTTTGGCTGTCCTGCCTATCTACTCTCAGATGCCGGCTGATCTACAAGCAAAGATCTTCCAGCCAACTGCCGATGGGCGCCGAAAAGTCGTGGTCGCCACCAATATCGCCGAAACATCCCTGACGGGTAAGTGGCTTCTTGAGCCGGGAGATGTGGTCTGCTAACGGGCTGCAGTCGACGGTATCCTCTATGTAGTGGACTGTGGATATTCCAAGCTCAAGGTCTACAACCCCAAGGTCGGTATGGACGCCCTTCAGATCACTCCCATCAGTCAGGCCAACTGTGGGCAGCGAGCTGGTCGAGCTGGTCGTACGGGTCCCGGGTGAGCCACCTTTTCCGTGTGGGCAGACTGATTCTGACGATGTGCAACAGCTTCTGCTATCGACTATTCACCGAAAACGCGTATCTCAATGAGCTCTTTGCAAGCAATATTCCAGAAATTCAGAGGACAAACTTGGCCAATACGGTATTGTTGCTCAAATCTTTGGGTGTCAAAAATCTGCTCGAGTTTGATTTTATGGATCCTCCTCCTCAAGTAAGTGGACTGTGGATGATCCGAGGCAAGCTCACGTATTTTGCAGGAGAACATCTTGAACTCAATGTATCAGCTCTGGGTCCTAGGAGCCCTTGACAATGTCGGCAACCTTACTCCCATCGGCCGGAAGATGTCGGATTTCCCTATGGAGCCTTCACTCGCCAAAATGCTCATCGTATCTGTGGATTATAAATGCTCCTCAGAGATGCTCACCATAGTGTCCATGCTGTCTGTGCCTTCCGTCTTCTATAGACCGCCCCAGAGGGCAGACGAGAGTGACGCGGCGCGAGAAAAGTTCTTTGTGCCCGAAAGCGACCACTTAACTTTGTTGCATGTGTACACTCAGTGGAAGAGCAACGGGTATGCACTCGCCGAATATAATGGAATCATCTCGCTGACACCCTCATAGGTACAGCGACGCTTGGTGCATGAAGCACTTCCTGCACCCCAAGATCATGCGCAAAGCTCGTGAGGTTCGAAGTCAGCTGGAGGATATCATCAAACAGCAGCGATTGGCGCTTTTGTCGGTCGGAACCGACTGGGATATCGTCAGGTTCGTATCTATCATTCGATCCGTAACGGAAATTCTGACTTCATACAGAAAATGTATCACCGCCGGTTACTTCCACCAAGCAGCCAGGGTGAAGGGTATCGGAGAGTACATGAACGTCCGTACAGGAGTTAGTCGGACCGTCATTCTCCTGTATTGGTACTGATGCTACGTACAGCTACCATGTGTTCTTCACCCCACTTCGGCACTGTATGGTCTCGGCTGTAAGTCGTTGCGGTTTCTCGAATTTCACGAGCTGACAGTGTTTTGAAGATATGCCAGACTATGTTGTCTACCATGAACTGGTCTTGACATCCAAACGTGAGTACCTCCATTGCTTTCTTCCACATCGATGTTCATGTCCGTTGCAGAGTACATGATGTGTGTGACATCTGTGGACCCCTACTGGCTTGCCGATCTCGGAAGTGTCTTCTTCTCTATCCGAGAAAAGAATTTCGACGCCTTGGCGCGGGCCCGAGCAAACAGAGACTTCAGCAAGAAGACAGAGATGGAAGCAGAAATGGCCAGGCAACGAGAAGAGTGAGCCCTACATGTATCAGTCTTTGGGAGTGCTGCTAATGGACATAGGATTGAGCGGAACAAGGCCGACAAGATACGGAAAGAGGCGGTCTCAAAAACACCAAGGATCGGTGGGCTAGGACCCGCTGCGACGCCCAGAAGAGCAGGGATCGGGGCTGGCGCTAGAGCCAACGCGACGCCCAGAAGGAGACCAGGAGGCATCTGAGCATTTCGATATCCCTGTACTCCCTGTATCACTGTAGTATGACCTGTCACAACAGGTCGGAGAACTCATTCATACACTCAAAATTCCAGCAAGACATGTAACAGCCTGACAAGTACATTATAGCACACCCCTGCAGTGCCACAGATTGGCAGATGCGTCATCAAGTTGACCTATGTAATTTTAATCAGATTGCTTATGCGACGAGATGGTTGGGCTTACGTCGGCTGGTTGATGACTCGCATGTGGTAATGCTTGTCTTCCATACCGAAATTCGTCATAGCCTATGGATCTTGTCAGCTGTGGACGATGTCATAGTTGTTACATCCGTAGACTTGCGTGCATCATAGTTCTGCTCATCACCGGCCACTTCTCCTTGCCATCAGCTTCTTTAGGCAATCCAGTGGAATTTGGAGGCTTTACGAGACCAAAATCCGAAGTGGGGAAGTACATGAACTTGTACTCATTCTTTGGGTTTGGCTGCACTGCAGGTGAAGGCTTGGTGGCCTCGGGCCTCCTGGTAACAGAAGCAGCATAAGGAAGAGGTATTGGATGATGGTTGGGCGGTGGATAACCTCCCCAAGGGTGTTTGCCGGACATCATCTGCTTCTCCAATCTCCTAGTGGTATGGTCAGCTGTGGGCAATGAACGCTTAAACATTAAACATGATCTACTTGACTGCCTTCTTTTCCGTCTTGACTTTCTTCGCTTGTTTTTTCTTGTTCCTTTTTGCTTCCTTGTCCCTCAACTTCTCGGCTGTCTTGGCCAGCTTTGCTTGCTCCTTCATCTGTTTCTCGTGTTTTTTGACCAGCCTTCGTTGTTCTTCTCTAGACAATTGACCGAATGAAATTTGACCCATCAAATCTGGCTTGTATGCTCCCAGACCACCCATGCCACCACCCAGTCCACCACCCAGTCCACCACCCAGTCCACCCATGCCACCAGAGTACGGGTACGCCATTCCGGATCCCCAATCTGCATCGAGGTCTTTACCAGAAGGCAGTGGGCGATGAGACGGGGGAATAGACGATGGTAGACCTGGTAAAGCCTAAAACTCTCTTGTCAGCAACTGGAAAGGCAGCCAGAGGAGTTCACTTACACTGGTCGGGTAAGCTGTCCATGGGTCACTCGCGCCACCTGGCCCCTTCCACCATTCTCCAAATTTGTCCATCAGACCTCCTCCGGGCTTGTCAGGCATATCATAACCTCTCCAAAGAGAGGCACTCATAGGATTCGGATTTGCTTGTTGACCCGGCGATGCCCAAGCGTGTGGATGATCGGGTGGAGGCAACGTCGTCGCTCCTGGTATCTGATGAACGCCTTTCCCTTGCGCTAGACCTTGCTGTATGGCTCCTCCAGGTGTCCAAGCACCAGTCTTCGTACTGATACCAGGAAATAGACCTTCGAGACCGGAAAAATCCTCGTTTTGGGTCGGAGGCGGGGCAGCTGCTTCTGCTATGCGCCGACCACCACCGACAGGATGGGGACGTTCGCCGGGAAGAGGGTTGCCACGAGCAAGTCGTCTGAAGTCGGCACCTGATATGGGACCGTCTAAGTCAGGAGGAGGCCCTGGGACTGCCATGATGGGCGAACTTTTTGGACGGGCAGCGACTTATAGTCTCGGGCAGTGAGTGGTCTGTGATTTGCGGCTCGCGTGGCGATACGGCGGTATGGTGGTCGATTGAAGATCAGTTTGTAGGAGTAGCGAAAGATCGACAAGGGGGACCCATTGTCCTGGATATATAAAAGCATGGCCGATTCCTCAAGCAAGCAGTGATTTGAATTTTGATGGAAACAGCGTCGACACGCGTTTCAACGTTGTTCTCATTTGTTTGGTTCCTGGCCTCCCCGGCTCCCCGAACCTCTGTAGGCAGTCGACACATCGTCTCAAATGGCACATAGAACGGAACAAAGCGGTGTCTGCGTAGCTACTAGATCACAGTTCGACTGCATGGCTTATCATTACACGGGATAAAACCCTTTATCGGTGGTCACAGACGTGCGAGCTGAAAGACACAGAATATATTCCCAAAACCCTCACAAGACCAAGACACTGATTAAGCGGACTGGAGCTTGGGAGGGAATCCAGCGCCAGAAGCCTTCTCCTCGTTCCTGTCCTTTCGACCGCCCTTGCCCCCACGGCCGCCTCGGTTGCCACCTCGGCCTCGACCACCACCCCTGCCCCTACCACCTCGACCGCGACCACCGCCCCGACCGCCTCGCTTCTTTTCCTCCTCTTCCTTCTCGTTCAAATCGTTGGCAGCAAGCTTTCCCTTGAAGGAAGCTCGCGCGTGCCAGAAGTTTCGCTGTTCCTCCTCTGTGATAAGTGTCAGATTGTGATAGGATTATAATGATGAGATGTACATACCAGTCATTCGGGCCCATTCGACCTCGACACCTCCAAAAGTCATTTTAGCCTCCTTCAACTTCTCAAATTCCTCATCGGAGAACACGCTGTTATCCGACTTGGCGATGGTGCCCCAGGTGTTACCAGGAGGGAAAGCGATGAAAGGAGCGGGCATGACTTTGGTGATCTGAGACTGTGGATTCATGTCAGCTTCAATTGGATCACGTTTTGCGCCGAACACACCTTCAGGTCTTTCCAGTCTGGGTTCTCACCGTGGTTGATAAATTTGACGGAGGATTCGGGGGTGAATACAATCTTTGACTTGTCGAGGACCTTGCCAGAGTGACGGTCACACTCAAGAGTGACGCCATTGTACTCGATAGTGAGAGGCTCAGGCGCTTTGGTCCTAGCCTCCTTTCCCTCCCGACCCTCGTCATCCTCATCATCCCTAGACCTCTTCTTTTTGTTATCGGAGGCAGCTGCAAAGTTCTTGACTTCAGGTCGAGAGCCGATGATAGCAACGTTGTCGGGGATCTTGGCGAGGTTGGGCAGGGCGCCATTCTTAGCCCGCTCCATCTCTCGGAAGGCGTTGAACTTTCCGCTCTCTTTGGCATTCTTCACGTTGCCTTTCTGGATGTCGGCTTCAGGGATACCCTTCTCCTTGGCCTTCATCTTGACATAGGCGTCCCTGAAGCAGGTTAGCGCTGATAATTTACCCCATGAAATGGCAAAAGTACTTGGACATGAACACCATATCAGGACCATCGGCGATGAACTTGGGGATGCTCTCTTGCTCAGAAAACTTTTTGGCGTCAGCCTCGTAGGCGAACTCGACGAAGACAGAGCCCTATACGAAACGTAAGTATCGCCTTGCATCGATGACGTAGCGACTGACCTTGAAGGGTCCCTTGCCCTTGCCATTCTTGCCCTCAACATCTTCCTTCCTCTTTCTCACAGCGTTGATCTTGCCAAATTGCTCACAATAAGCCTCGATCTTCTCCTGGGTGTTGTCGTCGGTGTCGTTCTCACCAAAGCCTTTCTGTTGACAAAGATCAGCCTTCTGTCCGCGTTATATCTGGAAACGAGGTGTAAGGATGGGGTACACGTACAATGTACACAGATCGGTCCCAAGCATGAACGTTCTTCTCCAACGGCCGGCTCCTCCTCACATTCTCCTCATCCTCACTGACAGCGATCAAGGGGTCGTTTCCATCTTCTTCAATAGACTGGCGGAGACCGTATACAACGAAGGGCACGCCATAAGGCTGGAACTCTTGCATGCGCTTGAAGGTCAAGATGGTCTTGATGGGCACCCAGCCTTCGGGGTTGCAAGAAGTCAAGCTGAAGAAATACCTGTGACCTGGAGTCAGCGCTGAAATGCCCGCGGAGAAATCTGCGACGCACTTGTCCACTGGCAGGTTGCTGTCACTATAGTAGAAGCGAACTATATTGAGAGTCAGATTAGGCCTACAGAGCACATACACGAAAGCTGCAATGGTGGGAGGTACGAACCCTGCTTGGCAACCTTGGCGAGGAGTTCTGTGACCTCCTCTGGGGACTTGCCGTCGACGACGGGGAGAGGCCCGAGGGCGTCGGGGGCTGGGTTGGCTTCGGGGGCGGACATGGGGGCTTCGAGGGTGCAGAAATGGGATCAGCGTCAAATTTCAGCACTCCAACTCTGCAAAGGCCTCATGGAAAATATAAATATTGCTTCCGCTTTTGTCAGTGATTATGTAATGTCGCAAGCCCTGAAAATGACATGTTGCGCGACTGATATGTTGAACGAGATGGTCCATTCACCGGCTCAACCAGAGCTAATTTATCGCTGCAAATCCTGTCACCATGTTATCGTCTATGTCCCTGCGAGAAGTCTTTCCATCTTCTCATCTCATCAACCTCCGCATTTCCTCCTATTGCTTCTCTAATAATTGCTGCCGGTCAGCTCTCTTCACCTATCCCCTACCTCTTGACGAGGCCGCCTCTCTTTCCGCATATCACTCTCATTCACATCCACAAACATGGTCGCCAAGAACCGCAACACAGCCACCGTCGCCGCTGCATCTGCAGCTATGATCTCCCTTCCCAGGGCTGTCGGTGCTTCCCCCGCTGCGCGATGGGGCCACCAGGCAGTGTACGTCAAGTCGCAGAAAGCCATGTACATTTTGGGAGGAGAAGTCTCAGCTTCGGGTAGCCAGATCACCAATGAAGTGCTGATCTTGCCTGTGAGTCTGGCAATGTCCTCATGGGATGGTAAAACTGATGCATATCAACAGCTCAACTCGACTAGCCCCTCATTCACCACTGGTTCTTCCGAAGGTCTTCCCCCACACGCCTTTGCCGCCGCTGCTCTCAGCTCGGATGAGAGTTCTCTGGTCCTTGTAGGTGGAATGACTTCAGACTGTAGTTCTGATGGGCTGGCCCACACTCTGGACCTCTCGGGCGATGATGGATGGACTTCGACCACACCGTCAAAGCTTAGCAGGCGAAGGGGAGCTCAATCTGCTTGGGTTGACAACACCTCGGTCAATGGGGAGATCATGGTTGTCGGTGGCATTGCGGACTCCTACTCTTGCGGTATGTCTGTACCGCCTCGTGATAACATACAAAGACTGATGTTCTAATAGCGAACTCCACCTCAGTATACACTGCATCCGATATCCTCTCTTTGCCCCTCTCCACCTCCGCCCTGGTTTCTTCGAGATCCCTTCCGTCTTCTCTCACCGGATCTACCCTGGCGGTGTCCGACTTTGGCCTGGCATCCGACTCTTCTGGTAAGATCTACTTGGCCGGTGGTCAGTCGTCTTCGGGCGACCTGGTGTCCCTCGACACAATCGGTGTTTGGGACTCCACCAATGGTTGGCAGTCGCAGAGCACAACTGGCGATGTACCTGATGGGAGACTGGGTGCTTCATTGGTCGCTCATCCATCCTTGGACGTACTGTACGTTGCGCTGTCTTCTTTTGCGAACACTGCTGACAAGGGTATAGTGTGCTTCATGGAGGCCTTGTCGCCAATACAACCTCCGGCTCTTACACTTCGAGCCACTTGCTCGCGCTGCTCAACACCACCAGCTTTGAATGGTCTACCCCTTCAGACCTCCAGCCGGACTCATCATCCGCTGCTTCCTACCACTCGGCGGTCATGACAGACGAAGGCGTCATGATTTCGGCTTTCGGTCTCTCTGCTACCAACACTCCTCGCTCAGATGTGACTTATCTCGACTTGCGAGACACGTCTCAGGGTGCTTGGACATGGGAGTCGAGCTGGAATAGCAATATGCTGAATGCCTACAGCACTGATACGTCCACTAGTGCCAACGGCGCCACTGCAGCTTCGAGCACTGGTGGCGTCACAGCTGCAGACGCCAAGACGAGTTCGGGCACTTCTTCCAAGAAACTTGCGAGCATCATTGTTCCCGTCTTGGTCGTTGCGCTCTTGATTTTACCCATCATTGTTTACCTCGTGCGTCGTCGCATGCGAGTCATGAAGAAGCGACGCATGGCCCGACACTTCTCTTTCTCGTCCCAAGAGGAATCTGGCGCCTTCACTTCCCCCTTTGACCAATATCTCGCTAAGCGTCGATCGCAGGCACAGTGGCCTTTCGGGGGGCAGGATGCGAACGAACAAGGCGGCGGCATTGTCGGTGGTGTCACGGGCAGCCTTGGTCGCATGGTGAGCCGAATCAGTAACCGCAGTTCCGAAGACGAGCACAACAACATGGAGGAAGGCGAGAGGCAGATGGCCCAAGTTGGTCAACGAGTCCGAGTCAACGCGGATGGTCAGCAGCCGATGAACTGGGAGGAGATCGACTTTGGCCTCGGGAAACTTGACGAGTCAAAGAACCACGATTCTTCTCATATTGCCAGTTCGGGAGCGCCTGTCCGCGATGATCGGGACCTTACCGTCAGGACCACCACTGCTGGCGGATACTCGGATGACGTGCTTTACGCCGCCGCTGAGGCCAAGACGCCCAACTCACACGTCTTTGGAGATGAACATGCTGTCTCTCAACCGGCCAACACTCTCTCTTCTGCCTACCCTGCTATTGAACCCACTCCTGCCTGCACCGCTGTCGCTTCGGATGGTGACTGGAACCAGCTGGAGCAGAGCTTGTCCTCAAAGCCCGCTTTCCGCTCAATCTCGCCCACTGCCCAGCTTCGTTCTCACGCCCACCTCGGTTCCCCATCCACGCCTTCCTCTCCCACTCCCCCCACCACAGCTGCTGTCCAGCGCACTGCATCTCTCACTCGTACAGTCTCACAGGCTTCGACTGTACCTAGTATCCCACCTTTCGAGTTTGAGCGCACCGAGTCTCCCGGCGGGACGATCACCCTCATCAACCCCAAGGACAACTCTGAAGCGAAAGAACCCGAGACACTCCCCTTTTCCAATAAGCCCAAGAGACTCTCCGGTACCCCTCACCGAAGTGTCTCTCAGCCCATCAGCCGTCAGCTTGCCGGAGGCCTCAGCCGACGAGGCTCTGCGCCTTCTAGCTCTGGCTCTGAAGACGGCCAATCTCCCAAGTTGTCTGGCGTGAGCGGTGGGCAGACCGCTCCCCAGAAGATGAGGGCAGTGAGCGCCAGTCATGCAGCGCCATCTAGGAAGGCCAGCCTTTCTAGCAATGGATCGGTCAAGTACCCTTCTGCGTCGAAGAGGAGGACGCAATTGAGGGTCGTCAACATGGCCGAGGCGGACGAAGAGGATCAGGTGTGACTTTCATTTTACAACTTTTTGAGGAGGTATTCTCAGTCACAAGTGAACAAATTTCAGTGAGAGATGCTACTCGGCTGGCCCGGGTAGGTGAATACGTTTGTAGCAATTGATATAGTGTAGTTTACCAGTATGCAAAACTAATCTCGTGAGGCCGCGGAGGAGTGTAGGGGGGGGGGGGGGGTTGCTGTCGATTTTCTGAGTAAGCAATAGCCAGTATGGCCCCTACCCATGCTAGGAAGTTGCGTACATACAAGTGCAGTAAGAGTACTTTGTGGCATTGTAATCGTATTTGATAGGGCGCGGCGCGGTGGAAGGGATGTCTGATTGCTTACGTACTGCGCGATCCAGGCGAAGTTGGCGATGACTGGCGATGGTGAACGGCTCTCGGAATGGCAAATGGGCACAAGGGTTATTTGATCCAGCGAATCTTGTCATCATGCCATCCCGCATATATACATATAGGGTTTCGTCTTGAAAAGCAAGTACTCGTCCGCAAAACATCGTCCGAACACCATCTCAAGCGACATGGCTACCCAACAAAATTTCGAGCAGCCTGTTCAGAGGAGCGGCGAGTCCGCCCTGTCACTAAGCATCGGCCCCTCAACGCCCTTGCCAGAGCCCCAAGCAGCACCATGGGGAGCAAAGGTCAGCATTATAGGAATAAATGCAGCGAGTGGAGCTGACAGATATCCACAGTGGCGGAGTTCTTCCTGGTTCATCACTCTAGTGGTGGCTCTCGGTACATCGACCGACATCCTGACATATGTGCGCACATTGCCAATTACTTGACAACTGCCAGCTGATCAATCAACAGACCATCGTCGTACCCGTCCTGCCATATCGATTACAAGAAATGGGATACACCAACGTGTCTGGCCTGACTGCCTGGCTTCTATTCGCCTACTCTGCCGGCATATTCGTCTTCACCTTCCCAATCGCCTACTTTTTCCACAGACACCCGTACCGCCGAGCGCCTCTGGTTGCTGCAGTCATAATATTGGAGCTCTCACTGGTGCTTTTCATGCTAGCCAAGCCTTACTGGACTATGGTTGTCAGCAGATTCTTGCAAGGCGCCGCCTCAACGGTCGTATGGTCGGTTGGCTTCGCTCTAATGTAATTTTGACTTTTGAGTCCAAGGTATGTAGCTCATGATCACCCGTAGATGTGAGAATGTCGAAGAGGAGAACGTTGGCCGGCAAATAGGGTTCGCGATGGCTGGTGTGTCAATTGGCTCGACTATCGTAGGCCCCCGCGATCTTCCATCTATTCAACTCATTACTCACAAGCGTTGACAGGCTCCGCCTATAGGAGGTGCATTATACGACAGGTATATCGCCATGGTGACTTGACAGTATCCGTACGCTAACCAATTGCCTGCAAAGCTTGGGCTGGCATGCCCCTTTCGTCTTTTGTATCATCGTCTGCGCCATCGATCTCATCCTTCGACTTTTTGTCTTGGAGAGGGCAGACATTCGCAGATTCTACGAAAAGCGACTTGGTCTAGAAGCTGGCGCTTTGAAACCAAGGATTGTCGATGGAGAGGTCGTCACACCCAAACATGCGTCACTTCCGGACAACAGCTTTATGCAGTTGACAACTGCCGAGAAGGAAAAACTTTCTGGCGTCGAACTCACCCCGTGGCAGGTACTCGTTGCGCTGGGTCGTTCAGGCAGGGGCATGACCTCGTTGTTGACAATGTTTTGCTTTGGCTTGATTATGGGTTCCACTGAACCTACGTAAGCTGAGCACTGCCCGACTTGTATGCGTGCTCATCCAAAAACAGATTGACTCTTCGAGTTCAGAGTCTGTGGGACAAAAGCTCGGATTTCGTTGGTCTAGTATATCTAGCCGCAGCTGCCCCCACCTTCTTCTGCGGCCCAATAGTAGGCGCGCTTGCGGACAAGTATGGGGCAGAATGGATCATGGTACCCTCCATGATCTTCGCCCTCCCTTGGCTACCTCTACTCTTATTAAAGAAGAGCTTGGCCGGCTTCATTGTCTTCTTCGCCCTTGCCAGTGAGCTCATTATTTGCTATCACTGCACAAGCTGATATATCTTCTAGATCTCTTGGTCAGTGCTGCCATGTCTCCGACAGGTCTTGAAGTCACGATGGTCTCCAGGAGCGTTCCAGGCATCAGCGAAATACGTGAGCTCGCATTAGTATGGTCCTACCCGCAACTGACATTCCTCCAGACCAATTCTCTGCCATGAACATTGCTTTTGGTATGTCCCCTGTACTGTCTCATGTAGTCACTCTCATCAAGGATTCGCTTTAGCTATCTCCACTGCGATCGGCACTATCGCCGGTGGACAGATGTACGATCACCTCCAGAATGGATGGGCAGCCGTCATCTGGTTTTCGTTTGCTTCGGCGGTTGCCATAATACCCCTGCAATTCTTCTTTTCAGGGAACATATCCCTATATAGGAGGTTGTTTGACCGCAAGGCGGTAAGGGAGAGAGACATAGAGGAGAGGGATAGTGCGGCCAACGATGGGGGTCGAGACAAAAAGGCGGCGAACGGGCAAATGTCGCCTGAATCGACGATGCGGCCACGCGTTTGACACGTACTCTGAGTCGTGATCTCAGGAAATTCCATTAATGCATGCAATCAGGGGACTGTCATATTCGGGATGAGCAGCATACACTACTCGTATATTCTTAACGCACTGTAGCGCCGTACTGAATTCTATAATACTTCTCGGCATGCTCGTCTAATAAATGTTGTCACAATGCATATACTGCCGAACATTGCTTTATACACCGCGGCAAGCCAGAGTCACAACTGGAATGTTCTTTAGTTGCTTACTTGCTTACTTGCTTGGCCCGCCCGGCGTCTCGGGCTTCGGCTCAGGGCCTGAGTTAGCGGCTACGTACACACTAAGCCAGATCTTCCAGCTATCACAGCCATCGCCATGACCGTCGCGAACGAACAGCCCCGACAGCTGCCTCTGCCTTGGATCCAGACCCCTCTCGTCCGGTCGGCTACTTTGTCTGAACTGGCCGGATGGTGTGTCTTGCCCTTTCATGCCATGCACGAAAGCGCTGCTGACATGATAACAGTGAGATCTACCTCAAACTTGATAACATCCAGCCCAGTGGATCCTTCAAGTCGAGGCAAGTTCGCTTGAAGGCACTCGGGTCATGAGCTGACTGCAAACAGGGGTGTCGGAAACCTCATCCGCAAAGCCGCCCTCTCCAGCCGCCCTGGCTCCCCTCTCCACTTCTACGCTTCCTCCGGGGGCAATGCGGGCCTTGCCTGCGTATCTGCCTCCGTTCTCCTCTCATACCCCTGTACTATTGTCGTTCCTCTCTCCACCAAGCCGTTCATGATTGACAAGCTCAAGAAGGCCGGGGCGAGCGAGGTCAAACAAGTAGGAGCTACTTGGTTTGATGCGGACAAGTATTTGAGGGAGGTCTTGCTGAAAGAGGATGAGAATGGGGTGTATGTTCCGCCTTTTGATCACCCCGACATCTGGGAGGGGGCCGAAAGCTTGGCAGATGAGATTGTCAGAGATCTCGGGGAGGTGCCTAGTGGGGTTGTATGCTCGGTTGGAGGCGGTGGCCTTCTAATTGGGCTATGCCAAGGGCTAGACAGACTGGACGCCTCGCATAACGCTCAGGTGGTAGCCGTTGAAACGTACGGTGCCGAATCCTTGCACGAAGCAGTCAAAGCTGGCGAGCTCGTCACTCTTCCTGGTATCACTTCCATTGCGACCAGCTTGGGAGCTGTTCGAGTAGCCAGCAAGGCATTCGATTATGGCATGAAAGAGCACGTGCATAGCACCTTGGTAACGGACAAGGAAGCTGCAGAAGCTTGCGCGAGATTCCTAGACGACGAGCGGATCTTGGTTGAGCCAGCTTGTGGGGCCACGCTGGCTATGGTGTACTCTGGGCGGTTAAAGGAGATTTTGAGCTACAAAGAACACCACAAAGTGGTGCTGGAAGTCTGCGGAGGTTCAGCCATCTCGTCGGAGATCTTGGCTGGGTACAAGCAGATGTTTGACTTTTGATATGGAACATAGGTAGAAACAGGGGTGCAAATGTATCATATAGAGTGTCAGTATGTTATCACGGGTGGTCAGAGGTCATAGCATTGAGAGGAATGAGAAGACGATAACCCCGACAACCTAAAAGCAGTCATTCTGGTCTCCACTTCAGCCTGACGTCCCATCTCTTTCACGCCATATTGCGCAGCCTATTCCATTCTTTCTTATTTTACGTCTCTCCTCTTCTGACCCCTTTGCATCGTCCCAGACATTGCCACTGGCAGGTCTCTCCATATCTCTATATCTCTTTTGAGTGGCGCGGTACAGGGAATGCACACTAAGACAAACATATTGGTCTTCAGTCTCTCCCAACCATTGATCTAGTCCAAAAAGGGACGTTGATTGAGGATGTTTGCAACTTCCCAAGCGTGGTCAGAATCCCCCATGTCATGCCAAGCCCAAAAGTCGGATAACATTCGGGCACCAGCCCGGTTGTCGAAACACGCATGAGGCCTGGGCATCCTTTAGTGACAAGTGGTTGAGCAGAAATGAGACAAACTCACCCAAAAGCACCCAGCATCTCGAGAGCTGCGCGGCGCGAGGGATGGCCTCGTGGTATTTCGAACCCAGCAATGACGATGGGCCATGTCAACCTGAATGGCAATCAGCTCAAGTGCACCACTATGGTACAAAGTACTCACCAAGTGATCTTTCCATAAAACGCCAACATCTCGGCGGCCAGCTCGATGATTGACTCTACACTATTCATTACAAGTTCGTCATCGCTCGCCACTCCATACACCTTCCTTAACAGCCTGATCTTGATCGCATGTCGGTACGCCAAGTTGCCATACTGGGTGCGAGGATGCAGAGGGGTGAAATTACCGGCTTCGTCCCACACCTGTATCTCTGCCATGAGACCACGGGCTGCGCGTTGCAGCTCAGAGAGAGAATTGGGGGGAAGGGGCTGGGAAGAGCGAGTCGGGGAAGCGGGTGGAGAGGGGTCGTTGTCGCTGAATAGTGGTTTACCTAGAGCGCGCACCGCAGCGATAAGACCACATGACTATGCAAATTGTCAGACACGGACAGCAGTTGGTTCATGGCAGACTCACTCTGGCAATGAGATCAACCATTCCCCTCGAAATCCCAAACATCCGCTCAACACTCTCCCACTCCAGATCCGTCCCTGACCACGTCTGCGCGGTGAAGAACCATGGAGAGAACGCGTCTTGCAGGATGGACGGCGCCAGCTCAGTCGTCATGCAGCCAAACACGTCTCGAATAGCAAGCTGTTCCATGAAGAACCTGCAGGGGGAGATGCGGTCGCGGGGGGCATCGCGAAGAATGTTTTCGGGACCGCCGAGTTGATCAATGAGTATCAGGACGGAGGATAGGAGGTGGTGCCATGAGTCGTCAGCGGCCAGCGACTATTGGGTGGATCAGCTTTTGCCGTATTCTCACAACCTGACCTACACTAGCGATAGTACAACTTAACAAGGCCCCCAAAACCAGCTCCATATCGTCGTGGCTCAGTTGCTTAGGCCGTCCGTCTTGGTCCTGCAGTGTTTGTTTTACCATGCTCAGGACCTTGTCTTTGGCAGATTTGCAAATCTTGTTGGCGATGGCTTGGCTGTTGGGGTGGGTGGTGTAGTGGAGGTGAACCGACCCTACGGCAAGCATGGCGATTCGGAGGGCGTCTGCTGCGGAGTTCATTCTAGCAGAGGAGATCAGCGAAAGTTTTGGACCATGGGAGATAACATATACCCAGGGAGATGTTTGAAGGCTAGAGGAGCGTGGATGCTGAGCCAAGGATTCCATGGATGCCGGTGCGATTCAAAGGCTATTATGATGTGTACTGTCTTAGATAGGTAGTGCCGTATGATCAAACGTTCATCCCTAGATACATGTCAGCAAGTACAAAAGGCTGAAAGACCTTTTACTCACACCGAAGGAAAATACGGTTGTAGAAATGTCCTGAGATATGTCAGCATTGCGCTCGGTACCATCCTTGGATAGACTTACGGCTCCATCATCAGTTCTGCCCTGGCCTTTTCCGGGACCAGCCAGTCCACAAAGTCGTCCCTCTCTTTTTGCTTTCCCTTGTCCTTGGTCACAACCCTCTCTGGCGTCTCTACCGCTGGCGGCTTTCTCGACTCTTCTGCTCTGTTCGAATTCTGACCCATGCTGCCTGCAGGTAAAAATCCTGGCGGTACATGCACTGTACCCTTGATAGCATGTTTGGGAGGACGGGGCATATCAACCGGGACGGAGATGGTCGGGATATGGAGAGGCGAGGGCGAGTGCGGGAGGTACTCTTTCCCTCGTACCGACCGGCCATAATATGACCTGCCGTTGAAGCTCCTGGGTGTGAACCCGTTACTGCCCGCCTTGCGTTTCTTGTTTCTCCGTCTCTCGGCTTCGTCTTCCGAGGGCCAGACGCACTGCTCTAGCCATGAGTCTTGTTCATATGAATCAAAAGGAGAACGCACGTCTCGGGCCTTGATCCGGCATTTATCGCACACTGGCCGTTGTTCGTCGCACTGCGGCGCGGAAACGTCAGCTCAAAGTCACACCTCCTCTGCGAGCCCCAGCATACCTTGACCTTTCGTGACCTGCATGTGAGGCAGCCGTCTCTGGAGCGCTGGGGGCGTGCATCTGCCTTGGGATTAGTGGCTACGCTGCCGTCGGGCGAGGACGGCGGGGGCTGTTCGCCGTCGTAGTCTGCGTCGTCGGGGTAGTGCTGGTAGTGGGAGACCTCTGAGTGGGAGTCCATCGAGGCGGGATAGGGCCCGAGGGGGGGCTCAGGCGACATGGAGATGGGGAGGTGTCCGGACATGGAAAGAGGATTGTTTTGATAGCCGAGGGGTTATCTTGTATCCGACTCTCGCCACATTTGGTCCCGCCCCCCCTGTTCTGTCTCCTCTGTCCCGGCTGCAATCCAATCCGGACATGCTCGCTCGCTCAGCCCTCCTCCGCGCCTGCCCCCTGTCCGCCCCCGCCCGGACACTGCCCATCGCACACCTCAGAGCCATGTCCACCAGCCCCGAGGCCCCGATCGTGCCTACCGATCCATCTGCCGTGTCCAGCCCCCTCGGCGAAGGCAAGTTCATCCAGACAGCTGGGTGCCTCATCATCGGGTGCGTGGCGGCTCCTTGCCACGCGGTAGTCGCGGTAGTAAGCTGATTGAGCACTGCGCCCAGAGACGAGGTTCTCAACGGAAAGACCAAAGACAGCAACAGCAAGTACGAGCGAATCACTACCTTTCCCCAAAGTCACTGACCCCTGCCCTTCAACAGCTTCTTTGCCCAGTACTGTTTTGATCTCGGTATAGACCTGTGCGTCTGAGCCATTCTGCAAGAGTCGTGTCGCTCACAACTCACAGAAAGAGGATCGAGGTGATTGCGGACGATCAAGATGAGATGTAAGCCAGCGTTGCATATTGGCATTGGAGCAAAAGTCCTAATTCCATCTAGCGTCGAAGCTGCGCGTCGAATGACTGAAAAGTACGACTTTGTGATCACCTCTGGAGGCATCGGCCCCACCCATGATGGTGCGATACACGGTGACCCACTTGTCTTTGTCTGCGCTGATGTGTCTACTAGACATCACATACGCCTCCCTTGCCAAAGCTTTCAACCTTCCCCTTGTCCATCATCCCGAGACTCTCCGCCGCATGTGGGCCCTCACAACTCCAGAACGCCGTAAAGAGCTCGAAGCGGCATCCCAGGCGCAGCGGGAAGCCCGGGAACGAATGGCGCTCTTTCCTACGTGGAAGAAGGAGGGGGATGCGAAGAGCGAGGCTATCTTTGTCGAGGCGGACAAGTGGGTGCCGGTGGTCAGGCTGGGGGGCAAGGTAGGGTTTGCAGCCCGGGTGATCAAGGTATGGACTGCGCTGATTTGTGTCAAAGCTCTGTGTCTTTCCTGGAATCCCTTCTTTGTTCCAACAACTGCTGTTGGCATTGACTCCTTACTTGCCGCTGCCACCAGCATCCTCCAAACCGTTTAGGCATCTCATATATACCAGGCAAGTCGAATGATTGCTTTGGACTTCTCGTCTTGATGCTGACTTTCCATCTCTTTACAGCAAGCCCGAATCAGCAATTGCCCCCTATCTCACAGAGCTCCAAGCGCGAGTCAAGAAGGAGGGTATCAGGATCGGATCATACCCTTACCTTTACCAAGGTGTTCACGTCAGTCTGATCGGGCATGATGTTGACCGGATCAGGTCGCTTGGGGAGGAGGTGAGGATCTTGCAGAGCTAATTAGATGTGAGCTGATATTATCTTCTAGGTGATCAAGGAGCTGGATGGAAAGGTAGTATCAGAGGGCAAGTTGGGGGATGAATCGGGGTCAAAGTTGTAAATCAGACCGCAGTATATATGTGCCGAGTCGCGACTCCAAAGTACATAGGAGCTTGTAGAGATAGTCGGAACATAGACTGCTTCATGTATGCGCTGCACTTGGCAAAGACCCAAGAATGCACAGGACGTTGAGCCCGCTGCGTGTCCGCAATGTCCGGATTGCGACATTGTCCGGACCTGATTCCTCCATTTCGTGCATCTCGCCCGTTCGTTCGTCCTTACAGCTCTCTACAAGTCCTCGACATCATCCACCATGGCGTCCCCCACAGATGCCCTCGACCTTCTCCGAACATCCATCACCAACAACACCCCTCCAACCCTCCTGACCGCCGCATCCGACCCGTCCCCCACCCTCGCTCTCGCCTCCTACCTCTCCTTTCCCTCGTCCCCTTCCCCCATCCAGCTTTCAAAAGACACTGCTACTCGATTCTCGTCAAAGATTGGATCAGTGGACGAGTTCTACAATGTAGGGCAGCTTTACCTGGCGTGGGTGGAGAGAGAGAGCGGTGTTCGGGACTATTTAATGAAAGGTCAGGCCGGAGGAGTGGGATATGTCGCCATCACGGATAGGAGGGTTGTGGTGGATTACTTGCTTGGAAGTGGGGATGGCGAGGGGAGAATAGTGGCGAGAGGCGAGGAGGGCGCTAGTGAGTCTGGCGCGTCGATGTGGGATGAGAGCTGACCAAATGGCGGACAGAATCGCAAGCGGCAGAAGCGTCAGCAGCATCCGCTACCGCTGAAGCGCTCCCTTCTGCCTTGGAAGCAACTCAATCAGGGCCTTCCAGCGCTGCTGTACCGTCAAAGCGCAAGTATGAGGTGGACGTTGCGGACCGCGAATTTTGTCGAAAAGTGAGCAAACCCAGAGGATCAAGTCGAGCGATAGCTGATGGCTGTCCAGTTGAGGACAGAGGAAGTCGAGCTCAGGGATAGGAATAGTGCTCTTCGTTCTGCTGGAGGTGGCAAAAACAATGTGAGTACTTGGTCGCCTCTAATTCCTCTCCTAACGCCATCATAGGCGTTTGAATCGTTGGCCAAAAATGTCATACACGACAAGATAAAAGCTCTTCGGACATCTTTGGCCGACAGTAAGGGCGGAAAGTCTGCGGCACCTGCCCTTGCCCTGCAATCAGATTTGAACAGGGCGAAGAAGGCCAGGTCGACAAACCCTATCATTGTCATCTCGTCCTCACCGACAAGTTTGATCACCATGTGGAACGTAAAGAAGTTCTTGGAGCAAGGGGTGTATGTTGTCAAACTCACCGGCCATATCGGGTGCTGATAAGCAATCACAGGTTCGAGTCTTCAGAGCAAGCCCGGCAACGTGAAGCCTCTCAAGGCAATGCCAAAGCCGAGGACATGATACCGGTCGTGCGCAAGCGAACAGGGCCACATGGCGATGTGACAAGCAAGTACTATGTGGTGGATAGTGCCGATGCGCTTGCGAAATTCGGGCAGGATGCTTGGTGAGTGACGTTACTGATTGAACATCGAGCCCGTCATTAATGTGAGGTCGTAGGGATCGAGTCATCTGTGTGATCACCACCGGTCAGGCGTGGCAATTCAAACCTTACAAATGGCAGGATCCCAGAGTTCTGTTCCAGAATGGTAAGGGTCATTGAATATCTTGAAGATGTGAAAGATTGACAACCTTTCGCAGTCAAAGGTATCTACTTTCATTGGAACAATGAGCCCGTCAACCCTACAGTGAAGGATTGGAACGTGACAGAGATGAGGGTAGGATGGACTGATTTATTGTCTCTTTCGTAAAAGCTTACGTCTTTCTTCAGATTGACAAGAACAGAAGACATACGGATCGACAAATTGTTGCAGACTTTTGGAGAATCATGGATGGCGCCAAACGACGATAGCTTGCACGGATGTATTGCCGTATCTGACGACTCGGTATCCCGTTCCCATTCCATCGATCATTGTGCCACGGTACATATCATGTGGATCAACAGATAGCTGGTATCTTGGCCACCGGTGGATTTCTCGACTACAGAGCCTCGACCGCCGAGTGTTGTACAAAACTTTACCTCTCCAACTGCCTTCTATATTCCAACCCATCTGTACACCGTGACTTTCTGCTCGTGTGTCAGCGGAAACACTGACAGGTGGCCATCAAGAGCTGATTGATCACTCACCCCTATGACAGGCTTCGATACCAGCTTCTTTGCTACCAACGTTATGAGGCACTTGTTGACCCTAGCCTGCGGCATGTCAGGAGGTGCCACCATATCTTTCACTGTGCGACATCAGCGCTGCTCTATCTATCTAGTCGCGGGGAGGCTCACAAGAGACGCCCTCCGGGTTATCCATCAGCTTCATGATGACCTTTTCCATTCGCAATCTCTCAGTCTACAACACATGAGTGGAGATCAATGTGACTTGATAAATGCTTACAGGGTTGCCTCCTCGATACTCTAAAGGAAGCGTGTCAATGATGCCTGACACTTCCAGCTAAGAAAAAAAAATCAGTCCGTAATTCGGGGCCGATGTAGCAGATTCCGACGAACTTCGCGCTTCTTTTTGAGAGCACCTGTAGGCTTCTTGCCAGCTGCCCCGGGTGGAGCCTTCTTCACGCCTGCACCTGCACCCGCACCCACCCTGGACTTTGGCCTTGCGGGGGGCGTCTGTTCCATGGAGTTGTCCGAATGCGTTGTCATGTATGTCATGTCCGCAGCATTCGCGGAAGCTTGCGTCTCTGAGTGCGAATTGGACTGTGAGGGCCTAGATTGAGGAGTGGGAGGCATCGCAGATACTGATGGGGGCGGGGCAATGGGCTCTATTGCAGTCACAGTCAGGATATATCACTAGCACGGTCAGTGCACATACCCTTCAATGACTCTGCCCGCTGAAAACTCAGCTCATTTGGCGCCTGGGAACAGAATCTCAGCAGTGACTTTCACCGTTGACCATCAGACTCACCTCTGGCCATTCAACACAAAAAGCATTCATCTTGAGCGTATACAGGTAGCCCGCGAAAGCTTCGTTGAATGTACCAAGAGCATCGTGGAGTGCGGTCATTTGTGAGGTATTGGTGGCCAAGGTAGCAGCCTCGTCTGACAAGTCTGTTAGTGCGGGCAGCAGAAAATCGAGGCCGGACGGGGAGGAATTTGCCCGGTCGGTCGAGCGAGCCAGAGAGGACAGCGATCCCGTGGAGATGCGCCGCAGCGGGTGGTGGGGGGTGTTCGACGAGGGAGGCATCGCGGCGAGGTGTGGTTGTTGCAGAGGCAAGAAGATTTGAAGAAGATGGCAATCCGTCATGATTTGTTTACGTTTTGGGACGCGACGCGAATGTCCTTACGTAATAGCATGCAACGGCGGGTAAAGTAGTGTGTTTTGATTTCGAAGCCAATAGGGCGATAGGGACGACTCTACTCGATGTACATCCATATCGAACCAGTCATACCTGCCGCCCAGAAGATGGTGATATCAGTCACTTCATCAGAGAAACGCGAAACAGTCCGCACTACTGTCAACGGCACGATATTCGAGAGCGAAGACGTCACAAAGATCTTTGTCATCGAACCGATGCCGCCTTCATCCTCTATACCAGTGCCCCTCGCGAAGAGCTCCCTGATCGTGGATCAGGAAGAGCCGGCCAAAATCACCTTGACGATTGTGGTATCTATGGCGTGGGTGCTATGGCTTTGGTGGGCCTTTCCTTGAGCTTTTTGGGCGTCTCAGGTGTTGTGTTTGTGTATCAGACTGTGTACACCACGCGGCAAAGTATAAGGCAAGTACCATAATGCTACGTACATCCGGATCCCAATAGCTGACATTATCGCTGTAGAAGCGCAACCCCCTTCAGAATTTCTTCTGGTCCATCTCTCGACCTTCTTCCCACATTGTCCTGCCACTGCAGGCACACACTGTCTTGTCGTTGCCCCATGCGCCTGCACTTCTGGCAACAACACCCGCAAACAACCTCCCAATAGTTGAGGTACTGTGCTCCACCTTCGCCGCGTCCTTCACGCCCTGCTGGGCGACAGTCGGCGCTGCGTTGGACGCAGCCTCAACTACACAGCCTCGGCCTATCCATTCCCAAAGCTCCCCATCGACTTCCTTGAACATATCGCCATAACCGTTCTTGTCTGGAGTGATGCTCCCGAGAGAGAAGAAGGGCTTGCCGGTTGTAGATGGAGGGTTGACGAGGTTGCCCGTAGAGGCAATGTAAACATTGAATATGGAGTCTGTTGCTTGGCCAAGACCAACTCGCGCAGGTGGGGGTAAACGGACAGTCAAGTCCATCAATACTGTCTTGGGCGCGATTTGCACGAACCTGCAGATACCAAACACCTTTTGCGTGTGTTCCTCCTCGTTCATGCCAGGCAGGGGCTTTGCAGCCGCAGCCCCCGAGAGGCCAGCGAGGATGGGGTTGGATGTGGATGCGAGTGAAGTGGGAAGGGGCAAGGGAGATTCCATGATAGCCACAGCGGCTTGTATGGGAAGGTTGGGGTTGGTAGAAGATGATGTGCCTCGTACGATGACCTGTCGATTCGTTGCTTTGAGGGCAGACAAGAGTTGTGACGGGGGAGCTATATCGGGTATCAGAAATGCACCGGGTCATGTCATTCATACGTACTTCTGCCTGTGATTGTGACCTGCTTATTTTCCAGGTCGATATCGTATCTTTCGACGCCTGTATGATCATCAGGTATGCCATTGTTGCTAGAGCGTAACCCACACACCTTCAACGTTCTTTAAAGACTCGGACACAGCATTGACACACTACAATGGCAGATCGTGATTAGTGCAGGACTTTTCAAGCTATGCTACTTTGTCATACGTTTTGGCAAGTCATATCGACCGCAAATTCGGTCTGAAACATGTCAGTCCGGCGGTGTGGGGTGTGCAAGACTGAGGATACGCACCTTGAAGGCGAAAGTGGCTAGCGCCATGTCTTGGGAGGCGCGATGTGGGGTGAAACAATATTGACGACGGGAGAGAAAGCAAGATGAGATGGCGAAATCAGTCAGCGACGAGGGAAATCCGAGTGCCTCCACCCCGAAGGCACGGCGGGCATCTCCGCCAGGCGCGTCTGAGATGGTGCAGCGTCCGTCTTGCGTCCGTCTTTACGCGACTACTAATCACTCTTCTCTTGCGCACTAGACTCGCAGGCCGCTCTCACCTAGCACAGCCAGGGAGCCCGCCATGGAAAGTATCAAGGACTGGATTGCGCCCTTGATCAGCAGGATCGACAAGGATAACGGTGGTTATAGTCCTACAATCGTCATCTCAGGCAAGACCGGCTACTGTTGCCAGCTGCAGAAGGCGAGTCTCCTCTTCGTCTCCATCGACACATTTGGGGTAGACGCTAATCAAATCTGACAGTTCTTGACGTTCAGGAGTGCGGAAAGCCCTCAGGAGGAACTCCATGCGACAGCAAACGACGCACAGCACCATATCAATTTGGTATTTGATGTAGTAGAGACGAACAGATGGGAAGCGTTCGTACGATTTACTCTGGGTCTAGCATGCGATGGGCTTACTATTTCTACATCACAGAGAGTTGAAAGACCTGGCACCCAAGGAGCGAAGAGATCTGACCCAGTATCAGCGTGCGACTTTTGCACTCCAATCATTCGAGATGCGGATGGAGTCAAGAAAGACCGGGCAACTGCCTAGGGTGTTTCTTTACGTCAAGAAATGGCATATATGCGGCAGCTCTGACGAGACGCTGTACTATCCTGATGTCAAAGAGTTTGGAGATTCTGATGACAACGATGCGGGGAGGAATGCGACTGTGGTAATATCGAGATGGTGGAACGGTGGGTGAGTAGTGACGCCCTGGTCTCTGGGCCATTAATGGCTGACGTTTGTATCTCTAGAGTGATATCATCCCCTGTGTCACCATCCAAGGCGACAATCGGGAATTCAAGCTTGGACCACGAAGACGGACAAGAAAAAGAGATCATTGGGTATCAAAGGCCCGGCAAGTGGTCTACAGAAAACGCCACGGCCATATGTGCTGCATATGGTCCAGGTATACTCGACGCAGGCGTCGCTGGGAACGGAGACGGGGATGGACCCCCACGCCGTCAAAGCCAGCCATACGCCCGATGGTCTCCCCAAGACACAATCTCTGCAGGCCCTTCTGGGTCTGGTCCTCTCGTACAGGAAGAACGAGTTGCCTCATTGCCTACGCCTCCCCGAGAGCCGCAAACTTTGAATGTTTCGGCTGTTATTCCTTCTCCCACATCTCTTTCCTTGCCCGTCCAGCCTCGCAAGAGACAATCTGTGTCTCCTAGTAGGCGCATCACCGACGTATTCGCCCCTACTTTGCCCGCCTCTAGCCAGCCGGCATCACCTTCTGCTGGCGATGCTGATTCGGGAAGCACGTCATCTCAAGGGCACAATGTGCTCCCTTACTCTCCGATACCTTTGTCATCGGCTCCGCCTTCGTCTTCCCCGCTTCCTTCGGCATCGGCTGTGCAAGCTATCCGTCGTGCGGCTGCCGAGGTCGCGCCCAGCCTGCCGCCGAGCTCTCCGCTCTTCTCTCAGCCTTCTTCTCCCTCTCACTATACACAGCCAGGTAGCCGCATCCAGAAGCAGAACGGCTTGCAACAAAAGTGGGACAGTGGTCCTCTTGCTCAAGCCCGAGGAAAAGCACGAGAACAGGCGGTTGAGAGGTATGACTACGTGGATGAAGAGGATGAGAGTGAGGATGACGGGAATGAGATGGAGATCAAGGCGGCGTTCGGGGAAAGAGCGATTCTGCCGAATAGCCAATCTGGGAAACAAGATGTGCGCAGACTCTCTCCGACCAAACGCCAGAAAGACCCGGACGCGACGCCAAGGTCGAAGAGGAAGAGGCTAGCAATGGAGCACGTGAGCGATCGGCTGAGGGCTGAAGCGGAGCGAGACAACGACGAGAGTCAGGGGAAGGAAGACAACAGAGGCTCCAAGGGGAAAGCGTACGAGGAGGAGGAAGAAGTGGGGGGCCATCAAACAGACGGTGAAGACGAGGAAGAAGATATGGAAGAGGAAGAAAGAGGAGACAGTGACTTTGCGGGTTCTAAGACAAAAACCCAGTCACCCATCCTTTTCAAGCCTGTACCGAAAGTGAATGGTTTCAGGCTGGACATGTTTCTGAGATTTGGAGGGCTGACGGAAGAATATGCGAGGAAAGCGTTAGAACAGGCGGAGAAGAAGCGAAGGGAGCAGAGGAGGAAGAGCGGTCCGGTATGAGTATTCGATTTTGTATGACATTTGATTATATATGATCTCATTCACAGCTGTGTGTCATTTCTAGATGCAGCAAATTCTATGCCACAACGGATGAACCTCTATGGAAACAGATTGCCTCTACTTTTTTAACACATCGCTCACATACTTTTCCCAACCCTTCCCCTCAAGCACTTCCACCTTGGCCAGAACCTCGTCTTCAAGGGCCTTGGAGTAATCTTCTGTGGCAGCATTCAACGCGGGAATGGATGTGCCTAGTATGCGCACAGCGAGGAGGGCAGCGTTGGTAGAGTTGTTGATACCGACAGTGGCACAGGGGATGCCTCGCTATGATTGGTCAGCAAGAGCTCATTAAACGTTCTAAATGTGGCTTACAGGCATCTGAACGATACTGTACAAGGAGTCGACACCATCCAACACGCTGGCTTTGACGGGGACGCCGATGACAGGCAAGCTGGTCTCACTGGCGACCATACCCGGCAGATGAGCCGCGCCGCCAGCTCCTGCGATGATGGCCCTCAGACCCCTTCCAGCAGCCGCCTTGGCATACTGGACCATCCTCTTCGGTGTACGGTGCGCGGAAGTGATCGTGAGCTCGTAAGGGATCTGGAATTTGTCCAAAATCTTGGTAGCTGGTAGCATGACAGGCAGGTCAGAGTCTGAGCCCATGATGATCCCGACCAGAGGTCTAGAGTGGGAGTGGGAAGGGGCTGGAGCCGGGGGGGAGATAAGGTCGATCCAGGACGCGTCAGCGTCGGGCTGAGCGAAAAGAAGAGTACGGAGGCGGTCGTGAAGTTCGGCATCCGACTCGGCGGTGACGGTAATGTGACCCATCTTTCGAGCTTTTCTGCTTTCGGCTTTGCCGTAAAGGTGAACGGCAGCACCAGGTACGGTGAGGGCGTTGTCAGACATCTTGTCGATGGCGTCCATGGTGGGGGCAGCACCGAGGATGTTGACCATGGCAGCGGCCGGGACACGCAAGGCGGTAGAGCCAAGAGGGAGGGAGAGGATGGCCCGGAGGTGGTTCTCGAATTGAGATGTCAAACAGGCTTCGATAGTGTGGTGTCCAGAGTTGTGGGGACGAGGAGCAATCTCGTTGAGGAGGAGTTCGCCTAGACGTACATCAGCCGAGTCGAGGCGGACAGTTCATAGCGCTTACCGTCAGGCATGAGGAACATTTCGACACCAAAGATACCGGCACCCTCAAGATGCCCCACAGCCTTCTCCGCAAGTTCCCTAGCTCGCTGGTTGACACCGCGCTCACCTCTGAGAGGTGCAAGACAGACCCTCAGGATGCTTTCTCGGTGAATAGTCTCAACAGCGTCGTAACTCCTGACCTCGCCCTCCTTGTTTCGTACGACCATGACCGCGACTTCCTTGACGAAAGGAGCCCAGCCTTCGGCATACAAGGGTCTGTCGCCGAGGAAATCGATGGAAGCCTGGATATCCTCTGAGGAGGTAGACTTCAAGGGAGAATTACCTCTGCCGTCATAGGCAAGCGTCTTGGCCTTGAGCATGACCGGCAAGCCCAGTCGGTCGGCGATACGCCTAAAGTCCTCCTCAGTCGGGTTGGCAGGGAGCTCCTCGAAAGGCGCTACAGCGACACCTTTCTCTGCCAGGTACTTTTTCTGGTCGTACTTGTTCTGGATTAATCTGATCGTCCTAGGACTGGGCTGGACCTCACAGAGCCCCTCCTTTTCAACGGCTTCCAGGACGTCGGCGTTGACGTGCTCGATCTCGACAGTCAAGACGTCGCATGCGGCGGCAAGCTCGCGGATGTGGGATTCAGAGGTGAAGGGACCGTCGGGGTGGGCGAGGGACTTTGGGGGAAGGAGAGTCTGCTTGGCGGGGGTGTAGTCGCCCGCGTCGAGGATGAGGAGGGGGATGGAGAGGAGGGCGGCGGGGTGGGTGAGCATGCGGCCGAGCTGGCCGCCACCGAGGATGCCGACTGTCTTTCTGGGGGCCATTTGGGTGGGAGCTGGGGCGGGGAGAGTGCCGAGGCAGAGAAAAAAGAGAGCGATCCAGAGTGTAATGGGGTAATACAAATTGTGGGATTAGCATGATTAGGAAACCAATTGTAATGGCCGGGTATGGCTGGCCGGGGTGTACTACTATTTACTACTACTACTACTACTACTACTACTACAGTTACTACTACTACTGCTACTACTACTATTACTACTCGAGTACTGCTGCCCACCTGCGCTCCTGCACAGCCATGATAGCAAAGTCCGGGGTCGAGTTCGGCGAGGTCCGTGCTGGCCTGCCCCTCGAGCGCCTCGTCCCCCACCTCGAGCAGCGCATCCCAGCCTTCAAGGGCCCCGTCCGCGTAGAGCAGTTCAAGGTTAGGTTGGTTCAAGGCAGGCCGCTCCCAGTCCACCCCGCTGACCCTGCAGCAGTTCGGACAGTCCAACCCCACATACCTCCTCACCCCTGCCGCCCCCTCCCAATCATTCGTCCTCCGCCGTGCCCCCTCCGGCACCCTTCTTTCCTCCACCGCTCATCGCGTCGACAGAGAGTACACCATTCTATCCGCTATCAACACTCACAACGCGAGCGTCGCTCCGTCCCAGGCAGTCCCAGTGCCGAAAGTGTACTGCCTGTGTGAGGACAAAAACGTCGTCGGCGCCGCATTCTACGTGATGGAGTATCTCCAAGGACGGATCTTTACCGATGTAAGGATGAGAAGTCTAGAAGAGAAAGAGCGGTGGCAATGCTGGAGGTCTGCAGTAACCACCTTGGCGAGGCTGGCTACCATCCCTCTCTCATCACTCAACCTACCGCCTTCCTTTGCCCCCGTGCCATCAAAGAAGCCATACTTTCCCCGCCAAGTCGTCTCTTTGCTGAGGGTATCAGACTCGCAATCAAAGGCCAGATCGAAAGAGACGGGAGACATCCTGGGTCCGATATGGGGTACCAATGAGCTGAAGCCTTTGCTGGAGCAGGGGGCAATGCATATCGCAAAGACAGAGATCGAACATGACATTGGGGCTGCCGTCCATGGGGATTTCAAGATAGACAACCTTGTGAGTATAGGATATTGCTAGTGAAGGACGAATTGCTGATTGAGGATAGATATTTCATCCGACAGAACCACGCGTGATCGGGATCCTCGATTGGGAGCTGTGCACTCTTGGTTCACCTCTCGCAGACCTCGGCAATCTCCTCCTGCCTTTCTCGTTCCCGCCTCTGACTCCTGAACAACGTACCATCATCTCTGGTGGTGTCGGAGACGGGGCCGACCTGAACCTCCTTCTCGGACTAAAGGGTCTGAGCAGCAAAGAACTAGGTATACCTGATCGAGAATACTTGGAGAAGCACTGGGTCGGGGAGATGAAGAAGGGGTATGAATACCACAACAAGAATGCGGCAGTATGGACGTGGCCAATCGACGGTATGGCGTGAGTCCCACCGATCTTGTCCTGTGACAATCAGCTGACGCGGATAAAGTTGGGTTCGCTCATGGATGCTCTTCCGACTCGCAATCATTGCCCAGGGTATTGCAGCTCGCGCGATGCTTGGCCAGGCTAGCTCGGCGGATGCGAGAGCAGACAGTCGGCCTGTCTTTGACTTTTATGGACATGTGGCTTGGGACAATATGGTGGAGGCGCAAAAAGAAGAGAAGGGTTCAAAAGCCAAATTGTAATCGACCTCGTTGGGTGTACTTGTTCGACATGCGAGCTGTAGCTGTATTAAAGGGGAGTCAGGATTGAAATGGCCTTTGTATAAGTTTCTAGGGCATGATACACATGGCTCTATAGACGTTTGGCGACAGCCTCACGAGTCGGCACACTCTCCATCGCTCCCTCACTCTCGACACAGATGGCACATGCCTGTACAAAATTAGCCATTGCCCAAGTCTAAGAAAGGAGACTTACAGTCAAGCAACTCTGCAAGACTTCCTCCAACGACTGGCCACTCATCAACCCGGCCACAAAGTACCCGGCAAAACAGTCACCGGCACCAGTCGTGTCCTTTACAGGGTACTGGAGCTTGGCCGCTGGGTAATATCCGACTTTCTGTCCAGGCTGGTAGTAGAGAATGCCCTTGGCTCCCAGGGTACAGATAATGCCCACGCTGGGCGAAAAGTATTCGTTCGCTGCCAGCTCGAGGATGCCCGCTGATGCCTTTTCGCGAAGCTCATCTTCACTAGCAGTCCCAGGATTCGCGGTTGACCCGAAAGCGAGCAAGAGGTCGCCTAATTCGCCCTCATTCACGATAAGCCACGAGAGATACTTCCAAGGAAATTCTCGGAGCTGCTGGGGAGAGAGCATGGGCGACGGATTGAATACGGTAATGACAGGGGGGGATGATTGACCGGCAGAAGAGAGGTAGGAGAGGGTAGAGGCGAGAGGAATTTCGTTCTGGAGGAGAAGATGCGTGTAACCAGAGATAGAGGGAGGGGCGTTGGTAGCGGGGACGTGATAGTTGGCACCGGCATGGAGCACTGCATCTTGATCAACTTATGGTCGCGAAAACTCAAAAGTGGCTCACCAATGGAATTCTCTCCATCTTGAGAACTCTGAATGACAGCTCTCCCAGTGACTTCGTCATCCACAGTCAAGAGCCTCTTGACCCCAACGCCTGCACTCGCCAGCAAGTCCTGCACCCAGACGCCGTCCTGGCCGATGGCCCCGTCAAGGTCGACCTGCCCAGCTGCACGGGCGACGGCGAAAGCTTGATTGGCACCCTTGCCCCCGGCACGTTTTGTGAGTTTTGTGGAGGAAATGGTCTCCCCGGGACGAACGATATGGGGGAGGTGGAAGAATTCGTCGATATCTGAAACCGTCTGGTGAGCTCGGTTGTGAAGAATGGCAGGAGACTCACTGATTGAGCCTCGGACGAGGCAGCGGTTGGGAGTAGACATGGGGCCAGTGACTATGGTGTGCAATGGGATGGATGCGAAATTAAAGATTAGATTGGACACGGACAGAAGCCGCGTCGGGCGTCGCACCGTGATGTTCGGGCGAGCTGTCGAGATCTTGTTCGGCTTGATTGCGCGACAGAAAGATGCACCAGATCGTGCAAGAGCAGCAAGAACTACTGGCAAGCCATGCCAATGCCCATGTGTAGACATGCTGGTACTGGGCGCTAAGAGTGCAGATCGTGCATCGGCCGCATGCTTCAGAGTATTGTATATAATCAGGCCTACACGACTTCATAGCGCACGACAGATAGTATCCCAAGACTTTGACACTTTGACAGAGCAATTATATAGTACAATAGATGTTTGTACAACATACAAACAAAGAGGTGGGGACGCCAGGTCCGTGGTCCCAGAACAAGATATACCCTCAGCGGGCGCAATCAGTCGCACCGCCTTGGCGTACTTGGTGTCTCGTCTTTTGTATATTCGGGTGGCGGCGCCTCCGTCGTCCCTGGTAGACTGCCTGTGAGCAGAACTGTGGTCCGGTCAGGAGTAATCCTGACCTGACCAGAGCTATAGATTTGTCCGGGTGGAACTGGCAGTGATGCAGCGCCTTTTGGGTTGTCAGTCACGACCAGCACATGACATTTTGAGTATGAGCAGATAAATACTGACCATAGGCAGGCAAGCTAGCTTGACTTTCGCTAGTCAGCCGCGCCACAGGAGCTTCATCTCTAGCTCGTCTCGATCTCCCCCTCTCCGCGCCAGGATTAAAGCCCTGCTCAACATCGTCATCCAAAGAAGGCTGTGTATCATGGCGAGAGGTAAAGAGGTAGTTGGCGACATGCCTGAACTGGGCCGCGGGCTCCACTGCCTGATTGGATTTGCGACGCTTGGAGTAAAGGATGACGAGGCGGACTGGATGAGGTCAGCATTGATGAGGCCAGAAGAGAGTTGCTCACTGATCCAGAAGATTAAGATTATGAGGAGCATGACGAGAAAGGCTAGCGCGCTGCGCTGACTTAGCATGGCAATATGGAACAGAGTGGCACGCACTATAGCATGGTGAGTGCTGCTGATGGGTGAGAGAGTTGTGCAGATGAATTGCCACCCATACATCGATTATCTGCATAGAGTGTTATGTAATGGACGGAGACGGGATGATGTCCGTGGGTCGTCATCTTGTCCTTCGGCATGTTCGCTGCATCCACTGCATCTGCGAGAACACCCATGTCGGCCCTCTCCGCCCCACCCAGCAGGGGCCCAGGCATATGCGCCATGCGGGGCAGCTGCGGCCGGACCTCCATCTTCGGCGCCGACCTCCCGTGTCCGGACGACGCCCACGCCACCCAGGTCAGTCCCCCAGCCCCCAAATGCCCCCGCTCGCCCCCGCTCACCCCCCGTAGACCAGCGACGGCCTTCTCCAGCTCATGGCCAACGTCTGCGGCCCCTCCTATACGCCCCCAGACCACGTCTGCTGCACCTACGAGCAGCTCGCAACCCTTTCAGATCGTCTCCAGCAAGCCGCACCGTTGATCGCCTCGTGCCCAGCTTGTATCAACAACTTTCGCTCATTCTACTGCGACTTTACCTGCTCCCCCGACCAATCCCTGTTCTTGTCTGTCACTTCAACCCAAAAGACTACCGAAGGCAAGGATGCCGTCAAGGAGGTAGACTACGAAGTCAGCACCGAGTTCAAGGACGGCTTCTTTGACAGCTGCAAAGATGTCCAGTTTGGGGCAACGAATGGTTTTGCGATGGACCTTATTGGAGGCGGAGCGCATAACGCCAGTGGCTTTCTCAAGTATATGGGCGATCTGAGACCAGGTCTCGGATCGCCGTTCCAAATCAACTTTCCCGACAACGACGACTCGCGGTATACCCGCCAGCCTCTGAGCTGCTCCGATGCGACCGACATCAATGCCCGGTGTGCATGTGTAGACTGCCCGTCAGTCTGTCCTGAGCTTCCCTACGTGCCCCCGCCAGCATCCAACAAATGCCATGTCGGATCGGTCTCTTGTCTGACCTTTTCGCTCTTGATCGTTTACTCTGTTACCATTCTCTGCGGCATCCTATTCTACACTTGGAAACAAGCGCTCAAATCTCGGCAGCGCCGATATGAGCGTGTTGCTCTACTTGACCCCCCTCAATCGCCCACTTTAGCCGGCAACGGTAACAATGGCCTTGACGGGCTCATCGGTCGGGGCGACGATGCCGAATCCGGTCCAAGCGGGTCAATCCACTTTCGTCTCGGTCGCGGCGCAAGCCTGCTCGACCCCCTCGAGCACCTTCAGCCCAAGCAAAATAGGATCAACGCCTCGCTCCGCCGCTTCTTCTATCGCCTTGGCCTTGCGTGCGCCCAAAGGCCGCTGCAAGTCTTTACGCTGACGGCGTTTGTCGTCGGGTTGATGAGCTTTGGGTGGAAGTGGTTCGAGGTGGAGACGGATCCCGTGAGACTCTGGGTAGCTCCTGGGAGTGAGAGTGCCACTCAGAAGCACTTCTTTGATGACAACTTTGGGCCGTTCTACAAGTCGGAGCAGGTGTTTATCACTTTGCCTGGCGGGTCACCCGTCAATCACGATACGCTCAAATGGTGGCTCCAAATCGAGAGTGATATCGCCAAGCTCAAGACAAACAACGGTGTAGGTTTGGAGGATGTGTGCTTTGCGCCGGCTGGGCAGGGGACGCCTTGCGTTGTGCAGAGTATCTCGGCTTGGTTGGGAGAGGATATGGAGGAATGGGGAGAAGGGTGGAGCGAGCGGCTTGCTGATTGTGCTGAACGACCGGGGGAATGCCTCCCTGCTTTCGGTCAACCGATCGATCCTAGACTGGTCCTCGGTGGCGCCGAAGGTGACTGGCTCAATGCGAAAGCGATCGTCACTACCTGGGTGCTCAACAACTACAATGACGACAGAGTCAACCCCGCAGAGGAGTGGGAAACGGTCCTCAAATCGTATTTGATCTCTTTGAAACATCCCTCAATCAAGATCAGCTTTTCCACCGGAGTCAGTCTGGAGGAAGAACTGAACAAGAGTACCAACACCGACGTCAAGATCGTGGTGCTCTCGTACTTGGTCATGTTCCTCTACATCTCCCTCACGCTCGGTGGCGGTCTTCCACCCAATGTCATCCAGGCCTTCACTCGACAGCTATACCGTGCTGCAACCCGCATCGGTGTCTACACTCGCATTCTCAAAGAGCCCCAAGAAGACAACTCTGATCCATCCCCCAGTATCAGCCTCATACCAATCCTTCTATCCATCAATTCTCGCTTCTCTCTGGGGTTGTTTGGAATTACCATCGTCTTGGTTGCCGTTGCCTCGTCTGTTGGCATCTTTTCCATGATGGGTGTGCGCGTCACTCTTATCATTGCAGAGGTTATTCCATTTCTCGTGCTCGCCGTCGGTGTCGACAATGTGTTTATCCTTGTCCATGAGCTTGAACGACAAAACAGTCTTCATGCTCAAGAGCCTGTGCGAGACGACGACGCCGATAGCGTCCATAGTGGCAGGCAACCTTCCGGCACTTCACTCGCCCCGGAGGAGAGAGTGGCAAGGGCAGTGGCGAGGATGGGACCGTCTATCATGTTGAGCTCTGTCACGGAAGTGGTCGCGTTTGCATTAGGGGCTTTGGTCCCTATGCCTGCCGTTAGGAACTTTGCCATATATGCCGCCGGGAGTGTCTTTCTCGGGGCGGTGATGCAGTGCACGGTGTTCGTCAGTGCTATGGCTTTGGATCTTCGGCGAGCCGAGGTGCGTATACATATCATCTTTTGGATTGAATGCTGATGACTAGTAAGGCAATGAGGATGGACTGCTTCCCTTGCATCCGCCTGCGCCCACCGATCGGCCTGTATGACAGTGACACTCCCCGAAGCGAGGGTGTGATCAAACGATTCATGCGAACGACCTATGCTCCATTGTTGCTTCGTCACGAGATGAAACAGCTGGTACTAGTGATCTTTGGAGGTCTGTTTCTAGTTGCCACTATTGGTATTCAGCATATCACTCTCGGTCTTGGTACGTCCTCATTGTGGAATGCTTGCCTTTGCTGATTCCATGCAGACCAACGCCTCGCTCTTCCTTCTGACTCATACCTTGTTTCCTACTTTGACGCCTTGGACTCCTATCTTGACGTCGGGCCACCTGTCTACTTTGTGGTTCAAGGCGGTGACGCATCCTCGCGTGAAGGCCAACAGCGGCTCTGCGGAAGGTTCACCACTTGCTTGGAACTCTCCGTGGCTAATAGTTTGGAAGCGGAACGTAAACGCCCGGACAGCTCATTCATCGCATCTCCCCCGGCTTCTTGGATCGACGACTTTCTGCAGTGGACGAACCCAACATTTGAAAGTTGTTGCCGCGTGCGCAAGCGCGATCCCAGCGTGTTCTGTGCCCCGCGAGATTCGGAGAGACTTTGCAGACCTTGTTTCGAAGGTTCGGACTGGGATTCCACCATGAGCGGGCTGCCAGAAGAGACAGATTTCATGAAGTATCTTGAGCAGTGGCTAGTCTCGCCTACCAATGCGGAATGTCCTCTCGGTGGCCAGGCGGCCTACGGAGCTGCCTTGAAACTGTCTGAAGACAATACTACCGTCGCCGCCTCTCATTTCAGGACTTATCATACTCCTTTGAAATCCCAAACCGACTATATCGACGCGTTGACGGCTGCTCAGCGGATATCTTCCGAGATATCCCACAGGACAGGATTAGCGGTATCACCGTATTCCATCTTCTACGTCTTTTTCGACCAATACGAGCACATCAAGTCTACCGCCGTGGAAGTGCTCTTACTCGCATTCCTTGCTGTCTTGATTATCACATCTACCCTGCTTGGCTCCTGGCGTACGGGTGGAACGGTTACCTTTACCTGTGCTCTTGCTGTGATCAATGTCATGGGTATCATGGGCTTTTGGGGTATCAGCCTCAATGCGTTGTCGCTCGTCAACCTTGTAATCAGCTTGGGTATTGCGGTCGAATTCTGCTCGCACATTGCCAGAGCGTTCATGGGCGCTGGATCGGGGCTGCCGCTTGACAAAGCTGATGGAAGGCGAGAGATGGATGAACGAGCTTGGACGGCTTTGGCAGATGTTGGGCCCTCGGTGAGCTCTCCACTTGCTGAGCTTGTGGTTCGGTGCTAATACCCCCTAGGTCTTTTCTGGCATCACTTTGACAAAGCTTATCGGTATCTCAGTCTTGGCTCTTACACGTTCCAAGCTCTTGGAGATATATTACTTTAGAATGTGGCTTTCGTTGATTATATCGGGCGCCCTGCATGGTCTTGTGCTTCTACCCGTGCTACTCAGCTATGTCGGAGGACAGGGGTATGCTTTAGAAGATACAGACGAAGACTGGGTGACGAGCCAGATGCGGAGACCGTGAGTCATGAACCAAGCCATTGCAGAGGCACAGCTGATGGCCCCCAGGATGGACTACGAGTATGCCCCATTTGCTGATACGGACTCTATGTCAGATTGATCATTGATTGTAACATTATGGATTGAACGCATGCATTGTAGAGCAAGAGTACGTGGGTAACGTGTCGATCTCGTCGGGTAGCCTTTTCGGGTAAACTTTCATCGACGAAGAAGTGGCATTGGCGATTGTGCTGGGTACCGAATCCCCCCATACCCTTGTACTCCAAAACATTCCGAGACTTTGTAGAGACTATGTATCTTCCGCGACGTCTGTTCTCTGTCGTGTCTGTTCTCCACGCTCTGGCACTGCACCCGCTTACGCAACGGGATCAAATTGGGTCCGAGATGTCGTTTGTTTTGTCCGCCCTCAGCAGGCGTGTCCCTGTCCTTGCTTGTCCCATTTCGGCGTCTGTAATCATATCTATTCTTTCATTTCAGCTCTGCCTGACATCGCACAACCATGGAAGACCTGTCCACCGGCTCTGAGAGTGACTACGCCGACTCGTGAGTGACCGGTCCCCAGTAAGCAATCAGCTGATGATTGTCTCCAGCTGGATCTCCTGGTTTTTGTCCTCCAAGGGCAATGTTCGTATCATTCTATACGTCTGCTATCGAAATCATGCTAACTGCATCATAGGAATACTTCTGTGAAGTAGACGAAGACTATATCCTTGATCGTTTCAACCTCACAGGCTTGAACGCCGAAGTGGTGCAGGAATATCCCCGAGCATTGAGTCTTATCACGGACAACCTCGGTTCGTCTTGCCCTCCGACATGCAGCCCTTAAATACAGCTGGCTTACTCTTTTACAGACGAGATAGGTCTGGATGAAGAGACCCGAGAGTCGATCGAGACATCCGCCAGATTTTTGTACGGTCTCATCCATGCTCGCTTCATTGTCACCACGAGAGGTTTGGCCAAGATGGTGAGCATCATGTCACCCTGCGCAAGCAGCCCACTGATTGCATCTAGCTCGAAAAATATCGAAGATCCGACTTTGGCCGCTGCCCCCGCGTCTACTGTTACTCCCAACCCCTCCTCCCCGTCGGTCTCTCCGATATTCCCTACCTCAAAGCGGTCAAGCTTTACTGCCCTCGGTGTGAAGATATCTACTCGCCAAAGTCCAATAGGCACGGGTCCATTGATGGCTCTTACTTCGGCACGACCTTCCCCCACATGTTGTTCATGGTGTACCCTCAAATGATTCCAGGAAAGGGCCAGCCGCTTGGCTCAAGTGCCGCGGATGTGAACAGGAGCATGCTCTCCTCGGTTCAGAGTAGGGAGGGGGGCAGCAGTGTTAATACGGTGGCCGTTGCTCTCAAGGCGGAAAGATATGAGCCAAGGATCTTCGGTTTCAAGGTCAACGAGGATGCCAAGTTGGCCAGATGGAGAACAGCCAGAAGGGACGGGTGAGTCGATTCCATCAACGCGGCGATGACCGAAAAACCTGACTGCTGTGGCTAGTCAGATCGCCAGATTAGAGGCTCATGAACAAGAGCAAGAGCACGATAAGGAAAAGAAGGCATCTGTTTGAGCATCCTTGACGTGTAGTCGTCTTGACCGGCCAGATATATATACATTGGGTCCTCCCTTCTGCAGACGCCCTGATTCCATTCATGGTATATCTTTCAGTGTCATGACAGAGAGCCAGTATATGCACGCACTGATTTCATGTACTCGTAATGTACAAATTTACTTCCTGTCCTATCTGGCTGGTGTGTATCCGAACAGACTCAACAAATCGACTTCATCGGCGTGGATCTGCGGGTCGGTCTCAGTGATCCCCTGGACGTTGTTGAACCCCTCAGAAGCTACGAGGGCCGAGCTTTCTTCGTATGCCAACACTCCCATCTCGTCCAGGATGTCTTCCATCATTTCCTTCCTGCCCTTTCTCCATCCGGGAAGCCTGGTGACTGGGGCAGGCCACGACTGACTGCCAGCGGAATGCGATTGCCAACGTCTCGGCAGGCTCTTCTGCTCTCGGCGTGGCGGGGTGGAGAAGACCAGAGGAGTAGTATCTTTTCCAATTTCAGCATCCCCACCAAGTACTATTCTACCCCCAGCTACCGAGACAGGTGCAGCACTCGAAGGTCGAGATGCGGGCTTCTCCAGAAGTCCCGAGGCCTCCAAATTTCCTTCTACGAACCCAATGGCGTCGATTCCGATTCCATCTGTGGCTCTGAGTTCATCAACACCCATTACTTCTGTCCTGACCCCCAAATCGCCCATTTCTCGCTCCATAATCATTTTGTCCGCCTCTCCCTTTTCCATTCGACCACTGTCCCCTACCAGATTCACAGCTGAGAAGTCGCCTAGACGAATACCGATAGAGGCAGAGGTGCTTCCGTGAAGTACACCAACACCCGGTGCGAGATGCCATAGAGGGATGCGGTCAATAGGGTGAACAGTAGAACAATCCATTTTGGAATAATCCCGCTGGCATTGCGAAGGCGATGTGGCAAGGGAAGTTGACACCGGACCTTCGAGAGAGGACGTAATGAGAGTTAGAGTAGCCACTGGATACAGAGACGGCTTCTTTCTCTTGTCACCATCTACTGTGGACTCCTTGGTGCCCAGGCTTTTACCGGCCCCTCCAAAGGCGACTTCCTGATCGCTGATTCGTCTCGTCAACAATACAAGACTGTTATCTGTCATCTTGCTGCCATGTCTCCAACTTCCTTGGCCGCTACCTCGGATCATTGCCTCTCCCAATGTGCCGTCAGAGGGAGACAGCCTGAAGCCAGATAATGGGGACATGTCGGATATGGAGAGGCCACTTGATGATTGAGTCATTTCAAGTGGCCAAGCATACATCGACATGGGGATCGCATGATTGAGGGCAAGTTGCAGGGGACGCTGCTCACGAAGGCGCGTTTCAAGTGGTGAGAAAACGTAGGCCGGGGGCGTGGACGACAATGCCCAAGTGGACAGTGATGACAAATGATTTCTACAAGAGCATCGCGTGAGATTCAAAACGAAGGAAGTCAAAGTACGAGCACTGACTCTGTAACTTTGGAGTGCACATATGATATTACGATGATACGTGGTGGCGGCTGACATGATTTCGCAATGTGACTGAACACGGCTTGAGCAGGTAGAGGGTCAAAGATGCCATTCTCCACTATGCAAAAAAGAGGTTCAGATGCGATCCCTTCTCATACGCAGACTCACTGTAATCAACTTTGACCACAGAATCGTGCAAGACTGAAAAGGGCTGTGGTACAGGGTTGCGCACCCTCCCATTTGAATCGCGATGATTGAGTGGCAGTTGGTGGTCCCCTGTAGAATATGGTGATCGAAAAGCGTTATGTTGCCCTTGAAAGCGATACTTGAGGTGTAATATATGGACATTGGATGATGCCTGGGACGTCAAAAACTACTCCGTTATCAGGATCCCTCTACATCTACAGAACAAAAAAAATTGAACACCACGAGAAGACGAGCTCACCCGTGCGTGATCGAGAAGCCTTATGGTATCTCTGAAATCTTCGGGTGCCACACCTTTACTTCCCTCGTGTGGGCTGCGCATGTAGCTCGAAAAGTTGACAAACAAGTAGAGCGCGTCGCGGTTTGGAAGGTCAGGAGACAGTGGTCGAGACGAAGGAGAGCGCGACGAAGGAGCAATGGGGGAACCATACAGGGGGTTGGTGCTTGTGCTATTCGAAGGGGGCGTGGCTATATTCGGGCGGGATGCAGGAGTAGGTGGTTCAACGGTTGGGAGGGAAGGAAGTGGTGCTGTTCCCGGCGGATCATCTTGAGGATGCAAAGGCGCCAGAGCCTTCGTTGCTATGGGAGGCAGCGAGGAATGAAAGGGGACTGCTGATGGGGCCATGCCAATGAGTGAGGATAAGGTCGATAGAGTATGTCTCCAGTATCACTAAGTTGAGATACAATCGAGAGCTAGAAACAAACACGGCACTGGTCTCAAAAGGCCTAGCAGATGTAACCCCATGAAACGAGAAAGGAGCTTCCAATTCTCGCAACAAAGGAAGTGAACCGATCCTGACTATAAGAAAAGGATATCAGGAAGAGAGGCTCTTGAGAAGAGGTCGAAAGGAGTACCACTGCTTATACCGCATGATGTTTGGACCCACCGCACGTTCATGAAGGTGAATAAGGGCTCAGCAAATCTCTTTGGTTCGTCTCAATTTAATTTGAGATTGGGACAATGGATGCATTCGCCAGCATTATCCCTGACGAAGGACATGAATCACCATTACCAACATGCATCGTTGCTATCGTACCAGCATATAAGCGTCTACAACCCGTTTAAAGGTCGGCGTCATCCTGAGAAAAAGTCAGCATACGCGCTAGAGCACAGCTCATTGACATACCTCATCGGGCAAGGGGGCGGCAGCAGCAGCCTTGAGCTCCTCCTCGTACTTGGCAATAAGAGCCTGGTCGATCTGGACCTCAGGGGGGGCGAGGGCGGGGGCGGCGACGAACTCAAGCGACTGGTTTCCGACAAGCTTCCTGGCGAGCCAGAGGAAAGGCTTCTCAAAGTTGTAGTTGGACTTGGCAGAGATTTCGAAATATTGGAGGTTCTCTACCGGACAATGATCAGCAATGCAGACTTGTGCGCGAGGCCCATGCGCCACCAGACGCACTCTTTCGGTGGAAAGTGACGTTTCCAGTCTTGACCTTCCTCTCCTACAAAACGTGTCAACAAGGCTTTGAGTGGCGAGCGATAGGCAACTTACCTTAACATCGACCTTGTTACCACAGAGGACAATAGGGATGTTCTCACAGACTCGCTCGAGGTCTCGGTGCCAGTTGGGGACGTTCTTGTAGGTGATACGGGAGGTCACGTCAAACATGATGATACCACATTGTCCTTGAATGTAGTAGCCGTCACGCAAACCACCAAACTTCTCCTGACCAGCGGTGTCCCAAACATTGAAGCAGATGGTACCGAAGTTGGTGTGGAAGGTAAGGGGGTGAACCTCGACACCAAGGGTAGCTGTATTGGGTAAGCACTGCTCAGACATGAGAGCGAGAGCGAGAATGAGTCTACCTACCAATGTACTTCTTCTCGAATTCACCAGTCAAGTGTCGCTTCACGAAGGTGGTCTATGAATTGCCTTGGTAAGCTTCAAAAGCGGGTTTCTGACACAGTGGCACTTACCTTTCCTGTATTTGTTGAGCGGAAGAGAGTTCCAGGTCATGGTTAGTTACGTCCCAGGATACTGAGTTGTTACATACCCTGCGTCCCAGGTCGAGTCAGCGCGCGCAGGGGCCGGGGAGGGCAGACTCACGGTTCCACCGTCGCCGCAGAGGACCATCTTGAAGGTAGCAGTGTTCTCCATTTTGCTGATTGAATGGACTGGGGGAGTTGATGATTGATGAACTTGATGAACTTGAATGAGCGCGCTTTGAGCAACATCCAGCCTTTTTATTTTTCCCCTTTTCTCGCTTTTCTCCCGCGCACGGATGACGTAAACATGTCCAGCGACACGTTCAGATCAATGCAACAAGGGTTAGTTGTGGTGCCGCAACGTTATCCATATCATGACCCCCATGCAGGACATCACCAGCTGGCTTACCCAGCAATGCGACGGTCAGCTCTCTACTATGCCTTCTACCCCCTTCGCCATGTGCTTACCGGCCCACAGAGCTCCCGTACGGCGAACTCGCAAAGCCGTCCTCTTTCTCTATGATGGACGCGATGAAGGGTCTTCAGGTGAGGCTGCTTCAAGGCGGATTCAGCTCACAGCCTAGATGATGGACTCTAAGATGGACACTGGAACAAGAGACAAGCTCCAATCAACACAGTTGTTTGATCCCAACGCCAATATCTCAGCCGAGGACTTGTGCTTTATCATGGACCGTATGCTCGCTCTAGAGGTGAGACTCCCCGCATGTTCAGTATCATCAATGCAGCAACTGACAATAACGAAGGTATCGTGGTATCGAGGGAGCAACCTCTGCCAGTCCGTCTACTCGTGTCTTTACTTCCACAACCTCTATATGATAGAGGCACCGTCAGACCCTCTGGCGACAGGAAATCTCCTGACCCAGCTTGTGCTACGAGCCTACATCCTTCTCTTTTGCAAGAGTATTGATTTTGCATACACCGAGTTTGCAAAGGGCAACGTGTACGAAGGGGAGGATTGCTGGTTGGACCACTATGGAGTTCCATTGAGGGTCAGCGAAGACACAGACACAGTTGTGGCTGTTGCGGATGACGCTTTGGGCTGGCTGGAGAGTGAAGAATGCCAACGTAAGTTTGGGACCTCCCCCTGGCAAATTTCGGGGCTAATTACCGATAGTGCCCGTCTTCTTGAAAAACCAGTTAGTCTACCGCCTGGTCTTCAGAAGAGTGAGTTTTACTGATTCGATTGCAGCTGACGTTTCAGAACTTTCTACAATACATTGATGCCTCGACATTATCGGCCTCGCCCACAAGACAAATATTGCTAGTTATGAAGCTGGCGGCGGAAGAGATCAAGCCATGTGAATCTCTCTCAGACACAGCTGGGTCGGCTTTCGACAAATACATGTCTTCGTATCTTCGCCAGAGCATGCCTCTTCCTGATTTTCGCCAACTTGATTTTGATCAATCCTGGGGCGAAATGAAAAGCATGGTCAGAGACCTCCTGAGGGTAGAAACACTTTTGGCAAGTGGAGGCTGGGATCAATGGAGCGTAAGCCCCTGGGAACCGACAGCCAAGAACAGTGCTGATCGGCTAAAAGTGCTTCTTTTGGGGAATGAGGATGTCCATTAGGAAAAGGAACCCTCTCCTGCGCTCACTGATTAAGGTATTATCACTTTTTGATAGTGCCATCGCCGCTGATGCTCTACTAGACACGGTTCACCATGCTTTGCGATGAACGGGCTGATAGTGGCGTCTACAAGAGCGACATCCTGGCTACCGAAGGTCTTGTACAAGAAAGTGCCAACACGAACCTAGTGCAAGTCGTCCTGGAGTCTGTGACTCATAACACATCTTTCTCTTCGCAGGCGCAATCGCTGAAAGTCTGGAAGGTTCTTTTGCTGAAAGTGAGCCTGGCCCAAGGGGTATATATAATTTACGGCTACTGACCCCACATTCTCCTCAGGATGTTCTGACTACACTTGCAATCGCATCGCAAAATGGACCTCGACAGCGCCGGTCTTTGATCGACCTTTCTCACCAACTACGCGAACGCGCTACCATGGCCGAGTACCAAGCCATCCCGCACATCAGTCAGACTATACATCTGCTGAGACTGGACTGCATGCTTGATGCTGCTTTGGGTGCACTGGACTTGGAGCTGGTGCACCCTGCCGATGAAAGAGAAGCATGGTGGTGGATAAGGACTGTGGCGAAGGCTCGTATAAGAGGGGGTACTGAAAGCTCTACCATTCGGGCGCGATGGGCTGAAGCATGGGAGAGTATTGGGGCTGGTATGGAGATTGTGAGTGCGCATGCTGCGACCTTGACTATATTGATGACATCTTCAGCTCTTGACTGCCATCCCTCCCTCGTCCTTGCCAATCTCGAACTCGACACAGAAAGTTCGTTTCGCCCTCAAATACAAACACTACTCCAAGGCAATATACATGCCTGACGGAACCAAACGATCCATCGGTGTTGTTCCGACGTATGAGGACTGGATCAGATCACAAGACGAGATGGACAACAATCCAGTATGTGCATATGTCATCTAGTTTGAGCAACCGCTGACGTCTCCAGACCTTTCGTGATGTATTGGTCGCCAAACCACTTCTTGAACAGGCATGGGAAATACTAGAATCAATGGACTCGGGCGATTTACCGGATGCGGCCACAGCAGACTTGAAGGCACGTCGCTAATGTGAATAGGGGGACGCTGTGCTAATTATAAGAAAGTCTATCATAGGCTGTTTGCAAGCTACCCTCTTGTCCAATATCCAGACCATTGAGCAAAAGCCCACAAGCCTACGTTGGAGACGGCACTCCCGCGAACCCGATAGTATCGGCCGGTGGATATTGTTGTTGGAATAACATTGCAGTACTTCATTGGCATCATGCATGTGTTTCTAATCTCACCCGTTCATGGCCATCTCTTCCTCGTCCTCGGCTTGGCCCACACCGACCTCAAAGCCGTCTACCTCTGCCCTTTCCTCAAGTCCTTGGGGCTCATCTACGACCTCACCCTTCTCCTCTGCCAACCGTCTCTCCTCCCAAACGTTGGTACCGCTCTGAATGCTCTCAATCCTTTCGACGATACTGGCAAAGATCACCGTACCCTTTGCCAGAGAAAGGCCCAGCCCCGCCGCAGCCTGGTCGATAGACTTGCACTGAGCGACCACTTGACTCAGCCGTTTACGCTCGGCTTTGGGCATATCCGAGATGGGCGGTGGTGAGGGTTTAAATTGCGATAGAAGGAATTTGGTGTTGCCCCAGGGATTCTTGGTGTACTCGGCGATGGCCAGCAACCTCGGAATAACCTCAGTGAGGTTACATCTGGGCCCTGTGGGCAGGAAAACAGAAGGATTACGCTCAGCAGCTCGCGCCAACATCAATGAGTCCGCCCCTTCGCGCCGCATGATCAGCTTTATCGATGGCAGTCATTTTCTTGACTCACCAGTCTGCGCTCTGATGGCTTCCCAGTTGGACCAGCCTTCACCATCACCATTGCATGTTATGGGAATGCCCCTTTTCTTCCCGAGCGCAACGAGATCGGCTAGTCTGCTCCATACAGCTGGCACTCCTGGACGCATGTCACGAGTGCGACAGTGCACGGTCAAATTGCGAATGCCAGTCCGGATGATTCTGGAGACAAGCAATTGTGTTGAGGGCTGAGTGGGAAGCAGGCGAATCTTACATGAGATAGGCAGGGGGATGGAGGTCAACAGAGCCCGAAGAATGTCCAAGAGTAGATCGGGCGTGGACAACAAGGCGGCTCCCATACCAGAATGTGTACTAGAGGTATGTGTTCAGTGTTGATAGTGGTAGCGATTACTTTAGGAGCTCACGAGAATGGCTTGGGACATCCGCAATTGAGGTCACTGGGTTTCGTCAGCTGTCATTCCATGGTCCGCTGCCCAGATTCCCCTTACATTCCTGCAACGTCTTGCTGAACAGTCTGGGCTGCTTTCACGGCGAGAGCTGGGTCCGACGATCCAATCTGGAAGATCACTGATAGGAGCGTCAGCTTGGAACCGAGCATCTGCTGCACCGAACTTGCGATATGGCTTCTCGATAGGATGCGTTGTAAAGATTGGCCCTTGACCTTTATGGTAAGTGATTACGCCTGATTCCGCTACATATATGCATTAGTGTCGATGGACTCAGTATACATGGAATTGCGCCTTACGATCTACGACTCTTTCACATCCGATAATCGCTTTGTCGACGACTTCTGGGGACCAGACCAGACCAGCTCCATAATACAGTGAAAGCAATCGCATTGGTACTATAGAAGCTGGTCAACATGCTATCAGTAAAAGGCTCATTAATACTCACGACTGCCAGTCCTGACCATTGGCGCGAGGACCAATTTCTCTCGGTAATCTATGTCATTCTCGTACTCTCGAGACACCTCTACTGGAAGGTCCATCTGTTCGGCAACCAATTGCTCTTCCGACCTTGTATCTCTTGGAAAAGGCGAGGTAGTCAGCCCGGGATCGGAAGTAGTGAAGCTACTATTGCCGAGATCCTTCTTTGTGAGCATGGCTCCGGGCATTACATGGTCTGTGTTGCTTTTAGTCCTTTTACTGGGCCGATGCTCTGCGGAGGGAGACGAGTCGCGTGGTGCAGGCACAGGCATGGTCGCGAATAGAGAGACTTGAGGGGAGCGGAAGAGATGCGGTCTTGGAAGGAGTATAGGAAGACGAGCTGCTCGTAGGCTCATCTGCTACTTTGATCAGAAAGAAGTAAAGAACATAATGAAGCGGCGGCGCACGCTGAATTTTGACTTGATCCAAATAAGTAAAATGAAGTTACGCTGTTAATAAGCTTGCTCTTATTTATTCTAACTTATTTATTTTAACAAATGGTGCAGCGTCTATATAATTACAAGCAAACCCGAACAAATTGATTATTACGCGCCATACTAGACTACGACTTTACTTTTGTGCTTGAGTTCAGCTGACAGAACAGTACTTGTACCTGCGCTTTGTTGTCTACGCGCGACTATTCGAACTCCCATGGGCGCACTTGAGAAAGCTGCGAACGCCTACTTGACAAACGAGGCAAAATGTGCCCGATTGTATTATTACGTACGGTCCTCAGTGATGTCCATGATCTCCGCTGCGCTGCTGGAAGACTAGCGTCGGTTGCCCACATATATATGTATTTGACCGTATACTTTACATACAATTTCAAATGACACAGACAATGAGAGGGGGCTAGGCAATGCGCTGAAAGCAGACAGAAAGGTTCATCAGTCTCGTCCGTAAGAAGGGCAGAGCTTGTGGATGATCAACTTACATATGAACCGTACTCTTTGTCTGGATCGTATACCTCCCATCTGGAAGCTGGAAAAATCTGGAAGGACTAGGTCAATATTTGATATTCTACAAGACTCGAGACAGCTTACGTGTTTATACCGGTTATACCACGATCGTTCAACCACCTTTCCAGCATGAGACTAGTGCTATTGTCAGTTTCGTTCGGGATTCCTGATAAGAGGTGACTTGCTTCATCTTTTTCGACCGTCGCGTCCGATACCATTCGGACGTCATCATGCACGTCAAAATTGAATAGCGGGCCAGACTTTCCTCTTGCCTTGTTGATAATGAAGTCGTAGAATGTATAGTGCTTTGGCTCTTTATGAGCTTTGCTCCGACAGTCTGAACGCGAATCACTTACGTGCGGGATTATAAGGTCTTCTTTGATGTACATCAAATTCTCTACGCTTGTTCCACGCAGTTCAGGAAACTGTTGACGACATTTGTTGAGGAAACTCGCGATATCGTCGCCCTTTTTACACTGTTGTGTAGCTATCAGAGATCCGTCCAATTTGAAATGGCACAGATGCGAGACATACCTCCACTGACTTCCGATGTCCGCTACCATCCCAGAAGGAGTAGGTTATCTCTATGGTCTCATTCTTTGTTTTCTCCTGCTGCGCAAGCCACTCTTTCCGCAATCTCTCTCGCTCTTGCGCCTCTTCCAGTTCACGATTCCTGTCCGGCAAGAATGATGTATCTACACCAGGGTTTTTGAATGATTTCTTCTTGGGATTCTGGTCCGGTTCACCTGGAGACAACCGTGAGCCTTTCGAATATATCTGAGTAAGCTACAGACCTTCTTCATCTCGACCTCGCTTATCTACAGAGAATTCTGCCAGTCCGGAATCATCTTCCCCCTCATCGTCAAAAGACAGTTTTGACCTGTTTTTCTTCTTCGCTTTTCTGACCTTTTGATTGGAATTACTATGTGGTCCATCAAGTTCAGTGTCTGATTGAAATGGGATAAGCGTACGGTTTGTCAGTCTTGACTTGCGCAGCAAGCTTCCTCTGAGCTTCTTCTAGATCGCTTTTTGTCTTTTGAAACTCGGACAGGGAAACGAGCCCAACCGTCGTTTTGATCAGACGCTCGTCCAAGTTTTCCGTGACTCCAACAAATCGGTCAACAGTGTGATCTCTTTGTGAATCCTGCATGCCTTTCCAGTCAGTTTGTTTCTGTAACACATTTTTCGAAGACGAACCTTCGTGATTGCCTCCTTCTGGCGTTGGATTTCGGCCTGGTTAACAACACACAAATGGGGATCAGTTTATCTTGTTCGCTTTCAGATTGAATGGGAAGTCATTTACAGCTTCCTTTTCCCGTTGTTTGGTCAGCACTAGTGTCCTGAGACTTTCTTCTGGCGGACCTGACATGTTTGATATACACCACGTGCACGAAGCAAAAGCAAATAGCGTACATCTTTCATCTGCAGCTCACGCGGCGGCGCGCGCGTGAAGGCAACAACAAATACGTAAGCAAACGTGAAAGAAGGGAGATTTGCATGTTGTGACGCGTGCGCGAAGCAACACCGCATTGTATCAAACGCCAACCACGCCTGTCATTTCTCCCTTCTACATCTTCGTGCGATCGCGTCGACTGTCTTGCCTTCCGGAGGTCTCCCGTTGCCGTATCAACATGGCGCACTCAGATCCCTACAACGACCCGTATGGCCGTCAGCAGCAACAGTACAACACCAGTCATGCCGCGGACAACACCAACTACGGACAACAGCCCTACCACTATCAGGAAGAAAATCCCTACGGCGAAGAGCCAAGATATCCAACATACTCTTCGGACCCGACAGCTGGCGACTATCTCAATTCGAGCACCGAGAAGGTGGCCGATGAGTCTTATCCACAAGGGAACACTGCGCGAGCACAGCCTGGCCGCTCTGGGATGGCCAGGCCAACGACTTCTTTTGCAGAGATGGGACCACCCCCCCGAAGTACTGGTATCTTGAGAGTATGGTATGTACCAAGATGGCACGCTGGTGGGATGCTTGTTGAAATTCCTCCAGGAGAAAGGATGAACGAGGCAAGCAATGGTCAAGGGTAGGTCTGGCCGGCCCCGACTCCGGGCGGATGCAATTGCAAGCTGACGTTGTATCGAGGGCGGTGGTGTTCGCACGTCCTTGCGCTTCTGCTGCTGCACCATCACAACGGCGATCATCATGATCATCAGTGTCGTGCTTGCGGTGCTTCTCGTGAGTCAATCTGTGCAAGGTCTTGTCTGACATACCAGTATATACGCCCTCCAAGCGTTACATTGAACAGTGCGACAGTAGATTCAGGCTCCGTCTCCGCCAACACCGATGGTCTCAGCCTCAAGTTTGACTTGAATATTAGGTGCGTACTCGCAGTGTTGACACGCACTCGCCTGTGACTCATCCTTGCAGTGTCGCCAATCCCAACTGGTTTGATGCCAATTTCAAAAACATCGAGGCAACCGTGAGCTACCCAGGTAACAACACAAACAATTTTGGTGGTGGTAGCATGAGCAACGTCAATTTCAAGGGCTACACGGACTCAACATTCGTGTTCCCATTCACCTTGAAGTGAGTCTTGCTATGCAACCGTCCTTACTGACAGTGTAGCTACACTCTGGCCAATGATCCCGACAGAACGGTCCTTAATGACTTGATCAGTGAACAACCCTTCCCCAAGCTATCCGGTACTGAAAAGCTGATTGCAACTTGAACACAGGTAAATGCGGTATTTTGGGGACAACGACCGAGGATATCACTGTCGATTACGACCTGAATCTCAATCTCAAGGTAAGCTGCTGGCATTAGCGCATCCCCATTAGGGCCCTGCTAAGATTGTATAGATTCTCGGTTTGACAGTCAATCCCACAATCAGCAACAGTGCCAGTTTCGAGTGTCCCATCACAGAGAGCGACATAGAGGTGCGCTTCTTTCCACAATAACGATCTTTTGTGCATCGCTGACTTTTTATCTGTGTCATCAAGAGCATTGTTGGCAGCAGTGGTCTCAGCCGTCTCACGGGGAGCTAGTGAAGAATATTCAGACACAGCTGTACCTCAGGGATTCATATGTATCAAAAGATAAGAGCGGCCCGACATGTAACTATCTACGCAGCAACCTTTCGCTTCCTCTCTGCGTCTGCGGCCAAAGCCTTTAAGTTTTTGAATTCTGTACGACCTGTAGCTCTACATAGCTACGCCAACCAAGAGTCAGCGGTGTCTTACCGCAATGCCTCAGACTTACAGCGTAGAATTTGGATTTGTGATCGCGTAACAACTCAGCTGGGCTGGCAAACTCGGCGATGTTGCCTCGGTCCATGACAATGACTTTATCAAAGTCAATCTTTGGTGGGTCAGCGAATCGCGTACATGCTTGCTGATCAGTTGTCCGCGCTTACAATAGTATGGATGCGATGAGCGATAGTAAGGATGGTGGAATCCGAAAATTCTTCACGGATTGTTTTGGATACTGATCAGGAGTTGTTAGTTTTGCCCATGGCTCCCGTAGGAGATCTATGTGAATTTTGCTTACTCAGCGCATCAGTTTCATCTGAACAAGCAAATGTTAGCGCCATGTAACATCACTAAAGAAGTACTCACAGTCAATGGAAGCCGTGGCTTCATCCATCAGAATCACCTTGTTGCGCTTGAGGATAGCTCGCGCCATGCTATAAAATTGTCAATCAAATGTGCTTTCGGTAACTTCCAATTTTACCAGATGAGCTGCTTTTCACCACTAGAGAAGTTGTCTCCACCTTCCCTGCAAAGATTGAAGTCAGTTGGAGGCCTGAGACAGTTGAGTAAACTGTAACCTACGAAACGGGATTGTTTAGGTCCCGGAAGACGTTCTTGTTTCTCACCTCATCGACATCTCCGACTTCAGCCTCTCCGGTAGTGTCTTCTTCTTTGATAAGATGGACACGCCTCAGAGCAGAATAGATTTCGACATCGTCGTATTCTTCAAAGACATCGAGAGTTGAGCGCAAGGTTCCAGAGAGAATTGTCGGGTCTTGAGGAATGATAGTCAAGCGACTGCGCAAGTCCGTCAAGCCAATCTTGGATATATCCACCTGATCTATGACGATTCGACCTTCGGAAGCCTCGACGAAGCGGAAGAAGCTCAAAGCAAGAGTGGATTTGCCACAGCCCGTTGGACCGACAATGCCGACCTTCTCCCTGGGCGCAATCTCGAACGAGATGCGATGAAGGACACTAGGCAAGTCAGGCTTGATGGCATTATGTTTAGCTGAAGTCGGGCGTCCTCCTAGATCTCTACTCACTGCATATCTGATCACAAGGTCCTCGACCTGAATGGCACCATTTTCGGGCCAAGAAGCGGCAGGCCTAGGCTCCACATATTCGGCAGCTTCGCGCTTCAGCTCCGTAAACCTGTACAGCAGTTAGTGATGTGATCGTCATTGCCCGTAGGTTTTTTTCCACGCACTCCTTCAGTCGCTCGATTGCAACCATACTTTGCTCCAACTGAACAAAACGTCTGACCACAAAGAGCAAGTCATGGCAGATGGTGCCCGCGAAAGATAGCGCGAAACCGGCCATGGCCGCATTGACACTGGGAGCTATCAGGATGGCAACCGCAGTCAATCCAACCATCACGGCACTAAGCAGATTGAAACGTGCTATCAAGTCGCATCAGTATATTGTAATGTGTGAGCTGAAAAGACTGACCTGAAAGCCATCGGTTCACAGTCCTGTACAATCATACAGGTCAACAGTCTCTCACATATAGTGTAAAAAGATCTCACCAAGACCAAGCAAAGGCAAGCAAATTCGTGTCCGCAAGTTTCATCATGTTGTGCAAAGCGAGGGTGCCTTGGTAAGGTCAGTCAGCCCGACGTCTCAGTGGCGGAGGAACATAGGCGGAAAAACTCACTACCGCCAAATGCTCTAAGCACGGCAACTCCAGAGACAGTTTCACCAAAGAGAGAATAGAGCGGGGAGCGAGTGACCGAATCGAGCCTACGCATATCACGAGATGTTTGTCCATAGATTGAACCGGCTTGATAGTAGACGATCAGAACCACGCTATTTGTGCACCGATAAGCATCAGACCCCGCCCATGACTTAACCATCACTCACCATCCGGCCAGTACAAAAGGCATACCCCCAACCCATGTGATGGAAATGAAGGTGATGACAACGTTCAGACCATACGCAACACTTCGAACAAAGTTGTCCGCCGTTGAGCTGTCGAGGCCTTCGATATCTTTGCCGAATCGGTTCAGAAGTCGACCGCGGCTGGTTGTGTCGTGGAAGCGGAGAGTGGAGAAGAGTACAGATTCAAGCATGGCTAAAGATTGCAAGTGCATTAGCTCCATCATAGTTGATGCCTGTGAACCCACGTACAGTTATGTAACTTTCTGCTTGCCTGTAAAGAGCCATAGTAGATGATGGCGTACTGAATGTTGGCGGCAAATACACCGACGATGGTGATCTGTTCATGTTTAGTTTTGACAAATCCTCGTTCGAGCAACAAGACTCACAATGGAATAGCCCATGACATAGTATCGACTGGTGTGGCCACCATTGGAAGGATCAGATCCGGTCCAGTACCTAATACAATATTGTCAGATTGCAGTACGAGATTCAGCCAGAGGCGCACGCACTCTAACCAGCCCTTCTCACAGACCGGGACGACCATAGCCATGGCTAAGGAAAGCAAGAAGAAAGCCCCTGCGATAATGCGTTAGAGTATTTGATTGCTCATGAGGATATGCACTCACACCACCAAGGTCCACCTAGAGCCTTTGTTGCATGTCAGCAAGAAAGAGACCGGAGTGTCATATATCGACTCACCTTGAAATACGTCTTCCACACATCCGCCGCGATCCGTCCTCGCGCTCGCTTCTCATCTTCGATAAGTTTTCGAGGGGGCTTGGATTTAGTCTCTTGAGCCGAACCGACCAAAGTCACTTCATCCTCGGGAGCGAGAGAACTGGTCTCGGAAGTGGGTTCTGAAGGGTTACCCGTGCCGGAAAGACTGACAACGCTTTTATGAGCGGGTTTCAGGGCAGCCTCTTCGACGGCGGACCGCTCTTGCTGCTCTGCTTCGGTGAATTTGGCTTGGGAATCTTCGTCTTCCAGTTCCTCCAAAAGACCAGTGGCGACGAATTCGTCCCTGGACCCTGAGAATTTGACATCGCCCTGGAGAGCCACTCTGGTCAGTGATACCGTTGAAAGAGACAAAATATGACACTCACATTCTCAAGGGCAACAATATAGGCAGCACCTGGGGAGACGAGGGCGACGTGGTGTGAGACAACAACAATGGTACGACCTTCGACAATAGGCCCTTTAAGGCAGTTGTGCATTATAGCGTGGGCAGTGTGGGCATCGACAGCACTCAGAACTGGTCAAAGTCAGCCGCTTGTTT